GGCGCAAAATCGACCTCCGGTAGGGAGGGCGCAGGAAGACGCACGCGGGCGCGCGAGGGGGCCACGCGAAACTGGGAAATTTCAAATGAGGTGGGTAACATGACAAGGAGCATCACGGGAGCGACGCGGAGAGCGGGAACGAAGAGCAGCCGCGAAGACGACCCGGCGAGCCCCAGAAAAAGGCAAGAAAACGGGCAAGGAAGCGTCGAGGGACGGCGAGGGACCACGCGCGGCGGGCGATCAGGCCCTCCTGGCGACGAGGAGCGCGGTCGGGCGGGGCGCGAAGCCGGGGAGAGCGCGACGGGCGCGCGCGCGGCGGGAAGGCGGCCGGCGCCGCCAGGGAGGGCGTGCGCGCGGAGCGGCGCGGGGAGGGCCCGGAGCGCCGCGAAAGCGGCGCGGGCGGGGCCGTCAGTGCAGAGCAGGAGGGGAACGGCGGGCGGGAGAGCGCGGGGACGCGCGGGGGCGTCGGTCGGGGGCGGCGCGGACAGACCCTATACATCACCAATATAAGGCACGGGCCGCGGGGGGGGGTGCCTGGTGCATCCCGCGGCATGTGGCCACCAGGCACGCGCGCTCAGCCACACAACGGTGCCGCAGGCGCGGCGGCAGACGGATCCGCGACCCGACCGCTCAGGCTGCGGTACGTGCTGCTCAGCAGGTTCAGTGTCGGCGGGCGCCAACATGGAGGTACGAACCGACGCGTGCGCCACCGCTATGCGATCACTTTGTTGATTGACGCCCCCTGTATGCCGTACCTCCTCCCGAACCGCCCACGCTGTGATGCACTTCCTGGCCAGGACTTGGTTTTTTCGCGCCGACAGGCGGGAGCGTGCGCCTGCGGAATCCCCATGCGAGTGCGCACCAACCCGACTGCGCCAGTGATCCTTGTCACCGCAGGATGCGAATGCGGGCGCGAATGAGGGTCCACCAGACGGTGCAGCGCCGAACGGCGCGGCAAGCTTGCCCGCAGGCCAAGCAACTGGCCCGAAGCGACCTAGCAAGCGCGTGTTTCACACGGTGCCGGTGTCTACGCCTTCTCCAGGTGCGTCGCATTCGTGCGGGCGGTGGCAAGGCGCATTAAACCCACGCCCGCGCCGCCAAGGCCGACCCGACCTATTTCACCTCTCTGCAGGTCCCTTTGCGCTCGCTGACCTCAACTGGGTCACGGTTGCGTGGGCGAAATCCAAGACGGGGTTTGCGGCGATGGCACGCTTCTCGGAGTCGCGCTGGGACGACATGAAGGAAGGCGAGGCTCGCGTCGCAGGCCTCCCGCTGTACATCAGGAAGAGCAATGCCTCCAAAAAGGGCCTACCAGGAGGCGAACTGCACTGCTCGGGCGGGCCCGAAGATCATCGGGGAGGAGCCTCCCAGGCGCGGTTCCAAGGCAGGTCGCGGAAGGCCCTCGCGGAGCTGGAACGCCAAGGTGAGGGACCTACGCTGGCCACAGCATGATGGGCGCGCACCTTCCGTCTCGCGCACCAATCTTGCGCCTCCGCTGGCAGGCAGCTTGCCCAACATATCGTCCTGCTCTGAGTCTGTGTCGCAGACAACGTGACCGCGGCGGACGCCGATGCGCGAGGGTCGTACAAGAAGCGCAAGTTCACCAAGTCTCAACTCGGGACGAGCGTGCGGTGCGGGTGCCAGGTGTCCCTGAAATACACCACGCTCGACGAGGGTGAAGGGAACGTTCGGTCTGTGGCGGTCCGGTACGACATCCCCGCCGACTCGGAGGCAGGGCCGCCGCAGCACTCGGGGCACGACGTGGGAGAGTCTCTGCGAGAGGCGATTCAGCAGCACGACATGGACGGCATCCGCGGCTGCATCCCCCATCGCCTGAGTCTCAAGTCGCGCGAAGTACTGAGCGCGTATGCGACGATGGGCGTGGCCGTGTCTCGGGCGCTGTCGGGCCTGAGGGAGGACATCATGGCAGACTTCGCCGAGGAGACGAGCCTGTACGCTGAGTACGGGAACTTCTGGTCCGCCATGAGCCTGCTCGGCGCAGCCCTGAAGAAGCAAGAACTGCGCGACTTCCTCGCGACGAGTGACGACTACCACAACGCGAAGGCAAAATGCAGGGGGGATGATGGCGTGGGCTTCGCCGCCGACGACCAGCGGAGCTGCGAGAACATGGTGCGCGAGAATCGCCACATCTACCCTACGTACCGGCACCTCACGGCGACGACGCCGATGGTCTTGGTTCTGATGACCAAAAACATGGTCAGCCAAGGAGTTGCACACTGGAACAGGGAAGGCGCAGTGAAGAACATCTGCTTCGACGTCACCTTCGGCACGAACCGCTACAACTTCAAGACCTGCGCCGTGAACGTCGTCGGGTCGGCGGGTCGGTGGCGGCCGATCGCGATCTGCGTGTTGAGCGACGAGCCGGCAGAGACTGTTGGGATGGCGTTGAACTGCGTTCGGGCGGAGCTGAACAAGGCGGGCGCGGAGAGCTGGGGCGAGACGCGGCCGGGCAAGCGCGCGGTGTTCATGACGGACTGCGCGGAGGCGCTGAAGCAGGCGGTCGCCACCACGTTTCCAAGTGCAACGCATGTGTGGTGCACGTTCCACATGCTGCAAGCGGTCCTCAAGAACCTGCACAGCAAGATCGGCCAGGGCGCGGGGGTGGGGGACCTGAAGAGGCGAATCTGGTGCGACATCGTGGACATGCTCCGGAAGGCGCGCCGTGATGTGCTGGGAGCATATATTGCATCTTCGGCGCGCGAGCAGCGGCAAGCGGACGACAGGGTGGCGGAGGACGCCGCTGCCGACATCGCTGCCTTCAATGCGCGGTATTCCAGCGACAGGCGCGCTGCGTCGTTTCTCAAGTACTTCAAGTCTCAGTGGGGTGCATCTGAGGTGACCGCGATGTGGATGCTGCGCTACCGATCGACGGACATCCCCACGACGGACAACGCCAGCGAGTGCCTTTTCAAGTGGATGAAGGACATGCTCAGCGCGCGGGGCGTGCGGTGCGTGCATCATCGGCGGCTTGATCAGTTCCTTCTGCACTGCATCTCCCAGGACGAGGAGCGGGCGGCGCTGGAGGCGGCGTGCGCTGTGGGTCTGCGCCAGCCCAGGGCGCTGCAAGAAGCGCTGCGAGTCGCCGAGAACGGCGGCGAGGCCTTGCGTCAATACGTGCAACAGTTGATGGTGATGTGGCCATTGGTCGACGGGGTGCGAGAACCCACGGACGCGCCCGAGCAAGGCAAGTGGGAGATCACGCGCGACGGTCGCTCTCGTGTGCTGGACTTCGTGGGGGGGAAGCTGACGTGCACGTGCGATCATCATGGGGTGTGCCATCACATGGCTGCGGTGCGTCAAAGGTACAACTTCACGTACAAGTGGTTCAAGGACGCTGTCGCGCACTTGGGGCCGTCCGTCGCGAGGCCACTCCCGGGGGACGACAGCTCCGAGGAGCAGGAGGGCGGCGCGGGCACCAACGCAGCTGCGAGAGCAACAGGCGCTAGCGCTGCTGTCGTCGGCGACCCCGCGGAGGGGGCGGGTGCTGAAGCACAGGAGGTCGCGTCGCCGCCGAGGCAGGCGGAGCTCGCGGCTGCGAAGCAAAGGATGATCGAAGGGATCAACGCGTGCGACAACAAGGAGCACCTGATGAAGCTCTATCGGGCGTTCCGAGATTGGGAGCAGAGCGGCCGCAACGGGTGAGCGCGGAGCACGCACCACGTGCGGTTGGCTGCTGGTTGTCGTGGCGCGATCTGCCCCGATGCACGCGAGCGCGCTCGACAACTTGTACACGCAAACCTTTTGCCCTGCAGGATAGAGTGGGAAGCCGGCGCGATCCGCAGCAAAAAGCGCAGGGAAGTGTACGCTCTGAAGCGGCGGTCGAAGAGAGAGCGTCGACGCGATCAGCGCTCGGGCGTGGCGGGAGACGCCTCCCGAGAGGGTGCAGCAACGTCATCATCGACCGACTCGGACCCCCAGACGTTGGCGCAGCGGTGCACGTGGAGGGTGCCGCGTGCGAACGAGGAGCGCGACGCGCTGAGGGCGAAGACGCGGCTGCCCGGGGACCCAACTGCTTCTGCCCCTCCAGCAGGCAACAATGCTGACCAGCGCACGGGCGGGGGGGGCGGTGGCCCGGCTGCGGGTGGGAGTCGGCCGGCAGACCCCGACGCGGCAGGGGAGCTCGTGCTGTCCGCGGCTCTGGCGCCGGACTGGTCCCAGCTGCTGAGCCAAGCACAAGCGACACAAGGCGGGCCGCCCGCGACACAAGGCGGCCAGCGTGCACTGGACCCGCGCGTCGACGAGAGGCACCAGGCGTTCGACTGTCTCGGGGAGCGTTTCATCGTACCCGCGGAGCGCAGGGCCATCGGGGGACCGACTGCTCACGAGCAGTTGTGGGAGGGCTGGCGATGGTGCCGCGAGTGCGGCAAATGGAGGACCAACGGGTTCGTACAGACCATGACGGCCGCTGTGCAGTACTTCAGGTGCTCGGAGTGGGACCCGGTCGGCAGATGTAGCGCGGATTGCAGCAAGTGCCACAGTGATGGCAGAGCCCGCAACAGCACGTGCCACCACTACGGTGCACCGCGGGGAGCACGCAGGTAGCTTCGGTGTGACGATACGTACCCGCCGCGCCGAAAAAACGGGCCGTCTCGCGACTGTGTCTCGCCTGAAACGCCCCCGACCCCACCACCTCATACTGGTGAAGTATAGGCCCTGCGCCCCAGCCAGACGTCACGTCAGGGCTTGTCACGCGGCGACGCTGGGCGCGGCGCGCGCAGGACCTTTGCACTATCCACCTGCAGCGTAGAGGGCGGAGCATTTCGGTCCACGCTTGAGCGAGCGCCGCGAGAGGCAACGGAGACCAGTGGCGTCAGGTGCCCGCATTGCTGCGCGCTGTGGGGTCCGCGGCCTGACTGCCGCCGCGCGACCGATCGACCTTGTCAGCTGGGAGGCCTCGGTACGGAGATTCTTCCGTGGCGTCGGCTCTGAGCGGCTGCACAGAGCTTGGTTGTTGCAGGGGGCCTTGCGCCCTCGCCGGCATGGAGGAGGCCGGCATGAGACGTCGCCTCTGCAGCCACTACCTCCTCGGAAGATGCACGTTTGGGTCGCGGTGCCGGTTCTCGCACGGTGCGTGATGCGCGCTCCCAGGACGCTGATGCGTGCTTGCACGGAGGGGCCACGCAGCGGCTCCTGCGCCTGTGTGCACCGTCTCAGCGGGACGAGAGCGCCCACTGGCGGTCGTGCTAGGCCGCGCCCGCGTCGCTGCCGCAAGGAGGTCCGTCGCTTGCGTCTGGCCAAGGTCCCGCCGCGCGGCGTGCGATAACCGCGCGGCTTCCTCCCCGTTCGCCGCGCAGAGAAGCCGCATAGTACGTTCACGAGGGCGTGGCAGGAGGCGCGCGGTCATCCCACGGCGGCGCACGGCCTCAACGGAACCCATGGCCACGCCGGCACGTTGCACGACGGCACCGCGAACGGAGGGCGCGTGCGCGACGCCTGCGTGCACCGCTGGCAAGATACTGATAGGAACAGTCTCAGGCCGCGCGGCCACCTGCGCATCATGTCCTACAACGTGGTACGAGCCCTTTTCCCGGTTGGTTGCCCCAGCACCTCGCGAGCCCGTGCGCGGCAGCGGCCAGCGACTGCCGCTCAGGCTCACGCGCACCGACCACGATCAGACGCGCGCTCAAGCATGCTGCACGCGGCGCCGGAAAGCCTCACGGTGCATCCCCGCCCGCGCCGACGCTCTTTGCAGCTCGGGCGGAGCCTGGCGTACGCGCACCGGTACCTCTACCGCTGCGTGCCGGACGAGTACCTCGAGTGGAGTCACCGCTGGGGCTGCATCCTGCGGGAGCTCGACACCGTCCGTCCTGATGTGGTGCGTGCCCTGCTTGCGCGGCGCGCCACGGCCCCCGGCGCGCAGCGCTAGCGTGCTTCGCGCGCCGTGCGCGGCCGCGAGATGCGCGCACGCCGCGCGCATCGCTCTCCGTCGCGCCGACATCACTTCGGCCCGTGTGTGTGTGTGTGTGTTTGTTTGCGCAGGTGTGCATGCAGGAGGTCGAGGTGCCGGTGCTGGCGCAGATCCAGGCGGACATGGCGGCGCGCGGGTACGAGGGGCGCTACTCGAAGCGCGCGGACCCGCGCGAGGACGGGTGCGGGACGTTTTGGCGGCGGGACGCGCTGAAGCTGATCGACCAGCGCGCGATTTCGTTCCAGGCGCTCGACCTGCGGGAAAACACGGCGCTGGTGCTCGCGTTCGAGACGCGGGACAGCTGGGGCGGCGCGTCCGGGCACCTGCGCGACCCCGAGCGCCGCGTCCTGGTGGGCAACACGCACGTCCTGTTCAACCCGCGGTCGGGGTGCACGAAGGTCGCGCAGGTCCGCGTCCTGATGAACGCCGTCGCGGCGATGCGCGAGCGGCTCGGCGGCTGCCCGGCGTGCGTGTGCGGCGACTTCAACGCCGCCCCGGGCAGCCCAATCTACCAGTTCTCGCGGGACGGCGAGCTGCGGTGCGCGGCGTACGACCGGCGGCGGATGTCTGGGCAGCTGGAGGGCGCGGCGTGGGGGTGGCCGCGCGGCCTCGGGAAGATCCTGCGGGAGGAGTCGGACGCGGGGGTGTTCAAGGCTGAGGGGGGGGGGGTCATCTCGCTCTCTGCGGCGTCGGGCAACGCGGCGAGCACGTGCGAGCAGGGGCGGGAAGAGCGGACGTCGAGCGATAGCGGGACGTGGGCGGACGAGCAGATTGACCGCGCGTGCGGGTCGCCGGAGGAGGAGGCAGATTTGTTGGGTGCGGGAGGCGTCGGGCGGGGGGTGGCGAGGCACGCGCTCGCGGGGGCACTCGCGAGCACGTACGCAGCGGTGCTGGGCCGCGAGCCGAAGTACACGTCGTGTCACTCGCAGGTGCGCGGTGCACGGCCGCCGGGGATGCGCGTGCGTTGCAACCAGTGCTGCGGAGCTTGACGTGCGAGTGCGTTCCGTGCGCGACGCTGCAGTTCTTCGGAGCGCTGGACTACATGTGGTTCACGAAGGCTGGCGCGGGGGCCGCGGGGCTGACTCCGTTGCGGGTGCTGTTGCCGCCGCCACCAGAGAGCCTCGAGGTCGGGCTGCCTGACGCCAACTGGGGGAGTGACCACTGCAGCATCGCCGCAGACTTCGCGATTGCGGGGGCGCGGGGCAGGCTCTGAGGGCTGTGACGGGACGCTCCGCTGCATCTTTAGTCATGCCACCTTGCGGTGAGGGTGCTTGTGGGTCAGCAAAGTACTACTATAGCGAAGTACAAAGCGAAGTACAAGCGAATGACACAAAGCCAGCGCATCTCAGCGGCATGTCATGGGAGCACAACAAGTCGGGTGGATCCCTTCGACCGGTCAAGGCGCGGCCGTCAGCGACGTAGGTGGAATCCAGCGCACAACCAGTCCAGCCGCGCCCGTGAACGACCCCCGCATTCTGGATTCACGGTCTCGCCGTCCCGCAGGTGTTTGTTAGTAATTCGCCGACCCACAAGGTGTGTGTGCGACAGGCATCTGATTGCTCACATTTTCCATCCTGTTCGCTGTGTGCGCCTCGCCTGCCGCACCATCTCGGTCGCTCAAGCGACCTCGCGGTCGGAGGATGCCTGTAGGTCGGCGAGCAATCAAAACAATGGTGGTCCCACCTCACAGGTCCACGCGGTAGTGTGCCTCAGCGTCATGACGGTACCAACTCGCCTGGCTCTGGTAGTGAGTGCTGGCGATGCAGCGGGGCTGCCACGGGAGGCACGTCGATGATTCACCAGCAACAGCGTGGGCCAAAAGACGCCTAGGGGGAGGCGCGGGGGAGGGCGGTGGGCGTGCCGGGGGTGCGCCTGCAGCAGGACGAGGCGAGCTGCTTCATCATCCGGGTCCGGACGTGCAGGCATGGCAGAAAAGATGCTGTGCAGCCACCCTTTCCCAAGCGGCTCGATTTAGGGGTGTCGCTCGGCTAGATCGAAGGAAGAAAGCAGGGGCACAAAACGTGCTCGTCGAGCAACAGTAGAGCTGCAAGAGCCCTGTGCGCAAAACGGTTGCTGGGACGACGGGGGCGAACAGGGAGGCGAGATGACATGGAAAGGGGGTGAGGAGCGGGCGGGGGGTTGGAGGGTGAATCCAATGGGTCAAGGTCGGAGGTGGGAGCAGAAAGCAAGGTGGGTGCGCGCTAGTGTACAGCGAGAGGTGTGCCCGCATACGTGTGGCACGTGGGAGGAGCACAGGCGCTGCAGGGTTGTGACGACGGGGAGCGCCGAACAACAACACAGCCGTTCATGCTCGAGCTTGTGTTTGCGGGGGAGTCAGAATCATGGCTGCGGCGGTCGCCCACCCGCATCGCTGCCATTCTGTTGCTGTGACAGCGCGATGATGGCGGCCACCACGCTGTCGTGCTCGGGCGCGCCGGGCTGGGACGCGGGCGGGGGCGCCGGGCTTCGGGGGGGGAAGCCCGGCAGCGGCGTGCGGCGCGGTTGCGTGCCCTCCCGTGGGGCGTGTACCTTCCGGCCCCAGGAGGGGAGCGGCGGGGGGGGCGAGCCGTCTGCGGGCCGCTGCTGCGCGTCGATCGCGAGCGGCGGCCGCGACGCGACGTCCACGGGGGCCGAGGGCTTGGGGGCCTGTCTGACGAGGCTGGCAAACTCGGGGGGGATGCGCACGGGCTCCGCGCGCGTCAGGCCGCGCTTCTCCGACACGTCCTTCAGGCGCGTGTACCAGTGGTTCTTGACCTGGTTGCCCGTGCGCCCGGGGGGCAGTGCGCGCGCGATTTGCGCCCATTTGTTGCCGTGGCGAGCTGCAGGGCGCGGGGGCGGCGGCGCGGACGCGCGGTGAGCGGCCAGGCGGGCGCGGGAGCACACGATCACGGCTGTGAGTCCGTGCGCGGCGGCGCGCGTCTCACCTTGCTCCCTGAGTATGATCTCGTCCTCTTGGGGCGAGAAGGGCGAGCGCCGGAGGCTGGTGTCCAGGTTGTTGGTCCACCGCTGCCGGCACTGCCGGTCCGACCGGGGCTGGAACGACGCGAGCTGCGCCTCCATCTCCTGGTTGAGCACTGCGGCGATCAGCCGCCAGTTCTGCGGGCCGAACCGCCGGATGACGGACAGCAGCGCGTCGTCCTCCTCCTTCGACCACGGGACGCGCCCGCGGTTCTCGACGTACCGCTCGGGCACCTCGAGGCCCGCGCCGTGCGAGGTGCCCGGCGACACCGTGGCGGCCGACGCCGGGGACTCGGTGTTGAGCGCAGCGGTGACGCGCTGGGGCAGCACCGAGGGCGGCGGAGCGTCCGAGCGCGGGAACGCGGGCGCTGGTGGCCACGGGACCGGCGGCGGGAGGGGCAAGGCCGGCGGAGCCGACAGCACCAGGCCGGGGTGCGCCAGCGGGTGAGATCCGAGGGTCACCGCCGGCAGCGACGCCGCCGCGGCGTGGCTGGCCTGCAGGGGGAGCGTCGCGGCTCCGAGGCTCGCCGGCGGCGCTGCGAGGCCGCGGAGCGAGCTCGAGAGCGCGCCGGTGGCCAGGAGCGAGGCCGGCTCTGGCAGGAGCCGTGCCGCGGGCGGCGGTGCCGTGGCCGCCGCGGGCGGCTGGGAGCTCTTCGGCAGCATGCGTGCGAGCGCGAAGAGGTGCGCGGTCGGCATGTGCGACAGGAGGTGCGAGGGCAGGTCGCCGATCATGCGCAGGATCGCGGCCGGCGGCTTCGCCATCGTCTCGTGCACGGGGCCGAGCGCCACGACCATCGCCGGGTGGCTGATGATCTCGCGCAGCGCCTCCAGATCGTCGTGGGAGAGCGGCGGAGCGGGCTCGGCCACGCCCCCCGGCAAGGGGCACACCCCCCCCCCCAAGAGGGGTCGAGGTTCGGTGGAGGGGTCGACGTTGATGGTTGGGGCGACGGGCGAGACCGGCGCGTGCCTCTTGCGCGGCTCGAACCCCGCGTCGCCCTCCCCGGCGCTGGCGTCCGGGTCGCTCGGCGCACGCTCCCCCCGGCGCTGCTTTCGCCCGGCCCGGGGCGCCTTCTCCGCGTCGACCTTCCCTGCCGAGTCCCCCGGGGCGTTCTGGGACACTGAAGGGGCGTCGCGTTCCGGCGCCGCGCCGGAGCCGGACACATGGGCCGCCCCGTCGCGGGGGACGGCATGTGTGCCCTGGGCGCCGTCACCCGCCCCGCGACCCTGGCTCGCCTGTGTGCCGGCGGCCCCCTTCTCCGCAGGCGCGGGCACCGCCCCGCGGAGGGCCGCGTTCAGCTGCTCGAGGGCCGAGGGCGCCATGGGGCTGTGGTTCTTTGCAAAGCTCGCCTTCTGGGCGCCAGTGAGCAGCGCGAGGAGCTGCGCGGTCTGCGAGTCGCTGGAGTTCTGGGGCAGCTGCGAGACCACCTGCTGCAGCAGCCTCGCCTGCTCGGACGACAGCTGGACGCCGCCTGCGTCACCGACGCCGCCGCCTCCCTCCTGGGCATGCCGGCCTTCTTCGCCGAGGGCGGACAACGCCCGCTGGTTCGACATGCTGCGCGGGTCGGCGATCGTGGCCCTGAGGCGCTCTGCGCCCCGTCGCGTTGTCTCTGAAGGAGATGGATAGAGCGAGACTCTCGTTGATGTCAGGTCCACGATGCTTGCGGCCCCATAGCCCCGTGCGCTCGGATCCTGCAGTGAGGACGCGCATTCATGCCGTTTCGAGCGGGCGGGAGCGCTCCACGGGCGCCGCAGCGCGTGCGCGAGGACAGGCTTGTGGCCACACGACTCGCGCTCTGCCGCCTTGTCTGACGGAGATTCCGACATCCTGGGCGCGCCGGACGTTGCGAGCGTGCCAAACATGCCAATCGCGTCGCGCGAAAACGGCGCTTCCCCGCGCGCCGAGCGACGGTCCCGAAAATTGAGAGCAAGCTGTGTGGGCAAGTGCGGCCGTCGTTTGCGCCTCCGCGGCGGCGCAAGCGGCTCGGAGCGACCCTCCGGCACAGCGTCAGCAGAATGAGGGCCGCAGGCTGCCCTGACGGGGCGCCGGAAGGCACGCACGCCCGCCGACCCAATGTGAGCGCTCCCGGGGCACGCGGGCGCGGCATCTCCACCAGTTGCGCAGTCGGGCACGCACACGTGACCAACCTAGCAAGCTGCGTGCCGCGGAGACACTTAACGTGACACCTTGCGGGAGCAGGTGAGTGGCAGCAGCGGCAGAGGCCGTATGCGGACCTGCGTCCACGCCTCGGCCCCGCGTGTTTTCAGCACGGCGGGTCTCCTCGCACCTGATCTTCCGTGGCGCCGGCAGACGCGCGGCGAGAGAGTAGCGGTAGCCGTGCCCGGCTGCTGGCCTGTCGCTTACACGAGGCGTGGCCTCACGGCAGCCGCGCGCGAAGTCCGGCAGCGAAGTCTCGGCTCCTCGTGGCCAGAGATGGACGAATCGAGCTCGTCCCCGCGGCAATCCACGCAACTTCCGCAGCTGGGGCGCCGGGCCAGCACGACCTCCAACGTCGCAACCGCGAGCTCCTCGTGGCACTGCGCGTGCCGGGAGTTGACCCAACGGCGAGTCCAGCACGTCGAAGGACTACCACACTATCGCCGGACAGCGCCGCGTCGCGCCCTTGGACCTGCGCGGGCCCCGCGAACGCGCGTGCGCCCCTCCCCTCCCTCGATAGGCCCCACTCACAGCCCGCCACCGTTGCAGGCCCGGATCGGAGGGCCACGCGCCACGGCGCGGCGCCCACGCGGACGTCGCTGGTCGTCTATTTGCTCGGCGAGGCGGGGCGGTCTAGGGCCGCCACTCGCTGCAATCGGGGCTCATACAGCACCACCACAATCCCGCCACTTCCGGACGTCACGCTGCGAATTCGAGTCCAGGACAGCGGCGAGCGACGGTACTGATAGCGAGCACCACTTCGTGCGGCCGGACCGGTTCCTCCCGGTCGTCGGGCGAGAGCTGAGGGGCCACATGCAACACAACCTCTGCAGCGACGTGCTCCGGCCGCGTCGCTCGCTCGGAGGCCCCGCCGCGATGGGGGGCTCCTCGAGCTCCAGACCCCGACGCTGGGTATTTTTCCAGCGCCTTCGGCGACGCTCGCGGCGACGCCCGCGGCGGGGTTGGGCCACCATTCGTTGGGCAACCACCCTGCTCTGGTGGCCTGACGCCCCGCGGACGGCGCGTGGACCGCGGAGCCGCGCGCGGGTTGCGGCGCGAGCGACCCCGCGGCGGGCACTTCTCGGAGCGCACCGGCCCGCGCTGCCCCCGCCCGCGCCCCCCGCCCACACACGACCTCCTGCGTGCGACCTCAGCCGGAGGGCGTGCCGACGCGATGCTGCGGTCCCTGGCGCAGGGGCTGGCGGCGGGCTCGCGGGGCTTCGCGGCCGCGTCGGGCCCGCGCGTGACGAGCGTGTATGAGAAGGTGGTGTCGTTCTGGCTGGTGGACCACGAGGGGCGGCGGCGGAAGGTGGCGGGGATCGAGGGCGACAGCGTCGCGCAGGCGATCGCGGACCACGTGCCGCCGCGCAGCACCCTGGAGCTCGTCAGCGGGTCCAAGGACGTGCACGTGATTCTGCCGAAGGAGTGGGCGGACACGATCCCGGCGCCCAGCGAGGCGGAGAAGGTGAGCGTGAATGCTGGGGGGGGCTGTGGGCCGCTGGGGCGCCCTGTGGCGGGGTTCCCGCTGCGTGCGCGCATGTGTGTGCGCCTGGGATGCGGCCTGCGGTGCGGGAAGCGCCGGGGACGGGCCGGAGGGCGTGTGCGCGGGCTCTCGAGCGCGGGGCAGGAGGAGCTGCGTGGGCTCGCTGCGTGTCGAGACCGGTGCGCTCGTTCGGCGGACTGTGCCCCGCAGGCACGAATCTATCATGTGGCGTACGGGGACGGGTCGATGTCGCGGCTGGGCAGCGCCGTGGTGCTGAAGAAGGTGCACGAGGGCATGACCCTGGCGGTCGGGGGCGCCAAGCCGTCAGCGTACGACCAGCGGCACGAAATGAACACCATGTCCCAGCCCAAGCCCCCGGGCACGCCATGCTAGCCAGTTCCCGCGCGACGCGCGCCGCTCACAGCACGAGCTTCACCACGGGCACCGCTTTCGCCTCATGTTGCGCGCTGCCCGGAACTACCACGGCGGGCGGTCCAGCCCCAGGTCGCACTCTCCGTTGCGGACTTGTCAACGAAGCCGCTGGAGCGCTCTTCCCTGCCGCGTAGTGCGAGCACGACCAGACTGCCATCTGTGAGGCTTCCCGCGACTTCAACCGCGGCCAGGACGCCCTGGTGCCGCGCGTTCAGGCGCATCCACGCGCGCGTCGACGAAGCGCTCACACGGCCGCCGGAGGCCCTCTGTCCCGGACCAGCTGCCCGGCCTGTCGCTGTCACGCCGCACACCAGTGCACTGCAGTTCCGGGCGGCGCGGCGCACCGGTGGCAGCCAGGCGCTGCGCTGCCCGCAAGCGCGAGCGGCGCGCGTCGCGGCAGCGCTCCGCGCAATTACTTCTTTTGCGTGCCCGTGGCACGCAAAGTGAGAAGGGGGCAGGGCCTGCGTGGCAGCGGGACAGCCGCTTCGCGCTTGACGGGACGGCGATCGCGGCTGGCGCCCATCGATGCGGGCAGCAGCCTTCCCCGCGCGTGCACACAAGCCAGGCGCGCAGCATGCTGTCTCAGTGCCCCGAATGACAGCGCCGACCCGTGACAGGTGGCTCGCGTCGCGCTCGTCACAGCCCCGCGCCCGCTCACTTCTTCTTCGGCATCTTGCGGATGCGCACGGACTTGGGCGTCACCTCGACGAGCTCGTCCGGCACGATGTACTCGAGGCACTCGTCGAGCGACATCTGCTTGGGCGCGTTCAGCACGAGCGTGTTGTCCTTGCCCGCGGCGCGCATGTTCGTGAGCGCCTTCTTCTTGCACACGTTCACCTTGAGGTCCCCCGCGCGCTGGTGGATGCCCACCACCTGCCCCATGTACACCTCCTGCCCGGGCTCCACGAACATCACGCCGCGGTCCTGCGCGCTCTGCAGCGCGTACGCCGTCACCTGGCCCGTCTCGTACGCGATGAGCGACCCGTTGTCGCGCGTGTTGATGTCCCCCACGAAGGGGCCGTACTCCTTGAAGTTGGTGTTCAGGATCGCCGTGCCCTTGGTCGCCGTGAGCATGCTGTTCTTCAGGCCCAGGAGGCCGCGCGTGGGGATGATGTACTTGATCAGCGTCGACCCCGACACCCCCGGGGACATGTCGACCATCTCGGCCTTGCGCGAGCCCATGAGCGTGGTCACGCCGCCCACGTAGTCCTCCGGCACCTCCACGAACGCCTCCTCGTACGGCTCCACCTTCTTCCCGTTCTCGTCCTCCTTCACGATCACCGTCGGAGCCCCGATCTGGAACTCGTACCCCTCGCGCCGCATGTTCTCGATCAGGATGCCCAGGTGCAGCGCGCCGCGGCCCGACACGATGAACTGGTCCGCCGTGTCGCCGTCCTCGACGCGCAGCGCCAGGTTGCGCTCGAGCTCCTTCATGAGCCGGTCGCGGATGTTGCGCGACGTCACGTACTTGCCCTCCTGCCCCGCGAACTCCGAGTTGTTGATCATGAACGTCATCCGCACCGTCGGCTCCTCCACCTCGATCGACGGCAGCGGACACGGCTCGTCCGTGCACGTGATCGTCTCCCCGATCTGGATGCCCTCCAGCCCCGCCAGCGCCACAATGTCCCCGGCCTCCACCTCCGTCGCGGGCGCCTTCCCGAAGTTGTCGTACACGAACATCTCGCTCACCTTGCCGCGCCGCACGTCCGTCTCCGGCGTGCACACCGCCACCTGCTGCTGCTTCTTCAGCGTGCCCGCGCTCAGCCGCCCAATGGCGATCGTCCCCTTGTGCTCGTCGAAGTCCAGCTGCGTCACCAGCATCTGCAGCGGCGCGTCCTTCGCCACCACGGGCCCCGACACCTCGTTCACGACCGTCTCGAACAGGTCCTCCAGGTTGTCCTTGAGCGCGTCCGGCTCCAGCCCCGCCACGCCCTGGAACCCCGAGGCGTACACGATGGGGAAGTCGCACTGCTCGTCGGACGCGCCGAGGTCGACGAACAGGTCGAACACCTGGTCGATCACCCAGTCCGGGCGCGCCGCTGGCCGGTCGATCTTGTTCACCACCACAACGACCTTCTTGTTCAGGTCCAGGGCCTTGCGCAGGACGAAGCGCGTCTGCGGCATGGGGCCCTCGACCGAGTCCACGAGCAGGAGCACGCCGTCGCACATGTTGAGCACGCGCTCGACCTCCCCGCCGAAGTCGGCGTGGCCCGGCGTGTCGATGATGTTCAGCTTCGTGTCCTTGTACCGGATCGCCGTGTTCTTCGCCAGAATCGTGATCCCGCGCTCGCGCTCGAGGTCGTTCGAGTCCATGATGCGCTCGTCCACCTGCGGCCGCGCGGGCGACCCGCCACGTCAGCGCGCTGGCGCGCTGGCGCGGGGCGGCGCGAGCGACGCGCGGGCGGGCGGCGGGCGGCGGGGACGGGCGCGCGGCGCACCTTCTGGTTGTCGCGGAAGATGTTGGACTGCGCGAGCATGGAGTCCACGAGCGTGGTCTTCCCGTGGTCGACGTGCGCAATGATGGCGATGTTGCGAATGTCGCTGCGGACGGCGGCGCCCGGGGCCGTGGCGCCGGCCTCGAGGGTGGCCGCGGCCGAGACGACGGCCGTGCGCGCGTGGCGCGCGGCGGCCTTGCCGGCGCGGCGCGCGGGGGCCGGGCGCTGCACGCACGAGGCTGCAGAGCGGAGGGGGGCGGCGGGGCGTTGGGAAGGCGGGCTGGGGGCGCCGTTGGGACGCTCGAGGGATGGTGGGGGTGTGCGGGGGGGAGCGCGGTGGAGGTGCGCTGCAGCGGGCGGGCAGTGGATGGACGAGAGGTGCCAACGATGAACGCGCCGTGCTGCCCCGGTAGGTGGTTGTGGGGCGCATCTGAACTAGAAGAATGGAGCTTAAATCAGCAGCGAGGCGGCGCGATGCGCGGACGCGCAGTTGAATGCCTGGCGACGCGGGGCCATCGAGTGGAGTGCCTGGATGGCTGTGAGGCAACTTCATAGCGGCGCGCCCTCAACCGCGACGCTGAGGGCTGCGAAATGCACGAATTGGAACGTTCAGAATCCAAGCTCACCTGTCGCGCCGCGGGCAACGCTCGGCACCGGCGCACCGGGCGCCTGGGCGCGGCGCCCGGTGGTCGCCTGAACAGGCTTGGCCGTGAACGCGCGGTGCATGATGACGGCGAGCCTCGGAGTGTGTCTGAACCGAGCCGCGGTCCAGATGCCACCGCCGCCGCGCAGCACCGCCCTTGTGCCCCGGCCCCGCCCGTCGCAGCCCTCGCCCCGGCAGCCTCACCACACACCTTCAGCCCTCACGTCTGTCAGGGCCCGCACGCGCTGACTCAGCGCCCAGACGCCGCCGGGCGGACGCTTCAGGCCCGCACGGACCGCGTGCGCGCCCAGTTCGGCCCTGTCGCAGCCCCCTTGGCACCTCAGAGTTCGAGGTTCGCAGCAACTGTAGCATCAGAGCTGGTTTTTACGGCCAGAGTGCGAGATGGGCGGATACGGCCCGCCCCCGGGGGTGTGGAAGGTCTACATCGGCAAGATCCAGCCGGATCTGCGTCCGGAGGAGTATGACGACGTTCAGGCGGACATCGAGAAGCAGTTTGGCCGCTACGGCAGGCTGCTGAAGACCTGGGTGGCCCGGCGGCCCCCCGGCTTCGGTGCGCGCCCTCCTTGACGGGGCCCCGTCAACCTGGCTTCAGCGACACCGCGTAGGAGCCCTGCTGAGCCGGACCCGCGACGCGCCGAGCCCTGCCGCCGCAACCGGCGGGTAGCCGCCGCCGGGGCCGGCGTACCGCGACGGCGCCGACCCAGATCGCCAGCGTCTTGAACGAGGCGTCGTGATGGGGATCGCGGGGAGGATCTGAGCGTATGGCCGCCCGCGAGCGAGCACACGCCGGCGAATCATGCGGCTTGCCACGCGTGAGCTGTCCCGGCGCTTTGAGAGCCAGCGACTTTCGGCCCGCCATGCCGCTGCGATGAGAGCCTCCGCCAAGTCCTCCAGATCGACGCGAGCGACGCCACGAGCCCTCCACGCCCCGTCCCTGGCCCAGACCTGCTGCGCCCTCTCCCCTCCCGTCGCGCGTCCGCCGGCCCACTCCGGAACTCCCGTCATCGTCACCGACGCACCTTCTGTCCCTCCGCCGTCTCGACGCCTCAACCGTCACTCTGCGACGACTCCAGCGTCTCCTGGGTGCCACCTGCTGCCCGCACGCCTCATCATCATCACCGCCCGCTGCGTCGCCGGACCCGTGTTCAGGTTTCGTGGAGTACGACGACGAGTTCGCCGCTCGGGACGCGGTCAAGAAGATGGACGGCTACCGCGGCTGGGTGCGCCTCCCCTACCCTGCGCCTCGCGCATAGCACCACTGCCGGGCGTCAGCGAGCGAAACCACGCCCCCGCGCACACACCGCCTCCGCACGCTCCCCCGGACTGCCCGCAGCTCGTCGAGCTGTCCCAGCCGCGCCAGCGCGGCCCCCCGCGCGGGGGCTACGGCGGGGGCGGCGGCTACGGCGGGGACCGCGGGGGCTACGGCGGGGACCGCGGCGGCTACGGCCGCGACCGCTACGACCGCGGACCGCCGCCGCCGCGCGGGGGATACGACGACCGCGGCGGCTACGACCGCCGCGGCCCCCCGCCGCGCGACTATCCCGACCGCGACGACGGTCGTATGGGCGCCGGGCGCGGCCGCTCCCCGCCGCCGTTCCGCCCGCGCCGGTCGCCGTCCTACGAGCGCGGCGCGCCGCCCCCGCGCGACTCGCGTCGCCGGTCGCCGTCCGGGGAGCGGGCCCCGCCCCGCGACGACCGGCGGCGCTCGAGGGTGCGCCGCGGTCGCGGTCGCCCGACGGGCGGCGGTGGTCGCCCACGCCGCGCGGCAGGCACTCCCCCGCGGACGGCAGCCCCCCGCCGCGCCGCGAGCGCTCGCCGTCGCCGCGCGACTGAGATGTCCCGTCGACGCGGCACACTGAAGCGCCTGGGTGTGCGCCGAGTGTGCGTGACGCGCGTGGCATGCTGGCGAACGGCATCGGCGCACGTGTGAGCCATTGAACGCGCACGTCATCTGCCGCTGAGCGAGTCAATTAACACTTTGAGTGTGCCGACAGCCCGTCGAAACCCCCGGGGGGTCCGTGGCAGCGCTTGGTCGTTTACATCCATCCGGCAACGGTCTCACATCCACGGCGGCGGCGAGCTAGCCGCCCGTCGCGCGTAGGATGCGCGCTCCGTGCACGACCGTCACGGGCGGGAGCGGCGGCAGGTTGTCCCGCGGCGACTGCCCCAGCAGCGCGCAGAGCACCCCGGGGGTCTGAATCGGCCGCGTCCGGTGCGGGAACATCGCCGGGTACACGTCCTGCGCGCACACAGCACCGGCACGTGTGCGCTCGGCCGCACGCGCGCGCGAATCGCGTGGCGGTCCACACAGCTCCAAAGGCGCGCCGCGGGCGGCTCACCTCGAGGAAGTAGTATATGTGGCCGGCGGCCATGCCGAGGAGGTCGTACACGGGGTCGTGGCCGAGCGCCATCGCGAACCCGACGAGCACCCACGGCAGGTACGGCGCGGTGAAGTGGACGAGGCCCATGAACTGGAGCGTGACGTACTGGTTCCGGCGCGCCCAGACGTAGACGAGCATGAACGCGAGCGAGGGCCCGAGGAAGTCCACGCGCGTGAACGGCGCCATGCACGACAGCAGCGTGCCGCCGATCACCAGCATCCACAGGAAGTCCGCAGGGCGGTTGTGGAAGGAGCTCTCCTCGAGCGCGCGCGCGTAGCGGGACATGAAGAACATGTGGAACAGCCAGTCGAGCCCTGCGCGCGCGCGGAGGCGGCTGCCGGTGTCGGCGCGGCCTCCCGGGCCCGTGCAGCGTAGTGTGGGCCCTGAGCGACGGGCGCAGGGCCGGGCGGCGCGGGCGTGGCGAGCCGCGTGCGGCGGGCGCGGCGTAGCCGAAGTGCGAAGCCGCGTTGCGTCCGTCTGTGGGTCTCTGTGCACGTGTACTTGTGTCCACGGGGGCGGGCGTTGTCAGCGACGGGGCGGGCGGGGGCGCGGGACTCACCGAGCTTGCCGAAGAAGAGGAAGTTGGTGATGAGGCGCCAGTACTCATGGCGCTTGAACACGGCGCGCGTCGAGTAGTAGAGGCGGTAGGGGGTGAGGATGTCGAGGGAGCACGCCGCGGTCACGACGAACGCCATCGTGAGGTACGTCCGCGTGACCACGGGGATCTGCGGTGCGGAGGCGACGCCGGCGCGCGTCGCGTCCAGCGACAGGCGGCCGCACGCGAGCAACTTGCAATCATGAGGCCAAACCGGCCTAGGGGCGCGCGTGGTACGGAGAACGAGTGACTCAGGGGGGAGTGTGGAGCCGAACTAATGCGTTCAGCACTGGATGTACCAGATTGGTTCACCACGACGCCGCGAAACAGGCGCAGAAAGCCATGGAAGACTCTCGGGCTCCGCAAAACGACGCAGTGGTGCCAGAGCAGACAGGCAGATGGCCATCTCCGAGGTCCTGGCGCGAGTGTCGGGCGCGGCGTCGTGAGAACGCGAGGCCGAGGCCGTCTGCGCACGCAGGGCCGGGTGGTGCCGCGGGCCCAACAAACGCGCGTGCTCACCTCGCGGTACCATTGCAACAGCGAGTTGTTGTTGCCGATCATTGCCCCCCCCTATAATCTCGATGTCGGCCAGAACAAATCGCGTCGGGTGCCCCCCGTCAGGCACGGTCGCCCCGCTCGACCACACTCTGGCTCCCGCACCGCGGCTCCTGCCGAGCGCCCGGCGCCTATGCCTGCCCGAACGGCGCGCTACGTTGTCTCACCAGCCCCGCGTATTGCGCACCGCACTTGCCCTGAATGCCCGATCTCCCACGGCCCCGTATGCACCACTGCGCTACTTGCTTCGCTGGCAACGACAGACCAGTCTCCGACGGACACAGCGCGCGGAACATGTGCCACCGGCGGCGCCCCGGCGCCTCACTCGATGACGGGAAACCGCCGTGTCGGGACCCCCCTGTTTGACACCCCCCCGACTGTGCGGCACATCACGCGATTCTACCGGCCCGGTCCTCGCAGCCCGCCGTCGAGCGCCGCGGCCTCGCCCCCGCGCACCGCGATGGCCCTGTGGGCGCGCTGCATGGCGTCAGTGCGCCGTCTGCGCGCGGACACGCCCTCGTGCAAGATGTGTGTGTGTTGGCGTGACGCATCGTGCGCGCGGGCGGCGCTGAACGCCGCTGCTGCGCCCAGCAGCTCTGCGATGCTGTACGCATGGCTGCGGGGCGCGCTGAGGAGCGAGTGAGTGCCGCAGGTGGGCCCCGAGCCCAACATGGTTGACGCTGCTCTTGCCCTGCGATGTCGCGAGGAAAGGACCGAAGAAGCGCCAGGATCTCCGCTCCTGTGTGATTTTTACCATTATCAATGCGATCAGGCAGCTCGTTAGGTTTTTAGCGCCGCACAGTGCGCGTAAGACGAGCGGAGGGCCCAGAGTGCAACTGCAGCGTGGTGGCGCCCGCCGCCGTCGCGCCAGCGGGCCGCGGGCGCGCGGCAGTTCGCCCGGCAGTTGCTGCGTTGGCGTGGAGTTCGGTTCGGACTCTCAGGAGCTGGGAGTCGCCCTTGATCCGAGGCCCGGCGCGTGCAGCAGCAGCAGCTGGAGCCCCAGGATGGCCGACGTCGAGGGCGTCGCGAAGGCGTTCGTCTCGCACTACTGGACGACGTTCGACACGAACCGCTCGGCGCTCGCGGCGCTGTACAACGAGCAGTCCATGCTGACGTTCCAGAACCAGAAGTTCCAGGGGCAACAGGCCATCCTGCAGAAACTGCAGGCCCTGCCCTTCGGGGAGTGCAAGCACCGCATCGTCAGCTGCGACGCCCAGCCCTCGGTCTCGGGCGGCATCCTCGTCTTCATCACGGGGGAGCTCATCGCGGAGGGCGAGAACAGGCCGCTGCGCTTCTCTCAGGCGAGCAGCCGCCCCCCACGCCCGCCCGTTCGCGCGCCCAGGGCCCCCGCGGCCACGCGACGCGCCACGCGGACCGCCTTGCTCAGATCTCCGCACGCGGCGCGCCGAACGCGCGGCTGTCGGCGCCGGGGCGGACCGCGCGCGCTGGGACCACCGCTGAGTGTGTGCGGCCGCGGCCCCTCCGTCGCTGCAGGTGTTCCACCTGGCCCCGAACGAGGGCTCGTTCTACGTCACGAACGACATGTTCTCGCTGCAGTACGGGTAATATCGCCGCGCTGCGCGCGCCGGCCGCAGCAGGGGCAGCAGCCCAGGCAGGCGCGGCCCCGGCGCCGCGGTGGTGCCGCTCTTGCGGCTTGAGCGTCGCGCGACATGGAGCTCGTGATTCGTAGCGCGGGCGACGCCTGAGGACGCCTCACGCACGCAGGGCGGGCGCCCACCACCGTGCTCCACCAACTAATTACAACGTCCCTTTCTGTAACTCCACCACAACGCCGCGGCTCGCCGGAAGCCTCACGCATAGCAGCCACGCAGCCTGCCCAGCGGCTTACTTCGCCGTGCTGTCCTGCACGGTGAGCGCGGGCCTGGCACTCGCCGGAGCAGCCTCCGCACGCGCGGCCCCCGCCTGCCCGGCCGCCCCGCAGCGCCCTCGCGCACCACGACGCGCCCGCTGACGCAGGGCGCGTGGCACTGAACACCAACGACAGCCACTGGCAGCGAGCCTGCAACAGCGCCGCCTGGGCGCACGACCGCACGGCTGCGCGCAGCCGCCCCGCAGCAACGTGCGTTTCTGCGCCTCTGCGCGCGGCAGCAGGTCCCACGCGTTGCCCTCCCGGCACTTGCCCTGCTTGGCACCTAACCCCAGCAGAGTATTAATTGACCACCCACGTGCCCCGCGTGCCCGGCCGCGCGGCGAGCCAGCCGGGCGGACACACGCGTCGCGTCACATCAACGCCTACCCGGACGCGGCCCGATCCGGTCTCCGAAGCGCTCGGTGGCTCTCTCGGCGCCTGCGCTTGCTGCATACTCGCGCCAGTAGCGCGCGCGCTCGTAGTCGAGCGTGCCCATCGGGCCCATCGGGCCGGAGTGGAACACGAGCCACACCTTGACGCCCGCGACGCCCATCCGGATCCGCGCGTGCGCGACCGCCTCCTGCATAAACTCCCCCTTGTGCCCGCTGGTGCCAAAAGACCCCCCCGTGAACTTGAGCGTCCGCGCCTTGCCCTTCCCGATGCGCCCCTTGATGCGCACCTTGTACCCCTTGACGTACGGCGCGTCCGCGACGTACTTCTCAATGCCGCGGTGCCAGATGGACGGCGCGGCACGGCCCTTGTCGAGAGAGCGCTCGATCTCCGCCGCGATGGCGTCCGCGAGGAGCCGCGCGGACTGCGCGGGCGAGTGGAGGTGCACGGGCAGCGTGCGGTAGTCCGCGGTGCCCGTGGCCGCCCCCGTGGTCCGTTCAAAGTGCTGGAGCGGGGGGCTGATGCGGGTCCACGCGCGGCCTGGGCGGCAGGGGGAAGGCCGCGAGGGTGAGGGCGGTGCGTCGGGGGGCGGTCGGGAGATGGCGCGGGGGGCGTGAGGACCTCGGTGGGTTGCGCGTGAGGACCTTGGTGGGGGCGCACCTTGGTTCGCGAGCTCGGCGAACTCGATGCCTCGGAGGGTGACGATGAAGGCTGCGTCGCTCGTGAAGTCGAGGTAGGACGCCATCATGGACGCCGGGTCGCTGTGCACCGCCGCCAGGACGTGACGCCCCGCCACCTGCGTCACAGGCGGTGCAGCCGCGGGGTCGCATGGGTCTTCCGTTCCGACCGGCTGGTTGCACGCAGACCTCGATCCTGCTTCGCGTAGGCCTCGGTGGGGCCGCCTGCGCGCTCGCCGCGCGACAGACGCGCCCCGAAGAGACCCTGGCCAGCTGCTGCTCGCTGAGCGCGGTGGGGGGGCGGGCCGCGTACCCGCATGGTCGGATCCGCCCACCAGTGATTGTTCACGGCGTAGAGGTCGTTGCCTTCGCTTTGGATCGGGTACAGCCGCGCCAGGCGCTCCTCGAGGGCGTCGGCGGGGAGCGGGGGGTCGCCGTCCGCAGCGCCTCCGTCGTGCGGGGCCGCTGCCGATGCGCCGCTCTCTTGATCTGCCTCCTGGGCGCGTGGCTGGGCGGCGTGCGTGACGAAACGCGCGGCGCCCGGCGCACTGCAGGGTCCTCTCAGCTCGCTGCACCCAGAGCCACTACCCGTCGCGGTGCGCGTCGCCGCGGCGTGCAGGCCTCCCCGCTGCGCGAGAACAGCCGCGATGCCAGCGAGTGCATCGCCGCACGCGGCTGGTCCGCTGCTCTGCGCGAGTCTGTTCGCGGCGTAGCGCAACATGCCTCCACGCAGTGCGCTGTCGCCTCAGAGGCGTTCCCTGCACGTCGCTGCGCCACGTAGCCTCTGGGGAGAGCGCGCGACGCCGTGTCCAGTCGTGGTGTCCGCTCGGCTCCTGACCGCTGCGTCATGGGAGGGTCCCCTCCTGAGTAGGCTTCCCCCCGCGGTGCCGCAGGAACATCACAGCGCCTTTGTACACGATGTCTGCAAGAGCTCGCAACAGCAACATGCTGCAGAGCGCGCATTGGGGTCAAGCCACGCACGCCGCTGTCCAGAAAAAACCTCTCTCTCTTTCTTCGGGGACCTTCACGCGCCTGAGAACGGGCAGGCCGCGGGCGTCGAACAACATGGCTGCGACGGACGACTGGAGCGAGTATCACAAGAGATGGGAGAACATCTGGAGCAACGGCCTTGAGCCCAACCAGGTGAGCCCAGCCATCAGCCTGCTAGCTAGGCTCCGGCTGCTAAGACCTAGCCTGCGCCGCGCGTGGTGACCAGAGCGAGCCTTCGTGGAAGAGCGAACGGCAGTGCGAGAGCGCACGACCCGCTTGGATCGGCTGGTTCTTGCGAGGAAAGGGTTCGCGCCTAGCTCCCTGGATCACCTCATTCACAACATCACAGGGGTCGCTTGGCTGCGCCACCGCGAATCCGCGCCTCCCTGGCTCCCCGTCCACTCACCGCGTGCCCCTCACGCCGGCTACATTCGCCTCAACGCAGCTGTTCGACATCGGAGGCGCTCATCCCATCCTCGTCCAGACGCTCCGGACCGGGGACGTCAACTCCACCGGACGCCGAGCCCTCGTCCCGGGCTGCGGGCGCGGGTGCGCAGCCCCGCGCGCAGGATGCCCGGCTCGTGCGTGCAGGCCGAGCCGGTCGAACAAACAATGCGCACGACAATTATGGCATAGAATGGCCCGTGCGCATCTTGGGCTTCGTCCTCGCGAGCCACCGCCGTAGCGACGGCTGCGGTCTCCTCCGCTGCTGCGCATGAGTGCTTCGAGCGCCCCCTGCCCTGCGCGCTGTACCCAGCGCCCACCTCAGCCAGCCTCGCGTTCGTCACAGGTACGACGTTGAGGAGTTCGCCAGGAACGGGGCGGTCGCGGTGGGGCTCGAGATCAGCGCCTCCGCGGCCCGGGCGGCGAACGACTACATGTGCGTCTCTAGCGCTTGACATGTTCTTTTATTTGAGGTCGCCCGATTGTTCCTTCCCTGACGTCGTGATTCCCGCTGCGTCCGCGGCCACGGCGCCCCGCTCACGTCGCACTGCGCCCCGCGCGCCGTGCGCTTGCAGCGCGACCACCTCCCTGTCAGACAGCCAGAAGAAACTGGCCACGGTTGTCGAGGGGGACTTTTTCGCCGGTCCGACGGACGGCGTCGGCCAGGTCGCCCTCGGCTACGACTACACCTTCTTCTGCGCGATCCGGCCAGATATGCGTCGGCAATGGGCCGAGACGTGGGCCCAGTGGATCGAGCCTGGCGGCGAGCTACTCACCATGATGTTCCCCTGCCGGGAGGTCCGCACCGCCCCCGCGGCCGAGTTGCGCGCTCCTCTCGAGCGGCGCGTAACTGCTCGGTTGCTCGTCGCCGCACGCCGCGTCCCGCGGCGCGCCCTATGCCGCCAATTTTCGCGGTGACTGTCTTCAGGACAGTGCAGCTGCTGGGTGGCGCGCGCGGGCTGAGCGGCGTCGCGTCGGAGCTGGTGCTGTGCAGGAGGTGGAGCCAAGCGCGGACGGGCCGCCGTTCTCGGTGCACCCGGACGCGTACAGGGCGGTGTTGGAGCCTGCTGGGTTTGAGGTGGTGCGCATCACGGACGTTCCGGCTGAGATGAGCCACAAGGACCGCGTCGGACGCGAGAAGATCGGCATCTTCCGGCGCAAGTGAGGGGTCGGGCGGCAGCCGAGCGCGGGGGCCCGAAACACCTTTGATTATACCCCGCACCGTTCCTGCGCACCTCAACAATTGAGGTGGCCATGTGACTTCCGTCGACAGGAGGGGCTGAACGCTACACAGTGGCTCGAGACGTGTCATGAAGGCTTACACCACGTCTGGTCCCATGCAGGAACGTTCGTCGGCCCTCGCAATCACGTGGCCTCTCTAACAGTGTCGCGGCAAGCGTAGCGCGTTGTCTGAGGCGTGGCCGGGAGCGGCGTCGCTCGCAGCAGCACGCTGGTGCGCGGCGTTGCGTCTGCACGCACACTGCATCACCGGCCCTCAGAAATGGTGGCCGCCCCGCGGCAAGCGCGAGAGCAGCGGCCCAGAGAGGGCGCGCACGGGGCCGCCGAGGTACGGCTCGAGCAGCCGCTCCGCGGGCAGCAGGAGCCGGTGCGTCTCGTTCAGGACGCCCTGCGCGATCCCCATCTTGACGCACGGTTCAATGAAGAGCGCGGACCCCACCAGGAACAGCGCCGTCAGCGCGGCGGGCGCCATGACGGCCTCGGGCAGCGGCTTGAGGCCCGCGCGCGCCCACAGCGACGCGACGCAGCGCTCGGCGATGACGATCGGCCCCTGAATCGCGAAGAACCAGAACCAACGGTACTGGTAGCTGAAGCTGCGCGTGCCGAGCCAGATGATGAGTTCGTGGATGCCGGCGGACGCGAGGAACGCGGCGACCATGCCGGCGGCGCGCCGGACCTCGCCCGAGGCGCCGCGGGCGTGCAGGTGCGCGGCGAGGCCTGCGCTGTTGCGCACGCCGATCTCTGGCGGCCGGTGACGCACGAGGCGGCCCTCGACGAGCGGGTCGTAGATGAGGTGCCGGAGCGACGACCCTGCGAGCGTGCGAGGGGCGGGGCGGGCGGGAGATCGCGGAGCGTGGGTGCGTGCGCTGCGCGGGGGACGCCGGTGCGTTCGGCGTCCTGCTGCGGTCGCGCGGCGGCGGCGCGCGGCGCACCTGCGACGAGATTCCAGCGCTGCCAGTAGTTGGTGAAGGAGGTGGTGCGGAAGGGGTTCTTCATGTGGCTTTCGCACTCGAGGTTCAACAACCCAAGTGCCACACTTCCTGGGATGTCTAGCAGCGGGCCCAGGAAGAGGTACAGGCACAGGGCCCACAGCACGTCCTGAGCCAGCCAGGGGAGGTCGTAGAACTGCAGCGCGTTCGGAATGTCGCCATGATGCAGTCAGGAGGCGTGACGTGCGACGGGACGTGCACCGCCAGCTGCGCGGGCACGGCGCGCGCGGGCACGGGAGGCTCCTGACGGACCTGCAGCATGTGGACGAAGGCCCACAGCGCCGGTAGCTTGGTGGTGATCGAGATGAGGATCCACAGGAGCGACACAGGTCCCTCGTGCGAGCTGACCTTGGCGCGTTTCAGCATCAGGGGGTGCACGGGAAGGACTGTCGAGAACACGAACTGCAGGAACGTGAGCGACCGGATCGCGAGCGGCCCCCGGTCGAGCGCCAGCGCCAGGACCTGCGCGAGCGACGCGAGCGAGCGTGCTGAGCGGCCACCAGGGGTTTACGGCTCGCGCAGCACCCACGCGGCACACAGTGGTCTGTAGGGCTCGTGGTCGGTGCGGAAGGACCCGGAGAGTCTGTCTGCGGCGTGATATTTGCATCGTTGTGACCGTGAGGATCGAAACGGGCGGCGAAAGGGCACACACCTTGAAGTTGGCGAGCCAGAGCCACAGGAAACCCGCTGACATCACGACGATGGCTGGCCGGTGGTTCATGCATCCCGTCACCAGCGTGAAAGCGACGACGCACGGCAGCACCGCCGCGAAGCGGACCAGGCCGGCGGGGAGCCTCCGGGCCACCCCACATGCCCAAACGGCGGCTAGCAGCGCGACGGCGAGCCCGGCGAGAGGATCGTACAACGCCGCCGGGCACACATGCTGTAGGCCGCTCTCTAACTGGCTCATTGCGACCGGAGCCCTCCCCCTTCCCCCGCGAGCCCTGCCCTAACCAACCACCGCGCGCCTGAGCCGAGCGACACAACGAGTCGGCCGCAACTGCGCCTCCTGAAGCTACACTGACGCTCAAGCGATTGCCCGCTGGCTGCGTGCACGGCGCCGCCCAAATCCCCCGAGCCCAGCGCACACTGTGTGCTTCCCTGGGTCCAGGGAAGAAACATGAACATGAGTCATGTCGGCGCCACCTCTCACAGACGCCTAGCCCACCTTGCTCTTGCCTATCTCGTACAGCACCGTCCGGAACAGCTTGAGCAAGAACATCTGCGTCTCGTCGTCCAGAATGTCCTGCAGCAGCTCCCGCAGCGCCTGCGGGGAGGCGTGCTCCGCCACCTTCCCCAGGATGAACTCGACCAGGCTCGGCTCCTCCTCGCCGAGGAGCTCCGCGACCTTGCGCGTCACCCACGCCGTCACCGCGCCCACCGCCCCGCGCGCCACCAGCTTGTCGTACTCCGCCCAGTCCACCTGCGCCTGACTCAGCTCCTCCCAGGTGTTCGGCAGCGACGCCGCGACGCCGCGGAGCTTCGCCGGCGGCTCCACCATGCGCGGGCCCCTCGCTTGCGCCGGCGGGCCCTCCTGCGCCCGCGCGTCCCGCTCGACGATCGGCTGTAGCAGCGCGTTGCTGCCGTGCCCCGCCGCGGCCACCTGCGCCGCGGCCGCGCTCGCCGCCTCGGCCTCGGCCTTCTCGCGCGCCTCCTCGCGCCGGTCCGCGTCGTCCGCGGCCTCCTCGGCCTCCCGCGCGCGCCGCCGCGACTCGAACCCGCGCCGCTCCGCCAGCGGGGTGCGCTCCGCCGGCTCGAGGTCCTCGTCGCTGTCCGCAACCTCGTTGTCGTCGCGCAGCTCCCGCTCCCGGTCCTTCGCGGCCGCCTGCACGCACCGCGAACGCACCGCACGTCATCCCCCCCTCACGCATCAACACCCCCCCGCCCCGCTCACGGCCAGCGCGGCGCACGCAGACACGACCACGGGCGCCCGCACCTCCACGCGCCGCCGCTCCCGCTCCGCGTTCCGCCGCCACCGCACCTCCAGGTCCTCCACGTCCCGCTCCCGCTGCTTCAGCTGCCGCGCCTCGCGCGCCTCCCGCGCCCTCAGCGCGCGGGCCTCCTCGTTCTCCGGCGACCGCGACCGCGTCCGCCGCCCGCCCGACCGCCCGCGCGGCGGCGTCGAGGCCCGCCGCGGCGCGTGTCCCCGGGGGGAGTCGGCGCGTGCGGCTGGCGGCGGAGCGCCCCCGAGGACGGAGTCCAGGAACGCCGCGGCCTCGTCGGGCTGCGCGGGCGGCGCGCCGCCGAGGAGGTCGCGGAGGGCGGCGGTGGCGCGCTGCGCGCTGTCTGAGAGACGCGCGTCGATGTCTGCGGGGCCGTCGTCGGCGGGCGCGCTGCGGCGCTCGGCCTTCCAGTGCTCGAGGTAGGCGGACGTGGCGCTCTTGGCGTTGATGGTGAGGCGGGCGCCGTCCGGCAGGGGCGCCTCGGGCAGCACCGTCAGCGCCGTGATGGCTCCCTCGGCGTCGGCGTACTCGCAGAATCCGAACGGCTTCAGACAGCGGGTGTCCGGGTCCTCCATGCGCTTCCAGCCCTTGACCTGCGGTCGGGGCGGGCGGCGGCAGCCTGGGCGGGGCGCGGGAGCACCGCTGCGGGCGTGCGTGGCGCCTGGCGGGGCCGAGAGGGGGCCTCGGCGCGAGGGCGACGCTCACCTTGCCGCACTGATCGAGAACCTTCCGGATGAGATCGTCCGGCACCGACGCGGGGATCTTCCCGACGAAAATCGACGTGGACTTCTGAGGCGCGCCCCCAGGTGCGGCCTGCGGGGGTCCTGGGAACTGGTTACCCGCGTAGGGCGCATGGGCCGACGAGAACGGAGGCCCACCTCCACCGCCAGGCCCACGCGGCCCACTATACCCGGGAGGCCCTGCAGCGGGGGTCACGGAGGCCACGCGGGGCGATGAGGCCGCCGTGCGCGGCAGCGCGCGGCGCATTCGTCATCGACGACGCCGCCCGCTGGATCTTCGAACGCAAGCGCCGCCAGTCCCGCGCGGGACCGGCGCGCGCCCGTAGCGCAGCTCCCTCGCGACCAGTGCACCCGCCAGCGGCACACACACGCGGCGGCGCGGCGCGCACCTGGGAAGCCCCCCGCCCCGAACGACGGCACTCCGCCGCCAGGGGGGCCGGGGAGCGGGCCCGGCGGCGGCCTGCTCATCGCCTGTCACGTCGAGACACGCGCTGTGTGCCACCGTTGCGCAGCTCCGCCCGTTGGCGCCGTTCCGGCCCGACACACGCGCGCACGACGCGGCCCCTGAGGCTCGCTCGGACTGCCGCGTGCGTGGCCGGCGCGGGGCCCTCGACCCGCGCCCGGGCTGGCGCGCCCTGGGGGCCCGGGGGCGTAGCATGTCACGGCGGGGGGCCGGCCGCGCGCGCGGGGGGCTCGAGGGAGGCGGGCGGGCGCTGCGTGGCGCACAGCTGAGCAACCGAGGAGGGGAATACGGTCGTGAGGCTGCTTCGAGAGCGAGCGGTGAGAGCGGCTTGTTGAGTCGAAGGCCATTGCACCTGAGGTGTACCTCGTCGTTGAAGCAGCGGGCTCGGGCCACCGGCTGGGCTCCGGCTGCGCAGGCCTCGAGAGGTTTCGAGGTTCGAGAGGGGACGCCACCGCGCAGGCACCCTTAACGCGCTGACGTCGCGAGCGGCGAGGCGCTCTTCGCACGACCGGTTCGTGTGTGCTGCGAGGCGGCGCGAATCGGCCTGGTTAGGACGTCCGCGCGCGCACCTGGACGGAGGAATCTCAGGCTGCCCACTGGTCGCCGTCGAAGCGGACGTCGTGCCGTGTAGCACCGCTGCCACTCGCTCTTACACGTCGGTGTCGAGAGGCCGTTACGGAGCGAAATGTGGAGGTGCGTCGGTTGCCCACGCGCCAGGCTGCTCGCGCCGACTTCTCTCCCCCCCCTCGCGCCGCTCTCGCGCTCCCATTCCCACGGAGCGCGGCTGCCACACGTCCAGGACGCCGCTCTCTCGAGACGAGCGCTTCCGAGCGTCGGCTCGCCACGCGCACGCGCGCAGCTGCGCGAGACGGAACACCCGTCGACCGAATGAGCGGCCAGCAGCGCCGCGACGCCGCGAGGCGTCCACGCCGACGCCTTTGAGTCGACCTCCGTCGCGCTCGCACGCGCGCTCCGTCGTCGGCCCATTTCCCTCCTGCTCGACGCCTTTCGTCGCTTCAGTTCCCAGTCCAGGCGCGCTGCAATGCGACGACCCCGGAGAGTGGCCCTGCGAGCCGCGCTCGGCCCAGGAGGCTCGAGCTCCCAGCGAGCAGCCAAGCTCCGTGCGCGCCCTCCACGCGCCCGACCTCCCCGCGCCGCGCCCCCGATCGCAGCCCCGAGGAGGACAAGCAGTTCGAGATGGCGCTAGCCAAGTACCTCCACGACCCGGACTGCCTGGTTCGCGTGCAGCGTCAAATGCCGCAGCGGGACCTCCAGGTGCGGCCTGCCCGTCGCCCGCCCGCACCGCTCCGCGCGGCCGGGCCCCGCACAGCGCGCGATCCATGCCGGCGGGCCCACGGACACGCCTGTGTCCCCCCCGGAACGCCGAGAAATGGCCGTTTGGCGACTCGGGCCTAGCAGACCAGTGCGACGCGGTGCGGCCCCTGCGTGCCGTCTCGATCGCAGGCCATCCGGCAGCGCTACCATCTCCTGGAGGAGGACATCCGGAACATCGAGTCCGGCCGCGTGCCCCTGCCGTCGTACGGCACGAACCCCGGCGGAGCTGCAGGCAAGGCCAACCGCTGCGACGCCTGCGCGCTGTGCGGCGCCGCGACGGGCCGCGCGCCGCCCGAGGGCGCCTCTCTGTCGCGCGAGACGCCGCCGGCGTCGCACATTGTCCCGTTCGGCCCGCGCCCACGCCGCCCCCGCGTGCTTGCCTGCAGAGGATGCCAACGGGCGCAAGAAGCGCGCGTCGGACCAGGAGCGCCGGAAGGGCATTCCGTGGACCGAGGAGGAGCACCGGCTGTTCCTGCTGGGCCTCGCGAAGTTCGGGAAGGGCGACTGGCGGTCGATCTCGCGGCACTTTGTGGTGTCGCGCACGCCCACGCAGGTCGCGTCGCACGCGCAGAAGTACTTCATCCGGCTCGCGTCGATGAGCAAGAAGGACAAGAAGCGGTCGAGCATCCACGACATCACCTCGGTGTCGCACGCCGGCCAGCCCATCACCGGGCAGGTCCAGGCCGTCGCCAACGGCACGGGGCGCAAGGGCAGCGGGATGGGGTACGCGGGCGGGGCGGACGCGCTCCAGATGCACGGCGGGCACCTCGGATAGCCGCCTGGCAAACCAACGCACCCGCGCACACTGCCTGTTGCCCCTCGCCGACGCTGCGCACCAGCCGCACTTCGCTCCCCGGCGCCGACCCGACCGCGGCTGTGGCGCCCGGCGCCTCGTGGACAGCGGGCTGGCCCGGAAGCGCTGGACGGATGCGGAGCATAACCACACTGGCTGGCCGCAGTCCAGTACCTCCCCGCACAACGATACCCTCCCCCGCCTCTCTTTCTTGACGCCCGAATCCCTATCCGCTGTCCGGACTTCCGCGTCTGGCCGGGGGCCTCGTCCACGCCGGACCTGCGGGCCTGTGCGCTGCCGCCCCATCGCACGAGTGGCACAGGGCGCCTTGACGCCTGCCTTGCTGCGTACGCCTGCACGGGCTTGGCTAGCTCCGACGCAACGCTCACGTTTTGGTCGCTGCCTTCCGCGCCCGCCGAGTCCATCGAATAGTGCATCCCGCTGCTGCCAGCGCCATCACCGGTAGAACACAACTTACCCCCTCCCCCCCCCCGCCCTCGCCCCAACCTGCTTGTCTGCGATGCATCCCAGTCACATTGACACGTCAAGCCCACCTGCGCCCCTGCACCCCCTCGGCTAGCTCCGTCCCGGCGAGACAGTCCCCCCCCCATCCCTGGACGCGCCCCCACACAACAGCGCGGCGCCCCAGGTCCGTCGTTCCCGTGCCCCATCGCCAGGCAGCGGCGCCTCGCTAGCTCTCCGCGTCCGCAACTGCACCTGGGAGCCCGGCACAGCACGCACGCAGCCACGGATGCTGCTCACCGTGCGGCGGACCACTGACGCCGGGCCTCGCGCCCGCGGCGCGCGCCCGCACCGAGCCGTTCCTGGCCCGCCGCAGGCCCCGCTGCGGGCGCCCCTTCGGAACCAGAACGGCGCGCTTGCTCTCTGTTGGCCCCTACCCTAGTCCCTGTTTGTTGCCTCTGAATCTTTGTCCAACCTACGGCTCTTGGTACACCAATACTGCTGACAGTGCACTCATAACAATTGCGCATGCGAAGAAAGCGAGAGGAATACAACGCGCATCGGCGCCCGCCACGCCCTACGCGCGTCGCGCCGCACGTCGCGCGCCCAGTGCTGCGCGTGCATCGGGGAGACGTAGGAGTGTGAGCGGGTCGGATGTGCACGCGCGGCGCACGCGGCCCGGACGGCGCTGGCGTCGCCCGCGCGCGCTGAAGTCGCCGCACCGCGCTGAGAGGGAGGGAGGGGTCCGGGGGGGGGTCGGGGGTGCGGACAGTGAGGGCACGTGCACCGCAGGAGCGCATGTGTGCGGCGCGCTGGCGGCGACATCGCAAGTCGCGCGAGGCTGTGGCTTCGCAGAACACGGTATAGACGCTGTGTCAGACACACGTGTCGGCGGCATAGACTTGCGCAGTGTCGTGGCCCCTTCGTCGCTGCGCTGACGCCCCCACAGGCTCTGCACCCGCGTAGCTCGCGGGCCTGGTCGTTCGGCAGCTTGGTCGCGGAGGGGCGCGATGTCGAGGCAGGCGCTGCAGCTGTGGCGCAGTGTACGAGCGGTGGTGCACCGCCTGCAGGCAAGGGCACAGTTTCCTGCCGTGTCGCTGACTTGTATTCCTTCATGGCCTATCATTCGAGATAGTTCGTGCTTTCCACACGCATCAAGGGTGACGAATCCCTGCAAACGTCGCCGATGGCTGCGTGCGAGGCGCAGTTGGTGACGCCACCGACCTCGCCGGCCTCCTCAACGGCACTCCGCCGTTGCGGCGACCCATCGTGTTGCCTGAGCGGTCCGGAGAGTGCAGGGTCGGGAGCTCGTGGGAACGGATCCGCTGGGCAACGAGTACTTCCGGCAGTCGACGCACGAGGACGATGGCAGCGTGCGGGAGAAGCGGCTGTTCGTGCCGCACCACGGCTCCCAGGCCGCGCACGACTTGGAGTGGAACGAGATACCGCCCGCGTGGAACTCGTGGCTGAATTACACGAGGTGCGGGCCCCTGGGCGCCGCTTGCCACGCCCCGTGCTGCGTCCACCAGACTCCCCGCCAGCGCTCGCGCACGGCGCACGCGGCCTCCGCGCTTTCCTCCGCAGGCACGATCCGCCCACGCACGAGGAGATCGCGAAGGCCGAGGAGTACCGGAAATCCGTCGCCATGCGTGCGCACGACCTGGCTAGGGAGGAGGAGAAGCGGCGGTGGCGCAGGGCGTCCTCGGCCGCCGCGGCCGAGGGCGGGGCCGACGCGGGCCCAGACATGTCGGCCTTCGTGCAGCAGCTGCGCGGCGCGGGCCAGTTCTCCGAGCAGGGGCCTCCGCGGACAGGTCCAGCCTCCGGGAACAAACCGCCGCCCCCGCCCGGGGAATTCAAGCCGGAGTCCTGGACGCCCGGCAGCAAGTAGCGGCAGCGAGGCCCGCGGCTCCGCCCGCGACCGCGCGCGTACCGGGCACCGCGAGGCGCCACGTTCGCCGTGTGAGACTGCATCGGTCGCTCGCCGCACCTCGGGCCGCGACACCAGCCGGACAGCGCCGTCGCGCCGCGAACGGCAGCTCCCGCGCCCGCCACAGCCGCGGCCGGCGCCGCTTCCCAGCGCGGTGTCTCGCCTGTCGCCTGTGCCACTGGGCAGCGTCGCAGGCGGCCCGGACAGCACGGTGCGCGCTGCAGGGTCAGTCGGGCCTCGGTGAGTGCGCTGAGACCGAGGTCCTCCTGTGAGAGACATCGCGCGCCGCCTCCTGCGAGCTCGCCCGCTGTCTCAGAGGGCGTCAGCGGCGCGGCGTGAGTCGCTACTGAGGTGGCTACTGGACCGGGGCCCTGACAGCTAGCGGCTGCGGCGATGTGGGCCCGCTGGGCCGCTGAGTTGACCCACAGACCAGTACGCTCCGAGTGTGCGGGGTGAGAGCTGAACATTCCGTCTGGTGCACGAATACTTGACCTTTCGAGCGCTGCTGGTCCATTGAGCTTGTTCGACGGCCGCTTGAGGCCACAACGTACCGGCTCGCGCTCTGCACGAGACTGGCCGTGAGGTAGAGAGTCGGCTGCGCCGGCCTCGTTTTGGTGCCGATGACGTCAGCGACGCTGAGAGGCGTGGCAAATGAGCTTGCGCAGGGGCACTTTTCTCGCAGCTACGATCACTACGTCCTTGCTGTGGTCGTGGACGCGACGGAGGTCAAGTACTCGGCGGTACGCGCCCCGTTCCGCCGAAGATGCGAACCCCTCGGGCGAAAACCGTGCTCCTGCAGAGCGCGTCACTTGAGCAGCCCCGCGCGCCGGCCACGCGCAGCCATTTAAGCGGTCGCAGCGCCCGCCAGGTTGCCAAACACGTAGCCCACGCGGAAACACCCGCCGGGTTTGAAATGAGGCGCTGTGGGCACAGGGGCTGGCTTGGTGCGAGCCCACAGCGCGCACAGCACGCTGCGGGTCCCCTGCACTATTCCGGCCGCCTGGAGCGACGTCGTGCCCCGAAAGCCGTCTCACGCACTTCACACATCTAGGTCGATGAGCTCGCAGCACAGCCCGTCGCTCGCAGCGCCTCTCGACCACCGTGCTACTCTGCGCACTTCCGCAGTCGGTTGCGCGTGACGCTCCGGCCCAACAGCCTCGCGGCGCGACCCGCATCGCCCTGCCTCTCCCGCTCCGTGCAGAAAGACCCGTACATGAACCTGTGGGTGACGGACCCTACCATTCTCCCGCTAGATGGCAGCCAGGCCAGCAGCGGGCCGAAGAAGGTCGAAGTCCGGGCCTTCGCCGCGCACGACCGCGACCTCCCGGGCCGATGCGTCCTGCGCGCCGGCGACCTGATCTTCCTGCACAAATTCCGCCCAGACCAGCACAAGAAGAGCGGCGTGCCCGGGCCGCCGATGCTCGTCGGCGGCTGGAAGGCCGGCAGCGCGATGGTCGTCTTCTCGGGCGAGGCGCCCGCGCCGAACTCGTCCGGCGTCCCGGCCCTGAAACACCCCCCCTGCGTCAACCTCAAGATCCGGAACAGTGGCCTGTTCCCAACGAACAGCGCCCTCCAGGTACGAGCCCCCGCGGCCCGCGGCTCGCCCGGCGACTGGCGCGCACCGAGCGGCGCGTGCCGACCGCGCCCGCCCCGCGTGCCCGCGCGCAGGCGATGCTGCAGTACAGTCGCAGCGTGGACCTCAGCCGCATCCCGGGGGACCGCCTCACGCGCCTGTGCGACCTGCCGCCGCGCACGCCGTTCCAGGACATCATCGACGTGGGCGGCGAGCAGGCGGAGCCCGTGGACGTCGTGGCGCTCGTCCTTGCCGTCGACAAACGCAACAAGGTGCGCCCCGCCGCGGCTTGCGACGCGGAACTGCCCGCGACGCCCCGCTCTGACGCAGGAACGCGTCCGTGCTCGCAGGTTGTGTGGATCTGGGACTCGACGGACGTGCTGGGGGGGCCTGACGTGGTCGTGGATGACAACCTCTACCGCCTGCCGCACGCGAGGCGCCTGACGTACCCGGAGGCCCACGAGGCCGGCCCCGGCGTCGACGTGGTGGACCAGTGGCCGCTCGAGCACGGGTCCGCGGTGCCGGTGAACTTCGTGGGGTCGTGGCAGCAGCACGGTACGCCGCCAGCGCACAACGGCACTCGCGTCGCATGCCTCGGCCGCGCGCCGCAGCACCCTTTCATGCGGGCGTGAGGTATCGATGCACCGCGGGCCAACTGCGGCGCACTGCGTGCGGTCGTTTATTGTGCGTGCAGATGTGCAGGGGGTGCCGCCGGCGGGGCAGTGGGCGCGGTTCCGCACGATGAGGTTCTGCGTCGCGGACCACCAGGTCCAGGGCATCGTGTCGCACGTCACCGCCATCACGCCCGCCAACTCCTGCGGGTGGTCGCTCAGCAACGCGACGGCCAGCGGCGGAGGGCCGCGGCCGCGCGACGCAAACATCCCGGAGACTGCCGCGATGATCGCACATGGCCAGGAGCCGGGGGAGCTGACCGCGGAGCAGGCGCGCAGTCCCCCGCTCCGACCAAAGCGTGCTGGCACTGCACGATGCAACTGCGAGTCTTCTCGCGCCGCCTGCCGCGGCGCCCCACGTCCGGCGCCTGCCGTGTGCCCCGTAGCGCAGGTGTGGGAGTACAACGTCGTGAATTTCCGCACCGCGAGCGTGCACATGGACAAGCCCTTCAGCCGCGTGCGCGAGGTCCTCGACAGCGCCCGGGCCCACCTGCACGACCAGGACTACACGCGGCGTTTCCGGCTCGCGTGCCGCGTCGTGGCGGCGCACTGCGACGCGAGCGCGCCGCCGGCGTCGGGGGAGGATGCGCAGGGGCCCGCGGGCGACGTGCGCGACGACGAGCCGCAGACGCAGCAGGCCGTGGACGTGTTGCTCGAAGACTCGTCAGGGACCCTCTGGGCTGTACTCATGGTACGGGCCACGTACGGACTCGCAACAACGGGGGGGGTCATTGCAACTGCAGGTGCATGTGGTGCAGCTGGCAGCGATCGGCCGTGCGTGCGTTCCCAATGAACGCACGGCATTTGTGCGGTGCAGGCGCGTGATTCGGACGCTGCGGGGGGCGGCGAGGGCGAGGACAACCCGCGCAGTGTGTCCTTCCACAGAGCGAGCGTGCTGCGCTGGGCCGGCGAGGCCGGCGCCGCAGGCGCGCATCCGTCGCACTTCCTGGACGTGACGGTGCAGTGTCGGATGCTCCCGGACGCGGAGGGCGGTCTGCGCCCGCGCTACGTCATCGTAAACACAGTCGTAGTTGGCCTCCCTGAGGCCACGCAGGACCGTCAGCCGAAGCGGGCGCGCGTGTGAGACCACGGACGCTGTACGCACGTGCGCTGGGCGGCCGCACTGCGGGCAGGGGGGCGCCGGAAAACGGGCGCGGAGTGGCGCGCTGGCAGCGCACCGCCAGTGCGGCTGCAGCACGAGCAGCCCGGCGGAGGGCGAGGGCGCGGCGCTCTGCTGCGGCTTCGGAGCGCTAGTGCGCGCCGGGCGGGGCAGCTGCACAGCGCCGGTACCGTGCCGGGCGTGACAGGCTGCAGTGCTGACAGCTCCGCAGCTTGGCCCGATCGAGCACAGCGTGGCTTACATGCATTTGCGAGCTTCACGATCACCTCGGACGGCAGCCCCGGGGGCGCGCCGCACTCTCCGGCCTACGGACTGGGCGGCAGGAGCAGCTTGTTGATGCGCAGCACCTGGCTGCACTGCGACCGAGCCGGAGGGGCGGACTCGAGCTTCTCCGCCACGGCCGTCACGCCGGCCACGATCTGTAGAAATGTTTCACCGGAGCGGCCTGGGATGTCTCGCACGTGGAGCGGGCGCGGCAGGGGAGCGGTTTCAGAAACACGCGCTGCGGGCTCACCGTGACGCGCCCCTCGTCGTCCCGCGACACCTTCAGGCGCAGCGGGCTGCCGTCCCTGTCCGCGAGGAGCGTCCCGAGCTCGATGTTCGGCACCATCCAGTCGAAGGGCTTCGGGTAGTCTAGGAGGTGAAACGAAAGGATCAGCGGGAGGGCCTGCGATCCCTCGAAGTCCTCCACGGACACCCCGGCCTTGTCCAGTGCCTCCTTGACTGCGTCGTTCGTCGGCGCCAGCAGCGTGGAGCTGATGGATGCGTCGCTCAGCTTCGCCCCAAGCGCGCCGGACGCCGACACCAAGTCCGCGATCACGCTCAGGTCCGAGTCTGTACGGAGCAAGTCCATGACGGACTTGCAGCTTTCCTCTTCGGAGCTGCATGCCCCGCACGTCAGGCGGCAGAAACCTCCGTCGCGCAGCCAGGCCTCGCCGCACTTGCCCCATGCCTTCTGCTGCTCACACGTGTAGTCGCCCGGCTGCTTGTCGTCGCATGCCTGTCCTGCTACGGAGCCTGCAGGGCACGGCGCGGGCAGAGAGTCGTCGTCGAACGAGCTGCTCCGGAACGAGAGAGCGTTCAAACGAGGCTCGTGCCGCCGCCCGTGTCCATGCCGGCTTCTCCGCGTCGTCTCGTGCGGGAACAAAACGAAATTATCGCTCAGCAGCGCGTGGAGGCGCTCGTCGCACCTGACAGCGCCGCGCAGAGCAAGCAAGCGACGGAGAGGTAGAGGGCTGCCACATAGGCCCGGCGCGCCATCGTCGTGTCGTACAGCCAGCACCGCGTTGCGTCGGGACGTGAAACTACTCCTACTCGTGCTAGGAATAGGCACTTGAGGCCGCGAGGGAGCTCGGTGCGGGAGGGAGGGCGGGGGGCGTCTGTCGCCTTACATCAGGAGGCGGGCTCGGCGGGCAAGAGCCGTTTCTTGAAAGGACTCGGTGGCGCCGGCAGCGAGTACGGCTTCTGCTGGATGTCCGGCGCCGCGACGTCCGTCGCCGCCGCACCAGCCTCCGTTGGCTGCAGCACCCTCACCAGCTCGGCCTCGAACAGCAACGCCTCCGTCCTGCCGACCAACCACGAGAGCTCGGCAATTCAGTCCGCGATCGAGGCATGCGGGCTGAATGCGCGTCTCGCTGCAACTCGGCGCCACGACCCTGGAACCGGCAACTCAACAACACCCACCTGTGTGCTGCGAGCCGACGCTTGCCCCCGAAATCCCGCGGCTGCGGCTGCACCTTCCCGTCCGCGTCCCACCCAGCCGGCCCCGCAGGCACCAGGATCCTCCGCACCGCCCCCTCCCTCATACCTGCACGCAACCTCCACCACCACCCGCGACACCGTCGACGGCGCTCCGCGTCCGCACACAGGCTTCCGCGCGCGGGACGCGTTCCAGCGCGCCGCACCTTGCATCGCCGCGGCCACTGCGGCTGGCACTGCATTCTTCTCGCCCAGCGTGAACCGGTACACGTCGCCCACGCTGTCGCCGATCTCCTTCCCCGTCCCGAACGAGAAGAGCATGACCGGCAGCCCCCCGCTCGAGTACTTGTAGTACGCTCCACTGCCTGCGCAAACAAACAACAACAACAACACAGCGCTATCACATCTCATCATATCATCGCAAGCATTCTGATTCTGGCGCGCTCGCGCTCCCCTGGCGGCGGACGCAGGCTCCGCGGGCTGCTCACTCAGGCGGTACACGGTGTACGCGATCTCGCACACGCTGCCGATCTCCGCCGTGCGCGCGCCCGTCCCCTCCTGCAGCTCCCGGTACTGCACGCCCGACGGGAGGGTGACCTTCTCGCCGGGCTGGTCGTACTCCTCGTACCGCTCCTCCTCGTCGGCCTTCGGGAGCCCGCGCGCCTCGCGCTGCTGCCGCAGGCAGAGCTGAAGCTCCCGGCCATTGAGGCCCGAGCAGCTCAGCGCGTGCGCAGGGCTCGCGACGCTCGATGCCGCCGCGCACGCGGCGCTCGCGAGCATCGCAAGCGCTGCGCTGCGTCGGCTGTGCGGCGCCGCGGGCGGTGGGCTCGGGGGCACGTGCTTAGCGCGCGGCGCTGGAAGCGCCCCCGATGCGGCCCGTGGGGCCGCTGCGGCGCCGATGTGGACCTCTGCCGGCATTCTGGCTACTCTCGGGGGGCAGCGGTGGCCGCCCGGGCCCTTGGAGCGCGTCGCCGGCGGAGCTTTTCGGTCTGACATACAATCCACGCCCCCGCGTGCAAGTGCCGCGCGCCCCGCAGCAGCGGACGCGGCCTCCAAGGCCGCCCTGCGGGCGGCGGGCGCGAGAGAGTCGTGTGAGGTCGCCGCCATGATCGTGCGGTCGCAAGCAGCGGGCGCCACGGCCCGGGCTGTCGTCGGGAAGGATGCCCGCCTTGCGCGGGCCCCTGGGCGGGGCGCGCAGCGGGCTGCGGGCGGCCGGGACGCGCGGGGCGCCGCCAGGGGACCGGGCGGCATCGTGAGCGGGCGCAGCGGCGCAGGTGCGTGGTTGTTGCGTCGCGGGCCGAGGGAACGGAGCACGCGCGCGTTTCGCCAGCTGGAAGGCTAGGGATCGCGCTTCCGGCCGTTTGGGGGGTGTATTCCGGAGACAGCGATATATGGGAGCCTGAGGAGGGAGCACGCTGTCCTTGCGCCGTGTTTCCGAAAGGGTGAAGCCTCCAGGGCCCGGGGAGGCTGCTACCAGAGCGGCGTCCTCGACAGACGGGCGCAGCGGCCCCTGCGCGCGCCGGGACGCGAGAGCCGCCGCTTCTTTCCGCTCGAGGCCGCTCGGGCGCCGCGTCCTGCATTGAATGGCGCGTGCTGGGGGCGGCGCACGCCCTCCTCGGCCCCAACAACACCACCGCTGCTCGGGCGGTGCTTGCAGGCCGCTCCGTGCGGGTGGAGGCGTTCGAGGGGTACGGTCCGGGCGCCATGGGCGAGGCGAAGATCAAGGTGATCGGCGTGGGCGGCGGCGGAGGCAATGCGGTGAGCCGCATGATCTCTTCCGGCGTCGAGGGCGTGGAATTCTGGGCAGTCAACACCGACGCCCAGGTGCGGACGACCCCCGGGCTCTCCCGGGTCACCCCTGCGCCTCGCGGCCGCTCCCCGGCTCGCTCGATCGCTCAGGCGCGGCCCGCGCGCCGCGGAGCCCCCGCGCTCGCCGTCGCGCGGTAGGGCGCGGCCACTCGGTGCAAAACGTCTGCCCGCGCCGCGCGCTCACCCGGCCGCGACGCGCCCCGTTCTCCCCGCGATCGTGCAGGCGCTCGAGTCCTCTCCCGTGAGGAACCAGGTCCAGATCGGATCGCAGGTCACGCGGGGCCTCGGCACGGGCGGCAACCCCGAGCTGGGCGAGCAGTCCGCGGAGGAGTCGAAGATCGAACTGGCGGGCGCGGTCGCGGGCGCGGACCTCGTCTTCGTCACCGCAGGTACGCCGGCGCCCCGGCAGCGCGCGCCCCGGCTCGCGCTGCGACCGAGCTCCGCAACATATGCCGCGGTCGCCGCAGCCCCCGGCGGCGGATCCCGCGCGCCGTGACGCGACGCGATGCGGCTCAGGCGCGCCTCGCAGCCAGCGCCTGCGCGTGAGCGCCGCGTCACGTCGGCCGTCGCGCCCCGCGTCACGCAGGGATGGGGGGCGGCACGGGCTCCGGCGCGTCGCCGGTGGTCGCGGGCATCGCGAAGGAGCAGGGCATCCTCACGGTCGGCGTCGTGACGTACCCGTTCACCTTCGAGGGCCGCCGGCGCGGCATGCAGGCGTCGGAGGCGCTCGAGGCGCTGCGTCGCAATGTGGACACGCTGATCGTGATCCCGAACGACCGCCTGCTCCAGGTCGTCGCGGAGACAACTGCGCTGCAGGACGCGTTCCGCCTCGCGGACGACGTCCTGCGCCAGGGCGTGCAGGGCATCTCCGACATCATTACCATTCCGGGGCTGGTGAACGTGGACTTCGCGGACGTGCGCGCGGTGATGTGCAACTCCGGCACGGCGATGCTGGGCGTGGGCGTGTCGACGGGGAAGAACCGCGCCGAGGAGGCCGCGATGGCGGCTGCGTCGGCGCCGCTGCTCGAGGCCTCGATCGAGCGCGCCACGGGCATCGTGTACAACATCACGGGCGGCAGCGACCTCACGCTGCAGGAGGTCAACAGGTGCGCGCGGCCTCGCGGCGCAGGACCGCGGACCGGCGCCACATGCGTGGTGGTTGTTGTCATGGTTCTTGGTATGAGGGGGTCTGTTGCGCGCCGGCGCGTGGAAGCGGTGCGGACGGCCGGGGCGTGGCGTGACCGTGCATGTCGTTGCTCGCGCGCAGGTGCTCGGAAATCGTGACGGAGATGGCGCACCCGGAGGCGAACATCATCTTTGGTGCCGTCGTGGACGACTCGTGCGACGGCGAGGTGAACGTGACGATCATCGCGACGGGCTTCGAGCAGGGCTTCGAGGACCAGCTCCTGAACCGCGGCGCCGGCGCCAAGCGCGCGGCGCCGCAGCAGGGGCGCCAGGCGCCGGCAAACGGCAACGGCGGGGGCGCGCCGCCCGCGCGGGGCGCCGCGGGGGCGTTTGCGCGGCGAGGGTACCTCGGCCGCCGCTAGGTCGTGCGGCGAGGCGAGGTGGATGTGTGATGTGACGCGCGCGCAGGCCTGCAGGGCGCGGCACGTGCAGCGAGTCGCAAGTCACATGCGCGCGCGGGCGTGCGGGACGCGTTGCGACGGAGCAGGCAGTCAGTCGCGCGCGCTGAGGTAGTGCTCGGCGTCGAGCGCGCCCATGCAGCCCGAGCCGGCGGCGGTGATCGCTTGCCGGTAGCGCTTGTCCGCGACGTCGCCCGAGGCAAAGAGGCCGTCCACGGCCGTGATGGAGGTGCCGGGCTGGACGATCATGTGCCCGGCCTCGCTGTCGAGGACCTTGGCGAACTCCGCGCCGGAGTCCCGGAGGAACTGCGTGTTGGGGGTGTGTCCGATGGCGAAAAACACCCCCGCGCACTCGATCTCCGTCACCTCGCCCGTCTTCACGTTCTTCACCTTGGCGCTCTTGCACAGGTTGCCGTCGCCGCAGATCTCCTCCAGCACCGAGTCCCACACCACCTCGATCTTCTCGCTGCCCAGCACGCGCTTCTGCATCACCGCCGACGCGCGGAACTGGTCCCGCCGGTGCACCACGTACGTCTTCGACGCGTAGCGCGTCATGTGCATGGCCTCCTCCATCGCCGTGTCGCCGCCGCCGATCACCAGGACCGGCTTGTTGCGGAAGATCGGCAGCGCCCCGTCGCACACCGCGCACGCCGACACCCCCTTGGTCCAGTACTGCTCCTCGCCCGGACAGCCCAGGCGGCGGGCGTCCGCGCCGGACGCCACGATCACCGTGCGCGCCTGCAGCTCCACGGCCGCCGTCCCGTCCGTCGGCTCCGCCGTCACCGCGAAGCTCCCGTCCGCCTCCTTGCGCAGCCTCGTCACCATCGCGTCCTTCGTCTCCGCGCCGCACTTCGTCGCCTGCGGCCGCGAACGAGCGTAGGACAGGTCGGCGCGCGGGTCGCGGGGGCGGAGCGGCGGTGTGGCGCGGATTGCGGGGAGGGCGCGGGGTGCGCCGGGTGCTGGGAACCCACCTGTTCGTAGCAGCGGTAGACGAGGTCGGGGCCCATGATGCCGTCCGGGTAGGACGGGAAGTTCTCGACCTCCTGCGGCGGTGCGCGGGAGCGGTGGCAGCGGTCGGGAGAGGTGGCAGCGGCCGTCATGGCAGCTGGTGCCCAGCGCAGGCGTTGCGTGACGCCGTGGGGCGCGGGGTCGGGGGCGCGCTGGAAAGGAGGTGCAGGGGACGTGCGTGGGCGGCGCGCGCGCGGCTCCGCAGGTTGCCAGGGCGTCGCGCCGGGGCGTGGCGCGGGGCCGCGCCGAAAGATGGTCTGGTGGCGAGCAACTGGGCCGGTGTGCGGTGCGCAGGGGCGCGCGGCTCGGGGTGACGCAAGGTTGCGGCGTCCGTGTGAAAATTCGAAGCAGAGAGCGGCGCGCTCGATCGCAGCGGCGACCACAGGGCGCGGGAAGGGACTCGTGGGCGGGCTCACCTTGGTGGAGCTGAGCTGGCCCGAGGGGCCCATGCCGTGGCACACGAGCACCTTCCGGTTGTTGCGAGCAGCGTACAGGGCCGCCGTGTAGGCGGACGGGCCCGCCCCGATCACTAGCACATCGTACAGCGCGTTCGTCATGATTGGGAAACACCAATTGAGAAACCACGAAACCAATCGATCGACTCAATTCCAAGGCTCTCGTGCAACGACACACGTGCCCGCCCTGCCGAGGTCGCGCCGGAAATCAGGCCGCAAGCCGCGCGCACGCCGCGCGCAAGGCCGTCAGACTGCGTCAACGCCACCGACGCACTCACGCGGGAAATCCCCCCGCCCGAAGGCGTGTCAACTCGGCCGCGCCGCGTCGGCGCTTCTCGCTACCTCGTCGCACCCCTGGCGATCGAGACCGAGTCACCGTGGCGGCTCCCGGCGCCTGTGGCCACCCATCGGTCGCACCTGGGCCCTGCATGAGCATAGCCCGCCCTGGGCTGCTGGCGGCGCGCCGCGTCGTCTGGAGATCGCTGCGGTCGCCGGCGTGGAGCGCAGGTGCAGCGGTGCCGTGCCGCACGTCGACGAGGATGGCAGCAGGTGGGCCTGGTTGCATTGGCACCATGCGTCGTCGTCGCGACACCGCAGGGCCACGCTGGGAGTGTCAGACGCGAACACGCAGCTCGGCAGCAAGAACGACCTCGCTGCTGTCTTTCTTCGAGGTTGGCCAGGTCCCTGCGGGGCGCATTCGGGCGTTGCGTTGCCCGCGGTGAGGGTGCGGCGTTCCTCCTCCGGTGCGCAGGGGCGACGGGGCCGGCCGGGCCTGGCAAGACCAGGATCGCACTGTGTCAGTTCGAGGGCGGCAAGGCGAGCAAGGCGGACAACATCGCGGCCATGCGGGCCGCCGTGCGAGAGGCCGCAGAGGGCGGGGCGCAGCTTGCCCTGCTGCCCGAGATGTGGCACTGCCCGTACAGCAACGACGCGTTCCCCGGCGCGGCCGAGGACATCGACGCAGGTGCGCGAGCGCGTGCTCGGCGGCCACGCGGCGACGCCGTGCGCTGATGTGTGCTCAGCCTCTTGCTGGCCGGCGGTGAGCCGCGCGCAGGGTCGTCGGAGTCGGTGCGGGCGATGGCCGAGGCGGCGAGCGCGTCGGGGATCACCGTCGTCGGCGGCACCATCTCGGAGGCGCGGGCCGGCGGCGTCTACAACACGTGCTGCGTGTTGGGCCCCGACGGGGCCCTGCTGGGCAAGTACTCGAAGACGCACCTGTTCGACATCGACATCCCTGGCAAGGTCACCTTCCGCGAGTCCGACACGCTCACGCGGGGGCCGGGCCTGACGGTCGTGGACACCCCCATCGGGCGCGTCGGCCTCGGCATCTGCTACGACCTTCGGTTCCCGGAGCTCGCGATGGCGTACGCGCGGCGCGGCTGCCACCTCATCTGCTACCCCGGCGCCTTCAACACCACCACCGGTACGGCAGATCGCCGCCCAACAGCGCGCGCCGACACGCAACGCAACGCAGCAACCCCCCGCGCGATCCGTACGACTCACCGCGCGGCTGCGTGCGACCGTGCGCCTCGCAGGCCCCCTGCACTGGTCTCTCCTGCAGCGCGCCCGCGCGGTGGACAACCAGCTGTTCGTCGCGAGCGCGTGTTGTGCGCGCGACGAGAGCGCCTCCTACGTGGCGTACGGGCACTCCATGGCCGTCGGACCCTTCGGCGAGGTCCTCGTCGAGGTGAGCTCTCCGCCGGCGCCTCCTGCGCCGGTCGCAGCAGGACGGTTATGTCGCGGGGCACTTCTTGCAACGTCTTTGTCTCCTGTTTGTTTGGCGTCCTACGTGCGTTGTTGCGCCGCTGGACCGTCGCCTGCCTCGCCCCACGTAGCCCAGGGAGCCTCGTGGGCGTTTGCTGCAGGCCGAGACTGCCCCGGGGGTGTTTTTCGCGGACCTCGACATGGGTGAGATCGCCACTCGGCGCAGCAACATGCCGCTCGCGAGCCAGCGGCGGGGCGATCTGTATGAATTCGTCGACAAGACCGCGTAGTACGTGCGAGCCCCCACGGGCGGCCGGGCCGAACTCCTGCGACGTGCGCGGGCGCAATTTGACATTGATTATATTCGTTATGTGGATAGTGATGCTCTGGTCCGTTCGTCGGCGTCAATCAGTCGACGGAGCACGTCACGAGCGCGCCGTGGCCGCGTGTTGTTCGCGCCGATCACTTGGGAGACCACCGGCCGTCGACTGTCGCCTGCGCAAGCGCACAGAGGATGTGCGGCGTCACGTCGTGCTGCGGGATGTTTGCGCAAACAGACACGATCCCATGGATATTACGATGATGCACGTCCAAACGGCAGCCCGCAACTACGTTTCACGGGTCGACCGAGCCGCAGGGGGGGTCCGCCGTTCCACCTGAGTGCAGTGGCACGTCGCGCACGCTGCCGCTCTGCACGAGATCCGAGCGGGAGAGACACCGGTCGCCTCACTAAGTTCGAGGTATCCTTAGTCTGTGGCCGCACTCAGGGGCCACGATGGTCCTCACGGAAGCCACCAACTCCCCGCGCCCTGTCGCGGGGGCGCCGCAGCCGGGCAAGCCCGCGTTCGCACCGGACGCGGAGAATCACGCCATCTACAGCCCGGTCAGCAACCTCAATGCCAAGAGGCCTGCGGTCCGCACCAGCCTCGGCAGGATCGCCGGCTCAGGTGAGCTGCCAGCCCGGAAGCACTGCTTCTTACCCCCCATCGAGCGAGCGCGCATTCCGGACTCCCATCTTATCTAATCGCTCGAATTCGCGTCGCACTGCGCATTTTCGTGTCTAAGCATGCTCGAACGCGCCCTAAACGTACTCTCTGTCGGCGGGAGTCGCGGGTTCGGCGCTGCCCCGTTGTTACAGGGCCCACCGCCTGCTGCCACGCCATCACCCTCCCGCGGCCCACGCACGCCGCGTCGCAGGCCACACGTCTGCGTCGAAGCGCAAGTCGAACATTCCGAGCAGCGTCGCGACGCCCAACACCCACACGGGCGTCGCGCCGCGCCCCGGCCACGCGCCCCGGTCCCGCATCGCCCGCCCAGGCAGCGCCGGGCCGCGCGGGCAGACCGCGACGCCGCAGCACCGCGCCGACGCGCAGGACGAGCCCGTGATGATGAGCATCAACCCCGTCTTCACCGACGTCGTCCGTCGCGTCTCCACCTCCCCGTCCCTCCAGCCCACAACCCCCAGCACGCCACCAGCAGCGGCTTCGCCCGCCACGCCGGCCCCCGGCGTCGCGGCCGCTCCGACCGCGCCGGTCGTCCCGCAGCAGCTCGCCGCGAGGGGAGGACGCACCCCCGCCGGGCCGATGGCCACTCCGCCGCTCGCCAGCATCGCGGAGGCCACGCCGCTGGCCAGCGCGGACATGACGGTGCCGGACTTTTCAACCCTCGCGGCCCGCCGGTCCTCGAGCGGGCTCTCCGACGCTGGCTCCACCGTGCCGATCGACGTGGTCGCCGCCGTCGCGATCCTCGGGCTCGCCGCGAGCGGCGTGGCGCTGGTGCTGGCGCGGCTGGTGCTTCCCGCGCACGTGCTGACGTTCAGCGCGCCCCGCGTGGCGGAGGCGCCGGCGGCCGCGTGGTCGGACGTGCTGCGGCGCGAGATCGACGAGTCCGTCCTCGTCACCGGGATGTCCAGCGCGCTCTCGCGCGCGGGCTCCGCGCGCCGCCACGTGCTCAGCAGCGCCAAGTGAGCCCCGAAACGCGCCGCACGCGCGCGTCATCCCGGCTGGGCACGCCTCGTCCCCCGCCGCTTGTCCTGCCGACCTCTCTCACGTCCGCTGCCCCCGCCGGGCCTGTTTCTCGTCGCAGGGGTCTTCTGAGCTGGACGGTGTCGTTGGTGCACGACGCCGAGGAGCTCCGCGCGCACCGCCTCGCGGAAATGGAGGCCATCAAGGCCGAGTTCCTCCCGCCGCCCCTCGCGGCCATCGCCCCGCCGCCAACCCCGCACGCAACCCTGTTCCCGGCAATACACCCCCCCCGCGCGGCGCTCCTCGCCCTCGTCGCCGCCACGGCCCTGCTCGCCGCCGGCGCGGCCTTCGTGCACCTGCGCTCGTCGCGTGCCGCCTGGACCGACGAGGGGGAGTCCGACTTGTACGACGGACCCCTCCCCTCGGGGCTCGACAGCGACGACGACTTCGGCGCGGACGACCTGCCCGGGGCGGCGCAGGCGGGCCGGACAGCGCGGCGCAGGAGCTCCGTGGCGAACTACGGCCTCGACACCACCGGCACGCCGCTGCGGAAGTGCTCACGCCTGCACCCGCGCCACGGCGCTGGCGACATGATCCTGCGCGACCTGCAGTGACGGCGGGGCGGGGCGCGATGTGACGACAGCGCGCCGTGAGTGTGCCGAGGGCCTGCGCTGCGTGTTCCGGGGTGAACTGAGGGAGGGGGGGGTGTGCCACCGCCAAAACAACCCTTGGGCCCTGTTGTGCGAGCTTGATGCCGGGCCGCGGGCTCGCCGCCGGCGAGTTTTCCTGCTGTGTGGCATGTGGAGTGTCGCGTGGGGCGGGAAACGGCGACGAGAGGCTGGCGTGCGCGACGCGGGGCCATGACAGTGCTGTGGGGCCTTGCTGCAGGGCACGCAGCGCCCGCTGTGGGCCGATGTACTCGTTCCGGCGCCCGAACGTGCAGTTATGTGTCATGTCATCCACCAGCGGCGCGCAACGGATTCGTTCGACGACGAATCCGCGCGAACGAGAGGCCGGGGCGCCCTACCTGCCAACCTCCACCGCGCCGCGCGTGCCGCGCCGTCTCTGCGGCCGCCGGCGGCCACCACGCAGCAGAACGATACTTCAACACGCGTGTCGGACCCATTGTGGTGCGGCGGCTCAGAAGGGAGCGCGTGGACGAGGCAACTGCCCTGCTGGAAAGGGCCTTCAATGGTGCGCGCTGCCACGACATGATTCGCGGCCTTGTTTGGGCGCTAGCGCTCCATGTTCCGACAACCTTCCCACCAGTCCGTTATCGCAGGGTTTGGTACCATTTCTGAGTCGGAAATGAGAGACATATTCGAGGAGCTGTGTTCGGAGGACGGCACCGGGGTGGCGCTGGCGGCGGACCGCGCGGACGACGACGAGATGGTCGGCGTCGTGTGCTTGTACCTCGACGAGCGCCACGTCTTCCCCCTGCAGGACGCGGCCTACTTGTCCAACATGGGCGTCGCGCCAGAGTGTCGCCGCGCCGGCGTCGCGTCGCGCCTGGTGCGCTCCCCGCGACCCCCACCGCCCGCACCTCACATCCGCGCCGCATCCTCGCCAGCGCCGCGTCGCCCCCCGCCGACCCAACTGGCCGCGGCGCCCTGACTCACGCCAGTACGTTGCGGGTGTTGTACCGTGCTGCAGCTCCGCGCGGTGGAGGACTACGCGGCGGCGGCGGGGCGCGAGCGCCTCTTCCTGCACGCCTACAACGAGGACGCCCCGGCGCTCGGGCTCTACAGCGCCGCGGGCTTCCACCTCGTGGTGCGTGAGGTGGCGGACGGGCACAAGCCGCGCCCGAAGACGCTCATGATGAAGCACCTGCGGCACAGAGATTCGGCGAGCGAGGGGGGCGCGCGGGACGGCGTCGCCGGGGGAGTGACACCCCGAGTTGTGCACGTGCCAGGCCAGCCGGGACTACGTGTCAGCCTTGGCGCGACGGGCGTGCGGGCGACGGCGGGCGCGTCCGAGGCGGGCGGCGGAGGCGGGGCGCGGCGGCCTGCGGCGGACCCTGCGTGGGCGGAGCGCTTGGCGAAGCTCAAGTTCAGGCAGCCCCTGGACGGTGGCGGGCACATCACGTTCGGCTTTGACGAGGAAGGGAACCTGCGCTGGGATTGAACTCGAGGTGTGTGAGGCGTCGGCGCGAGTGACTGCACGTACTGCGTATCTGCATGCCGAGGTGGCTGGGGCGGTGTCTAGGCACATCAGGGACGCTGGCGCAGCGGGAGGGTGCACGAGGGGCGGATGGGAAGCAGATGGGAAGGGGAGACTCGCGGCGCTCGATGCTCGCGGATCGCAGGCGTTCCTGTTCGTGAATTGCGAGAATCGGAGAAATCCACTCGCTACTGCACGACGTGAGAGACACCAACGATCGTCAATCACACCCAAACTGAGCACGATGCCAGCCATCGTTGCGCTGCGCCGGCGGCGAGGCCCTGGCCGCCAGACACCCCCCTACAGGGTCTGACTCATCTCCCGCACCAGCTGCAGCACGAGCGCGTCGAGGCGGCCCGCGAGCGTCCCGACCGGCTCGAATGTCCACCGCTGCGCCTCGCCGCCTGCGTCGCCACGCGTGCTCGCCGGCACGACCACCTCGTGCACGGGCAGCGCGAACCGCGACGTCGACGCGATCAGCGCCCCCTCCCAGCGCGGGGCCTCGGACAGCAGCGGCGGGCGCAGCTCCACGGGAATGTTCTCGCGCTTGCACGCCTCCAGCAGAACCGCACGAACCGTCCCGGGCAGAATGCCCTCGTCCGCGGTGACGACCTTGCCGTCCATGACCGCGAAGAAGTTCGACGAGAGCCCCTCGAGCAGCTCGAGGTCGCCGTTGCCGTCCGGGTGCGCCAGCACCACCTCCTGCGTGTCCTTCGCCTTGGCGGCCTCGAGCGACGTGCGCTGCTTCACCCACTCCGAGTCCTTCGCGAGGGCGTTCTGCCGCGGCGCGCCCATGACCTCGATCTTCACGGGCGGCGCCGGCCGCGAGCCCATCGGCGCGACGTGGCTCTGCACGCGCACGCTGTTCGGCCCGGCGGCGAGGTCCCACGTGACCAGGACGGTCAGCTTCAACTCCCCCCCGTAGAACTCGCGGGTCGAGAGGAACGACTTGACGGCGGCGCGCAGCGACTTGCGGACGCGCGGGCCGAGCTCCGCCTCGTCCGTCAGGCACTGGAACTGACTCAGGCGGTCGTCCGGGGCGGGGGCGTCTTCGGCGCCGGCGTTGACCGCGGCGGGGACGGCCTCGGGCGCGACGCCCAGCTGCTCGGCGAGCATCAGCCGCGCGGACGTCGCCAGGCGCGTGATGTGGAAGTCGAGCTCCAGCACCTGCGGCAGCGCGAACGACGGCCCGCTCAGTGCACAGCAAAAGCAAGGGGGTGGACGTGTGGGTCAGACGGGCGTCCGATGTGCCCGGGCGCGGCCGAACACCGTGGCTGCGGCGCACCATGTTCTGGTCGACGGTGCGGGCCGTGGTGTAAGCCCCGCTGGGGGACTCCTTCAGCCAGGTGCCCGGGTCGGTCTGGCAGGGCCGCGCGTCGCCCTCGACGGCCAGGGTGTACGGGTACTGCTCAAGCGCCATTGCGCTGGACCCGTTCTCGGCCGAGCGGGCGACGAAGCGAGCGCGCGAGCTCGCTGCGGGGAGCGCCGCAGCCTGCACGCGCGGCAACAAGCAGGGGCTCGTCAGTGGCCGCGAACGCGCAAACGGATGTGCGACAAGCTCCGAGCGGACGCCGGGTCGTTGGGGAGGGTGATATGCTACAAATACGGAGCAGACGGTGCGCCAACTGGGTGTCAGGCGTACCGGCGAAGCAGTGGCCGTGCACTCGAGCGGGCGCTGTGACGCGGCTCCCGCGCAAAACGCGGGACGGGGGTGGACGAGCGGGTTGACTTGGCGGTGAACTAGGTGGGTGCTGCGGAATGTGGCCGCGAGGCTGCAGAGCGGCGACAAAATCGACCGCCCAACAGTCATGGCAACACGAGCCTCCGCCGCGGCCTGAGGGCGCTCACGAGCTGCGTGTATTACGGCGCGTGTGTGGAGCCATGCCCACGCCCCGCAACGTCGCACGGTCACATCGGCCCGTGGGCTCGCGTCGTGGGGGGAGTCATCATCTCCAATCTCCCCCCCCAGTCAGGACCGCTGCGACGCACTGCGACGCCCGGCGAGCGCCGCTTCGTTGCTTTGTGATCAGGGGTGGCCGTGCAGATCGCCTGCGTCGCGTACGTCGGCCCGCGGGCTGAGGTGGGGGTCTGCTTGCTGCTCCAAAGAGAGGACGAGAGCTGAGGTGCAGGTTGGGGCGGCTGAGCGCGTCGCCATGGTGCCGTGGAGATGGATTTGTGGAGCCGTGGCATTGCTGCTGGTGCTCCCGGGCGGGACCGTGTCGGCTGTGGCGCCGTACGCCAGCACGGGAGCGCGTCGGGCCAAGGCCGTAGCGGGGCGCGTGTGGGACAGTCTCATGGGAAGAAATGTCTACGATGGCAGAGATGACGCTCACTCCCTCGCGGCAGTCATGCGTGCCGTGTCCACGGATGTCGGGAAGGTGAGTTCACGGACGAAGAAGTTGCGCTAGCAGCTTTTCCGGCCGGCTGGGGCCCATCGCTGCGCGTGGCCGGCCATTTTCCATTCGCCACGTATGTCACTGGATCTGAGTGAACCGCAGACAATCGTGGCGGGCCCTGAGCGGCGCGTTTTGCGTCCTCCCGCCTCTTAGTGCTGCAAATGCTTCTCGCCGTCCACGCGCGGGCGCTGCAGGTCGCGAGCATCATCGACGAGCATTTCCGCGAAGAGATTCGCGCGTGCGAGGCCCGCGCGGAGCTCACGGGCGCGGTCACGGCGTGTCCTGCCAGGGAGGCTGCGCGCACCCTTCAAACGCGGTTGATGCACGAGGCCTCGAAGGGGGCCGCACGGGTCGAGCAGTGGCTGGACACCGTCCTCAGCGTGTACCACTTCCTCACGCCGTTCGTCGTGCTGGCCGTCGTCATGCGCGCGCTCGCGACTGGGCCGCCGGAGCCCTCACACGCCGTTGTGGCGCCTCAGCCGCTGTCCAGACAGCCCAGCCAGCACAAGCTGGCGGCCCCGGGGGCCGCGTCGGCGCGCTCCTCGGCCGACACGCGCCCAGCGGACCCCGTGGACGGACTCGAGTGGGAGGCCGACACGGAAGACGAGGATTCTCGACTGCGCCGCAACGCCAAGGTCAAGGTCGCGCACGAACCGATGGAGCCGCTCGTGGCGGGCCTCGGCTGGGGGCTGCCGCTGCACCCGATCGTCGAGGGCCCTGACGGGGGCGAGTCGGACGCGTCTGCGTCCCCGGAGGAGATGTTGTCGAGTCAGGAGGTAGAAAAGATAAAAACCGCTGTCAGGTCCCCCGGGCGAGGCGCCAAGACCGGCGGCGGCGGACGCGCGCGCGCGGGGTCCTACGGCGCCGCGATGCGCGTGCGCCGCCGCGGGGGTTGGCACTGAGGGGCCCCAACGTCATACCTGTCGCCATCAGGCGCGCGGGGTTCCTCAGCCCCGCGTCGGGGCGATCTGCCCGCGCCGCACCGCACCTGCGTGGCGCTTACAGGCACGACCGAGCGGGGGCCGTTGTGGAAACAGCATCAACCAGCACGGAACATGCCATCATAGAACATAGGATATCATATATGCCGGGTTGCATCACCACAAATAGGTCAACACGGCAGCTACATCGAGTGAGCAACAGGTGTAGGCTCACACGTGGATCGCAAAGCAACTGTGACGCCCGCAAGACGACCCCGCGGCCCCCGGGTCCCCCCACAGCAGCATCACTGCCGACGCGCCCCGGGGGCCTGCGAGGCGGCCCGCGTGCCGGGACCCCCGCGGCGAGACGCAGAGCCCTGCGCGTCACTTCTTCTTCCTGCCCGCGGTGCCGGCCGCGAACTGGTCCGCGGAGAGCTTCTGCAGGTTGGCGTACGACTGCGACTTGGCCTTGCGCGCGAACGTGCGCTTCCCGAGGATGGTCCGGACCGTGGAGTGGAAGTTCCCCAGCGCGAGGATGACGACGATGACGCCCACGATGGTCAGCGAGCGGCACCCGCGGAGGTCTGCTGAGTCAGCGGTGATCTCCAGATAGCCGTTGATGTTGAGCAGCGCGTGGTAGTTGCCCCGGACCACGAGCGCGCCCACGAACGCCTCGAAACCCTGCGCGGGCGGCGGGGAACGGACCGCGGCTGAGACTGCGCTGCGTTGCATGTGCGCTGCGAGAGGAGACAACAACCGCCCCCCGCGCAGCTGGTGGAGGCGGACACGCAGCTCGGGCGTCCGCGGCGCGGCTGTGTGTCTGCCGCGTGAGGCAAGCCTTTCGAAACGTTGCTGCGGGCGTGGGAGTCGCGTGAGCCGTTTGCGTAGCACCGCAGCGTGCTGTGCCCTGCCGTGCGCGGCGGGGGCGTGCCTGGAAGGCGAAGAGGAGCGGGTAGAGCAGCAGGAGCTGCCCCGCTGCGCCGGAGGACTCCCCGGACACCACGTCCATCGCGCCGCTCTTGCCCACTGCCACGCGCGCATACATCCGCTTGCGCTGGTAGCGGTTCTGCATCATCATGACCAGCCCCTGCGCGCATCCACCGTGTCGAGCGATTCAGTGCGCGCTCGCCGACGACTGCTGGCACGCGCGGCCTGTCGCCTCGCCGGCCGTGGGACGCTCGGCGGCGTGCGCGCTTTCTGTTGGCAGTGCGGCGAGACGGGCGCTGCGGGGGCTGTGCGGCGGCACCTGGATGAGCATGAGGAGGAGGAAGGGTCCCGTGAAGGAGACGGTGGCGGTGGAGTCGATGGGGAGCGTGATGATGACAATCACGGCGAACAGGCTGATGTAGTGGTGCAGGATCCACCAGGGACGGATGTGCGAGCCGTTGACGACGAGCACGTTCTCCCGCGCGGCGATCGCGGTGTAGAAGAACGCCAGCCAGACCTCGAAGATCTGCGTGAGCGTCATGACCACCGGCGTGAAGCTCGGCAGGCCCGTCTCGGAGGGGTCCGAGGTGGTCGCGCGGTGCCAGAGGTAGAGCAGGAGGGCCGCAAAGAGCGTCATGATGCTCGCGGAGCGGTCGCGGAACGAATGGTACTCCTCCTTGATCGCCAGCGACTCTTCCTTGGACACTGCGCCACAAGCGGATGACAACCGGGGTCGTGCCGCGGCGCGCGTGCCGCGCTCCGGTGCGGGAACGGGGAGATCGCTCGAGGTCCATGCGGCGCGCCGACGCCGGTGGCGGTTGCGGGACCGGGCGGCCGCGAACGCGGGAGATGATCCACGGCGGGAGCGGCAGGGTGGCTTCGGGGCTCGCACCGGACATGACGTTGGTCTTCGCGCCGAGCATCGTGGTGAGCAGGAACCACTTTGGGCGCTTGGTGCCCCCGCCGTGCGCGTAGCGGCGCAGGTCGCCCCCGGGCCCCGCGCCGGTGTAGATGTTCATGGCCACATCCGCCTGCCTCCGGGCGGCCAAGGAGACCGCGTCGTAGTCGCCCTTCCGGCCCTGCTTGTCGAGCTTCCTCGTCAGGTTCGTGATCTCCTCGTTGAGCTGCTTGGCTTGCGCTGCGCGGAGAAATCCCCCGTGAAAGACGGGTGAGATATGTGCCGCGACGCGCCGCGATGCTGGGCCGCCACGCTCGACGAGGCGTCGCGATCGAGAGACGCAGTTGACGGAAACGTTGCAGAACGCATGTACGCGCAATGTGGCGTGGGGGTCGGACGCAGCGCCACGAGGAAGGGAACTCACCAGCCAGCGACGCCAACTCCGTGCCGTACTTGCGCTCGAAGTGGTCGATCTTCTCCGAGCAGTTCCTACTCCTGACGACAAGGCTCTCGGCCTGCGAGTTACGGCAGGCGCGCCGACGACATCACCGAGGCAGCAGCGCTAGTACCCGGGGCGAAGCCACGGGCAGACATGGCGTGCGCCACCGATATTTCCCAACCCTGAGATCACATTGTCACTCGAGATTCCGAAACAGGCAGCGGGAGCTCGCCGGAGCGCGATGCTGCGTGCGTGCGGCCGTGTGTATCACCTCGCCAACGATATCGTCGCTCATCGCGCCTTCCACGGCTGAGTCCGCCGCAACGGCCTCGGAGGAGAGCGTTCACAGCCCAGACAAGGGATCGGCGTCGCACGCACGCGGCTTCAAGCCCGGCCCCGTGCGTTGAAGCACAATCTGTGCAATAGGTGCAGTCTGCCGCCCCGGTTCACGTCTTTTGTCGCAGTTGAAGGAGCCGTCCGCTCGCATTTGTGCCGCTGTAGACCAAACTGGCCGGCAATCAGCGCGGCGGGCCGTCTGCCGGCCGCGGGCGATGTCGGTCATGCAGGTATACATCCCATGTGGTGAAGCGAGGCCGGCCGGCTACGAGGGCTGCGAGCGTTGGGACGTAGGGCACACACTTTGTTCGCCGTGCCGGTGGCGAGGACGCGGAAAGTTCGCGGTGGCTGCGACCGCCAAGCGAGGCATCTGTTGACGGTGAGCAGCATCGCGCTGAGGGCGCACACCGGCGCGTCAGAGCAGATCTAACGCGTTCTCTCGCTTCTCTATCATCTGTGTTCTCTCGAACCGCACACTCATCCATGTGTTCGCCGCCTGTCAGACCCACAATGCGGAGCCAGCGCGTGACTAGCACGCTGGCCCAAAGACGGCCTCCCAGCGACAGCAGCGCGGTCCGCCGACGCAGTTTCATCCACCGCTCCCCGTAACTACATGCATCGTCTGCGCCACGCTCGTATTTCAGCGGCATAGTTCGTCAGACAGCCCCCCCGGCACGCACAACGAAGCCGAGCATTGTTACCTCTCACCGCGAGCCCCGCACCCGCACCGCGCGGCCCGCCAGCGCCCCGTCCTGCGCCCCAACGGTCGGACACTCCTCGAACTCGCAGTCGCAGATAGACTCCGCGCGACGGGCGCCCGGACCGACTCGGCGAGCTGCCCCTGCGACAAGGAGCACCATGCACCCACACCGCCAGCGCGGACCGCCGCCGCCGAGCGCGCCGTACCCCGGCACCGCCCCGCCGCAGGACTTCTCCTTCGCCCGGCACCACGCGGCCCCGTTGCACCCCTATTTCGCGGCCCGCGGGGCTCCTCGCCAGATGCTGCCCGGACACATCGCCCACGCCCACGCCGCGCACGGCTTCCCTCCGCAGCGCCACTACTTCCCCTCCGAGAACTTCGCGGCGTACGGCGCGCCCGCCCACGGCCCCGCGTGCGCCCGCGCGCACCCGCACGCCCATTACTGGCCCGGCACTGACGCCAACGCCCGCTTCGCCGCGGCGGGCGCGCCGGAGCGGCCGCGGAGCCGCAGCCCGCCCCGTGACAGACCAGGGCAGGCGTCCTGGACCGCTGACCTCGCGCACGGCCGCGGTTTCAGCCCTCTCAAGCCCATCCAGCCTCAGGCACACACGGCGCCATACCCGCCCGCGGCCCCCACGTTCCCGGGGTTCAACGCGGTGCCTGCGGCCCCCAGCGGCGCTGTCAGAAAGCCAGGTGCGATTCTGCGCGGACCTGCGTGCGCCGACGGCGCGTCGCCGGCGCCGAACGTGCCTTGACAGCAACGCGGTGCAACGCGCGCGTGTTGTCTCGTGCGTGACGTGGCGCAGGTGCGGGCCGCGGATCCGCGGCGACGCTGCGCGCGGCGGGCGTGCAGCGGGCGCCGCTGCCGGAGAGCGCGCTGGCCCCCGGGCCGCGGCCGCGGCCGAGCGCGCTGGTGGACAAGTCGCCTCATGTGCTGACGAGCCGACTGCGGGAGGCGCGGACGGCGGCGCGCGTGTACGAGCTGGTCGCGGCGCACTGGGAGTTCCTCAACGGCATTCACCTCGCGGCCGCGGCGTGCAAGCTCGCGCGGCTCGCGGGGCCCGCGCAGGCCGACCGGTCGAGGTACGCGGCCAGCCAGACCCGGATTTTCGACTCCCGAGCTGCTTTTCCAGACTGCGCCGCGGCAGGCGGGCGAACGAGGGGCCGACGCGCCGCTGAACCGCTGCGTGCCTCCGCCGATCCCACGCAGGGACCACACGTCGGCGCTGTTCGCGGCCATCGTCCGCGAGGCCTGCAGCGCGCAGCTGTCGTCGCGGGAGCTGAGCAACATTGTGTGGAGCTGTGCCAAGGCCCGGGAGACCCTCGGCGCGACGCCCGTGGACGTGCTGGAGTCGCTGACGCGGCAGATCGAGGAGCGGGCGCGGGACACGGACGCGCAGGCGGCCGCGAACGTGGTGTGGTCGCTGGGGCGGCTGAACCACGCGCCCCCCGCGGGGCGCTGGCGCACGTTCCAGGCCACGGTGGCGGCGAACGCGCGCGACATGAACGAGCAGGAGCTGAGCAACGCGCTGCACGGCATCGCGACGCTGAGCGCGCAGGCGGAAACCGACCGCGGCTGCGTCGCGACAATCGTCGCCGAGGCGCTCCGCAAGCTGGACGAGTTCTCGCCGCAGGGCCTCGCGAATACCATCTGGGCGCTCGGGAAGCTGCAGATGCACCCGGGCGACGCGTTCCTCGGCAGGGTGGCGCAGGCGCTGGGCGAGCAGGCAGCGGCGTTTACGACGCAGGCGCTAGCCAACATGGCGCACGGAGTGGCGTGGCTGGGAGGGACCCCGCACGCCGGTCTGTGGGGCGTGCTGTCGCAGGAGCTCGTCGCGCAGGCGTCGCGGATCGCCCCGGCGGGCGCGGCGACGCTGCTGCAGGCGCTGTGTCAGGGGGGGGTGTTGCGGCTCCCGGCGGACCAGGCGGTGCTTGACGCGCTCGCGGACCGCGCGCTCAGCGACGGTCCGTCGGCGGCGCAGCTCGCCGCGGTCGTCTGCAGCCTGCGTCGCGCCAAGCACGTTCCGGGGGGGGACTGGGCCACGAGGGCAGGGGGGGTGTTGCAGCGCAGCCTCCCGGGAGGGCTGTCCGCGACGGAGGCCAGTCTGACTCTCCAAGCACTTGTCGACTTCGGCGTCGTCGACGAGTCCAACACGTCGGTCGTGGTGCGGCCCCGCAGCCAACTTGTGTCTGACATCACACCCCCGTGGTGAGTGACTTACCTCCGCGCTCAATGCTTCCGCCCCCCTGTCTGCAGGACGCGCTCCTCGACGTGATCGGGCGCGACGCGGCGGCGCTGGACGCGCAGGTCGCGGCAGGGGTGGTCCGCGCTCTCGCCGGGGCGCGCTTCGTGCCCGACGCGCGCTTCGTGGCCGCCGTCCTGCCCCGCGTGATCGACAACGTCGCCTCCATGCGCGCGGACGACGTCGTGCAGTTCGCCTTCGCCCTTGCCGCGACGATCCTGGCCACCGACGACCCTGCGAGCCGCAGCCGGCTCCCCGCCCACAGCGCGGAGCGCCTCTCCGCGCGGATCGTGTCCGCAGCCCCGGAGCTCTCCGGCGACGCCCTGGTCAGCGCGGTGTGGTCACTGTCCGCGCTGGACCTCCTCGCGCCGGCCCACTTTGTCGCGCTGGCCAGGGAGGTGCTCAAGCGCGAGGCGCGACCGGCCGGGACCGTGCCTGGGGCGTGCGTGCCGAGCACACACGCATGTCTGCTCTTCCAGGGCTTCATCGCGAAGGAGGTCGAGGTGCACGGCCTGCAGAAGCGCGGCGAGCTGCCAGAGGATGTCCACGCGGCGCTGTGCGTGTGGCGCGAGAAGTGGGTCGCGTCGCTGGCGTCGCAGGCCTCGCCGCTGCGGGACGCGCAGTCCGCGGCGCTCACGTCGCTCGGTGTCGCGCACGCGACCAACTGCTGGACCCTGGACATGCTGCTGCCTCTCGACTGCCTGCTGCTCCGCACCGGGGCGGCGACCGGGCCGCAGGTGGACGCCTTGCGCGCCACGTTCGGCCGCGGACCGTCGGGGGAGGCGCCCGTCGAGGTCGAGGTGCGGCGCGGGATGCAGATGCCGCACGAGTGCGTGGTCCTTCTGGCGACGTACCGAAGGAACACGGCCGTGAACGTGCCTGGCAAGGCGATCGGGTGCACTGCGATGCTTGCGCGCCAGCTGCGCCTGCGGGGCTGGACCGTCCTGACGGTCTCAGAGGTGCGTCGCCCTGCCACGTCCGCTGCCGGCGCGCTTGCCACGCGAACGCCACACGGTGGCCCTGACCGGTGCGACGAGCTCCGCGGCGGCTCCGCGCAGGTCGGGTGGGGCAGCCACGAGCACGACGCGTGGGGCCGCGTGGAGGCGCTGCGCGCGCAGTTGGCGCAGGTCGACCCCCAGCTCTGCGCACACGCCCCCGCGCTGTCCGGCGCGCTGCGTCCCGCGGCGCCGCCCGCGATCACCACCCCCGCGCGCCCGCCGTCCGACAGGCGGCCGCGCATCGAGGACCCTGCGGACCTGTTGACCGCAACGCTCTCCCTTACCAGCCCGGGGCCCGCCGTCGCGACGCCGGCGCCGCACGCGGGCCAGGGCTACACCCCGAAGCCTCCCCACGGCGACGCGGTGGCGCTGGTGTCGCCGTGCGCGAACCTCGCGTCGCCCGGGACAGCGCTGCCGCGGTACTCCTTGTTCCCCGACAACACGCCGCTGCTGAAGCGCGCCAAGGACGCGGTGGTCGCGTGAGCCGCGCTCTCGATGTGCGGGTCAGGAGGAGGCAGACGCGGGGCCGCGACGGGAGGGAGCGGTCGGCTGGGGAGGGGTTTGCATGCGCAGTGCGATCTGACGGTATACGTGCGGTGTTGAGGCCCTGGGAACGCGCGACACGATGTGACGCAGTCTCTTAGCGCTTCCTGAAGCGTGCCACGCGGCATGCGAGCCGCCACGGCGACTCAGTCGCTGAGCTCCACTGCTGGTGGGGCGCGGAAGTCACTGTGTGGTCCACGTGCCACCGTGTGTGGTTCAGGGGCTCGCGGGAGGGGGATCCGCCGCCGTCTTCGAGCGCGCGGTGCACGGTGACGCGGGGCCACGGCGCTCCGAGGTGCGCGGAAGTTGGCGGGCGCGGTAGTTGAGCCGAGTAAGGGCCCTGCGGGGTACTTTCCAGCACGACCCCCCGGGCGCGGCGCTGTGGGGCTGGCGGCGTAGAGCAGCTCGGTAGAAATGTGCACCGCACAACAAAGCGTCCGTTCCGGTTCTGCAAACAAAGCTAGCGCTGCTACCTGCTGCTGACTAGGACACGCGTCCCGCGCGCAGGGTGTCGCCAGTCTCCGCGCTCCCGAGGGTAGCCCGGGCCGGGTTTGTGATCTGAGGCACAACGTCGTGCGGCGAGGCGGTCGAAATAAGGCTTCTGTGGCGTGGAAAGGCGACGGAATGAGTGCATTTACGCTTTCTCAGGCAAGCTCCCATCACGGACGTTATCACACCTTTCTCGCACGCACAGCCGCTTCCTTGACATGAATAGTGCGAGAAACCCGCCGTGAACCTGCGATGCGCGGCCTGCACGCGCGGTCCGAGCCGCCCCTGCCTGCCCCTCACCATCCTCCTCCCGGGGCCCGTCACGGCGGCACCGCAGGCGGGAGTGGGCCTGCTGGGCTCCTTGGCTCAATCCGCCCCCGCCGCGATCGCCGCGATGCGCCTCGTCCCCGCGGCGTCGCGTATGTTCGCGTCGAGCTCCGACAGAAGCAGGAGCACCCCCACGCGCTCGCCGGAGCTCTTCGCGTCGACGTTCGGCGACATCGACGCGACGGACTACAGCGACGCAGCGCGACCCGTGCAGAACTTCCTCGGGCTCGGGTCCGTCCACATGCCGCAGGCCCTCAACACGGAGGAGCCCTGCACCGTCACCATCGCGGGCGGCGGCAACTCCGCGCACGTCGCCGCGGCGGTGCTCGGAAGCAACCCCTCCTTCCAGGTCCGCATGTGGAGCACCCTCGACGGCGAAGCAGCCCGCCTCAATCACGCCATTAAGGTGAGACGCACACCTGTTCCAACCACCCCCGATGGTCCATCCGCGGCCCCGGCGCGCCCCCGCACGCACCCTGGCCCGCGCGCCCCCCGGCCCTCCGCCCCGATCAGGGCTACCCCGCGCGCCCACCCCGTCCGCGTCCCCCGCAGAGCTCGGGCGGCCTGATACGCTGCTCATACAGCGACGGGAAGCCGCCCACTTCGGGGCGCGTGGCCTTCGCGACCGCGGACCCCGCCGAGGCGCTCGAGGACACCGACATGCTCCTCCTCACCGCGCCGTCGTACACCCACGCGCAGTTCCTCCGCCACGCCGCGCCGCACCTGCCCCGCGAGGGCCTCTACATCGGCGCCACGGTCGCGCAGGCCGGGTTCGACTGGATGGTCCACCGCGCCCTCCGCGACGCCGACGTGCCGCTCCCCGAGGCGCTCACCATCTTCGCGTTCGAGATCCTGCCGTGGATCTGCCGCCTCGACGAGTTTGGCAAGAGCGTGCGCGTGCTCGGGACGAAGCGCGCGCTCGACATGGCCGTCGAGCCGCGCGTGTACGGCCCCGCGGTCGCGGACATGATGACCGCGCTCTTCGCCGAGCCCGTCTGCCGCAAGTACCCGGGGGGCCTCCGGCGCATGTCGCACCACGCCTACCCCAAGTTCGCCGCAGTGCCGTCCTTCATGGGCCTCAGCCTCATGAACGTCGGCGCCGTGTGGCACCCGTGCCTCATGTACGGCCGCTTCAAGGACTGGGACAAGTCCACGCCCTTCCAGGAGCACCTCCGCCTGTCGAAGCAGATTGAGCCCGCCACCTCCCAGCTCCTCAACAGCGTGTCCGTCGAGATCCTGGCGATCCGCGCGGCGCTCGAGGACCGCGACCCGACCATGGACCTCACGAACGTGTCGCACATCTTCGACTGGATCCTCCGCGCGTACCCGGGGGACATGGCCGACACCTCCGGGCTGGCGCGCGCCATCGAGACCAACGCCGCGTGGCGCACGCTGCGGCACCCCATGATCCAGCGCGACGGCGGGTGGTTCCCGGACAACGCCTCCGCGTACTTCTCAGGTCCGCCGCGCCCCTGCTACCGCTACATAACCCCCCCCCCAAAGTACCCCCCTTCGCCCGTCGAGTGCCGCACGCACGACCTGCGCCCGCGGTCCGACGCCCGACCGCGCCCCCGGTGCGCCGCCTGGAACGCAGAGGACATCCCGTGCGGCCTGGTGCCCATCCGCGGGCTGGCACAGCTCCTTGACGTGCCGACGCCGCACATCGACGAAGTGCTGACGTGGTGCCAGGACATGATGGGGAAGGAGTACCTCGTCGACGGGCAGCTCGTGGGCCGCGACGTGCGCGAGACGCGGGCCCCGCAGGCGTACGGCGTCACCTGCGTGCGCTCCCTGCGCAGCGTCGTGAGCGCGCCCGTGGCGCAGACGGCCGGCGGGTACAGCGGGATCTGAGCGGCCGCCGGGACCGCGGCGCGGGCGCGCTGGTGGATGTGACCGCGTGCGTGAGCGCTTTCCGTGTGTCGCAGCGCCGGGGCGTACTACCCTGATGATGTCATGCGTTAGGGCCAGGTGGTCATGCGCGGCGGCGGGGCGGCCCGACGTAGCGCGCGGGCGGCACGACGCACGGGCAGTTGAGAACTCGATCATTTCTTTTTCGAACGTACCGTGCGACTGTGTCGATCGGGGTCGTGCCGCGGAGCCGTCGTCTGTGTGGCACACGAGCGTGCTCTGGCAGCCGCGTGTAGGTGTTAGCGGCGCCCGCCGCGATAGCGTGGGTCTGCAGGGAAGATGTTGAAGTGCTTCCTGTGCATGGCCGGAGGGCTGGACCGGCCAGAGCGCGACGGGTGCGTCCCCGAGAGCCCCTCGCGGTTCGCGCGGGTCACCGCCGCCGCCTCGCGGAGGCCGGCGCCCCCGCTTGTCGCGCTGGTCATGTCTCTATCTTGTCGCGCACCCGCGCCGTGGGAACCCTGCGCAGGGAGAGCACAGCCCCCCGCACGGGCCTCGTGCCCTTTTCCTTGGCGTGCAGGAAGGAGCAAAAGGACGCGGCGAACCAGTTCACGCAGCTCGGGTACGGCAAGGCCGACGTCGCTGCGCTCAAAGCCGAGGCGCGCAAGATGTCGGTTACCGGCCGGCGGCAGAGCGAGATGATGATGCAACAGAACATAGGGAGGCTGCGGGCGGGGTCCGCGCTCGACATGAACGACGTCGGCGTCGTGCAGGGCAGCGGCGCAAGGTACGCTGCCGTGCGTCTAGCCGCTGCTCGCCGGGCGCAGCCGCTGGTCTGTCACGCAGACGTGCGCGACACCGTGCCCACGTCCTCCTGGCTGCCCGTGCGCTCGCAGTCGAAGGATGCGGCGACCTGGCATGCAGTCCACGATGGTGGTGGAGCAGAGTGCCGTCAGGTGAGCACCCGGGCGCAGCAACTCCGCGCCGTGCGGGCCGCCACGCGGCCGCGCCCCACAGTTGGTGGTCTAGGCTGCGCCGAGCGCCGGTCGCCAACGCCGCAGTCGTCTTTCTCTGTCTGCAGCCGCTCAGCGAGGTCTAACCGTCGGATGACGGCCATGGGCATGAACGGAGGGCGCGGGCCAAGCAACAGGGACGTGCTCGGTGGCGCCCCAGGCCCAGGGGGCGCGAGGGGCGGGCGGGGCGAGAGCCGCTTGAGCAACATGGGCATGGCCGCCCGCGGGGCCAGCCTGACGGGAGGCACCTCTCGCACGACTCCAGCGCCGCGGCTGCCCCAGCGGAGGCCGGACGGTGCGCTAACTGCCCGCGCCGCGCACCAACCGCACGCCTCCGCCGCGCCTGCGCCTGGCTCACCGCGCGCGACGCCCGGCGCCCTGCAGACCGCGGACCGCGCGACAACCGCGCCCAGATGCAGCGGCTGATGAACGAGGACTACGACTTCGCGCCGCGGCGGCAGGACGACGCGGACGAGGAGGCCTATTACGAGCCGCTGCCGGACCGCGGCGGGCCGCGCAGGAGCGACTCGGCGTACGTGGGCGAGGACAAGGTCTCGAACCACGAGGGCCCCGAGCGGGAGAGCGGGAAGGTGACGCGGGCCAACGGGAGCACGCAGGGGGTGCTGGAGGAGGCGCGCGGGGACGATGGGCGCCGGGACGACGACAGGCGGCGTCCGGATGACCGCGTGGACACCCGCGATGCGCAGCGGTACAGCGAGGAGCGCGCACGCAACAGCCGGGACATGCGCCCCGGCAGCAACCACGACAGCTACGATGACCGCGACCGGCGCAGGGACGACCGCGACCGGTACGACGACCGCGACCGGCGCAGGGACGACCGCGACCGGTACGACGACCGCGACCGGCGCAGGGACGACCGCGACCGGTACGACGACCGCGACCGGCGCAGGGATGACCGCGACCGGCACGACGACCGCGACCGGCGCCGCGACGACGACAGGGACCGCTACGACAGGGACAGGCGCCGCGACGATGACCGTGACCGCTACGACGACCGTGACCGTGACCGTGACCGGCACGACAGGGACCGCTATGACGACAGGTACCGGCCGGACAACCGCCCCCGCAAGGTCGACAGCCGCGACCGCTACGACGACCGCGCCCGGGGCAGCCGGAGCGGCGGCCCCTCGCGCGACGAGGGTTACCGGCACCGTGGGAGCTACGGCGACCAGCACGAGCAGCGGGACTCGCGCGGGAGCTATGGCGACCAGCAGCAGGCGCGCGGGAGCTACGGGGACCAGCAGCAGGCGCGCGGGAGCTACGGGGACGCGCAGTACGCGCGCGGCGGCGCGTACGACCACTTGGACGTGCAGTCCACGGGCCCGCGGGGCGGCGGGAGCGGCGTCCGCGCCCGGGCGCGCCGCGGGCAGTCGAAGCGCGACTCCTTTGCGGCCATCATCCAGGGCGAGGTGCGGCGCAACAGCGTGACGGCGGCCACGTGCCGCGACGCTATGCGCGCCGGCATCGCCGCGGGCGCGCGTAGCGGGCAGTCGTTCTCGGGCAAGAGCCGCGGCAGCGGCATCAACGGCGCTCGCAGCGGAGGCTCGTTCACCGGGCGCGCCGCGATGAACATGCGCCAGGAGCTGGGCTTCGCGGGCCCCAGCCGGCGCCAGGACCCGTCCTCTGGCGCGTCACAGCGCAGCCGGGGCGTGCCGGGCGCGCGCTCTCGGCTTGGGCCAGTCAATGCCGCGGCGGAGGGTCGCCGGATGACAATGCAGCCGGATGACGACGAGGAGCTCGCGACGCGCACGTCACTGCCTGTGCCCGACGGCGCGCGCCGCAACGGGCCGGCGCCGGCGCCGCGCGGCGCGGCGTCGAGCAGGGACGTGGCCCCGCGGAACGACTACGGGGGTCGCCCGAGGGACCGCGCCGCTGCGACGCGCGCCGCGTCGTGGCAGAAGCAGCAGGAGGGCGGCGGCAGCACCCACGACGCACCAGACTCCACGAGGAGGCCCAAACCTACGCGTGTGGCGTCCTGGGAGGACCCTGACGAGAACGCAGAGGACGACCACTTCCGCGAACTCGTGACGACGTGACAGCGGCCCACCCAGCCGCCCCAAGACAACCCGCCCCCCTCGCCCCCCCCTCCCACCCCACTACCCACATGCCATCGTCGGTCCCGGGCCTCGGGGCGCACCCACAGAGATTGCGGTGCCTTTGGGCAAGAGCGCGAGGCGCCGCGTCCTCAGGTAGCATCGACATTCTAGACAGCAACGTTCAGACCCTAAAGATATCTCGAACGACGAATCGACCACGCAACCACCCAGAACCCCCCCCCTTGCGACCGGAGAACGCCCCCCTCCCCCCCTCCTTTCTCCGGAGCCGTGTTCGACGTTACGGACTGCCCGTTGTGCTGCTCGCTGCCTCGTTGTATCGTCGACGGCCCGCCCGGTCGGCTCGCTAGAGCTTGGAACCACTCAGGGCAACTGCCCCGACGTAGGAGGACTCGGTCGTGGCCGTGCGAGCATCATTGACCTGCCGCCTCGCCACCAGTTACCCTCGCGCCTCGACGCGCATCAGGCGGCACGTCGCCATTGCCTGAATCATATCCTGCAGGTTCACACCGCCACAGGTGCCTATGAGTTGTACGCGCGAGTGCCGGGCCCCGGCAGGCCTGGAGCACCAGGCCGGGATGCTCCGCCGGGGCGCCAAACAGATGGCTAGCTTAGGGAACAGCTTCTGCGAGCGCTTCTGCGCAAGCGTTGAGCCACCTAGGTTTTGTGGCTGCGTTGTGAAGGCCGCATCTTAACGCCTCTTCGACGAGACGCCGCCTCGCCTGGGCGTTTGGGCCAGCCATCACTCAAAGCACATCGATCTTCCCTGCCGCTCGCACCGCGCCGGTCCTGCCCGAATCGGACTGTGCTCTGCCACCGCGACCACGCCGGGCAGCCAACACACGCAGCTGACAACAGTCGAGAGCCCGTCACAGCGCCCCGGCGCGGCTCGGCGCGGGCCTACACGAGCTGCTTGAGGGCGTCGCCCTGTCCCTGGAAGAACACGAAGGAGAGGATGAAGTCTGCGATGAAGATCATGACCAGCGAGATCACCACGGCGGAGGTCGTGCTCTCGCCGACGCCCTTCGCGCCGCCCGTCGTCGTGAACCCCCACGCGCACGACACCACCGAGATGATCCCGCCGAACACGATCGACCTGCGAGCGGGGCCGCACGGGGCGCGGACAGGCGTTCCCTCCGCCCGCCATGCCAGCACGGCGCAACGAGCGCTCGAGCGCCGCCGGAGCACGCGGGGCGGGTTCGGGCCCGGGCGCGCACTTGAGGTTCGAGGAGATGAAGTCCCACGCGGTGAGCGCGCGGGCCGCGGAGTCGAGGATGACGTTGGCGTTGACGCCGTACATCATCTGCGCGAGCAACACGCTGCCCGCGATGCCCATGCACAGGCAGAGGGTGTTCAGGACGGGCAGCGCGACCATGCACGCGAGGACGCGCGGCGTGACGAGGTAGTCGACGGGGTCCGTGTTGAGCACGCGCAGCGAGGCCGTTTGCTCCGAGACCTGCATCGTGCCCAGCTCGGCGGCGAAGGCGGAGCCGACGCGGCCGGCGAGGATGATCGACGTCACCACAGGGGTCAGCTCTCGCGCGAGCGCGAGCGAGAGGACGCCTCCGACCGCGCGCGTAAGGCCTAGCTTCGCAAACTCCCTGCAACACACATACATACACATACACCGGGCGCGGGTTGGGGGGTTCGCCGAGGGCGTGCCTCGCGGGCCAGCGGGCGGGCTGTTCGTGGAGACTGGGTGGTCGGGGGGTCGTTGCTGCGCGCACCGGACGAACTGGATGGTGAAGACCATGCCGATGAAGGCGGCGGTGAGGAGGGCCACGCCGAGCGAGCGCGGGCCGACGATTTTGAGCTGCTCGCCGAAGTTGCGCCAGTGGATCTTGCCGCTCACGGTGCGCTTGACGACCAGGCCTGCGGCGCGCGCAGCACGGCGGGAGCGAAGGACCAGTCTCATCAAGCACAGCACTGCGTGTGGGCCTGCTCGTCCCGTGGCGGACCGTCTCCGCCGTCCCGCGCGGCCGCGATGTAGCGTGCTTAAACAGCACGCGCGTCCGGGAGCGATCGCGACTTCGGTCGCCGGGGATCGAGAGCACGAGAGCTCGGCTCTGCAGCGCTGAGACGCACCCGCGAATGTGAGCGCTGAAATCGCCCGCCACAGCCACTTTGGCGGCTCTCGGCCCACCAATGTACCGAAGAAGACGTCCGCGAGCTTGAAGATCCGCGCACCCAGCCCCGGAGCCTCGTCCATGCTGCCCAGCAAGGACTCGGTGGAGGTCGAGGTTGTGCTGCGCGACGGGTCCGCAGCGGCGTCTGGGGCCCGGGCCGGATGCCGCGCGGGCGGGAGTCTGCTCCTGCCCGCGGGCTGGACGTGGGACCGCGACCCGCGCACGGCAGCGGCGAGCGGGCGCTGCGTTGCATAGCTGCAGCCCAGCTTCGCGCCCCCGCACGCGCGCATCGCTGTTATACCACCTGGCACACCAGCCCAGGACCGTCAGATCGGATTCTTTCCAGCGAACGGAACGCTAGAGCCGGAACGCGCAGGTACGCCGGCGGAGCGGGATCTGCGCCAAACGCGCACCACGGGTGAAGAGCCACAGTGCAGCTCGCGTCCTGTCACGGGACAACCTGGGCTCTGGGTGCTAGTCTGGCGGTGCTGGACCCTGCGCCGCGGCAATAGCACCGACGCAACGGCCGTACCAAACAGCTGTGGCCCCCTGACATCATCACTCCTCCCGTTTGCGAGCGGCCCAGGGAGTCGCGCCAGTCGCAGGGCGCGCCATGACTTACGGAGCCGGGCGCACGTCGCGGTATTTCCGGTGGCGTCTGGTCGTCGCGACGCACGTGGTGAGCGAGCACGCGACTACTCCGCAAGTTGCAACTGCAGCCACGTCACACGGTGCAGCTGGATTCAACGACCCAGCGAAGGACCTCGAACGATGTCCCGCTCCCTCCTCGTCCTAGCTGTGGCGGCGATCGCCCTGTCGGCGTGCCAGCTCGCCGCGGCCCGCGGCCTCAAACAGAGCAGCGCTGTCAGCGGCACCGGACTGCTCACGATCACAGAGCTGAAGCTCCTCGAGGACCCGTCCGACCCGTTCCCGTTCGAGGGCGCAGAGGTTCGACCCTCGCCCCCGGACCCTTCGACGCCTCCAGCCAAGTGCCCAATCCATGCTGCCACGCCGCGCTGTCGCCGTTCCCACCGTCCCCGCGGCCCGGTGCCCGCAGGTGCGCGTGTCGTGCTACAGCGACACGGCCGCGCAGCAAGCTGTGCTCCAGGCGGACCTGGAGGAGGTGAACGAGGGCAACAAGCTGTACACGGGAGAGTGGCCGCTCGGGGCCTGGAACGCCACCGTCGGCAGCACGCTCTTCTGCCGCGTGGACGAGGTCGACGCCTTCAAGGACGACTACCTCGGCTCGACGCTGCTGCGGCTGTCGGACTTCACTGCAGGCAAGCACTGTACCCCGCACACGCAATTTGCGGTTGAACTCTCGCAACGACAATGACTCGCGCAGCACAGTCTGCAGTCGCGCTCCGCACCGACAGTGCCGCGTTCGAGGCCTGTCAACGACGAGCCGCACGCGGCCCTCTCGCCGGCCCTGCAGAGAACGACGGGACAGTGGTGTACTTCCTGCACCGGCGCACCGACGCCACCGACGCCACGGGGGCGTTCCCGCGCACGGGGGCGTTCAAGGCTACCTGCCCCGGGTGTGTCGCGCTCGAGGTGCCGGAGAGCCCGGACTGGACGTCGGAGCTCGTTGCGTGGCCCTCCGCTGTGCGGGGGGAGTGCTTCAATTCGGGCCCGAAGGCGCTCGACCTGCTGCGAGACGGCCTCTGCTGTCAGCTGCTGGTACGCGCCCGCTGACCAACGCTGCTGGACGCTCGCGAGGGCTCGCTGCGTGGGTATGGGCTTGGCAATACTTGAGGCCGTGTGTGCCCGTCTCGGACAGGACTGGGGGACAGCAAAGAGCCCAGACCGCTCGGCCTCAGGCTGAGTGGTAGGCCCCTTGTGGCACTCATTCGCCTGCTGCGCACCGCACCCGTCGGTCGCCGGTGCGCGCGACGAGGCCCCCTCGGCGGCAGGACCGCCGGCGGTCTGCCCACGCCCGCGTTCACGGTACCGCCTGCGCAGGAGGGCGCGACCGCGGAGATGCTGGGCGACGGCGAGTGCGACAGCGGTCTGAACACAGGCTTCTGCCGCGCGGACCTGGGGGACTGTACTGAGTCAGGGGAGCCCCCCGCACTCAGCATCCCCGCCGACGTCGCGAACGCCTAGACACGCGTCGTTCGGACGCCGTCACACGCTCACTGCATCGCCGCCGCATATCTTGTGGGACGAGTTGCAAGTTGAGGTTTTGTGAGTGCTGCATGCAGCCCGGAACCGCTCAGCACGCCTGCGCCGCGGGCTCCAGCAGCGCAGCGAGCCACCGCGAGTCCTTCGCGCTCTCGCGCAGCTTCTCCACGAGCGCCCCCGCCTTGGCCACCACGTCCCCGGGCGCAGCGTCCGCAAGCGGCAGCGCCCGGAACTCCGCCACCGCGGCGCGCGCCGCCTTCAGCCCCGCCGCGCGGTCCGCGTCGCCCTCGGCGTCGCCGTCCGTGCGCGCCCGCTTCAGCGGTGGCCCCGCGGTAGAAAAGTCCTCCAGCTCGGCGGCCTTGGCACGCGCCGCGGCTACGACCTCGGCGGGGAACGACGCGAACTCCGCGACGTGGATGCCGAACGACTGGTCGCACGGGCCGTCGCGGACCTGGTACAGCATCGTCAGCCGGCCTGCAAAACGAGCGAAGGGGGGGGAGAAAACTGGAATGAGTCGGGGGGGCGGTCGGCGGCACCGTCAGGCGGTCGCAGCGCTATCCTGAGCAGGCGCTACGTACAGGTATGCACTGACGCGGAGGTGCGGCCGTCGCGTAGTTGCAGGCACGCACCTGTCTCTTTGTCGACGCTGGTGGCGACGTGCCGGTTCGCGACGCCCACGGGCCCCTGGATCGCAGTCAGCTCGTGGAAGTGCGTGGCGAAAAGCGTCGGGCACCCGATCGTCGTCATGAGGTGCTCGCTGATAGCCCACGAGAGCCCGAAGCCGTCGTAGGTGCTGGTGCCGCGGCCGAGCTCGTCGATGATGACGAGGGACCGCGAGGACGCGCCCTTGAGGATGGACGCGGTCTCCAGCATCTCGGCCATGAAGGTCGAGACCCCCCGCATCTGGCAGTCCCCCGCCCCGACGCGGGCGAAGATGGCGTCGCGGACGGGGATGCGCGCCTCGGCGCACGGCACGAAGCAGCCCACCTGCGCCATGAGCACGCACACGCCGACCTGGCGGATCAGCGTCGACTTCCCGCCCATGTTCGGCCCCGTGATGATCTGGAACCAAGACTCCCCCCGGCGCATGACGCAGTCGTTCGAAATGAACTCCACGCCCTCCTGCGCCTCCACGCACGGGTGCCGCGACCCCTGCACCGCACGCGCACGGCCGCGCTGCCAGTCAGACGCACCGCAGCAACATGTGGGTGCACAGCGCCGCGCAGCACGCGTCCAGGGAGCGTCGGGAGGGCGGCGCGCGGACCTTCAGCACGAGGTCGCCGTCGTCGGCGGGGCGCATGTCCGGCCTCACGAAGGGCGTCGGGGCGCAGGCGGACACCTCCGCGAAGCTGGCGAGCACGTCCAGCTCGGCCAGCACCGACCCGACGCCCTCCCAGACCTCGACGAAGGTCGCGGCGACCTCCACGACCTGGTCCACGATCTCCTTCTGGTGCTTCTCGTACCCCGCGGTCAGGTTCTGCAGGTGCAGCGCTGCCTTGCGCAGCCCGGGGTTGGTGAACTTGGTGCCGTCCTTGCGCGTCTCGAGCGTGACGTACGGGCCGGACTGCAGGCGCTTGCGGCACGCCTTCTCCTCCTTCTGCGTGATGCGGAAGCACCGCGTCCGCACGTTGTTCGCCTTGTGCCACTCGAGCTTGATGCCCTTGTCCACGACGAGGCTCAGGTCGCCCGCCGCGGCCTCCAGGAGCCGCTGGATCTCCGCTTCCACCTGCGGGCGCGGGGCGGCGGCGCCGTTGAGCCAGGGGGGCGAGTGGGACCAAGCGCCGCCAACGGGCAACGGGGGGGGATGGGCAACGCGCGACTCGAGGGGAGGGGGCGCTGCGGACGACGAGGATGATGCATCTGTCCAGCAGACGCAGAGGAGAGCGGCGGGCGGCCGTGCACGGCGCAGCGTGCGTCGCGTGTGAGCAAGCAACGCGGCGGCATGCGCTCTCGCCTGCTCCTTCTCGTCGGCGATCTCCTGCAGCGCGCGGTTGTACTTGGGGCAGATGACGTACTCCTCCGGGATCTTGTCGAGGTCCACCGCGGCCTCCAGGAGCGCCTCGAACTTCTGCAGGTGCTCCCGACCGTGCGCCCGCTCCAGGGGCTCCGCGAAGCGCGACACCAGGGCCTCGGCGCCCACCGCGCCGCCCTCCGCCGCGTTGCGCACCGCGTCCGCGATCAGCGGGACCTTGGAGGACGCGCGGTACAGCTGGCACAGGTCCGCGAGTGTCGCCTTGCGCCGCTCGAGTTTGCGACACAGCCGGTCGATGTCGGGGACCCCGCGCATGTGCGTGTCGCGAAGGATCTGCAGACACGACGCAGGGGCGTGGCGACTGTGTGCGCTGCTGAACCCGTGCGGCGTCGCGCAGTGGGTCGCGCAATTGAAGCGGGGAGGGGGTTGGGGGGGTTGACGTACCGAACGCAGCTCCGAGTCGGTGACGATGGCCTCCACGACGTCGTGGCGGCGTCCGATTTCCTCCAGGTCCAGGAGCGGCTGCTTCAGCCACGTGCGCAGCAGCTTCTTCCCCATGGGGGTCCTGGCGCGGTCCAGCAGGCCGTGCAGCGAGAAGTTGTCGTTGGCGTCGGTGCGCGTCTTCATCACGTTCAGCGCGCGCTGCGCCTCGCCGTCCAGTCGCATGTACCGGTTCAGGTCGTGCAGCCCCAGCGTGTAGCGCCGCCCGCCCGCGCTGGCTTGCAAGTCAAGGAACGCGACGACCGCGCACAGCGCCTCGGTCGCCAGGGGGCGGTCGAGGACGGGGCGGTGCTGCTCGACGCCGACCGCGCCGCCGGAGTCCCGGCACAGCTTCGCGACGGTGTCCTCGGCGTTGGCCGCGCTGAAGGTCGCCTTGGGCGCCGTGGTGACGAGCCCGCCGCTGCGCTCGAGCACCTCGCGCATCCGCCGCACGTCCAGCGTGTCCTGCACAGTGCGCGACGCCGGGCGGAACCAAATAGGAAACGAAGGCCGTGCGCAAACAGGATATCCCATCTGGTTCGCAATCGGGATTCGGAGGACCGGGCGGCGCACCGGCAGCGCGGCGGACACGACGCACTCCTTCGGCCCGAGCTGCGCGACCAGCGCCTCGAGCTGGCAGAAGTGCTCGTCGTCCGCGAACTCGCACGCCCCCAACCGGCGCTCGCCGGCGTCGCAGAACGCCACGCCCAGCTTGCGCTCCCCCGCGCCGACGTGCAGCGCGACCGCGGCCACGACGGGGCTCCCCGCGCTCCCGGCGGCCCCGGGCGTCCCCGCCGCGCCGCCGTCGCCCGCCCTGAGCAGCCCTGCGTCCTCCAGCGCTGCCAGGCGGCCCGGAGACGCCTCGATCACGCGCGTCCAGGCGTTGCCGGAGCCCTCGTAGACCTCGACGCGGTGGTCGGAGCCCTCGATGAGGAGTTCGCGGAGGACGGTGTCGAGGAGGGTGCGGTTGAGCGTCACGCAGGGGTGGCCCGAGTCAGACCCCCCCCCGAGGTGCTTGACGACCGCGGTGGTGCGGTAGAAGCGCTTCGCGACGAAGAGCGCATCCTCGCCGTGCACCGTCCACAGGTCCTTGCGGTCGAAGATCCTGCGGGCGCCATCGAAGCGACACAGCGCGCACGTCATGTCACGTCGTGCGTCCGGCACCCACGGGGCTCACCCGCCCGTTCCGTCGCTCTCCGGGAGTCCCTGGGATCACTACAGCATCGGCGCTGCCACAGCACGGCCCAGCATCGCGGGTTCGCGGCGTGCGGGAGGCGTAGCACACTGCGTGGTTGCTTCCGGCCGTCCCCGCACGCATGCAAGCCTACTTGGCACAGTTCGGCGATCGCGCCGCGTCGTCGATCACGCGTGGCGCTCGGAGGGCGTACCTTATCGTTCCTGGAGCGTCGGGCAAGGACTTGTACCACGCAGCAAAGCGCTGGGCTGCCTTGTCGTCCAGACCCAGCTTCGGGGTCGTGTCAGCGGCCTCCATGTCGACGGTACCTGCGTGCCTCGAACAAGGCGTGCGATGGAACACCGGATACGCACCCGGGAGCGCCGCACTGGCACGCCCGGCAGCGAACGAAGCTCCGGTCCGGCGCCAAAACTCTGCTGGCCGCGTTGTGGGCCCGGCCGGGCACCATACAGCATCATGCTCGCTCTGCAGCACGCGTGTGACATACCTCGCCACCTGGGATGCCGCTTTAGGCGCGAGAGCGCGACGTCCGGGCGGCAGGACGGACCCGCTCAATCCTGGCACCACAGGCGCTCGTTTTCGGAATTCCGACAGCAGGGGCGAACGCAAGCTACGCGAGCCGTCCGCGACTGCAGTGGGGCGTGCTAGTGAGCCAGCGGGACGTCCCGCGCCCGCACAGAGGCCCCGCGCTGACCGGGGCCGACCATCCAGTCCGCCGGCGGGAAATTTGTACTCCCCCTTCTAACTACACGCCATGCGGACAGCGGCCCGGCCAGTCGGGCTCCCGCAGCCCGGAGCACCGGCTCACAGCGCGCTGTGCGCAGACGTTCGTGCCCTGGCCGGACTCGGCCCACCACGCCCCGCACGCCTGATGACCACGACAGGGGGTGGTTGGTGCTCCACATGTTGCACGGCGTGCTCCGCCGGCCGTTCCGCCGCATCCAGCAGCGCAGAACGTGTCTGCCTGTCAGCGGCCGCGCGTGCGCGCTGCGGCCGCCCGGGACTCGTCGTCATCGAACCACGGCGCGTCGCGAACGCCAGCGTCTCTTGACAGCGCGCGTGAGCGCCAGCGGCGCGGCGACAGGTGACGCGACGACATGCAGCGGCGAGGCACGCGTCACGTGTGCGCCAAATTGCGGCGCGGGCGCGTGCAGCGGGGAGCCCGCGGGTCGATCACGGGGCCTTTGACGGTGATTTCACCTCATGCATCCGTGCCACGGCACTGGGCGGTCGCGAGTCAGGACTGTGGCTCGCGACCCGCGTGCCATCGCTGCGGTGGCGCGGCAGCGGGGGAGTCCATGTCGCGGCGCCGGGGGGGGCGCCGCGCGACGTGTTGGGGATGTGTCGAGCTACTGACCGTGCCGGAGGCGCAGGGGCGCGCGACAAGACGGGGCCGCGCTCGGTCGCGAGCACATTCCGCGAGGCGGCGTTTCCCGACGCGCCAGGATCCGATGGAAGCCCTGCGGAAGTACCTGTCCGGCGCCTCGCCGGAGGAGGCGACCGAGGAGGAGGTGGCCATGAGCGAGCCCCCGAGCGACGGCGAGGAGTCCGACCTGCAGGAGGACGAGTACAATCCCGAAGACGACGAGGGCGCCGAGGGAGAGCTCGAATACGACGAAGAGGACGTCGACTATCCGGACCCCGAGCTGGACGAGGAGGAGGAGGACGATGACGCGCTAGACGAGCCCGAGGGCGCCGTGAACGACGCAGACAACGAGGGAGAAGGCGAGGCCGACGAGCAGGTGCGCCGCAACCGCGCCTGTATCGCGCCATCCGCGGGGTGCCACTCAGGCCAAGCCGCCGCCACGTTGCGTCCTCAGAGCCGCGCTGGGGCCCCGTGCGGGCCAGCAGGCAGCGCGCGCGGCGCGCCACCGCGCGGCAGAGCACTGGGGGCGCCGGGGAGACCGCCCCGCGACGTCCTCAGGGCCCCGCGCGGCCGCTGCGCACCGTCACTCTGCGCCTGCTGCCAGCTAGAGCGCTTCCGGGCGGCTGTGCTCCCCAGCAGCACCGCAGGGGCGGCCTTTCTGCGGCCCTGGCGCTCCACGATCGCCGCGTCCGTCGTGGGAGCGGTTCTACTCGCCAGCATCGCGACTGACCGCAACGCAGCCGCGCCCAGAGCGACGCGACATCCGCAGAGCAGCCACCGCCCCTTTGCGGAATGCCTCGCGCTCCGGGCAGCACGCAGCGCGCGCCCGCGCCCCCTGGCCTCACCAGTCCAGATCGGATCCGATCTCGGCGCCCACCGGCCCTCGCGCCGCACAGCGCCCCCGGCACGCACGGACACTGAGCCCGCCGCACCCTCTCTCGCCCCGCCGCGCAGAGGAAGCCCCGGACGCTGATGATGAACCAGCCGCTGATGGAGTCCCTCGCGGTGGCCAACTTCATCCTGTTCAAGAACCCCGTCCCGGACCCAGGCATTCTCGTCGGGCAGACCCAGGACTCGATTGGCGACCACGTTGCCCGGCTGGTCGAGGAGCGCCAGGTCGAGGGCAACCACGTCCAGGAGCTCGTCCCCGCGCTCAAGCAGATCATCGGCCTCAACCCCTGGCTCTCCGAACTCAAGCCGCGCAACGCCCCGGCGAGCGGCGGCGCTGGGCCGAGCAGCGGCAGCGGCGCACCGTCCGGGGGCGCGAGTGCGCAGCCGGCGGCGAGCTCCGGCGGCGCGGCGCCAGGCGGCCTCGGCGGCGGGCTCCCTCCGCGCGGCCGCCGCGGCCTGCGGCAGGAGGCGGCCCCGGCCGCGCCGGCGCCGCCCGCCGGCGACACGCGGACGCTGGCGCTCGACCACCCCGACGAGGACGCGAAGACGCGGCGCTTCCGGAAGCTGTTCCACTCGTTCCGCGTGCAGCTCCTGCGCACCTCGCGCCGCATCCAGCCCAACTCGGACGCCATCACGCGGCAGGTGCTCCAGCGCATGGCCATGGTCGAAAACGCGCGGTTCGGGGCGCGGGCGCCCGCGGGCGCGCCCTCGACGCAGCAGCGCGAGCAGCTGGCGCGCGAGGAGGCCGAGCGCCTCGACCGCGGCGGCTCGGACATGCCGGACTGCACCACGATCCTCTGCATCGGCCCGCAGGGCGCCGGCAAGACGTCGACCATCCTGCGGCTCCTGCACGGGCACGACGCGGAGCTGCCCGGGCCGTTCACGGCCGGGACGTCGTCGGTCAAGGTGTACGAGGGGCGCATCGACGGCATCCGGTTCCGGTTCGTCGACACGCCCGGGCTGCGCCCCGAGGCCACGGAGACGGGGCACAACTACCGCACGCTGGCGACGGTGAAGCGCGCGATCAAGCAGTACAAGCCGCAGCACTTCCTGTACGTCGACCGCATGGACGCGGTCCGGCGGGACTTCGGCGACCTGCCGATGGTCCGCAGCATCACGTCGGTGCTGGGCAAGGACGTGTGGTGGAACACGCTGTGCGTGCTGACGCACTGCTCGACGTCGGCGCCCGAGGGCAACCAGGGCCCGCTGCCGTGGGAGACGTACGCGCAGCAGCGCTGGAGCCTCCTCCTGCAGTGCATCCGGTCCACGGCGCAGGACGGGCGCATTCAGAACATGGTGGCGCTGGCAGAGAACCACCCGGCGTGCTCGCGGAACGCGGAGGGCGAGGCGATCACGCCGACGGGGACGCCGTGGCGGCGGCAGCTGCTCATGGTCGTCGCGGCCAACTCGATCCTGACGTCGCTGGACCAGGAGGTCTCGAAGGGCGCGTCGCCGGCCAAGTCCAACCAGCAGATGGACATCATGGCGATGCTGGGCATGGGGGGCCGCCCGCAGATCCCCGTGCACTACCTGATCACGCAGGTGCGCTGGCCCGCCGACGTCTGCACGTCGCACGTCTCTCACGCGCGCACGCCGTCGCCGTCGCTGCCCTCGGCCGCTCTGTCGCGGTGTGTGTCTGTTCCCTGCCCTCAGCGGGCGCGTGCGCTTCGCTGAACACCGCTGCCGCAGATGATCAACCCGCGGCAGCCGCGGCGTCCGCCGGACGACGAGAAGGAGCTGAAGACGGACACGGAGATTGCGGAGCTGCCGGTGAACGAGCGCAAGGAGGAGGTGCGGAAGCGGCGGGAGGTGGAGAAGCAGAAGAAGGAGGAGGCGGCGCTGGACGACGAGGGGATGCTGACGGTGGCGCCGGAGCCGCCCGTCCCGCCGACCTTTGAGCACGACTGCAACTCGCAGCGCTACCGCTACCTCGAGAACCAGGCGGCGGAGTGGCGGCTGATCCCCGTGATGGAGCAGAACGGGATGGACCACGACGACGGCGTGGCGGCCGTGCAGGCGGAGCAGAGCGGCATGCTGCGCCCGCGCGGGCGGTACGTGGGCGGCAGCCCCTACTTCATGATGGCGCAGGTGCAGAAGACGCGCGACAACCTGACGATCAACGGGGAGTCCGAGGTGTCGGTGTGCCACTACCGGTCGTCGCGCAAGGCGGTCACGACCACCACGGGCGCGGACTACCAGACCATTGGCCAGAACGGCGACATGCTGTGGACGCTGCGCTCGGAGACGCGCTTCAAGCACTGCCCGAAGAACAAGGTCGTCCTGGGCGGCTGCGTCGCGCGGATGGCCGAGGGGCGGCTCCCGCGGAAGGGCCCCGTCGCACTGGGCATCAAGGTCGAGAACCGCCGCAAGGTGGACTCGCGCACCAAGGTGTGGAACACCCCCCCGCCCCACCCGTTCCGGCTCGGACGGAGACGCGGGCAGCATGTGTCCCTCGCGTCCTGCTCTGCGCTCCGTGCGTGCGCGTGGAAGCGGTGCCGTCACGGGCGTTGATGTTGTGTGGTGCGTTGTTGCAGGTGTGGGTGTCGGCCGGGTACATGACGACGCGCAACCAGCGCGCGAAGGACGCGGCGAAGGCAGCGAACGCGGAGCTGCGCCTCAAGCGCGGCCTGGACGACTCGACGCTCATCACGGTCGGCGGCAGCGCGCTGCTGTACCGCAAGGACCTGGCGCTGGGCGGCAACGTGCAGGTGCAGCACCAGCCGACGGCCGGGTCGCGCGTGGTGTACCGCGGGAACCTCAACACCAAGGGGCAGGGGCAGGTGTCGGTGCGGCTCACGTCGACCGACTACGTCAACGTCGCCTACACCATGGCGCTGCCCGTGCTCTGCGCGCTCTGGGGCAAGTTCCGCGGCGAGGACGTGTACTGAGGGGTCGCGATCTGCTAGGCGGAGGGGGGGACGTGGCGCATCTCGGCCACAAACACGCGGTGGTGTGGTGCACGCGCTTCTTGAAACGAATCCTCGAGTGGCGTACAACGCTGCGCGCGCCCGGGCGGACTCAACGCTGCCCGCGCGGCCCGCAAGCGACGCTGTGACGTTCTCAGACCCAGAGCGAGTACGACTATGACCCAAGCGCGAACGTAACACCTTGGTTCAGGTGTTACGCATCAGTACTGGTAGTACCCGCCCGGCGGCGAGGGCCCCCCCGGGACGTCGTACGCGCCGCCGGCGCCGTTCGCCGCCCCGCCGTCGGGCGCCCCGAGCGCCTCGTCCAGCCCCAGCAGCCGCGGGATGAGGTACCGAGCCACGCTGCGCACCACGCCCATCTCGCCCACGGCCACGGGCACCGACATGCGCGTGGGCGCCGCCGCGCCGGCCTCCTTGACGCTCAGGGAGAAGAAGTACCCGGACTTCTCCATCGGCGTGATCGCCAGCGTCTTGTACACCTGCCCGCTCGCCGCGGTGCCCGCGCCAGGGTCGTGGGTGAAGGAGAGCGACTCGCCCGGGTGCAGCTCGACGAGGTCGCCGAGCTCGGTCGGGCTCAGCGCGAAGGTCACCTTGCGCGACCAGTCGTACGCCGTGCCGCCGCCAGGGCTCCCTGCGGGGGGCGGGAGGGTTGCGCGGTGCTCTGGGCGGTTGGCGCGTCCGTGTGGCGGGTGGGCGGCGTTGGTGCGCGGCGGTGTGATGCGGAGGAGGCTGCGCACCCATTTGACCGACGGAGGGGGCGAACTCGAGGAACAGGGCGCCCGTGCGGGCGCGGCGCATCGCCCTGAGCTCCGAGTTGGGCGCGTCGACGGGGATCCACGTGGGCTTGATGGGGTTCATCGACATCGCCGCCTTGCCCTTGTAGACAGTGAAAGACGCGTAGTACCTGCAGTTACGCGGGAAGGGGCCTACATTCGCGGGAGGGCAAACCAAAGGGCTGCCGGCAGAAAGCAGCGCGCCAGGCAGTGCAGGACGCGACTGGCGCTGCGAGGCGCTGTGGCTCGCCTTCCTCGTACAAGCGTGAGACAGGAACTCATGGGAGAGTCCGTTTCGTTCGCGCGCGTGGCTGCCGCGTCGCCCCGAGCACCTACCTGTCCGCCTGGTTGCTCTGCTGCGGCGACAGCTCGCCCGAAGTGGCGTAGGCCCGCGGCGCCGGAAGCCTCTCAGGATGGTCGGCGCGTTGGGCGAGGGTCTGCGTGGCGCCGGTCCGCGAGCGCACGCGCGCGCTCATCTGTCTCCAGTGCGCGCTGCGACGCGCCAACGCCACGGAGCGCCCCGCAGCGAGCCGAATGATCCCCTCCATCGGTCCGTCTCCGTACCTACCAAGGAAACCCTCGCGGGGCACGGTCCGCGCGGCGAATCTCGCCTCCCGCGCTCCAGACGGCGTCGCTCGAAGCGCGCTGTGTCAACACCCTAAGTGGAAAGATCGAGGCGCACCGGGGGGCAGAGGTGCTCGGCGGCGTTACAGGATGCTGTTGTGCGGCACACGCGGGCGTACGCGATGTAGCGGCGCGCGCGGGGGGGGGGTTGTAAACACACCCCGCGCATATGACGCTGCGGGCGGCGCGAAGGCCGGGATCGTGGGCGCGCGGTCCTCCGGGTCAGCGCAGTTTCGAGCTGGGAGCGATCAGGTGCGTGGACCGACACAGCCAGGCTGACGCGGTGCCAGGTGGTGCCGTACGCGCACTTTGTGCCACTTTGCCTCCCGAGAGCGCTTGATTTGGCTCCGTGCGGCACCGTGAGACACTGCATTGCCGAACGATCGCCTGCAGGATGTCGGAGGGGCCGCCGCCGGAAGGCGGGCCACCCGACGCGACAGCGGCAGCGGGCGGTGATGCTGCGGTGGCAGAGAGCACTCCGCCGCCGAACGAGGCGGCGGCGCCAGCGGAAATCAAGCAGGAGCCTGTAGAGCATCCAGCGGCAGAGCCTGCGCCGCAAGAGACGGGAGCGGGAAACACGGGCGCTGCGCCGGAAATCAAGCAGGAGACCAAGCCGGGCGGCGAGGAGGCGCCTGCGCCGACAGGCGCGCCAGACGAGCAGAAGCCCGACGAGGCAAAGCCAGCTATAGAGGGAGGCGAGGGCGAAAAGAAGGAACCGGAGCCGCCTCTGCCGCCCATAGAGCTGAAGCCTCCAGTCATCCCTGACCGCATCTCCCGGCCCTGGGAGGAGCTCCCTGATCCCGAAGCGAGCTCGCTCGCCCACATCACAGTACGTTCCCCGCAATCGCGCTCCCCTGACCACCTCGTTCGACCCTGCCGCACCAGCCGGCTGCCCAAGGCGTCTCGGCAGCTCACGCACGCGTCCCGATCGGCCTGACGCGGCTGCCTGCGCGCGACCTGCCCCGCAGGATCCGGTCTACGGCGAGGGCGAGGGCCCCGGCGAGCTGCGGCCAGCCGTCAACGACGACGAGCACGCGTACTACGCCACTGCTGTCGGGTTGCGGGGCGACCAGGCCACGGATGAGGAGGCGCGCCTGTTCCGGTGCGAGCCGCCGCCGCTACATGCATGCACTCGCCCGCCAGTCCGCGCGCTGCGTGCCCGCGCCACGGACGTCGCTGCGTTCCCCTGCGTGCGCGAACACTTGCGTGCACAACGTAGCCGACTGGCCCGCTGCGGCCACTGCGCGCGCAGGGGGCGCCTGAGGGAGTACGTGCCTGTGCGGAACGCCATCCTGCGCCGGTGGGTCTCCCAGCTGCGCCAGTGGATCACCGAGGCGGACTGCGTGTCTGACAGCAGCGTGCGCCGCGCGGCGAACAAGGACCTCGACCTCATCTGCGAGACGTGGGACTACCTCAACCTCAACGGCTACATCAACAGCGGACCCCTGCTCCCGCCGCGCGAAGGTACCAACCCCCCCCAACAGCCCCCCCAAGCCCCAACGTGGACGTTGCCCCCACGCCCGCCGCGACGACGCTCGCGCGCTCGTACTGCCGCGCAGGCACCAAGCGGCCGCTGTGGCGCGAGGACTGGGAGGAGATGGAGGACCCGGAGCCGCGGCCGCCCACGGAGCACACGCACGAGGGCATCCGCTGGTCGGCCGCGGAGTACCTGTGCAAGACGAAGGTCGACCTGGAGGTCACGACGACGAAGAAGGTCCGGCGCGCGGTCGCGGAGCTCGTCGGCGTGGAGGAGGACGACCGCACCAAGGTGGCGGTGCGCGAGGCCGTGGCAGCGTACCTCCGCGGCCGCGCGGCGATCGCCGGCCTGACGCCGCGGTGGAAGATGGAGCTGCGCGGGTGGAAGGAGCGGTACGCTGCGCGCGCGAAGCGGCGAGAGGAGAGGCAGAGGCACCGCGCGCCGGGGGGGCGCGTCGTGGTGATCGGCGCGGGCGCCGCGGGCCTGGCGGCGGCGCGGCAGCTGTCGAAGTTCGGCGTGAGCGTGACGGTGCTCGAGGCGTCGCAGCGCGTGGGCGGGCGCGTGTCGACCGGGAAAGTAGGCGACAGCGGCACTCAGGTGGACTTCGGGGCCTCGCTCATCACGGGCACGCTGCCGGATCTCGGATCCGGCGAGGACGGCGGGCACCCGAAGCCGCCGGACCCGTCCTCGCTGGTGGCGCGGCAGCTGGGCATTCGGCTGCACCGCCTGAATCATACCCTGCGGGACACCCCCCTGATCGACGTGGTGGCGTCGGCGGAGCGCGGGGGGCCGGTGGAGGTGGCGCTCGAGGTCGACGGCGCGATGGAGCGGCTGTACCGGGACCTCCTGGACGAGCACGGCGCGAAGCTGAGGCAGCAGATGGGCGACAAGGCCGACGGGATGTCTCTGGAAGAGGGGCTGCAGAAGTGCCTGGAACGACACTACAAGTGAGTTGCGCCGCGGACCCTCGCCGCCGTGCCGGCCTGCGCGCGCGAAACGGCGCGCCTTGACACCGCCAACTCCCGTGTCGACGGCGGGGCGGAGGGGGGTGTTTCCTCCCCAACGGCCTGCCCTGACGCGGGCTTTCCGACGCGGACCTCTTCGCGTGCGCGGTCGTCGTCGCGAACGCGGTTCACGGGGACTTGCATGCCCACCTCACCCCCCAACCTCCCCCCCCCTTCTTCCCCGCAGCCACTACGCACGCGAGAAGCTCAGCGACACGCTCGTCGTCGACCACTCGACGCTCCAGGCGGCCGCCGGCCCCGACGACAACGCGGACCTCGTCGCGGCCGAGGAGGCGGCGCAGGCCGCCCTGGAGGCGCTGGGCCCCGAGGACGACAGCGCGCGCCTGCGCCGCCTGACGCTGACCTACACGAAGACCGCGGACATGCAGGTCGCGACGACCAAGTCGATCCGCCAGAACGTCGCTCCGCTCGCCGGCGTGGACCCGGACGACGCGGACGTGAAGGCTGCGATCAAAGCGGCGGTGGGGGAGTTCATCGAGGGGCGCGTGCCGGAGAGCGACTGGGCGGCGTTCGAGCGGCGCGTGGAGCTCGAGGACGCGGCGGCGAAGGCGACGGAGCGCCGGAAGGACGCCACGCGCGGCCGGATGTCGGCGGCGCAGCGGCGGGCACTGCAGTGGCATCTGGCCAGTACCGAGTACTGGAAGAACGCGCCACTTGACGCGGTGTCGTTCGGACACTGGGACGACGAGAAGGCGGCGCAGGGCGGCTTCGGCGGGCCGCACTGCATGGTGGTGGGGGGGTATCAGCAGGTGACTGACGCGATGGCGGAGGGTCTTGACGTCAGGGTGGGGTGCCCGGTGGCCAAGGTGAGCTCGCGCGGGCGGGCCGGCGCCGGCGCAGAGGGCGAGCCGCCCGCCGCGGCGGTCGTCGTCACCACGGCGGCGGGGGAGGAGTTTCCATGCGACGCGGTGGTGGTGGCGGTGCCGCTGGGGGCGCTCAAGCGGGGGGGTATCGAGTTCGACCCCCCCCTGCCGGACGCGAAGCAGCAGTCGATCAAGCGCACGGGCATGGGCAGCCTGAACAAGATCGTGCTCGAGTTCCCCCGCAACTTCTGGACCGAACGCCTGTCAGGTATGAGCAGCACCAGGGCGGGCAACAACGACGCTGGCGGCGACGAGAACCGCATGGACGAGGACGAGGACGAGGACGACGCCCCTGCTGGCGGCGACAAGAAGGCCCGGATCGACATTTTCGGGCTGGTGCGCGACACGCAGCCCGTCGCCGGCGCAGGCGCGCAGCAGCCCCCGCACGTGTCCCGCTACGGCCGCGGCATGGCATTCGCGTGGTGGGACATGAGCCAGTTCACCCCGCACGGCGAGGACGGCCGCGGTGCGCCCGTGCTCGCCACGCTCGTGGCGGGCCGCGCGGGGGACATGTGCAACGCCGCCGACGAGCAGGAGATGGTCGGCGAGGCACTGGCGGCGCTGCGCGCCACGTTCGGCGCGGACGCAGTGCCCGAGCCCACCAGCGTGCACGTCACGCGCTGGGGGCGCGAGGAGGGCGTGTGGGGGTCGTGCAGCTACCTGCCCCCGGGGAGTTCCGGGCGCGACCTGGAGGAGCTCGGGCGGCCGCACGGGGCGCGCGTGCTCTTCTGCGGGGAGCACACGACGCGGACGCACCACGACACGGTCGGCGGGGCCATGCTCACGGGCATGCGCGAGGCCGCGCGCGTCGTGCGCCTGCTGCGCGGCGAGCAGGCGACGGAGCCCGGCCCGACCACCTGGGTCCCGATTCCCGGGCGAGGGAAGAAGCGCAGGGCGCCGGAGCACGGGCGGGCCATCGAGGACGACGATCTGTCGGGCGACGAGTATGACTACGATGAGGAGGACGACAACCGCGGGCGCGTCCGCAAGATCCGGCGCGCGGAGGAGGAGGTGCGTGCAGGCTCTTGCTGCGTGCAACGCGACCGAGCGACGCGCGCACCCATCCGTTTCTGCCCACGACGCAGCGCTTCGTTGTCTGTTGCTTTCTCACAGTAGCGCTGTGCACCACCCCCCGTCGCGCAGTTCCCGCGCGCGCACGTCGCCGAGGAGCAGCGGCATCGCCAGGAGCGCGAGCGCACCGTGCTCCTTATCGCCGCCATCGACCAAGCGTCGCGGGGGGACTCCCTGGAACTGCGCACGCGCATGGAGCGGTGCACGCCGGGGCAGCCGCGCACCGAGATCGTGCAGGCGCTTCAGCAGTGCAAGGGCCACAGCCGCGCGAAGCTCGCCGCGGACGGTGCCCTCCTCGCATCACTGGCGGCATGGCTCTCCAACGCCGTGATCGAGCGGGACGAGGCGCTGGCGCGCGGCCTAGTGTCGCTCGTGCGGTCCTTCAACCTCTCGCGGCAGGCCCTGGAGGACTCGGGCCTGTGGGACGTGCTCGTGGAGGACGTGGCTGACTCGAGGTTCAAAGATGACGTCAAGAGGTCGGTGGCGGCGTTCCTGGAGCCGATGATGGACGAGGCGGACGCGGAGGAGCCGGCGCCGAAGCCCGCGGCGAAGCCGAAGCCGGTGGAGCTGGAGGAGACGGAGGAGATGCGGGCGGCGCGCGAGGCGCTGGAGCGCGCCCAGCAGCTGCTGCGGGCGCGCGAGGCGGAGGCGACGGCGGCGGCGAGCGCACTGGGCGCGGACGCGGGCGCGGCCGGCGAGGCGGAGATCAAGCTGCGGAATTTCGACGCGGAGTACGCTGCCAAGGCCGCACAGCCCACGACGAAGCAGGCAGCCAAGCCCAGCAAGTCCTCCGGAAAGGCGCCGGCGAGCAAGGCGCCGGCGGGCTCGCAGGACCCGGTACGCGCGCGGTCCTTGCTGCCGAGCCCCGCGTGCGATGCGCGTGCGGCCGGGGTCGTTGCGCGTGCGATGCCGGTTGTGTTTCGAGTGCGCTGATGTTCGCGCTGTTTTCTGGTTGGCCGCCTCGCAGAAGACGTTGCAGAAGATGCTGTACGGCAGGCTCTGCAAGTACGCGAAGGGCAAGCTGGAGCAGCTGCGCGCGGACGGGAAGCACGACCTCAACAAGGAGTGGAGCGACAAGGTGGCGAAGAACGCGGCGGGCAAGACGATGGAGTGGGAGCAGCGGCACTGGGGCAAGGGCAAGAACGCCGAGCTGGACGACCACCGCAAGACGCAGACGGCCAAGAACGTGGGCATCTTTGTGCACAAGTACACAAGTGGGGGCAAGGCGTAGAGCCGCACGACGCCCGCGCCGACGAAGAGCTGCTGGCGGGACTGCGTGGACGAGGCTTGCCGTGCGACCGACGGCGGAACGCGGAACGACGCGAGAGATCGTGAGTCACGTGAGGCCTCAAGGTTTCGAAAATGACTCTTTGGTTCGCTTGTAATTCGCTGACCCGCAGGCACCCTCGCCGCGAGGATGCTTGAGGGACCGAAATGGTACGGCAGACGAGAATTGCGCAGCAGACAGGGCAGACAATGGGAGCAGTCATGCATGTCGCACACGCACCTGCACAACGGCGAGACGAGAGTACGCGCGCAGCGCAACAAACATCAGCGAATCGCGCGCAGCACAGCAAACATCTATGGAGCACCACAGACAGGCTGATCATACGTCACAGCGGGACGGGGGGACGGAAACCAGGCCGTGATGCGCGCTATCGGACGATAGGGACGGCCGGGGAGTACTGAGTAGGGTACTGAGTACAGGGCGCTTCCCCGGTCGGCGACTGACTGCAACGCGCGCCTGCGGGCCCGGATTTTTTGGGTGCATGCGTCTGGTTCGGTGACCTACAGGCACCCTCTGCTCAATGCTCTTTGTTTCAGGCTACGTAGGGGAAGAGCCTGCGGACGGTGTAGGTCGTGTTGTGGGTAGCGGTCGGATGTCTATGCCAGGAATACCCCGGTCTTGATCTGGAAAGTTGGAGACCAGGGACTTAGATTGTTCGCTGGCCTACAGGCTGACTAGGTGGAAAACGGCGCGGATCATCCAGGGCAGGCGAGTGCGGAAGTTTTGCGAGGGACAGGTCCTGGCCGCGCAAGTGCCGCGGACGGCGTTGCCTGGCCGCCCGCAACGCCCCTTTGCGGCCGTGGGCCATGCAGCGACGCTGCAGGGAGGGCCTGAGGGGGGCGAGGCGGCGCGATCGGACCGGCTGCACCGGGCAGAGGGTGCAGTAAGTGGGTCGGCAAATCAAATCAAGGTGGGGCAGGTGAGCGCCTCACGGGACGCGCGGGTCGTGAGTGCAAGTTGCCACCTCCTGCGCTCGGGCCGGTTGGAGAGGTCGCGCGCCGCAGAGAGACGGGGCGCGGCACGCCCGTCGACGGCTGAGGTGTTGGATTCGCGTGCGAGGGGGGGACAACAGTCACGCCAGTGGCGTGAGTGCAACAAACGGGCGATTTTCTGGCCCCGCCCGGGCCGGTGGGTCGGCCGGCGGGGGCACAGGAGAGAGTGCGTGCTACAGGCATTGGCGGTTGCGGCAATCGCAAGCCGAAGTGTTGGCTGGTAGAGGACGTAGGTGGCAGTCGCCAAGAGCAGCGTGCGCGTGCGCGTGCGCGTGCGCCTTCGAGGTACGCCGCACGTATGCCCATGCGACCCGGTCCCGCAGAAACGAATGCCGCTGATGCATACCGGGGGCAGGCGGGCACGGGCAGCAAGTTCAGGTCGAGGGGGGGAGGTCAAGGAGGAAGGGGCGTTCCGGGGTAGGGGGTAGAGAGGGAGGCGTCCTCGTTTGTGCAGGTGTGCTGCTGCCGGACAAGGGGTGAGCCAGGGTCTCGGAAGCAGCGTCGCAGTAGGCACCGCGGCGCGTCGACACCGCGTCAGGTGCGACGCCCGATAGAGTACGTACCAGCTGCGAGTAGAGGGCAATGACACTCAAACACGGTACAAGGCGGGACGCGACGCATCTGGGGGGCTGGAGGGGGCGGGGGGCAGGGTGGGGGGTCTCGATCATCCAGCCCTTGCTTGGGGGGCGGGACCTGGTGCCCTGGCCTGTTCGCACGCCGCCCCGGGTTGCAGCAGGTTGGGGAGGGGGCACGTTGCGACGAGCCAGGGAGGCCCGTTTGATCGTTCTTGCGTTCAGGCCCGTTTCGGGCGGGGTCCGGGGCATGCACAAGGGGGCCGGGGGTGGGGGGGGGAAGGGGTCCGGGGTGGGGAGGCTGTCATCTTTAGAGAGCGGTAGAGGACGTCGCAGGCAGCGGCTCCGTGGAGCTCGTGTACGCGGGCGGGGCCGGGGGGGCCCGAGTGGTTCGCTGTGCAGGGGCGGGGGTGTTGGCGCCTGTCGGCCACCGCACCCCCTCACCCGGGCGCCGGCCAGCCCCCGAGCTCCTGCGCGCCGCTGACGCGCGGCGGCACCTTCGCGCCGTCGCCTGTCCGGCCGTGCTCGCCCCGCACGCCGTCCCGCCCGCCGCCCTCCACCGCGCTGCCCACCTCCGCCATCCCCACCATCCCGGGGCTCTCCGGCGGGTCCACGACCTTCGCCTCCGTCGCCGCGGTCGGGAACGTCCCCGCAGTCGCCGCGGTCTCCGGGTCCGCGCCCTCCGCCGCCCGCGCCAGCTCCTCCGCCGCCTCCTGCCCCACGTGCTTGACGATGAGCGGGTGGCGCAGCAGCGCCTGCGCCGACGGCCGGTCCGACGGCTGGTCCGCCATGCACAGCTTCACGAAGTCCGCGGCCTCGTCCGACATGCACGAGGGGATCCGCAGCGTCGCGCGGTGCTCGATGTCGGACCGGCTCTGCGGCTGCAGCCCGCGCTTGTCCGCCACCATGTCGTACGGCATGTGCCCGCCGAGGATCTCGTAGGCCAGGACGCCGACGGACCAGACGTCCGAGGAGTAGTCGTGCCGCCGCCCGAGCGCCTCCCGCTCGCTCGCCTTGAGCGGGTGCCCCGCCTCGCGCGCCGCCTTGGCCAGCTGGCCGCGCAGAATCTCCGGCGCCATGAACGGCGGGGTGCCGACGAACGACGGCGAACGGGTCTCGGCCTCCGCGGCGAACACCTGCGCCGGCAACATACGGGTTTTACGCCGTCGGACGCCGCCGAGCGTGTGGAGGGGCACCGCCGCGACGACTACCACCGGCAGGTGCGGGGCGCGCGATGGGCCGGGGGCGCGGGGGCGCCTGGGCGGGCGCGTGCGGGGCGCTGGGGGGCGCGGGGACCGGGCGCGCGCAGGGTTGCGGGACGATGCCGCGGGGCGCGGCCGGGCCTGCGGAAGATGCCTGGCGCGGGTGCGCGGGCCGCGAGGCTGCGCGGGGGGCGGGGTGGGGACGCACCGAGAGGGAGAAGTCCGCGAGCTTGAAGGATCCGTCGGTGAGGAACATCACGTTCTCGGGCTTGATGTCGCCGTGGATGATGCCCGAGCGGTGCAGCGCACTGAGAGCCTCGAGCAAGGGTGCGAGCACGACCTGCACCGCGGACGCCTCCTGGAGCCTGCGGCGGTCCAGCAGCCGCATCTGCGACAGCAGGTCGTGGCCGCCTGCGCGGGGACAGGGCCGGGGGGCGCGGGCGGGCGCTGAGCGGCCGGGCGCGCGGACCTTCGAGCGACCGCGGGCCTCGTGGCCGACAGGTAGCGGCGTTGCGGCGCGCAGGGGGCGCGGGCAGCGGGCCGGTGGCGCGGCACCGGGCTCTTACACCAGCGGGAGGGCGTGCGCGGCGCGGGGCGGGCCCGCGGGGGGCCGGGCCGGGCGCGACGCGGTGTGATGCAGCAAAACAGGGGGCACACCTGCGTACTCCATGACGATGTAGACCGCGGCGGGGCACTCGAAGGCCGCGTAGAGCGGCAGGATCCTAGGGTGGTTCAGTCTGCTATGGACATTGATTTCCCGCGCCAGCACTTGAGCGATGCGCGACGAGAAACGGTCCTTGATGTAGGTCTTGACGGCGACGCGTCGTCCTGCGGGGAGTCGTGCGGGCAGAATGGTAGACAATGTCGAAAACTACGCGAAGTCGGCGCGAGCTGGGCGCGGCGCGGCGCGCGCAGGCGCGCGCGGGGCCGACACGTCCGCGAGGCAGGCCGGCGAGCGCGCGGCGCCGCTCGGGCCCTTGACAGCCGCCGCCAACTGACGGCTGCGCAAGAAGACCAAAAAGGAGGGCGGCTGGGCGGGCCCGCCGCCAAAAGCGCCGGGTCCGGCGGCACGAGGATATGTGTCCGAGGTCGAGTATCTCCTCGGCGCCACGACGCGCCGGGTGGCCACGCGCCCGCGCAACTGCGCGGAACGCGTTGCTCGGGGGTCGAAGAAGCGGCGGGGGGCACACGCACCGGTGCACTCGTCCGTGGCGAGGAAAACGTTTGGTCTGAACGAATAGGTGAGCTCGGTGATGGACGCCTGCACGTTGAACCTAGCCGGCGCGAGCGGCCAGGCCTTCACGTCTTCAGGACACGCTGCGCCCCACAGCGGCAGAAGCTCCGCGAGACCAGGTGCTGGTCGCTGCCGGCCCTCGCCTACGTGCGGCTGGACGGGAGTGGCTGAAGCCATCTTGAACGCGCTGCTCTCGATCGTAGCACAATCATGTGTGTACTCCATAACGATTCTATGGAAAGAGTGGGGCGCGGGGGACCCGACGCGCCCCCTCGAGCCCGGCCACCACTTTTCAGCCAGGGTATGCCAACTCAGCGCCAGGTATAATCATTGCAAATCGCGAGACGCCGCGCGGACCCCCCGCGCAGCGACTGGAGACCGCGCCGGCGCGCGCCCGACCCCGCTCGACCCCCGCGCGCGCCGCCCCTCGCGCACACACCGCGGCGTTGACTCTCCTCGCCGCGCTCCCCGCACCCTCCGCGCGGCCGTAACCGTGTACGCCCTGATGCGCCGCGGCATCGAGCACGCTGCCGGCTGACGCGCGTGAATGAGAGCGCCGTCGTCCCCCGAGGCGTGCGGCGCCGCCCTAGACGTTGCCCGCCTCGTGGACGACTGTCAAGCGGGCCGTGCCCCACCGCACCGCGTCACCGGCCGCCCCGGCGCTCGTTGCGGTCGCGCACGGCGCCGCCCGCACTCGCTGGCCGCCCGCGACCGCGAGCGATTGTGCCGAGGTGTGTGTTCGCGCAGCGATGCAGCAGTTGGCAGCGGCGGTGGGAGGGTGCGCCCCCGCGGCGCAGGTGCGGGGCGGGTTCCGGGCGCGCGGGGCCGGGCGCGTGGCTCGGCGCGGGCTGCGCGCGCAGGCGATCCCGATGGTGTCGGAGTACCCGAAGGACGCGGGCGCGCAGGAGTGTCTGCGGACCTACCAGCGGGCGATCAACGACGGCGACGCGGTGAGGCCCCCGGCCGGCTGCGCGGCGGTGCTGCGTGCGCGACATGAGCGGACAGGGCGTCGCGGATGGGCGAGGGAGGGGCGGGGGCGGGTGTGTTGCGTGGCTGGTAGAGGGCGCTTGTAGGTGGGGCCGCGCTGGCGGTGGCGCGCGGCTGGAGGCTGGACGCCGGGCCGGATAGCGTCAGAGGCACTGGGACAGCGCGACACACGCGTGGTTGATTCGTCGCGCCCGCGTGCGGGCCGCGGGGCGGCCCCTTTGACCTTGCAAGGCCGGAGGGCAGCGGAATGCGGCTCCGCTGAGCAGCGAAGCGCAGCTCCGTACCGAGCCTCCCCCTCTCCGCTACAGCATGGTACCGAGAGCGGTCGCTACGACGCCTTTCGGGGCGCTGGGTCGGCGGCATTGCGCGCCGTGTCTCCTCATGCAGGCTGGTGCCCTCGCACCGCGCTGGGGCCTCACACGGACGCCGCGGACGGCGTCCGCCCTCCGCCTCAGGGCGCCTCTCATCAGCAAGCATCCAATTCGCCGTCACGGTCCCCGCGCGCCCCTGCGAGCGCCCGTCCTCCCCATGCCTGGTCCAACTGCCCGCCCTCAACCACAGACCGCTTTCGCGTCTCGCAGGAGGCGCTGGCGGGCATGGCCGCCGAGGGCGTCACGGGCGGCGACATGTTCGGCGCGCTGCGGTTCTCGGGCGTCGACGAGCTGCGGGAACAGTACGGCAGGCTGCTCGGCAGCGTCACGCTCCGCTGCACCCTGCCCATCGCCGCCATGGACGAGGACAACAGGCACGCCGCCCGGCGCCCCGCGGCCCTCGCAGCCCTCGCCTGCTCCGCGGAACCCGTGACGTCGCGCCTCCGTGCGCTGGGGCGCCCGCGCCGTCGCTTCGGCGAGCGAGGCAGGGCGCTCAGCGGCGGTGCGCCTGAGCGGGAGTTCGCTGGCCGCGCGGTGCAGGGAGGTGTACTCGCTGTGCGAGTGGTCGCTGCGCGGCATGAAGGACACGTACCTCGGCGTCGACCCCAGCGCGATTGACGGGGAGCGCCTGCGGGGCGCGACGGGCGTCGTCGCCATGCGGCTTGACAGCGCAGGGCGGATCACCTCGCTCCGCGAGTACCGCAGCATGCACGTCCCCGAACGCCTCGCGCTCCTCGCCGACCAGCAGCGCGGCCGCAACACCTACGGACTCCAGGTGCGGCCCGCAGCTGTGTCCTGGCTGCGCCCCCGCAGCTAAGCGCTCCGAGGCCGCTCGGGCCCGTTACGCGCGCAGCCAAGGTACCCCGTACATGCAGTGGCCCCTCGAGGTGCTTCCCGCGGAGCTGCCCCCGGACATGATTGTGGACAACGCGATGGCACTGGAGTCCTTCGCGGTGGAGATGAACTTCCCCGGCACGCCCGCCGAGGGCCTGCTGTCGACGTGGGTGACCGACGACGTGACGTTCGTGACCGTGGGGAGCCTCCCGGGCCTCCCGGAGAAGACCTCGGGCGTCGAGGAGTTGACGCAGGTGCTGGCGGACTGGAAGCAGGCGACCGACTTCACGATCCGCATCCTCTCCACGGCGCCCTGCGAGGACCGCGACGTCGGGTTCCTGCGCCTCGAGATCCTCTTCCAGGTGCGCGCGCGACCGCCCGCCGTTGCTGCACTGCGCCCCCCCCCCCGCAGCTTGCGCCTGCGAAAGCGAGGCTGCGCTGCGCGCTTGGTCGACTGTATGCTCAGCGGCTGCTGCGATCCGGTGCCGATGACGATGCAGCACGGCGACGACGCGCGGTTCCAGGAGGCGGTGACTGCCGTGATGGTGTGCACGCTGCGCGACGGCCGCGTGGCGCGCGCGCTGCTGTTCCGCGAGCCCTCCAGGCAGGAGATGCAGGAGCTGCGGGGCGGGGCGACGGAGGGGGCCGCCAGAGGGGGGGACTCCGTGTCAGCGTCCCTGGACATGGACGGCCTAGGTGCCGCAGCCGGCGTCGGCAGCCTCGACAACGGCTTGCAGGACTACTGAAACTCGTCTTCAGCAGTCGTGACGTACGGCCGGGCCCCAGTCTGCGTCCCCCGCTAGAACACGTGTGTTTTCGCTGCACTTGGAACATCTCGGCGCCGCGAACAAACAACAGTTGCACTGTTGCGAGAGCATCAGGTCACGCAGCATCCTGGAAGCGAAGCCACGCGTGGCAGACTGCTTGTAACGATTACGCATTACAGACTCCCGGAATGCCGCCGCCTGTGGCGCGACACGCGTGGGAGGGGCTCAGGTCCACGGGGCGCCGTCCTCGGGCGTGTTCAGGAAGTCTGGCTGGCCGTTCTGCATCTTCAGGCGGTTCCACGTCCGGCCGCGCGGGTCCACCAGCCGCGGCGCCGCGATGATGGCCGGAATGGGGAGGTAGCAGAAATGCGTGTTGACGAGGCCCGTCGTGATGCCCGTGTACCCCGCGAACGCCGCGTGGACGGCGCCCTGGCCCAGAACGGTGCAGTAGATGCGGTCGTTCGCCGTCGTGGGGATCGCGCGAATCATGTACGTCGGGTCAATGTACTGCAAGGGGGGGGGGTGCACGGGGGGGTCAGGACGGGCAGACCTCGCCCGGGCCGCAGCGGCCACGACTAGCACGTGCACTGGCACGTCGCGCCCCCTCGTCGGGCGCAGCGGGGCACGGCCACAGGCAGCGGCTGGCAGCACGCCGCAGGTGGGGTGGGCGCGTGCCTTGACGTCGACGTTCTTCGCGAACTTGTCCTTGATCTTCTGCGACAGCCACGCGCCGACGTCCTCGAGGATGGGGTTTCCGCTCGGGTCGGTGCCCTGCGCCTCGTCCGCCAGGATGTCCTGGCCCGCGCCCTCCGCGACACAAATCACGCAGTGGCCCTTGGTCGCGAGCACCTCTTCGATGTACGCCATGAGCCCGTTCTTCCCCTCCATCTCGAACTTCACCTCCGGGATCAGGCAGATGTCCACCACGCCCGTCGCCAGCGACGCGTTCAGCGCCACGAAGCCCGACTGCCGGCCCATGAGCCGCACGACGCCGATGCCGTTGCGCGCCGAGCTCGCCTCGACCTTGGCGGCCAGAATCGCGCGCTGCGCCTCCTCGACCGCCGTCTCGAACCCGAACGTGCGGTCGATCACCAGGATGTCGTTGTCGATCGACTTCGGCACCGCCACCACGCTGCACAGCACCCCTGCACGGGCAGCGAGCGCACAGGACGCAAGCACGCGTCACGCACACGACCAGCGCGTCCGAGGCAGCCAGGCAACCCCGCCGCCGCACGCACGACGCACGATGCACGAGTGCACGCAGAGCACAGTGCCCGGCTGGCATCAGCGCGACCGGACGAGCGGCGGCGGGGCCGCCTGCTCGACGCCGCCGTGCACGGGCGCGCACCCTGCTTGATGCACTCCTCGTGGATCGCCCACGCGGCCGCGTTCCCGCCGTTGCCCCCCAGGACGTACAGCATGTCAATCCCCCACAAGTCGAGCTTCTTGACGATCTGGTCGACGCCGGCGTTGCCGCGCGAGGTGCCCAGCATCGTGCCGCCCTTGAGGTGGATGCCCTCGACGCGCTCGCGCGTGAGCGGCACCGGCTTGATGTTGCGGTCGGTGAACCCGCGCAGGCCGTACTTGATGCCGAGGATCTGGTCCTCCGGGACGCCGTAGTCGAGGAGCGCGAGCGTGATGGACTCGATGATGTCGTTCAGGCCCGGGCAGAGGCCGCCGCACGTCACGACGGCCGCGGTGACCGAGGCGGGCTCCCAGTAAATGTCCGCGCGAGGGCCCGAGCGGATCGCCCAGGACTCGCCGACCGTGCAGACCGCGTCCGGGTCCATCGAGCGGTGCGGGTCGACGCACGACGCGCCGGAAGACGACACGCTCTCGTACCTGCGGGCGGTGGTTGCGTCGGTGCAGGGTTGTGCGCGCCGGTGCGGCGGTGCCGGATCCGCGGCCTCCGCGCGCGCAGGAGGCATGGAAACGAAGTGGGGGGCGCGGGTCCGCGGCAGTCGCACCTGACCGTGTTGAGGCCGATGATGTCGCGGTCGCCTACGAAGCCCGAGCCAAAGTTGTTGCAGTGCCGCAGCGGGTGCGGGCGTTTCTTGAGCTTTTTCCGGAGCGTCGGAATCTGCATGACGTTCTCTGCAGGGACGCGCGGGGGCCGGGGGCGGGGGCGCGTCGGACGCGCGGCGCGCCGGGGCGGGAGGTTCTGGACAGGTGGGCCTGGCAGTTGGGGGCGCGCGCTCGGCCGCCTGCGGGCCGTTTCGGAGCTGCTGCGCGCCGCCTCGAGGATGTTCGAAACCGAGAAACGCCAGTTCCGTGAAAAAACATAGTGGGTCGCGCGTTCTCCGGCTGGGGTCGCTGGGGCACCCTGGAGGATGTTGGACCGGCCCCTCCCGCCGCGTTGCGCGCACTCTCGCGCAAATGGCTCAGGGTATGAGCATGCGCCGACCGACGCCTCCATGCGCGCGAGCGGAACGGCCAGAATATCGCGCACGCGTGCGGGGAAGCACCGCAGGGCTAGCGGAGGAGAGGTGCGCACCAATGCTGACGTCAGGGTACGGCAGGCCGTCCACGGTGTACGGGAAGAGGTTGTCGTCCGCGAGAAGCACCTTCTCGGGCGTGATCTGCTCCTTGCTCTTCGCGTCGCTGGCGGGCCCACCACCAGGCGGAGTGGCCCGGCACGGGCGGCCACGGCCCAGGTCGCCGCCTGGGGCCGCTGGCCGCGAGCGCCGCAGCTGCCCGGCTGCGGTAGCCGGGCGCAGCCGCATGGTCGGGAGCGGGAGGCTCATGGTGACGCCTGCGCGCTGGGCGGTTGCTTGCGAGCCCCTGCACGCGAGGGCACGGCGAACGAGGGCGCGCCGTCGGAGTCCAGGGCCGCGAGAGACGAGCCCGAGCTGTGCCGAACGCGGGGAGCTGGTCGCGACTGCCGCCTGGCCCGGCGCCCATCGCGCAATCGCGTGCGGACATCAGACGGGCCACCATCAGGCTCGGACTCCCCCCGGTCCTGAGGAGCCCTCTACCGGCTCCCGCGAGCCCGGCGTCGATCACTCCGCAGCCGCCTGCCTGGAACTTGCCCCACCCGGCCGCGTGCGGATCGACTACCTTGCAGCGACGTGCTGCTGTCCACTGCGCGGCTACCGTCACACGCGAGAGATGCAGCTGGCGGCGGGTCGCGCGCAGGCCGCGCGGAGGTCGGCGGCCGATGCGCAGCGGCGCGCCGTAGCGCGTCCCGCGTGCGCGCGGCGCCAGGCGTTGGCTAGGCGGGGCGGGTGGTGGTCGTGTGCGCGAGGGAGCGCACAGGCGGCTCGCGGCCGCTCCGTCGCTGCTGCGGCGGGGCCGGGCGACGACGCGGTCGACTGCGACGTCGTCGTGGTCGGCGCGGGCGTCGCGGGGCTCGCGTGCGCGCTGAAGCTCGCAGGCAGCGGGAAGAGCGTGCAGGTGCTCGAGGCGTCCGACGGGGTCGGGGGGCGCGTCAGGACGGACGAGGTCGACGGGTTCCTGCTTGATCGAGGATTCGCAATCTTCCTGAGCTCGTACCCGGAGGTGCGGAGCCACCCTGGCGGTCGATCGTGCAACTGTGGCCCGCGCGAGACAGCTCGGATGCATCCCCCGTGTCGCGCCTCCGACAGCTCGACGGCCGGTCTCGCGGCCGCGGCCGCGTGCGATGTCCGCGTGGCAGCGGGTCCGAGCCTTGGTTGCGGCTCTCTACGCTCGCACAGCCCTGGTGCGCGGTGGCACGCCATGCGCGGGTGGTGTCATTCGCCGACGTGCGTCGCACGCGCGCTGCAGGCGAAGAAGCTCCTCGACTACGACGCCCTGGGTCTGAAGCAGTTCTACGCGGGCGCGCTGGTGCGCTTCGACGGTGCGTTCCACCGCGTCGCCGACCCCTTCCGCCACCCCCTGGACACGCCGGGCACGCTCACGAACCCCATCGGCTCGGTCTTCGACAAGGTCCTCGTGGGGCTGGTCAGGTACGGCGCGCCGCCGCGCAACCCGAGCCTCGCAACCGCAGCGCGCATCGCCTTGCGCGCACCACTGCCGCGTGTGTCGACGCGGCGCCGCGGTCGGCGCCGTCTCGCAGGTTCCGCGCGATGGCGATGGGCGCGGACGACTGGGTGACGATGGAGGAGCAGGCCATCGCGAAGGAGCTGCCTTCGCTCGGGTTCAGTCAAAGCATGGTCTCGCGCTTCTTCCGCCCCTTCCTAGGCGGCATCTTCTTCGACCGCAACCTCGGGACCACCTCGCGGATGTTCTGGTTCGTCATGAAGATGCTCGCCACCGGTGCGCGAACACGCCCGCCCGACCATCCGCCGCTGCACCCCACAGCGTCCTTGTCGGGACGTCGTTGCTGCCACGCTTCCTGCCCCTGACGCCCCCAGGACGCCTGGCCTCTGCCCACAGGCTCGAACTGCCTCCCGACGCGCGGCATCGGCGCGGTGTCCGACCAGCTCGCGGGGAAGCTGCCTGACGGCGTGGTATCCCTCAACACGCGCGTGACCGGCGTCGCCGCTGCCTCCTCGCCGGGCGCGCCCGCGGAGATCACGCTCGAGGACGGCCGCACGCTGCGCGCGCGCGCCGCGGTGGTCGCAACGGACGGGCCGGCCGCAGCGGCCCTGCTTGGCGAGGGCACGCTGGGCAACAACGGCGGCGCTCCGGGCGTCGGGACCGCTTGCGTGTACTTCAAGGCCCCGGCTGCACCGAGCCCGGAGCCGATTCTGTACCTCAACGCCGCGGACGACGTCCTCGTGAACAACTGCTGCTTCCCGTCGACGGTGGCGCCGTCCTACGCGCCCGCCGGGCAGGCGCTGGTGTCCTGCTCCACGGTCGGCGTGCCGGACATGTCGGACGAGGAGCTCGCCGCAGCCGTCAAGAACGAGCTCTCTGAGTGGTTCGGAAAGGACCAGGTGCGGCACCTCACACTCCGCCCATCTGCAACAAGCGGCGCCGCGCTGTGTTGCCAGCGCTGCGCGAGGAGCGCTCACAGCGGCGCTTGTGGCCGTGATCGCGCAGACGGACACGTGGGAGCACCTCAGGACGTACCGGATACCCTTTTCGCAGCCAGTCCAGACCCCCCCCACGCAGCTCATGAAGCCGGTGGAGGCCGGCGAGGGCCTGTACGTGTGCGGCGACCACAGGGACGCAGCGACGCTGGACGGCGCGCTCAAGTCCGGGCGCCGGGCCGCGGAGGCGGTGTTGCGGGGCATGTGATGTTGCGAGTCATCCTGGGAGGCGTGTGAGATGCGCGGGGAGCACGGATGTCGCGCGGCGCGGGCGGGGGCGCGGCGATGAGAGCGGGGCGCGCGAAGCAAGGGGGGTGAACAAAATTGACCGCCCGGTGCGGCCGCGCGCGCGAGCGGGGCCGCATTGGCCTCGCTGCGACGGGCAGCGGGCCGTAGACCGCCCCCCGCGCGAGGCGCGCGGCTGCAGCGGGGGCTGCCGCCCGGGGCGCGGCACGGCGGGAGCGCGGGCACGGTGGCGCCGGGCGCGCCACACCGTGGTGCAGCGGGTGCGCGCGGGGGCCGGGGCGCGTGTGAGATGCGCGGGGAGCACGGCTACGGACCCACAACGTCGCTTCGAGGGGATGGGATCTCGCACTGCGCGCCAAGCCAAAACATCGAGTGCCACGAAGGCGCATGTCTGCACCATCGCGTGCACATATATGTGCACGCTATATAGCGTTGACGTGGCCGCTCACAACTCGGGGGTGTAAGCCCATTCGATGAGGCTGCAAACGACGTCTCGACGTGTCAGCACTGTCGCCCAGGAAACCGACGCCGGACCCCGAAAAACAACTTTTTGGGCATGCAGCATGCGTGGACAACACCGCCACTTGGTGTGAGGAATACCCTTCCGTGCGTGGAGAATGTGGTTGTGTTGCAGCGTGAATTACCCGGGGGCGTGGTGAATGTGAAATCCGTGCGTGAGGAATCTGGTTCCCGCGCGTGGTGAATGCCGACCTCGAAAAGCCGCTTTCACACCCGGCCATTCCGCACGCAGCGTGCGGTTCTTGAGGTTGCAGTGGGAAACATTGCATGCCGCGAATCGCAGCGACCGGGGCCGCGGTGAGGCTCCACGCCCACCCCCTGCGGGCCTACAGACCTGTGCCGCGGGCGGGTGCCCCGTCGTCGAGCGTGCGGCGCACCTCGCGCCGTCCAGCGCCGAAATGCTCAAACACCTTCCCGCCACACTCCGGCCCAACGCCGCCTCCGGGACCCAAGGCGCCTGCGCTACCATAAAACTGCGCCGAAACGGTCAGTGCATCCCAACATCTGTGCATGAAGCGCGGTGCAGCACTGCAGGCCGGACAGCGCGCTCACCAGCTCGGGCCGTCGTCCTACCTCAACAACCCAAAGGGCGAATCGCGCCGCTGCGTGATCTTCGGCGCGCATGGTGCCCGTGGTTCCGCCTTCGGACATGTTCCGGTCATGTACTAGCTCCAGGGCACGGAAACACGCCGGTTCCACTTCAGTTGCGGCCGTGTTGGCGCAACTTGGGGCAGCGCTGACGCTGCCCGCCTCCGGGCGCACCGGCCGGCCGCAGCCTGCACCGACGGCCGACGCGAGGGCACGCACGGTGTTTCTGCCCATCACGTCGGTCCGGAAAGACGGTCGGACGGCAGCGAACGCCCCGGGACGTGCGCGTGCGAGCGAACTAAGGCTGGCGAAGCCGCACTGCAGAGGGCGGTCGCACCCGCCGGCGTCCTGCGACGCGTCCTGTCGGACGTATCCGGAGTTGTGCGGCTACAATGTGGACGTGTGACGCGCTGGACGGGCACGCGCGTCCCTTGAGCCCGCGAGACCGCGGTGCCGCACGTGGCTCTGCGTCGAACACCCCACACCCCCCCTCACGTGCCCATGTCGGAGGGCCGGCAGAGCGACGGCGCGCCCCGGCAGACTTCCCGGAGCCACCGGGTCGCGACGGCGCGGGCGGGGCCAACGGGCGGGGCGGGCAAGCGCGGGCGCGGGAGCGTGCGCGGGCGCACTGCGGGGCGGTCGCCCGCGATGTCGCTGGGCGGCGACGACGCGGCGGGCGGCTCCGAGGACGAGGAATCGTAGCGGGCGGGCGGGGGGGGGGAGCGTCGGAGCAGCGAGGAGCGGCTGTGTGCTGCGCTGCGATGGGCGTGCCAGCAGTCGAGGACTGGTATCTGTGAGACGGTGATAAGTCAACCATGAGGGGTTGTTGCCACTAGCGGAGGCCGAGCGGCCGTTGCATGCGCGTCCTGCGGTCCACCGCGCTTCGGCCTCTCGGGCAGGCGCGCGAACAACGCCAGGCTCTGCCGCCGAGGGCTGCGACGGGCGCGTCACTGCAGCAGTTCCTCACCGGAGTCGTGCGGCACGAACAACCCGGCGCGTGCGGGCACGCGGCGCCGCAGGCGGCGTCCCTGGACGACGAACGAGCGTCGGGGCCGACAAGATGCATGTGTCAGGCGGAAGTGGAGGTGCGTGGGCGACCGTGGGCAGACGCCAGGCAGCGCGGACTCCCGAGTCGTGGGCGTGCCGAGATCAGCGACGGCGTGCGCGGTCCCACCGCGCTGGCAGCTTCGCCCGCTCGCACCGCCAGACCCCGCACCTCCCGCGCACCCGCTCTGGCCGCGCCGATGGGCCGAAGGCAGGGCAGGGGGTGTGCAGGAGGGTTCATCCGCCACAGCCCCCCCTGGCGGTCGCAGGGCGGAAAGGACGGTGTTCGCGCACTCCACACGTATTGTGGGGCATGACGCGGACGACAGCCTGGCCGAGTGGCCCCGTGCGGCACGCTTGGAGCGCTTCATGTTGTGCGCGTGACGCGGGATGTGCGAACTCGCGACGCGGTCACGCGACGGAGGGCCTGGTTCGCATCGCCCCGGTAGCAACGCCTCCTTCCACGTCCATTCGCCTCACGAGGCCCCCCCAGCGGCCCTGTGTCGCCGTCTTCGAGCGGGGTCGCGCCACTGTGCACGGGCTTGGGGCCCTTGTCGCGCCGCAGCCCGGTCATTCTGCCCGACGGACATCGCGCGGGATCAGGATGGATCACGAGGCGGCGTGCAGGGGCGGTGCGGCCCACTCGTCCACCCCCCGAGGAGCGCTGTGGAGAGGCAAGGTGAGCCCAGGTCTCTCGCCCCGTCCCATCCCGGCCGCGGGCAGCGGAGACTGGCCCCTACATGTGACTGTGTCTTCCGAGCCCCTAGCGTCACGTTGTCATCGTCGCGTCCCCTGCCGCGGTTGCGGGCGGGGGAGTAGCTCCTGGTGAGGGAACGCGTCCACAGGGGCGTGTGCCTGCGGCGGTGATGCCCGTCCGCGCTCACAAGCGGCATTCAGGACCGGCAGCATCGTGCGCGGCGGTCCGTCGGGCACAGCCGTGCACATTGCCGCGCGGGGGCCAGGAACCCCACCGCGGCGAGCGCGCCGACCCGGCGTCGCTCCAGTCCACCTCGGGCCACCAATGGCAGAATCCACCCCCGGGATCCACTCACCAGGTGCATATGGTGCGCACGGTACGCGATCCTTTGCTCTGCCGTCGCGCAGGAGGCCGTACACGCGTGCTGGGGCGGCCCAGCTGTGTGCCAAGTACAGTGTGCAGATTTTCGCTCGTAGCAGGCGACTGGCGGCTCCGATGCTCCAACGCGGCAGACTGCGGGCGAACGTCGATATGACGCGCAGCGTGGCGCCTCCATCCCGGTCAGATATGCCGCACATTGCGAGAAATCGGCACACGCCACGTTCCCCATGCAAGTCTGTTTTCCCCACGCTGCAGCAGGAATATACCCCCCGCGTGAGGAATACCCCCTGCGTGAAGAACTTGCGTGAAGATCTCACATCTACGCCCCCGCGCGTGGCGTTTAAGGCCCCTGCGTCGGTCCGCTGGGCGACAGTGCCTGCGCGCGCAGGCGCAGACCTCGATGGCCGCAAGAAGGAGCCTGAGTTGCTGAACGCGCTTGAGAGAATCGCAATGTCTGTGTGCGCGGAGAAGAACCTCGCAGCGGCCCGTGTGGCGTGGCGGGGAGCGTGAGTTGCTCCCGAGCGCGCACGAGGTGCTCATGTCACTCTTCCCTGGACCCCAAGCTCGGCGCCGTGCGGCTCCAGCGGATCGCGGGCACGCCGGACTGCCCCGGCGAAGCACGGACATGCGCGCCGACGCCCCTGCCGGTGCGCACCAGTGTACCGGTGTGACCCGTTTCCCAGCCCCTTTCCGCTGCCTTGGATGTTCACAGTGTTGTTAGCAGTGTCAGGGCACTGACCTATCCGGGCAGTACCCTGGCCAGCAGATGCTCGGCTCCAGCGGACCGAGCGAGCCAGGAGAAGCCTGGTCTTAGTCAGCTGAGGGCCCGCAACCACTCGAATAGAGCTGTGATGTCTCACAAGTGTGTCGAACTGCCCCGGCACGGGTGCCGCGCGGCCCTATGGGCTGGCGCGTCTGGAGCGGCTGGAGCGTCTCAGTTGGGATACTCCCCCTGACGTGGCAATCTCCTGACAGCAGCCTGGGGCTCCGCGTGAGCCGCACCAAGCTCCTACAACAGCGCCGTGTTTGTTAGACCGAAACATCATGCCAACGCCTTCATCCAGGCGTGTTGCTGCGGAAACTCCACATTTCGGGCAGGCTAGGTGGCCGACCTTTTCGCGGCGGCGGTTGCTGAGCTGCTCTGCAGAGGCTGGGCGCTGGCAGTCTTTGGTCGCGCAGGCGAACAAATGGACCCCCGTCGGGGCGTACACGCAGCACGAACCATGCTTGACGCAACCGCCGCCAGGACCTTTGCCCCCTCCCCATTCGAGCGATCGCTCGGGATACGTGGGAGCGTAAACGTACTTCCCGCCGCCTGGGCATCGTTGCCCGTGCAGCTCAGGGTCGCCCGTATAATGCGGGTTGTCCGTGAAATCCCGGCAGGCCATGCATCGAAGGTGCCCGTCCAACGCGCACTTCACTATGGCCGTTCCCGCGGTTTTTCTGGCAATGCGTTCAGCGTGGGAAAAGAAACGTTGGCCGTCAGGGAACACAACCTCCCAAACACCCTGCGGGCAACCCTGCGCGCGGTTGTAGCAGCACCACTTCGCGCGCTCGACCGCCATCTCCTCGGGCGTGGCGAGATCGGCGCTGCACTCCGTACATACCCTGTGGTCACCCAGACTGACGATCGTCGGCTCGGGGCACCGGGCCGAGAACGGGCAGCCCCGATGCTTCCTGTGGAGCATCTCGGCTAGACACTGGGCTGGGTCCGGGGCCTTTCGCACGCGTTGCAAGCATGTACTACACAGCAATCCTTGTCCCTCGAGCACTTCGTACTTGCGCCACACCATCTGACCGTCCTTGAGCTTGACGCGCTTCCGTCGAACAAACGTTTTGCGCTGCCGCAGGCACCGTACGCATTTCCTGTAATTGGCGCGCGCATCTGCCAGCGCCTGCTTGCTCTTTCCTACGACAGCTGTTGTGACGCACTGTGCCTTGCGGTGCCGCACTTTGACTATGCAGTGGAGCTCGTACGGACAAAAGTCCGGGCTGTCGCCGAGGATCTCCGACATCGGCCGCCCCAGCTGGTTGTGGCACGCATCAAGGCCACGCTCAATCAAGGCCGTCATCTGGCGGTGCACCAGTTGGCCCTGCTCGTCGCTGAACGGCGGGAGGTGGGGCATGGGCACAGGGGGGGCGCTAAACGGGTTGGGGGTGGGGAGGGTGGGGAGGAGGTGGGGTGGGGTTGGGGTGGGGATGGGGAGTGGTGGGGGGGATGGGGATGGGTGGAGTGGTAGGGGGTTGGTGGGGGTGGGGAGGGGGGGATGGGGGCTCGGAGGTGGGGGGAGTGGTGGGGGGAGTGGTGGGGGGGTTGGGGAAGGGGTGGGGGGGCAGAACCGGGAACCGGACGTCCGCAGGGTCCGGCAGGGGCACACTGCTGCTCGACTCTACCGGAAGTACCGCGAGAGGCCCCGCAAGCACGACCGCCTGCGAGCTGCCCCCGGCCGGGAACAGTCGCGCGCGCATGTCCGGGGGGAGCGCGACGCGAGACACGAACGAGAGAGCCAGCTTGGCGGTCCGCGCAACGCTGTCCGCCATTGTGCGCACGCGCTTGAAGTCAAGGTTGTGGCTGCGGCATATGATCTGGGTGTTGTCCTTCGTGTGCGGGCGCTTCGGCACCGTCGCGTCCAAGCTCCCGGCGTACGCAGCTCCCGGCGAGCAGGAACCCAGCATGCCGTACGTGCCGGGGGGCGCCAGCAAGATCGGCACGATCCCGGCGGGCGATCCCGCACAGAGCCAGCCGTTCTGGGTGTCGATGAGCGCGCATGCCAACTCGTCGACGTGTTCCGGCGTGGGTCGCCCCGCGCGCGTGAACACCTTGCCGAGCTTTGCGAGTCCACGAGCAAGCGCGCTGCCCTTGCGCTTGGCGCGTCTCGCGTCGCGCCAGTCCGCTGCCACCAGTTGGCGGAATATGACGTACCTGCGAGCAGCAGAAGGGGGGGGGCGCGTCGGCAGGTCAGGGGGGTGTGTGGAGGCATGCGAGGGGACCGAACAGCGGCGTCAGGGCGCAGAGGGAGGGGGGGGGCGCACTCTATAGTTCGGCGAAGCTCCGGCCTCTGTGCGCACAACCCGGCGTAAGGGTTTTGCTGCGCCCTTATGTACGCCGCGAGCTCCGCAGGCGGCGACGACAGCATCAAATATTCTGATAGCGCGCCCGCGTCGGCGAAGCTGGCGCGGGACATGCCGAGCATCGAGTTGAGCTCCAAAGCGGCAAAGCCGAACGTGCGCTTGCCCGTCGCGCGACTGTGCGTCGCGAATGCGTCGACGTGCGGCACGTCCTCCAGCCGCTCCACGGTCGCCGACATCGTGTCATCGCCCACGTCCGCCGCCAGCGAAAGCGGCTCCGCGCAGTAGATGCAATCGACACATAGTTCTGCTTCCTTCCTGTTGTAGGGCACCGCTGCGTGCGCCTCCTCCAGCAGCTCGGTCGCGATTGTTGGAATAGATTGTGCGGCCAGCTCCTGTAGCGGGACGTCGCCGGCCTTGATGCAGCCCTTCTGGATGTCTTGCGCGTACCCATACAAGAAAATTCGAATAGCTGTGCTCGCAGCCAGCTGAATCTTGGCCTGGTCAAGGCCGGCGCCCTTGAGCAGCTCGGCCCACGCCCGCGCGGGCCGCACCACCGTCGGACTCCGCTCGTACTTCCTCACGATCCCCCAAAAGGTCTCCTCCTGCCGTGCGTCGGCATCGTCATCGACCGCATCGCTGTCCGGCAGCAAGCAGTTTTGTTCCTCGTCCTCGCCGAACAAAGACCCCGACAGCGAGTCGTCGCTGACGTCCTCGTCCATCGAGTGCGGGCCCGAGTCGGTGCGGGCGCGGCCCGCCTGCGTCAGCGGGGAGGAATCGGTCGCGTTTCGCATCCGTGGCCGGGCACAGTGCGGGCAGGGCGACGTCGGCGGCGTGGACGTGGCGGGTCGGGAGGCTTTGGGGTCTCTGTGCACACGTGCAACACGTGACATCTCACCTCCTCCTTGGAGCGCTTGAACGGCGAAATCGACGACAGCTTCTTCCCCAAGCGTTGCACCCGCTGAGCCAGGGTCTCGCCGTCCGACGTGGCGCTCGAGCGCGACGGCGAGCCGCCCGACCCGGCAGCGCCCTCGTTGCCGCCGCCCCGCCGCAGGACATTCCGGCGGCCACGGCGTTCCGGGGTGTCGTCGACCTGCACCGTGGCGAGTGGAGGCCGCCGCGTCTTGCCCCCGTGGCACGAATGGCGTGGACGTTGCGGGTCGCGGGGTTGGAGAGAGAATGGGGTTGCTGTTGCGTACCTTTTTGGCCTTGGACCTGCTTGGACTGATCGCCTGCCAGACCGTGGCGACGCGACGCTTGAGCTTGTTCCCCAGGCCACGATCGCGTGGCGTCGCGGGCTCGTCGCTGGGCGTGGCCGCAGTCCCGCCAGTGTCGACGCCGGCGTCTGCGGACGCCTCAGACGTCCCTGGCGCGCACGAGCTGTCCGAATCGTGCATCGGTACATCTGTCCCGTCGTCCGCGAGCTCGTGGGACGCGAGTTCTCCAGGCCCTTGCGACTGCAACGGCACGGAGAGGCGCGACGTCGCGACGTCGTTGGTGTTGTAGCAGGACGAGCGCGGCTGAGCACGTAGAGGCGGGTACGCGACACAAAGCGTCGCCACGAGGGTCAGTGGATGAGTGATAGGACGAAGAATGGCGTCCAGAGACGCGCGTAGCGGCGGGATCGCGCGAAACAACTCACCTCAGACATCATGTCGGTCTCGAGCCACGCTCTTGGCGGCGCGAGCTGCGCCGAACGCCTGCATCGCACGAGCTTAATGTGAACAGCTGTTGCCCGCTGTTTCGTCCACGATCACTCCGCGGGGCCCGGCGCACGGCCAAGCAACAGGAAAACGGTTGGACGATCGTCGAGGCGGCGCGGACGCGGCGCAACGGGCCGCGCGCGCCCCGCGCAACGATCAAAACTAATATCACGGGAGCTGGGCGGCGGTGGAGCGAGAGCGGCACGCTGACCTGCGTTGTATGCATCAGCAGGTGGTCGAACGCGATCGAGCCGGATGACACGCGCTTCTGGGGGACGTACTCCAAGTGAGTGCTGGGGCCAGAGTGCGACGGGACGGGCGCGATGGGCGGCAAAGGCGACGGCGGACGACGCAGCGACCTGGTCGGACCGACGCCGTGCATGCTCCTGCATTGCCACGTCAGGCTGCTCCAGGCTGTTCGCCAGCCAACGGGCCCTGCGTGTGCCGGACCCTGAAGGGCTGGCGGAGGCGTCCTGCAGGAGGTTCCTAACGTCGTGGAGCAGGGAGATCGAACACGCAACGTTTTGCCCGCACGCGTGCGCGGCCTCCTGCGCGACGTTCGAGCAAAGGAGCGGGTACCGGGCGCACCATATGTACCCGGTGAGTGGATCCCGCGCTTGGATTCGCCCGTTGGTGGCCCGAGGTGGACTGGAGCGACACCGGGTCGGCCTGCGCACACCATGGTGGATTTCCTGGCCCCCGCGCACACCATGGTGCACGGCTGTGCCCGACGGACCGCCGCGCACGATGCTGCCGGTCCTGAATGCCGCTTGTGAGCGCGGACGGGCATCACCGCCGCAGGCACACGTCCCTGTGGACGCGTTCCCTCACCAGGAGCTGTGGCACCAGCCACGCCGTGGCAGGGGACGAGACATTGACAAGGCGACGCTGGGGGCTCGAAAGGCCGTCACACGGCCGGACGCGCACGCCAGGGCCAGTTTCCGCTGCCCGCAACCGGGACAGGACGCATGCACCTGGGCCTCACCTTGCCTCTCCACAGCTCCTCGGCAGGTGGACGAGTGGGCCGCACCGCCCCTGCACGCACCCTCGTGATCCGTCCCGATCCCGCGCGATGTCCATCACGCAGAATGATCGGGGTGCGGCGCGATGACGGCCGCAAGCCCGCTGCACAGCGGCGCGACCCTGCTCGCAGACGGCGACACAGGGCCGCTGGGGGGGGCCTCGTGAGGCGAATGGACGTGGAAGGAGACGTTGCTACCGGGGCGATGCGATCCGGGCATCTCCGTCGCGTGACCGCGTCGCGGGTCCGCACATCCCGCGTCGCGCGCAACATGAAGCCCTCCAAGCGTGCCGCACGGGGCCACTCGGCCAGGCTTTCGTCCGCGTCATGCCCCACAATACGCGTGGAGTGTGCGCCGGCCGTCCTTTACGCCCTGCGACCGCCAGGGGGGGCTGTGGCGCGAGAACCCTCCTGCACACCCCCTGCCCTGCCTTCGGCCCATCGGCGGGGCCAGAGCGGGTGCGCAGGAGGTGCGGGGCCTGGCGGTGCGAGCGGGCGAAGCTGCCAGCGCGGTGGGATCGCGCACGCCGTCGCTGATCTCGGCTCGCCCACGACTCGGGAGTCCGCGCTGCCTGGCGTGCCCACGGTCGCCCACGCACCTCCACTTCCGGGTGACACATGCATCTTGTGGGCCCTGACGCTCGTTCGTCGTCCAGGGACGCCGTCTGCGGCGCCGCGTGCCCGCACGCGCCGGGTAGCCCGTGCCGCACGACTCCGGTGAGGAACTGCTGCAGTGACGCGCCCGTCGCAGCCCTCGGCGGCAGAGCCTGGCGTTGTTCGCGCGCCTGCCCGAGAGGCCGAAGCACGGTGGACCGCAGGACGCGCATGCAACGGCCGCTCGGCCTCCGCATGTGACAACAACCCCCTCATGGTTGACTCGCTCACCGTCTCACAGATACAAGTCCTCGACTGCTGGCACGCCCATCGCAGCGCAGTACACAGCCGCTCCTCCTCCTCCTCGCTGCTCCGACGCTCCCCCCCCCCCGGCCGCCCGCTACGGTTCCTCGTCCTCGGAGCCGCCCGCCGCGTCGTCGCCGTCCACCAACATCGCGGGCGACCGCCCCGCAGTGCGCCTGCGCACGCTCCCGCGCCCGCGCTTGCCCGCCCCGCCCGTTGGCCCCGCCCGCGCCGTCGCGACCCGGTGGCTCCGGGGAGTCTGCCGGGGCGCCCCGTCGCTCTGCCGGCCCTCCGACAGGGCACGTGAGGGGAGGTGTTCGCAGAGCCACGTCCGGCACCGCGGTCATGCCTTTTTGGGGTGTTCGTTTGCGTTGCTCAGCGCTCATCGCCGGCGCATCGACGAGACGAAGCCCGGGCATACCCGGCGCGGCGTGCCCGCACCGTGGGCTCACCCTCGTCTGCGCTGCACAGATCGGACCGAACGCGCACCTCTCAGAAGGGTCTTTCGGCCCTGAATCGACTGGAGAATTCATGCGAATCCGCGCCAGCGCCTCCCGCCGCGCGTCCGGCGGTACGCGGGGGGGCGTGACCAGCAAGACTGCCCTCTCTCTTCTCAGCGCGATTGTGCGCGCCCCGGGCGCGGCAGGGGCACTCTGGTGCGCCAGGTGCATGTGGCTCGGACAGGCTATTCGGCCCAGCCGGAAACCTGAGCTCACTTGCGACTGAGGAGCCGAGAGGCGGGCGGTGAGACCACACGGCGCCCTCGTTGTTGTCTGCCGGTCCGGTCTTCAGCGATGCGGCCTGCGGCGAGCATCACGTCCGCGCCGTGCGCAGCGGCCTGTCTGTCGGTGCGAATGACCCGGGCGGCGGGAGCCGTGGGCGTCCCCGCGGCGGTGCCCCTGCGGGCGCCTTGGCGCCACATCGCCCAGCAGCGGGCGGCGCGGGTGTGGCGTGTAGCGGCGAAGAAGAAGGAGGAGGCCGCGGTTCCGGCGCTCACGCTGCCAGAGGACCTGCCGGAGGACGTCAGGGACGCTCTGATGGCGCAGGCGCAGAGCGCGGCGGCGCAGGTCGCCACGCTGCGCAAGGAGACGCGAGCGAAGACGACGGCCATGGGGATGATGCAGAAGCTGCTTGCGACGGAGCGCGAGCACTCTCAGACGATCAAGAAGCAGCTGCTGGACGCGAAGAAGCGGCTGGAGACGTGCGCGACCGACGTCGTGGGCAGCAGCGGCAAGGGTGGCAAGAACGGCGCGGCGCCCGCGGACGCGACCGACGAGCTGCGCGCGAAGCTCAGGGAGATGGAGGAGCGCGCGCACCGCGCGGAGGCGGAGTCCGTTGCGTCGCAGCTCATCGCCAAGAAGCTCGAGGTGCGCACCCTTCTTGGACCGCGCCTCTCGCGGGGCCCCGCGCCGCGGCGCGGCCGCTTGCGCGCGCCCACGCCGCCCTCCACTCGTTATCGAGCTGTTTCGCGCGCGAGAGCGGCGCGGCAGCCCCGCACGCGGCCTCAACGCTGCCCTGCACCCTGTGCTGGAAACGCCGTCGGCCAGGGCTGGCGGCTCGCTCAGATGCGACGTTTGCCCTTCTGATGGCTGCCACACTTGCTGGTGCGACGTGATCATGGCGGTTCCCCCGAAAAGCGGCCGTTTCCGGCGCGGAATCGCCACGGAGCCTTCTTGAGCCTAGTTACCGTGTGTACGCGCCTTTGTCCGTCCACGCGCCGCTTCGCGCCCGGCCGCGCTCCCCGCCGTATGACAATCTCATCAGCGCACGCGATCGGCCCGTGGACCCGCGCGCCCGCGCCCCCCGTGGCCGCACGCGCCCACCCCTACAGCGTCGCACGCCCGCACGCCGCGAGCCTCGGCAGGGGGCGCTGACGCCGCCCTCGCTTCCGCGCCGCGTCGCCGTGCAGACTGTGTTGAAGAACAAGGACTCGGAGCTGCGCGAGGCCAGGAGGGGCGGCAAGGCGGGCGGCAAGGCGAGGGGCAAGGGGGGCAAGGATGGAGGCAGCAAGGGCTACGAGGGCGGCTCGGCGGCCCTGCGAGAGCTCGCGGAAATGGCATCTGAGGCTTCCATCGACGAAGACGACATGTCGACGCTGTCCCGCGCCCGCCTGGAGGCCGAGACCGAGGCGCTTCGGCTGGAGTTGGAGCAGGCAGTTGAACGCGCCAACAGGCACGACCCGCGCTTCCCTCGCACCGCACGCCGCCGTTCCTTGCTCCGTTAGAGCTCGAAGTCTCCCCGCTTGGTCGGTTTGAGCACGTCACGCGCCGTGGAGGCGCCTCGGGCCCGCAGCTGGGCAGCGGTGCTCCTCAGCCCGCGCCCGGTCGCGGCGGCCCGTGCGCAGCCCCCGGGGGCTCACGGGACATCGGTGCGACGACGATTTCGCGCAGGGCCGAGAAGCAGCGCGACGAGTTGGAGCACGACCTCCGCGGAGCGATCGACGTGGCCAGCAGCGAGTTCCAGCGCGCACAGAGCCTCCTGGAGGCGCGCATGTCCGCCCTCGCGCACGTCAACGATCACTTCGACGCCGTGAAGGCCGAGATCAGCAAGGAGGAGGAGCTCGAGCTCCAGGAGCGCGAGGCAGCGGCCAAAGCAGCCAAGGGCGCGCCTGGCAAGAAGGGCGCGAAGCGCGCGTCTGAGGCCGCCTCCGAGGAGCTCGACGCCCTCACCGCGGAGATCAAGGCTCTCCGCGAGGCCCAGGTGCGGCCGAGCTCGACCGCGCCCCCGCACGGCGCGCATCCGGGCGCGATCTGCCGCACAGCTTGCTGACCCGGACTCGCGCCCCCGCCCGCAGGAGACGCAAGCCGAGGAGCTCGAGCAGGCCGTGGAGGTCGCGGAGGTCCTCACGGAGCAGGTCACGCGCCTGCAGGACCAGCTCGGCGAGGCGGAGGCGCTGGCCGAGCAGTGGCGCCTGGAAGCCGAGGCGTCGCTGGACCAGGCCACGGCCGCGATGCAGGCCGCGGAGCAGGCCACGCTGATCGCGGACGAGCTCCTGGGCCTGGAGGAGCAGGTCGGCCTGCTGCAGCAGCAGGTGGCCGAAACGCAGCAGGAGGCGGGCCGGCTCGAGGAGGACAACGCGCGGCTGGGCGAGCTGCTCGTGGAGGCGCGCGAGAACGCCGCGGCGAGCGCCGGCAGCGACCCGGACGCGGCGCGGCGGCTGGTGAGTCACGCTTGCGCCGGCCCACTGTTGCGCGACGCGCCGGTGCTGCCGAGCGCCCCCTTTCCGCCGCGCGCGCGCGCTGCGGCGTGCTTGCTCGCAGGGAGCGTGCTGGACCGTGTGCGCGACTGGCGATCGGGACTGGTCGAGGTGGGCTGCGTCCACCCACGCCCGGCGTATGCGTGTGCCCCGCGTTGCAGAAGGCGTTCGAGGCGCAGTACGCCGAGCTCGAGGCGACGAACCAGAAGCTCGAGGCGAAGCTCGTGGAGTCCATCGCGGCGCTCGGGCGCGCGGAGGCGGCCATCGAGGAGGGCCGCGGGCAGACGGCGGCCGTGGAGGCGCGCGCGCAGGAGCTCCAGCGCACGGTCGACGGGCTCCGCGGCGAGCTCGACCACGTCCGCGGCGAGCTGCAGGCCGAGAAGGCCGCGCACAGCGAGGCCCGGCAGTCCGCGGAGGCGCGGGCCGCGGAGCTGCAGTCCTCGGTCGACGCGCTGGAGATCAACCTGACCGAGGTGGAGAAGTCGGGCGACGAGGCCCTGAGTCAGGCGGAGGCGCGCATGGCCGAGCTCGAGGCCGAGCTCGACGAGGCGTGGGAGGCCGCGGCGCGTTCGGCGGCCGCGCGCGACGAGGAGACGGCTGCAGAGGAGGAGGCGCTTCAGCTGTTGCGCATCGAGCTGGCGCGCGAGGCGGAGGCGGCGTCGAAGCTGCTGTACCGCGCGGAGCAGGTCGCGAGCATGCTCGGCGAGGCGCTGGACGGCGAGGCGTCGGGCGACTCGCCGCTCACCTCGGGCGTGGACCAGCTCGTCGCGAGCCTGCAGCAGCGCAACTCTGAGCTGGAGGCGGAGGTGGCGGAGCTGCGCGCGGGGTCGAACGGGAACGGCGCGGGCAAGGCCGTGGGCGTGTCGCCGGCGACGCTGGGCGAGGCGGAGGCCGTGCTGCAGGGCCTGCGCTCGCGCGGCGCCGAGGTGGTGGGCAAGGTGGAGCAGGGCCTGCTGGAGGAGGTCGCGGTGCGCCGGGCGCGCGTGAAGGAGCTGGAGGCGGAGTCGGAGGCGATGCGCGAGACCATCGCGGCGCTGCAGGCCGACCTCGACGCGGCGCGCGCCGCCAAGGTGCCGGCGATGCCCGCGCTGGCCAACGGGAACGGCAAGGCCGCGGGGCAGGCGGAGCTGCGCGCGGCGCTCACGGAGGCCGACGAGCTGCGCGGCCGCGTGCGCGACCTCGAGGCGGAGCTCCTGAAGAAGCGCGAGCTGCTCAGCAAGTCCCGGAAGTTCCTGCAGACGCTGACGCTGAACGCGTCGCCCTCCGCGAAGGAGTGAGCGCGCAGTGCGCGGCCCGGGGCGTGGCTGGCGCGGCCGGCGAGGGACCGCGGCTGTCGTGCCTCCTTGCAAGCCAGGGATGGGGAAGCGCGACGGTCGTGGCGCTCCTAGGGCAGGTTTCGCGGGAGGCGGCGCAGAGCGGGGGGCTCCCGGGAGATGTCCGCTGACAGGCGCTGCGGTGCACGCCGCGTCTGGAAGCGGGCCGGGAACGATCGTTGCGCTAACCCGCAAAGATGTTGTTGTTTGTGAAAGAATCCAGCAAACGCACGTGCACGTTGACTGTGGACCGTGTCGCCACGCGGCTGGCAACGGGGCCGAGAACGCTTGGTGTCACAAAGCAGGCCGCGTACGCCAGCGCTGCATCTTCGGGGAGCTGACGGCAAGAGTCTGCCTGATTGGTAGCAATGATTCTCTCAGCAAGCACGGCGAAAGATAACGCCGCGGCGCGCGCCGGAGCTCCGGCCGCACCGCGCCCAGCGTCGGAGGCGGTCATGCGCCGCCTACGAAGTCCACATCCACCTCGTGCGCCCCCAGCTCCTCCAGCGCCAACTCCCCCTCGTCGTCAAGGAGGAGCCCCCCGCCGTTCTCCAGCCCCTCCTCCTTCGCCGCCTGGATCTCCCCCAGCCGCCTGAAGAGCTCCCGCGCCTGCTGCCCGTGCGCCTGCAGCGAGGCCTCCAGCTCCGCGAGCGCCAACGAGTCCGCCTCGAGCGCGCCGCCGTTCGAGTCCCGCACCTCACGCAGGCGCGCGTACGCCTTGCGCAGCTTGTCGATCAGCTCGTCGCGCTGCCCGCGCACCTCGGCGAGCTCGTGCAGCAAGTCGACGTCCACACCGTTGCCCGCGCGGCTTGTGGCGCTGGCCACGCCCGTGTGCCCGTTGGCGTTCGCCGCGTGCGTCGAGCCCCCCGATCCCTGGCTCCGCGACGCCGCCCACGTCACGTTCCTGAACAGCCCGCGCACGCGCTTCGGCACCATGGCGCGCCGCACCTGCCCTTGGATGGAGCCCGAGGTGCCCGTCGTCCCAGCCCTTCCGTGCGAGGTCGCGACGCTCGCCTGCGACGCGATCGACGTGCCGGGCCCGGCGAGCAGGGCCTCCGCGAACCCGCGCCCCACGGCGGCGCGCGTGGCGTGCCCGCGCCAGTGCCTCTGGATCGTCACCGCCGCGCGGTTGAGCGCGGGGAGGTCCGCGAGCGTGTACGCGCCGACGAACTTGGCGTCCATCCGCTTCTGCGCGGCCGCGAGCCCCCTCGGCCCCGGCACGCCCTCCCCCGGCTCCAGCTTCCCCTGCACGTTCTGCAGACCTTGCACCGTGCGCTGCATCTCGTCGACCATGTCGATCGCGAACCGCGCCGCGACCATGCACCGCCCGTAGAACCCCTTCGCCTCCTTCGTCGCGGGCGCCGCGGTGCTCGCGCGCGACGGTGCGCGGTGGACGCCCGAGTCCGAGAACAGCGAGTAGCGGTCGCGGAAGCTGCTCGGCGCGCGCACGAGGACGTGCCGGCTGTTCGCGCGCGCGGTGGCGACCGAGGGCTGGTCGCCGCGCGCGTCCGTGTCCGCCTCCGAGATCAGGTTGGACACCGCGCCCGAGGGTATCGTCTCGAGCTTGCGCGGCAGCCCGAACCCCTCGTTGTCGCCCATGCTCTTGCGCGCCGCGAGCAGCGCCGCCGTCCTCTCGCGCAGGAGCGGCGGGAGGTTGATCGTCGACTGCACGCAGCGGGGGGAACATGGCGCGCTACCGTGGGGGTGAGCTTCAGGCGGACGTGGACGGGGACGGGGCGAGATTGCGGCGCGCAGGGGCGCGTGCGGAGAGGGGGAGGGGCGCGCACGTCGGCGGCGACGTTCGTTTGCAGGAAGGACACGAACTCCTCGAAGTTGAGCGTGCCGTCGTTGTTGGCGTCCGTCCAGGAGAACAGAAAGTCGATCTCCGTGTCGGTGAGCGGCTTCCCGAGCTCGTCGATGACGGCCCGGAAGTGCTCGCGCGTGATGGACCGGCCGTCCCCGCGCGTGAAGAGCTGGAACGCCGACCGCATGATGTCCACCTCCTTGGAGCACTCCTTGACGTACTTGTGCCACAGCACGACGAACTCGATCACGTTCACGTTGCCCTCCCTCGCAGGGTCGATGTCCAGCGAGTCCATCAGCATGTCGACGTACGTCGCCATCGGGCAGTACCCCAGCAGCCGCAGCACCTCCATCACCTCCTCGCGCGCAATGTACCCGTTCCCGTCCGGGTCGAGCACGCGGAAGTGCTCCACGACCTCCTCGATCGCCGCGGGCGGCACCTCGCACAGCAGCGTCACGGGCAGCTCGACCATGCGGTTGATCGCCGCGTCCTTGTCCCGGATCTTCTTCAGCAGCTTGAGCTGCCGGGAGAGGAACTTGACGCGGTCCATCTCGGCCTGCCGCTCCTTCCGCTGCGGGCTCTTGACGCACATGAGCGACTTGAGGAAGTCGGCGATGCGGTCCCCGAACGTGTAGCTCTGTTGCTTGCCGTCGCCGCCGGAACGATGGCTGCTCGAGGCGTACATGGGCAGGCGCTTCGGGGGCGGCTCCGCGATCGTGACTGCGCGCGCCGTCGTCCGCTTGGCCGGCTCGACCGCGGGCCGCGGCTCGCGCGGCGGCGACGCCCCCCCTGACGTTGGGCCCACGTTGCTGGCGGCGCGCGACACGGACCCCGCGCTGCCCTCGTTCACCGAATGGTACTCCTCCTCCTCCTCCGCGGAGCAGTGCGCCGCGCCGTTCGCGCCCTCGCGCCCGTCCGCCGTACCAGCCCGCGCCGGCCTACTGTGCCCGCTCTCGCGGCGCGAGCGCATGCTGCGCCGCGAGGAGGCCTTGCTGCGGTCCGGCCGGTCCGCGGGCATGTCTATGAGCGGCAGGTTGGGCTTCAGCGTCTCGATCTCCATCGCCCCGAACCCAACGCTCCTGCGGCAGTTGTGTCCATGATTGTGGTCGGCGTCCTCCGAGCGCCGCGTGACTGGGTGCTTCTCTGGCGGGTGGTGTCCCAAGGACCGCTTAACCGCGAACGCGGAAGCCGGCCGCGTCGCCATGGGCCGTGCCGGCGCCCCAGGCCCGCCCTGGAAGCCCCGGGAGGCGCCGCGCGCCTGCCGGGAGGTGGGGGCGGACGACGGGCTGGCCGGTGTCGCCCCTCGCGCGGATCCGGCGTCGCGCGCCTGGATCGCACGCCCGCGCGCGGCCCTCGCTCCGGGCCACTACTGCGGCTGGGTGCTGCTGGTCGGGAACAGGAAGGCAGCGACCGCGCGCCCGTCCGAGAGCAGCGTGTTGTAAAGCCCTATCGCTGATGCGGTGTCTGCGGCCTCCGCGCCGATGCCTCGCTCGCGGAGCGCGCGGAGGACGGGGTCCGGCACCTGCGGGCCAACAGGGGCGCCGGGCGCGGCGGGTGGGCGCGTACCGACGCGGCGGCGCGGCTGGAGGAGCATCTGGGGTGTGCGCGAAGCCCCGGCTGCGCCGAGCGCCGGCGTGCGGGCGTGTGCGGGTGCGGAGTCTGCGGTTGGGCAGTGGGTGTGGGGGGCGCGCCTGCTGCAGGTGACGGCCGGTTCCGATGACCGCCGTGTCAGGCACGGGCTTGATGAGGTCCAGGACGGCGAGGGACTGCACGGGGAAGTCGTGCAGGCCCCTGCAGAGGAGGGAAAGGGCCAGTCCGTGTGCACAGAAGATGGGGCCTGCCACCAGGCCGCCCGTCTTGGAGCCCCCGCTGCAGAAACAGCGACGCGGCGGCGCCGGTGCGTCAGCCACGGTGGCGGGGCACGACGTGGACCGGGTGGGCGGGCGGCGCAGGCGCTTGAGTGGAGGCAGCACGGGGTGATGCCCGGGTTGCCTGCTTCTCAGCGCCAGGGCTGCTCGCCCGGCCAAAACAACCGCGTCGATGTGGGCTGGCGGGTGTGGCAGCGAAAATGAGGCATGAAAATTCCGAGCGGTGGCGCCGCGCATGCACGGCCGCGGCCACACGTCGACCCTGCGCTCCCCCTTCGGTTCCAAGCACTTGGTGCCGGGCGAACGCGCCGTGGAATCCGGCGCGCGTCACCGCAGGAAAGAGTATGGTTCGAACGTGCGGAGCCGGGCGCGGCGGTGCTGCTGGCGCACCAGGCGTCGCTGCGGAGGAGCAGGAGCCGACGCATGGGCTTGCTGCGGCCAGCGGTGGCCCGCCCGGCGACGCGCGGCGATACGACCGTTATGGGAGAGCGCAGATGATGCGCCGGGGACGCAACGGGGGGGGAACGGGCGCTGCGCTGCGCCCCGCGAGAGGCGAACGTTCGTGCCCCGGCAACGCACCTCGACCGCAAAATAAATCCCGTGTCCGTGTACGCCTCCACGAATGTCGACCCGGCCTCTCGCGTGATGAGGTCGCTGTCGCGGAAAGACGACCACGCGCGTGCGCCCAGGCAACGATCAGGCCTAGATGGGTGCTCCAGCCCGCGCGCCGCGCGCTCGCCCGGCACAAAGGCCACTAGGGGACGCTGCGTGTACTCGAGCCGCTCCGTCAACAGAGCTGGCGCGGCCCGTATCACCCTACGCATCGTCCAGCGGGACCAGAGCTGCAGAGGCTATGCACACCCCCGCCGCGATCCTCCACCCGCACTTAAGGTTCGCCGAGAAGGCCGTGCGTTCAGGCCGGTCGCGAGTGAGCGCCCGTTGCCTCCCCGCAGCCCCACGACGCCGCCAGCGCTCCAGCCACCCCCTCCGCCCAACCCCCCTCCCCCCCCCGCGACCCATGCGACGAGAGCGCCGCGGAGCACGCCGCCGCCTCACCGGCCGCGCTTCCAACGTCCGGGACGCGGCCGACGAGGTGCGCGCCGCAGTGTCGCGCCGCACGTCGCGCGGCGCTGAGACAGCAGGTGGCACCTCGCGGGCCACATCACGCAGTCGCTGACCCGCGGAGGGCGCGCCTCCGGTCCTTCTTCCACCTCCGCCGCCTCCTGCATCAGTGCCACGTTGCTGGGCCCAAGATACGCTCTCCGCCGGGCGATGCGGCTCACGCGCACCGCACGACAGCCGCCGCGGTCGACTGCAGTGTCGCTCGTGGCACCATGAGACGCGAAGCGCGCCCCACGCAGCGCCGCGGCGAGGTGCGCACCGCGCGGAACGCAGCGCGGAGCAATCTCACACGTCGCCGGCGCGCTGGCGATGTGCGCGCCACGTGCACGTCTGCAGCAGCAGGCCGTACGCCGAGAACGCGATGCCGGGGAGCAGCAAATGCGAGACGATCGAGTCGGGTCCGCACGCGGCCCTCGCGAGGTTCCACGCCACCCCCGCTGACAGCAGCCGCGCCGCCGCCCACGCCACACTGGGAAACACGCGCGGCCACGCCAGCGACAGCAGCAGCAGCTGCAGAGCACGGCAGCGGCGCGGGCAGGCGGCGTCTGCCTCCCGAAGAGGAGCACCGGGCGAGGCGCACGTTCCAGGGGCAGCGTCGAAGCTCAGCCTGCCGTGCTGAACCGTCCAGCCCGTTGCCGGGGTGGTGTGACGGGTTCGCAGCGCAGACGCGGCACGCACCTGGGTGTTGTTGATGGCGATGCACGCCGCGCACCATGCCGCGGCCTTGCGCGCGGCCGACACCGCCACCGTCTCCCCGCACAGCGCCACTGCAGCAAACCCACACCCAGCCTGCGGGGCGGCCGCGGACGCCATGTTGTGACTGATCAGGGCCTCCGAGCGACTCGCCGCCTCCTGCGGCGCCGCACAGAGCGACAGCGGGCCGCTGCAGGCCGCCACAGGCGTCCACGCATGCAGCACCCTCACTGGCGGTGCGTGGCTGGCGGGGCTGCGGCCGAGGACAGCGGACCTGCAGGAGGAGCGAGCCGGCGCTTGTGACCCACTTTGGGAGCGCGAACGGCGGCCTCGGGATGCCCTTGTACCCCTCAATCCAGCCCTCCTTTCCAACGCGGCGCGCAAGCAGCGCCTGGAGGATGTCGAGCGCGATGGGCGCGACGGCGGCGGCTGCGAAGGCGCCGACAACCTGCGCTGAAGCCTCGCAGGCGCCCGCGCCGCGCCGGCGGGGTCCTGCAGCGCGGAGCAGGCCATACGACACACATGAGGGTGGGTTCGGTGCGCACGAGACGCGGACGGCGCGCGCCCCGCGAGCGTCGTGGGCGGCCGCGCGGGTGTGCTGTGAGCGCGACTGCACAGGCCAGTGGAGCAGCGCGAGGGAGGAAGCCTGGGTGGTGAGTGATGAGCTTCGAGGGCGGTGTCGTGACGGCCGCGATGGCGCGGGGGGGCGGCGCACCTGCATGGTGGTGCCTAGTTGGGCCCGGGCATGGCCGCCTCGACCTCTGCCACTGGGCGTGTGCACCGCCAGCCCTGTGCCTTGAGGCTGGCAGGGCCGTGGCGCGCATCTCACTGCAAGTAACGGCCTTCCTGCACGATTGTGGCCCCGAACACAGTGCTCTGTGTGGAAAAACGCGGTTCAAGACACCGGGGCGGCGCGGTCAGGCCCGCTGCGGCCCTATTCCAGCTGCAACTTGCCCACACACGTCGGCGCTGGTGCGACCGCGGCAGGCAGACGTCACGCAGTGCCCGGCATCGCCAGAGCCCCGGCTCTCGGCAGCTGCGCTCGCGGGGGGCTCATGTCGGTCTGGCAGTCACCACTGACAGTCGCTGATGCACTCCTCCTCGTGCCCGACGCAGGCAACGGCGCGGCCCGCAAGGGCGCGAGGACCCCATGCCGGGGGCACTCAGTTCGAGTCCGGCAGCTGACGCCAAGCCTGGTTCGTTGGGGTCTCGGACACGCGGGCTCGCGGACGTACCTAGGTCGCGCAGTCGTTGTCCCGCAACTGCTCACAGGGAGGAGCTGGCCACGGACGATGCGTCGTGCGGCGTCCCGCGTGGGGCTCCGGCACGTGCAGCTGGCGGCGAAGACCGCTGCGCAGGTTCGTTCGCGCCTCGAGCTCCCTCGTCTTGCAAGAGCACCAAGCCCGCCAGCGCCAGCACGCGGGAAGTCCCGACGCTCCCGACCGCGGGAACGCAAGTCACAACCGAGACCATCCCCTGGATCGCACACCGGCCTCCAGATCTGCCCACATTGACGCTGCGCGCACCGCCAGGGTTCCCTGCTCCCACTGGGCGCTGCGTTCCGCCACGCTCCGGCCGTGCGCGATCGCCACGGCGCGCGGATGCGACGCCCACAGCGCTCCCAGCGCCCCGAGCTCCGCGTCAACGCCCCCCGGACCTCCACCACCTCGCGCGCCACTCGTGGCGCCTGCTCCTTCTGCCCTACTGCCGCGGAACCCGCGCAGCGCGCCCATATCTCGACCCTTCCAACGTCCCCCGCAGGAGCTGGAGCCCCAAACATGGTCTGAGCCGCTCGCCGCGCTGCGCCGCGCAGTCTCCACTTCGCGCGCGCCCGCCAAGAAGCACCACCACGGCCACCACCACGGCGCGCACGGCAAGCCGCAGCAGCCCCAGGCCACGCCCACGGGCGCCGCCCCGGGCGGCGGGCACCCCCGGGAGCTCTTCGAGGGCGCGATGCCGGGCATCCCCGCGCCTCCGCAGGCGCCCCCGAAACACAAACGTCCGGAGTTCCTCATGATTGCTCTGGCGGGCGGAGCGATGGCCCTGTGCGGCTACTACCTGGCGCGGCTGTGGCTGGGGTACGGGGACGAGAGCGGCAACCCGATCCAGGAGGCGCAGCGCGAGTGGAACGCGGTGATGCGTCAGTACGCGGAGGCGAAGGGCGTGGACGTGCCGGAGGGGTGGGGGGGCGACGGTGCGGACGCGGGCGGCGAGGACGAGGGCGGGAAGCCCGCGTCGGGCGGCGGCGACGAGGGCGACGGGGCGGGGGCGTCGGGCGGCGGCGACGAGGGCGCCGGGGGCGATGACGGCGACGAGACACCCCCCCCTGACGAGTCCGACATCAAGGCGATGGGGGAGGTGATGACTGAGGCGCTGCTCGGGCAGCAGGTCGTGGAGGAGGAGGCTGCGAGCGAGGACGACGGCGACGCGGAGCAGGAGGCGGCGCGGAACGTCGTGGTCGCGGCGACGGAAGCGGAGGAGACGGCGGCGGCGGCGGCGGAGGCGGGGGGCGGCGCGGGCGCAGCGGCGGAGGCGAGCGAGCCGGAGATGGTCGAGGTGCCGACGCCGCAGGGGCCCGCGGTGCCGGAGGTGGCGCGGGCGGAGGCTGGGCGCGTCGCGGAGGCGCTGCGGGCCGCCGCGGAGGTGCCGGTCGTGGAGCTGGTCGAGAGGGCCAAGGCGGCCGGGCACGGCGCCGGAGAGGACTGGGGGGAGTTCCGTGCGATGCACCGGCAGGCTGCGTCTGACCGCGACGCCTTCGTGGAGGCCATCAAGGTGCGCGGAAACCTCGTTTGTGTTGCTCCAGTCTCAACAGCGGAGTGCGGGCAAGGAAGGGTGGTCAGGTCGCGATTCTGCTGGCTCACACGCGCGCGCGGCGCGGAAAGGGTGCCGCCCACGGCAGCGGCTCGAACCACCTCCAGGGGTCGCACACACTGAGCTCACGGCATGGCGGGGAGTCACAGGGCGTGTGTGTGTGTGGGTGTGTGCTTGCAGTCGCTGGAGAAGGAGCTGGCGCAGGAGGTCGCGCGGCGCGTCGGCGCGACGCACGCGGAGCTCGAGCAGGCGCGCGCGCACGCCCAGGCCGCGGCGCAGCACCAGTCTGACATGCGGCGCGCCTTCGAGGACCAGAAGCAGAGGTACCGCGACGCCGTCGCGGAGCTCAAGGCCTACTACCAGCGCGTCGTCGCGGCCGTGGCCGCGGCCGACGGCGCGAGGATCCGCGCCGAGGCCGAGGAGGCTGCCAACGCCGAGCGCACGGCGCTGTCGGAGGGCGTCGACGCGGTGCGCGGGCAGGTGAACGCGCTGCGAGAAGCCTTCATGCGGCGGTCCGAGGCCGGGCGGCTCTCGCACGCCGCGCACCGCGTGTCGTCTGCCGTCCTGCAGCTCGACGGCGCGCTGGCCGCGGGCCTCCCGGCGGGCGGCCCCCTGATGCTGCTCGAGGCGTTGGGGGCCGAGGGCGGCGAGGACGGCGAGATGCTGGCGGCGGCCGCGGCGGCGCTGCGGGAGGTTCCTGGGCTGGACGCGCTGGGTGTGCCGACGCGCGTGCAGCTGTCGCGGGCGCTGCGGGAGGCGCGGGGCGACCTGGTGGCGGGCGCGACGCTGCCTGCGGAGGGCGCGGGGCCGGTGGCACGCGCCGTGGCGCGCGTGGCGTCGTGGCTGAAGGTCGAGGAGTCCGGGGAGGGGGACGAGGGGGAGGGCGGCGGGGTGGAGGGGAGGGTGGCGTTGTGTCAACGGCTGGTGGCGCACGGCGACATGGCTCGGGCCGCGGAGGTGCTGGAGGCAGCGACGGCGGGGACGGCCGCGGCGGTGGAGGCTGAGGGCCTGCTGCGAGCCATGCGGGGCCGCGCGGCCGCCGAGGCCGTGGCGCAAGCGTTGCGGGCGCACGCTGGGGCGCAGTCCGCGAGCCTGGTGTGAGGGCAGCGGAGCGTGCGAGAGCAGCGGAGCGTGCGAGGAACACCTCGAGCTCTGCGCGATTTTCCGGGCCGGTCGCCGTCGCTCGCTCCGCCTGAGGTGGATTGAAGAATTTTGTGCTGCGACCTCGCGGGCCGACAAGGGCACCTTGCCCCGTTTCGGGAGCGTTGTGCAGCCTTTTTCCTCGGGAGAGGGTTTTGCCGCGAGGCACGCTTGCCCCTGCTCCACCTCCCGCCAGGCGATCTCTACACCGTCGCTCCCCTCCATGCGGCGATCCGGGCCGCCCTCCAGCCGTCGCCCCGCTGTCCGGCCCGTGATCTTCAGCCCCACCACATCTCAACTGCTGCGCAGCGATGCCGCGCAAGCCCAACCCGACGCCCGCCACGGAGGCGCTCGCCGTGAGCCTCGGCATCCCCCCCAGGCCCGCGAGGACGGGGCTCTTCGCGTGTCCCGCCATGACGCCTGGGGAGCGCTTGGACCTCGTGTGCTTCGTCGACCCCACGTGCGGGAAGGCCCCCGGCTTCAACCACGTGCACGCCCCCTTGGAAAAGTGGGCGTCGCCGTCCGGGCTCAAGCTGGACGCGGAGCAGCACGCAGCGTGGCAGCAGTTCAACTGCTGCCACAACCGTGTGTGCCCCGCCCACCACTTCGCGTACGCGTACGACGCAAACGGCCTCGCCAACGTCCACTTCTTCTGGGACCGCGCCAGCAAGTGGCGTCCCGCGCATCTCGCGGACGGTCATCACCGCTGCATGGGGTGCCACCGGTACTGGGTGGACAAGGGCGTGGAGAAGCCGGAGGACGAGTTCAGGCGGTCTCCTTGCACGCAGCTCCAACTGCAGGCACGCCAGCGCACGGAGCAGGCCAAGTCGGGCGCCGCTGCCGCTGCCGCGCCCGCTGGCCCGTCGCCCAAGCCCGCGCGCGCCTGGCCGAAGGTGACTGCTGCCCTGTGTGCGGAGCTCTACCCGAGCTCCGACGACGACGCGGCGAGCGACTCCAGCAGCGAGTAGGAGGAGGAGCACGAGGACGACTCCGCGGAGGACACCGAGGAGGACCTCGCGGGCCAGGACTGCGTAGACTCTGACGACGGCGCCAGCGGCGACGCCGGCTCGGGCGCGCGCGTGTGAGAGTGCGGCGGCCAGTGCGCGCGTGTGAGAGAGGACGGGGCCAGGAGCGGCGAATCACAGTCCAGCTCTGCAAGCTCGGTGCTGTTTACTGACGTTGTTGTCGTGCGGCACGGGGGCGGTGCGCGCGGTCGCGGCCGTGAGCTCGGGTGCACGCCGGGCGCCAGTCCTGGGCACGCAGAGGGGCTGGCAGCGGCGCACGAGCGGCGTCGCGGACGCCCCTGCGCTGCAGCGTTGTGCTCGGCGGAACGAGCCCACACCTTGAGAGCCACGAGTCGCGGGGCTGGACGTCGATGGGTGTGTCGCTCCGCCGCAGCACGGCATTCCCACGTGCGCGCCTGCGTCCCCGCGTGCGCGCCGTGCGTGACGCACTCGGCTGGGAGACTCCTGCGCGCCAGAGGCTCTGAGTCGGTCCGGCCCCCGCGAGCTCATGAATGGCGCGACAGCGCGGCTCGCAGGGCACTCCGTCACTGGGTTCACGCAGGCGTAGCGTCGGGCTCCGTCCCCGACGTTCTTTCTTTCGCTCCCGGGGGCATTGCCTAGGCCACCACCACCCTCCTTTTTCCGGTCCGGCGAGGCACGCACGCCCGCTCTCGGGCCACGCTCTGCGATTCCAGGCCGAGGCCGAGACTCCCTCTCGTACGCGATGAACCCGGGCAGGTGCCGGGCGCGCTGCTAGGCGGCGACGCGTTGCTTGCTCCACCGCTGCAAGGCAGCACGTGCGACGCCGCGCCGACGACGCGAGCGAGCCTCGCGGGCGGCCGTAGGGGAGAGATCCTGCAGCGAACGACCCTGGGACCGTCGGACAGCGTGTCCACCGTCGACCAGAGGCGCGTGCGAGGGAGTGGTGGATGGCCCAGGCGCGGTCTCGGCGGGGCGGCGCGGCACGGTGCAGGGCCGACACGACAACGCACCGGCGCCACCAGCACCGAGCGCTCTGGGAGATCGCATCTGCCGGCCCTCGACCGGCACCGGGGGCAAGGTGAGTCAGATGTGCGCGGTGACAGCACAGCGGCCGAGCTCCGATGTCTCCTGCCCGGCGCAGCGGGCTGGGGACGCGCCCTGATGCGAGAACGGTGGCGAGCAGCGCTGCGCGCGCGGGAGGACGTGCACGTGTAACTCCCCGCGGAGTTGCTCATGCCCGTCGTCGTTGTCGCCGGTTTACGGTCAGTTTCCCGGTCGTCGTTGTCGCTGATTCGCTCCTCGCGGGGCCATGAGCTCGGGCGAGCGGCGCGGCGCAGCGCAGCGCGGCGCAGAGGCGGGCGCTCGGCTCGCGAGCTCGGAGGCGCGCACCGTGACGCACACCACCATCGTCACCACGGTCTTGGCGCCGCTGCAAGCGCGTCTTTCGCGCTCCCGCCGCGACAGCGTTGCGCGCAGACGTGCGCAGACGCCGCTGGACGTGAAAATAGCGCAAAGGAGCGCGCGCAACGGCCACAGCGGGGCCAAAAGCGTCTGGGGCACTCCAGAGCCCTGGCAAAGGCCCCCCGGCCGTCGCGCATCAGGCCGGCATGGCCAAAAATGCCATTGTTTTTTTTACGAACTAGCAGACTCGAACTGCCGACCTCGGCGTTATCAGCACCGCGCTCTAACCAACTGAGCTAAGCCCGCTCGACGCTGTGACGCGCCCTAAACGCTTGCTTGCTGTTATGGGGAAATACTATGCTTTTCGAAACAGCGTTTGCTCTTTGACATAAATTTTGCGATATCTACATCTGAAAGTATGTGAAGTACCCGAGTAGGGAATCGCCCCGTTTCACGCTTCGTTTCCGGAGCAACCGTCCCTGGGGGTAAGAGCCTACCCCCATATGCACACAAGTAACCGCCGGGGACGCTTCTGCACGCGAAAGGCCCCGAACGCCGCGGTCGCCCGCCGCGCCGCGCATCTGCGCTTCCGGCCCACACCGGCGCACCCTCGTGCTGGCCCCGCCGGCCCCGTCGCACACGACTCCACCCCCAGAGTCAGTCCGACAGCCCGAGGGGGTGTTCGGGTCCCCGCGCGCGGCCCCCGCCGCTCGAGGCACCGCGCGCGCGTTCCGCCCCCGCAGTCACCCCGCCCCCGCGCGCACCTGCCCGAGCGCGCGCCATGCAAGCGGCCACCGCGCTCCCGCGCCCCGCCTCGGCAGCGGCAGCGCCCCCCGCCTCCCCGCCCGCGCCCGCGCGGCCCCTCCCGCGCGCCCGGCGAAGCGTCCTCGTGCGCGCGGCGCCGGCCGAGGCCGACCCGAAGCGCCGCGTCGTCGTGACGGGGATGGGCGTGGTGTCGGTGTTTGGGGACGAGGTCGACCAGTTCTACGACGCGCTGCTCGAGGGCCGCAGCGGGCTGTCGCAGATCGAGCGGTTCGACACGAGCGGGATGCCCACCACCATCGGCGGCGAGATCAAGAACTTCGACGTCGGCGACCTGGTGGGCAGGAAGTGGGCAAGGTGCGTGAGCGGGCGAGAGAACGGCTGCGGGGCCGGGCGCGGCGCCGGGCGCGCGCGCGGGGCTGTCTGTGGAAGGAGGGGGTGGGCGCGGAGCGCGCGTGTTCGCGGGCGCGGTCGTGCGGAGCGAGGGGGTAGGGGGCGCGGGCGGAACGTGGGCTGGGCCGCCCCGGGGGCGCGCGGGCGTGCCGTGGATGCCGGCCGCGGTCGGCGCGTAGCGTTGGGGCGGTGTCGATCATCGGCGGGGGCGAGGGCGCGCGGCGGTGCCTGCACGCGGCGCATCGCCCCCTCCTGCCCTCGCCAGTAGCACCAACGATGATCGCGTCGCATCGCGCGAGCTCAGGGCTTCCCCTGCGCCCAATTCCCGCAGGCGCGTAGACACGGTGATCAAGTACGCCTTGGTGTCCGGCAAGAAGGCCATGATCGAGGCGGGGCTTCTGGACAGGTGCCGTCCCTGGGTCGATGCAGCCGGCCCCTTGCGCTGCGTGCGGCGCGCTGATGCGCCGGCCAGCCCGCTCCCGCGCCCGCCGCCGACGCGCAGCACGGATGCTCCATCGCGCAGGGAGACGCTTGAGGTGTCGCGCGAGCTAGACAAGCAGCGGGCCGGCATCTTGATCGGGTCGGCGTTTGGCGGGTTCACGTCCTTCGCGGACGCGGTGGAGGCGCAGAACACGCGCGGGTTCCGGAAGATGAACCCGTTCTGCATTCCCTTCGCGATCATCAACATGCCGGGAGCCATGCTCGCGATGGACACGGGCCTCATGGGCCCCAACTACCCGATCAACACCGCCTGCGCGACAGGTGGGCGCCGCGCCTGACGCCGCCCGCGCGCCGCTCCCCGGACGCGTGTCGTTCGCCGGCGCGCCGCGCACACGCCCACGAGTGAGTGTCTTGGCGCCGCGTGGTTTGTCTGTGCTGCAGGGAACTACTGCATCCTGAACGCGGTGGACCACATCCGTCGCGGCGACGCTGACGTCATGATCGCCGGCGGCGCCGAGGCCGCTCTGATGCCGTCCGGCCTGGCGGGGTTCATCGCGTGCAAGGCGCTGTCCTCGCGCAACGAGGACCCGGCGGGGGCCTCGCGCCCCTGGGACAAGAACCGCGACGGGTTCGTCATGGGCGAGGGCGCGGGCGCGCTCGTCCTGGAGTCGCTCGAGCACGCGCAGAAGCGCGGCGCTCCGATCCTGGCCGAAGTCCTGGGGGGCAGCATGACGGCGGACGCGTACCACATGACCAACCCGCACCCGGAGGGCGTGGGCGTGAAGCTGTGCATCGAGAAGAGCCTGGAGGTCTGCGGGGTGGCGCCGGAGGAGGTGACGTACGTGAACGCGCACGCGACGAGCACCATGGCGGGGGACATGGCCGAGTACAAGGCGTTGAAAGCGAGCCTGCACGACCTGGGGAGCACGGCGAAGATCAACGCGACCAAGTCGATGATCGGGCACCTGCTCGGGGCCGCCGGCGCGGTGGAGGCCGTGGCGTCGGTGCGCGCGGTGCAGACCGGGTGGGTGCACCCGAACCTGAACCTGGAGGAGCCCGAGGACGGGCTGGACCTGTCGCTGCTGGCGGGCAAGGAGAAGGAGCAGGTCGACATGCGCGTGGCGCTGTCGAACAGCTTCGGCTTCGGCGGGCACAACTCGTCTGTGCTGTTCAAGAAGTGGGAGGGGTAGCTGCCGACGGGGGGGTTGCGTAGCGCTACTGCTCCCCGCGCGTGTGAGACGTGAAGACGGCGGAACGGTGGATCACAGACGCCGTTGCTCTACGCCCCAGGACGTACTGAAATGACTCCCAGCAGGGAAAGGAAAGAACACGACCTCCAGGGGGGCCGTGGGCGTGGTTCACGCGGAGGCAGACAGGGCCGCAGCGGGGGCGAGCCCGTCGAGCGAGTCCTGCCCCAATCTCCATCAAAGCCGGCCGGCGCTTCGCGGCCGAGTCGAGGAGAGGTGGCAGTTGGGGGAAGGGGGGGAAGGGCACGGGGGGCGGGCACGGGGGGCGGGCAGATGGCCACGAGATGATGACGATTCTTGCTATCAAGGCTGTCAAAAAACGTGCATGCAGGGGGGGAGGTCCCCCTCGTTGATTCTGGGACCTCGCAGGGACGTCGCGGCGAGCGCGGGCGATCAGTCGATGCGCTTGATCTTCTTCTGCAGCCCGCTCGCCGCGCCGCCGTTGCCCTTCTCGATGCGGCCCTTCTTGATCGTCTTCTTGCCCTTGCGCCCCTTCTTGAGCGATGCCACCGACATGGCGTCGTCGTCGCTGTCGTCGTCCGCGTCGCGCCGGTTGCGCCGGAACACCCACCGGAAGAAGCGCACCATCCTGCGCACGAAAGCGTTCTTCGCGCGCGCGGCCTGCTCGTCGCGCAGCTCCGCGAGCATGTCGTCCAGGCCGAGCGACTTGGGCACGTCCGTGATGAGCCGCGCGGCGCGCCGCGCCTCCCGCGCCGACGACGCGAGGTGCTTGCGGCCCGTGACGAGCAGCGCGAAGGTCAGGAGGAGGATCGTCAGCACGAACAGGATCACGTGGCTCGTGATGATGCCCTGCAGCGCCGTGTGGTTGCCTCCCACGATCTCGTGGCTCTGCTTCAGGCCGTGGCGCAGGTCCTTGAAGCCGTAGTGCTCGATGAACAGGAACCGGTCGTTCTTCGAGTCCAGCACCGCGACGTTGTCGCCCGCGAGCAGCTGCGCACGCGTCGAGATGCCAAACACCAACTGACTCAGGCCGTTCAGCGTGACCGCGCCGGCGTTGGTCGTCGCGTTCGCACACCCGTCAATGTCGCTCGTCCGCAGGCAGCCCGAGCCGTACTGCAGCTCGACCATCTCGGCGTCGATCGTCAGAAGGCCGTCCTTGATCGGGGGGTCGACGTCTTGGTTGCCCGCCTGCAGGTACGTCTGCACCTCCTCGACCGAGTACGCCGAGGTGTTCAGCGCCGCGCGCGCGGCGGCGACGCGCGCGTCCACCACCGCCTGCGAGAGCCCTGCCGCAGACGCACCCTCCTTGGCGAGGGCGAGCTCCTGCGCCTCGAAGACCATCTTGGCGGACTCGAACTCCATGAGCGCCGTGTAGTTGGTCCAGACCATGCGGTCCTGGGACTGGAGCTGCAGGCCCCACGTGAGGCCGAGGATGATGGCCACGACCGCGCCCCACAGCACGAAAGGCGCGTACATGCGCACGATGTCCGCGGCGTGGACGCGGAAGGCCGAGTCGCGCGCGTGCAGCATGATCTGCACGTGGCGCAGGTCGCGCTTGGTGACCTTCAGGTTGGCGAGGCTGGCGCCCTTCCCGCCCTCCTCGGCCTTGGGCTTCTGCTGCCCGACGACGAACACGTCGTCGTCGTCCCCGTCCGACTCGTCCGAGTCCTCCTCGACGATCACCTTCTGGTTGGCCAGCTCGTACACCAGCGGGCGCGGGAGCGCGACGAACATGGAGAAGATCAGGACGCGGTGCTCCCAGAAGCGCTTCATCAGGACGTAGATGTACACCAGGCACAGCGGGACGAGCAGGCCCACCTCGAGGCCGAGGAAGGCCAGCGAGATGATGCCCAGCAGCTCCGACGAGTCGCGCGCCTGCGCCGTCATCACGCGGAGCATGTCCTGGTAGGCCGGCGCGAGGACCTGCACGCCGTTCTCGATCAGCAGCCGGAACCCGCGGTTGTTCTCCAGCTTGGTCGTGCCGGCCGTGTCCTGGCGCACCAGCGTCAGCACCGCGCGCGCCGCGGCGGTGAACTCGTTCCCAAACTCCCACAGGTTGGTCGTGACGTTCGAAATCGACGCCGGGTTGCCGGCCTCCTGCATCACGAGCACGTGCCGCGGGTCGTCGAGCCACACGCGGTTGAGCTCGGTCTTCCACTTCTTCGGCGCCTTGGCCACGTCCTCGTACAGCGTCACGTGCAGCTCCGCGAGCTGGGCGGTCTCGACGCGCATCTCGCTGACGGTGCGGTTGAAGTCGAGGTCCGCGAGCGCGTACCCGCTGCGCTGCGCCTCGATCTGGCGCGCGAGGGCGCTGATGTCGGCGGTGAGGCGCATGACGTTGGAGCCCTCGTTGATGTTGTCGAGGACCTTGCTCTGGTTCTGCATCAGCGTGATCATCGTCACGAAGCACGCGAGGTGCACCAGCAGCAGCAGCACCGCCACGATCTTCACCGTCGTGCGCAGCAGAATCACCGGCCGCTGGATGACCTTGGACGTCATGATCTTCTGCAGGCGGCGGAACCGGCGGAACTTGGTGTCCGACGACTGCTGCTCCATCGCGAGCTTCAGCGAGTCCGAGCCCCCGCCGCTCGAGTTGTCGTCGCCCAGGTTGCCCAGCTCCTCCATCGCCGCAACCTCCATGCCGCCCATGCCGTCCACGGTCGCGCCGAACGTCGACGCCGCCGCCACCTTGAGCATCTCCGCGGACACGTGCTGCGCGTCGTCGTCCTCGCCGTTGACGTCGCTCCGCGCATACAGGGGGTTCGACATCATGCCGTCCGCCACCGACCCCGCGCCAACCGACTGCCGCCCGACCGACCTCACCCCGCTCGCAACCTTCGCGAGCAGCGCGCCCTTGCTCGCGCCGGCCGCCGCGGCGCCCTCCAGCTGCCGCTGGCTCGCCAGCGCCGTCGACCGCTTCGACTGCGCGCGCTGCACCTTGCGAATCGAGGCCTGAGTCAGCTTCGAGGGGGCTTCGCCGCCCGCGGCGACCGCATCCGGCACGTCGCCCTCCACGGCGGCTGCCGGCGCGACCTCGCCCTCCGTGTCGACCCAGCGCCAGATGCGCTGCTTGGCGTCCTGCGCTGCGGGGGTCTCGCTGTCGCTGCCGTCCGAGAGCTGCCCTCCGCCGTCGTCTGAAAGGGCGCCCTCGTCCTCTCCATCGCCCTCGTCCTCGCGCACCGGCGGCACGGTGATCGGCGAGGCGCCGAGCTCCCCGCGTGAGTCCAGGTGCGCGCCGCGGGCGAGCCGGGAGGGCACGCGCGGCCGCGACGTGACCTCAGGGGGCAGGTTGGTCGCGCTGCCCCGCGCCGAGCTCGACGGCGACTCCGACACCTCGGCCGCCTCCTTGATGCTGTCGCGGGCGAGCGCGGGCGCCTCGCGGTCCCCGCTGCCAAAGATCATCATTCGGGACGACATCTGGCGGAGCGACGAGCGCAGGGCGTCGGCGCTGGGCGCGGCGCCGCTTCCGATCAGCGGGGCGCCGACGTGCGTGGCTTGCGGCATCAGGAGCACCTGCCAGCGGTTGGTGGCCGACGCCTTCTCGACAACCTGAACGATGCAGTTCATGGGCGTGCCGTCGGCGTGGTTGAGCGCCACGTTGGTCTTCGGGGGGCCGATCGCCTTCGACTTGCCCGACAGCCCGCCGCGCTTCCCGGCCGAGTCGTTCAGGAGCTCCTGGACGTCGTCGTTGTCGCACACCCCGACCAGGAACTCGCTGAGCTGCTTCCCGAGGATCTCCTCCTGCGCCACGCCGAGCACGTGCTGCGCCAGCGGCTGGCAGTTCGTGATCTTGCACGAGGAGTCAACGTCGATGCACGCCGTCATGTGCGTCATCTCGAGGCGGCGGACGGTCACGTTCCAGCCGCCCTCCTCGGACCCGCTGGTCGCGTCAAGCACGCCCGGCCGGAGCACGCCGCTCGCGTCCACGACCGGCACGCGGCAGAAGCGGCGCCCCTTCGAGGCGGCCCAGTCTGCGAGCACGCCCGCGACGTCGCCCGAGACGCGCAGCACGTCGCTGAGCGCGCGGCCCTTGAGCGCGCTGCGCTCGTACCCGAACGCCCCCGGGGCGCTGTCCGCGGCCGTGATCATGCCGTTGCGGTCCACGCGGAGCACCATCTGCCGCTCGAGGCGGCCCTGCTCGACGGTGAGCGGGTCCAGCGAGCACGTGATGATCTCGGAGCCGTCGTCGGCCTGCGTCGACCGGTCCATCTTCATCTTGAACGGCAGCACGCGGCCGGCCTTGTGGACCAGCTCGATGAGCTGCCCCTGCTGGCACGACGACTGCCCGCCGCCGCGCACTTCCTTGCCCTTGAGCCAGGAGCCGTGCAGCGCGCCGAGGGGCTCGGGGAGGAGGTCCATGATCGCGACGCGGCGCAGGTGCTCGGTGGTGTAGCCCGTGGCCTGCTGGAAGGACTGGTTGTAGTAGACGAACGAGCCCGACGTGTCGACGGTGAACATGGGCTTCTCCGCGTCGCGGCGCGAGATCACCATGACGACGAGGGGGATGTTGGCCGTGCCGCCGATGTGCGTGCGGCACTTGACGTAGAACTCCTCGCCGAACTTGTGCCGGCACTTGAACTGCGTCGTGTAGCCCTCCTCGTTGTGCTCGTTCTCGATGGCCTGCTCGACCACGCGCGTGCGGTCCTCCTCGTCCGGGATGAAGACCTCGCAGAACTTGCCCGCGACGTCGCCGTACGTGAACCCGAACATGTCGACGAAGCCCTTGGAGCCGCAGATGATCATGCCGTTGCGCGCCACCCACACCTTGGCGTACCGCGTGTCCTCCTCGACCTGCCGGATGACGCCCATGAAGCCGTCCTTGCCCTGCTGCGAGATCTTCGTCACCGCGAGCACGATCGGGAACACGAAGCGGTCGCGGTGCATGGCGATCACCTCGCGCACCGAGTTGAGCACCTGCGCCTTGCCCGTCGTCTGGTAGTTCTTCAGGTACTGCGGGTGCTGCTGGCTGAACGGCGCGGGCATCAGGCTCGCCACGTTGCGCCCCTCGAGGTCGATCTGGCGGTACCCGAACATCTTGCAGATGTTCTTGTTGGCAAAGGTGATGGTGCCGTCCACCGCGATCACCACCACCGCGTCCACGCTCTCGTCCACCGTGCTCAGCATCGACGCGTACTTGCCCTGCTCGCCCATCGCCATCGCGGCCTCCTGGTGCGCCGCCGCCAGCGCGTCCTCCATCTTGTCGGCCTCGTCGTAGTACCCGTGCGCCAGCTGCGGGTTCCCCTGCACCTCGTCCAGGAACCGCGCGTACGACCGCAGCACCTTGACGTTCCGCGGGTACCGCTCCATCATCGCGCGGTAGTTGGCGTCCGCGCGCGTCTCGGCCTTCTCGACGCGCGCAAACGCGCTGATCAGCCGCGAGACCGACACGTCCTGCCGGAGCAGCTGGCGCCAGAAGGCGCGCACGGCCACGCGCGCGCGCTTGTGCAGCCGCACGAGCGTCTTCAGGTTGTTCTGGAGCTCCACGTAGGACATCCAGTCCATGGTGTCGGACGAGTCCTCCTCCTGCTGCCGGCGGAGCTCCGTGCCGAGCTGCCACATCATCAGGTTGTGCGCGAACGACCGCGTCTTGCTCAGCTTGGCCTTCTCCAGCCACGAGTGCGCCTGCTGCGTGTCCATCTTCACGTAGTTGCACAGAATCGTCTCCGCGAGGATCACCTCCAGCGCGTCGGGGAACTGCTGCGCGGACGCGTGGTGCAGCACGAGGATCGCGCCCGTCTTGTGCGCCTCGCTCGGGTGGTTGAACTCCAGCCCGCGCACGTCGCCCACCAGGTTGGCCGGCCGCACCGCGCGCACCAGCACCTCGAGCTCCTCCGCGTCGATGAAGCGGTGCACGCGCTTCGACGCGTCGCGGACGTCCTCGCCGAGCGCCGCGAACTTCATCAGCACGCCGTCGACGTGCTTCCGCCGCAGGTACGTCAGCCCCAGGATGGCCGCGACGGCCACCACCGTCAGCACCGACATCACGATCGCCGCCGTGTCGTGCTTCGTGGCGTCGCCGTCCACGGCCGCGGCGCCGACCGCGAACGCGAACAGCATCGCCGAGGTCGCCGAGTGGATGTACGACGCCTTGACGCCCAGCCACGGCAGCCGCCGCACGTGGATGTAGGCCGTCCAGTACAGCGCGATGATGATCAGGGCGGCCGCGGCGGTGCGGTCGCCGCCGATCACCAGGTGGAAGGTGAAGATCCAGAACAGCCGCAGCGCGAGGAGGCGGATCCCGGCCGTGATCGAGCCCATGGCCATGGGGTTGAGGCTCAGCACGTTGAGGTCGATGTCCTTGAGCGTGAAGGCCGCGTACAGCGCCACGTGGACGAGCCCGACGACGGCGGCGACGCCCGCGTGCGCGGCGAACGTGCCCTCGAAGCACTTCTTCTCGGGGAGGTAGAGCATGCGGTTCGAGTCGCCCACCTGCCCCGTCCAGTCGCAGGAGAAGGGCACGAGGAAGACGGAGAGGAACTGGAGGCCGAAGAGGCGGAGCCAGAGGACCTCGAGGACGCGCATGCCGGCGAGGAGCGCGGCGTGCGGGGTCTTGTTCGTGCGCGCCAGGTACACGCTGAACGCCACGGTGCTGGCCATGAGCGCGGTCATGACCACGCCGAGGTAGAACAGGCCGAGGAAGACCGGCTCGCCGTCCGAGGTGAGCAGGAAGAAGTTCGCGAAGTTGACCTGCGCGGGGGGCGCGGGGGAGACCAGGCAGGTGGTTGGTGCGCGGTGCGGCGCGGTGCGGGTCGATAAATAGGGTTCCGCGGATAATTCGCAGAGAATTTATCGCACTGATCGCGACAAGACCGTCGGCGACGGCAAGCCGGGGCGCGCGACGCGGCTCGGGAGGGCTCGCCACTGCACGGGCTAGTGCGTCCAGGGCGCGCGCGGGGCCGTCGCGGTGCGGGGGCGGGGCGGGCGCGGCGCGGCGGGCTTCGCACCTTCATGGCCGACTTGGTCACGATGTTGGTGTAGTCGATGTCCCAGCCCCAGAACGGCGCGAAGAAGTAGATGGCCAGGTGCATGGTTTCCAGGACATAAAAGACAAACTGATACCGGCGCCAGTTCTCGAAGGGCAGCTTCGGCGCGCGGTTCATCACCCTGCTCAGTTCCGTCTGCGGCCAGGGGACGCGGAGGGTGCGCGGGTGGGGCCGGCATCCGCGTCCGCGGCTGCTGAGATCTGGAGCAGGTGTAGGGTGAGCGGATGCGCTGCGGGGCGGGCGCGGGGCGCGGGGCGCGTGGCCGCGCTGGGACGGGGGCGAGCGGTGGTGCATGGTGGCCGGCTTGGGCGGAGGAACAATGCCGGGTGGGGGGGGCGGGCGCTGCATGCTCAACCGTCAAGTGGGATGGCTGCGCGCGGGCGTGGGAGGCGTTCGGAGCGATGTAGAGCGTGTTGCACGAAATTCGATATGTGGGGGACGCGGGGAAGGCGCGGTGGGGACGTTAACGGCCTCGTGGGCCCCGCAACGGGCGGCTCGGGCACGGCGATTGACCCGCAGAGCCCTCCGCGTGCGCGGGCCGCGGCGAGCCGGGGGGTCGCCGACAACGAAGCGACAACGGCGAATTATCTGGGCGCTCACGATGAACGAGAAGCCGTGGTGCGGCCCGCCACCGCCCACGCCGAGATCAACGCTGCCTGCTCCCGACGCGCCCGAGGCGTCGCTGGCCTGCGAGCTCGCATAACTGCGGCCGCTCGAGGACGCCGCACTCGACATCACGCCAACTCGCCGCCTTCGCGGGCGCTACGTGCGGTTTCCGCCCAGAAGCTCGCCAGGTGGTGCCCCTGCCGGGCGTCGCGAGATGCGAGAGCACGGCCGTGCGAGATGCGAGAGCAATATACCGCACTCGCCGTGAACGTTGCGCTGGCAGTGCTGCCAGTCTGGCCCGGGGAGCCCTCGCGGCGCCCCGTAGAGGCCGGCGGGGCTCCCCTTTCCCGTCATGCCCCCCACCACCTAGCCACCCCCCCTCGGTCGCGCAACCCGGGCCTCGCTCGCCGGTGGTGGCGCGTTTCGGCGCGGATTTCCGATTGCATTTGCCGGCCGGCGCGCGCCGATCGTTGCGCGCTTTCTCGGCGACCGACGCGCTCGCGTCGCTCACAGGGCGAACCGGACCGAGAAGGCGGGCTCAGCGCCGCGGACTGCGGCCTCGCCTCTGCCAGGATCAAACACTTCGCGACTGAGGGAGTGCGCCGATCTTCGAATTCCGCAGCGACGGCGCCGGGCGCGCCCACTTGAGACACATGCTCGCTCACGTCCACCTGCTATGCCTCGACGGCACCGCTCCGAAGGTTGCGCGGCGCCGCACGACGACGAGACACATGCGCGTGCAGCGCAGTCGCAGATGCTCTGCGACGTGGGCGAATTCTTCGGCACTGAGCCGTAACCCACTTTGCAGGCAGGCCATCACCGCGGGAGCGCAATGGGGCGCTGCGCCGCGCCAGCGTCACGGGACCGCGACCACAGCGTGCCTGAAGCCTGGGCCGTAGCGTTTTTCCACTGCGACGCAAGTATGACACGGACGTCGGCCCGTCTGTCTCGGCGCAACTATCGCCCGCGAAGGCTCCACGCCCTGCGTTTGTTGCCCCCGCGGCGCGCCTGCAGGGCGCGTCGCTGGGCGGCATGCTGGCCGCGCAGTGCAGCCTGGCTCGTCCGGCCGCTGCCCCCGGCGTTGTTGCAGTTGTAGTGTGCAAGCAGGAGGAGGCTCTCGCTCTGTCGTGCCGGCCTCCGGCGCGCGTCCGGCGCGATGGCGCTCGCGGTGAAGTTTGTGTCGTTGACGGTCAAGACGCTCGCGAAGCCTCTGGCGACGCAGTTCGAGGCGTACGTGAGTAACCGCGCCCAGTGCGCTGCGCAGAGCCACGGCGGCCCCGAGCGCTCAGCGGCGCCTCTCTCCTCCATCCCGCGTCGCGATCGGACCACGCCGCCAATGCGATGATTGCGCTGTGGCTGCGTGATCTGGTAGAATGCGCCTGCGCTGCGCTGGAGCTGCCGAAACCTGCTTCGGGCAGCAAGAGAGCCGCCACGCTGGCTCAGTCCCAGGGGCGCGGGGAGCGACGGCTGTGTCGACGGTTCATCGAGAGCTGAGGCTCCATCATCGCTGTCCTCGGCGCCACATCTCGGGACCGCACAGCGCTCGGCGTTCCCCACCTGCCAGCGCTGCACCGTCGCACGCAGCCGCGCGCCCTGAACAGCCGACGGGGCCCCGACGCACCCTTCCTGCAGGTGATGGACCACCCGCGGTCGCGCCAGGCAGCCATCCGCGTGGCTCAGTGGCTGCACCAGGCCGAAGTCAGTATCACGCGCGGCGCGGAGGGCAAGACAGGCCGCGCGTTCGTGGGCCAGATGACCGACGAAGCCTCCGTCAAGCTCGCATCCAAGGTACCGCTGCAGCCTCACACACACGCACCAACAGCCGCGGCAACGGCCACCGCCGCAAGCTGCCCCGTCGACCATCGAGCCCTCCCGACGCGCCGTCTCCGCGCAGGTCGCGTCCGAGGGCTTCCTGTACGCCACCGCCTCGGGTCTGCTGTTCTACGAGTACCGGAATTCGAAGATCCAGGCGGACGAGAAGTCGCGGAAAGCCGCCGCGGAGCGCGCGTCGCTCGACCTGCGGCTGAGCCGGCTCGAGGAGAGGGCGAGCACGGCGTGGGACGAGGCGCGGCAGGCGCAGGAGCGGCTCGCGGCGCTGGAGGACCAGGTGCTGGGGCGGCGGTGGGTGCCGCCGATGACGCGGGCACCGGCAAGCGGTGACGACGCGCCGCGGCGGACGTGGGCGGAGTGGCTGGGGATCACGCGCGGGGGCGGCGCGGAGGAGCTCGCGCGGGTGGACCCCGGGGAGGTCGGCCTGTCGGACGAGGACGGCGCGAACGGACAGTGACGCAGCCGCAGGAGCTGCCTTTGCCATCCAACGTCGCGAGATTCTTTCCACACGCGCCCAGCCGCTCCCCGGATCCAGCCCGCTAGCGCGCCGCCTTTCCCCGCTCCGCTTCCTGCCACGCCGCGCTCCTCGGCAGAGACCGCTAGGGGGGACTGCGCACGAAGACACCCCTCCGCGCTGGGCAGGGCCTCTGGTGTCCCGTGCCGGGCAGCCTACGCGAGCAGCGGATGGTTTCCAAGGTCGGTGTCGACCAGAAGTGATTCGATCGCTCGTCGCTTGCGTCGCCAGGGCTCACAGCTTGCGTCGCGCGTCATTGGCCCCGGGCGCGCCCGTCACGCGGCGGCGTCGCCCTACTTCTTGTTGCGCTCGGTGTCGATCTTCGGGCACGGCCTGTCCTTGTTGTCGGACCCGGGCACGCTGCACTTGCCCACGAAACAGGGCTGCTGGTAGGCCTCGTCCTCCTCGATCGGGGGCGGCGCCTGGCCGAAGATCATCTCGCAGGACAGGTCCTCGAAGTTCGGGTTCATCGTCAGCGGGAGCCCGAAGTCGTCGGTGAAGAAGCTCTGCGTCGGCAGCTGCATCGCAACGCGGGCAACGGCGCACTGAGCGCTCTGGCCGCACAGTGCTGCGTCTCGCACGAACCAGACCGTTCGCGCGACGCAGACCGCCCAGGCCACCTCGCACCCCTCTCTCTCGCGTATCAGGAGCGGAATCTCCGTTGTCACGACGTCAGCAGCGCACCTTGCACATGTTGACGCACATGCCCGTGCAGCCCGAGTTCTCGAGGTAGCGGCACTTCTTGATCTGCACGCCGGACTTCCACACCTCCGGCTCCCCCTTGGGCCCCTCGATCTCCACCTCCTTGAGCTCCGAGGGCCCCACCAGCCACTTGAAGAAGACGGTGGTGATCCACGCGTTGAACTCGCACGACCACTTCGTCGGCGGGAAGAGCTTGCGGAACTGTGCGGGCGCGCCCTCGGGCATGATCGACATGAGCACGCCGCGCACCGCGTCGCGCTGCTGCGGACTGTTGCGCCCCGCCTGCGGGGGCGTCGCGTTCGGGCGGTTGGAGACCGCTGGGCGTGTGAGGGGCGGAGCGGCTGGGGGGTGCTGGCGGCCGGCGTGCGGGGCCGTTCTGCGCGCGGGGCAGCCTCGTGTGGAGGCATTCGGCGGAGCACGGCAGTGCATAGACGAAAGTATTGTGGGGCGGGGCACGCGCCATGATGAGCCGGGAGATGTCGACGAAGCCCTCGTAGTCGGTGAGCGTGCCCTTGCGCGGCATCTTGCCCCCCAGCTGGTCGCTCATCTTCTTCGCAAACAGGTAAATAAAAGCTCGGTCGAGCAGGTTGTCCTTGTGCTCCGTCTTCTCAGCAAACGGGTCCTGCGCGCGCGAACAGCGACAGAGCGCGCGGGGCGTGGGACGACGCTCCGTTGCGCTCGACAGGGCGGCAGTGGGCAGCGTGGAGCTGCGAGGGTGTGACAGCGCGCGCGCGCTGCGAGGATGCGTTCACGGGCTACCGCGAGGACAGAATCCGCGAGTGTGTGAGCGAACTAAGATTGTGATTGGTGGTCGTGACGATTGGAGGAGGTTCCCAGGCCGGGAACGCACCTTGGGAGCACTGTCCGGGGTGGAAGCGGCGCGCAGGGGGCGGCAGGGGCGGCCAGCGCGCCGCTGCGACAGCGCAGATCGAGCGCATGGACTTGGTCTCGCTGATAGGGCGTTCATCTGCGGGGAGAGGGGAAGGGCGGCGCGGTGAGGCTAGCCTAGCAACACACTGCGGTCCGCACGTCCAATAGATGAGCTGTAAGAACAACAAAACTTCCCCGAATTGGCCGTCACGAGATTTCAAAGACGCGGCGTCACCGTTGGGTCCCGAAGCTGGCCTGGAAGACAGCTGCTGAGGGCCAATCGCAGCATTGGCAGGAGAAGAGTGGGGCTCGTCGCACCTCTGTGGGGCTCGAGCTGCACGTCCGAAGGACCGCGGCGTACGAGCCGGTCTCAGACTTTGGTCCAAGCGCAGAAATTCACGTTCTCGGCGCGATCGGCGCCCACTTCGGCCAGCAGTCCCTGCTTTGCCACACACACACACGCACCTCGCGATGGCGCGCACACCAGCTCAGTGACAGGCCGCGAAGGTCAAGCGCACCGGCGTGTGTATCCACAACTGCACTCCACAGCGCCCGTCCGACGGCATCGGCCGCCCGCGACACCCGCAACACGTAAAGTGCGGAGTCAGGAGGGGGTGTCAGGCGGTGTTTGACTCGACGCGAGCGACCGGCCGCACGTCGCGCCAGCAAGGCGCCTCCGCCGCCTTCTCACGCTCACAGCGCCCCTGGCTACTGAATCGACAGCAGCATGTTGGCCCCCTGCTGGGGCAGGTACACCACGTTCCGCGACCGCGACAGCACGGCCGCGACCTCCCGCGCCGCCTCGACCCGCCGCAGCTCGATCAGGCCGTTGCCCGCGGCCTTCGTGGCGTCCGAAATCAGCTTCGCCGCCTCGGCCTCGCCCTGCAGTGCGCGGGTGTTGCGACGCACGTCAGACTCGCAGCGAAGCACGGAACCGTGCCCCGAGGCAACCAACGCACGTCAAACGCGAATCCAGCGCCACCAGCCAATCGAGAACCAGCGACGCCCTCGCAGCGGCAGCGGCACGGGTGCCTGTGTTGTTGCACAGGGGGGGTCCGAGGTGTGGGTGGGGCGGGGGCTCGCCTCCGCGCGCACGACGGCGGCGAGCTTCTCCTGGTCGGCCTTGGCGACGAGCCACTTGGCGCGCTCGGCCTCCTGCTGCGCGACCTGCTTCGCCTCAATGGCGCGCGCAAACTCGGTGCCGTACGAGAGGTGCGTGATGGCCACGTCCTCGAGCGTGATGTGGAAGTCCACGGCGCGGCTCCGGAGCGACTCGCGGATCTGGCGCGACACCGCGTCACGCATCGTGAGGAGCTGCTCGGCCGTGTACTGCGCGACGGTGGCCTTCAGGACCTCGTTGACGATCGACGGCAGCACGCGCTCGTCCCAGTCCTGCGAGGGGATGGGCGAGTGAGCGCGTCGGGGCCGTCGCACCGGCGGTCTCTGCGCGCCCGCGCGTGGTGTGTGGGAGGGCAGGGCAGGTTTCGACGGGGGGGTCGGACCTCGCCGAGGTTGGAGAAGATCCAGGGGAGCTTCTCGATGTCGGGCTTGGAGAGCACCCTGACGGCGATGTTGACCATCTGGAGGTCCTTCGTGCCCGTGATCGAGTTGATGGCACGCGGGCGCGTGCGCACGTCCATCACGAACGGCCGCTGGAACCACGGGATCCTGCAGCGTCGCGCGCAAACGCATGTTCACGAGTGTGACATCAGGGTTCCGGGAGGGCCCGTGCACGGGGCGCGAGCGACGCCGCGTGCGGCGCGCCCACGTAGGCGGCGCAGTGTGTGTGCGCGACGCCGGGCGCAGCGGCTCGCGCGGGGGCTGTGCGGCGGACCTGAAGTGCGTTCCTTCGCTCGTCGTCGTCTCGGAGACGCCGCTGAGGCGGTTGAACATCACCGCGCGCTCACCACCGTCCACTGTGTACAAGGCCGACTGCACCGCGCCTCCCGCGAGACCCAGCGCCAACGAATACTTCGCCACCTGCACGTGCGGACATGAGCACGCGGCAGCGCGGTTGGCACCGACGGCGCAGCATCGACGTGACGGCAACCCGCGAAGGAGTACTGCCCGGCTCAGACTGGGCCGCAACCGCGCGGCAGGGAGCAGATCTGGGATCCACGCGCCAGGCACCGGTATCCGGGCCAGACAGCGACGGGTGCGCGTCGAAGCAAAGCCCGTCGGCCATCAGAGGCGTCCGGAGGCCGTATAGCAGGCAGGCTCCAGTGTGGCCGTTGCAGGCGCGCGTGGTGGCCGGGCACGCGGAGCGCGGGGCGCGCAGGCGAGGCGCATGTGTGCGACGGCATCGGTGCGCGGGAAGCGCTGGTCGACGAGCACAGCGGCCCCTGGCGGCCCGCGCGAGGTGGTGGTGCAGGGGTCGGGTGCGAAGGGCCACTCACGCTGCCCAGGGCGCGGCTCAAAACCTTGGCCACCTGCTCTCCTCGGCTCATCTTTGCGATCGACCTGGTATCCCGCTCGTCCCCTGCTCAGCCTCGCGCCCCGTGGCCGCACCCAGCAGAATGCTCGCACCACTCGTGCCGCGCTTCCAACGTGCACGCCGGGACCTCAACGCGAGAACAGACAAGCAGCGGAGACGGCGCGCAGCGCGAGGCAGCGGCTCCTTGGGCCCGCGCAGCGCCGTGAGACCCCTGCCACGAGAGCGCGCTGGGGACTTTAGCGGGGTTCCGTGCGGAGCGGGCCGCGGCGCTATGTCGGCAAGGGGCTCGGCCGGACGTTGCAAGAGGCTCGCTGGGACGGGCCGGCGGTAGCGCTGCTCCCTGGCGTAGCTCGACAGCGGTTAGTAGGCACGAGGTGTGCGCGCTGGCCTCGAGTCGCTGCAGCGGTCGCAGAGGGGTGTCGTGCACCACTGTCGAATCAGAGACAGGGTTGCACCTGAGGAGAGGTTCCCGTCTGTCTGTCGTTCGAACCGGGAAATAGTGGCCGCATGGACCCGGAGAGCCGACTAGCTGCTGCAGCAGCAAAGCAGGATCCTGCGCGCGACAGGGCGCGCCGCGAGGACGCCGAAAGGTAGCCGCGTTGACGACATTGCCGATTTCAGCCTCCACGACGCGTACAGTGCGCGGAGTCTCGACTTTTCGGGCGTAGTCACCGTGGTGCTGTTGCTGTGTGCGCACGCCCCGCGGCCCGCACGTCGCGCGCCCGGTCCCGCCGGCGCGTGCCCCCGCGCCACCTTCCGCCGTACCGCGGTGAGCTGGCGCAACGCATCGCCGCCGATGCGTCCACGCGTGCAGGCAGGAGCTGCTGGCTGGCGCCGCGGCGCGGAGGGCGCCCGCGCGGCCCGCCGTCGACGACCCCGCGGACCGCGAGGCCGCGATCCAGCAGGCGCGGCGGACGCACGCCGATACCACCGCGTCGGCCCTGCGCGCGCAGAAGATTGCGGAGGACACGCGCGAGACGGCTGTCGCCACCAACGCAGCGCTGCAACAACAGCGCCGGGTGCTCGAAGGCGCCGTGGGTGCGTCCGGCGTGCGGTGGGCCTGTGCCGGTCGGCGACCGCACGTCCGTGTTGACCTTGATGCCTAGATGGATCGTCAAATATGATTTGGTGTTTGTTGGTTGCAGACGACCTAGACGGGGTGCGCGTACAGGCCAAGGCGGCCAAGGGCCTGGCTGCGGACATCAAGTCGTGGTGTCGCTGCTTCTGCGACTGCTTCTGCTGCAGCAAGAAACCCGCGCGCCCGGTGAGGGGGCGCCCCGCCGCGCAGGGCGCGGACGCGGCGAAGCGCAACGCGGAGGAGCGGAAAGCGCGGGAGAAGGAGGAGAAGCGCGCCGCCGCGGACCGCGCGAAGCACGGCGGCGACCCCGAGGTGCCGTGGCACGCCCCGCGCCACGACGCGCACCTTGGCGCGCTGGCCGCGGACCGCCTGCGTCAGGCGCAGCAGGACGGCGCGTTCTCGCCCGAGGACGTCGAGGTGCGCGCAGCGACGGGGGCCGCGCGCGCTGACGTGCGGATACGCCACGTGCATGAGGGGGGGGACTGTTCCTTGGCATTGGTTGGAGAAGGGGGGTGTGCGGCGGTTGTCGGGCTGAGTGGCACGACGGGCGCCGCACGTGCAGGTGCTGGAGCAGGAGACGGCGAAGCAGGAGAAGGCGCTGGACGCGGTGGCGGCGGCGGTCGACGACTTGAAGCACCTTGCGCGGCACATGGGGGAGGAGCTGGACGGGCAGATGCCGCTGGTGGACGAGGCCGTGCGGAAGAACGAGCAGGCGCGGGAGGGGATCAGGAGTATAAGACTGTGACTGCCCGGGGGGACTGTTGCTGTGTGCGTCGCCCATGGGCTTGAAGGCGCGCCGGGACGCGCGTGGCGTGATATAGTGATTCGCGCGTGGTGCAGCCTGACGGACGGGGCAGCGGCCAGGCGGGAACGATGGCGGACGGCGCCATGCCAGCCGCGCAGGCCCTCGCCTACGACCTCTGGAGCTCGTCGGTTGATCCCGGATTCTGGTCCCAGCTACGCTCATTGAAGCTCGAATCGCTCAAGCTGTCCGAGGATCCCATCAGCGTCGAGGGCACCGCGTCGCCGAGCTCCCACGACGGCGTGAACGCCCCGCTGAGCGTGCCCCAGAGTGCACTTGGAGGCTGGGTGGCGGTCTCACAGCCCGCCTGGCGGCATCCTGTGCCCGGGGAGGTCGTCCCGCTGAACACTGTCGAGTCCTTGCGGACGTACGATCGCGCTGAGCTCGAGAAACGCCTCACAGGGGCGATATGGGAGGCCGTTCGAAGCGGCGAGGCCTTGAGATTCCCTGGGGCGCTGCTGCGCTTCGCCGCGCTGTCGTACGTCGACATGAAGACCTTCCGCTTCTACTACTGGTTCACGTTCCCCGCCCTCGTCCCTCAGGCGCCCTTCCGTGCGCCTCCACCCGTCGCGCTGGCCGCTTGGCGACCCGTCGCCGACGACGCAGCGTGCGGCGCCGCGGCAATCGCGGCAGCGTGCCAGACGTTCGCGAAGGAGCACCCCGACCAGCCTGCGTGGATCGTGCGCACCGGGACCGGCAACACTGCCCCCGCGGCCCACCCGCTCGCTGAACTGGAGTCAGGTCTGACGCCCGGGGACATCCTCGCGTTCAGCGACCCGTCCAGCCACCCGACGGCGCCCGGCTGGCCTCTGCTGAACCTCCTCGTCTGCGTCGCGGCGGTCCTCGGCGACCGTGCCCCTCCGGCCATCGACGTCCTAAGCGTGAGGCTGCGGCGCGGGGTGGCGAGCGCGGAGGCGTCGCGGGTGTTCCAAGTAGACGTGCGCAGCGGGCAGGTGCCCCCGGCGAGCACGCAGACGTGGTCAGGGAAGCACGTGGCCGCCTGGGAGGCGGGGTTGAAGGACAAGCGGCGGCCAGGGCCACGTGTTGTGGACCTGAGTCAAACAATGGACCCCCGGGCCCTCATGGACTCCGCGGTCAAGCTCAACATCTCCTTGATGAAGTGGAGGGCGGTGCCAGGTGCGCCTGACCCATGATCTGCGTGCGCTGTCAGGCCATCACGTGGTTGGCGTGGTCAAGTGCAAAAGTACTCCCCGCGCACTCCCCCGCACCGCGCAGAGCTCGACACGGAGGCGCTCGCGAACGCGCGCTGCGTGCTGTTCGGCGCAGGGACGCTCGGATGCGCCGTCGCGCGCTGCCTGCTCGGATGGGGTGTGCGGCACATCACGCTGGTGGATTCTGGCCGCGTGTCGTTCTCGAACCCCGCCAGGCAGTCGCTCTTCACGTTCGAAGATTGCCTGGAAGGTGGAAAACCGAAGGCCAAGGCCGCCGCGGCCGCGCTGCGCGCCATCCTGCCCAGCGTGACCGCAGAGGGCCACAGCTTGCTCATACCCATGCCTGGACACCCCCCCGGGTCACCGGAAGACGAGGTGCGCGCCGCAACGACGCAGCACGTGTCTGTACGCGCTGCATGCCGCCTCACGGCTGATTCGTGGGGCGCTGCGGCGCCAATACACCCCTCCTTGCTCTTGGGTTGCGTTGTGTGCAGGCGACGCTGCGGGAGGCGTGGCGGACCGTCGACGACCTCGTGGCCTCCCACGACGTCACGTTTCTGCTCACGGACACGCGCGAGTCCCGCTGGCTGCCCACCATCGCTGCGGCCGCGCACAACAAGGTTGCCATCAACGCCGCGCTGGGGTTCGACTCGTACCTCGTCATGCGCCACGGAGGGCAGCCGGGGGAGGCTGCGTCGTCGCCACGGCTCGGGTGCTACTTCTGCAACGACGTCGTGGCCCCCGTGGACTCCACGAGGGACCGCGCGATGGACCAACAGTGCACTGTGGCGCGGCCGGGTCTCGCGCCGGTGGCGGGCGCGCTGGCCGTTGAGGTGATGGCGGCGTGCCTGACGCACCGCGACGCGCCGCACCCGGCCGCCGCGCGCGCGTCGGACGCGGCAGCGGGCGACGGGGACGCGGCGCCTCTCGGGACACCCCCCCATATGATACGGGGGAGTTTTGCGGACACCGCGCAGTCGGCCATGACCGGGACGGCGTACTCGTGCTGCACGGCCTGCTCGGAAGCGGTCGTGTCGCGGTATCGGGCGCGGGGCTGGGATTTCGTCGCTGAGGCGTTGTCGCATCCCGGAAAGCTCGAGGAGGTGTCTGGGCTGGCCGACCTCAAGGCTGGCGCGGACGCGTGCCTGCTGGGCGGCGAGGAGAGCGATGGCGGCAGTGCGGGGCCGTCGGGGGCGCGCGAAAGCGCGGACGAGTGGGAGGCGCTGTGAGACGCCGCCGCGACAAGGGAGGGTTGCCTGGCAGTCGTCTGCGGGGGGGAGGAGGGCCAGGAACGCCGCAGGCGGCCATATCAGACGATATGTGAATATTTCGGACACATTTAGCGATCATGCGCAGAGTGTTCAGCCAGGCATGCGGACTTCGGATACGTCGCACTATAATTCTTCTTCTTCCCTGCTCCGGGAGACACGCATCGCCCGTTTCCAGAGCCCTTCGCGTCCGCATCGCTTTTCGGCTTCGATGGCCTCGTTCCTGCGACGGGGGTTCTACACCGAGCAAGTGCGGCGGGGGAATGAAGTCGCAGGGACCTTCTCAAGTATCACAGGGCACCAGTCGCACGGTATTTCCCTCGAGCCGGCGTCTGATGTTCCCAGTCGCGCCAGTGCTCGTCGGGCCCGGTCGGCCCCCCCACACCCCCCCTGACGCAGGCCTCAACAGCCCCCTCCTCCCCCTCCTCCAGCGAGCCGGCCTCGCTCGACCCCGCGTCGCTCACGGGGCCCGTGCACCGCTGCGTGTCGTCGCACGCATGCACGCCGCCGGGGCGCCACCACCCCCACCGCCACATCTCGTCGTGGGTCGCCGGCGCCGGGCTCGCGCGCTCGCAACTTGCGTCGCTGTGTGCCGTCGCGCCGGCCTTGCCGGACGACGACTTCCGCAGCCAGTCGTCCTCCCCGTCGCTGTCGTCGAGCCCGGACAGCGACAGCGCGACCGTCGCGCGCGTCGCCGCAACCGTCGAAGCAGTGGTCCCCACAGACCCTTCCGGCGACTCCCCCGCGCCCCCGCACTCCCCGCCCCTCGCCTCCGCCCGCATCGCACGCGCCGCACGCAGCCGCGTCAGCGCGTCGCGGTGCCCCCAATACCCCCCCGCCCGACACTCCTTAAACTCCCCCTCGATCTCCGGCACCGTCAGCAAGTCCCCGTCGATCAGCGGGACCCCCGCGGCGGACGCCCGCAGGCACTGCAGCACCGTCCGGACCAGCAGGTTCAGCGAGCGGTCCGTCGAGGTGTTGTTGAGCGCCGGGATCCGGTGCTTGGCCGCCGCGCACAGCAGGTAGCCCTGGATGGCGCGGATCTCGTCGAAATGCGCGACGTAGCGGTTCTCGCTCGGATGGAGCGTGAGGTGCTTCGCGCGCACCGCGAACCGCGCCAGGTGCTTGTCGCGCGACCGCGTGTGCACCAGGAAGGGGATGACGTCCGCGGTGGGCGCGGGGCCGCCGCGGGGCGCCTGCTGCTGCTGGCACTCGAGCGCGAGCTTCACGACGTCGCGCGGGCGCAGGTGGATGCCCTCGACGACGATCGACTCGCCGCGCGCCAGGCTCGCGAGCACCGCGCGGCGGGTGTGTTCCATGACCAGCGCGGACTGCGCCTTGTACCCCTTGATCACGCGCTTGTCAGGGGGGGTGTCCGCGGGCAGGCCCTCCACGACGCGGTGCGCGTCGTACGTCGAGCACCGCAGGATCGGGTCGTCCACCAGCGCCCGCAGCGTGTTCCTGCATGCACGCCACAAGTCATCACTCCGAGGGTTTGGCTCAGAGCGCTCGAGGCGGCGCTGCGGACGGGCTTCGCGTGGCGGGGGCGCGCCTGACGGTGTCCGTGGAGAGGACGTTGTTGATGCCCATCCAGGACGCCACGAGCGCTGCCAAGGTGCTCTTTCCGGTGCCGCACGTGCCGCACAGCACGATTGCGACGGCGCGCGAGCGCGACTCGAGGTCGTGGATCACCTGCGGGGTCGCGGAGCCGGCGGAGCGTGAGCAGCGGGCCGCACCGGCGCGCCGCGCCCGCCTCGCGCAGCACGCAGGGGCCCGCGGGGCGCGTCCGTGGGTGACGTGGCCGCGGCGGCGAGCCTCATTGCACGTCAGAGGTGCAGCGGCGTCGGAGCCGAGGCGCGCATTGCAATCCCACGCGAGGCGGGGTGCGCTGGACGTGCGCGGGCGGCGGCGCTGCATCGCAGAGCCTTCCAGGCGCACCTCGAGGTCTCTGCGGAGTCCCTGCCGGCCCGGCTTGCATTCAAGGATGCACTGCTCCATCAGGTCGAAGAAGGCCTCTTTCGTGACCCCCACGCGCTCGTATCCAAGGGACCAGACCGCGTTTCGTCCGAGCGGCAACGAGTGCGCAGCGCCGCGCGCATACTGCTCGGCTGGCCGCGTTTCAGACGCGGCCGCGTCCTCGTGGCTCCGAGACACCGCATCCTGCAGGAATCGCGCGTGTTCACGGCGGACGTGGGCGCAGGGGCAGCGAGGCGCTTCTGGGAAGCAACTCGGCGGGTCGTGCGCCGGTGCGTCACGCAGCGAATCCGCTGCAGACCGCGCGGCCTGACGGCTCGTCCGTGCCGCGAGGCGACCCAACCGGCTCGGCAGCCGCGGTCCGGCGCCGGGGCGCGCGGGAACGACCGCCTGAGCAGGCTGCGGCGCCTCTCACCGCGAGCGCTCGGAAGAACGCGTCCCCCACGGGCCTCCACGCGTCGCTCCGGAAGCCCAGCCGCTTCAGAACATGCTCGATACGCGCCACGCCGTACACCGTCCCGCCCTCCCCTCCCACCGCAACCTCAACCACCCCCGCGGCACCACCACCACCCGCCGCGCGCCCCGCGCGCCCCATCGCTCGCGCGCCGCGCCGGCGGCCCGAGCGTGCTCGACGCCGCAGCCCCGTGCCCCGCGCGGCCCGCTTCCCGGACAGGTCCCGACTTCGTTCGCTCTCAGCTGCTCGCGGGTGTCTTCAGTGAAAACCACGTGGTTTGAGCGCGGCGCCGGGACGCGAGGAAGTGCTCGCGGCGCCGCCGGGCAGGGACGGGCGCAGTGCGGCGCGTGCGCGGCGCGCGGGGGTCACGTCACGCGGCGGCGGCGCTTGACCCAGGCAGGCGTGGACCTGACAGCAGGTGGCGGGACGGTTGGGCGGGCGCCTTGGGCTGGGGCGGGCGCGGCGCTCGGATAGACTTGACGTCGCTGGTGCAGAGGAGCAAACGGAACTTCAGCAGCTTCAAGCAAGTGGCGGGCGACCGCGCGGCAGCCTGCGAGGCCCTGCTGTTACGAAACGTTTCGTGGCTGCGATGAACCGCTGGACGGGAGCCTCTTTCAACAGTGTCTCGTCCCTGAGCAGCCCTGTTTTCCTCGCTGCGGCGACGAACCTCGTGTCATGCGCCATCCAGCGCGCGAACAACCTCGCTCACCTGGCCCGTGCTGACGCAGACGAGCCTCCCGCAAGGTGCGCCTTCGCGCGCGCCCGCGCCCGCCTGGCAACTGCTCGCGCCCCGCAGCATTGCTTCGCGCCGGCGACGCCGTCCCGCACGGGCCCAGAAGCGCGCTATGGGAAGGCGCCCACGTTCTGGAGCACGGTCCCGAACGGCGCCGCAAGCGCGGCATCTGGCCCGGCAGCGGCCGGCCCCGCGACGTTCAATGCTGACGAGCGAATGCTACCGGTCCGGCTCCCGGTCCAGCGCGTGGTTACTCACGAGAGCCCCATGGTCGTGTGCATGCTGCAGTGACGAGAGCCAGCAGTTCCGCTCGAGCGTCACGGACCGATGGAACGCATCGAACGAGCTGCTGACGAAGGCCAAGCGCGCGTTCCCGGGCAGCAACCGCATCATCGGGCCAGATTCTGACAAATTGCCCTTCCGCGGTCGGAGCTGGACGGAGCTCTTGAACGCCTACGGTGTGTTTACGACGTGCGCCATCAAGCCCGTCGTCGCCAATGCTGACAAGGTGAGCCGGGGCCCCAGCTCGGCCCGAGCGCCGCACCACGCGGCTCCAGCGGCTGCTAAATACCTCGAACGAGCAGCCATCAGCCGCCTTGCCGGCGCGCGCGGCGCCCTCGCCGCCTGCTCCACGCACGAACCCGCGTATCTACATGCGGCCGCCCGCCATCACGGCCCGCAGCCGCCCTCTCGCGCCCACCTCGCCGCGGCAACCACCTCGGCTCCCCCTAACAGGCAGCAGCCATCGCCCCTCCCGGCGCGCCGCACGCTGGGCCCGAGGCCGCGCCACCGCGCGGTCCGGGGCACTTCGGCGCCGCACTATCCTGTCGCGACCGCGCTCTCGCCCGCTGCGCCCTCAATTGGCCCCGTAGCGCCCTTGGTCCACCTAGCCACTGGCGCAAGCAGCAGCCACGCGGCCCGCGACGGCCTCACCCGCCCCGCCCCCCTCCGCACGCGCAGCTCATCGCCCTCGGCGAGGCCGTCGTGGGGAAGAAGCTCACGTACGGGATCATCAAGCACACGTTCTTCGCGCACTTCTGTGGAGGTGCGCCTGTGCTACCCGCCGAAACGCGCCCCCCCGCGACCCCCCCGCCCGCAGCTTCGCTGTCCACGCCCGCCCCGTGACCCTAGCTACGCCCCAGCATCCAAGCTGCGCGCGCTCCGCCGGCCCCGCCGGCCCCGCGCGCACCCACCCACCTTGCCGCTGACTCACCACGCGTGGCGGCCGCCCCGCCCCGCACCCGCAGGCGAGAACGTCGACGACATCCGGCCGACGATCGACCGGCTGCAGCGGCACCGCATCAACACCATCCTCGACTACGCCGCGGAGAGCGACCTGGACGCGCCCGTGGACGGCGAGATGCCCTCCGAGGTCATGGAGGCCACGCCGCAGTCCGGGCTGGACATGATGCACGCGAAGACGCCCAGCGGCATGTACCCGCTCTCAGTCGAGAAGTACTCGGACCTCAACAACCGTCTCTTCCTGACTGCCATCAACGCGGCCGCGGACGTCACGCCGCCGGGCGAGACCGCGTTCGTGTCCGTCAAGGTCACCGCGCTCGCGAACCCCAACCTCCTCGAGCGCGTCAGCACCGTCCTCACGGAGATGCACCGCCTGTTCGAGCGGTTCGACGTCGACGGCGACGGCTTTGTCTCCTGGGACGAGTTCGAGGTCATGTACCCGGAGCTCTTCGTGGAGCCGCTCAAGCCCGGCGACGAGGACGCGCGCAAGCAGCGCATGCTCAAGGTGTTCCGGTACCTGGACCCGAAGCGCTCGGGGTACATCGACCTGGTGCAGTGGTCGTCGCGGTTCCGCATCGAGGACCTCCCGAGCGTGGTCTCGCGGTGCCGCAGCGGCGGCCCGCTGCTGGACTCGATGCTGACCGCGGAGGAGCTGCAGCTGTGGCGGCGGCTGCAGGCGCGCGTGCACTCGGTGGCGTCGCGCGCCAGCGCGCTGGGCGTCAAGGTGCTGGTCGACGCGGAGCACTCGTACTTCCAGCGCGCCATCGACAACCTCGCGATGCAGGTGATGGCCAAGTTCAACCGCGGCGGGAACGCCGTCGTCATGAACACCTACCAGTGCTACCTCAAGGACAGCCACACGCGGCTGCTGGTCGACCTCGAGCGCGCCGAGCGCGAGAACTTCACGCTCGGGGCCAAGCTCGTCCGCGGCGCGTACATGAACATGGAGCGCGAGCGCGCGGCGGAGCGCGGGTACCCGGACCCCATCCACGACACGCTCCAGGACACCCACGACTGCTACAACCGGTCGGTCGCGGCGGCGCTGCTCGCGGCGCGGCGCGGGCGCGCGGCGCTGATGGTCGCGTCGCACAACGCCGAGTCGATCGAGCTCACGGGCAGCATGATGAACCAGCTGGAGATGGAGCCCAGCGCGCCCGTGTACTTTGCGCAGCTGTACGGCATGGCCGACGATCTGACGTGGCCGCTCGCGGCCAAGGGGTACCGCGCGTACAAGTACCTGCCGTACGGGCCCGTCGCGGAGGTCGTGCCGTACCTCGTGCGCCGTGCCGTGGAGAACGCGTCGGTGATGGCGGGCCCCGGCGGCGGCGGCGCGGGGGCGGAGCGGCGCAAGCTGCGGGCGGAGTTCTGGCGGCGGCTGACGGGGCGCGCGAGCCCGGCCGCGGCGGAGCAGGAGGTCGCGCAGCAGAGCTAACGCGACACGCGTCGGCTCCTTGCGTCTGACTCTGGCACAGAACCCCCCCCCTCCTCCCCTCCCTTTCCCCCCTCCCCCTGCGACCGACTTTCGTTCTCCGCCTGCACCCATTCGGACCCTGCGACGCGCTGCGCGCGATCGCCGGGAACGGTTCGGGAGTGCACGCGGCAACACCCCCTCATTGGCAGGAAGACTGTCTGCGGACCACCCGATGCAGTACATACACTCCGGCGCCCATGTGGCGGCCCAACGGGACATAATGGATTCTACTCCGCCCCCCCTCAGTGGTTTCGAGCAGGATCATGTTTCCAAACTCACTCTAACACCCCCTTTTCAACCCCCGCCTTCCCCCCACCGATGAATTCACGCCCCCCTCACTTCGGCTCCTGCGCATTCGTCTGCTTGCGCTGAGGATCCCCCACGACGCCCGGCTCCTGCGCGCGCCGTTCCTCACACGCGGGCGCAGGCCTCCCGGCCAGCACTCTAGCGTCCCCACGCCCTATTTCTGGCCCGTAGCGCGACACGTGAGGGCTTCTTCTGCGGCCTATCCTCACACGGGTCGCCCGGACGGGGCGGCCTCTACCCGTCCCCTGCCCCACGGCAGGGCCTCGACCGCGCAGCGTCATTTTCTGCAGACGCCGCGGTGGCATTCAACCGCTGCTCCCCCCCTTGCGGGCCGTGGGAAATCCACCCCCTGGCTGCGAACTCAGCATGTAGCGCCGCTTTGTGCGCATGTGACGCGCCGATGTCGACCTTGCTCGCCGCGGTCCTACGTCTGCCGGGTCGCTGTCGCTGCGCTCGTCGCGGCACCTGCACTTTCCCACCGTGCGTGCAGGCCAGCTACAAGACACCACGTCACCATGGGTTTTCCCTTGCGAGGGAGGGACATCCTCACATCTGTCTACGTCACGTGTCACGCCGTCACGGCGAGCATCAGGGCCACGGACGCCACCGCGGCTGCACCGAGCGTGTACCCGCTCATCGAGGCCATGCAAGCCCCGGACACCTCGCCCGGCGGCGTCGCCATCGGAGCTGCGGGCGTCTCGACGGGCGGCGCAGCGGTCGACGGGAACCCGCCAGGAGCCTGGGCCGCCGCCGTGCGGTTCGGCGCGATCGTTGCGTTGCTGACGGTCGTGCTGGCCGGGGCCTGAGTCATGACGGGGATGGACGGCATCGTCGCGTTGGACACTCCGGGGCCATCCTGCGCTTGGAGCGAGGGTGCGGAGGCGTTCGCCGCGCTCGAGGCATTCCAGTGCGCGAGGGTCGCCGCGGGGGCGCTGGCGGCACCCACCATGGCGGTGACGGGCGGCTCGCTGGCCGCGGGGGGTGCAGTGTCTGGGGCGGGCGTGGTCGGCTGCGTGGAGCCACACGTGAGCCCTGCTGGGAGGCCGTACGCGGTCATCGCGTCCGGACCCATGTCGAGGTACGGCTGCAGACCCGCAGCCTCCACTGCGGCGCACGGGTCGTCCTGAAGCAGCCTGCGCGTTGCATCGACACAGGGGAGTGCGCGCGGGTCGCTTGCGACGCATCGCGCGGGGACGGCGAGTGGCAGGCGGGCAGGCAGGCTTCCGCTGTGGGCCGAGCCGGCCAGCGCACCTGCGCGCCTCGGAGATCCCCCCCCGACTCCCCCGGGGGGTCAGTTTCTCGACGACGGCCTCGATCGGCACGGTCTTCGCGTGGTTCTCGATCAGCTTGTCTTGCGGCTGGCAGAAGGACTGGTCCGGAGCGCCCGGGAGCCACGTGTCGGTTCCGAGCGGACACGGAAGGCACGTGGTGCTGCGCCTGTTGGCTGCTGTGCCCGCCGGGCACATGCGGCACGCGGCGGCGCCGGGGTACGACGAGTACCTGCCCGGCGCACACGGCGTGCAGCGGCTCTGCCCCGCGTTGTACGCGTACGAGCCCGCTGCGCAAGGCTTGCACGTGCCCTGTTCGTCGTGCACGGGAGCGTGGCCAGGGGGGCAGATGGCGCCCCCGCCGTCGGCGTCCGCGGACCTCCCGAGGAGGACGCGGTCGAGCACGTCGGTGACGTCGGCAAACGGCACGTCGAGCACGGGCTGCAGCCAGGACGCCTGTGCGACGGGCACCGCCCAGTACTGGAGACCGAGGGCTCCAGACATGGACCAGAACATCATCGGAGGCTTGTGCATGAAGATGAACTGCGAACACGGGCGCAGAGGGGGGCGCCGCCTTCACGAGACAGACGCAGGCTTGCAAGGTGTGCGCCGACTGTCGACCGAAACGGTGCGGCTCTGCGCACCTCGACGAGCGCCGTGCCCGGGGCGGAGAAAGCCGCGTTGGTGAGGCCCGCGCCGTGGGGTCCGACGACGACCCTCGCGCGCCGGAAGACGTCGACCGTCTCGTCAGGGGAGAGACCCCCGCGGAACACCTCCACGTTGTGGTCCGGGTAGCGCTGCTGGATCACGCGCAGGAGGTCCTCCTCGTCCTTGACCGACCGCGAGCCCGCGTTCGACCGCGTGACGTACACCTGCGCGGCGAGGAGCCACGGCGTCACCCCGTCAACCCAAAGGGCGCCGACGAGTCTTGGTGCGGTCAACGTCACGATGCGCCGCGGGGCGCCTCCAGGAGGGGCCGGGGGCGCACGATGCTCTGGCGCTCCTCGGCTGGCAGCGGCTCGGCCGCGCCCACCGCCTCACGGAGCCGCAACAGGCCCTCCCTGGCCGGCGTGATGCGCGGGGAGGGGTTCGGGTATAACAGCTCGGTCGCGCAGTAGACCTGGTCGGGATCGTAGCGCACGATCCTGCGCGAGGGGGGACGGGGAAGGAGAGCGAGTGTGTTGAGCGGTGCGAGGGCCGCGGATGCTTCGACGAGGTGCATGTCATGCATTGCCGCTGCGCACCTCTTGCGGTCGATGCCGAGCTTGTCGAGCCACTCCAGCTCGTGCTCCATGCCCCAGGTCAGCAGCATCGTGTCGGCGTCCATGGCTGCGTTGAGCAGCGCGATCCTCGGCAGCGTCTCCGCGAGCCAGTGGTAGTACATGAAACCGTAGGGCTGCAGCGCCCTGCGAGGTGCGGGTCCCAAGGGCGGTCGTCAGCACTACATGCAGCGGAAGCAAGGTCCGTGAGGAGGGCGGAGGGGGCCGGGGTCGTACGTCGCGAGCTTGGGGTAGTGGAGGCATGCGCGGGTCCCCGGGATGGGCTTGCGCGGGAGAGGCGCGGTGCCGAGGCCGTTGCGCGTGTAGAAGTGGCCGGTTTCGTGATAGACGTGGCCGTTTGCGTCGTACACGAGCCCGCCGTCGCCCTCCACGAACGCGTGCGGGATCTTCACGACGAACTGGTCGGTCTCGAGGGGTGTGAACGGCGTGGGCGTCGACGGAAGCAGATCCTGCATGAACGTGAAGTCCACAGCGAAGTCGACCACCACGTCCTCGTCGACCGTCCGCGGCGGAGGGCGCATCACGGGCCCATCCGACGGAGAGGGCTCGACCGGTCCGAACACGAACGTCACGCCCTGCAGCGCGTCGATCAAGGTCTCTCGCGTCAGAGGATATTTGTTCCCACGCGTCACCGCGCCGATCATACGAGAACTCACAGCGCGGGGCGCGAACCTCGGGCGCGAAGTCCACGAGGTCTTCGATGATGATCCAGTCCGTCTCAGGGTCGCCGGCGGGCTCGACGACGTCGCTGTGGAGATTCCTGCCCAGAACGAGGCCGGACAACGAGGCGAAGAGGACCAAGAGGGTCGCCAGCGCGGGCGTACGCGTCCAGGTCGCCATTGTGCTCGTCACGGATCGCGGACTGCGGCCTTCACTGGCCTCGGGATCGCCGGTTCCGCTATTCAAACTAATTTTCCGCTGCTCCGGGCAGCGAACGCAGGCTGCGTCGGGTCGCGCGAGCCCCACTCGGAGACTGCAAACCTGAATGGTTCGACCTGTGCGCCACTCAGCCGCGATTCAGGGCCGACGATCGACGCTCCACGAGGACAGCGACCTCCGCTGTAAGCGAGCAAGTCGCACGGTCCCCCGCGCGGGTCCCCAGATGTGTCGCGCGGCCACAGCGCCGCCCGGTTCGTCAGTGCGAGGTCCTACCCGCCACCCTTGGGTGGCCCGAACCCTCAGCGCACACCGGCTGCAAGCCGGAGCCACCGAGACACATGCATCGCACCCGCACGTGGCCCGCAGGTCGTCGTCATTCCTTCCGAGGGTCGCGCCACGTGACGGAGCGGGGTGTTGTCCCGAGTGCGTGTTGCCGCCCCAGAGGTGTGACGCGGGGGATTGGGTCCGGAATGAAAGCGCCGGGCGCACAATCGTTTACGTCTGCGCAAAGACCGAATAGGTTCGCTGCGATTCATTCTCGCAGGGAGCGCGATCACCGCGTGGGAGAGCTGTGTGTGTTCGCGGGGTCGCGCGCTCGGAGCCTGCCGAAACAGCGCGACGCGATGAGGGGCGAGGCGCTGCAGTACTGCGCGCATGCATTCAGGTGCCATTCATGCGCGTCCTTTGGCGCCGCGTCTGACGCGGCAGGGGCCGGGCGCTGGGCTCTACGCTGGTTCGCTTCCGGGCCCGCAGGCGCGGCAAGAGCGCCGATGGGGCGGGCGCCGCCGCGGCCCCAGGACATTCCGGGCGTGAAGCACATCGTAGCCGTGGCGTCAGGGAAAGGCGGGGTCGGGAAGTCGACGAGCGCGGTGAATCTCGCTGTGGCACTCGCGGCCGCGCCCCTGTCGCTCCGCGTCGGTCTCCTCGACGCAGACGTGCACGGACCGAGTATACCTACAATGATGAAGCTCTCTGGCCAGCCTGAGCTCGACGACGACGGGAACATGATCCCACAGGAGAACTACAGGCACGCACGACACATCAGACTGCGCTGCGGCGCGCTCCACGCGCTCCCCCGGCGCGCAACGACATCGCCAACGCACGCCCAGCCACAACCACTTCGTCGCGGCTCCGCGACCGAGCCAGCCCGCCTCGAACCCCAGCCCACACCACTCGATCCTGTGTTGCCAGAGCCACGTCAACCGTTCCCCGCGCGCCCCGCCGCCGCAGGGTGCGGTGCATGTCGATGGGGTTCCTGATGAAGCCCGGGCAGGCCGCGGCGTGGCGCGGCCTCATGGTCACGAGCGCGTTGGAAAAGATGATGTTTGGCACGAAGTGGGGCGGTCTGGACGTGTTGGTGGTCGACATGCCCCCCGGGACCGGCGACGCGCAGATCTCCGTGTCGCAGCGGCTGAAGCTCTCCGGCGCGGTGATCGTCAGCACGCCGCAGGAGATCGCGCTCATTGACGCGCGGCGCGGCGTGGACCTGTTCCACCAGGCGCGCGTCAAGGTGCTCGGGCTGATCGAGAACATGTCGTTCTTCGAGTGCGGGAACTGCGGATCCCAAGTACGCGCCCCCGCCCCCCCGCGCGCGCAGGCGCGTCGCCCTGAATGGGCGAAGCTGCCCTCCGCAATCGGGCTGGGACACAACGGAATGCGCGCGCGTAGACGCGCACCGGTGGCGCCGCTTGCCTGGCTTGAACGCATAGGGCGCAGCATAGAGACGGCGGCTTCGATCGCTCGCGCCAGGGTCCACATGCACTGACCGGCAACCGTGCGCCTGCGCCGCCCGTTCCGCAGGCGCACGTCTTCGGGCACGGCGGCGCGCGGGCGGCGGCGGAGGAGATGGGCGTGCCGTTCCTCGGCGAGGTCCCGTTGCGCGTGGCAGTGCGCGAGGCGATGGACGCAGGGAAGCCCGTGGCGCTCGACACGGGCAGCGCGGCGGGGTCGGAGTTCGCGAGCATCGCGCAGCGCACGTGGGGCATCCTGCAGGCGATTCACAGGGGCTGACTCCGCGCGGGCCTTCACAGGGGGATGTGTGCTGCCGTGTTGGTCACCCCGCTGTAAACGACGACGCCGTCGACGGGCACGAACTGCGACGTGAGCACCTTGATCGCCTCCTGCGCCGCGATGCCGCCGACCAGCGCCGCGACGGTGTGCGGCTCCCCGGCCCCGAACCGCACTGTTTCGACCACCACGTCGTCAGGCACCGCCACGCCGCCCGTGATGCCCATCTCCGCCAGCACGGCCGCGCACATCTGCTTCAGCGACGACGTCTCTTCGTCCGTGGCCGTGTTCGTCGGCGGGAGCGCCCCGGGGTAGTGCCCGTACGCCGCGTGAAACTTGTCGCTGGCGCGCAGGGCGACGTACACCGAGGCGGCGTGCGCGGCCTCCGGGCCGGAGGACAGGTCGCTGCGCAGGCGCTCGCGCAGGCTGGACGAGGGGGCCGGGGCGTCGCCGACGCACAGCTCGGAGGCCAGGGACGGCGTGCGGGTGACGGTCATGCAGCGGCAGTGCTTGCAGAAGTGTGCGATGCGGTCGCGTGGGATCTCGTTGGCGTCGCGGCCGAGCTCGAAGAGCACGGCGGCAACGAGCTTGGCCATCTCCGCGACGTCCTGCTCAGCCTTGGCCCTGCGAGGGAACCGCAGTTGCAAAACGAGGTCTTCGAGCCGCAGCAACGCTCGAACGCGGGACAAGCCGTACACTGGGCAGGGACACTGCAGAACGCTACCGCCGTGCACCGCCGGAACAAAGAACCCGAGTTGCTGCACGCACACACAAGTGGCACACCTGTACACTCTCTGCAGCGCCAGATAGTTCTCAGTGGTCGCCGTCATGTCCGGAATCGAGCCTTCCAGCGGCAGATAGCCGCCCGAGGTCTGAACGAAGCGGCGCAGGGCGGCGACCATCACCCAGAATGCCGCCGCGTCCCCTGCAAGCATCAGCGCACACAACGGGAGTGCTGTGGAAACAACCCCCCGCCCGACGGAGCCTCGCTCCCGCCACCGAATCAGAGCCATCAACGGCTCTGCCCGGCCCGGACGTGAGAGAACGAGCTTGCTCGGCCCCCTCGGAGAGCGACGCGTGTGTGGGCGTGGATAGTCGCAACACCAGTGTGGAGGGGGGGGGTCTCGCACGTTTCAGGTCCGTCGCGCACGGGTCCTCCAGCACGCGCGCCGCGGAGTCTTCGGGCCTGCCTCCGCGCGGCGCCCACACCAGCTGCGCCTTGCTCACCGCCTCGGCGATGTTTTCTTCTCCCAGCAACACCCCCCCCACCACCCGCTCCATGCGCTTCACGCCGTCCTTGAACGCCCGCTGCTCCTCGCGGTTCGCCGGCAGCGCTCCGCCGTGCGCCGCGCGCCAGGAGGCGGCGGCCTGCAGCAGCACACACGCCCACGGCACGTGCTTGTGCTGGATGTCCTCCAGCGCCTCCATGTCGTACGACAGGGCGTGCTGCTGCAGCTCGGGCCACGGCGCGTCCAAGCGCAGGTCCGCCTGCGAGCGTGCGGGAGGGCGGCGGGCCGTGGGGGCTGTGCGCGAGGGTGCGTGACGTTGAAGCATTGCTTTTTGCGGCGCGGAGACGCACCTGCGGGACCTCGGGGCGCGTTTCGAGGACGCGGTGCTCCTCGAAGGAGAGCCGGACGGACCCGAAGAGTCCGCAGGTGCGGGCGTAGATCACGGAGACCCCCCGGGGCCGGCAGATGGCGTCGAGCGCCAGGGCGGACGTGCGCGTGAGGTTCGAGGCGATGACGAGCGTGAAGTCCGCGAAGAACTCGGGCTTCGACGCGATGACCCTGTCGGCGTGGTCCTCGACGTACTGCGCCTTGACGGCGTCGTTCAGGACGCGCAGGAGCTCGGTGGCGCAGGCGGCGCGGGAGCGGCCGAGGTGCGCGCGGTGCATCATGAAGTTGGAGCCGAGGTCGCGCTCGGTGACGGCGGCGCCGTCGAGGATCGTGAACGCCTTGATGCCGCCGAGGACGAGGTTCTTCAGCGCCTCGCATCCTGCGACGATGACGTCATCAACACAAGGTTGCTGCTGGCCACGCGGGTCGCGCTCGGGGTGCGGCTTCGCGGCGTGGGGCGTCGGATCATACACAGGAGAGGCGCGTGGGACCGTTTCGGGACGCGGAGGGGCGGGCGCGTCGCGGCATCAGGGCGTGTCAATAGCATAGGACCATTGAAGGTGCGTCGCTGAGATGTACAGCGCGGATTCCTCTCGGTTTCCGTCGCCAAGTAGGCATGTAGCTGTACCGGCGTATGATGTGCGCGTTCTCGAGGTCGGAACCTCAGCGGATGTGCTCCAGACGGCAGCTCAGATCGCGAGGGCTGAGTGGCGTCGGACCAGGGCCGAACAGGGCGTTCTGGACGCCCACCTGTAGCAGAAGCATTGAGGAGGCAGACCCGCGCCGACTCCAGCGCTGCCTGGCCCTGTTCGCCCCAGACGCGCACTTGGCGGTCATAGCGCTTGGCCTTCGTGTCCGTCTCCGAGCCCTGCATGGCCGCCTAAGCGCGCCGTTCACCGCCTCCTGAACCAACTGCTCCGATCGGTGAGAGGTCGCGAGACGAGACGACCCCAACACAGCCCCAGAGCGCCCGTCCGAGCCCCAATGCCCACCAGAACCGTCAGTCAGCCCCGCGCACTTATTGAGCCACGTATGTAGGGCACAGGCGATTCGTTCCGGTCGATCTAGCACTCAGGACGCTGTCCGAGTGACCAACCCGCGCCCTGACGTCGCCACACGAGCCCCACGCCGCCAGGCTGCAGCTCGCAGGCAACCCCCCCTGTGTGACGCGTGTGCTGGCATTCCACCGTCCAGGCCGCCGCCGACGCGGGCGCCGCAGCCGCCCGCTCCCTTGGCCGTGCGCGCGCAGGCGTCGCGTCAGATCCGCAGAGGCCTTCCGGCGCCGCAAAGCGCACTAGAAACAGTTAGCCATGACGAGGCCGCGCTTGACGTGGACCGCGTGTGTCCTGGCCCTCGCCCTCCGGCTCCGCTGTGCGCACGCAGCGGGTGCGGTGCTTGTCCTGTCCGGACACTGCGCTGCCCGTTGACCGCCGCGCCGAGCCACCGAGTGCACGCGACTTGTGTGTGTGCGATGGCTGCCTTGAATGCTCAAAACGCTCGTCGCGCGCGAAACTGACTTGCATCGGACCCCATCTCTGCAGTGACCGTGAATGAGGTGTTCTTGCGCACGTTTTCTGGCGCTGACGCGAGCTTCGTGGAGCTCTTCAACGACGTATGTCGCGCCCCATGAGAACGCCGTTTCTGCGTCTTCAATGGCTCGTAGTCGCCCTGAAACTCACACGGAGCTTGATCGGGTTGCGTTTGTGCTTGCAGGGCGATGCAGCGGTCGACCTGACCGGGATGTTTCTCGGGAACGAGGATTTCCCAGACAGACAAGGATTCAGGTTTGGCGGGGCCGGATGCAACCATACAATCGAGCCCGAGGGCTTCCTGGTCAGTCCGGCCGCCTGCTGGCTCGGCGGTGTGCCCATTGGTACAGCGAGCCGCTGGGAGCGTCAGCAAGTGGGCACGTGGGAGCACTCTTGTTTGCATAGTCGCTCTTATTCGATTCGTGTTTTGTGGGCCCGCCGCAGGTCCTGTCACGTGGCGAACCATGCGCGCACTCCTTCGAGCTCAGCGTCGCGGGCCGCGTCGACTTGCTGGACGCCAAGAACAGGCACGCCCCGGTAATACTCATCAATCGCTTTTGTTCGTACACTGCTCAAGTGTATAAATACAACCGCGGCAGCCGCGAAACAAGCCCACCGTGCCGTCATTGCGACGGGACAGCCGCGCCCAGTCGACGCCCCGCAGGCCCACCAGCTCCCTGGCGTGGGCCGAAGCGTCCATCCCGGACGGCAGCAGCCTCTCGAGGTTCCCCGACGGCAACACCGACGGCGTCTCCGTCGGCCCGCCGACCCCCGGTCTGCCGAACTCCCGCGGCGCCAGCCCCACGCCCGGCATCCCCCGCGCCGCCGAGTCCATCGAGTCGATCACGGTGGCCATCAGCGAGGTGTCGCCGCGCCCTGACGACGGTGTGTCCGACTGGATCGAACTGTACAACTACGGCGACGCGGACGTGGACCTGCAGGTGCGGCGTCCGGCGCGCACGAGCGATCGAGGCGAGCGCGTGTTGCGGGCGTGACGCGCACAGATTACCGGGTGGTGCGCAGGGGCTGGTGCTGACGGACAGCAAGAACGCCCCCGAGTTCCTCCCCGAGCAGCTCGTGTTCGGGGCCGGCGAGTGCGCGGCGTGGTCGCGCGTCGTCCCCGCGCGCGGCTTCTTGCTCTTGGTGCAAGGCGCCCCCTGCTCCTTCATGTTCGGCCTTGGCAAGCACGACGAAGTCCACCTGCAGTGGGACGCGCAACGCGACGTGGACTCCATCGCGTACGGAAAGCAGTCAGGCGCGATCCCGCACGAACATAGTCACGTTGCTTTGCGGCACTGTGCCATGACGTAACGTAGATGTGCTGCGGGGACGTGAGCGCCGACGGCACCTGCCGCGGCTGCCTCGCAGATCTGCCGACGCTCGGGCGCGGGGACGGGACGTACGGGCGCAGGCCAGAGGAGATGCGGGGGCGCAACACACTAGGTCGTTTTGTCGTCATGAGTCAGCCGACTCCTGGCACGCCGAACAGGGCGTAGTGCCGAGAGCTGCCGGCGAACAGGGGCGGCATGTGCACCGGGAAGCTGCGCGCGAGGAGTGTGACTGTTGTCAGGCTGGCTGAGAGTCCCTATTGGGGGTGACACCCCCAACAACACACCCGGCGCCCGGACGGCGAGGAAGGGGACGGGTGAGGGCCCGCGGCGGTACATTTGCGGCGGCGCTGGTGTGTGTTTGAGACCGACGCCTGTCAGGAAGGTGCCGTGGACGTGGGCGCGGAGAGCAGCAGCTATTGTCCAGTGGGACTTGTGTCTCGCGCCGCGTCTTCAGAACAGTCGACTCGTTCACAGAGCACTCGTATAGGTCGATTGTACGTGTGTAGACGAAGGGAGTGCTCTGCCGTGCCATGGCGGCGCTCATGAGCGAGGGGGAGCGGGCGTGGGTGCTGGAGGGCGTCGCGACGGGCGTACGCGGAGACGGACGAAAGGCGGAGGATTTCCGACGCATAGCCATCGAGACAGGCGTCATCCCGCAGGCCAACGGCTCGGCCAAGGTGTCCCTGGGCGACACTCAGGCGAGCTGCAACTTCACCTCCTCTCTGCGCGCCTCCTCGCCCAGGGCGGGCTGTATTCCCGGTCCGTCGGAGCACGGAGCATGCACGGGGCACAGCGCTGCTCTCTGCATCGCCAACGCGCCTTTTTCCCTTCTGTGCGAGTGCGCAGGTGCTGGTGGGCGTGAAGGCGGAGCTCGCGACGCCCTCCCCGGACGCGCCCGACCGGGGCTTCCTGCGATTCTCCGTAGAATGCCCCGCCGTCGCCTCGCCGATGTACATCGGCAAGCGGGGACAGGAGGCCGCGAACGAGCTAGCGCAGTCCCTCGAGCGAGCTCTGGGTGCAGGTATGGCGCCCCTGCATCGCACGCGCGACTGGGCCGCCGCCGCCCTCCCCAGGATCGCTCGCCGGGCGCGCATACCGCCGCTCGGTCGCAGCGCAGCGCCGCCGCGGCGCGAGAGCAGCCAGTTTCCCTGTGTGGTACGTCGCCGCAGGCAAGTCCGGTCGCGGCGCTGCGATCGACCTGTCGACGCTGAAGATCGTGTCAGGCAAGGCGTGCTGGGCGGTGTGGGTGGACTGCATCGTGCTGAGCAACAGCGGCAGCACCATTGACGCGTGTAGCATCGGCGTGCGTGCGGCGCTGATGGGCACTCGGATGCCCAAGGTCAGCGTCGCGGACGAGAGCAGCAGCGAGCCCGAGATCGAGGTCGACGACGAGCCGGGGTCCGCGTGGCCGCTCGACACCGCGAACGTGCCCCTGGTGGTGTCAGGTGGGGTGCTTGATTCCCTCACCCCCCCCCTTTTGCGCGTCGTCGTCGTGCGCCAGCGTGGCCGGCGAGAGCTTGGACCGGCCCGAGGGACGATCCGCGGGCGCGCGCTGGGTACAAGTCGGGGACGTGCATGGAGACCCTGTTTCTCGACTTGTTTTTGGTTTTCAGGTTCTATCTCACTTGCACCGCTTGTGTGTGCCCTGCGTGCTTCTGCAGTGCACGCGCTGGGGCCGCGCGCCGTCGTGGACTGCACTGCGGTCGAGGAGGCGTGCGCATCGTGCGCGGTGGAGGTGTGCGTGGACGATGGGGGGCGCGTCGTGGGCGTGTCGCAGCGGGGGGGGTCCGTGCCGCTGCAGGTGCTGTCGGAGATGCGCGAGTGCGGGCGGGCGGCGGGCGCGCGGCTCGGGCGGGCCGTGGCGCGCTTCGTGGCCACGGGCAAAGAGGTGACGGCCTGAGGCGGCGGCAGCAACGAGGGTGGGGGGGGGGTTGCAGGGTACTTTTGCGCTCCGCGGAGCTCGACACGGGGTCGAGACGGCGGACGGGCGCCGCAGTCGCTTGCGTGGATTTTGGGGAGCCGAAAGCGTCGTGCCGTGCGTTGTGACGTTCGTCGGACGAGGCAGCGGAGCGCGTCGAAAGCAGCGTCCCGTCAACGGCCCCGAGGCCGCTCGAGACGAGTTTTAGGAAGCCATGCAGGCCCTGTTCGCGAGCCCATCTTCCCTGAAGGCGCCTCGGGCCGTCGATGCGCCGCGCAGGGCGACAGCGGCGCGCGCCACCGCTGGTCAGGACCCCCTGATGCTTCGGGTCGCCCGCGGTGAAGGTGCGCGTGATTTCACGCAACTCCCCTACGCACAGCGTCATGGGGACCGCCGTATCCTGCCAGTCGCGTGGTATGGTGGCGCCTGGTGTCGCTGAGAAGCGTCCTGGCCGTCGTTGATGCCGCGTGCTTGCTCTCTCGCCGCGGCACCGCCTTATCGAGGGCTTCGCTCGCGCTCTCGACTCCGCCGAAGCCTTCCACACGTGCGCGACAACACGTCCGATCCCAAAAATGCAGCCCTCACGCGCTCAGCTTGCCCCCTCGACCCGATACCTGGGCAGGATATGTCCGCTCACAGATAGCGCTGGGATATCCATCCCTGAGGGCCTCCCGCTCGCTCTCACGGGTCCCTCGCTGCCCCCTGTCTCCGTGATAGGACTCACACGGTCGCTAGAGACGGCCGCGCGGCTCCCAGCGCCCTGTTCCGCCGCGCACGGCCCCCCTCTCTGTTCCCGGCCGTTGCGTCCTCGCTCCCCGTGGATCGCCGCTCAGCGCGCGCGCGCTCCGAGCAGGCCCTCTTCTGTCGCATCGCCGTTCCAGAGAGCAACGCGAGCAGCGTGTCCGTCCTCCGTGCGCAGAGGCCGAGCGCACTCCAGTGTGGCTCATGCGCCAAGCGGGGCGATACATGGCCGCGTTCCGCGAGTACTCCGAGAAGTACCCCTTCCGCATGAGGGCCGAGACGCCCGACATCGCCATCGAGCTCTCCCTCCAGGTGCCGCCCCGCCCCCTCGCTCCCGCACCCCGCCGCCCACCGCTCCACCCCCCCCGCCGCACCGTCCGCGACGACCCGTCCCGCCCCGCCCCGCAGCCGTGGCGCGCGTTCGGCACGGACGGCGTGGTCTTCTTTTCGGACATCCTCACGCCGCTGCCGTCGCTAGGCATTGAGTTTGACATGGTCAAGGGGAAGGGCCCCGTCATCGAGAACCCCGTGCGGTCCATGGACGACGTGCGCGCGCTCAAGCCCTGCGACGACCCCGCGGGCAAGACGGGCTTCGTCGGCGAGACGCTCTCCGCGATCCGCGGCGAGATTGACGGCACGGGGACCACGCTGATTGGGTTCATCGGTACGCCGTGGACGCTCGCGGCGTACTCCGTCGAGGGCTCCGCGAACAAGGTGCGCTGGGGCCCGCGGAGGTGCTCGCGCGGTCGTCGCCGTGCCGCTTGCGGGCTCGGCTGCCGCGCAGCGTTGTCATGGGTGACGCGCTGTGTGTTTTGGCGCGCAGGAGTGCCGGAAGACGAAGATCATGATGAACAACAACCCGGAGATCCTGCACGCGCTGCTGTCGCACCTCGCGAACGAGCTGATCGAGTACGCGTGCTACCAGATCGAGTCGGGCGCGCAGATCATCCAGCTGTTCGACTCATGGGCGCACCACCTGTCCCCGGACCAGTACCGCGAGTACTCCATGCCGTACTCCGAGAAGGTCACGCAGGGCATCAGGTGCGAGCGCCAAGGGCGACGTCCCCGCCCGCTCGTGCGCGCTTCCCTCGTTCGCCAGCGCTGACGGCGCGGCGGCGTCTGTGCGCGATGCAGGGCGCGGCACCCGGAGGTCCCGATCATCCTGCACGCGAACGGCGGCACGGGGAAGCTGTCGATCATCGACGAGGCGTCGAGCGCGGACGTCCTGGGCCTCGACTGGGCGACGTCGATGGCGGAGGCGCGCGCCGCGATGCCGGCGCGGGCGCTGCAGGGCAACGTGGACCCGATGGTGCTCTTCGGCACCGAGGACGTCATCCGGCGGGAGGTTGCGCGGTGTCTCGAGGAGGCGGGGCCCAACACGGGCGTGGGCCGCCACATCCTCAACGTCGGACACGGCGTGCCGCAGGGGACGCCGGAGGAGAACGTGGGGCTCTTCGTGCAGCTCGCGAAGGAGAGCGGCTCCAAGGCGACCGCTGGGAGCGAGAGGAAGGCTGGTCTGGCCGCTGCCTGATTACTTGGTACTTGTGGCCACACAACACATAACATGATGTGTGTTGGGTGGTGTTTGTTTGGCTCTTGTGATGGATGCTCCGCGTTGACGGCGAGGAAGTGTTGCACCCGTTTGTGAGTTCGCGCGTGGCGGGAAGGGGGTTAGGGGGGCTGAGCTGTTTCGGGCGTGGAGGTGTGTCGGCTGAGTCAGACGGCGCCACGAGGGGCTGCAGGTGGCTCGCGGTCGTTGCTTGCCGCGCAGGGCGCACGAGGCTCATTCACGCCGTGCTCTGCGGTGGAGGATTTCGCGCGTGCGGCGCTTCCAACGGGCACATAGTGCTACGGGGAGAGATGGAGAGCCCGTCGCCCCCTCGGGACGAGATAAGTCGTTTCGCCATTGCGAGTCTCGAGGATCAGACGCGTATAGCCATCGAGAAGCAGGTGGGTGCAGTGGTGTGCCGCACGGCGGCCGCGCGGGCGTCGCCTGCGTCCAGAATTGCACCGTGAACGCCGCAGGGCTGCAGGACCCCCCCAAGTAGACGTATTGCGTGCCTTGTGGGCGTGTTCCCTCACTATTGATACAGGGACTCATGTTTCGTGCGGAAATCGCTGCCGCGGCACCTGCAGTGGCGCCTGGGCCGCACCCTGCCCAGCTTGCTGCAGTGCCGCCGTGCGCTCGACTCCCCGGCGTTTCATCGTCGCTTCGAAACCACACTGCAGGAAAAGATACTGGAGCAGCTCCAGGACTATGACAAGGCGTACGAGGACGTCGAATCTCTCCTCGAAAGGCTTCCAGAGAGGTAAGACACCCCGCAATGGAGTCCAGTCCCCGTGCTTGGGCGAAGCCTGCCGCAGGACGGCCGTGACTGCCACCGCCGTCACACGCGCCGTGCGCCCGTCGCGCGGGCGATCGAGAAATCACGACTTCGCGGTCTTTTACATCCCAAGTTCTCATCTGATTCTCCATCGGCGCCGGATGGCTGCGTCGCAGGACGCGGCACCCGATCATGGTGCCGTACGGGCCGTGCGCGTTCTTCCCCGGCGAGCTCGTCCACACCGGCGAGGTCGTCGCGCACCTCGGGGCCGGCTACTACGCCGAGCGCACTGCAGCGCAGGCCGGCGCCCTGGTCCGGCGCCGCAGGGACGTCGTCCGCGAGAAGGTGCGCCCGAGAGCATGAAACACCGCCGCGCGCCATCGGCTCCGCCCCACATCGAGCAGACCCCCCCCCGTGGATGGCGGTCGGTGTGAGCGTCCACGCCCCTTGCATTCCGCGCAGATTGCGGCGTGCGAAGACGGCATCGAGATGCTGCGGCAGCGCCTGAACACGAAGCACGTGTTCGAGGGCTCCGGGGAGGGGGAGGGGGGTTTTGAAATCCAGGAACCTGTCGACGACGGCGGAGACGGTCAGCTTGCGTCCCGGCCGGCGGACGGCTTCGAGACGGTGCAGCGGGCGCGCGGCGGGTACAGGTGGGCCGTCGAGCTTCGCTCGCACACCGACGCGCCTTGGCTGCGCGCTGCCCGCGCTGCTGGGTCTGATGCGATCCGTGGCTCGCCGCTCCTGCGTGCTCTGCAGTCGGGAGCAGGCGCAGGCGCTCGTCGAAGAGGGGCGGCGGAAAGCCGAGGCCCGTGCCAGGCAGGCGGGCGACGGCGCCACACCCAGCGGGCCAAGCGTCGACGAGCTGTTTCAGCGGCTCGAGGTCGGAGCCGCGGACGCCACGCCGGCGTCGACGTCCGGCGCGGCGCGAGCCGCGCCACCGAAGAGAGCCATCGCGATGCCGTGGGACGGGCCAGCGGCCCGCGACGGGAACAGCAACACCGCCGCACCGGAGCCTCAGGGCGCGACGATGTCGCGCGTGCTCGAACGCCTCGCTGCCGGGGAGCCCGCTGCACCGGACGGAGCGGCGCCGGCGGACCAGGCGCGCGGGGAGCAGCGCAGGTCCCCGCAGCACGGCATGCGGCGAGGGTTCCTCGGGAAAGCGACGCCCCGCGCGCAAGGCGACGGCGCACGTGCGCCGCCGTCTCCGTCGCAGGCGCCTGCCTCGCCGTCCGTCCCGCAGACGGCGGAGAGGGGCGGCGGCAGCGCCGCGCACGCGGCCGCACCGACGCACAGCGCTCCGTTCGTCCCATCCGCATTCACCGGTCCGTGCCCGAGCCCCTGCGCCGCTGGCTTGCCCCGCATGCGTGGATCCGTGCCCCGGAGCGGCACGTTGTGTGCGTTGGCGGCGCGCTTGCGACGAGTGCGTCTCGTGTTGCGTGTGTGGTCGTGTGCAGGCGCTGTGGTGGAGCGCGGCGAGAGTGCGTCGGCGCCCGGGGGCGACGTTGCCGCGACCAGCGGCGGCGTGCGCGAGAAGATGGCGCGCGCCGCGATGCCCGGCCCGGGCGAGGCGCCGCAGCCGTTCGTGCCAGCTGGCGGCGAGGAGGAGCATGCGAAGCCGACGCCAAGTTTGTTCAAACAGCGGCTCGCGGGGCGCGGGCGCGGGCGATGAGCGCCGCTGTGCACGCAGAGGCGCCGCGGGCGTCCGCGCGAGCGGGCGCGTGCTTGTGATGCCAGTTGCGGCGCTTTGGGCTGCGCGTGAAGAAGCGATGGTATGATCCCTTTTCGCATGACAGGCCACGCGCGGGGGACGGCGATGACGAGGAGAGCTGAGTAGCCGTCGGCGCGTCGCCACACAACGCGGACAATGCCGCAGACTCAGTCACCGCTGTCACCCAGCCGGCTGCCGACACCCCCTGGTACAAGCAGCCTAGGACGTGGACCAGCACTTCGGCGCGTCGGCTGGCGGGCGTCGTCCAGTACTCGCGCGGCTCGCCGCGTTGTTGCTGACGACGCCCGCCACTCACTCTAAATGATTGCAGGTCAGAGCCTTCCCTTGGCACATGATGGCACGCTCACATGGCATTTCGCGCGAGTACTCCTAGCACGCTGCCGCCTTGATCAGGACGATAGCACACCCGCATTTCGTTTCGTGCGCGGGTGGTCAATTACTACTCTGTGTGTCGTGTTGTGCTGCGCCGGGCCTCGAACAGGGGGCTTTGGCGCAGTGCCAGCTGAGAGCTACCTCCCTACTCCGGCCTTCAACCGTCGGCGTAGACGAGCCTGCCTCCGGCTAACTGACTCCGCCGTCTCACGTCCGTGGCTCACCGCCCGGCGTGCTAGGAACGCGCAACTTAGGTAGAGCTCTCCCCGTCATCGTCGCCCTCCCGTCGTGGCTTGATTACTGCATCCTCGGTCTAGTTCCGCACACCACCCTCTTTTCACCCCCAAAACCTCTCACCATGCGCACTCCAATCGGTCGCCGACGGAGGAAACGGCTCCAAGCAGCGTTGCGTCTCAGCGACCAGGCCGGCACCGCCGAGGCGCGCACGCTGCGTGGCCACCTTTCGAATGGCACCCTGTTCCACCATGTCGCAAATCTAAATGACCACGACCCGAACTTTCGACCCAGCATCACGCACGCACGCCGCATCGCGGCCGCTATTGCTCCGCAGGCATCTCCCCGTGCCTGGCCCCCTCCTAGCCCCCACCACACACCCTCCCACCCCGCCTCCGCACTAGCCCCTCGACCCTACTGGGACTACGTGCCCCGCGACGAACGGGCGCCCGCATACCCGCACCCGTGCCCCCCCCCGAGCGCTCCTTTCCCACCGCCCCCGCCGGCGCTCTCGGCCCTCGCCGCGCTACCATCGGTCACGGCAAACCCCCCGCTTGCGGCGCGCGGGGTTGTCTATGTCCTCTTGTGCCGGAAATACCCCTTCTTTTACTATGTCGGGGAGACATACCGCACAGCGATCGAACGACTGCAGGAGCACTTTGATGCAGCATTCACGCACCATCCGACCGCCGTGCACACCCCGCTTTACGAGTTTATGCGACGAGTGTGGGCGCAGTCGCCGAACGGCCATGTCCCGTGGCGCGACTTCACCATCGTGCCCCTCTTTCGCATCAATTTCGCACGCCAGGTGCCCATCCCGCCGGCGACTAGCCCGGACGCTTTGAAGGCCTGGTTCCACAAGTTCCGCACCTACTCCCTGGCCTGGGAGCAGACCATGATACGCTGTCTGGGCTCCACACACCCCGGCGGCCTCAATTACTGCAAGGGCATGTGGAATTTCGGCTACGGAGCTGGCCACTCTGATGCTGCCCCATGGCCTCTATCCCCCCTGGCGTTCCAAATCGCCGCTGACCCCCACCCCGTAGCGATCCCCCACAACGACTTCCCCGTCCCGCCCGGCCCGAGTGGGCTCCCAGCGCTGGCGACCCTCTTCCAGCCAACGTTTGCCATCTCCTCCACGCATCAACGTACCATCCACCTCGACGCTGACAACTGCCTCACAACTACGGCACCAGCGTTGTCCCTGCCCCCCGCTATCGCAGGCATGTCTCCGCGCCTCGGTACACGCGAGTATATCTACCAGACTCGCCTCCTTCTTGACGTTGTTTTGTTCCGCCGCGCCGGCGACACAGAGCACGATCATTGGAGACGCGCGGTGAACCATTGCACGGCAGCGAACATCGGAAAATACCTCTTCTCCCTCCATCACTGCGTGTCGCACATGCATCCCGATGCGCTTAACCTGGGTCTCGACGAGCCCTTTTACACACAGCAGATGTTGGACAGTGCCCGCACCGTTTTGCAGGCCGCCATCAACCACCACTACCCTCCCGTCGCAGACATCGACCTCGGGAGCCGTACCCTCATGATCCACGACTTCCCTACCCCCCTGGCTAGCCTCGCCCCCCTCGAAACCCTCGTCAATAATGATGACTTTCTCAACCTCTTACCTGAGCGTATCCGCGAAGGTATGGATGGCTTGTTTCTGGTGGCCCCGCGCTATTCGGTCAGGTTTCCACCGCTGTCGCGCTCGGTGTGCACGCACAGCGGAGTTGCCAAGTTTGCACGCAGTCGCCTGTACGACATCATGGCGACGCAGTGCGACTGTGCGCAACACCAAGGACCGGACCTACGACGCCACTTCACGCTCGAGGACCCCTACTGGCAGATCGACGGCGAGCCTGTGCGGCACCTCTGCACGCTGGACCCTGCTGCGGCGGGCATCCAGAGCACCGCGTACCGCCGTTTGTTCGCCGTCGGCGGTGCCAAGCACCGACACGTCCCGGAGCTGCACCAAGCCACGAGCGCGACCGTAGCTAGCATCGTTGAAGCCTACCAGAAGCCGCTGCTCGGGTGGACGAAACGCGTCAGCAAGGCCGCCGACATGGACGCGGCAGCGTGCATGCCGTACATTGATGCTATACTTGCTGCTACGCAAACGGCACTCCAACCCGCTCTTCAACCCGGGTTCCGCCTTCCATGGCCCCCGCCGCTGGCGGACATTCAGCCCGACGATCGCGTGGCTCTGCGGCGAGACGCGACACGCCTCACCATCACGACCATGGACAAGAACGCCGGGAATTTGGTTTTCGTGTGTCGGCGCGCCTACATCGAGGTCCTCCTGCACGACCTGCACAGCAACGACGCTTTCGCTGTCAACGAGCCGGCAAATGCCAACATCACGCATGCCAGGCACGTGGTGAACGTCGCTAACACGACGGAGGCTATGTTGGACAACCTGCAGCTACCAGGAATACGCACCGAACGCGAGTGCGGTGGTCTACCGCACTACTACGGGACGATGAAGCTTCACAAGGCCAAGGTGGACGTGCGGTACATCTCGGACTGCTCGAGCGACATCACGCGCCCCGCAGCGCAGCTGCTGACTAAGGCCCTCGGCGCGCTCATGTGCCACGCCACCCTCGTGGAGGTCTGGAGCTCCATCTTCGACGGCGTCCCGGAGGACCTCTGCAGCAGCTTCGCGCCCTTCTTGGTGGACTCCAGCCGCGGCATGCGTGACATGGTGACCGCGTATCTACATGACAACCCACCACGCTCAGCGATACATGCTCAACAACCACCTCTGCTGCTGGGCGCCGACATCAAGCGGCTCTACACGCACATCCGGCACGAGACGAGCGCGGACCACCGGACCGGCCTCATCGACTGCGTCATCGAACACATCGACGCTGTTTTTGCACTGCATCCAGGGCAACACCTCCTGATCGACTTGCAACCCGCGTTTGACGCGAGGGAGACGTGGTGGTGGGTGGCGCAGCTGCCGGACGCGGACGGCATGGTTGGGAAATGGGCACCGAGCATCGAGCAACTTCATGGTCTCGTGCACATCCTCGTCAAACGCGCCTACGTGGTGTTCGGGGGCGTCGTATATCACCAGACCTGCGGTGTGCCCATGGGGCTCTCGGCCTCCCCCCACCTCGCGAACTGCTACATGTTCCGGCATGAGCTCGCGTTCCTCTGCCAGTTTCGCGACCGCTGGTTGAGCACTGGCGACGTCGCTTGGCTGAAGGTCTTGGGGTCTTTCCGTTATTCCAGGCGCTACATCGACGACAATTTCTCTCTCGCGAACGCACTGTACCGCTACTTCAACACCCACCCCCGCCCCCCCACCCCGCCCCCCGAAACCCCGTCGTCGATCGTAGATCTCATCTCTGGTATACATAACATGTACCCCCCCTGTCTTGAGGTCGAATTTGACGCCCCAGCGAACCCGCTCGACGGTGTCTCCTTCCTAGACCTCCGCGTGCGTCCGCATCCCGAATATCAGGGCTTCCTCCTGATCTCGCACTATGACAAACGCGGTCTGTTTCCTGAGAACATTCACCTCATACAGTACCCCCACGCTTCGTGTGCGCTGCTGCGACGACACCTTTACAACATCGTCCGCACCGAACACATCCGCGTGTCCAGCGAGGTGACTGACCGCGACAGCTACGTAGCCAAGATGTCGGCCATGATGCGCTGCATGCGTGCGCATCGAGGTTACTGCATGCGACAGGTCCTGGCGATCCACCGCGCCGCCTGCCGGACGCACCCGAGCCCGCATTTTGGCCCTGCCACGCCGGCGGGCCTGGCTGACCTCGTGCGTCGCCACGTGCAGTTTGCAGACCATACTGGCCAACCTGCTGACAGGGCGTGCCCGGCGCCCTGCAACTCGTCACCCTCAAACATGATCCCGGCGCTGCGAAGCTGGCTCGGAACTATCCAGCCATGCCCGCACACATGACGCACTCTGTTACCCCCCCGATGTTGACATGTTGGCCATGCGCGTATTCCGTGGCCGCTAGACCGAGGTATGATCCCTTTTCGCATGACAGGCCACGCGCGGGGGACGGCGATGATGAGGAGAGCTGAGTAGCCGTCGGCGCGTCGCCACACAACGCGGACAATGCCGCAGACTCAGTCACCGCTGTCACCCAGCCGGCTGCCGACACCCCCTGGTACAAGCAGCCTAGGACGTGGACCAGCACTTCGGCGCGTCGGCTGGCGGGCGTCGTCCAGTACTCGCGCGGCTCGCCGCGTTGTTGCTGACGACGCCCGCCACTCACTCTAACTGATTGCAAGTCAGAGCCTTCCCTTGGCACATGATGGCACGCTCACATGGCATTTCGCGCGGTACTCTGGCACGCTGCCGCCTTGATCAGGACGATAACACACCGCATTTCGTTTCGTTACGCGGTGGTCAATTACTCTGCGTGGGGCGTGACACGACAGGGCTTGGTTGCGAGGCAGAACGTGGAGTCGCCCCGTGATCTGCGGTCACGAGACGGGCAGAGGCGACGCTGTGCGGTGCGCTGGTGCGCTGGTGGAAAAATGTGCCCTAAGGGTGCGGACAGCGTCGTTGAGCAGGAGAATTTTCGGAGGCGGTTCGGCGCATTGATGAGGCAGGAAAGTAAGGATCGACGTGTGGTGCAGAGCAATGCGAGGCAGGCCCACGGCTCGACGGCGCCCGGGAGAACGCAGTCGGCCCACGTTTGCCGTCCGCGTACGTGTCGCCTCGCCAGTTTCCGCCATCAGCGTCGCCGCAGTTGCAGACTTGTTATCTGATTCGCACGCACGCCGTCGTTGGGCACGATCCGACGCGTGATCGGGCAGCGCGCCAGGTCTGCCTGTCACAGGCTGTGGTGGGGTGTGGTTCCTCCGGTTTTGGCGGTCGTCCCGGGCCCCATTGCCGCCGCCAGGTGCCGCACCGAGCCACATTCGTCCTGAGCTCCCGTGGAAGACAACAGCAACGACGATGAACGCCTCCGTGAACATGATCGCCACCCGCCCCCTGGCCAGCAGGTGGTTGCCCCCCGGCAATGCGTATCCGACGGTCGATCTGGCATTGCAACGCGCCCGCCTCGCACTTCCCCATCTCGCCTCTACTACGGGGCGCGCAACGTCGCTCCCCGTCGCCCCGCAGCGCGGTGACCTGTGTAACTGCTCCTCACTGCCGCCTCGCAGGCCGGTCGTGAAGACCTCGCGGACGCCCGTTGCCGCTCGCCCCGCTCAGGCGCCCAGGGCGCTCCCGCCGCTCATGGACATCACGCAGGTCCGCCCCCGGCCGTCGACGCGACGTTGTACGCGCCCCACTCGAGAACTTGGCGGTTGATGTTGCTCGGCCAATGAGCGGCGCGCACGCCCGCCAGGCCGCGCGACGCCGCCCATTCCGCGCCCACCCGCCCACACACGATCTGTCTCGCCGCCACGCTACTTCGTCGGGGTCCGCGCCCCCGACCGTCCGGCCCGCGACCGCGCGCCCCTGGCCCCGCAGATGGGCGACACGACGTCGTCGTCGTACGGCAGCTTCGTGGAGCTCTCCCGCTGGGCCAACCCCGAGGCTCTCAAGGAGTTCGGCGGCGGGGAGCCGTGGGTCGTGGCCCTGGTGTGCACGACGGCAGCCGCGCTCTTCATCGTCCCGATGATCTACTTCTTCGTCGGGGTCCGCGCCCGCCCCCCCCACCGATCCGATCCGATCGTCCGTCCGGCGCGCTGTCGGAGCGTCGCTCGGCGCGCGCGTGCTCGTTCCGCGCCCGCGTCGCGCGGCGGCGCCCCATCTCACCCGCAGCTGCACTGCATTGCCGTGCGATGTCGTGCAGGAGCTGTTCACCGACGCGGTGTACGAGGAGCGCGTGGGCGGCGCCAACCGCCTGCCGAAGGAGGTCAGGGACAAGCGCGCCAGGGAGGCCGCGAAGGCGGCCAAGCAGGCCTGATGCCAGCAGCGATGTGGACGCCACGTTGCTGCTGGTGCAGCGCCCGCCGGCGGATCGTCGAGACTTGACCTGATCGGCCCGGGAGCGGGTGCCGGACGGATGGAGCCGCGCGGGCGGCCCGGTGCGTCCTGCGTGCCGCGCTGACGCGTGTGAGTGCTTCCGGAAGGCTCGCTGTGCTGCCTCAGCAGCGTCGGTCGGTCTCGCAACGAGGACGACGCTCCGGCAGCCCTGCATGCGCCGTCTCGCGCTGCGCTGTCGCACCGTGCCGTTGACGAGTGCCAACAAAACAGCGCCAGTGAGGGGGGGGAGATGTTCAGTGCGGACCCCCCCTCCAGCGGCACCTGATGGGGCCGCGGGCGGCCGCGCCGCGGCCAAACTTGCGCCCGCGTGCGACGTTGCGTGCGCCGCGAGACGTGAGAGCAAGGGTTCGCGCGCTTGACGGGCCCTGCAGAGCACCTGCTTGCACCCACGCGGTCCCTGCCGCCGTCGCGGCCAACGGCGTCGCGTTCGGCTGCTAGGCAGTCATGTTCATCTTCACGGGCGCGTTCGGCTGGCTATGGAGCCTCCTGGCCAGCTGCGCGGGCTACGCCGCGTGCACCGTGTGCACGCGGGCGTCCGTGCAGCTGACGCGGACGAGCGCGCGCCTGACGTACTGCGTCCTCTTCACGCTGTCCATGATCAGCGCCTGGGTCCTCCGGGACTACTCTAAGCCCATCATGAAGCACCTGCCATGTAAGCCGCCCGCACCCACCGCGGGCTCACTCAACTCGCCGCAGGCCCCCCCGCGCGCCCGCCCGCCGCCGTCAGCCGAATTTCCCGGCTCCCACGTGCCAAGACGCTCCCGCGCTGCGCTTCGCGACGCGGGACGTGCTCCCGGCTGCACGAACGGCCGCCCTTCCCCCGACCAGGTGCCACGCTCGTTTGCCCCGCGCAGGGATCATCGACGGCCACGAGCACGCCGCGAAGGAGTGGTTCGGCGTCCAGGCCGTCTACCGCATCTCGTTCGGCACGTGGCTGTTCTTCGCCATCCTGTCCGCGGCCTTGGTGGGCGTGCGGTCGCGCACGGATCGCCGCGACCAGCTGCTCCACCACGGGAACTGGGCGCTCAAGGCCGTCGCGTGGGCCCTCTTCAACGTCCTCCCCTTCTTCCTGCCCAACGGCCTGCTCGGGGCCTACTCCTGGCTCGCCCGGGTGGGCTCCGGGGTGTTCCTCCTCGTGCAGCTCGTCATCCTGCTCGACTTCACCTGCGCGTGGAACACCAGCTGGGCCACCAAGGTACACGCCCGCGACCGCACGCAGCGCCGTCCGCTCCTCCCGCGACGCTCGCTCGCAGGGCCCGCGGCTCTCTTGGGCCGCACTCCTCGCGCCAGCACCGCCCGCCCGGCCGCGTTCCGCGCGTCTCCGCAGCACCACGCTCTCACTCGCACCAGAGCTCCCACCCCACCGCGCAGGGCGACCAGAAGTACCTCTACGGCCTCCTGGGCGTCACGGTGGCCTGCTACGCGGGGTGCCTGGCCATCGCCGGCGTGCTCTTCGCGTGGTTCAACCCCTCCGGCGTCGACGGCGGCTGCGGGCTCAACATCGCCCTCATCACCGTCTGCCTCTTCCTCTGCGCCTTCGTCTCCGCGGTCTCCCTGCACCCCGCCGTGCGCGACGGGTCCCTCTTCCCCTCCGCCGTCGTCTCCCTCTTCATCATGTACATGTGCTACTCCGCGCTCGCCTCGGAGCCCCGCGACTACGCCTGCAACGGCCTCGGGAAGGAAATGAGCGCGGCCAAGGGGTCGACTGTGGCCGGCGGCGTCCTGCTCACCCTGCTCGCCGTCGTGTACTCGGCGCTGCGCGCGGGCTCCAACACCGCCGCGTTCTTCCCGGGCCTGGACGACGACGACGTTGTCGCCGCGGAGCCGTCGGCCACGGAGCTCCCAGCGGGCGCGCGCCCGCTGCTCGACTCCCCCCCCGAGGAGCGGGCGCTGACGTCAGCGGGGCTGGACGGCGAGGACGACCCGGAGGAGGGCGTGCGGGCGGCGCCGGCGCGCGGGGGCCGCCGCGCGAGCACGGGGTCGGGGGGTGTCAAGGAGGACTCCGGGGGTGTGGCATACAACTACGCGTTCTTCCACGCGATCTTCGCGCTGGCGTCGATGTACATCGCGATGCTGATGACGGGGTGGGGGTCCGCGGACGAGGAGAGCGGGCTCGTGGACGTCGGATGGGCGAGCGTGTGGGTGAAGGGCGCGACGGTGCTGGCGACGGCGGGGCTGTACACGTGGTCGCTGGTCGCGCCGTCGTTGTTCCCGGACCGCGACTTCGGCCTCGCGCAGACCTGACGTGCGTCCGCGAGGACGCCGGTCGTCACCGGGTGGACGGCGAGCAGCGCAGCGGTTGATGTGAACGCTATATGGTCTGGCGTCACGGCCCGGCTGGGCGGGCATTTCGTGTTTTGCGCGGGTGGTCGATTGCTTCTCTTGCGGGGCACAGGTGAAGGCGGAGCTGCACCTGCGTCGACGGGCGAGGCATGCCGCGCGAACATACACCACGTGACTCGCTTGCCGCTGCCACGCAGCGCGAGCCTCTGACGTAGCTCGCATCACACTGGGCCCTCTGCGAAGGCCGCGCACGGCGCGTTCGCGCGCGCAGGGCCGTGCTGGCCCGTCACTTGTCGCTGGGGCCGATCATCAGCTCGGGGCGCACGAATTTGTCAAAGTCTTCGCCGGAGATCTTTCCGAGCGCGAGCGCGGCCTCCTTGAGCGTCGTGCCCTCCTTGTGCGCCTTCTTCGCCGCGGCCGCCGCGTTGTCGTACCCGATGTGGGGGTTGAGCGCCGTCACGAGCATCAGCGACTCGTTCAGCAGCTGCGCGATGCGCTTCTCGTTCGCCTTGATCCCAACGACGCAGTTGTCCACGAACGAGTGAGACCCGTCCGCCAGCAGCCTGCGTTGCACGACGCCAACAGGTATTGCATTCACGGCCGGACATGGCCCGTCTCGCACACGGAACGGGCCAGCAGTCGTCGTCCAGTGCGCTTGATGCGCCGACATCGTGCTCAGGGGTACGTCGAGGTCTTACCGGCAGGATTGGAGGAGGTTGGCGACCATCATGGGTTTGAACACGTTGAGCTCGAAGTGGCCGTTGGAGCCGCCGACGGTGACCGCGACGTTGTTGCCCATGACCTGCGCGCATAGCATCGTCATCGCCTCGCACTGCGTCGGGTTGACCTTGCCCGGCATGATGCTGCTCCCGGGCTCGTTCTCCGGCAGCGACAGCTCCCCGAGGCCGCACCGCGGGCCGCTCCCGAGGAACCGGATGTCGTTCGCGATCTTCATCAGCGACGTCGCGACCACGTTGAGCGCCCCGTGCGCCTCCACGATCGCGTCGTGCGCCGCCAGCGCCTCGAACTTGTCCGGCGCAGTCACGAACGGCAGCCCCGTGTCGCTCGCCAGCTGCGCGGCCACCGCCTCCGCGAAGCCCTTCTTCGTGTTGAGCCCCGTGCCGACCGCCGTGCCGCCCTGCGCGAGCATGTACAGCCGCGGCATCGCCGCGCGCACCCGCGCCATCCCGTACTCCACCTGCGTGGCGTACCCGCCGAACTCCTGGCCCAGCGTCAGCGGCGTCGCGTCCTGCGTATGCGTGCGCCCGATCTTGATGATCTTCGCGAACTCCTTGCTCTTCGCGTCCAGCGCGCCGTGCAGCTTCTCCAGCGCGGGCAGCAGAGAGTGCGTCAGCTCCGTCACCGCTGCAACGCACGGGGCGGTCGCCGCGCGATCATCACGCTGGAAACACGCACGGCCTGCGGGCGCCGAGCGAGCGCTGTCGCGGGTTCAGCGCCTCTGGCGCAGTTGTTGGTCGCGAGGGCGGCGCACCCGCGATGTGCATGACCGTGGGGAACGTGTCGTTCGAGGACTGGCTGCGGTTGCAGTGGTCGTTCGGGTGCACGCTCTTGTCGCCCACGGTGCCGCCCAGGATCTGAATCGCGCGGTTGGCGATCACTTCGTTGCTGTTCATGTTCGACTGCGTCCCGGAGCCCGTCTGCCAGATCACCAGCGGGAAGTGGTCGTCCAGCTTCCCGTCCGCGACCTCCCCGGCGGCCTGCGCGGGAGCGGCGGGCGAGAACGCGGCGCTTGGCGCGGCGCTGCGTGCAACCGCCGCCACCGACCCCAGGGCCTCCGCGGAGCCCCGCGCGCGGAGCGCCACGCAAAACGGCACCGCAACCGGACGGTCACGTGCCTAGCCGACTTGTGCGAGGCTTTGAGGGCACTTTGAAGGCCGCGGCGGGACGGGACGGACACCTGCACGATGGCCTCGCCGATCTTGGGGTCCAGGCCGTGCTTCATGTTGACGCGCGCGACCGCCCGCTTGAGGACGCCGAACGCACGGACCACGGGCAGCGGCATGCGCTGCGTGGGGCCGCCGATCTTGAAGTTCTGCGTGGAGCGTTGCGTCTGCGCGCCCCACAACTTGTCCGCCGGGACCTCGATGGGGCCGAACGTGTCGTGCTCGGTGCGCGTGCCCGCGAACCTCGCGAACAGCTGCGCGCCGGGCACGGCGGCCGCGGGAGACAACCCTGCAACAGCACAGGAGCGGTGCGAAAGCGGTTGCACCCTGGCGTCTCAGAGGTGCCGCGCGGACGCAGCGGGTCCAGTTTCGGCGCCCGAACAACGTCCTGCGTCTCGTAAACATGCCGTGCGAGGCACCGTCGTGCCGCTGGGACCGCGTGCGCTCACCGGCGACGCCATGTCCCACGCCCAGTGCCGCAAGGCGGCCCACGGACAGCGCAGCCCTGCGAATCATCTCTCCCGCGACGCCAGCTGGACCGTCTACGCCGCACCGCCGCGCCGCGCCGCATCGACGGCCACCAGCACTGCGATATAGGACCCGCGGGGGGTCCTTGCTGACCAGGACAGGGGGTTCCCACACCTATTGTCATGTCTGACGCGCCTCCGTGGGACGCTGGCGACGTTGCTGCGCGCGCCCGAGGTGCGCCACGTCGTCCGGTGCCTCGCGCGATCGTCGCGGGTCCGTTTCGGAGAGCTTCAACGCTGGCGGGAGGGGTGAAATTTTGCCCGAGTGTCCGTGACGAGCGGGGGCGGCGTGATGGGCGAAGCCTCCGGCGGGAAACGTGCAGCTGAAGCAGGTCGTGGCGGCAGGGGGGCATCGGGCAACCGTAAAAAGGCGCGGCATGATGGTGGGCGCGGGGGCAGAGGTGGTGGGAGAAAGGGCGGTGCCGACGCGCAGTCCCGGGGCGCAGAGATCCCGAAAGGATCGAAGGGCATTCTGCTCACCACTGTCAGCGGCCAGGTACGTCGCATTCGTCGCCCTCGCGCGCCCAGGCCTTCTTAGGCGACGGTTGGCCCACGCGGGTCCTCGCCCGTCGGCTCCGCGTCCAAGGGGCAGCAGCGGGCCGCAGCGACGCCCCCCGCGCCCCCACGTCACGCAGGAGCAACGCGCGGCGCGCGAGGCCCTGGCGCTGCTCACCGAGCACTACGAGCTGCTGCTGGAGCAGCGAGGCCTGGAAGCGCCGGGTGCGGGCGGGGGCGCGTCGGCGGAAGGCACCGACATCGCGAAAGCGCTCGCCGCCGAAGTAGAAGCGCTGCAGGACCGCTCCGGGTGAGCGCAGCGCCGCCAGTTCCGTCCCCGCCAGCAGCGCTCTGCCCACCTGCGGACTCCACTGCGACGCCCGTGCACGTGCCGCGGTCCCGCTTGCAGGCGGCCGTTCTGGTGGACGTCCACCGGCGTCCGCGGCGTCGTCTTCGTGCGCTACTCCGGCCACGAGGAGATCACGCCGCACGACGTCCTGGTGTCGGTGTTCGAGGGCCGCGCCCCGCCGCCGCCGCGAACGCACCGTTCGACGGCCCCGCGGCGCTCGCGCTCACGGCCGCCGCGTCCGCGCGTCCGCAGGAGGCCATCCGCAAGCGCACGTGTCGCACGCGCAACTGCCTGCGGCTGATCCCCGTGGACGCCACGTGCTACGCGTCGCTCGCGGACATCGGCGGCGCGTCCAAGCCGCTCCTGGCGCGGGCGGGGCTCGGCCCGAGCGACACGCGCACCACGTTCAGCGTCCAGTATGAGCACAGGTGCGTGGGGCGCCGCACGTCGCACGTGAGCGGCAGCGGCGCCGCCCGGGCCGACGCGCGCCGGGCGCGCGGGGCGAGACGTGCGCTGCGATGGTGCCGTGCAGGGCGAGCGGTCCGGATCTGGGGCGGCTGGAGGTGATCGATGCGGTGGTGCAGCACGTGGCGAGCCCGCCGCACAAGGTGGACATCAAGGGCGCGGAGGTGTTTGTGTCCGTCCAGATCACACGCAGCCTGGCCATGCTGGGCCTCGCGCCGCGCTGGAGGGACTTCCGGAAGTACAACTTGCGCGCAGCAGCGGAGGAGGCCGCCGGCGACGGCGGGGGCGCCGCCGCGGGGGCGCGCGGGGGCGGCGGCGAGCGGGGCGGCGAGGGCGGCGCGGGGGAGGCCTCCGCGGAGAAGCTGTGACGGTTTCAAGGTTTCCCGAGCCGTCAACACGTGCGGGTGCACGCGCGCGGTGTGGGGGGACGGGCGCGCGGCGAGAACGCGAGCGAGAACATCCTCTGTGCGATTTCAACGCGGCGCGCGCGCTCGTGGGCGGCGCGGGCCGCGGCGCGCGCGCAGGAGCCCGCACCTTTGACAAAGGCTGCCACGGACCAACCGCGCGTTGCTCGCGGCGGGCGTAGGCGCAAAACACGCGTACTCTGCGCGCCGGCGCAGAGTAATGATGCGAGAAACCACAAAGATCGAAGCGGGCGGCGTTCGCGATCTGAGAGGGCTGCGGCGCGCGAGTCACTGGGAAGCAGTTGAGGAGCAGGTCTTGCGAGGAATGTCCCGCCGTGAGCGCGGGGAGAGGCCGCGGGAGGCGAGCCCGGGCACGGAGCGACAGCGTGGTTTCTTGGGATCTCGGAGAGCCGCACGGCGCCGCCGTCACGGCGCGCCTATGTGCCGTTGCGAGCCCGACTCAGTGCCAGTTTGGCTCCAGGACTGTCTGTGGGCGGGCACGGGCGGCTCCAGGGGCCGCGGCGCGGCGGCCAGCGCCAGTACGTGGCGCACTCGCAACCCGTGTGCAGCACACGGGCGAGCAGTTGCAGAAGCGACACTCCAAGCACAGGCAGGGCTGTTGCTGCCAGAAGGAGGTGCGAAGCGGTGCCGCGTGAGAGCGCGTCGCGGCACGGTCGCGCTGTTTCGGATTTTTTGATCACGAGCATGCATCGTGTCCGCGTAGGATCGGAACGAAGCCGCTCCGTGCGCGCACGGCAGAGTGCATTCGCGAGTTTCCTGGCCGGCCTGGCTGCGACCCACCTGCGCCGCCTGCGCCAGGGCTTTCGGCGGTGTCGAACAGTTAGTTCGTGCGTGGCTGGTCTGCCTCGCCATCCCATCCGCTGGCGCTCCCGACGCGGCGATTAGGGCCTGCGCGGAGCCCAGAAGCTCAACCTCCTCGGCGCCGCGAGTGCGCGCCAGCATCGTTTCCGCCGGCATGCTGCGTACGGAAAAAGGTCACCCATATCATTCGGAGCTCTCTGGCGCTCCATGTTGCCCAGGGCTGCCGCGGAGCGCCCCCCACAGCCGCAGCGCGCCCGAGCCCCACCCCGCGCCCCCGCGGACGAATTTGCGCACGCCGTCGCCGCGATCGCCCAAACATTTCACGGGCAGGCGCTGCCCCCGCGAGCAACCGCCGCGGCGCACCAACGGCAACGGTTGATCGGTTCGAGCTGTGTGCAAGGGGCACAGCCTCGTCGCGCGCTCCCCCGGCGCGCTCGCCGCCCCCACGCGCCACCGGCGCCCCTGCCCATCGCACACCTTCGCCGCGCACCGTCCCTCTCGCCCACGCCGCGGCGCATGCCGCGCGCACCACCATGGCGGTTTGCCCTGCACCCAGCTCGCTCCTCCCGTGCCCCGCCCCCCGCAGCCCGCCCCGGCCGGTCTCCACGATGGCGCAGCCCACCCTCGAGCGCCTGCACTCAGGCAGCTCGGAGGCGGCGCCCGAGGTGAGCCCTCCCCGCCCTGCGGCGCCCACCCAAGGTCACCTCGCGCGGCCCCCCACCGCACGTCCCGCTGCACGTCACCCGGCGTACCCGCCGCGAAGTACCGCCACGCGCGCCACGCTCACGCCGACCCCCGCCACGCACGCCGCCCGGGGCGCGCCGGGCCGCGCCCGCGGCGCCGCGGCGCGCCTTGATCCCCCTGTAGGGCTCCTGGATACCCTCTCAAGGGCGCCCTCGCCCGCCTCCGTGCCCGCAGGGCGTGCGCACGACGCGCTCGCCGCTGGCTTTCTTCCAGAAGAAGCACCTGTGGAAGTGGGCGGCGGCGTTCGGCGCGCTCGCCACGGCGCTGATCCTCATCATTACCATCCCCTGGGCAATGCAGAAGTGAGTCGCACCTCCCGCACCCGCGCCTCGCCCCGCCGGCCCCGCAGGCCGCCGCCCGCGCGCCCGCGCCCCCCGAACCCCACACCGCGCGCCCGCGCCCGCCTCGCAGGGACGACCCCGCGCCGGGCTCCGGCGGCGGGCAGGCGCCCTCGCTGCCCAGCAACCCGGTCCCGAGCGGCACGTTCCCGACGCTGACGGGCAGCCAGGCGGCGCTGGACACGCTGATCTCGGCCTCGTTCGCGTCGAACCGCCGCGCGCTGCTCCAGGTGACGGCGGCGCAGGTGGAGACGGCGTTCCTGACTCTGGTCCAGAGCAAGTACGCCGCGCAGGGCGTGTCGCCGCTGTCGGTCCTGGTCCGGGCGACGCCGTCGGGCGCCGCGGGGAGCTTCTCGTCTTCATCCGCACCATCTTCGCGGACGCGAACGCGGCGAACGCGGCGAGTAGCGGCGCCCTGGCAGCGCTCCAGAGCATCTCGGTGAGTGGCGCGCCCGCGCTGGCCGCGTCGCCGCACGCGCGCGCCTGCCTAGCTCGCCGCGCCGACGAGACCGCGACGCGCCCCCCGTGCCCCCTCTCCGCAGCCGGCCGACACGATCCCGGGTCTGAGGATCACGTCCATCACGGCACCCACCGGGTTCGCCCGGGTCACGGCGCCGCCGCCGACGAACCCACCGGTGATCCCGCAGACCGCTGGGCCCACGTCCGGCCCGCAGGCCACGTCCGGCCCGCAGGCCACGGCGGGGCCGGCAACCTCGGCGCCGGCGACGACGGTCGGCAGCACGACGCCCGCGGCCACCACGGTCTTCGTGAAGCCCCCTGACACCTTCACGTGCGTGCCCTCCCACGTTGCTTCGTGCTGCCGCCTCCTCCGCAACGCGCCCTGCATGGCGGCTCGCACAAACCACCTCACCTGTGCGCTCGAACGTGCGTGTCCTTGCGTGCAGGGCCATCAAGCGTCCGAACGGCGTCCTGGGGCCGTGCAACGCCTCGTGCATCGAGCTCGACGGCAGCACGAACGCCCGCCAGACCATCCCGGTGGACTGCATCCAGCTGACGTGGAACATCTCGCGCGGCCAGTACGAGCAGGCGGCCAACGTGTCGACCGCAGTGTGCGCGGCGAACAACGTCACCGTCCCGGAGCTCACGCAGGCGTGCGCCGTGCCCCCGCCGGCGTGCGTCAGCTACACCACCATCAAGACCCTCAACCCGTCGTTCGAGTGCCTGTCGCAGTGCGACCAGAACGAGAAGTACTACAACGAGACCCTGCAGTGCCAGAACGACGTGACCAAGGGCCTCGTCTCCCTGGACCTCTGCGGCGCCACGTACGAGAACCAGAACATCACCTTCATCTCGTGCTTCAACACCTCGATCGACTGCACCGTGCCCCGGTTCGAGTACCAGGGCTACGGCGCGTGCAGCGCGCCGTGCAGGGCGCCCGGCGCGGCGGTCCCGACCCAGACGCGCACGCCGGTGTGCCTGAACTCGAACGACACGATCATCGACAACTCCCTCTGCGCGGGCCAGCCGCTGACGATCTCCCGGCCGTGCAACCCGCAGTCCTGCCTGTCGTACTCGTTCGTCGAGGGCGCGTACGGCAGCTGCTCGCTGAACGGCCAGGCGGTGACGTGCGTCAACACCTTCGACCCCCCCGCGCCGACGCGGACCCGCACGATCACGTGCAATGAGACGGACGCCCGCACGGGCATCGTGAGGACCGTGGACAACGGGAACTGCACGGCGGCAGGCCTGACGGTGCCGGTGTCCTCGGAGCAGTGCTCCCTCGAGCTGTGCCCGGGCGTGAGCGTGTGCGACGCCGTCAACTGCCAGAACGGCGCCATCTGCTTCGAGGTGGCGACCGAGGCGGGCTACCAGTGCGGCCTCGCGGGCACGTCGCCGCCGGCGTGCCCCACGGGCTTCCGCGGCCTGCTGTGCGAGATCGACGCGAGCTGCGCCGCGCCGGGCATCATCTTCAACGACCCGGCGAACAACAACCAGCCCGCGTGCTGCCAGTCCGGCACGCTGCGGCCGAACAACACGTGCTGCCCCGTGCTCGCGAGCGGCAACCGCCCGGTCGTCGACAGGGACGGGGCGTGCTGCGACACGGCCGACTACAACCCCATCTGCAACTCGTGCACGGAGAAGGGGACCTTCGTGGACGTGGACGGCAAGTGCTGCGACGGGTTCAAGGACAGCGCCGGCCGCTGCTGCACGGGCGCGCTCGACGAGTGCGGCTTCTGCGACGGCCGCAACGTGAACTGCCAGTACAACGTCACGGTCGACTTCGGGCCCTCGACGAACCCGTGCTCGGCCACCCAGCTGGAGTCGTACAACACGTGGGTCGGCGTGACGCTGCGCATCCGGTCGAACCGCACCGCCGTGGGCACCAACCGCGACAACTCGAAGCAGTGCGCCACCAACGCCCAGGGCGGCGCCCAGGTGTCGTTCCTCATCGGCGCCGTGGAGTTCTCCGACGACGAGGCCCTCTCGCAGGCCGTGATCACCGCGCGCATCTCCGTCGCGAACAAGACGGTCCTGACCTTCGAGCCCAGCGCTGGGCGGAGGCTCGAGGAGACGAGCATCAGCGACGAGGACGCCGCGCGCGCGATGCGCATGCTCAACGACATGGAGTCGCGCGGGCTCGACGTCCGCGAGCAGGCGCGCGCGCTGCAGCAGGTCTCGGCGGCGGTGTCGACCTTCTGCTTCAACTTCATCTCGTTCTACCGCAGCTTCTCGTTCCGCGGTTGCTTCACGTTCGCGCGCATCAGGATCCCGCTGGGCACCATCACGAACCGGCGGTCGGCCGTCTCGACGGGCAGCACGGTGAAGTCGGGCACGGACTGCCAGTCGAGCAGCAATTGCAACCTGAAGCTTGTCATCAATTCGCAGGGGCTGTACGACGGGCTCGGAGACTGCATCCCCAGCGACCCGCTCGTGAACAAGTGCGTCAACGACAGAATCTTCTCGTTCTCGTGCCCCGTCGGGTCGCTGATCCCGACGACCTGCTCTGGCCGCGGGCGTTGCCGCCTGGTGAGTCGGACCTCGAGCTTGCCTAACGCGGCGCCCTTCCTGCCGACGTGCCGGTGCTTTGGCCTCGCCGCCGGGTTCGACTGCGGCGACTGCAAGAACGGCTTCCGGAAGGTGACCTTCGTGTACTCGTTCTTCACGTTCAACTTCCGCACGCGGCAGTTCGCGTTCGTCAGCTACCGCGGGATCTACTGCTACAAGTTCACGCCCATCAGGCGCACCACGGCGCCGCCGGCTACCACGGCTGCGCCGGCCACTACGGCTCTCCCGGCCGCCACGGCTGCGCCGGCCACCACGGCTCCTCCGCAGTCGACGGCTCCTCCGCAGACGACGGCTCCTCCGCAGTCGACGGCTGCTCCGCAGACGACGGCTGCTCCGCAGACGACGGCTGCTCCGCAGACGACGGCTCCTCCGCAGTCGACGGCTGCTCCGCAGACGACGGCTCCTCCGCAGTCGACGGCTCCTCCGCAGACGACGGCTGCTCCGCAGACGACGGTCCCGCCGGTCACCACGGTGCCCGCCGCGACCAACGGCACGAACACGACCGCGCCGCCCCAGAACACGACGTCGTCGCGTCGCATGGCCGCGCAGATCAAGGCGCACTCGCAGCCGATCTTCGTCCGGAGCTCCAAGGCCCGGGAGGACAGGCCGGCCGTCGAGCTGCCCATGCACCTGGAGCCCGTGAGGCGCTCCCTCGGCGACAAGGTCAAGATCAACGAGGACGGCGTCGAGGAGGTCAGCACTGTTGTTGCCTTCACCGACTCCCCCGGCAAGGGCGGCGCCTTCACGTGCACGGACGCGTGCGCGGCGCAGGGCCGCCAGTGCGAGGAGATCGCGACGCGGCACCTCGCGCAGGACGTCGAGGCGTGCGGCACTATGGTCCGCCACGCCGTCAACATCGAGGCGCAGCACCTCGGGTTCGACGTGTCGGGCTTCGAGGGCGGCTGCTCCTACATGCCCGACTCGGGCGATGCGTACCTGCTCGCCACCAAGGGCGGCTCGGAGGCCGGCGCCTGCGACGCGACCGCCGTCCCGACGCACAATGTGCGCCGTGTGTGCGTGTGTGCGTAAGACTCGCTCCCGCGGGCAGCCCGTGCAAAAGGGGGACTGCGCACGACGAGGAGCTCATCACGCTTCGTGCTCGCGATGCTGTCTGCGCGCGCGCAGGCCCCGCTGCATCGCGCGGGCGGTTGGCGTTGACGACCCGCCTGGGCCAGCTCCAGGCCCGAACCTCGGTGCGGTGACGACTGTTGTCGCGTCGCCCGCACGAGGCAGGCGCTGGCGAGCTCGGCGGCCCGGGTTGGGGGGGAACGGGGTCCCGGCGACGGTTTGTTTTGCTGGGAGGCCTCGGAATGGTGATGCTGACATCCCTGAGATATGTTGCGATGCGCACTGTTGGAAACGCGCTTGTGATACAGATTGCGAAGTACGTGCCCGACTCGTGCGTAAGCGTGCTGGCACGTGATGCCACGCCCGCGTCGCACTGACTGCTCTCCCGCGTCTCGCATGAGCTACCTACCTACATGGCGCCATCCTCCCCAGGACGCCGGCATTTCGTCTCCCTCGCGCCTCCCGTGCGTCATCGACACCCCTCTGCGTCCAGAACGCCTCCCCGCACGCACGCACACAGGCAGGTGCGCCCCTCCCGTGGTCGGCGAAACCAACCCGCGTCCGCGGTTCGCGGCCGCATGCGCCAAGCGGGGTAGTGCGCTAGTAGCGGGAGCGGCCAGCAACGGGAGCGATCCCAAACCCCGGGACCCAGCCTGACTCGGGGACGTCGCTGACTGTTTGTAAAATTTACTTTACACGGGGCAGTTGGACATAATCCTCAGGAGCGCTTCTCGGCCTCCCCCCAACTCGGGCGCCAAATTTGGCGCCTCGTCCCCGCCGCAACCCACGTCGGGGCAGCGCTACTCGTGCTCGGGAGCCTCGCGGCAGGCGGGGACGTGGGGGAGTATTAGCTACGCCATCACGCGGGTCGCAGCCCTGCGCGAGCGCTCCTGATGCGTTTCTCGCTCTTGGTGCATCCGGCCACGTAAACGGCGCGGAGAACAACGTAGAGTACCCAGTGCGCGTTCCAGCTTGAGAGCAACACCTGGCACGCGATCCGCGCGGCCCCGGTGTGAGATGGGGCCGCGCGGCGGGCGCGAAGGCGGACGCGAGTGTTCGACATACCCCGGGCGGAGCGCGAGGCGCGTGAGGGTTGAGCGGGCCAAGGGAGGTGGCACCAAAGGCACAGCATTGCGCAGGGCCCTTGCAGCAATGGTTGGTGTGGGTTCCAAAGGTCAACATAGCGGCTAACCCGCTGCGACACGCCGGCACCAGCGCAGCGCGGCAATCATGCACGCAGAAGGGGGGGGGGCGGGCGGGGGGGTGGGGCTCGAGTGCACAAAGATGGGCCCACTCAGCCTGGACGACGGGGAAAACCGCAGCGCTGCGCGAGCAGCCTGCGTGCGCCGAGGCAGGCGGCACGTCCCGCCCCCCCGCGTGTCCGTGGCCCGCTCAGGCGCGCACCGTCGCCAGGCATTTCGACAGGAGGTCTGTCAGGGAGGGGGACTTCCGCAGGGTCAGACCCATCGGCGGCGTGCTGTCCGCCGACACGTCGGAGAGGTCCACCAGGGCGCTGGGCACGTGCGGCGGCGCGGCCTGCGGGAGGCTGCGCAGCCCGGCGGAGTGCGACGACGACGTGAGCCCTGGTGTCGGGCACCTGCCGAGGCTCTGCGCCGCGCGCGTGGGGCTGTCGAGGACGGGGAACATCCCGCAGCCAGCCGCGTGGTGCGGCGCGGCGAACGGCTGCTGCGCGCCCAGCTGCGGAAGCGACAGCGCCGGGTGCAGGGGGGGGTGCGGCACGGCCGCGGGCAGGAGCGCCGGCGCCGGCAGCGGCGGCGCGAAGCCAGGGATCCCCGTCTGCGGGCCCGCGGAGGCGGCAGGCTGGAACGACGCGGCCTGCTGCTGCTGCGCTGCGCGGAGGGTCTGCTGCTTGCGCTGCCGCGCGGACTTCCGGACGGCGCGGAGGATCGGGCGCGCTTGCTGCTGCGAAGCGTCGTCGTTCGTGCGGGCCTTGAAGGAGTCTGCGGGCGGCACGGCGGGCGCGCGAGTCGGGGTCGGTGACGTACGTGCGCTGGCTCGATCGCACGTGGCGGGTGGCACGGACGAGGACGCGGGGGCGGGCGGGCGCGCACCCTCGGAGGAGAGGCTGAGGGCGGGGCCGTGCTCGACTCCGCGCAGGGGCGGGTGCCGGCGGTCGGGGGTGCCGGGAGCGTTGGGGCTGGAGACGGCGGGCGGGATCGCCGAGAGGGGGTCCGTGGGGTCGACCGAGCAGGCCTTGCGCACGACGTGCTGCCAGATGTTGCGCGCCGTCTGGTCGTCGAGCGGGCGCTGCAGCGGCGCGACGGCGCCCATGGCGATGGCTTGGTGAAGCATAGCGGGGGAGACTTCCTGGTCCGTGAGCAGGATGACGGGAGCGCCCCAGGCGATGTTCTGCAGAGTAGTGGCGCCGCGGAGCGGGTCGGTTTGCCGGGAATGCGGGTCGGTGCTGGGCGGTCGTGGGGCCACGGTTGAGGGAGGTTGGTCATCGGCTCGCGGCCGGGGGCCCGCGGGGATATCTCGAGCATGTCCGTCGGTCTGAGGCGAAGGATGAGCTCTGGTCTCGTCGATTGCGAGAAGCAGGAGTGAAACGCAGGTCGTGTCGACGAGTGCGAAGCGACCTTGCAGGCCGCCTGCACGGTGTGGGCGAAGCGTCTCTGGACGGGGCGCGCCGTGATTTTCGATGGTCGCATTTGTATGGACAAGGAGCGAAAACGCGTACCTGGATGCACGCGGCGTGGTTGGTCTCGCCCTCGGGAGCGGCGAGGGCCCAGTCGAGAAGGACCAGGTCAAAGTCGCTCCCTGTCGCGCCGACAGCGGCCCACGCTGCGTTGAAGTCGCTCATCACTGTGACTGCACATCGGAACGCACGGGTGCCGGCGTTGTCTCCACGCGTCGGGCCCGCACGAGGCCAGCTGGCGAGCCCGGCCTCAACACGGCGCGGCCGCGCCGTGTGCGCGTGTGTAGGGCGCCAGCGCGACCGCGCGTCCATAAGGGGTATGTGAGGACAGCGGAAACGCACGCGGCATCATTCGCCAGGCATGCGCGACCCGCAGGTCCGCGCGCGGTGATGTGACCGGAGCGCGCGCGGCGCTGGGGCGTGCACTGGGAAATTGCGCGGTCTCCCCGGAAGCATTCGATCACGGAGACCGCGTCGTGCGGGTCGGAGAAGCGCACGCGCGACGCATCGAGCAAGAAGGAGCTTCCGTGCACCTACACCGGAAGCAGGCTGCGCAGCGACGTCGTGTCGCTTCGTCGCCGCCCGGGCGCTCGCACGCACCTTCGTAGTGGAACTTCTCAAGCTGAGCGCGGCACAAGTCCCGCCTCTGGTGCTCCTTGTCGACCAACAGCACCTGCAGCGGAAGCAACCAGCAGCGCCCGTGAGAGGAGAATTCGGCCTCTGTCGCACCGCTGTTCGCACCGAGGCCCTAGTTTGCGATTTCCCAGGACCGAGCGAGTGCGACGCCGGGCACCAAACAGCCCCAGGACGCGAGCGTCACCTTCATCCCTCGAGGGAAGCCCGGACGGTGTGCAGGCGCGAGCCGCATGTCTCTGCTGCTGTCGTCTCCGCCGCGGGGTGGTGTCTCGTAATCCTCTCCGCGGCCAGTGCGGCGGCCGTGTTTCCTCGACTGCTCCGTCGCGTTCGCGCGGTGGGTACCTCCCAGAGTCCGGGTCGCTCAAACCGGGGTTCGCAAACAGCGGCCGCGCCCGTGTTAGCCAGGTGCGATCGCACAGCTCCTAGTGCCGCGCGGCGGCACCCGCGGGGGCCCTCGAGCCGCCCCTGCCGTCGCCCGTGGGGACGTCAGGCTTCACACTGCCCAGCTCAGCTGGCCGGGAGGCCCGCCGGCAACAGCGAGCCCAGATCTAACCGAGACAGCGCGCGCAAGGGAGCCGAAAGCTGAGCGGCCCAGGCAGCATCGCGCACGGGCGCACATTTGCCCCCGCGGCCATCGCCGCCGCTGCTGCTGACGCCGCTCCGTGCCTCCCACAAGCCGCCCGCGGCCAGGCGCTGCGGCGTGTGCGCGTCGCCGGCGCGCCGCGGGCAGAGTCAGTTGAGGACGTGGCGCTTGCCCTGCTCGATCGACTGCGAGAGCCACGAAGCCGGTCCGCCGAACCGAGGATACTTGTGCGCGTGGGCACTCACGATCGTAACTCGCTGTCCGGAACGGTGACTGCCGCGCGGGCCCGGGCGCGACGGCGGGTCGGCCAGCCGCTACCTGGGCGGCGCGTCTCCCGGCGCACCGTGTGTTCGGCGCGGTGCGCGGCTGCGATGCATGGCGCCGCCGCCTGGCGGCCCCCCGGCGCGCCCGCGGTCGCAGACGCACCTGGCGAGGGTGCGGGGGGGTCGCTGACGCAGCGGGGCACGTCTGGGCGCAGCACACACCCACGCACACGCGCGAGCTGCAAGAGCGTCACTGGAAAGACAACAACGTGTCGTTATTAATATTAATAGAGGAAGTTGTTGCGATTATGGGACCGATTGCCGCTCGCGGAGCCGCGCGGCGCACGTCGCCGCCGCCCGCTGCGGGCCGGACAGCTGCGGCGGCGTGAACGCCCTCCGCAGGCCGGCCACGTGCGCAGCAGACTGCACTGTGCGTTGTGCGCGGGCCTGGCGCACCCCCCCTGCCTCACGTGCGCCGCGAGCCTGGCGGTGCCGTCATGCTCGCCTCCCCCCGACCGCTGATTAGGGGAGGCCGCGCTGCGTGGCGTGCGCGGGAGCGCTGCGGTCTCGCGTTCGGGCAGCGTGGGCGGCTGTGTGCTGGGGTCTGCAGCGCGAGACCGCAGACGAGGATTTCCGATCTACTGCTCAGCCGTGGAGACTCTAGGGGGTGTCGGGCCTCAGCGCGCGCACGGCTCGCCCCCGCGCCGCTGGCTTCACTGCTCCCGGCAGCTGGCGCACGCAGGCACTTCGCGCAGCATGCGCAGCGCGTTTTAGATCGCGAGCGGCACGGCAACGGCACGCGTAGGAGCTGCGTGGATCGCGCTCGACCGCTGCGAGCTGCCGCGGGACGTTCCCGGAACAACCATGCCGCGCACGCACCGAATGCGCCCATAGCGTACTCGGAGCTGGTGTTCGCGCGAGAACATCGCGGTAGCGGCTGCGGGGAGACCCACAGAGGCACCAAGGGAGCGAGGAGCTCGCCTCTGTTGCGGGGCCTCCGCGCGCGTAGACAGCATGGGCGACTACGGCTGGAACGATATGGGCATGGAGACGGTCGCGGAGGACGAGCCATCCGGGGCCGAGGCCGAGTCGTCCAGCAGCGAGGTTCTTGGCACCTCTCCAGGCACCGAACCCACGCGCTCGGGCCACGGCCCGCAAGTCTTCCATCAGGTGCGCCTCCTGGCGCGTACCGTCGCGTGCCGGCCGCGGGGACGCGTCGAGTTGCGCCCAGCGGCGCGCTGTAGCGCACCTGTTCCATCACTGCCCGCTAGCAGTGCCGCTGGACCGCGGCGCCGCTGCACCTCCGGCGGATCTTGGCCGCACAGCCGTGTTTTGGCGAGGGGGATGGGCGCCTGGTGCCCGGACAGCGGCGCGAGCGGGCGCTGAGCAGCGCGGACCGTGCACGCACCCTCGGCGCCCAGCTGGAGACGAGCTGGCACGTCCGTCGTGGTTTTCGAACTGGACTGCGCCAGTACCGAGCGCCCATTGCTATCTCCGGCGCCCTCTTGGCGGTCGATGCGTGATGCGGCGCCGGTCGACCCGCCGGGCGAGAGCTGCAGCGAGCATCATCAAGCGAGCTTGGCCGACACCGGCGCCGCGCTGACGCTGCAAGCGCGGAAATAAGGCGCTCAGACGTATATCTGTCGAGCGTGCCGCCCTCCGATCGTGGCTCGCCCGCCTCTGGCGCGCCACCGGCTCCGTGCGGCTTGCGCACAACATCGCAGCCTTCTGCCCGTTTTCCGCGACCCGAGGGCATCCTCACTCGGATCGCCGCCCTCACCGCGTCCCAGAGCGTCGAGCCGTCCGTTCGGAAGGCTTTTGTAGCAGCAGCAGCACCGCAGCGCCCCGCGGGCGCAGGAGGCACCCAGACCCTTCCGTCGCCGTTGCTCGCGCAGGTGTTCTCCGACGACCTGCGGAGATCGCTGTCATCGCTCCGCATGATGGCTCGCCACCAGGCGGAGGACTATCACCGCCGGAAGGAGGAAATTCAGCTCGCAGCAGACCAGGTGATCTCCTCTGCCCCTCCGCCCGCGGCCCGCCCTGCCGCGCTCCGGCGCGTCCGCTGCCGCAGAAGCCCCCGAGCGGCCCCGTCATCCCAGTTCACCCCTCTGCCACCTCCCTAGCCCCCAAACACAGCCCGGTATCGATGCCCTTCCACGCTTCCACCTCTCCCTCGCAGGGCGACCTCCAGAAGCTCCGGGAGTGCCTCCGCACGGCCTACCAGGCCATGTCGGGCGGGCAGTTCTCCGAGGACGACTGCTCCATCCTCATGGAGGCCTACATGTCGGTCGGCCTGCACTGCTCCATCTCGCGCGGGCACCGCGAGATCGCCACGTACCTCCTCTCCACCGTCGGCCTCGACCCCGAGGTGCGCCGTACCGCCCCGCGCGCCCGCGGCCCGCCGCACCCGCCCGCGCGCCGCGCCACCGGCCCACGACCCGCCCGCGTTGCGCTGTGCAGATTCCTTCCGTCACGGGGCTGCGGAAGCTGCCCGTGCACGTCGCCGCGGAGGTCGGCGCCGTCGAGACGCTCACGGAGCTCTGCGAGGAGTACGGCGCGGCGCCGGACGCCCTGGACGCGCTCGAGCGCACCCCCCTGCACTACGCAGCTCTGTGCGGGAAACATGACACCGCGCAGTCGCTCATCACTGCGTTCAAGGCCCCGATCGACGCACGGAGCGCGAGCGGAGAGTCCCCGCTGCACGAGGCCGCGGGGGCGGCGCAGGCGGACGTCGTGGCGTTGCTGTTGGAGCACGGGGCGGACGTGATGGCGCGGGACGTCAAGGGGCGGACGGCGCTGCACACGGCGCTCGCGACGAGGCTGGAGATGGAGGCGGCGCGCGACGGGAAGCCGTGGAACGCGCGGGGCGCGGACGACCGGTGGAGCCAAACCTCCCTCTCGCGGCAAGCCAGGTGCGCAGATCGGCCAGCGTGCGCGCGCTCGCACGCGTCTGCATCTGCCTGTCATCGTCTGCGAGCGCCTGCGCGGCCAACAAAGACCCCCCCCCTCCCCCGTCTGCCACGCAGCTTGGACTACCCCATGTCCCCCCCCACGAGCTCGCGCCGGAGCCAGCCGTCCGACGGCGCGCTCACGCTCGTCGTGACGCGCCTCATCGAGGCGTGCCCGAAGCTCGTGCTCATGACCGACAACGAGGGCCTGTCGCCGGTGGACTACGCCAAGGCCAACCCGGGGGCGTTCCCTGACGAGGCGGTGCGACGCATCGAGGAGGTCGGGCGGACGTCGACCGTCGACGAGGGCAGCCAGGAGGGCGAGCTCGGGCGCAACAGCCCCGCCGAGGCCGCTGAATTCGTGTTTGGCCACGGGCCGGGGCTGACGGCGGCCACACCCCCGGGGGGGGGTCTCGGGCGGTTCGAGACGCCGTCGCTCACCGTGCCCGACGCGACGGAGGGGCCGTCGAGCCCGAACTCGCTCGCTGCGACGCCCAGCAACGCGGCCGAGCGCGCGTCGCCGGAGGACACCGGGCCGGCCGAGATGCAAGTAGACGCGCCGCAGGTCACGGCGCCGCCGAAGCCGCCGCCTTCGCCGCCGCCGTCGGCGTCCGCCGGGCGCACGACCGTCCCGCGCACCGCGTTCCTCGTGCGGGCCGAGCCCGAGTCGTCGTCGGAGGCTGAGAGCGAGGAGGCATCCCCGCCGTCCGCGCCGCCTGCGGAGGCCAAGCCGTCGCCCGGGCGGCAGCGGTCGATCGGGTCGATGGGCGGGCCCGCGTGGCTGGCGTCTGGCGAGCGCGCGGTGCAGTCGGACGCCGCGGTTGTGTACGGCGGGTCTCAAGAGCCCGGGTCCGCAGACGCAGCGCAGTCGGCATCGCCGCAAGCGGCGGAGCCGGAGAACGGCGGCGCGGCGCCGCCGAAGACGACCAAGGTGCAGCGGCGGCCCACGGGCGTGGTCACGGACCTCGACTACGAGGAGGTGCAGGCCCAGCGAAAGGCAAAGGCCAAGCGCTTTGGCAAGTCCGAGCCTGCGATGGTGAGCGACGTCTCCCCGAAGCGTCGCGCGGTGGCGCGGAAGCTGCACAACGCCTTCGGCAGCGACGACGGCGCGCCGGTGCGGGGGAGCTCTGCTTCGAGCCCGCCGAAGAGCACAGAGAGGGACTCTTCGATGCAGCCCCCCCCCCGGGCATCGCCGGAGGGCACGCCGGAGGCGTCGCGGGGGGAGATGGAGGTGGACGCGGTGCCGGAGAGGCCGGTCGTGACGGCGATGGACTCGATCAAGCGGGCGTCGGAGGGCGGCGGGAAGGACGACGACCACGACGATGACGATGTGTCGCGCAGTGAGGAGGGGGGGTCTCGGGCGCAGTTGGGGCGCGCGAGCAAGTCCGCGAACCTGCAGCCTGTTGCGCCGGGGAGCGACTCGGAGCCCAAGTTGGTGCGCTCGCACACGTCCAACGGGCCGGATTCCCGGCAAGAGGGCAGTGGGTCGTCGCCCAAGGCTACGCCGCGGCGGCAGAACCGGAGCCGGAAGCAGGCGCGGTCGCGCGCGGCGATGCGCGTGTCGCAGGTGCTGGCGAAGCGCGGCGTGGTGCAGCAGCCCGCGGAAGGGGGGGACCGGTCGTCGGGCGAAGCTGCAGAGCGCGTGAAAGCAGAGGCGCAGCCCGCGAGCAGGGCCGCGTCCGGAGCCGACAAGGGCGACGGCAACGCCCCCGAGCCGCCGCTTGGGACGGCGGCGTCGATAGACGCGCGTGGGATTCAGCCGGTGAGCGGCGGCGCCCCGGGCGGTGGCGCGCGGCCGACGCGCGCGATGTTTTCCAAAGCGACGCCCATGGCGAAGGACATGCATGCCACGGCGCTGAAGGCGGCGCGGCTCATGTCGCAGCAGCGGGCCCGCAAGATGTCGGAGGGTTCGATCGCGGAGAGTGAGGCGGAGGAGGAGGAGGAGGGGGGGTCCCATCACGGCGACGACGCAGCGTCGCGCGGATCGTCCGCGGAGGCGGACGGCGGGCCGCCGAAGCCGGACTCCGGCGGCTCGGCGGCTGGCTCGATCGACGAGAAGCTCGGAGGTTCGCGCAAGTGGCGCATCGAGGACGACGCCCTCGCGCACGCCGTCGCGGCGGCGCCCGAGGTTGCTCCTGCGCAGCAAGGCGCGGCGGAGTCGGAGCGCGCGGCGTCGAAGCTGAAGCAGCAGCAGGCCGCTCGCGCACTGCAGCGCGGACGCATGCACCACGCGACGCCGACGCCGCAGGCGATGGCGCAGCACGTCGCGGAATCGAACCGCGCGCTGCGAGAGAAGATCGCCAAGTCGGCCTCCAACGCGTCTATCGCGGAAGACAGCGAGGACGAGGCAGACGAAGAGAACGACGCGGCGTCGCGGGGGTCCTCGGCCAACCCGCACATGGGCCCGCCCGAGCAGCCCGAGGGCAACGCTCTGGCGAGCCTCGCCGCGAGCGAGTCCTCGCACGACTCGGAGGACTCGAGCAGCTATTCTACTTCCGACTCCTCCCGCGCGCGCCTGCGTCAGGGCCCGCCACGGTCGGACCTGGCGGTCGAGGGCAGCGACGCGCGCGCGGACTCGTACGCCGAAGCGAGCAGCTCCGACTCGTCGGCCCCGAAGCAGGCGCCGATGGCCAGCGGCAGCTACCGCTCGCACCCCATGGTGATGCCGAGGCGCGTTGAGCAGGCGCGGCGGGACTCGGTGCAGTCGCAGGGCGGCGGCGCGATCTGGGGCCGCGGCCGCGAGGACAGCGTGTCTGCGCTGGCGCTGGAGCGCAGCTTCGGGAGCGTCTCGGGCGCTCTGGCGCGGCCCCGGTTTGAGAATTCGAGCAGCCACAGCGCCGTGGAGCGCAGCGGGGGCAGCGTGCGGTCCGGGCGGTCCCCGAACGTCCCGCCGCTGCGGCTGTCCTCGGCGTCCGGCGCGCGGGGCGCGGCGTCACTCACGGGAGAGACCAAGCAAGACGGTGCGGGCGTGGAGCGGTTGCCGGCGCAGACGCCGGGGCACTTGGGACGCGACGGGTTCCTCGGTGGCCTGGAGGATCCGGAGGGGCGCGGGCAGCTCGTGGAGCACACGCCCGTGGCCGCGGAGGTGCAGCGGCGGGCGGCGCAGGGCGCGCTGAGGGGCGGCCTGTTCGGGAAACCGGGGGGGGAGTCCCCGGGGACCGCGGACGACGACGCAGCGACGCCGACCGCGGCGCCCGGCGAAGACAACGCCGTCACGCCCCCGGCCCAGACCGCGCCAGCCGCAGCCGGCGAGGATGCGGCAACGCCGGCGCCCCCCGTCGACGCGCCAGACACCGAGGACGCGCGGCGCGGCTCGCAGGCGTCCCACGCGGACTCCGATGCGGACGCGCTGCGGTCTCCGGAGCTGGTGTCGCGCTCAGCCCCATCCTACCACTCGCGACGGTCGAAAGACGCCGATTCATCGCGCGGCGAGGACGACGGCCCGCGGGGCCGCTTGAGACCCGCGTCGGGCTCGCGCTCGGCGTCGCCGCTGCTGCGGCGCGACTCGTCGTCGATGCGGCTCGCGTCGCGGCGGGCGGTGTCGTTCAAGCTGCGTCCGCAGACGCCCGACGAGCCGATGCCGTGCATGGCGCCGTGGGACTCGCCAGACATGGCGCCGCAGTCCCCCGCCGCGCAGCTCCGCGGGGCCCCGAAGTTCAAGACGCTGCCGCGGCACAACCAGCTCGTAGGATCGCACTCTTTCAAAGGTGAGAGAGGAGGGCGCGCGACCGTTCCCTCGCTGCGTGCGGCGCAGGACGCCCGGCGCCGTCTCGCGGAGCATGCCCAGGCTGCTCGCTTGCATGTGCTGCATGCGTGCGTTTGTGTGGCACCGCAATGCCGCGCCCACGGTCGGTACAGCTCGGCTTTCCCTCAGTCGGCCGCGGCTGCATCCCCCGTCGCGTGCTCGCGCGGTCGCCCCCCGCCGCCCGCGCCTCGGCTGACACAACCCCCCCTGCGCCGTGCGCTGCAGCCTCAAGTCTGTCGCGGCACATGCTGGCGGCACCGTCGCGCGACGGCAAAGGCGCGCGTATGCTCTCGCGGCACGCGAGCCTTGGCGGCGGCCAGTTCATCTCCAAAGGCACGCCACCCCCTCCTCCTCCTGAGTCATGCCCGCACGGCCCGACCGGCCCGGGCTCCCTGCTCATGGTTGTTCTGCACGGGTCCGCATGTGCAGGTGCGGAGCGTTTCTGGGCCGAGCTCGGCGGCCGGCTGAACGTCAAGAAGCAGGCGCAGTCCGAAAGTGAGCGCGGCAAGCTCCCCGCGCGCGGCGCGTCCGGGCCGCTTCGCGTCATGTCCACGCCGCCAGAGCGCACGCTGCGCCCGCGCAAGGCCTCGAGCTTCATCCCGCCGGCGTCCATCGAGGTGGACGACAACGTCATCGCCGGCGCGCTCTTCCAGGCCGGAGAGACCCCCGCCACCGTCGACGAGGGTTTCGAAGAAGCATCGTCCTCCTCGCACAGCCGCCCCGGCAACGCGCCGGGCGCGGCGGAGGCCGCTGCGGATACGAGCGTCAGCGCGCGCGCGCTGCAGCGCGAGCCAACGCTGCGCGACAGCATCGCGGCGGAGCGCGGCGAGCCCGGTTCCGCAGGGGCTGTGGCGCCCGAGAGCACCCCGCGGGGGGTCACGCCGGTGTCCCCGGAGGTGCTGCAGATGCTGCAGGAGCGGGACCGGGTCATCGCGGGCATGCGCGACGAGTTGGCGAGCACGCAGCAGCAGGTGACGACGCTGACCCGGCGCCTGAGCGAGCTCGAAACGTCGGTGTCGCGGTCCGCGTCCGTGTCGTTCTCGATCACGCCGCGGCCGTATGCGCACAGCCTCGGCGCGGGGGACACGGGGGGAGTCCCGCCGCCGCCGGATTCGGTACAGAGCACCGCTGCGGTCCCTGCGCAGGACGGGCGGTCGCCGGGGCACCTTGCCGCGCTGCCGCACCGGCCGCCGAACCGCGTCGCCGGCGCAGACGTGGCGCCGCCGCGCGACCTCGACGCCGCGGACCCGGCCGAGGCGCAGGTTCGCATGAATCAAGCTGCGCACATGCAAGACCTGCTAGCTCAATTGCAAAGCATCCAAGAGTTCAATAAGCGGCTCGCGAGCGCGCTCGAGGCCGAGGACCTCGACCAGCTCGCGTCCGTCGCCGCGGGGGGCGCGCAGGTCGCGTCGGCCCCCTCGGCTGCGGAGCTGGATGACGAGCCCCTGGTGAGTGCGCGGCAAATGGCGCACGAGTGGGTGTGGGAGGAGCCGGACCCGGAGGAGGACTTCGACGACTATGAGTACGAAGAGGAGGAGTGGCGGCCAGGGGAGATGTTCGGGGGCGCGGTGTCGTCGCTCGCCGGGCGCATGGCGCAGCTCGCGTCGCCAGCCGCGCCCAAGGCGCGCGCCGTGGCGGAGGTTCAGTCGCACCGCCTGTCCACGAGCTTGTCGGATATGAGCGACCTGAGCGCAGCGAGCCCGTGAAGGCGCGGCCTGAGCGATGTAACCGCGACAGCTACGTGTTTTTTGTTTGTGGCCCAAGACTAGGTTTTTGCCTTCAATTGTGCGCTTGTGTCGCTTTCCTGCGAACAACGGCGTCGCGTGCGGGGAGGCGCTGCGGGGTGCTCGACACGTGCGGCGTGCTGCGGGAAGCGGCGCGTGCTGCACACGGGCAGCAGCCAGGCCCTGTCCTGTGGCGCGGAGACCTGGACGGCAGGTCTCCGCGGGACCCTCCTCCTCCGACTGCATCCCTAGGGGCAAGGGCGACGTGCGTGCAGGGCAATTGCAGGCGCAGCGCTGCGCGCCTTTGCACCCCGGCATCGCCACGCGCCACGCGAGACATCGGCGCGGCGAAGGATGTCGGAGTCCGCGGCCCGCGCCGTGAGCGCCGTCCGCGCCCTGGCGGCGAGCGAGGTGCTGGACTTGGAGGCCCTCACGCGGCTCTTCCTGTCCGCGCACGGCCGCCTGGTGGCGGAGTGCCTGCTCGTCGTCGCCGTCCTCTACCTCCTCCTCGTCCCGCGGTTCCGGTACACGCGCCGTGACGACGTCCCGCTCACTGAAGCGGAGATCGACCAGCTCTGCGCGGAGTGGCAGCCTCAGCCCCTCGCTCCGCCCCCCGTAGACGGCGAAACAGGTCGCCCCGATGACGACGGAGCCGACGCGGCGCCTTTGGTGTCGAGCCCGCCGCTGCGCACCGTGATAGCGAACGGAAGGGAAACCCTCAACTTTGGGTCGGCCAATTTCCTCATGGCGGGCGGAGACGCCTCGATCACAGGTGCGTCACAGCCGCTGCTACGCAAGCATGGGCCGCTTGATCGAAGTGTCGCCTGAACGCGCAGCGCGGCGCGCTGAAGAGGCCGCAACCTGCAATGCAAGCAGCTGCCCCCCCGCGCGTCTTCTCCCGCGCCCGTCAGCCGCCCAATGCGCCCCGCAGCCCCACACTAGCACACCATTCCCCAGCGCGCCCCTGCCGTCATCCTCCTCGCCCGGGCGGCGCCCTGCACCACTCGAAGCTCCACACCTGTGCCCCACCGTCCTCGTCAGCGCGTGCCCCGCCGTCGCTCCCGCCCGCAGAGCGCTGCATAGCGACGATATCCAAGTACGGCACCGGCGCGTGCGGCCCGCGCGGCTTCTACGGCACCATCGACGTCCACTTGGAGCTCGAGGGCCGCCTGGCGGCCTTCCTGGGCCAGGAGGCGTGCGCCATCTACTCGTACGACGTCGCGACGCCGGCGTCTGTGATCCCCGCGTTCGCCCGGCGCGGCGACGTGATCATGATCGACGAGTCGTGCTCCTGGGCCATCCAGCAGGGCTGCGCGCTCTCCCGGGCCACTGTGGTCAGGTATAAACACAACGACGCCGGGGACCTCGAGGCGCGCATGGCGGACGTAGAGCGGCAGCGCCGGCGGCGCGGCGCGCCGCTCACGCGCCGCTTCGTCATCGCCGAGGGCATCAACGCTTGCGACGGCACACTCGCGCCTCTCCCGGAGATCGTGCGCGTCAAGGACGCGAACAAATACCGCCTGATAGTCGACGAATCGCTCTCCCTCGGGGTCCTCGGCGCGGCGGGCCGCGGCGCGCTCGAGCACTGGGGCCTGTCGTGCGACGACGCCACGGCGGTGGTGGGATCCATGGGCACCGCGCTGGGCAGCATGGGGGGGTTCTGCGTCGGCAAGTGGGAGGTCGTTGACCACCAGCGCATCAACGCGTCCGGGTACGTCTTCAGCGCCGCGCTGCCGCCGTTCCTCGCCACGGCGGCGATCGGCGCTCTGGACCTGCTCGAGTCGCCGGAGGGGCCGGCGCGCGCGGCGGCGGCGCGCGCCAATGCGCAGCGGATGCGGTCGCTGCTGCGGAGGGCGGGGGGCGCGCCCGGGCTGCGCGTGGTGGGAGGGAAGCACGACGACAACTCGCCGGTGGTGCACCTCGTGTTGGATCCGCCCGCGGGGACACCGGGCGAGGCGCACGAGAGGCTGACGGCGGTGCGGGACGGGTGTCTGAAGGAGGGGGTGCTGGTGGCTGTTGCGCGGCGGTCGCGGATCGATGCGGCGGTGGCGGCGCCGTCGCTCAAGGTGATGCCGTTGAGCGGGCACAGCGATGCTGACCTGCAGCAGTGCGCGGAGGTGCTGGCGCAGGCAGCGCGCGACGCGCTGGCGTCGAAGGCCGCGTGACCGACGCCGGGCGGGGCGTGGTGCGAAGTGTGATGCGTTGTGGCTGCCGATGGTCGCCTCTGCTGCTGCAACAACGGTGGTGCCGTGCTCGCACGGCCGGGCAGCGGACTGAATGGTTGAAGATTGCGAGTGGCGTGCGCGAGGGAGCGTGACGTGCGCGGACGCGGCGACGCGAGCCGTCCGCCAAGACGGCTCTCGCTTACTCGGGTCCACTTGCACACAGGAGGGGTGTCGGCACGTACATGAGGATCACGCTGGTCCGTTCATCAACGCTAGCCCGCGGAACCTCGTCGAACCACCGCAGAGACAGTGAAGCAAATAACAGACGACAAATAGCAAATGACAGACGACAAATAACCTGCCCTGTGTCTCGATTGTGCATCACAGCCTGCCTGTCCGGGGGCATCACTCGAGGTCCGTCGAGCGGTCCGTCGGGACACCGTGCATCGCGAGGATCTCCTCCGTGGCCTTGCGCGCCGCCTTGGCCTCGAGCACCACCACTTGGTTGTACTCCAAGTCGAGCCGGAGGTACTTGTCCTTGCACCCGTCCACGAGGTCCACGAGGTGCGCGAGGTTGTCGACCTTCTCGCCGTTGACCTTCCGCACCTGCGTGTTCGCGATGTCCTCGTAACCCACGTTGATCTCGTGCGCCAAGACCTGACTCAACACCACCACCTGCTGGTCCGCCTTCTCCGCCACCGCGTGCATCATCTGGTCCAGCAGCTTCACGGGCGCGTCGTAGTCGTAGTCCTTCCCGTACTCGCTCCGCAGGTACGGCACCGTCACGCGCGTGAACACCAGGCCCGCCAAAATGAAGTACGACGGGAGCTTGTCGCTGATGTGCTGCGGAACGAGCCGCGCCGGAATGGCCATCTTCGCGCTCACGCGCTTCACCTCGCCGCCGCTCAGCACCTCGAGCTTCGCCGTCTCGCCGATGTACCGCTGCGACACCAGGTAGCTGAAGGAGATGCGCTCGCCGGAACGGAACACGACGGAGCCGTCCTGGCCGATCGGCGTGCCGTCGTACGACAGCAGAATGTCGCCGTTCTTCACGTGCGGCGCGAGCGTCGACGTCGGGTCGACCTGCCGCACCAACACCCCCCCCTGCTTGTCCGACACCCCCAGGGACTTGCGCAGGTCGGGGTTCTCGAGCTTCTGCCACTGAATGCCCAGGATCGGGAAGCCCGTGTACTTGCCGTTGCGCTCGTAGTCCTGAATGAAGTGCCGCACGACAGGAACCGGAATGATGTACCCCAGGTTCTCAGTGTCGGCGTCCTTCAGGGACTGGAACGCGATGCCGACGCACTCCCCCTGCCGGTTGAACGCCGGGCCGCCCGAGTTCCCCGAGTTGATCGCGGCGTCGATCTGCACCCCGAGCAGCTCCGACATGCCATGCACGTACGACGTTACCTCGATGCGAGACACCACGCCTGCAGTGAGACGAAACCCGATCAACTCCCGATATTTCGTCAGCCCACTTTCCACGCGAAATCAGCGAGCAGGGGGGAGTCCTCGCAGCGCCGGAGTCGCACCTGACGTGACGGACATGGTGTCGCCCCCGATGGGGTACCCCGCGACGGTGACGGTGTCCTGCAGCCGCGGGAGCCCCCCGCCGGCCTCCGCGAACGCGACCGGCTCGATGCCCTCCCAGAACTCGTCGTCGTCGACTGTCAGCAGCGCAGTGTCGCACTCGTGCCCGATGGCCAACACCCGCGCCACGTACTTCGAGTCGCTCCCTCGCCGCTTCACCTTGACCTGGGTGTGGTACTCGATGCAGTGCGCGTTCGTGAGGATGCGGCGGCCGGGGATCGCGAACCCCGACGACGTGGACGACGCCTGCCGCTTGCGCTGCCACGGAAGAGAGAAATTCGGCTCCGTGTGCATGCAGAAGATCTTGATCACGGAGTCGAGCACGCGCGCAGGGAGCAGCGTGCCGTTGCCCTCGATCTGCGGCGCGGCGGGGCGCGGCGGGCGTGTGAGCAGGGCGCCGGGGGTGTGTGTGGGTTTCGAGGGGGGTGTTTGGGCGCGAGGGGGCGTGAGGTGCCTGCAGGCGGTGTGCAGGGGCGTACCTCGTCGTATGGGTCCTCGTGCAGCGGGTGGTCGACGGCGGCGGGGGTGTCGCCGGCCCCTGCAATCACCCTGCTGCGCTTCCCGCGCGTTGGCTTCTCCTCCTGTGATGCAGCGCGAACGACGGCGGTGATTGGGTTCGAGGGCCGGAGCCGCTGGGGCGGGCGGTGCGGGCCGCAATGCCCCGCAGCCGGCGGGTGAGGTCTCGATGCACTACGGCTCGCCTCCCGGCAGCGCTGCGGGGCGCAGAAATGATCCGTCATCGTGACAGAATAGCCGCAACGCACAGGATACTCTCACGTCGCAGACGGGAGTCGTCACCGCCCGGTACGGGCCCTGCGGCGCAGGCGCTCGCCGGGAGACTCACCGGCTGCTTCCGCTTCGGCCCGCGCGTGCTAGAGCGCGAGGGCGCTCCCTTTTCCCTACGCGGGCTCTCAGAGCCTTCGTTGACGGCATGGCTGCCCGTGCCGCGCGCGTGCCTCGGCGGCATGGCCGCAAGCGCCGATCCCTTGCGCTGGAGCACAGACCGTGCCGCCGCACTGCGCGAGATCGCTCCGAGCGGTCGCGGGGCGGAGTACGCCGCGTGGAGTCGCTGCGTCCTCTCCCGTGCGCCGCAGCTCGCGATTGCGCGGGTCGTCGACGCGTGAGAGCGCCCACTGCAGGGGAGGGCGCCAGCTGCCCCGCCCGCCAGCCGCGTTGCGGTGGAGATGGGACAAGTCCGACCGGCTGCGCGCGTGAGGATGCTGACGAGGGGTCCTGGGGGCGCGCGGAAGGACGCACGCATTTACGGGCCCGCGAGAGCGAACGCCCTATATGGCACGGAGTGCTTCGGTGACGCTCCGGCGTGCCTCCGGCCCGCGAATCCCGACCTGCTCGCACTGCACGTACACAGCTACACACTGCGCCCGTGGACGTGCATCCGTCCCCATCGGCACCGCGCACGCCGCACGACATCGTCAACCCCCCCCGTTGTCAGCCCGGGGGCGTGAGACCTCTCACCCAGGTGGGTCCCGGCCACCGGCCACCCAGGCGCCGCGACCGTCCATCGCGCGATCCATCCACCGGGCGCGGATTCTCTCTCTCTCACACGGCGGCCCGCCGACTCCCCGCACCTGACGCAGGCCCGGAGCGTCAGTCCTCCCCCTGCTTGTACGCCACGAGCGCGTCGACCTTGTGCACGCGCGTGCTGAACGACCTGAGCTTCACCTCCGCCGCGTCGTTCACTAGCCGCGGGTCGCTGTCCTCCCACTCCGACGGCACCACCGCGCTTTGGTCCGTGTACACAAGCAGGTCGAACGAGCACTTCTCGTCCAGGAGAGGCAGGAACGTCACCGACGCCGTGATCTGCCTGATGATCGCGCCGATCTCGCTCTGCACGTCGCGGGTCGACTTCCCGGGCACCGGGGCCCCCTGCGCCTGCAAGGCACAGCATACGGGGGGGGTTACGGGGGGGGTGTTGCTGCGGGAGCGCCGCGACGAGGGCGCAGGCTGCGGGAACGTGCGGGCCGCAAGTGTGTGTGTGTGTGTGTGTGTGTGCGCGGAGCTTGCTGGTTGGGGAAACGGGGGGGTGTGTTGCGCACCGCTTGTGGGCTCTCCGCGTGCACGTTGAAGGTCCAGCGCTCGAGAACTTCTCCGGAGGCGACGGACGACACGACGAGGACCAGCTTCTGCAGCATGCCGGACTCGATCCACGCTGCGCGCGCACAGATCGGAGCTGACAACGTCAGGTTTGCCTGACAGCTGTGCCCAGGGGGGGAATTCGGTGCGAGGGGCTGCAACGCTCCCGCACGAAGAGCAAAGGACGCGCCAGCACTGGGGGATCTCGCGAAGCCCGGGCGGCCAACTGAGAGCGTCGAGCGCTGCATCAAGATGTGCACTGGAGCGGTCCGGGCGGATACTTGGATGCCAGATTCCGACGCGGAGGGACGTCGTGGAGCAGGCAGGGCGTGAGTTTGTTGGTTATCGAGGGATCTGGATGGAGGCGCGGTTCGGACGCGCACCTGGAACTTGTTTGAGAACATCAGCAAGGTACTTGGACAACTCGCCGTCCGAAGAAACCATGAGGGACAGTCCATACTCCTTCTTGACCTCGAAGCTCTCTGGGGGGTAGATTCCGCGCTGGTACAGGATGCTGCGCGGCAGGGAGCGGGCGCCACGGCACACTTGATGCTTGCGCGCCGTCAAAGCATGCCGCGCTCCCGCGTTCAAGCGGGCCATCCGTCGCGCTCTGGCGCACATTCTACCGTTCCATGCTGGAGCTGCCGTGAGACAGCGCAGGAAGCAAGTCAGACGGCGGGGAGAGCGCCATCTGTGGCATCGCAAGCCTCAGCGAGCCCCGCGCGCACTGCTTGCGCCGCCTGGTCCACGCCGGGCGGTCGCGTGCTGTTGTTCGATGTCTCACCTGTTGACGGCGTAGCCAAAGAACTCCGCTACGACCTGCGTCGACCCCCGCAGCGTGATAGTGTTGTCCGCCCCCTGTGCTGACGCCATCGCGCTGCCTCTCCGCGCCCTCAGCAGCGAAAATCAATCACGGACCACCACCGAGGACGTCACGCTCGCATGGAACCACACATTTGCCGCGCAAGCTCGCGCCCACAGCCCCATAGATCACCACCTGTGCCACTGCCGTCACCTTCTAGCTTCTACTCGGCGTCAGGCCACCGCCGCAGCGGCCGCGCACGTCCCGCGGCCAGCCCGCCACGCGATCCGCGCCGCGGCCACCCACCCTCGCACAGACACCGCAAAGAGCGCGCTCACAGACTCTTTATCCTATCTGTTGACACGTGTACAGCGACAGCAACATCACGCGACCATCACGTCCCGCCCCCGCCCTAGGCCCTCTTGTCCCTCCCGCCCAGCATCGGCAGCGCGCACCGCTCCCACTCCGCGCCCCACCCCGCCCGCGCCTCCCGCGCCGCCCCCTCCCGCAACGCATGGTACACGGCGGGCGCCGCGTCCGGGAACCCCCGCAGGACGCGCACGAGCAGGCCGGACAGCTCCTGCGGCGTGTCGAAGAGCTCGCCGTTGACGCCCGCCTTGACGAGCTCGCCGACGCACGCGAACGACCGCGACAGGGCCGGGAGCCCGCAGCCAAACATGTCCACGACCTTCATCGGGAGGTCGATGCCCGAGGAGGACTGGTGGAGAGACACGCCGAGGTCGGCTGCGCCGAGGAGGCGCGGGTAGTCCTCCGCGGCGAGCCACGCGCACCGAAACGCCACGTGCCTGCGAGGGAACGTCGTTGCTCATGAATTGATGATGCAATGTGGATCGTTGGTTCTTGGTTCATGGACGTTCGTTGATTGTTGATTGTTGATGATTGGGTCATGCTGTGGGGAGGGCGCACGGTGCGGTCGGTACACGGGGCCACCGCCACGGCACTGCTGTTTGGTGCCAGCATGACTGAACAGGTGCTGAGAGCAGGTCAAGCCTCTGGGGCGCACCGCAAATCCAAGTCGGCCATCCGCGACGTGTAGTGGTCCCGCAGCGGACCCTTCCCCGTCACGATGATCACCAGGTCCGGCAGCAGCCTGTCCCCTGACCCCCCCCCTGACTCCTCCCCCCCCTCTCGACCCGTGCCTCTTGTACCAAGCTGCGACGCCCCGCCCCGAGCGCGCTCCGCCCTCACCTCCTGCGCGGAGACAGCGCACTGCCACGGCGCGTCGCGTCGCGCACCTCACTCCGCGACATACGCGCCCATGGTGCGCGCGTGCGTGGGGGGAGAGGTGTGTCAGATCGTGCGTACCTTGTCATACGCGATCGCGGCGTCTAGAAGGATGCCGAAATCCTCGTCCGGCGTCCAGCTCGTGCCGCTGACGAGCAGCGCGGGGCGGCGCGGCCGCCACGCCGCGCCGTCCGTCCATGGGGTCAGCGCACGCCCTGCGCACGCAGCACCCGAGAGACCGGAACGCTCAGCGGGCGCAGGTGCGAGACGCAGGCATGCACAGTGCACGCAGGGTCTGTAAGCCTCACCGTTCGCGCCCTCCCCATACCACGCCCGCCCGTCGGGGTGCGTGTTTGTGCAAAAGAGATCGCAGCCGCTGCCCTCGCTCGCTCGCCCGTCGCTGTGCTCGAGCACCACGCGCAGGCGCTGGAGCAGCTCCGCCGCCTCGGGCGCGTGCAGCCGACGGAAGGTGCTCGCGGGGCGGTCGTGAAACACCCCCATGTTTCCGGGGGGGTTGCGCATGCCCCACGTCAGCGAGAGGTGGTCGCGCATGGCCTCGGTGACGGTGAGATGACCGTCGGCGGCGCGGCCGAAGACCTGCGCGGCGACGCACTGGGTTGGTGCCGTGAGCGAATGCAGCGCGCCTCAGTGTTGCCGCTGCGGTTCTCGTGGCGGCGGTCTGGACGCGCCGAGGGGTGCGATGCTTGCAGCGCTGTTTCTGTCCGTCGCGCGAATCAGAGATACGTGTGCGTGAACAAATATGAACTGAGAATTATATTTGGTGACTTACTCTCTCGATCCAGGCATAGAGCGCCACGAGGGGGTGCTTGGGGCCCATCTTGAGCGCGAGGAGCGTGTAGCCGAGGTTGTGCCAGTCCACGACGATCCGCGCGCCGCGCAGGCGCGCGGCTAGCAGACAGATGGGTAGTGTCGGTACGGCAGGGGGTACTTGCACGAGGATGACGTCAGGTCTGGACAGGGCGAAGACGAGCGCCCAGAACAACGCCAGGGCCTGCAGTGCGCGATGGCATCCGAGCGAGAGTGCGTTCGCAGCGTCCCGCGTAGCGACCGCCAGCGCAGCAACAGGCGAAGGGTCGCGCCGTTGCTCTGGGCAGGCCCGCGGTCGCGGGCGGATAGGAGGTCTGAAGCTCTTTGAAATGCCGGCGGGGACGCGATCGCCGGGGCGCACCTGCAGCAGAGCCTTGAGGAGCAGCGCCAGGGGACGCCACCCCACTCTTTCGGTCCACAGCGGCGCCGAAACGGTCCTGACGCGAATGTTTGGATCCGACACGATGCCCTCGAACACAGGCGAGCCTGCGCGCGGAAGGAGCGCGTCTGGCGTCGCGCTGGGGGTGTTGGAAGCGAGATAGCAGCAACTGAAGAGAGAGTTGCCTTTGTGTCGGACCTGCGTGCCCGACGAGGTCGACGGCGAAGCCGGCCTGTTTCGAGAGCGACATTGCGTGGTACTGCATCCTCGGGCTGCGCCCGATGTCTCCGAGCACCACGACGCAGGCCCGTGGGTGAGCGTGGGCGCCTGCAACCGCGGTGCGGCCCCCCATCGTCCCGCAGCCGCGAGGGCAACGATACGCGCGCCGTCAGCACAGACACTGTCGACGACCAGGCATTCGAGCTGCCTATAGCCGGTCAAGAAGCCTGACGTCGGCGGACGGGCGCCTGACAGAGGGGGAATGCGGCCTGACGTGCAACTCAAAAGACCCCCCAATTCGCTCGGTGGACGAGGCCCTCGTCGACGCACGGGCACGACGACCCTCGCAGCTCGCTGTTCGTATCGAATCCGGCCTGAGTCAGTCGTTGGCGAGAGCGTTTGCGCCCATCATCGAGGAATTGGAGTATAGCACGCGCTGCGCTGTGTGCGTGCGTGAAATCCAACTCTATGGGACGTGAGCGCTGAGGAAGGATGTCAGCAACGGGAGACGTCCACGACAGGCTGCTCGCCGACCGCTGCCTGCGCGATATGCAGGCTGGCAGCTCAGGGCTGGCAGAGGTGTGCGTCGTTCGGGGCCCTCCCGGTCCTCCCTGGCTCCTTCACGCAGACGGCCCACACACACGCGGCTGAACATCGCGCAGACGCGCTCTTCGCGCCGCTGTTCCGAAAGCGCGAAAGAGGTGACACACTCGCCCTCTTCTGCAGATGTGGGCGACGATCACGTCGCGCGCCCGGCAGCCGGGCAACGTCGACCTCTGCCAGGGCTACCCGGACTTCGAAGGGTCGGCAGTCGCGCGAAAATCCGCCGCGGACGCCATCGGTGCGCGTTCCACATCAATGGCGTGCCGCCATGCATCGCACCCACCACGCCACGGCCCGCCTCGCGCTCCGATGCACGCACCGAGCTGTGCACGGCCGCTGCCGTCATCGCAGGTCGAGGCGACCCCGTCCTGAACGGCTACGCGCCGCAGACGGGCCTGCCGTCGCTCGTCGCCGCGCTCGCGCGGCTAGACAAGGACCTCTACGGCCCGCCGCCGCACGCCCAGGGCCACCTCATCACCACGAGCGGCACCGAGGCCATCTTCGCGGCCTGCATGGCAGTTTTGAACCCGGGCGACCGCTGCGTGTTCCTGGAGCCGTCCTTCCCGTGGTACACGCCGGCGATCAAGGCGGCGGGCGGCGTCCCCGTCCCCGTGCGGCTGCACCCGCCGTCGTTCGCGATCGACGCCGCGGCGCTGCGCGGCGCGCTCGAGGGCGCGAAGATGCTGATCGTTAACTCCCCCCACAACCCCACGGGGCACGTGCTGTCGGAGAGCGAGCTGGAGAGCATCCGGGAGTGCGCGGTGGCGGCCGACGTCGCCGTGCTGTCCGACGAGGCGTACGCAATGCAGGCAAGTCTGAACAGCACCTTGACGTATTTGTTTGATTCTCGTCACATACTGATCCAATATCTCAATATTTTCTTCTGAGTATGTGCACACGAACGAGAACGAGCTGGACTTCGTGGGATCCACCGTCCCCGCGGTGCAGGCGTGGGGCGCCGAGCACGTTCCTCTAGCCTACCTGCCAGGCATGGGCGAGCGCACGCTGACGCTCGGCACGGCCAGCAAGCTTCTCTCGCTGACGGGCTGGCGCGTGGGGTGGCTTGCGGGCCCTCCGCGGATGCTCCAGGCCGCGCAGCGCATGCACGCGTACGCCACATTCTGCGCGCCGACGCCGCTGCAGCATGGCACCGCGGCGGCCCTGGCCGACGCCGGGCTGCGCGCGGAGTGCGCCACAGTGTGCGCGCTCATGCAGCGGAACGCGCAGGCCATGGCGGACGCGCTCAGCGGCGCGCTGGGCATGGAGGTCCTTGCGCCGAAAGGGGGGTACTTTGTTGTTGCACGTGCTGCCGGGGAGGACGACCTGGCGCTGTGCGCCGCGCTGCTCGAGGAGGCCGGGGTCGGCGGCGCGCCGATGCGTGCGTTCTATGCCGATCCCGCCGAGGCACCGAAAGATATGATTCGAATCGCCATCTGCAAACGGGAAGCTACGATTGCGGAGGCGGCGCGGAGGATCGTGGACGCCGCCCCGCGGATCGAGGCGCGGCTGAAGGCAGTGCGGCGGCAGGACGGGCTGACGTGAGACGGCGCGCCGCGTGCGTCGCGTGGTCGGCAACGACACGACACCTTCGGATTGGGTCCTTTTACGAAGCGGGGAGGCATGGCGCCCGCGGCACGACGCGGACGCGAGTTGCTTCGCAGCTGTGACGTCGCGCGGGCGCTCTGAGCAGCTGGCGCGCGCGGGCAGGACGGCATCCCGCCTGTGTTTTCGCGAGTCAGACCAGTGGCAAAGAAGGGTTCCGAAATGCGCCGAATGCCTCACAGCGGGCAGCCGCGCACGTCGTCCGCGGCCGCACGCGCGCCGAGGCTGCCGGCGGGATCACGCGGGGGTCTCCTCGGGCTCCGGCGGCGGCGGGATGGCCACAGTGGCGCCGTCGAGGGGGAACTCCTGCTCGTCGTTCGTGAGGCGCAGCGCCTCGAAGGTCCCCGGCTTGAACTCGGCCTTCTTGTAGACCGCCTGGTCCGCGAGCTCCTCGGCCTCCCCGGCGTACGTCGTGCAGTCCACTAGGATCCATTGCCCGCCCGCAAAGTTGCCGTCTTTGAACTCCCCCACGTACTGACTCTGGGACTCCTTGTGCAGGAAGTTGCCCTTGCCGTGCTTCTTGCCCTCCACGAACTCGCCTGCGGAGACGGCGCCGCGCGTGCGCCGTGGTCGGGCCAACGGCGGCGCGCCCCCCGAGCAGCTGAGCGGCCGAACGCGCCCCTGAGCGAGGCTGCGTTCTCTCGGGGGGGCGGGAAAGGACGGAGGGTGCAAGCAGGGGCGTGGGGTGCAGGCGGCTGCAACGCACCGTCGTAAATGTCACCGTTGGGATAGGTGTAGATGCCCTTGCCGTGGATCAGGTCGTCCTTCCACTGCCCCGCATACATGCCTCCGTCCGGGAACTTCATGAACCCCTGCGCGTGCAGCCGTCGCACAGAGCGAACCCCGTCGCACCAGGACGCCCGGCCCGGCGACAGGGAGGCCGTAGGTTGCGCGCGGCCGGGGCGCCGCGGTGCAGGCACCAGCGCAGTCGCACCTCGCCGTGCTTCTTGTTCTCGTTGTACTCTCCGTCGTAGTACGCCCCGCTCGCCCACGTGTACTTCCCCTGCCCCTGACGCACCCCCATGTTGAGGTTTCCCTCATAGGTGTCGCCGGGCTTCTCCTCGCCGTCCTGCGCACATCGCACCAATCGCCCGCAATCAGTCTCAGGCTGCCGGGGCACACACGTGTCGACCTCCCCGGACCAAGGCGCCAGGCCCCCGCCCCGCCCCCGCCCCGCAAACGCGCGCGCAGGCGGTTCCGCCGCACACGGCACGCCGCTTCGGTGCCGACCGCGCCGCGCTGAAGCGTCCCAGTCGCGCGGATTCGCAGCCATGGCACGCCTCGTGATACGAGGAAGGTCGGGGGCGCTGAATGCGGCGCTGTTCGCACCTCGTCGAGCTCCCCGGGGTACGTCATCTTGCCCTCGCCATGTGCAATGCCGTCCTCGAGCGGCCCCTCCCACTGCGGCACGCGCGGCTCTCCCTCCTCGGACATCTCGAACGGACCGCTCAGCCGCAACCCCTCGCAGAGACGCGCCCTCGCTCGCTAGACCCGCCTGCTTGTTTTAGGAACGGCTCCACGCCGCGCTCCCGTCGCCGAAAACGCACAATACGTCGATTCTCGCCTCCAGCGGGCGCCGCGAGTGCCCGGGCGCGCGTCCAGCGCCGCCCAACGCGCGCAGCGCCGCTGAGCGGCCCACTGGGCCCCAGGAGGACATGCGCAAGTACACCCCACCCCTCCCGCACAGAGAGCGGCCCGTATTTCAGAGAGCACAGCGCCGCGCAGCGGCCACTCTGCGCGCCGAGCCCTCGCATCGTCCCACCTGGCCGCGCGTCGAGCCCTCCCCTCACGCCCGCATTCTGGCTGCAACGTCAACGTGTAGCGTCACGGGCGGCACGTGGCGCGCTCCTGCGCGTCGACGCGGCCCTCGACGACAAACCGCGCCCTAGGAGGCGCGATTGGCGGCGGCGGATCGATCCGTTCTGGCTTCCAGGGTGCGCGGAAGCCCCTCGCATCTAGCGCCCCTTGGAGGAGCGTCTCGGCCCTCCTGCGCGTTCGTCCGCGTGACGCGGCCGGTCGGCGCGCCTCGGGGTCTTCCTCGGGGCGGATTGGTCCGGCGGACGGCTTCTGGCGCCCGCAGCGCGTTCTGAGGCGCGCACGCGTGGCATTGGGGTGGAGAGTGGATTTCGTGGGACACGATGCCGCCGAAGAAGGGGAAGAAGGGGGGGAAGAAGAAGGCCGCGATCATCACCGACGAGGAATTCCTCGCGCCGTTCGGATTCCGCGTCGGGTGCGCTGCCCGCCCCCTGCGGTCCCCAGATGCCAGTTGCTGTTCACGTGTGCTGCGGCGCTGCACGTGCGGCGTCGCACGCGTTCCGCGGCTCTCCGCACCGGTCACGCAAGTCGAGATGCGCAGATGGCGGCCCCGGGCGCCGGGGCCGCCTTCATTGCCCCGTGCGCGACGGGGCGTGCTCGCCCGCCTCTCCGCGCCGCCGTGCGCCGCCCGTGAGCGGCCCCACGACCGTCAAACGGGCTCTCCGCAGTGTCCTATATCTAGGCGTTCCCGGTGGCGTGCAGGGACATGATCGTCACTCCTCTGGGCGCCATTTGCGAGGTGGTTGGGGTGAAGTGTGACGTGCCCGGCGACATCAACTCCGGGCGCCTCATCGTCCAATACCCCAACAAGCAGCAGGTACGCCGCACCAGCGACGCGCACGCGGGCGCACGCGGGCGCACTCGCCCGTTCCACGCAGCCCGCGCCGGCGCCTCCCTCGCCCCATCCGTCGCGCTCTCACAGTCGTGATTCCCCAATCGTCGTTCCCCAGATCCCCCTCGAGCCCCGCGCGAGCAACGGCAACCTCAAGAGCCTCGGGTACTGGCACGCGCCCGAGGCCATGCGCATTCAGAACCAAATCGAGCGCTGGAAGGCGTCCCGCGCGATCGAGGAGGACCAACTGCGACGCTACGCGCAGGAACAATTGCTGCGCATGGAGGCTTTCGCGCTCGAGGGCACCGCGCGCCGCGTGAACGACGCAACCGGCATGCTTGACCGCCTGCGCGCCGGAGCGACGCGCCCCACCACTGCGCCGGTCGGGGGCCGGTCCTGACGCCCGCACGGGCGCCCTGCCGAACCGAGCGGCGTCCGGTCGTGCGCTGGCTGCAGCCTGCTGTAAAAAGACAGGCGGTGCTTGCGCGGACCCGCCCGGGCCGGCGTGCCGAGGTGGGGTGAGGTGTCGCAGTCTTCGCGTCGTCGGCCACAAGGCTTCGGGACCTGAAAAGATCATTCGAGTAGGTGATGAGTCATGTCATGCCAACCCCCCGCCGTTATAGTTGCGATAGGTTCGGCAGCTGTGGCGGATTCGGTTCGCAGCATATCCTGCTGTCAGCCGCACGCGTATGCGTCGCTGCGCCGGGGGCGGCGAGCCACCACTGACCTGGGAAAGCTTTCAGGTCCTGAAAGCTTTCCCAGGGGGGGGGGTACTGCCGGCACACACCTGCCGCTGCAGCTTGCTCACCCTGCGTGCGGGTACTCCACCGCGTCGCTGCTCTCGGGCGCCCCTTTCCCCGGTCAACGTGGCCTTCAGTTGACACGACTTTTCGTCAGACTGTTTGTCGGTGCCGGTTGGCATGCTGCTCCACGGTGTGAGCGGATTCGGGAGCGCCGCGGAGATGACGAGGCTGCCTCGCAGCGTACGTACCGGCGTGCGGCTGCGCGTGCACTGCGGGCGGCGCGGGGTCGGTGGGACGTGCGGTAGAAGCTGCGTGGAGTCGGGCGGGAGCTGATGCAGCACCGCTGGCGCTGTCAGACAGTCTGTCACAGAAGCGGTCCGGCGCGGGGCGTCTCGAGGGTCGCGGCCGTCACTGTAGCGGCAGTCAAGGCGCGGTACCGAGAGGAAGCGGGCCTGTCATCCGTAGAGGGCGGCAGAGCTTTAGGGAGTGGGAACGAAGCAGAGAGGCGTGCGTGCTGCGCTGGCACGTGTTCGGGCCTCTCTGCGCACGCCGACGCGCTGCAAGAACCAAGCGACCGGCCGTGGGCAGGAACGCGCGGATATACGCGCGCAGCGTGCGAGATGGCGCGGCGTGCTGTCTGGTGACTGGCGTCTGGCACGATGGGGCGCAAGGGCGCGCTCGCGCGAAGCGCGCTGCTGATCGGGCTCGCCGTCGCCCTTCTGCTCAGAGCTGCGTGCGCGCGGGCACCTCCAGAGGGCGCACGGGAGACGCTAGTTCGACTCGCAGCGGCGGCAGGGCTCCCTCTGCCCCGCTCCGTGGAGCTGCGCAGCCACGGCCCCGAACGCTGCGTCCTCGAGGTAAGGCCCTGTGCACCCGCAACGCAGCGTCTGTCGCCGTCGCGCCCGCGGCGTGAGGGCGCGCCTGGGAGGTGCAGAGCAGGAGGTCGCACACCGCACGCGACGGGGGCGTGCGGTGCGTGTGGCGGGCCCGACGCGGCCGGATCCTCGAGAGGAACGCCTGCGCGACTGCGTGACGCGCCGGTGTCACCGTACGTCGCTTTTCCTTTGGTCTGCAGCTCCAAAACGCTGCTTCCGAGGACCCTGCGGCCGCCATAGAGCTTCCTGACTACTGCTGCTGGTCGTTCGTTCGTTGCCAGGGCGACCGCCGCGCCCGAAGCCACGCGGATGGGGGCCGGGGCGGCCGGAGCGCCGACGACAGCGTTTCGTCCAGCGGCACCGTCTGCGGGCTGGACCTGTCGTCCTCAGCCCAGGGCCACATCGCCACGGCAGACCTGCGAGATGGGGTGCTTCCTTTTGCCGAGAGCCTGGAGTTCCTCGACCTGTCCTTCAATCGCCTGGGAGCCGGCCTGAGCGGCGTGCTCGACGGCCTGCGCAGCCTCAGGACGCTGCACCTCCGCGGCTGCAGCGTCCACGACGGGCTGACGTCTGACATCATCGCGCACCCGACGCTCGAGGACCTCGATGTCTCCGGCACCAGGCTCAGACACTGGGAGCTGCCTGGCAGCTCCAAGCTGCGCGCGCGGGGGGGCGGCAGCGCGCTCGTTTCGCTCATCGCGACCGACGCAGGCCTCCGTGGCGATCTGCCGGACCTGTGGGACTTCCTGTGCCTCCCGGTGCGCCCGCGTCCCGCGCACAGCCCATCACTCCAGTGTCCACCCACCTCGCGCCCCGCCGCATCCGCTCACGGCCGGCCCCCCTCTCGCCGCCTGCGCCCCGCAGAACCTCAAAGCACTCCACCTCGGCGGAAACCAGCTGCGCATTCGCCTCCCCGGAGCCCCGGAGCCGCTCTGCCCGCCCTCGCCGCTGCTCGAGCTCACTCTCGATGGCAGCGCCGTGGCGGCCGACGCGGTCCCCGCGTGGCGCGCCGCGACCCCGGCACTCCAGCGGCTCTCCCTCGCCGGCACGGGCGTCGGCGGCGCGCTGTCAGACTGGCTGCGCCTCCTGCCCGACTCGGCGCGCGCCCTGGACCTCTCCCACACGCGCGTGCACGGCGCCTTCGCGGCCGCCGCGGCGCTCGCGCCGCCGGCCCTGGTGCAGCTGCTCCTTGCGGGCTGCCCGGGCGTCACGGGCACGCTCCCCGCGGCCGCGCCGATGCTGCTGCGGGCCGAGGTGCTGTCGCTGGCTGGCACGGGCATTCAGGGCGCAGTGCCCGCGGGCTTCGCGTTCGCCGCGGCGCTGTCGGCGGCCGGCGGCGCATTCGATCTGTCGAGCACGGCGCTCGCGCACCCGGCCGGCGCGCGGAACAGCCGCGGGGAGCGGCTACCAGAGGCGCTGCAGCTGGGGGGGGTTTTGCTGCCGGTAGACGGACTGCCCGGAGTGCTGTGCCCGGCGGTGGTGCCGGCAGGCGCGGAGCGGCGGCGGGCGGCCGCGGTCGCGCTGCCCCCGGCGTACCACGGCCTGACGCGCTGCGAGTGTCAGGGGGGGGGGTCTCCCGACGCGGCGGGGCGGTGCGGCGGCGCGCGCGGGCGCGAGCTCGCGCAGGCCGGCGAGTGCGACGACCCCGACGCGGGCCTCGTCATCGCGGTCATCGTCCTCAGCGCCGCGCTCCTCCTATCGCTCGGCGCCCTCGCCGCGCTCGCCCTGCGGCACCTGCTCCGCCCGGCGCTGCTCCGGCGGATGCCGGTCGGGTGGGCGGCGGTGGTGGTGACGGACATCAAGGGCAGCACGGAGCTGTGGGAGTGGAACGCGCGCGTGATGAACGTCGCGCAGGCCGAGCACGACACCGTGATGCGCCGCTGCGTGGCGCGGCACCGCGGGGTCGAGTTGTTCACGGAGGGCGATTCGTTCACGCTCGCGTTCGGGTCCACGCTCGACGCGGTGAAGTTCTGCTGGGACGCGCAGAGCACGCTGAACGACCACGCGTGGGACAGCGAGCTCCTCGAACACCCCCTCGGCAAGGTCGAGTACCCCGGGGGGGACGACACACGCCCCCCCCTGATCCGCGGGCTCCGCGTGCGCATGGGGCTGTCGTGCGGGACGTTCCGGAAGGTCCAGGCCGCGTCCACGACGGAGGCCAGGAGCCGCGCGCGCGTGGAGCGCACCGGTTCAGTCGCGAGCTCAGCGTCGGGGGGGTCGGCGGGGCGCGGGCGCGGCGGGCCCGGACGGAAGCACAAGGGCACGTCCGGCGCGGCGATGTACGAGGGCACGGCGCTCGAGCTCGCGACGGCCGTGCAGGACGCCGCGGACGGCGGCCAGCTCCTCGTTGACGAGGCCACCTTTGAGTCGGAGATACTCCCCCTCCTCGGGGAGCTGGCGTCGTTCGCGCACAGCTCGGGCACGGCCGGGCAGGGCGCGCTGATGCTGGACAGCGACGCGCGCCGCGGGCGCAACTACAGCCGGTCGTTCCAAGGCGCGTCGCCGTCGGCCAACATGAGCATGGCGGGCGAGGGGGGGTCGGTTCGGACTGGCGCGACGGCGTCGCGGGAGCGCAACGCGCCCGGCCTGGCGGCGCCGTCGAGGTCGTCGCTCATGGAGCGGCTCAGCTTCTGGATGCGCCGGGGTAAGATGGCGGAAGGTCGCAGCCGTGGCGGTGGCGGCGGGAAGCCGCAGGGCAACGACGCCTTGGACGACAGCGGGCGCGGGCTCCGGCCGTCGGGGCCCGTCAGCCAGGGCAGCTTCGCGCCGATGCCGCGCGAGCCGTCGCGTTTGTCGCAAGTGCGGGCCCGTGCGGGGAACGTGGCGAGTGTGGACCTGCCGCGTGCGGGCGGGGACGCGCCTGAACACGTCAGCAAGATCTCGCGTGCGTCGAGCGCCGCGTCGAAAGGCGCCTCGGGCGCCTCGGCGGCCTCGGACCACGCCGCCGACCCCCCGGGGGGCGTGTCGCGCGCCCGCCCCACCTCCCCCAACGCGCCGCCGCGCGCGCCCCCCGGGCTGCGGCACGCGAGCTACACCGTCGGGCTCAGGCCGGCCGTGCGCAGGGGGGAACACCAGGCCGCGTCGATGACGCAGGGCCAGCCGGCGGGAACCACGGGTTGGCGCATGCCGGGGTCGAACCCCAACATTCGAAAGAGCATTGCGATCAGCGAGGCGAACTCCCCGAACGAGTCCGGCGTGAACAGCAGCCAGCTGGCGTCCGGCACGATGTCGCGGAACCAGGCCGGGCGCGGGAGCGCCGACCACGGGCTGTTCAGCGCGCCCTCGCTGGGCGAGGGGGGGGAGTTCATGGGGGGGTTCCCGCTCACGATGGTCCTGCACATGGGCGAGCACCGCCTCTCCTGCCGCAGCCTCACGGGGCCCATCGGGCTCATCCAGCTGCTCCCGCCCGCCTTCCTCGGGCGCACGCAGCTCTTCCTGCCGCCGGCCACGATCGAGTGTCCGGGGCCGCCGGTGACGACGGCGCCGTGCATCGACGAGTACATCGACCACGCGTACCGCCACGCGCTGCTGCAGGCGGGCGAGATCGCCCCGCGGCTCGCGCACCGCTCCGAGGTCGTGGTGTCGTTTGTTTCCGTGGCGGGATGGAACTCGGTGGCGTCGCGGCTCGCGAAGCGCGAGGGCGGGCAGGCCGTGGCGGAGAACTCGCTGTGGCTGTACATCTCGCTCATCCGCGCGACCGCGCCGTGCTTCAGCGGGTACGTGTGTCGGCAGAAGGAGGCAGTGCTGCTGCTGTCGTGGCCGACGCCCGTCGCGGCCGTGGAGTGGGCCGTGATGTTCCAGGAGGCGCTGCTGATGCTCCGCTGGCAGCCCGCGCTCGAGGAGTTCGCGGAGACGGCCACGGAGGACGTGGGCACGAAGCTGGCCTTCCGCGGGCTGCGGGCGCAGGTGGGCATCTACGCGGGCGTGCCGGAGCTCGCGATGCCGCACCCGGCGCACGGCCGCGCGGAGTACTACGGCCCGTTCATCAACCGCGCCGCGCGGCTGTGCCACGGCATCGCCCGCAACGGCCAGGTCCTGGCGTCCAAGGGCGTCGCCGAGGCCGCCATGTCCGACTGGTGCAGCCGCGGCCCGAAGACGAAGCTGGTCGGGGACCGCGAGTTCCGGCGGGAGATCCTCAAGGCGTCGTCGGGGCTGCAGGTCGCGGAGCACAACGGCGACGACGGCGCCCCCTCGCCGCCGCGCAACAAGGCCCGCGCGGCGTCGTCTGCCGAGGCGCTCGATTCCGAGGGCGTGCTGGTCGAGACGACGGCGACGGCGACGGCGACGGCGGAGACGGCCGCGCCCACGCGGCGGGACGTGACGTTCCAGGCGGACCCGCCGCGCGGCGTGCGGTCGGGCAACGAGCTGGCAAACGTCGCGCTGCAGGCCAACGCCGGCGCGTCGTCCGAGACGCTGGGGAAGCGGCCGAGCGGCGGCCCGATGCCTGCACCGTTCTCGCGCAGCCCGCACCTCGACCACCTCATGCTCCCGGCCGCGCAGACCAACTCGGCTCACGTCCACATGCGCGGGCGGCGGCACCCCAGCGCGATGGTCGCGAGCGGCATCGCGGGGCCGGGCGCGTCGCCGATCGCGGCCGGATCGGGTCGCGAGGACGCCTTCGGCCGGCGCACGGTGATCGGGTCGCTTGCGTCGCGCGGGTCGATGCTTGCAGATGGCACCGACATGATCGTTCACCGCGCGCTGCTGGACCACATGCAGAGCGTCCTGGGCGCGGAGGCGCGCCAGAAGGCGCCGCTGCGCGAGGTCGTGGTGCACCACGACGGCACGTACGCGCTGCACGGCGTGGAGGTGCCGGTCGACGTGTTCTCGGTGTCGACGGCGCTCCTCGCGGGCCGCGTGGCCGGCGCGCTGCGGACGTCGCGCAAGGCGCGGCTCGTCTCGCCGGGCAACAAGCAGAGCGACATCGTGCGCGTCGCGCTGCCGGACCTTGGCGTCGAGGGCCTCCAGGCCTCCCGGCAACAGGAGGTCATGCGTGAGATGGCCATCGCGAACGAACACGCGCGGAGGTTCCGGCTCGCGCCGACGCCGCTCAAACCCATGGGGCCCTAGGGGATTCGACGATGTCGCGGCGAGAATCGTCCCAACCCCCGCCCTGAGTCGGTCGCTTGGAACCCCCCACTGCCCCGGGTGGGGGGTTCCGGCGGTGACGCGGGGCTTGTGGGCGCGCGGCGCATGCCCCACCCCCTCTGCCGTGAACTCGGGCCCCGTTGTGGGCGTCACCACCTCTTCCCTGACACCCCCTGCTCTCTGTTATATCCTCTCCCCCCCGTTCCTCTGCCAGCACCATCCCAGCCAGATGACAAGATGCCTAAGATGAGCACGAACTGAACCACGAGCTGGACCTGCCATTCACGCCACAAGATCCCATGACGTCCGCCCATCAAAAACCCTCTAACACGACCTCACGTATGCGACCTCCGTCCGACGTCGTCGGAATCGCCCCCATGATTGAAACCGGATGTCTCGCCAAGAGGCATGTGAACCCATTGGTGCCCCGAGCCGTCCAACGAGTCGGCGCACAGCATGCACTTCCTGTCAGACCATTTTGTAGTAAAACAAACTCTTGAAGAGAGAGGTTCCTGGAGGGCTGTTGGCGTCGTTCGCGCTGACTCAGGTGAGGGCGAACTCGGGCGCACGTGACGCGGTCGGCACTCGCACGAACTCCGTGGCGCCCGCACCCGTGCACGAGCTCTCGGCCTGTGCTGCACCAGTCGCACCTGCGATGCCGCTCCGCTTCCGTCGTCCCCCTCCTTGCGGCGTGTATCTCGCGGCCGGAGGACGATCGCACGGCCGAGGCACGCGGTCGGTCGTGCACGGATGGGGGACGCCGGGCCATGATGAAGGTGGCTGAGCGATTGGGTATCGAGGAAGCACGACTGATGGTTCACTTCTGCTTTTACCTTACACCACCAGCGGCTGCCGCACGACGCAGGCGGTCACAAGGGCCCGCGCCCGCAGCAGCGCCTCACATACAGCGTAGCAGCTTGCATGCACTTCACGCACCGCTGTGTGCCTCGTTAGCAGTCCAGGGGCCCGTGAATGAACCACGCGTGCTGATTAAACGAGCCGTAGGGGCAGCCCAGGGCACGCACGGCGCCGTCCTGGTCGCGAGACGCCCCGTCTCGTAGTGGAGGAGGCCCGAGCGGGGCGGTGCGGGCGCCATTCGTGGTTCCTTGAGCGCATAGTGGCCGAAAAGGACTCGAATCGAGCTTGGTCGTGAGCGGCGTCCACAATGCTGCGGGAGGCCCCCGAGTGAGTTCCCGCGCCAGATTTTGACGCGTTCGTCGTCCCCCGTGTGCCAAGCCGCAACGACGAGGTGTCTGGTGCGCCTGCGGGGCCGCGAGCGGGAGGCATGTTTGCGGGCTAATGTGGACCCCACGCCGCCCGCATTGAGCCGTCGGCCCGCGTATCCCGCCTCCGTGACGGCTATCATACAAAACATCGCGATGCACGCATCGAAACGCGATGCGGCGCCCGCAGCGGCACGCCCGCGCGGCACTGGCCCCCAGCAGCACCACAGCGCCTCGCACGCACCGCACAGCGACGAACGACTCCTGAGTTCGCCGAAACATGAAACTTCCGGGACTTTTCTGTCGCTTGAGCGAATTGATCCTGGCGGAAATCACCGCAGAAGCGCCCGTTGGCGCGCCATGTGCTGTTTCGCAGCGCCCGTGCCCGCGCGGTCCCCTCACGGCCCCGCTCCGCCCCGCACCGCGCAGGGCGGGCTCAACGCGGCCCAAGTTCCTCGTCCTGGACCATGTCTCGCCCGCCACCCGCCTCATGGAGAAGCGCCGGCAGATGTTTGAGGTCGCCGAGACGCTCGAGCTGCAAAAGGCGGAGCACGCGCAGCGCGAGGAGGCGTACAAGAAGCGCGAGGAGGACCTCAAGCGCAAGGACCTTGAGCTCCAGGAGTCGCTCATCCGCTTCTCGAAGTTCCTCCAGGAGAACGACGCCAAGCGGCAGCGCGCGCTGCGCCGGGAGCAGGACGAGCGGAAAGTCCGCGAGGAGAAGGAGCGGGAGATCGCGGCGCTGCAGGAGGACCTGGACAAGCTCCGGGCGACCAAGGACGAGATGGTCACGGCGCTGGAGACGCGCATGTTGCAGTACCAGGCCTTTTTGGAACAAACCCTCGAGGCGGCGGACGAGTACCACGAAATAGCCGACCTCCTCGCGCGGCACGCGACGCTCCAGGCGACGAACCAGGACCTCAAGGAGCAGACGCAGAGCCTCACGCGGGAGCTCGAGCAGCTGCGGCTGGACATGAACGCGTACGTGCGCGCCAAGACCAACGAGATATTGAATCTGAACAACGAGATATCGACGCTGAAGAAGGACCTGGAGCAGCGGGAGCGGGCGTGCATGGCGCTCGAGGCGAAGAAGGACTACTCGATGCAGATCATGTGCCAGAGGACGCTCGAGCATGGGCAGGTGTGCATGGCCACCGACAACCTCTTCCACCGGTGCCGCTCGCGGTCGCACATCAGCCACCCGACGGACGCGGACGCCGCGCAGCAGCTCGAGGTCGTCGGGAACTTCGTCTCGGACCTGGGCGAGATCGTCAAGCAGTGGCGCTTGCAGGCAAGGTCGCCCCAAACAACCGCGTGTGCCGGCGATCGTGGTTTCGTGGTTGATTCTCAGCCGCTCGTGCCTAGGTCGCGCGGCCGGCGCGCGCGCGTGCGCGGCGCGGGTGCTCACCGGCGGTGCACGGCGTCGCTGTATGCAGCACCGGAGGCGGGAGGCGGAGGGGCGGGACGGGATGGGGAGTGCAGGAACCGCGGCGCGAGGGCGGGGCTTGCGGAGTGCGGGGCTCGGGGGCGCGGGGGGGCTGGGGCCGACGGCGGCGCCGAGCATGGCGGCGACGGGGCGCCTCGGGGGCGGAGCGAGCGTGTCGGAGTCGGTGGCTTCGTTGCGCTGACCCGAGACATGCATTGTGAGGTCCTCGACTACGCGAGCCGTGGCGTCCGTTGCCGCTGCCGGCGCCCGCTGTCCGGTGCCGAGTCGCGGGTGCCCATCGCGTCTGCCTGGGTCAGGCGGCGGCGGGGGGGAGGGGGTGGAAGTAAAAAGAACAGCATTCGGGGGCCCGGGGGTAGTACCGGCAGTGCCGGGCACGTTGCGAGAGGAAGACGGTGGCGCGTCGAACCTCGCACCGATTTCCTCGTTCGCGAGCGACGAGTCTGTCAGCGTTGTGTCGAGGAAGGACGCGCGACCGCGGTGAGCCTCTCAGCGCATGGGTGACCCGGCCGGCGCACGTGAAGTCCGTGAATCGTGTTTCAGTGCCATCAACCATGGCACGGAGCTCGTCACAGCAGGCGAGGAAGCGCGCGGAGAGCGCGGCGGCTGCAAGAGGCACACCCCCGAGGCCACAGCTAGCAAGGAAGTCGGTGACCCCAAGGGGCAAGAGCCCGCCGGAAGAGGAGCCCCTCATCACCTTCTTCCTCTTCGTCGAGAACGGAGCGGACTTCAAGTTCTACCACTACGCCGCGAGCGACATGCACGTCGGCGGGTACGTGCGGCGGGAGGGCGGCGGGGAGGCGAGGAAGGTCCGCGTCACGGTGTTCGGGGAGGGGGAGGTCCTGAACACGCCTGACATGACCGTGTACGCGAACTCCGACGACGGCGTGGAGGTCGTGCTGAACAGGGCCCGCTACTTCCGCCTGCAAATGGAGGACGGCGCGTTCGTGGAGTACGACACTGTCGACACGGGAGGGTGGCGGTTCAAGTGCGAGCCCGAAGGGCACTGGGAGGTGGGCAGCGGCGACGAGAACTGCGCTGAGATCACGGAGAGAGAGACGGGCTTCTACATCGCGACGAACATCAAGGAGCCGTTCACGGCCGGAGTTATAGACGTGCAGTAGATGTCTACCATGTGCCGGCACTCTGGTGGCGTCAATCGCGTGATTCACCGACCATGGATCGCCCACGACGAGAACGCGCCCGCCGCGAGCGTGCAAGGGCAGCCACGCGGCCCCTGGCGGCCGTCGATCGCACGACATGCGTGATGACGTTGCAACTCGCAGGGCGCTGCAGAGAGCCCGCGTGCCCGCGGCGCCGAGCGTGGCGGCGACGGGGCGCATCAGAGCCGGAGCGCGCGTGTCGGGGTCCGTGGCGTCGCTGCGCTGACATGCAAGAGAGTGAGCGGGGCAGTGGGACTAGTGAAATCATTTGTGCTGGCTGATTGTGAGGCCCTCGACTGCTTGAAGTGGCGCTGCGGCGCATCTTGGCGTTGTGTGCTGTCAGGGGAACGGGTAGCTTGCGGGTATAAGGATGCCGCTGGAGGTAGAAGTGTCAAACCCGGCAGCTGTCAGCAAATTGCTCCCGCGCGCGCCAGGAGTCTGTCTGTGTTGCGACGAACATTCGTGCTATCCCCGCGGTCGGCGAAGTCCGGAGCGACCCGTTGCAGCTGTCCAGGAACGGCGGCGAGTCGTTCTGCCGGCCTGCAGAAACACCGCCGCAAGTGCAATGCCGAGACCCGTGGGAACGAAGAGCACCGCGAGGAAGTCGACCGGCGGAAAGCCCCCTCGCAAATTCCCTCCGGAGCAACCAAGCGCCGAGCGGGCCGCTGAGCCCTCGGCCGAGGAAGCCTCCGGGTTTCCTACCTCCTCTTCCGGAGAGGAGCCCCTCGTCGAATTCAGCGTGTACGTCGAGAACGGAGCGGCGTTCCAGTACTACCACTACGCCGAGAGCGAGATGCACGTCGGGGAGTACGTGAAGCGGGCCGGGGGCGGGTGCGCGAGGAAGGTTCGCTTCGTTGTGCATCAGCCCGGCGAGGTGCTGCAGACGCCTGACGTCAACGTGTACGTGGACTCCGCGGACCGCGTCGAGGTCACGCTGAGCCGGGCCCGCTACTTCCGGATCGAGAAGGACGGCGCGTCCGTCGAGTACGACACTGTCAACACGGGAGGGTGGCGGTTCAAGTGCGAGCCCGAAGGACACTGGGCGCAGGGCAGCGACAGGGACAAGTGCGCTCAGCTCACCGAGAACTGGACAGGGTTCGTCGTCGCGACGAACATCAAGGAGCCGTTCACGGCCGGGGCCATAGACGAGTAGTTGCACTGCAACACCATCATGTTCGTCAAAAACAACTCATGCGGTGGAGGTGCGTTCACTGCGTCGCTCGCGCGCCGCGCTGGCCATGGATCGAGTGCCCGCGCTGAGTACACGCCCGCTGAGAGCGCGGCCATGTCTTGATCACACTGCACTCACAGGGCGTTGCAGGCGGCCCACGTGCCCGTGTGCGGCGACGAGCGACGCGTTGCGCATCGCGGACGGGGCGGAGGGGGCTGGCCCCGCTGCGAGCTCGCTGTGAGGTCCGACGCACAGTTGTCCTTCAACAACCATATTTGTGTGTGACTGTTCGACGGTGTCTCCATCGGCCTTAGCTTCGCGAGCGCCTGACCGCCTACGCGAGCCGAGTCACCTCTGGCAGGACGGATCGCGCGCGGCGAGGGCCGCCCCCCCCGCCACCCGAGTCAGCTCACCGCCGTCAGCGCGCAGCCAGTGTCAGCCCGGCTCTGAGCCGCTCAGCTGGCTACGCGCCGGAGCACATAGCGCGCGTGCCGCAGAAAGGAAGCGAAGTTCCCACCTTCGAAGTGACAGTCTGCGCGCGAATTCGGCGGCGATCAGGGCCCGGTGGTTGCGGGAGAGCGCAATCGTGGGCTTTAGGGGAGGGAACGGCGGCGCGTGAGGCGGTGGGGGCGCTGCGGCGGCGTGGAGGAATCGCTGCAGCTGCGTGCTGGGCGCGATGTCGGGCCAAGGGGCCGCGCCGTCGGGGGCGGTGCTGGTGCCCGTAGCGCGGGATGAGAACGGGGCCGTGAGCGAGGTGCTCGAGGTGCTGGCGGCGGAGATGCCGAACGCGGAGAACTTCACGAGTATACTGGGGCGACTGGAGGCGCCGCCGCAGGTCTGGGTCGACGCTGTGCGGGCGTATGCGGCGGAGGGGCGCGGAGACGAGTTCGCCAAGCTCTCCAAGGTGTTTGTGGAGAACCTGGAGGTCTTCCAGCAATCGTTCACACTCGAAGAGGCCACAGTTGTGGAGGTGTTCATGCACTGCGCCATCGCGGAGCACTGCGTGACGCAAGCGGGCGACCCGGGCCTCAGCAGCGCCGAGCAGGGAGCCCTCTTCAAGGCCGCGGAGGACAGTCTGAAGGTCGGTTCTCCGCCTCAAACGCATGATCACGCAGCGTACCAGCCGGGCAGCCCCGTTGACACCTGTCAAGCCGCGACATCGCGTGGATTTCGGCCACAGTCGACGTCCTCGGCCATTTCACGCGCGCGCTCGCTGCCCACGCAGCTATCTCGGCAGCACGGGCGCCCCACGATCTCCTACGCACCCACGCTACACTCTACGCCGCCTTTCCGCCTCACTGCGTCCTCCCCTGCCCGCCGCTGCAGTCGGCCCTCCTGGCTGGACCCCAGGAACAGCTGCCTTACGTGGGCCGCGGCCTGCTCGAGCTCCGGCGGCCCGCGCCCAAGTACGACCGAGCGGAGACGCACTTCAGGCGCGCCGCGAATCTCAAGAACGCCGGCGAGAAGAACGTCGCGCCGCACGTAGGACTTGGCATCTGCAGCTACGCACAGGCGCGCCACCCTGCGCCGAAACGTCCCCGAACCGCGCCCCAAGGCCCGCTATGCTGTCCCCGGGCGGCCGTCCGCGTCGCCGACAAATCCGCCCTCGCCCGCCGGCCATTGTCGCTGGTACATTGCACCAGCCTCGCGGCCGCGTGCGCTGGCCGAGCGCCGGGGTCGCGGAGGCTGCGTCTGCGTGCGGTGACCACCGCTGTGCGGCTCTGGCCGCGAAGTGTGCCGGCAGCGACGCGATCGTTCCACGTGCGAAAGAACAGTCATTTCGCGCTTTCTGTCGCCCATGTTTCTGTCGCCCATGTTCCGCGCCGCAGAAGAAATGGGGCGACGCGCTGCGGCACTTCGCGGCCGCGCTGAAGCAGTGCCCCTCGAGCCCGCCCTTCGTCCGCCTCGCGATCGGAGCGTGCCACTTCAAGTTGGGAAATCTCGACTCGGCGCGCGCCGCCTTCCTGAGAACCCTCGACCTCGACCCCGCGAGCGCCGACGCCCACGTGGCGCTCGCGACCATGGACCTCAACGCCGCCGCGGACGCCACGGCCGCCGAGCGGCCCGCGGACGCCGAGCGGCACCTCACCACTGGCCTGTCACACACCGTGCAAGCGCTTAAGTGCCGGCCAGCGCACCCGGGCGCGCTGTACCTCCTGTCGTGCCAGGCGCTCGTGCGCGAACAGTACGAGCGCGCCGCGGCGCTCGCGGAGGCGTCCGCGGGCGCGCTGGCGGGGGACGTGCAGGCGGAAGCGCAGTGCGTTGTTGGGCGGTCGCGGCACGCGCTGGCGAGCCAGGAGCCGGACAGCAGGAAGGCCGTGATGATGCGGCAGCAGGCGATGCAGGCGTACCGGCAGGCCGCGGGGCCGCGCGGGGCGCGGGCGGCGCTCCCCCACTTGGGGCTGAGTCAGCTCTTTCTGTCCTCCCGGCAGGCGACCGACACGCACAACGCGGTCGTCGAGCTCGACCGCGCGCTCTCCGTCTCCCCCGCGGACCCCGACGTCCTCGCCATCGCCGGCCGCCTGTGCCCCGCGGCCACGCCCGCCCAGCTTGTTTCCCTGGCGGCACACGTGCACAAGGTGCCGCTCGCGCGCGTGGCCTCGACGCGGTCGCTCGAGGTCATCGCGGAGCTGCTCGCCGCGACGGATCTGACCCGCGCGCGCGCCGTCCTCGACGAGGCTGTCGCGCGGCACCGCCCCGGGCTTGCCGCCGTGGGGGACCCGCAGGGCCGTGCGGCGGGCGGGGAGTCCCCGGCGCTGTGGCGGCTGTTCAACAACGCGGCCGTGCTGCGGATGCACCTGGGCGAGGACCTCGAGGGCGCGCGCGCGCTGCTGACGGCGGCGCGGGAGGAGCTGGAGGCGGCCGGGGGCGGGGCGCCTGCGGCGGTGCAGGTGACGCTGTCGTTCAACGATGCGCGGCTGTGCGAGGCGGAGGGGCGCTATGCGGACGCGCGGCGCGGGTACGAGGAAATCCTGGCCGGCGTGCCGGGCATGGCGGAGTGCTACGTGCGGCTGGCGTCGATCGCGCGCGCCTCGGGCGACCACGCAGGGGCGCTGGAGCGCCTTGCCGCCGCGGACGCGCACTGCAAGGACGACGTGGACGTGCTCGGGATGCGCGCGCTGCTGCTGCTCGAGGACGCCAAGCACTCACCTGCGAAGGAGTGCGTCGACGCGGTTCTGAAGAAAAAGACCCCGGGGGGCGTTTCAGCACAGGACCAGTACATGACGTGCATGAAGGGCGCGATCAACGTCGCGGCGTGCCCGCCGATCCTCACCAAGCTCGACGACAGGAAGCGCGCCGAGTACGCGAGGACAGCGGCCACTTGCTACGAGAAGGTGCTGTCGCACCCGGAGGGCAGCGGCAACCTGGTGGCCGCGGCCGGGATGGGGATGGCGTTGATGATGCGGGGCGGCTTCAAGGAGGCCGCGGACGTGCTTGGCCGCGTGGTCGACGCCGCGAGCGTGCCAGGGTCGCCGGCGCTGCCGGAGGCGCTGGTGTCGCTGGGGACGTGCCACCTGGCGATGGGCGACGCGCTCACGGCGGTCAAGCTGTACCGCACGGCGCTGCGGAAGTTTTACAAGAACGGCGACACGCGCGTGATGCTGTTCCTCGCGCGCGCCCTGCACGACGCCGGCCGCGGCAGCGAGGCGCGCGTGGTGCTGGCGCGCGCGCTGCACGTGGACCCCACCAACCACACGCTGCGGTACAACGCGGCGTACGAGCTGCAGCACGGCGCGATGGCCGTCCTGCAGGACGCCGCGGCCGACAAGCTCCCGCACGGCGACGAAGTCCGGCTCGTCAACGGAGCCGCCGAGGCGCTGGCGGTCGCACTGCGGCACCTCCGCGCGCTCGCGGAGCTCGAGAAAGCGCAGACGCGTCTCTCGAGCTCGATGCTGCAGGTCCAGATCGCGTTCTGCTCGAGCAACCTCGAGCAGGCGCAGAAGCTGTGCGAGCGCGCTGCGGCGCGGGCGGCGCAGCGGCAGGCCGTGCAGGCCAAGGTGCGGGAGAAGCTGGAGGCGCAGCAGGCGATGGAGGCGGCGCAGAAGGCCCTGGAGGCGGCGCGGCGGCGGGCGGAGGAGGGCCGCCGGCTGAAGGTCGCGGAGGAGGAGAAGAAGCGGACGCAGGTGCTGCGGGCGAGGCTGACGGCGGTGGCGCGCGGCACGGTGGCGACGGAGCGCGCGGAGGAGGGCGACGGCGACGGGGAGGCCGGGGGCGGCGACGACGCGGCGGAGCGGGGCTCGGCCGACGAGCGCGAGCTGCTCAAGGTGAGGTTGGGGGTTGTTTACAAAACACCCCCCCAGTGGGCTCGCGTGCGCTGCTGTACTGCTGCTGCTGCGGCGGGAAGCCTCACGTCGTGCCGGCTGCGTGACGCGTCTGCGCGCAGGGGGCGGGGCTGGACAGCGACAGCGACGACGAGGCGGGGGCGCCGGCGAACGGCGCTGGCGGCGCGAGCGCCGAGGCCGCCGAGGCCGCCGAGGCCGCTGGCGGCGCGGACACCGAGGATGCGGACGCGGCGGCGGGGCGCAAGCGCGAGCGCTCGGCGAGCCCGCCGTCCGCGCCCGCTGACGCAGCAGGCGAGGATGCGGCCGGCCCCGAGGCGAAGCGCCCGCGTGCGCTGGTCGACTCGGACGACGAGTAGCGCGCGCGGCCCGCGTGTGACCGCGCGACGCGCTGCTGCACCGCGTGCGCGGTTCATTCTTCACCCTCGCGCAGGTGCCTTTCATGATGTCACCGCGAGTGTTCAATTACCCCTTTGGGACGTTATGAGCCGAACGAGCTCGCCGCCTCCTACGTGCATATGATGTACGACGGCGGCGGCTCGCGGGCCGGGGCGCGCGCGGAGCGCCGCGGAGCGCCGCGTGCGACGCGGCCGCGGTGGTCCAGTGTCGGGCAGGTAGGGCGGACTGGTAAGTGACTTAAAGTCAGACCGGGGCGGGCGCGGCTCTAGGGGCCGGCGCGGGGGCGTATGTCGGCACAATCGTTTGCAGTTTCCGAAAGCAAAGAGCGAGAGATACGCCGAACACGCCTGTTCGAACCACACGCGCGGCCTTCGGCCCTTTTCGCACGTCGTCTACCGGTGCGCCCGAGCCCGGTATCGTAGGAGGCGGCGCGAGGCCACGCGCCCGGCTCAACGCCGTACTCGTCAGACAGTGAGCGAGAAAATGGCCACGGAGTGTGACGGGGGACGCAGCACCGGCGTAGCGGTGAGTGAATCGATTGCCGCTCGTGCCTTGGTGCCCCCCCCCGAGCCGCGCTCGCCATGACGCCCCCGCGCGGCAGGCCGCTCCCTCGAATTCCACCCACTCACCACGCACGCCGCGACGCACACCGCGGCCGGTCCGCGGCGCGCGGGAGCCAGCACTGTCACTGGAGCCGCTCTGCCCCTGACCTCGCGGCTGGCCGCGCAACTCGGATCTCACGCGCCGCACGGCAGCCTCCCATGCCCACCCAGCCGCCCGCCGCCGCGCGCCGGCATCACCGCACCCCCCTCACCGCGCTGTGGCCGTACCGACCTTGATAACAGACGTCGTACCAGCTTTTCGCCCACTCCGCGCCCACTCGCCCGCTCCCGCGCAGGGCGGCGTCGAAACCTCGGCTGCCATGACTGCACGCCTCTACAGCTACGTCACGGGCGGACTGACGTGCTCCATGATCTACATCGGAGACCGCCTGAGGCTATATGACACGCTGCTCGGTGCGCGCCCCGCCCCCGTGGAGCCCCGCGACGCCCGCCCCCGCCCCCGCCGCGCGCCCGTCGCGCCCCCTGCGCGTACCGACCGCGCGAGGGCGCCCGCACGGCCCCGGAGGCCCCCCGCCGGGCCTCCCGCGGCAAGTGCCCTTTGCATGGCCGGCCTCACGTCTTTCGGACGCGATTCGCGCCGCGCCGCGGCGCCCCACGCCCCTCGCGGCGCGCCCGCCCCCCCGCTCCCGCTCCCCCCCGCGCGCACCCCGCAGAACACGCGCCGTGCACCGCGATGGAGCTCGCGCAGCACGCTAACGTGCCAGGGCTGCAGTGGGTGGAGGAGTGGTGCCTGCAGCAGGCGTCCATGGACCTCATTTGCGTCGACGAGGCCACGGGGCGCTTCTGGCTGAACGCCGTGCAGGCGCAGGTGCTCTGCCTGAACCACCGCCGCGGGTCGAGCCACGGCGAGGGCGAGCCTGGGGCAGAGGGCGTCCCGCAGTTTGGTTCGCGGCTCGTGAACAGCGCGGGGCTCTTCGAGATGATGCGCGCGTTCATGACCAAGCCGAACGAGCTGCTCGACATGTTCCAGGACCCTGGGCGGCGCGACGGCGCCGCGGGCGGGGTGGCCGCGGCCGCTGCTGCGGGCGTCGCCCGCCGGGAGGGGTCGGGGCATTCTGGCGGCGCCGCGGACTCCGGCATGGGCGAGGCGCAGGCGTCGTACGAGTCCCGCATCATCCCGCCGCCCGCCGCGAACCGCATCGCCCCGCGGCCCGCGCGCCCGGAGGGCGGTGCGACGTCGCCGCACAACTCGGGCGACCTCCCGCCGAAGCCCAGGGCCGCGGCGCCCGCGGAACCGCCCGCGCGGCGCCACGAGCCGCACTCCGCGGTCCCGGCGGCGCCCCGGCACGACATTCCGGTGAGCGCCCGCGCGCTGGGGCGCGCGGACCCGCCCGTGTCGATGGCGCCCAACGACGCCGGGCAGCCGATGCACACGCTGCGGCGGAGAGCGGTGGACGAGATCCAGTACGACGTGACGCGCTTCATGGGCATGTGGGAGCGGTACGCGAACGCGAGCCGCGCGCTCAGCGTGCCCGGGCACGTGCAGCAGCTGCGCGACGGCATCGTGGTCGCCGACGTCAACGCCGGCTCGGGCGACAACCTCCTCGCGATGGCCCAGGCCTACCCGAACTCGACGTTCCACGGGTTCGGGCAGCGCCCGGACCAGCTCGAGTCGTCGCGCAACGCCGCGCGCCGCCTGGGGCTGCACAACGTCCGCTTCTTCGACGGGACCGTGCCCGCGGAGGCGTTCCCGTCGGTCCCGACGTACGACTTCGTGCAGTCGTTCGGCGTCCCGCAGGCCGGCCAGGGCGGCCGGCCGATTCCGTCGCTGCCGCCGCATATGGTCCAGCCGCCGTCGACCGCCGCCCTCCTGCAGGCCGCGGGCGCCAACGTGCAGGACTTCGCGCCGCTGCACGCGGGCATGAAGCCGAACGCGTTCCTGCTCGCGTCGGACCCGCGCGAGGACGCGTCCGTCCGGCACGACGACCGCGCGGGGGTGCCGCCGTACGGCATGGACGTGCCCTCCGCGCACATCGCGGCCGGCGGCGCGTACTACCCGCGGATCGACGCCGGCCCGACGCGCTCGGGGCCGTACGGCCGCGCCGGCCCGTACGCGCCGAAGCAGTACCCGGCGACGACGCTGGCGATGGACGCGCCCCTGGCGCACCTGTACGCGTCCGAGGGCCCGCCGCCGATCCGGCGGCGCGTGGGGACGCTCGAGGAGACGATGTCGGTGCCCGTGGCGCGCGGGCCGCCCAACAGCGGCGACCTCCCGACGCAGGTGCTGGCCGACACGGGCACGGCCGCGCCCAAGGGTGCGGACGCCTCGCACATGATGGGGCGGCTGCAGGAGGCGGGCTTCCGCAACATCCCGCCGACGCTCGCCTGGAACGACCCCGCGGGCGCGTACTACCTCGCCCGCCGATGAGCGCGGCACCCGCCACCCGGCATGACCTGCACGTCGACCTGCCTGCACACGACGACACGACACGACCTCCGCAGCTGGCGCTGTTTTCCCGAGCGCCGGCGCGCTGTACGGGCTCCACGCAAGACTCGCATCAGCGGCCGGTTTTCGGCCCCGGCCGATTTTCGTTGCTCCCTGCCCTCCGTCTCGGCTCCCGCTCCCACCGCACCCGCCCCCGCACGCACGTGTCCTCTGTCGATGTTCGCGTCCCGGCGCCAACACACACGGCCCCGGGATCTGTGTACGCCCCTACGATCGACACCCCCCCTCCCCCCATGTGGAACACCCCCCATCTCTATGGCACAGGCCGATTCTACGCTCCTGCCTAGAAGCCCCTCCTGTCAATACAGCAACAGAACCCCCTTCTTCGCCCCCCCTTCCACCCCACAGCGTTTCTGTCCCAGCGATGCTCTGCGGGCGGCCTTCGGACGTCGAGCCGCAAAGTCTCTCTGAGTCAGAGAGACAGTCACAGTCCCCTGTCAACTCCCCCCCCCCACCCCCCTCTTCGCCACCTCGCGCCTGCTGCACCCCCCCGCACGCCCTCCGCCGCACCTGTACGGGCACGTACGCGCTGCGTGCAGACGCAGGGCCCATGTAGCGCACTTTTCCAAGCACCCGTCGCCAGACGCGTTCGAGCCAAAAGGCCACCCCCCGCCCCTTGACACTTCAAGTTGGAAACCAACGCAACACGGCTGCGCGGCCCCCGTGCCCGCAAAGCGACGCACAACCACCCGCGCATGCGACCGCTTGCCCCGGTCCTTGCGCCCGTACGCGCCCGCCCCGCTGGTGGGCGATCGAGGCGCATCGCCAGAGTGCATGGTGGCGCCAAGGTCGGCCCCTGGCGCGCACAACTTGAACTGAACAGCACCGACAGCAACAGCATCCTCCCCCTCCTGCGGGGATTCAGCATGATTCAGGCTACGCAGGAATACAGCCCGGCCACAAGACCTGCATGCCTCCCGATTGGGAGCTGCGATGATGCCAGGCGGCCATGTGACGCGATGCCCGCATGAGTCGACAACGTTGTGCGTGAATGTGCTGTCTTGCTTGGTCGAGCGTTGTACCCAACGTTTCCCGCCGTGGCATTTAAATGATGACATGCTCATCATGGCTGCTCAACGTGTGTGCTTCCAGGAGCGGCCCGAGCAGCGGGTGACGTGAGGGGCTGTCACCTGGCATGCGTGATGTCATGCATGCTGTCTTGCTGGGCAGGGTCGCCGGCCGACGACATCGGGACGCGTGGTGGGGCTTGCCGACGAGTACCCGCACGCCCGCGGGGCTCGTCACTCATCGAAGACTTCACTCGAGCTGCGTGCGCAGGTGATTGGGACCCCGACACTTGCTGCAGCTTGCTCATCCTGCGTGCGGGTACTCCACCGCGTCGCTGCTCTCGGCCACCCCTTTCCTGGTTAACGTGACCTCCGGTGTGACGCGTTTGTCGCACTGCATGTTAAATACATGGCATTTCGCGCGAGTACTCCTAGCACGCTGCCGCCTTGATCAGGACGATAGCACACCCGCATTTCGTTTCGTGCGCGGGTGGTCAATTACCACTTCACGTGCATGACCGCTGCCCAGCTGGCCTGACCGCGATACCGGCACGCCAGGGATGCGGGCGGCGGCCTCGCATGGGGTAGGCAGACCCGTCTTGCGGAGAGGATGCCTGTAGGTCAGCGAACAAGCAAAGGTCTTCGAGCCCCCTCGCGGCGTGGCTGATGCCGAGCGATGACCCGCGCACACGTGCGCGAGGGCGAGACGAACGCAGGGGCCGTGCAGCGGACATGCAGACAACGCACCCTGCGCCCGTCTTCCGCCACGCAGGTGACTACGTCGCGCCGCTCGAGCAAAGAATCACGATGAAACGGGTCTACTGGAGATCGCAGTGACCAGAACAGGGGCGGCCGAGCGCAACGACAGCGGTGGAGGACCCGCACGCAGGGGGAAAAACAGCGCCGCTAGCTTGCTTGCTGCGCGCAGCACGGTGCAGTCACGGCACGCACAAGGCCCTGCTCGCGTGCGAGCGCTTTTGCCGATTAAGGTCACACGGCGCCGCCAGTTCCGACGCCCAGGCTCTCCTCCACCCGAAACCGTCCGCCGCATCCCCTGATGCGCACATCAAGCGGGTGCTGCGGCACCCGCTGCTAACCCCGAAGCTCCCTCCAAGACATGTCATCCCCCACGCTTCGGTACGTCATCCCCCCTTCACCCCATTTGTCCACTGGCGCTCAACACCCCCCTCGCCCACCTACGCCCCCGCGTCCGACCGCCACGCACACCCTCGTGCGGCGTCGATCGCGACGCTCCATCTTCTCCCTCCTACCGGCTCCCCCGCTCACGCCCGGTTGGACGCCGCGGTGCCCTTGGCTTTGATATTCGACACCTTGATCAAGAGGTAGATCACCGCGAAGAAGATGAACGCCCCGACGATGGCGCCGATGACGATGCCGGCGACGCCCGCGGAGCGGCCCTGCGGCCAGTTCGACGCCTCGTCGCCGCCCTTCCACACGATGCCGTCGTAGGAGAGGTCGATGCGCGCGACGGCGCCGAACGCCGCCGTCTCGCCGTCGACGCACATGTTGCACACGTAGGGGTCCTCCGTGCCCGTGTAGTCGCGCTCGTACGTCGGGCGCGACCCGTCCGTGCGCAGGTAGTTGCTGAAGTCCGTCGCGCGCCCGGGCTCGTCGTGGCGCGTCAGCTGCTCCAGGAGCGACGAGTCCGCGGTGAAGACCGTCGAGGACGACGCGACCGTCTGGCGCGAGTTCGTCGCGGCGCGGGCGCTGGGGTCGACGAAGGGCGTGTAGCGGCCGACCTGGGCCCAGGTGCGCGACCCCGCGTTGTACGTAAACATCCACTGGCGCATCGCGCCGGTGCGCGCGTCGATGCCCGACGCGTGGATGATGCCGTCCTCGCACGCGAGGAAGTCCACGCCCAGGCGGTTGTCGCCCCACGAGTCGTACGCGGTGATGTTGGTCGTCGTCGACCAGAAGTTCGTCAGCGTCGTGCCGGGGCGCAGGCCCGACGTCGGGCCGTCGGTCACCTGCCCCGTGTGCCGGCGGTAGTAGAACAGCATCCCGGCGTCCTCGTTGAGCGCCGTGGGGTACTTGCCGGCCACCACGATGTCGCCGTTGGGGCAGATCGCCGTGTTGAGGCCGAACCTGCGGTTCGCGAGGTCGCCGTTGCCCGCCGCGAGCTGGTACGGGTTGTCCAGGTCGCCGTACGGGTTCTGCGCGCCCACATTCTGGTTCAGCAGGTAGTTCGTCGCCGCGTTGCCGCCCGCCTGGAGGAAGGGGCGGTAAAACTCCGGCGGGATGATGCGCTGCGCGAGGCTGCACGACGTCGCCGAGCACTGGTACAGGTACACCACGCCGGGCTTCGGCTCGCCGCACAGCTGCGACGCGGCGCCGTTGTCGACGCCGGCGGCCGAGTTCCCGTTGGCCGCGCCAAAGCGGCACTGGGGCCCGCGGGTGTAGTCGTAGAAGAGGGCGTTGTTCGACAGCGCGGCGCTGTGGTCCGGCACGGCGACGAGGTCCCCGCGCACGGCGAAGCCCTGCTGCGAGAAGCGCTGGCCGCGGGCGAAGGTGGCGCGCTGCAGCGCCGTCAGGCCCAACCCCTGCGCGGGGTTGACGCCCGTGGCCACGCCGTAGGTGTCCGGCGCGGTGATCGTGGTCAGGTGGAGGTACTCGGCCTCGCCCGTCGTCGACGTGTGGCGCTTGAACACCTGGACGGACCCGGCGTCCTGCTTGTAGGCCGTCGTCAGCTGCTGCGCGTTTCCGTTCTGGTCCTCGGCGAGGTCGTCCTGGGACGCCGACACGAACACCAGGACGTCGCCGTCCACCTCCGTGATCGCGATCCCGTCCGCGCCGAACCGCATGTTCGCGTTGGGCTTGTCCGGGAAGATGCGCGCCACGTGCGTGGTGCCCTCGAAGACGTCGACGGCGCCGCCCACGGCCTGCGTGTTCAGGGCCTCCTCGCCGAACGCGTTCTTGCGCGGGACCTGGCCGACCTCGACCGACAGCGCGGCGTACGTGCCCTTGAGCGCGCACTGCAGGCTGCCCATGGCCATGGTGGCCACGGGCAGCTTGCTGCACAGGTGGCCCATGATGGCGCCGGTGGCGCCGTTCATGAGCACGCCCTGCCCGACGCCCGGGAGGCCCCCGGACGACAGCAGCGGCGCGCCGACGAGCAGCATGTCGCCGTCGTTCGCCAGGCAGCCCTGGCCAAAGCCCGAGTTGGTGTGGTCGCCAAAGAGGAGGTCCGCGGCGTCGACGAGCTGCGACTGCCACCGGCGGACGCGCTCGGTGCGCAGCTCCGTGTCCATCGCGAGCACCTGGCCGTCGGGGTCGACCGAGGGCCCCTCGTACAGCGACGGCTGGAAGACGTAGTCGTCGCTGTCGACGTTGCGGTAGTAGTTGAGGTTGGCCAGCGTGGGGATCGTGGTCGACGTGCGCTCGATGAGCACGCTGTTGCCCGCGTACGGCGCGACGTTGAACCGCACGGGGCACGCGGTGAAGACCGTGGTGCGGCCGATGGCGACGGCGGCGCCGCAGTTGGCGTCCATGCCCATCGACGCCGGCTGGATGCGGCCCGAGTACACGAAGTACGACATGCCCTGCGTCTGCACGCGCGAGTTGCGCACGAACGGCACGTCGGCGTACCCCGTGCCGAGCACGAAGTTCATGTCGAGCCCGTTGACGCTAAAGTTGCTGGCGCGGCGCTCCCAGTAGTGCGTCTCGCCGGCGTTGCGGATCTGCGCCACCAGCGGCAGGTCGTTCGCCGCGCGCACGCGCCCCACGACGCCCGCCAGGTAGTTCAGCCCCACCTCGCGGTGCGTGTAGTCCTTGGTGGAGATGCCAATGGCCACGAGGTTCCCGCGCCACGCGAACGAGGTGCCGCCCGCGATGAGCGTGGTCGTCTCGACGCAGTTGTACTCGGACACGCAGTTCGCGCCCTCGGGGATCGCGTACCCGGTCGGCGTCTCGCACTTTTGCGGGTCGCCGCTCACGGGGCGGTAGATGATCATCGTCGCGCCGTTCCGGATCATGAACTGGTCCCCGGCGAACTCGATGTTCTTGTTGACCAGCCCGGCCTTGTTCGCGATGTACGTGTTGATCAGCGACGTCGCCTGCGTCGTCCCAAAGACCGTCGTGCGCGGCACCCACTCCTGCACCGGGATCCACGCGCCCGCCGTGTTCACCGGGTCCTCCGGCAGGCCGTTCACCGCGTCGCGCATGTACGCCACGAGCCGGTCCGGCAGCGCCGCGTTCGCCGCGTCGTTCGACGCCACCAGGAGCACCCCCTTCCACAGCATCACCATCTTGCCGAAGTTGCGCCCCGTGGTGCGCAGCGCGTCGTCCTCGAGGACGCGCTGCGACAGGGCCCACGACGGGTTGATGAACGCGCCGTTCGCCGCGAACGTCCCGCCCGAGCGCGTCCACACCTCGACGGCGCCGACGTTGGCGTTGCCCGTCAGCGCCTCGCGCGACTCGCCGTCCACGCCGCCCGCCGACGTCGAGCCCGCGTTCGTCTGCCCCGTGCGCGGCGTCTGCGTGTCGAAGTCGTACAGGAACCGCGCGTTGTCGCCGGGGCACCCCATCACGAGCGTGGCGCCGTAAATCGCCAGCGTCCCCGTGGCGCCGCACGCGCCCGCGGGGCCGTTCAGCAGCGACAGCGTGGCCGTCGTCGGCGCGCCCGTCAGCCGCTGGTACGGCCCCGTCGGCACGCTCGACGTGATCGTCCGCGTGTGCGTGAAGATGTCGCTCGTCGGGTTGCGGTCGTACACGAACACGACGCCCGCGTTCTGGTACACCACCTCGCCCAGGAGGTCGGCCGAGTTCGCGCGGTACGGCTGGAACCGCGTGGCGCGCACGGCGGCGCCGCGGTACCCGTACGCGAGCGTCGAGCCGTCCTCGTTGATGGCGAAGCTGTCAATCCAGTCGAAGCACCCAAAGTTCTGCACGTAGTTGAAGTTCGACTGCTCGTTCGGCGCGACGGGGCGCGTGCCGGGCGTGGTGGTGCCCGTCCCGCTCGCGGCGTTCGCGGCCAGGTAGAACGGCGCGGAGGTGTCGGCCTCGTTGCGGTTGGCCAGCCGCGCGCACGTGCCCAAGCGCTCCCACTCGAACTTCGTGCGCACGGTCGGCACGTGCACCACGTTCGTGGTGCCGCCGCCGGTCGTCGTGTCCGCGGCGCTCCCGATCGTCGCGGCCTCCTCGCGCGCGAGGCGCGGCGTGATGTGCCCCTTGTACACCCATGGGTTCTCCCCTGCAGATATATATGTACACATATATGTGTATAAGTATCTATCTATATGTTCACGAGGAGGCACGGGTGTGGGCGGCGCGGGGGCGGTGGTGAGCGCGGGGGCGGCGGCGGCGCGGGGGTGCGCGTACGTCGGTTGGCGCGTTCGTTGTCCCACTTGAAGTAGGTCAGGCCGCCGGACTCGACGGTGGTGGTGACTTCGTCGTCGGGGTACAGCGTGGTGACGCCCGAGGCGACGACGAGCCAGTTCCCGTCCCAGGACGTCCAGACGTACTTGCCGAACTCCTGCTGGATGCCTGCGGGGCGGGCGCGGGGCCGGGAGGCGGCGGCGTCGCGTCGTTGCGGCGGGAGCAGCTTTTCGGTGGGGCGAGTGGGGGCGCTCGCGGGCGTGTCCGGGGCGTGCGGGGCGGCGCGGGGCGCGGGACGGGCGCGAGGAAGCACGGGCTCGGAATGCGTGGGAGGCGCGGGCGGCGCGGCGGCGAGGCGAGGTCGGGGCGGCGGCACGGTGTGCAAGCAGGCCACGCACCCTTGCCCTGGAATCCGGCCTCATTCAGTCCCGTGGCGTTCGCAGCGTAGATCTGGAAGTTCTCGGTCACGTGGAAGGCCGACGCCGCGGCGGCCAGGCCCAGGAGGACCAGGGCGCGCAGGAGGGGCGCCTGCATCGCCTCGCCTGCACTCGAGGGACGCACCGTGGGGGCAGGCTTGAGCGGTTCGTGCCGGGGAGGGCGCATGACGGGGCCTGGGCCGCACGGGCGCGGTGTATCTGGCCGGACGGTCGCTGGCGGGGCCGTGCGGTGCGGGGCCGCGCCCGGGGGATGCGGGGCGGAGGCAGGGCGTGGTGGAGCCTGGGCGCTGGGCGCGGAGAGCGCGGCCGTCGGGCCCGTGCCGGGGTGATGCGGCGACAATGCCGCATGGATAAAAAGTTTGGCACGCCGCCAGGTGGAGGGCGACGTGTCAGGTCGGTGTACACGCGCGGTGACACGGCCGGCGACATCGAGCAGGCCGCGTTCGGCGCGCGTGCCGGCACGCGCGGCATTTTGCGACGCTCAGAGAGCGAAACGATGCGCAGGGGCACGATGTGGGCGCCGCGCGCGGCCCGCGTGCGGCTCACGATCGCGGCTCGGGGCCAGACGCAACACAGAGGCAGCTGCACGTCCGCGCGCGGGCGAACGCGCCGCGTGGGACGCGCACGACGCCGCATCATGTCAACACATGCGAAATTCCGCCGCACGGGGAGGGAACGCGCGCAGTTACGGTGGCCGGGCGCCCGGGAAGCGCACCCTCTGGTCAGCGACTCTCGAAAGCGTGACCACGCGTCAAGGGCCCGTCTGGACAGTGCTGCTCCGCAACGCAATGCCGCCGGCGCCGCGCGCGGAAGGCCCTCGTGCCGCCCGCGCCCCCACGCCACCGTGGAGGCTCCACCGTGAGCGCTGTCAGGGGGAGGGCGGCCGCGCGCGCGGGGAGGCCGCCCACGCGCCCCGCCGCCGCGACATCGGAATGTCCCGGCGCCTGCACATCGTCACTGCGCTGTTCGCGCACTGTTGTCGCCCGGGGCCAGCCGCATAGTCGCGCCAAGCCTGTGCAGTGGCGTCAGTCGCGTCTCTCCGCTCGAGGAGCGGGTCGCGCGAGACGGATTCGCCCCAGACGGCTGGGCATCAGGACGGAGATCGCGTGCCGGGGCGGGCGCGCGGGCAGCCCGGCGGCCCGCGAGGCACTCGGAGGTTTCCTAGGTACGTCTGAACGTCGCCGCGCAGACTACCCAGACTCTGAAACACCGCTGCCCGCTGGCTGCCCCTCCGCCTGGAAGACGACATCCCGCTCGGATCATCCGCGCGGGACTTCACGTCTAACCGTGGCCGAACGCATGCCCATCATGTGCTGCAGGACCCGACCCCCGCTGCGTCGCCAGCGCGCACGCACGAGCCCGTCGCGCCCACAAGAACGTAGCACTCCGACCCGATGGCACAGCCGCGCCGCACATAGCCGCGTCCGTAGCCGCACACCGCGTCAGGCACCGGCAGCCGTCGCACCATGGACGTTTTGCTTCAGTGCGTGCACCAGTCGCACGCGCACCGGCTGGTGATGTTCCACCGGCAGCGCGCGAGGCACCTCTTCCCCGACGACTCCTTCGGGACCGCCGCCTCGGAGCCCGGCTATTTCAGCAGCAGGACAGGCCCCCAGCTCTGCTTGCTCACCGGCGTCACGAGGACCCCCGCGGAGGTACGCTCGCCCCACGCGCCGCGCGCCCGTGCAGCCCGCGCGCTCGGCCGCCCGGTTTCGACGCCGCGGACATCGTGTAAGGCGCCGAGCGGTACGCATGTGTGATGCGCGTGTCTGCGGTGCGCAGGTGCTTCGGTGGCTCCGCGACACGCACCTGGAGCGCTACGTCACGCGGCTGTACTTCTTTCCGCACGACGGCCCGCGCGCCGCGACCCGCGAGGACCTTCTGGAGCAGCTCAACGGGCTGGAGGCGCCGCTGGGGGCGGTGCGCGTGCTGGCCACGCCGGGCGGGCGGCTGCTGAACTACGTGGGCGAGCACCTCGCGATGTCCTGGGAGCTCGACCCGAAGCAGTACGAGTGGGTGCTGCAAGTGGCGGAGATCCCGGAAGAGGCCGGTGACGGCGCGGACGGCCCCGCCCGGCCGTTCCGCTGGCACCTGGCCCCAGCGGCGTGGGGCCACATGTACGCACCGCGCCTGAACGCGCGCCACGTCGCCCGCCGCGGGCGCGCGGAGCGGCCGCTGACGCACAGCGCGTCCACCGCGTGCTCGGTGCAGGAGCCCGAACGACCTGAGCGCCCGCCACGACGGCAGCGCGTGCAAGGCCGCGGCGAAGATCGAGGAGGCGTTTGCGTTCGCGGGCGCCGCGGAGGACCTCGACGCGGCCAATGCCATCGACATTGGTGCGCCTCGCACGACCACACGCACCGCAAAACGCCCCCCGCCGCCCCGGAGCGCTCCGTCTGACTCTGTTCTGCTTCGCCGAGCCTCCGCAGGGGCGGCGCCGGGCGCTTGGACGCAGTACCTGGCACGCACGTGCCGTCGCGTGGTTGCGATCGACCCAGCGGAGCTCTCCCCGGAGGTCCTCGCGCTTCCGAACGTGGTGCACGCGAAGAAGCGCGTGGAGGCCGCGAGGGAGGACGTCCTCGCGGCGTTCGGCGGCCCCGCGGACGTCCTGGTGTGCGACGCGAACATTCACCCGGCGGACCTGGGGGGGGTGTTGGCGGAGAGCATGGGGCTCGTGCGGCCGGGCGGGCTGGTCGTGGTGACGCTCAAGTGGCGCGGCGTCTCGAGGGACAAGGCGTGCGCGGAGGGGGAGTTCTTGGCCAGGGTCGGGCGCGGCGTGTTGAGGGGGCGCGCATGTGCTGGCTGATGGCCAACACGGTGCACGAGCGGACGCTGGTAGCGCGGAGGGCGTGAGCGGGGCGCGCGAGGCGGCGCGGAGACATTGGCGCGTGGGAGCCACGGAAACCACTACATTGTGTAACTGCTGTGACAATGCGGGACAGGAAATGCGCGTCTGCGTTCGGGAGAGCGTTGCGCGAGGGGCAGGGCTCCGTTTGCGCGTTGCGCTGCCGCGCGCGCAGGGCCGGGCGGGTCCGGAGGGGGCTGCGGACGATTTAGTACCCCTCGCTTTGCGCCGTACGCACCGTTGCGTTTCTGCGCGCGTGAGGCAGTTTTAGCGCGCCATGGCGTGACGTCCCAGGCCCGGTAGCATCGTACGGTGGCCGGTTGGCGGAACTCGCGGTGCCGCCCGGGGACATAGGGAATATTTGATGTTGGTGTAGCGCGCGAGGAGGCTTTGTGCGCACGGCGTCTGCCGCTGGCCACCTGAGCGTCTGAGGCCACCAGCCCCCTCGCGGCCCGCGGCGGTCGCCCTCGGATGCTTGCGCCCGACCTGCGCGTACGGACGTGCGGGGTCCGCCGGGCTGCGGCTCCGTCGCGCGCGCGTCCTCGCGGAGCCGGAAACCGCCGCGGAGCCATGTTGCTCGCCGGCGCCCTGCGCGCCGCTCGCGGGCCGTCCCGTGGGGCCTCCTCGCCGCTCCAGTGCCCGCGTGCGGGTCGTCTTCCGGGTGTCTGCACCCAAATCCGCGCCGGCGTCGCCGTCGTGCGCGGAACGGCGCGGCCACGCCGGCGTCTGCAGGCCCCAAAAAATGTTTGTATTTTTGCGACCCTGTGCTCGTTCGACGGCCTCGCGGCCTGTGTCGCGGCGTGCCGACCTGTCTCGGTGTAGTGCAGCGTCTGGTGTGGGGCAAGGGGCGCGCGCGTCCCTGCACGCTCTGTGATGGCCCGATTCCTCTGCCCCCGGCGGCGATGTCACCCTTCAAGGTGGTCCCTGTGCGCGCCGTCGCGGTTGCGTGCGGGGTTTCGCGGAGCGGATGTCGCGTCGCTTCCGGCCGCGTGCCCCGCTGGCGGCCTCGCTGTGCGGCGGACGTTCGCGCACGTGTGCGTCGTCGTCGTGCACACAGTCGTGACGCCTCGGCAGCGCGCGGTGGAGCTTTGCTGGCGGGCATCGGCACGGGATGTCGGCTCACAGGTTGCGGCCTTCGCCGTCTGTCGCCGCCGTCGTCGCTGTCGCTGTTCGCGCAGAGCCCAGGAATGAGTGAGCGCTCAACCTCCTCGCTGGCGACCTGCATGGCGATCTACGTGTGCGGCCGCTGCGGGCTGCAGCGCACCAGCAACCGCAATGGCCGTCGCTGACCGCCACGTGCTCCATCCCACAGTCGCTTCGCGCACCACACGTGCGGAGACCTCCGCGCCCACACTGCCGCGGCGGACGCTGACGCAACATGCGCGCCGTCCACACTCATGCGCCTCGCGGTGAGCCCCCACCCTCGACGTCCCGGACGCCACGCGAACAGTGCCCACACACCCCACAGTGTCCAACGCCACCCGCCTTCCTGCACAAGCTCGGCTACGACGGGCCCGAGCCCGCCACCAAGCAGGACGCCCAGTAGATCAAGTTCCACCTCAACGGCACGGAAGCCAGCAAGGGCGCCAACCCTAGCGCGCAGCCCACCACGTGCACCACCACCACGCCCAAGAGCGAGCACGTGAAGAAGCGCCAGCTCGCGATCGACGACCTCGTGGACTCCGGCGAGGACACCACCCACCCGATCACCCCGCCCAAGGTGCAGCGCACCAACAACCGCGAGGGCCGTCGCTGAGCGCCGTGCTCCATCCTACGGTCGCGTCGCGCACAACGCGTGCGGAGACCTCCGCGCCCACGCTGCCGCGGCGGACGCCCACGCGACTGGCGCGGCATCTATACAGATGAGCCCGCATTAGGCGGGACAGGCCCTCCTACCTCCACACCAATAAATAGACTTTCACAACACAAAAAAAAACTACCCTGCACACCGCCTGTCGCCCGCCGCTGCAGCCCGTGCACCGCGAGTTTCCGGCACTGATGTGAACCTTCCGGCCGCACATACTCGCCTCACGCACAACCGCACCTCCACGCACCGCCAATCACACAGCACCGTCAACCCCGCCTCATCGCAACCTGCCGCACCTGCTCCACACCCACACCGACATGCCGCACACGCGAAGAATGTCACTCACCTCACCTCACAGCCCACGACACGACACCCCACACCGCAAAAGCACATGTCACGCAGCGCCGGCCAATCGCACGCGCCCCGCCATATCAACTTCCTCTCGCAACACCACGTTCACGGCGCTGCTCAATCACCCAACTCCACGGCCGCAGCGCAAGCGGAGGCCGTTGTCTCGGTCCGTCTCAGTCTCAGTCAGTGTCGGCCTCAGTCACGCGACGCGAGGCTGCTAGCTGTTTCCCAGGGCTCTTTGGTGTCCCTCCGCGCGAAGTACGGTACACACTATCGCCGAGTACTCTGGTGCACTTGTCGACAAGGCCATGGAAGCCCATGTTTCGGGGTCGCGTCCGCTCAACGGCGACTCTGTTACTGCATTGACTTGCCTGCGACCGCAGCGCAGGTCATACCTTGACTTCAAACTCATCATTTCGTTCACGTTTGGATGCCTGGCATCTGCGTTGTACCTCACCCAGTTCAGCGCCAGCAGCGCGCGGAGCCTGTGGGTTCCCAGCCAGGCCCTGGATGAGGGAGGCCTTTCCCCCGAGGCGGAGGCGGTATCCGAACAGGGAGAACCACAGGACAGTCAAACGAGTGAAGGAGTGGACGTCGCTGCTTGCATCGCAGGCCAGATGCGATCTTTCGTCTTCCGGGGCGTGTACAAGCGCATTGCTGAGATTGCGCTTTGGCCCAATGCAGCCGACACCTTCATGTTCATTACGCCCGATCTCATGGAATTTGGGAGGAGCGGAGAACTCCTCGCGATGGACCTCGATTTGGTTGCGGACTACATCAACGCGGGCCCCGGGCCGGAAGGCTCAGCAGTGGAGACCACGGGGCCATGGGGGAAACCCCCGTGGGGCCAGGTCGTGCGCGTCAACTTCAGGCATGATTTCATGACATCTGCAAACCCATGGACGTCGCCGAGGTCGTGTGCGTACGGCGCTGAGATCCCAAAGTCGGAGAAAATCCCCTCTCTCTGTCCCCTGCGACGGATGCCCGATCCAGCAGGGCCGCACAGTGGCGAAGAGGGCGTCGACGCGGGCTGGGGGAACTATCAGCTTGGCCAATTCTGGCACGTGCGAGAGTGTTTCCGCATGGTGGTCGAGCACGAGGAGGAGAGAGGCAGGAAGTACGACTTGCACTGGCGCTTGCGTCCGGACATGGTTCCAGTACCACATCTCTCCCAAGCTCACAGACTGCTGGGCGACATTCGAAATACAGAGAGTGCGCCGCGGAAGCTCGACTGGGCCGGCGATGCTGCTTGCGTCACAAGCATCGTGATGCACGACACCTTCCATACACTTGACTGGTGGTACGCGTGCAACCCTGAAGGCGTTCGGAAGGGGCTGATGCGCATCGCGGATATCATGGAGTCGGATGCTTACATGGGGCTGCGAGGTTGTATCAGATTTCAAGGCTTTCCGGTGGCGTCCACGTACCTCCCGGAGTGTGTGGCACACAACACGTTGCTCGTCAACGGCGTGGCCATCGGTCAGACCTCGGTGGCAGAAGACCCCCAGCAGGCTGCCGAGGAAGCGCGAGCCCGCCCGCGCTTGTGGCGCATTTGTGCGGACGAGCTACCAGATGGACCTGAAGGACCACATACGACTAGTTGCGACTTGAGCAACGAGGACATCGTGCGGCTTACCCGTGAGACTGGTTTGGACGCCGTGCTCGAGTTGCCCTAAGGGGCTGACTACGCATGTGAGACTGAGACTCTGAGAATGATCTGGTCAGGGCCCAAAGCCTTATGGCTGACGACGCGAACCTGGATCAGCGCCGGCAGCGACTTCCCTCAAGCCCTTGTCCCGGCGGGGTACCGCGCCGTGCAGTTCGTGGACTACGAGGCGACGGGCGCAGGTGGCGAACACGCGCGGGACCGCAAGCAGGGCACCGCCACGCTCGTGCGCGAGGACCTCTACTCCAGCCTCCGCTCGGGCGACGCCGACCAGCGCGGCCTGCTCGACGGCTCGCGCAACTCGACCGTCATCTCCATCGGCCTCAGCAACACCAAGACCATCACAATCGCCAACGTCTACCGCCGCCACGCCGACCGCCACTTCGATGCCCTGCACGACGCCATCGACGCGCTCGCGCCCCACCGTGACGACCACGTCGTCCTCGTCGGCGACTTCAACGTCCGCATGGGCACCGCGACGGAGCAGGACCTCGTCGAGGACTACCCCGAACTGGCGGACGACGACGAGGACGGCTACGGACCGCCGGGACCGACGCCGGCCCACGCTGCCGAGCGGCTCAGCGAGGACAACACGCTCGACAACGAGCGCGCAGCGCGCTTCGCCCACGCACTGGCACGCGGCGACCTCGCCGTGCTTAACGGGAGGATGGGCGCCGCGTCGAGCCGCGCGACGCACCGGCGGGAGCGCGACCACACCGGCACGGTCATCGACTACGCGGCCGTCAACTCCGTGGCGGCGCCGGCGGTCCAGCGGTTCGAGGTGCTCGCCGACGTCGGCGACAGGGCATTCGACGCCTTGCCCGGCTGCGGCGACCTCGGACACCGCCCGCTGCTCCTCGAACTCGAGGTGCCCCTCGTCGACCGCCAGCCGCAGCCCGTTGCCTCGACGGACCAGCGACAGTGGCGCTGGAGAAACGCCAACAAGTACGCGACGGAAGTACGGTCGCGGGAGTACATGGAGGAGATCGTCGCCCTGCACGCGAAGATCGTGGACCCGAGCACCTCGATCGCAACGGGGGTGCACGAGATCGGCGCGTGCATGGCGCGTCAGACGACCGGCTGCAAGAAGAAGCACCGCCGCGCGCACAACACCCTGCACACCCCCCGGGGGCTCACGTACAAGCCCGCGGAGGACTCCAGGGAGGCGTACCGGCACTGGCAGCAGCTCAAGCGCGACGGAGCGCCGCGGGAGGACGTCCGCGCGGCGCGCAGGACCGTGCGTCGCCTGTGCCGCCGCGACTGCCAAGAAGCGCACCGGCGGCACGAGGAGAGCTGCCGCGCGAAGCTGGGGTCCGAGTTCGGCACGCAGGCCTTCGCCGAGCTCAACCGGAAGGCCTCGACGCCGGCGCCGCTCACCGGGACCCGCACGACGATGCCCTACGTCCGCGACCTCCTGGCACCTGGCCCCAGCGGCGTGGGGCCACATGTACGCACCGCGCCTGAGCGCGCGCCACGTCGCCCGCCGCGGGCGCGCGGAGCGGCCGCTGACGCACAGCGCGTCCACCGCGTGCTCGGTGCAGGAGCCCGAACGACCTGAGCGCCCGCCACGACGGCAGCGCGTGCAAGGCCGCGGCGAAGATCGAGGAGGCGTTTGCGTTCGCGGGCGCCGCGGAGGACCTCGACGCGGCCAATGCCATCGACATTGGTGCGCCTCGCACGACCACACGCACCGCAAAACGCCCCCCGCCGCCCCGGAGCGCTCCGTCTGACTCTGTTCTGCTTCGCCGAGCCTCCGCAGGGGCGGCGCCGGGCGCTTGGACGCAGTACCTGGCACGCACGTGCCGTCGCGTGGTTGCGATCGACCCAGCGGAGCTCTCCCCGGAGGTCCTCGCGCTTCCGAACGTGGTGCACGCGAAGAAGCGCGTGGAGGCCGCGAGGGAGGACGTCCTCGCGGCGTTCGGCGGCCCCGCGGACGTCCTGGTGTGCGACGCGAACATTCACCCGGCGGACCTGGGGGGGGTGTTGGCGGAGAGCATGGGGCTCGTGCGGCCGGGCGGGCTGGTCGTGGTGACGCTCAAGTGGCGCGGCGTCTCGAGGGACAAGGCGTGCGCGGAGGGGGAGTTCTTGGCCAGGGTCGGGCGCGGCGTGTTCGAGGGGGCGCGCATGTGCTGGCTGATGGCCAACACGGTGCACGAGCGGACGCTGGTAGCGCGGAGGGCGTGAGCGGGGCGCGCGAGGCGGCGCGGAGACATTGGCGCGTGGGAGCCACGGAAACCACTACATTGTGTAACTGCTGTGACAATGCGGGACAGGAAATGCGCGTCTGCGTTCGGGAGAGCGTTGCGCGAGGGGCAGGGCTCCGTTTGCGCGTTGCGCTGCCGCGCGCGCAGGGCCGGGCGGGTCCGGAGGGGGCTGCGGACGATTTAGTACCCCTCGCTTTGACCGGTCCGACGGGCGGGGCCGACGGGCGCCGTAGGTGCGGGCTGCGCCCGCGCAGTGCACTGTTGCGTTTCGTTCGCGCGGGAGGAGGCAGCTCGTAGCAAAAGCGCCACGTGGCGTGACGTTCCCAGGCCCGGCTTTAGCATCGTACGTACGTGGCCGGTTGGCGGAACTGGACGGCCGCGGTGCCGCTCCGGGGGGGACATAGGGAATATTTGATGTTGGTGTAGCGCGCGAGGAGGCTTTGGAGCGCGCAGGTGCGCACGGCGTCTGCCGCTGGCCACCTGAGCCGTCTGAGGCCACTTCAGCCCCTGCCCTGACGCCCTGACACGGGCAAGCACCGGCAGACGAGACTGACCCTCCTCGCGCGCCGCTCCGCCGCGGCGCGCCGCGTGGGACACGGCGGTGGGAAGCTCTTTTGCCAGCACCCTCAACAAAGCTCTCCCAACCGGCCCGCGCGTCCCTCTCCTGCCCGCGCAGACCCTCCGCAGGATGGGGAAGTGTCTGTCGAAGGGCGCGGAGGCGGAGGCGAAGGAGGCGCCTCCTCGTCAGGCGCAGGAGAAGCCGGAGACGACACCAGAGGTGCCCCTGCAGACCGTCGAGGTTCCTGACCGCGCGAGCGAGTACCAGGAGGTGGAGGTGGCCGCGGACACGGGCGACATTGAGATAGAGCTGGAGCCGGCGCCGGAGCCCCGTCGGAAGACGCACTTCGAGGACGAGGCGGGTGAGAGCGAGGATGCAGTGGTTGAGCCAGAGGACGGGCCTGCGCCGGTCCCGAAGGTGCGACGGCGCTCGAAGGGCGTGTCGTGGTATGCGAAGGCGGAAGGCTCGGGGGAGGACTCGGGGCGGGCTTACGACGGCATGGGCGACCCGGTGTCGGCCGAGGTGCTGTCGAAGAGGGAGCAGGACGAGCTGAGGAGGCAGGAGGAGGAGGCGAAGCGCGCGGCGCCGCAGAAGCGGAGCCGCGGGATCTCGTGGATCGACGGGCAGCCGGTGGACCGGACGGGCCCGCAGGACGAGGCCGGGCCGGACGGACAGGCGCGGCCGGCAAGCAACGTGTTTCCGCCGCCAGCGCCGCCGAAGAAGAAGTCCACGCGGACGAAGCGGCTCGCGCCGGCGGACATGGTCGTGGACCACGCGCAGAGGACGCTCTACGCAGGTGTGCGCGTCCTCCCAGCCCGCCCACGTGACAAGCAACAATGGACGTGCTCGACCCCCTCCGTGCCCGCACGCAAACCGCAGCCCCCTCCCCCCTCTTCCTACAGGCTACACGCCGCCCAAGCTCAACGTCCCGCCCCCGGACGCCCCTGCGTCTGGCAACGACGACTCCTTGCAACCAACGCCGTCAAGTGACAACGAAGCGAAGCTCCGGAAGGGGCTGCACGCCGGCAACACCCCGAAGTCGATCGTCCTCGGCAGCGACGACGACGACGACGAGGACGCGCTCGCGGAGCTGTCGGCGCTGGACGTCGAGGTGGCGGCAATGATGCGCAAGAGCAACAAAGCCGGGCGCACGAGCAGCCAAACGAACAGCGACGCGAGCAAGGTCGCGCTCCGCACGGGGTCGCACCAGACGAGGGCGCACCCGAAGAAGTCGGCGCTGAAGCACCACCCCGACTCGTCAGGGCACGGCCAGGCCGGGAATCCGGTCGCGGCGGCAAGGCAGAAGCTGGCGTCGACGAACGCGCTGTGAGCGCGCGGAACGCAGGCAACGTGCCGTCCGGACGTCACTGCGCACAAGCAACCGTTGCCGCAGCACGCCGCCAACACCCCCCCCCCCTTTCTTGATCTGTGCGGCACAAGACCCCCCTCCGGGGCCAGCGTGACGGAGTGACACGGCCGTAGCGACTGCGGCGCCCGTGCTCGCTGCTCCCGCCCCTCGATATGACCCGTCGACGCCCTGCCGCACACCTCGCCATCAACTACGCAGTCCACGTTGACGGTACGAGCATTCTTGTCCACCGCACCGCGGCCGAGCTCGCACGCGCGACCAAGTGATGTGACACACGCCGAGTCCCGCGCCAGCACGCAGGGGCGCTGCTGGACACCGTCAGGCCTCCTGCTGCCACTTATCGCCGGCCCGTCGCCACCTTGCCTTACGCCGCGGCGTGGCAGGGTCAGGCAGCGCGGCGTTCGCCCGGCGCCGACGCTTCATGTCGTTACGCTACCGCCCGCGCACGTGGGCGCACGCGCGAACCCCAAGGCACCGCCGTGACACGCTTTGAACCCCCCACTCAAAGTAGTAATTGACCACCCACTCGTTTCTGCAGCCAATATGGCCGGAGTCAGGCTGTCCCTCTTCGCTTATTTACAAGACCGAAACCACCGCCGCTCTGTCCGTTCGCGCCCTCAGCGCTTGCGATCCACCGTCTCCGCCTCGACGTCGATGATGGGCCCGTCCTCGTCGTCGTCGCTGTCCTTCCGCGCCCGCGTCCGCCCCGACGCCCCGACGCCCTGCGTTGCCTCCCGCCACGTCTGCGTGAAGTTGTACGCAGGGTTCCGGCGGCGGCGCTGCGCCTCCGCGACCCTGGCTGCCTCCTCGTCCGTCTTCATCCGCGCATAGGCAGCCAGCACCGGCGCTGCAGCGGGCACGGGCGCCGCGGCGCGGCGTCAGCCGCCATGCACGTGGGCGGGTGACGCAGCAGTGTCTCATGGTCGCCCCCTCAACGGCGCGAGACGGACTGACTTGGGCGGCAATACAGGAGGGTTGGCGCTGGGCGTACCGAAGATGATCGGGCCGAAAAAGCAGAGCCAGATGGTGCAGTTGAGGAGGGGGCGCCAGAGGCCGGACACGAAGATGAAGATCGTGGCGCCGAACGTCAGGAAGCGCCCCAGCGGCGTTGAGAGGAACACGCTGATGTTGTGCTTGTACATCGGCCAGTCCCGCCGGAACGCCCTGCGGAGACGCGATCTCGACGCGGGCACGTCGGGCCCGCTCAGGGGCGCAGCGGGGCGTCCGGGCGGCGCACGAAAGCCGGCGTGCGGCCACGTGCGCACCGTGCTTTTGTAGAAATGCCCATGGAGTTGTCGGCGTCGCGTGCGGCCTGCTTGGCCTTGCGCCACGCGCCCTTGGCCTTGTCGGAGACGCCGTACTCGTTCTCGATCCGGCGGGCGCTCCTGTTGAGCTCCTCGGCCCCTGTGGAGGCGGTCTCCCGCACCTTCCTCCCCGCGACGCGCGCGGCGTCGCTGAGCTTCTCGCCGACCTTGGCCTCGTCGAAACGCCGCTTCGCATCCTGCGGCGTTCGCGGCGCGTCGGGCCGGGTGGCTCGAGCAAACACCCTCTCGAAAACGGACGAGATGGCAGCGGTGTGCAACATGGTCGAGCCGCTCCCCAGGCAGCTCTCGGCGCCGTTCCGTGTGCTCGGATGATGCGTACGAGGTGTCATCGCAGAGCGCGCGCAAATCGTGCGACGAGCGCGCGACGTCGTCGCGCATAACGGCGGTTGCCTGCCCAGGGCTTGTGCCCAAGCGCGGACGACCGTCGCGTTCCACAGCCGTTCCGCGCACGCAGGGATTTCTCGCCCGACGATGTATCAGGTATCCGGTGCGCTGTCGCACGAGGCACCTCGGGGCCGCAGCGAGCGGCAACGCGGAGAAACCTGGCGCAAGGTTGCGCGTGGAGCCGTACCTGCTGAACGCCGTTGGCGGCGCGCTTGACGCCTTCCCACCCGTTGGAGAAGGGATTCGCCCCGGCCCGCGCCGTCAGCGCCGCGCCTGGCCGCGCAGCGGGCTGCTGCCCCGTGCGGAGGGGCACCCTGTGGAGATGCATCACGATGGCGCGTCCCGCCCTGACGCGACCGCCGAATCACTCGCTTGCCCTCCTCAGGCCTCGCGATACGGACGTCTGTCGCGTTCCTGTGAAACTGACGCGCCCGCGGACTGACGCAGGCCAAGCAGCCGACGCTCGCCCTGGACGCACCCGCCACACTCCTCCTGTCCGCGCGCCAGCGCCCGCGGCCCCGAGCGCTCTACGGGCCCGCCCCCCGGCCGCACGCTGCACGCACCGTCGCGAGCGAACCGAGACCTCCCACTCGGACGACCAACGGCAGGCGGAGCGCACACATCATCATTGCGGCATTGTAGGTCGCTTTGTGCGGCATACACACGATGCCAGCCAGCCTGCACGCTCCTGCGAGCCTGCGCGCTCCCATCGCGGACGGGGCGCGCCGCCAGCGCCTCCCCGCGCGCACGAGCGTCGCTGCGCGGGCGCGCGGCTTCGGGCGCACCTCTGACGCCTCGGCGCAGCGCGCTGGAGACAGCGCGGATGGAGACGGCGCTGCGGGGACAGCTGGGACGGCGCAGAAGCCGGGCATCGCGGGCCCGGGCGACCGCGACCCCCCCGGCGCCCCTGCGGCACGAATGAAGGCGGAGACTTCTGCGGGGCCCGGCGCGCCCGGGGGCGATGCTGCGCAGCGCGATGCGGCGCTCGAGCCGCTGCCCGAGGTGGGCCGCGCGCGCGTCCTCGGCGTGTGCGCCGCGACGTCGGGGGCGATGGCCGTCGGGGCCGCTTTGCTGCACCCACTGATCCCCATCGTTTCCGGGGCGCTCGGCGCCGATGCCGACCGCGTGTACGCTCTCAGCGACGGGTTCGGATCCTCAGGGGCCGTCGGTGTCGCCGCCGCCGTCGCTGGAGCCGCAGCGGTCACGGCGGGGCGCGTATTCCTGCTCGACAACAACGCGGACTTCAAGGCTGCGTCTGACCGCAGCAACGCGCAGGTCCTGTCGCCGCTGTCCTGGATCGACCTCCCCGTCGTCGCCGTGCTCCCGGGATCGTCGGAGGAGGCGCTGTTCCGCGCGTCGTTGATTCCTATGCTGGGGGGGGGCTGGCCCGCCGTGGCTGCGTCCGGGGCCGCGTTCGGGGCCTTGCATGCCGGCGGCGGGCGCAACGCGGTCTTCGCGACGTGGGCTGCGGCCGTGGGCGTGCTGTACGGCGCGCTGATGCTCTGGACGGGCGACTGCCTCGTGCCGATCGGCGCGCACGCGGGCGCCAACTTGGCCGCGGCGGCGCTGTGGAAGTCGCAGAATCCGCGCAGGAAGGGCAAGGGGAAGGGCAGGAAGTGAGCCGCGGGCCCGCCCTGGCACGGTACAACTTGGCTGCAGCACGTCGCCCGATGCCGCGGCGCCGCGCACAGGGTGCGTGGCGATCGCTATCAATGGGGCGTCGCGGCGTGTGACTCGATGCGGCGCTCCGCCTGACGCAGCCACGCGAACACGTAGCGCATGATGACGAAAGCGAGACACGAGGAGGTGGAAGTTGGCTCCCTCACACCGCGGTGCACCTACGACAGCATCGACCCGTCGACCTGCCGCAGGAGCTGCAGCACCTGCTCGGCCTCCCCTTCGACACTCCCCCCCGCCTCGTCGCCGATGAGCTTGTGACACTCCACGCGGCCGTCGTCCAGACCCAACAACAACATCGGATGCTCCGCCCCCGCCGCCGACACCTCCAGCGCGCACGCCGTCGCCGGCCGCCCCGTCGCCTGGTACTCCGCGTCCTTCTGGAACCGGGTCACCTTTTCTACTGTCACCGGCCGCGTGCGCGACTGACGCAGGTCCCAGAGGCACAGCGTCGACTCCGCGTCGAGCGACAGCAGCTGCGCGGGCCGGCACGGCGACCACCGCACCGAGACCACCGCCGCGCCGCCGCCCGCCGCGATCAGCAGCGGCAGCGCGCGCTGCCGCGAGAAGACCGCGATGGAACCGTCGGAGAAACCCGCGACGAAGTGGCCGCGCAGGAACGGGCTCGCGTGGAGGCTCGTGCAGTCCGTCGCGCCGGCCGCGGCCGCCGCCGCCGCGGCCGCGGGCACCTCGCACGCGTCCTCCCCAAAAGCGGCGGTGGCGTTGGCGCCGCCGACCTTCGCTGCGAGCCACCGCTCGACCGCGACGAACTCCCGCGGCGGCACGACGCTCCCTCCGATCCCGCCGACGGCGACGCGCGCCCCGTCGAGCGCCGCGAGCACCTCGACTCCCCCGCCGGCCCCCGCCAGCGTGGCGAGCCCGAACGCGCGGCGCCCCGCCGCGATCGCCGCGAGCCGCTCCAGCGCCGTCGGCATCTCCGGAGCCCCCTGCGCCAGCGCCGCGCGCCGCCCCTCGGCCTCCAGCGCCGCCTGACTCGACTGGAACGCCTGTTGTATCCCCAGGGGGAGTTTTCTGTCCACCTGGACGAGACACACCAGCCCGCCCGGGCGTATCCCGCGGCTCACGCCGCCCTCGACGGGCGCGAGCGTCTGCACCGCGTACCACACCGCGAGTCCCCCCCATGCGTCAAGGGACACCACCATGAACAGCGGCTCCCCTGGGCGGAACCCCGCGTCGTCGTCGCCGGCGCTCTGAGCGCGCCCGGGCGCGGGGAGGCACCGCAGGCCGACGATCGCCGCGGTGTGCGCGACGGTGACCTCCGCCTCGGTCGTGTACGTCGGTCGCCGCGCCGCCACCGTCGCTCCCGCCACCTCCGCAAACGCGTGCTCGTTCGCGGGCTCCCGCAGATCGTACGCGCAGATGCCGCCCTCCTCCATGCCGACGAGCGCGAGCCACGGCTTCGTGCCGGGGCCCCAGCAGCAGCAGGAGGCGACGCCTTCGGAGACGAGGAGCGCTGCGGGCGTGCGCGGGGCGGTGGAGAGGTCCCACACGCAGGAGCGTCCGTCCGCACGCAGGGCCTCGGGGACGTCCCGGTCGTTCCTGCGCGGCGGGGCGGGGCGCGCGGGGCGTCAGGGCGCGAGCGGCGGAACCGGAGACTTCGAAACTCGACTCATGGCAAACTGCCGGGCCTGTGGTGCGGCAGCAGCTCGACGGGCGAGAAAGCGCGCTCGGAGCGGCGCCGTCGGGCCGTGGACGCACCCCCCCGGACACGCCCCGTACGCACACAGCAACATCGGCCGGGTGCCCTGCGCGAGCGCCATGCCCGCCACGGGCCGGTCGTGCAGCCCCGCGGGCCACGAAAGCTTCGTTTCCGGCCCCGCTGTCGCCGGCAGCGGCTTCGCGCCGCCGTGCACGGCATTGCTGGCAAAGCGCGGTGGCAGCGCGCGCAGCTTGCGCTCGTCGAGGATCCGGCAGACGATCGCGGCGCCGCGCAGGATGGACACGCGCATGCCCACGTCGCGCCCCACGTGGAGCTCGGCCACCTCGTCAATGACTCCCCCCCCCTTCTTCTTCTTGGGTCGTACCCCTGCGCTGGCGTCCTTGGCAGCTTTGATGGCGTCCTCGCCGAAGTCCTCCGGCGCCTGACACGCCTGGTGCTCCGTGTCGGCCATGCGCACGGTCTGGGTCTCCTGCGAGTCGCGCGTGTGCGTCTGCGTGCCCTGGAACACCCGCGTGGCAAACGGGCCGCGGCCCATCTGGAGCAGCTGGTAGTCCGACAGAGGACGCATCTCGAACATGTCGAGCTCCGGACCTATCGAGAGGTGGATCCGGTCCTGCGAATGTGTTGCGAGCCAAGGGAAGCGAGGTCTGGAAAAGCAACGCAGGGAATATGCGTGCTGTTTGATCGTCGACGGCCTGGGACAGCCGCAGTGCTCGGCGCAGGTCCCAGAGGATGGTGTGGAGCGGCAAGCTGCGGCCGAGCTGCGCCCCGCGGGCGCCGTCTGCCCGCGCGCGGAGCGTTGCAGCTGGCGGAGCGACGTGCAGTTACGCGGGCGCTGCGTGGTGGGGGCGCGTGGGCGCAGCTTGCCTTCAGGTCCCGGGCACGGGCGCTCTGCTGGTCATTCAGCTTGCGCATCGCGTCCGTGACGACCAGGGCGTCTGCACGGGGCAGCTGCTTGCGTGTCTGCAAGCCGGCAGAAGCCGGGCGGTTCGCCGCCAGCCGGGCCGCCGTCGACGGCCGCACGAGCTCCTGCGCCGCAGCTTCCTGCAAGGACGAGCGAGGGGGCTTCGCTGCGTGCGTTGGCGCACGACAGCAGGTGTGCTAGCCCGTCGCTGCACGTCGCGAAAGTCGGGCGGCTGGCGCAGTGCGGGCGCGCACGGGCGCAGCTGGACGCCGCGCGTACCTGGGCGCGCAGCCGGTGCTGGATCGCTTGGTTTTGCTGCCGAATCTGCTCCGCCAGATCATCCTTGGTTGCCAAGCCCACGCCTGGCGGGGCCGCGAGGCGAGCTCCCGCCTGGAACGCGCCGCTCATGAACGGCGGCGTCCGCGGCCTCGCGCCGGCCGCGGCGACGCTGCCGCCCGGGGCCGCAACGGCTCCGTTTTGCCCCCCCTCATCATCGAACTCCTGCAGCGGCAATTTACGCGCGGCCCGCACACGCGGCCCTCAGGACCGCAACGCAGCAGCAAGCGCGCAGGACGGGAAGTCCAGAGGGTAAGCTAGGACGCCGGGGCCCGCGGCGCGGCCCTGTCCGCTCGTGCGCATTGCCAGCGCGTCCGGGGCGGTCACCACGGCGCCGTAGCGCCTTTGTGGGTCCCCGGACGGCGCCGCGGCGCCGACGCTCTATGTTTCGGGCGACTCCACAGGCGTCACGATGAATCCCATCGATGGGGGCCGCGTGCGGCGGTCGGAGGCTCCGCAGAGCGCGCCACGTGCCGCCAACATGCTGCTGAGTCTCCGGTGAGCTTCACGTTCCGCTTTTGCGCCGGATTCGAGGGCGCTGCGCGGAGGACGGCGGCGCGTGTCGGCGCACCTCGAAGTCCTCCTCGTCGTAGTCCTCAAAGCTCTCCTCGGAGTACTCGCCGTCCGACGACATCGCGCGCCAAACACGCGCAGCGGAGCTGAGCTCCGCCCAGCCGCGCCCCTCGGGCCCTAGCAGCCCCGGCTTCGCGCCTCTACGCTCCGCAAGCAATCACCGGCTTCGCACGATGCCTGCGCCCGGAAACCCAGACCTCTGACGCCCGCGCCCGCCTCAGGCCAGCTCCGCTTCAGCAACGTCCGCAAGTCCGCGCCGCGAGACCCGCGCGACCCGTCGACAGCCGCGCTTGCCGTGTCGCCCCACGCAGCTGCCCCGCGGACCCTTCACGCCCCGCCCGAGAGCTTCGCGCCGCAACACCACCCCTCCGATGCACTCCCACCTCGTGTGCGACTGACGGGCGCGGGGGGCACGCCGGCTGCCTTCGCCGCCCGATCGCCCCCCGCGCCGCCAGATCTCGGCGCGGCCCGCCTTTTGCGACCAGAATCCGACCAAACGGCCCGCTCAGCGGCCCGTGCGTGAACACCCTCACACGCGCCTTCGACACAGCACTGCATCGCAGCGGAGATGCGGGTGCTCGAAGCCCGGCTCACGGACGGCGCCACGGACAGCACGGCGCCGGCGCAGCGGCGCCACGCGCGGAGCTCCGCGGACGGCTGCGCGCGGCCCTCGCGTCGCTCGCCCTGGCACAAGCCGGGCGATCGCGGCTCGGCGGACGCGCGGGATGTGGCGCGGAATTCGAGCGTCGACCGCGAGACCGACGCGACGGAGATGCAGGATTCGCCCTGCGAGGACGGCCCCGCGGCGCTGCCGCGCGGTTCCGGCGCTGCAAGGCGCCTGGCGCTGGCCCTGGACGAGGCCGGGCTGCTGGCGCCCGGCGCGGACAGCTCGTCGAGCGGGCGCGTGCGGCTGACGCACGCGTCGCGGACGGGGAACTTGCGGCCTGAGAAGCGCGCTGTCTCCGAGGAGCGCCTCCAGTGGGAGCGCCGCTGTGCGCACGAGGTTGAAAGGAAGCTCGGGCTCCTGGAGGAGGCGCACGACAAGGAGGCGCGCGACATCGTCTGCCAGGAGGTCCTCGACGATCTGACGGGCGAGCTGGACGACCACGCCCTCGTATGTCTCGAGGCGCCGCGCGGTGAGTTGTCACGCACCCTTCGGGCCGCGTTTTCGCGGCGGTCCGCGACGCCGTGCCGCTACGGCGCCGTCCCTCTGGGATTTCGCGCGGAGTGCGAGCGAGATTCCTGCGTGCGGGCCCGCGAGGACGCGCGAGGGCGCCGGGGCGGCCACAACGGACTTGAAGCTCACTCGAGCCGCGCCCCCGTCCTGCGCGCTGCGCGCAGGTTCGCGGTTCTACGAGATTCTCGCGGAGCACTACGACGACGACGAGAACCACGCCGACGCGGAACGCCTCCTCGCGCTCTGCCAGGGTCAGTGGGTGTCGGTCCTGGTGCCCCCAATCTACGCCCTGCTGCTTCACCGGTGGCTGCTGACGCGGCCCGACGCGGGGGGGCGCGACGACCGCGCGCGCAACGCCCACATCATGCTCCTCGCCGCGCGCGACCTCATGCGCGGCGACGCCGACGGCGGCGCCAGCAAGTTCCTGCCCCTCTTCCGCTTCCTCAACGACAGGTGCGCGGGAAAACCAGTCGAGAATCCCCAACTGCCAGCCCGCCCCTGTCCCCTACACCCGCCACGCCGCACCCACGCGCCCAGCACCCCAGCACCACATCCACACACACCGCCCCCCCTCACGATCACGCAACCGCCTGCTCCTTCACATTTCGCCCCCCCGACCCTCTCGCACGGAGGCGACGCAAACCCACATGCGCGGCGCCAACGACCGACGACCGACACCACGCCCCCCTCCCCGCTCCCTCCGCAGCGTCGTCTTCGACGACGAAGCCCGCGCGTCGCTCCCGCGCCAGAGCGTCCTAGAGGCCTGCGCTGTCGTGGCTGGCATGTCCCCCTACTACCTGGGGCCTAATTACGTCAGGTATAACTTCCGGAACTTCCCCGCGCCTCCGGGGTCCGACAAGCGCACGCCCAGCCGCGTGCGCGGCGTCCCGGGCGGGTTCCAGGCCGTCGGCGGGTGGGCGAAGGCCGCAGCCGGCCCCCGCACCGGCCCGGAGCTGTTCATGCAACAGGTGTCGCGCACGCTGTGCGCCATGCAAGCCGAGCACGCGCTCGTCACCTGCCTTCGCCGCCTGCGCGCCCTCAAGGTCCGTCCCCGCGCCGCGCCGCCGTTCTGCGCGCAACCGCTCGCGTCGACGCCACAGCGCGGCCCCGGTCGATCGCACCGCACTGACGGACCTCCGGCCTCTCACGGCGGTCGCTTCGTCGCGCTCGCGCACGCAGGGCGTCCCGGAGCTCCGCGGCATCGGCACGATGGTGTCTCTCGAGTTCCAGTCTGTCCTGTACACCCTGACTCAGGAGGGCGGCCCGCGGTACCCCACGCGCGCCGTCCGGCACGCCGCCGACGCCGCGCTGGACGCCCTGTTCCCGATGGGCGCGTCCTCGCGCCGTGCGGCCCGCCTGTTCTTCTGGCTGATGCATCCCGTGGACGTGGCGCGCGGGGCGTGGACGCAGGCCGGCGCGGCCGCGGCCGCCGTCGCGGGCGCCGTCGTGCGGCTGTCCACCGCGCTGCCGTTCTCGGACGCGCCGGCGCTGCTGCCTGCGCCGCCGCTTCACGAGGGCGCGTCGATGCCGTCTGAGGACGTGCCTGTGGACGGCGAGCCTGCGGGGTCGACGGACGCCGAGGACGTAGACGTGCCTGAGGGTGCGGACGGCGCGGCGCGGGAAGCGGAGCCGACGGGGCTCGTGGGGCGGGTGCGGTGTGCAGTCGGTGGTGCTGCGGGCGCTGCGGAGCGGAGGGTGATGGGGTGGGTGTCTTGGCTGCAGGAACGGAGCGTTGATCCACGACGCGCGTGATTGCACATTTCGAGGCGGCGGGGGGTGAGTGGGCTCGGCATCGCAAGCGGTGCTGGCGATGCAGAGAGAGGGGGGGTCTGCGTGGCTGACTCGCCGCAGGCGCAGCATGCATATTTCGACGTGACGCGAAATGCTCGATCACGAGCTCGAGGCGTGGTTTTGCAGGCATATTTTTGAAGGCACGTGTTTGCAAACAGGCCAACTCGCGATGTTCGTAGGTCAGCGAAGTACAAACGAACTCGCGAACAACACCATTTTTGTAGCCAGGCCGACGAAGGTCTCGGCCAGTGTGACTCTCAGACACATTTTGTTGCGCCGAAAGAACGCACAAGGCGGACTGTCAGTGACGTGGTCATAACTGAGTCAGTGCTGCCGGCCGCTACGGCCATTGCAAAGTCGCCCCGTCTTCTGCCTCAACGCCGAATGCCATCCCGAGCCCGCCCGTCGCGAACAGCCCGCAGCGCAGTTGCGGTCGGTCGGACAAGCACGGATGTTCGCCCTCAAGAACGCCCCGTTCGATCGATCGCACCGCATCACACGACGCAGCCGCGTCACTCCTCGTCCGCCGTCAGCGTCATGCCCTGCCCCAGCCTCTCCAGCACCATCGACATGTGCCGCTTCAGCAGACTGGTGTCCTCTAATTCCTCCAGTGGCTTTGCCACCGTCGCGCCGTCGCCGCCCTTGGCCATCGTCGTCCGCAGCAGGTGCCCCATCGACGCCTCGACCGCCTCCTCCCACCCCTGCGTCGGCGTCTCCGGCACCTCGGCCGGCAAGTACGTGCTCAGGTCGCGCTCCTTGCTCTCAGACAGGCCAAACTGCATCCCGCAGAGATGCACCAGGAGCCGCACCGCGCCCGCGAGCTCCCACCGCGCAGTCTGCTGCTCGCGCTGGCACGCCTCGACGTTCGCCGCCATGCTCTCCACCTGGCCCATGGTGGACGACAGCAGCGTGTCCAGGTGCCGCAGGGGCTCCGGGGCCTTGTCGCGGAACCGCACGAGCAGCCGCTTCTGCACGGAGCGCAGAAACGCGACGCGCGACTCCAGCTGCGACCCCAGCTGCGACAAGCGCCTCCGAACGTCGAAGTGCTTGTCCACGCAATCGAATACGTCTGCGAGCGGCAGAGGCTCCTCGTACGACACCGAGAAGGGCTCCTCGCCCGTGTCGTGCTTGTAGAGCTCGCGCAGGCGCGTGCGGAGCTCCTCGACGACCAGCCACATGGCGTGGAACGTGTCGGACTGGATGCGGTATCTTCCGGCGTTTTTCGAAACAATGATGGTGACGTCCTCGCCGGACATGAAGCGGAAGGTCAGGACGTTGGAGCCCCCCGCGGCCGACTTCATGGTCCCCGGGGTGCTCTGGAGGACGTCGTCGAAGAGGGAGGACAGTCGGGGGGGGTCTCTGTTGGTCGAGATGGTCAGCTTGAAGGCGGCCTCGCGCACGGGGGTGTCCAGCTCGACGAAGAGCGCGAGCGGGAGCACGACGTCCGCGCTCGTCACGCGCGGCTCCCCCTGCGGCGTCTGCGAGTACGCCGTGATCTTCGCCACGCGCGACGGCGGCACGTGCGCCCCCGCGTACGTGAACCGCAGCTTCGCCATCTGCGGCGTGGACGTCCCGCCGCGGAACCCGGGCAGCTCGAAGCGCGGGTTGTCCGCGAAGACGCCCGCGGGGCACTCCACGGTGATCGACGTGCCGCCGGTGGACTGCGCCCCGGTGTAGGTGACGTAGAGCGTCGCCGTCACGCACCGCGAGCGGGCGTCGTTGCGGATGCCCGACAGCGGGTCGTGCATGCGCGGGTCGTCGGTCGGGTCCGCCAGCACGGGCACCTGCGTGCGCAGCTGCAGCAGGGAGGGCGCATGGGCCGCTGCGGACGGGTCCTGCGCCGCCGCGTGCTCCCGGATCTTCTGCAAGAGGTCCTGGTGCTCGCGGTCCATCGCGTCGAAGTCCAGATCCTTCGAGTCCACCACCTGCGGGCGCCGGGACGAGGGGGAGGGGGGGGGTGTTAATTCCTTCCTGAGCTGGGCGCTGAGGGGTGTTGCGCTCCGTGCTCAGTGCGCTCCCCGACGGCAGTGCGAGGCGCGCAGGGCGTGCGGCGGCGTCGCACCTGCACCACGTTGAGGGGGGGGTCTGTCCCCAGGTACGACAGGTCCAAACTGCCCTCATCGTCCAGGGCGACGACGATGCCGGGGATTCCGCCGAAGCTGCCCGTCGTCAGGCACACGGGGACCTTCTCGCTCTTCGCCGACCACACCAGACGGCCCTCCCGGTACAGCATCAGCGCGCCTGTGTGCGTGGCGATCATGCAGTGGTAGTTGACGCCCGTGACTTGCGGGTCCGTCGGAACGACCTGCAGCAGCGACGGCGGACCGAGCACGGCGATGGCTCAGGCGTCCCGCGCAAGCCGCCGAGATCGCAGAAGCAAGGTCGTGGGCGTGTGTGCGTGCGTGGGTGGGTGCGTGGGTGGCGCGAACGCCGGCGCTGATCAGCAGCGCGGTTTTCTCTGCAGGGGAGGCGGGACGGGGCTCACGTGCAGCGCCGTGGGGTCGTAGTCCAGGCGCTTCATCCACCGGGCGTCTCCCTGGCTCGTCAAGCACCACACCGCGTGGTTGCACAGCACGAGGATGTCGCCCTGGCTCCGCAGCGGGTCCATCTGCGGCCGCAGCGGCGGCGCGGTCCGCATGTCCAGCGCGTTCTCCCCCACGACCACCTTCCACGCCGGCAGCAGCCGCTTCTGCCCCTTGAGCGCCTTCTCGTCTTTTGCGCTCTCGGGCGACCCCAGGGGGTTCCCCGCGGCCCCGACCTTCTCGGACACCGCGCTCGCGAGCGTCTGGTACGAGTAGCACTCGACCTCGAACGCGGAGTTCGCGGTCAGGATGCTGTCCGTCGCCGGCAGGTACGCCAGCGGTCCCGGGACGAGGAAGCCAGACAGGTAGACGTGGAAGACCTTCTTGCGGCCCTCGAAGAACGAGAGCTGGCCGTCCATCGACTGCACGCACAGCATCTCCGAGCCCCCGCGCGTCCGGCCGAACTCGCCCTGCGCCATGTTGGCGGCGGTGTGTTCGAGCTGGTGCTCGTGCTCCTTCCGAATCTCGTACGCCTGCTGCTGCGAGGACAGCGTGTAGATCGCGAGCGACCGCGGGTGCAGCGCCGCGATGTGCAGCAGCCCGTCGGTCCAGAAGCGGCCTGCGGTGCGCGGTGGCGGCGCGGGGTGTGTGTGGCGCGGTGAGACGGGGCCGTGGCGGGCGCGCGCGTGGCTTGGAGTGCCGTGCTGCGCCAGCGGCAGCGTCCGCGCCGCACGGTGCGAGCGCCGCGGCGGCAGGCGTGCGGAAGGCGTGGCGGCGGGAGCGTCGAGGGCGGTTTGGCCGGGTGGGGACGCACCGACCGCGACGCCTATGATCGGCTCCCCGATGTTCTGTTCGATGAGGAGGTGCTCCGCGCGGAACCCCTCCGCCACGGGCCGGAACACGCGCAGCAGGCCGTCGAAAGACCCCACGACGACCTCCAGCATCCGCGCAGGGTCGTTGTCCGCGTCCCCGACCGCCTGCAGCGCCGCCGCGAGAATGCCCAAGACACGTTCCATCACGGCGGCTCGGACCGCGCCGCGCAGGGCCGCGCACCGCGCGCCCGCGCGACCTGCACATGCGCACACACCACGCGCACCGCGAGAGCGCAGCGCCACGCGCCGGACCGGCGAGGGGGGCCGGCGCGGGGTGGAGGGGCGGCCGCGGGCGACGGTGCGCGCGTGCGGGCGGCGCCGGACGTGTGCGGCGCACCATGCATCCGACGTCGAACTCCTCCTCCTGCCCACACCTAGTGCTCCACCACGACTTGCACGAGAACAGCGACATCGTCTACCGCTCCGCTGGCGTGATCCCTCCGTTGTCCGTCCGGGACGCGCCCGACCGGCGGCGTCAGCGCCGCAGCGGTGCCCCGGGGCGCCCTCAGCTGTCCGGCCGAGCTGGCACGCGCCGAGGTCCCCAGCAGCGGCGAGCGCGAGCTCTCAGCCCGAACCTACACCCTGCTACGAATGGACAGGCCGGGCGTCGCTGCACGGGGCGCTCAGGCCGCCCACGGTGCCCCACGCAGCCTCCAGCACGAGCGAGGGACTTTCGCTTGCCGAGTAGGTCACGTCTGGGCCCCCGAGACGATTATACCGCTGTGTGGAGGTCCGGTGTCGTCGCGGCGACCCAGTACGCCCCGAAGGAGCCCGGAGAACCGCCCCCCTGTCTCAGGACGGACCACACTGCAGTCGGGCGGAGAGCGGGCCCAGCTCAGCCTCCGTGAGGCCCCCGGCGAGGTCGCAGCTCGACGCGTGTGCGCGGGCCGCGCGGCGCGAACTCGCACCATCCCGTTTCGCCGCCCGGAGGATACGTTCACGGCGTCCGCAGCCCACCGCGCTGAGCAACACAGCCCAGGCAGCCGCAGGGAAGGCGGGCCCGCTGCTGCGACCCCGTGGGGCCGCCGGGCTAGCCGCCCGCGCACGGAGGAGCAGATAGGATGGGGACCGCGGACGTGCCGCCGAACCAGACGCTGTATGTGCAGAACCTGCCGGAGAAGTTGAAGAAGGAGGACCTCCGGAAGGCTCTGCACGCCATGTTCAGTCAGTTCGGGCGCATCCTGGACGTGGTGGCGCTGAAGACGTTCCGTCTGCGAGGACAGGCGTGGATCGTCTTCGCGGACGTCGCCAGCGCGACCAACGCAATGAAGGGACTGCAGGTGCGCCCCGCCCGCGCCCGCAGGGCCAGGGGACGCCCGCTGCGGCTTGCTTGCGGCAGCGGTGGGTTGTGGGGCGGGCGAGGCGGAGGGCGCGTCGGCTCGGGCCGGCGGTGGCGCGGCCGGCGCTCCAGGTGCAGCGCCGGCGGTGAGCGCGCGGGCGTGTTGCGTGCGCGCAGGAGTTTCCGTTCTTCGACAAGCCGATGCGGATACAGTACGCGAAGACCAAGTCGGACGCCGTGGCCAAGATGGACGGCTCGTACCGGCCGCGGGACCCCGAGGAGCGGGCACAGGCGAGTGCCTCGCCCCCGCACGCGCACCACCCGTTCTCGCCACGCCCGCGCCCGCGCATGCATGCACGGCATCAGCTGATCGGAGTCGCGCAGCGAGCTGCCCGTCTCGGCCGGCGCACCGGCGGCGTTCCGGGGGAGTGCTCGTGACGCAGGCGGCACGTACGAAAGCCGCGCACGCAACGCGCTCACGCACGGCCGGCGCCGCGCGCACGCTGCGCAGGTCAACGCGGAGAAGCGCGAGCAGCTCATGGACCGCACGGAGAAGGAGGCAGCTGCCGCCGCTGCCGCTGCGGCTGCCGCGGCACCCGCGCAGGCCCCCGGCGCCAACCCCCCGAACAAGATCCTCCTCGTCCAGAACCTCCCGCACACGTACGCTGCCCGCACGCCACGCCCGCGCCAAGCAACGACCCCACCGCCAACGCACCGCTGACGCACCGCCGCGCACGCGCGCCCCCGCCCCGCAGGACGACGGCGCCGATGCTCGAGATGCTCATGAAGCAGTTCCCGGGCTTCAAGGAGGTCCGTTTGATCGAGGCGAAGCCGGGCATTGCCTTTGTGGAGTTCGAGAACGACGCACAGAGTCAGGTGGCCATGTCCGGCCTGCAGGGCTTCAACATCACGCCGGAGAACGCCATGCAGATCACGTTCGCGAAGAAGCAGTCGTGACCGCCGCGCCGCGCCGCGCGAGCCAAGCGCGCCGAGGCTGGGCGCGCAGCGCGTTGCCGCCGTGTGACGCACGCACGCGACGCGCAGCGGTCCGGTGTCACATCGGGCTATCCCCGCCACGGTGCCGAACCTGCCGCTACCACAACGGCGGCGGGTTGACACAATGCGACGCGCTACCGAGTCGAATGCCCTTTTCAGGTGGTCCTGAAGCCTTGCGGCCGACGACGCAGCACACGTGCCACCTCACCTCATCGCGCCTTGTGTTGCGCGCTGGCAGGCGGGAAGCGCGCCCGAGCGCCACGCACTCACTGCAGTCGCCCGCACGACGCGCGCACCGTCCCTTGCTGTCCAGGGCGCAGCCGGCCGCAGCCGGCATCGGAACAGCTCTGAGCGCTCACGCCGCTCTCATCTCGCGATGACGCTCCACCACGCGACGCCAACCGGGCTCCGCTCACGCCGCGACGCCCGCGCGTCCCGTGTCACACCCTCCGCGCCCCCACACGCGCTGCGCCGCCCAAACGCGACGCAACGCCCACGCTCCCGTCGCGCAGCCGCGGCCGCGGAGCTCGCGCAGGTCCCGCCGCGACGGCGCCGCGCCGCAGCGCCGGGCGGGCGCATGCCCGTGCTCGGCACATGGCACGTACGCGCTCCACGCGCGGCCGTCGGGCGTCCGGTGCGCAGCCCGCGGGCCCCCGGCGCAGCTAGGGCTGCCGGCCGCCTGCGCCGCGGCACGTCCGGCCTCGCCGCCACCCGGAACGCGGCACCGATGCGGGCTGCCGAGGATGCACGGGGTGATGCCGCCTCGCCCGGAGGCCGTTGCGGACGCGGGCGGCCCGGACCGGCCGCGCGGGGGCGCGAGGGTCGTAGTTCTGGGCGGCGTGAGCGAGTCTGGGGGGTTTCGGGTCCGAGACGGGCGTGATTTCGCGCGGTAAACGCGCCGGAGCTCCATTGGCCGGACTCAATCTCGAGTGATTGCCCCGCCAAGGGGTCTCGGTGGGCCGGCCCCGACATTGCGCGGCGGCCCGCGCGACCCCGCGCACTTCGGTCCGCTGAATTCGAGCATTTGGAGATGTCGGCTGTCAACGTGCAGGGCCTGAAGGCCGTCCAGGTGCGCGCGAACCGAGCGCTGGGCAGCAGCGTCGCGCTCGCGGCGTCGATGGGGCGCCTCGGGGCGCGCCCCGCGCCTGGCGGGACGCTTGCTACGCAAGCTTCGCGCGAGTGCGGGCCGCCCGCGGATTCGAGGCCCGTCGCGGCGAACGGCGACGTGCATTGATACGACCTCTCCACACGGCCTGGGGCGCGTCTGTGCGCCTCACAATCAATAATTGGGCGACTCACCTGCGATATTCATCTCCTCCCTGCAGACCCGGGCCCCCCGGACGTCGCGGCGCTCCGCCCGCGTGGTGTGCCAGGCGCACAAGGAGGTTCGTCCCCCGATGCGCCGCCCGAATGTCACCCGCCCGGCATCAGAGCGCGTATACACGAAACATGCGCATTCTACGCGACAATGCGCCCCCGGTGTCGCGGCCTCGCCGCGCCCGCGCGCGCCCGCGGGCGTGGTGCTCGTTGCTGTGCAAATCACCCATCGCGTCGCCCCCGCTCCCCCCCTCTGGCCCGCAGGCCGCCCCCTCCAAGGTCGCCTCGGTCGTCGGCGCTGCTGCCCTCGCCGCGCTGGTGTCGGTCGCTGACGTGCAGCCCGCGCAGGCCGATGTGGCTGGCCTGACGCCTTGCGCCGAGTCCAAGCAGTTCGCCCGCAAGCAGAAGGGCGCGCTCGCCAAGCTCGAGAAGCGCCGGAAGCAGGTTAGAATCCGCCCTGCCCCGTCGCGACGCGCGCCGCCTCGAACGCGAGCGGAGATCGTTCGAGGCCGATCGTCCCGGATCGACCACGCAGCAGCGCTCCCACGCGGCCCGCCCCGCCCCCGCACGCCGCCCTACCGAATGCCCCTTTCCATCTCATGCCCTCCGCGCCGCCTCCGCTCCGTGCGTTCGCCCTGCGACCTCTCCCACGCGGTTCCCCCACCAACCAGCTTGCTCGCATCTCCCCCCCCGCGCCCCGCCCTCGCCCCGCCCCCGCACGCCCCGCGCCCACCCCCGCGCCCTTTCCCCGCAAATGCACCGCGCAGTACGAGCCCGGCTCGGCCCCGGCGGTCGCCCTCCAGGCCACCATCGACAAGACCAAGAAGCGGTTCGACTTCTACGCGAGCAAGGGCCTGCTGTGCGGCACGGACGGCCTCCCGCACCTCATCTCGGACCCCGGCCTGGCCCTGCGCTACGGCCACGCCGGCGAGGTGTTCATCCCCACGTTCGGCTTCCTGTACGTCGCTGGCTACATTGGCTGGGCGGGCCGGGAGTACCTGATCGAGACGCGCAAGGCGAAGAAGCCGACGGACATGGAGATCATCATCGACGTGCCCAAGGCGCTCGCGATCTGCGGCCGCTCGCTGGCCTGGCCCGCCGCCGCCGTCGCGGCCCTGCGCGACGGCGACCTGCTCGAGAAGGACGAGAACATCACCGTCTCGCCCCGGTAAATAGCCACCCTGACTGTAACACGGCACCCGCGAGGACGGCGTCACCGGCCTGTCCCGGGGCAGCGGGACTTCCCAGGGGAGGGCAGGGGGGGGTTGAACGTGCGAGGGAGCCGCTGAGTGCGCGGGACGTGCGTGCGGGGTCCTGTGGGGACGCGGGCGGTGCTGCGGGGGGGTGCGCGTCGTGGCGGAGGCCGCCGAACGTTGCCTGTGCGTTGCCGGGGGTCGTGCCCTGCGTCGATTGTGCGGTGCGAGGGGGGCGTGAGGAGGGGGGTCAGCGGTGCGCGTTTGACGAAGAGGCCGACGGCTTCCCGCGGCGACGTGGGCGCGAGAGCCGGATCCGGGCGGCCGAGAGCAGCGGCAGCGGTGCCGGGGTCGCATGTCAGGCAAGCGTTGCTCCCTGATGCAGCGTCGGGGACAGCCCGGCCGCACCGCGTCGCCGCCCGACGAAACGAGCGCGCTCACATCGCACGTGCCGCACGCACCGCACCCGCAAGCCGCAACACGTCGCTAGGACTGCCCACCACCACCGCCACCGCCCTTCCCCGCGCCCCCGCTGCCCGCCGCCTCCCCCGCCTCCTTCCCCCGCTGCTTCTTCGCCTCCGTCCTCTTCTCCGGACTCCCCGCCCCGGACCCCGCCTTCCTCTTGTTCCTACCGCCACTCCCGGGGGGGGACTTGACGCCGCGGTCCCCCCCCGGCTTCGGACTCGTCCACGGCAGCATCGAGTCCCCCATCGGCGTGATGCCCAGGTCCGCGAGCGCCCCGGCGCCGAACCCGCGCGCCGAAGCCATCATGGCTTCGATATTTGGAGTCGAGAGATCTCCAAGTCCCACGGAGCTATCGGCGAATATGTTTCGGAGCTCCTCCCGCGTCGGCTGGCCCGTCGTCGGCGGGCCCACGAGCGCCTCGAGCGGCGCGGGGTCCGGAGCGCCCGCCGCGCTGTCGTCCGGCATCGCCATCGCCCCGCCCGCGAGCCGCCCGGGCGTCTCCGTCGCGGGGGTCGCCGCCACGCCCGGCGCGTCCCGGCCGGTCGCGTGCGCCATCCGGGACCGCTCGGCGACGCGCCCGCCGCGCACGGAGAGCATCGCGGCCCCGCCCGTCGGGGGGTTGGTCGGCGTGAAGAGCGGCAGCGGCCCAGGCCCACTCCCTGTCGCGGACTGCTGCACGTTGATCGGACGGGCCTTGTTTTCCGGGACGGTGATGACGAGGCCCGGGCCGCGCTTGAGCGTGCCCTTGCCGCCGCCGTTCTCGTCCGCGGACTGCACGGAGAGTCCCCCCGGGGACAAAAGGGGGTTGCGCTCCCCGGCGCGGCCCGCGTGCTGCGCGCCCGACGCGTCGCCCGCGCCCCGCGGGTGGTCGCGCTGGTACTGCTGCGCAGCCTCGAACTCCTGCGAACACCAGCGGGCGCGGGGGGCGGGTCGCACGCGCCGCACGACGCAACCACAACACGCAACACAGCCTCGCCGGGCGGCCCGGCGACGCCGCACAGACACCTCACGCGTGCCTCGCGCCGCTCCGCCCCGCAGCCACACGTGCCACGCCATCGCGCGCCAGCATCGCACAGCGCCGGCCGCAACCCCTCCATGCGGCGCGGCGCGACCGGACGCCGGGCCGCGGGGCTCCGGACGGCATCTCGCAGCACAGGGACGACGCGCCGGGCGCGTCGCGCGGGCGGGCCGCTCACCTCCGCCAGGGTGCTGAAGGCGCGGTCGGCCCGGGGACTCAGCGCGTGGCTCTCGATCTGGACGTCCACGGGCATGGGGTGGAACACCGACCGCGTGGCCCCGGCGAGCCGCTCCATCGCGCGCGCGTCCGCGGGGGCCCCCGCCTGACTCAGCGGCACCCCGTTGGCCCCGTAAGGCTTTCCGTACAGCATCTGCACCGTTCGGTATTGTTCTGTGGTGGTGGTGGCGTGCGCGGTGGCCGCAACGTGCGCGGTGCGATGGTTCGCGTCCCCCGTGGAGGCGCTTTGGGCGGGCGAGGGGGGGGAGGGGGTGTGCGTGTGTGCATGGGGGCGTGTACAGGGCTGGGTCTGCGCGGGCGCACCTCGCCGTCGAGGTCGAAGCCGTCGTCGTCGTCGTCGTCGTCGTCGTCCCCGCCGTCGTCCTGCGGGGGGTTCCGCCGGGCGTGCTGCTCCGCAAGCTGGCTGCCAAAGTGCTGCGCCAGCAAGTCGTGCGTGTTCTTGCGCTCGTGCGCCTCCTGACAGGCCTGCAGCGCGCCACGGAGCGCCCACGGACAGCGGTGAGGCGGCGGCGGGCGTGCGGGGCGTCTGCGGACCGGGACGTGACGGCACCTGCACGTGCGTGCGCGCGGCACAGGGGGAGCGAGGTCGCACCTTGCCGAACTTGCCGAGCGTCCGCTCGACTTCGTGGGAGTGGTAGAGGAAGAGCTTGCCGTGCTGGTTGAAGACGATGAGCGCGATTTCGCAGTCGCACAGGACCGACAACTCCATCGCCTTCTTCATCAGGCCATTCTTGCGCTTCGTGAACGTCACCTGCGGCGCGCGTGTGGCCGCGCAGGCGCCCTGATAAGCAAACCACCGACTGCGGGGGCCTCGGCGGCCGCGCAGCCCCGGGGCCGCGCGTGGCGAGCCCGTGCCTGGGCGCGCTCGAAGCGGGGTCGCCGCCGCGGCCCCGCAGGAGCGCGAGGGCGGCCCTGGACCGGCGCGTCGACGCGTTGCGTAGCAGACAAGGCCGGAGCGAGGACGAACGCGGCCGGCGGGCGCGGTTCGGCGCCCGCGGCCCAGCATGGCTCCCTACAGAGCACACTGCTGCACGCTGCTCCAGCTCGTGACGCCGCGCGCCCGGCCGAGCCCCCGGGGCCGCGTCGCCGCAGGGAGGGCGCGCCAGGAAGCCACCGCGGCGCACGCGCCGGCGGGAAACCGCTCCTGGAGGCGGGCGCGTGCGCGCGCTCTCTCGGGCAGCGCTGGGGCATTTGGGGCCGGTCCGGGGGCGGGCGGGCGGTTCGCACCTGGCGGTTGCGCTCGTCGGGGATTTTCTCGATCCTGATCTTCTTCCGACCCATGGTGAACGCGCTGCGGAGGCAGGGGCGGGGCAACGGCCGCGCAGGGGGTGGGCGCCTACGGCAGCAGGGCGAGGCCCGCTGCCTCGCGCGTGCGGGTATACAGGCCGCGCGGGCCGCACGGGACGGATGCTCGGGCTCGGGGGAAGCAGGCGTTATCGCGCTTGGGGGCGGGAGCGGACAGCAGGGTGCGTGCGCGCGCCCTCGCTCGGTGGGTTTTGAATGCGGGGGCGTTCGCACCTGCTCGGCCAGCCGAGCGCGAAGAGATGTGCCGGGTACGGCTGGTCAATTCGTCTTCCGGCTCCGCGGGCCCTGGAACGCCTCGAGGGAGCGCCACGGCGAAGGACAACCGCTCTGGTCTCCTACTAGGTCAGCAGACTCGCCTCGTATCGATGTTGCGCGTAATTCGCGGAGAACAGGTTAAGTATATGGCCGGGCACGGAACGCGGGGGCGGCAATCCTCTCGCATGCTCCCCCGGACCGGGTCCGGCACGCCGGGTTCGGTCAGCAGAAAGTCAGACGCGGTTGACGCCGTCAGCCGGCAACGCGCGCCGCGGCGAGGGCCGCGGGACGAACCTCACGGCCCAAGCACGCGTCGCGGCTCGCCTCGCGGCCCGCGACCGCCTCGCGAGGCACGTCAACGCCCCTGCCTCTTCCCGACACTCGAAAGAAGGGATTGCGCGCTTTCAGCGTCACATGTCCGTCACCCTGAGCGTGAGCTTGATGTTCATCGCCGCCATCTCGTTCACGAGGTACCGGAACACGAACGGAATGCCTATCCTCTTGATGTGTGCCCCCTCGTTGCACAGGCGACATACAATCGGCCCGCGCCGCTGCCCGCCGCCCGCGCGGTTCCCGACCATCGCCGACAGCGTCGGCACGTGCGTCGGCGACAGGATCGACCCGCACTTCGCGCACACGTCCGTCGCGTACCAGTCCGAGCACAGCTGCAGCCTGTCGTGCAGGAGGTACGCAGCCCCGTGCGCAATCAGCGAGTCCCGCTCCATCTCCCCGAGCCGGATCCCGCCCCCGGCCTTCCGCCCCTTGACCGGCTGCATCGTCAGCGGGTTCACCGGCCCCGTCGACCGCACCTGGAACTTGTCCGACACCATATGCCTCAGCCTTTGGTAGTACACGCAGCCAATGAAGATCTCGACCTTGAAGTCCGTCCCCGTGATGCCCCCGACCATCTGCTCCTCGCCGTACCGCTGGAACCCGTGCGCCTCGAGCTGGTCGCCGAACTCCCGCACGGGGTCCCACGCCGCGTCGGTGCTGGTTTGAAAGGGCGTCGCGTCGACGAACCCGCCCGACATCGCGGCCGCCTTCGACGCCATCGACTCGATCAGCATCCCGATCGTCATCCGCGACGGGAACGCGTTCGGGTTGATGATCAGGTCCGGCCGGATGCCTGAGCTGGCAATCCACGGCATGTCAATGTCGGGCCAGAGCATCGACAGGACGCCCTTCTGGCCCGCGCGGGACGCGAACTTGTCGCCGATGACGGGGTTGCGGTTGTACCGCAGCCGGATGTTGGCCCGCGTCGCCCCGCGGCCGCCGCTGCCGCTCTCCGGCCCCACGACGGCGACGTGGTCCACGACGGCGATCTCCTCGCCCGACGTCGCGCCGCCCGTCGTGCGCCCCGTTGTTGTGTCCGCGACGCTGTAGTACCGCTCGCTCGGCCACACGACCGCCCCGACGTGCGGGAGGCCGTCGACGTCGATCCGGTCGGCGTGCAGCAGTGGCTGGTCCGGGGCCGCGCCGAGGTCGAGCGCGGCGGCCGAGTCCGGCGCGACGGGGACGTTGAGCGGATACCGCTGCCCGAACGCGTTCTCGCGGAACGCCGGCTTCTCCCCGAGGACCTTCCCCGGCGGGGCGCGCTCCGGGCGGAACGCACGGGAGCCCTGCGGAGCGCACGTAGCGCGCGAGGGAGGGGGGGTGAGCGGCGGAGACACGGAGAGCGCCGCTGGGCAGCTCACGCGGCACGCGGTGCGGGGGCCGAGGGGCTACGTGGCGCGCGGGGAGTGTCTGTCCTACCTTGGGGCCCTTTTCCTCGAGGTCGATGCGCTCGCACTTGTACATCGTGCCGTGGAAGGCGCCGCGTTCCACGCTGCTCTTGTTGAGGATCATCGCGTCCTCCATGTCGTAGCCGGTGTAGGACAGCACCGCCACGACGGCGTTCGTGCCGTTCGCGTACTCGTCCATGCAGAAGCGGTCGTACAGCTGCGTGCGCGCGAGCGGCGTCTGTGGCGTATTTAGCCGGTACACCTTGGAGTCCAGCCGGCGGTCCACGGCCTGCGCGGGCGTCCCCATCGTCTGCTTTGCCATCTGACACTGGTACATGTTGCGCGGCGACTGGTTGTAGTCCGAGAACGGCGTGAGGCTCGCGACGACCGAGAGCATCGTTCCCGGGCCGAGCTCCTCGTGCGAGAACTCCATGTACAAAGACCCCCCCCCCCGTCCGTCCGGGCACTTGATGGCGAGGCACTGCTGCTCGAGCCCTCCGATCATCTCGATTGGCGGGGAGCCGTCCGCGGGGAGCACGGGCGAGAGCGTGGCGCCGCGCCGCGCGGGCGGGAGCTGCAGGACCGGGCGGATGAACCGGGAAGACTGGGTGAACAAAAACATCCCCGGGTACCTCCCGCCGCGCTCAAAGGGGATGTGCGCGACCTCGAGGTCCGCGGGGACGCCCGTGACGTCGCTCTGGATCTTGGCCGCGCGCAGGGCGGCCTCGACCGCCGGGGCGCGCGACGCGGCGACGGCGCCGACGCAGCACCCGTCGACGATGACTGGGGTGTACTCCGACGCGGGCGGCATCGAGAGGGACCCCGGGGTCGCCGGCACCATGCCGTGCGCGGAGAGGAACGTGACGATCGTCGCGTGGACCGTCGCCTCGTCCGGGAGGTCCGCCGTCGAGACCTGCGCGTAGCGCAAAGAAGGGGGGCGTTTTAGCAGGGCAGGGAGGGGGTTGGGAGTGTCAAACGGCAGGAGGTCACCCCGACGCGAGGCTTCGTTCGCAACGAAAAGTCAAGGCGGGCGCGGGGGCTGCGCGGCGCACCTGGCAGAGCGCGGCGAGGTGCATGAGAAGTCCGCATGGCGCGCCGTCGGGCGTGTGCACGGGGCACATGAAGCCCCACGACTCCGGGAGCAGCTTCCGCACGGTCGTCGTGCGGATCTCCGCGAAGTACGCGCCGCGGTGCACCGACCGGAAGTGCGACAAATACCGAAAGAAGTTCAATTTCTCTGCGACGATCGTGAAGCCCGTGGCCTGCTGGAGGTCGAGCCCGGACCGCGAGACGAGGTTCCCCGTGTTCAGGAGGTACTCGACCTTCTTCCCCACGTCCGGCATGCGGTCCGCGAGCCGCCGGCGGACCCCCTCCTGCGTCAGGTCAAAACTCCGCCCGTCCGTCTTCTTCGCGCCCGGCCCCACGCCCATCTCGCGGTTCGCCGTCGTGCGCGCGCCCAGCAGCGCCTCCTCGAGCCGCTCTCGCACCGCCTTCGCCAGCAGCTGCCCGGGCGTCAGGACCTCCTGGTAGCACAACGCGTCGGCGTTGTCCTCGCAGCACCGCCGGTCCGCGAGCGCGTACAGCTTGTGCAGCATCGACACGAGCAGCGCGATCTTGTCGTGGTCGGACGACAGGTGCACGAACACGCACCGCCGCAGCAGCTCCGCGCCCGCCGCCGCGTCCGACAGGTGCGCGGGGAGGTCCAGCGCGACGCGGAAGTGCGCGCCGAGGTGCTCGAGGCACTGCGCGCGCCGCCGGAGGCCCGTGCGGCCGGCCGTCTGCAGCAGGATGATGGCGCGCTCGGCCAGGAAGTTGGCGTGTGCCGACTCCGCCGGCGCCGCGCAGACGATCGCGTCGAAAATCTCCTTGTCCGTGACGTCGAGGAACGCCTTCATGAGGACGCCCGCGGGGATGAAGTACTCCGCGCGGTTGATGCCGAACGCGAACATGACTGCAGGAGGGGGGGGTTGCGAAGCTACGTCATTGCATTGGGCGCGCAAGGGCCGCGTCAGGCGCGGGCGCGGCGGGGGCGAGCGCGCCGCGCTTGCCTGAGCCATCCTTGAGGTAGTGGCAGCGGACGGTGTGCGAGGACGCGTCGGGCCGCACGCAGCGGACCAGCGTCGCCATGTCCGTGTACAGGGGCCCTCGCTTCTGGTACGCGCCGCGCTTGAGCGCCATCACGAAGTGGCGTTTCTGCTGGATGAGCATGCGGATGACGCGCTCGTTGCCGTTGCAGACGAAGTAGCCCCCGAAGTCGTTAGCCTCCTCCCCGCGCCGCACCAGCTCCGAACGGCTCATTGCGCGGAGGTGGCACAGGCGCGACCCGACCATGATCGGGATGTGTCCGAGACGCTTTTGGACGCGCTGCGCGGCGGGGGCGCGGCGCGCGGCGTGAGAAGACGTGTGCGGCGAGGGTGCAAGTCCGCGGCAGTGCTCGTGCGGCGACGCGCAGGCGCGGGGCGCCGAGGGCTCACCTCGACGGGGTCCTGGCCTGTCTGGAAGCAGACGTCGACGTTGAGCGCGCCGCGGTAGGTCGTTCCGGCCTCGCGGCAGTCGCGCGGGAACATTCGGTTCTCCTTTCTCCTGCCATCGAACGTAGGCTTTTGCACGGACGGATTCTCGAACCACACGCGCGTCGTGAGCTCCGTGTGAGGGTTCGTGATCTGCGGAACGGCGGAACCGGTCGTTCCTTCAGCCTGCTGCGCGCGAGACAGCCCAGAGCACGCTGCCGGCTGCAGCGCAATGGCCGGGTGTGAGCGCGGCAGGGCGGCGATTCCGGCACCGCTGCGAGTTGCTAGATGCAGTCGTGGCAGCTGGCGCAGCATATCATCCTCGTAAACCTCGCACCTCGATCGGCTCGACCGATTGCACCAACAGCGGCAGACCCGTGTCGATGAGCCAGTCGAAGGAGTCCACGTGCGGCCGCGCCAGGTCCTTGTATTGCTGAAGGACGGGGCCGTCGCCAGGCGCGAACGCCGGACCCTTCACGGGCGCGGGCATGACCGCGGCGCCCTCCGTTCAGCCCGCCACCAGGCCGCTGCCCGCCCCGTCTCCAGCACGCGTCGATGCCGCTCCGCTGTGCGACGTCCGCTTACTTTGGCCTCTAATCTACTGCACGTCCGCGTCGGGCGCCCCGCTGGTGCGAGCTAGACGGTACAGCGCGGCGGTGCAGCTTGGCCGGCTACTTGCAACTAGCTGCGCATCGCTCTGGCCGAACCGCCGGCCAGGATCGCAGACCATCGAGAAGTGCCGCCCGCGCGCCGCCCCCGCCGCCCGTGCCTTCCCGTTCCCCAGGGGAACGGGGGGGGGAGTTGCCTTGACACAGGCCACCGCCACTGGCTTGAACCCACCACGTCTCCGGCTGCTTCGACGACGCCGTCGCGGCTCCGCCTCCCGCGGCCCCCCGCAGCCCTCCGTCCTGACTCCCCCGACAACCCCTCTGATACATCATGACACCTCTTTACAGTATTACTGTAATACAAATACGGCCGGTCGCGACAACACGCGCAGCGCGGCCCGGACGACCTCCGCACATCACGCCTGCGCACCTACGCTCCGACGGGCGCCGTCGTCGCGGCCTGCTCTCCGCCCGCGCGCTCCCGGCCCGCGCGCTCAGACAGCCGCAGGAACATGCCGTTGCGCGTGTGAATGGTGGCCCCCGTCGTCATCCCGGGGTCGAACCCCTCGACGGGCTCGAGGTGGATCCGCTTGAGAAGCACCGCGAGCGCGACCGTCGCCTCCATCAGCGCGAACTGGTCGCCGACGCACTTCCGGGGGCCTCCGCTGAACGGCACGTACCGGAAGTCGGTGTTCTGCTCGTTCGGGATGGGGCCCTCGGGGTCGAAACGCTCGGGAATGAACGCGTCGGGGTCGTCCCACACCTCCGGGGAGCGGTGGAGGTTGTAGATGGAGAGAATGACGTCCTGCCCCTTCCGCGCGACGTACTTGCCGCCCCCGTACGGCAGAGGGTCGTCCTTGACGGCTCGTCGAATGAGAACCGGGGGGTGCGGGTACAGCCGCATGCTCTCGCACACGCAGCGCAGCGTGTACTTGAGCTCTCGGTAGTCGTCAAAGGTGGGCTCCGCGCGGTCGCCGAGGACGCGGTCGACCTCCTCCGTGGCCTTCGCGAGCGCCTTGGGATTTTTCGCGAGGAGGTACGACGTCCAGGTGAGCGCGCTGGCCGTCGTCTCGTGCCCCGCGACCAGCATCGACAGCAGGTCGTCCCGCAGCTGCGTCGACGTGGTCTCCTCGCGCGCCGCGATCAGGAAGCGCAGAATCGAGGGGTCGCCCTGGTTCAGATACTCCTCCTCGTTCGACGCCTGCGCCATCTCCTCCTCGTCCACCATCTCCTTGCACTGCACGCACGGCAGAGGGGGGGGTGCGCGGTCAGACACGCGTCAGGGAGGAACAGACGTGCGCGCCGGGGAACGTCCGGGGTTCCGCACGCCCCCACCACCAGGAGCGCGATCGTATCGCCAAGGAGACACCACAATTGGAGCTGGCAGCGTCGTCCTATAATGCGCAGGCCTCCGCAGCGACCGGGGGCCGTCAGCGTGCAAGCAAAGGCACCGCAGGACTCATGCGGATACACAGGACATCGGCCTCACCTTGCGAATGAGTCCCTCCGTGACGACGCGGATCTCCTCGACCGCCGCCGCAGCCTTGCGCTGCCTGGGCGCGATCTTGCACAGCAGCGGCGACTTCCAGTACGGGATCAGGTCCGTCGTGCGGGACTCGGTCTCCTTCAGCGCCGTGTACACGGCCTGGATGATCGGGGACTCGGTCGTCAGCGCGTCGAACTCGTAGTTGAACACCGCCTTGCCAATCACGTCCAGCGTCATCTGGTTGAACCCCTGCTCGATGTCGATCGGCTTCCCGCCGCCCGCGCGGATCTCGGAGACCAGCTTGTCCGCCAGCAGCGTCGCGGCGGGCGCGAACGTGAGGCCGACCATGGCTTCGAGGTACTTGCGGTGCAGCGCGGGGCCGACGGCCTTGCGCCGGACGCGCCACTCCTCGCCCTGCGCGACCGCGAAGCCGACGCCGAAGAGGTACTGCGAGACCTCGGTGATGAGGCCCTTGGAGTAGAGGTCGTTGGCCGGGTTGTCGCTCCCGCGCAGCACGTGCTTGATCGTCTCGCGGTCCGACACGACGAGGAACGAGGACACGGGGCCTGCGGGGCGGTGCGCGGGGCGGGGGGCGGTCGGACGGCCCGCACAAGGGCACAAGGCACGTTGCACCGCACTATCATGTTCTGTCACTACCGACGCCTTGTGCCGCTGGTGATGGGAGGGGGGTGTTGATGGTGCGTGGATGCGGAGGGCGCAATGTGCGTGGCGTGGGCTGCTGCGGCGGGCGCTGCGTCGTCGGACGAGGGAGTGTGTGGCGGGGTGGAGCACCTGTTGGAAGGAGGAAGACTGGGCCTGTCTCGCGGAACCATTTGTACAGGGGGAGGAAGAGGGCGCCTCCGAGGAGGCTGTTCATGTCCTCGGGGGTCGGGTTGGCGAGGGGGATGCCCAGTCGACCGAAAAGGAGCTTGAAGAGATTGGCAATTGCCAACTGGACTTGCGGACTCACGATCGAGCCCCCCGCGCCCGCCGCGTCGATCGATTTCGTGAGCTGGTCACCCTGCGGGTGCGTGCGCGCGGAACGGACGCGCGGTTGAGGGGTCGAGCGCGCGGGGCGAGAGGGATCAAGCGCTGAGGGAACCGCCCAGGTGCGTGCCCTTGGAGTGGATCTGTGTGGAACGATGCGGCGGGAAAGTGGGCGCGGTGGATCGTCGTGGTATTTTTTATCCAGTGGGTACCTTCGGATCGTCCTGAGAGCGCCGCAGAACCACGCGGCGGGCGGTCCCGTGCCTGCGTGGGAGGCCGCAGCCACAGGCGCCGGGATGACGCGCCGCGCTCGTCGACCGCAGCGGCTGGCGAGCCTGGGGCGGCGCCGCGCAGCCGACGGGGGAACTGGTGCGAAGCGCGTTCATCCCTCACGCGCGCTGGGCAGCAACCACAACACAAGGAAGCCCGTCGCACGCGCAGCCGCAGGACCTCACACGACGTTTCCCCCAACCTCCGTCCGCCAGAGTGCAAGGGAAAGCCACCGCGGGGGCGCAACGTCAACGAGCGGCCACCGAGGCCCCGGGAGGAGTGACAGGGCCCTATTGCAGCTCAGTGCCGGCCCTCATTGGCGCCGCGCCACGTCAGCCAGGCCGTCTTCTGCCGCACAGCGAGCCTCGTGGCCTCAGCGTGTCCCGACGTCCGGACGCAAGCTCTGTACGTCGCCGCAGCTCCCGGGCGGCGCTCTGATCGCCGCAGCGGCCGACGCCTCCGCACGCGGCGCGATGTCGCCCATTCACGTCCGCGTCGGCGTCCTGGCCATTCAGGGCTCCTTCCGCGAGCACCTGACGGCGCTGAACCGCATTGAGGGGGTCGAGGGCATCGAAGTGCGCACGACGGAGGACCTGCGTGCCTGCAGCGGCCTCATCATTCCAGGTGCGAAATGCGGCTCGTGCTGGACGGGAGATGCCGTGAACGTCCTCCCTGAACGTTCACCATGGCTGAAGGTCTCGCGTCGGGGCGCTGCACGTTGGTTTTGCCTCTCTCAACGGCTCGTGCGGGGCCACCATCCCGCCGCTAGGCTTTTCCGTAACACGAAGCTGCCAGGCACCGAACGCCCGACCCCGGCCAATTTCTCCGCTGTCCATCTATCCGATACCACAAAACCGCGCCACGTGTCTGCTCACAAGGGCTCTCAAGCGCGCTGTGCGACGCAAGCACTCGCGGCCGCACACGCCCGCTCAGCGCGAGCGCGCCTGCCTGCGCGCGCTTTACGCGTTGGCGGTCCGCAACGCAGCCACCGCGGTCACAACGCTCCCCGCCGCGGCTCCGGCTGGGAAAGCCGAGCCCGCGCGTCCCCGCTCCGCTGTGCGCGGGTCTCCTACGCGCACAGAGGCTGCTCTGCTCCTGGCCCGGCTGATGCAGGGGGCGAGAGCACGACGATGGCGAACGTCTGCGAGCGCTGGGGGCTCATTGCCGAGCTGCAGAAGTTCCACCGCGACGGCCACCCCATCTGGGGTACCTGCGCAGGTCCGTTGCGTGCACCCACCTCCCCCGCGGTCCTTGCGCGAAGCGCCGGCCCGAACGGATCCCTGCCCAGCCTCCCTGCCTTCTCTTTTCTCACGCCTGCGTCCTCGTCGACGATCGCGACAACACGGCGCGGACACGGGCGAGCCCGGGCGCTGCAACCCCTGGTGCCCGTCACCGCCCCTCCCACGCCGCTGCCGCGCAGGGCTGATCTTCCTGGCCAAGGACATCGGGCACGGGGCCAAGCAGGGCGGCCAGCAGCTCATCGGCGGCCTCGACGTCAAGGTGTCGCGCAACTTCTTCGGCGCGCAGATCAACTCGTTCGAGACCATGCTCGAGGCCCCCGCGTCGCTGCCGGACCGCGAGCAGGGGGCCTGCCGGGCGCTCTTCATCCGCGCGCCGGCGATCGTCGAAGTCGGCGAAGGGGTGCGTCTCCGCTCCGCCTCCCGCGGCGCACGTGCATGCTGCTTGCACGCGCTGCCCAGCCCTTGCCGGCGCTCTTGTGTTCGGGGGAGTCAGAGCGGAGTGCCCGAATCGCGTGGCGCTGTTTCTCAGTGCCGTGCGCGGGTCTTCAACGCCAACGCGGCAGTCGTTGGCGATGCTGCCGAGCCCCCACACAGTTGCGAGAGCAACAGCACACCGTCGATGCCGCTGGCGCCGAGGGGGCGGCCTCCAGGTCGCCGCGCAGCCTACCACCGCCCAGCCACGTCGATCCATCAGGTCCTGTGGTGGCTCATGGAGATGGCTGATGACTTGCGCAGACCTCAGCTGCTTGGTCCTTGCTTGCCAGCAGCTGGGGATCTGTACAGGTCGCCATCAGGTACCTGCAGAGCCATCGCAAGACATGATGGAATCGACCTGTCTGGGCGATGGCAGGCTGCGCGGCGACCTGGAGGCCTCGCCCGCATCGACGGTGTTGCCCAGACACGTCATCGCTGTCTCGGCCCCCGCAGCGCGTCACGACGCCTTTCACACGCGCGTCTCTGTGCTCCGCTGTGCGTCAGCCGGACGCTGCTCTCGAACCTACGAGATCCCCGTTTGACACCTCCAACTCCCCCCCCTCCAAACGTGCAGGTCGAGGTCCTGAGCCGCTACACGCTGTCCGACACGGAGCGGCAGCAGCACGGCGTCGAGTCGGTGGTCGTCGGCGTCCGGCAGGGCGCGCTCATGGCCACGTCGTTCCACCCGGAGCTCACGGACGACGTGCGATGGCACAAGCTGTTCGTTGAGATGGTGCGCGAGAGCGGGCCCGCGGAGATGCAGCCGTACGTGCCCAAGGCCGGCCGCGGGCGCCCGAACGACCTCCCCATCTTCGGCAAGACCCACATGTGCGCGTGACGCGGGCGCGGCAGTTTTTCCACCAGCACACCGCACCATCGCCGGCCGCGAACGCGCTCCGCGAGCACGCATTGTGACTCCTGCGACTGCGAGGCCGCGCGCGGCTCACACGGCATGCGTCACCCTGACGTCTCGCCCTTCGCGTCCGGGGGGGGAGTCCTGGAATTGTACTCTGGGTACAAGTCCATCTGCATGTACGGCGCGAGCGCCATGATCGCGGCGTGCTCGTAGTACATCTCGCGCGTGACCACGCCGAGCGGCGCGGGCGGCGTCGCGGTCAGCCGCCCGATGGTCCCGCTCCCCGTGCCCGTGCGGTGCGCGCGGAACACGACGTCGGTCGCCGGGCCGAGCTCGGCGCCAGCCATCATGCGCTGCACGATCTCGTCCGGCAGCACGAACGACGCGGACCGCGCGCGGGACTCCACGTCGCTGTCCGGCCGCCGAATCACCACCCAGGAAAACACCTCCATGCGGTCCCTGCGGGGCAGCAACGCGGAGGGGGGGACTTGAAATTGCGAAAGCGGTTCGCGCAGTCGTGACGGCGCAGGCCGGGGAGAAACCGCTGTGCGTAGATAGGGCGGTTCGGTGGCGCAGCAGATGGGAAGTTGTGGTTGTGCACGCACCGGGCGCTGAGGTCTTCGCCGTCGGGCTCGATGCCGTGCTCGCGATCGCACGCGCCCTCGGTGGCCGGCGTCCGGCTGAGCAGCGGCGCCTGGGGGCGGTGCGAGTCGGACTGCCAGCCAACACCCCCCTCGATGGCCACCCAGCCCCAGAGATCGGGGGTCTTGTGAACGGGCGCGTGCTTCTGGAGATTCATCACGCGGTTCCTCGCGCCCTGCGTTGCAGCGGGGGCAGCGGGTCGTTGCGGGCGGCGTGTCCCCGCGGCGGGTGGCGAGACGACGCACGGCGGGCGGCGTCGGACCTGCAGTGTCTGGAGGTCGCCGTGCGGCTGGTCCGGCACTCCGGAGGGCACGGGCACGCCAGTGACGTCGAACTTGGAGAACGGGAAGCACCTGCAGAGATTAAGCGTGCGCGGGAGCGGGCGATGTGTGCTGGAGACGTGCGCGGTCGCCGTGGGCAGTACGTGATCTCATTCGGCCGTCGATGTGGCTGGCGCGCATGTTTGATCGCTCTGGATTCGACGTGACGCTCGCGTGGCGCCTCTCTTCAACGTCATGGCGCGAAACAGCGGGTCGTATTTGCCCAGGGCAGGTTGGGACCCATGTCTGGGCGAACCAGCGCACCTCTCCAGAGCACGCTGCACGGAATTGATCTTGGTTGGGTTACGGCTCGCAACGAGCACCTTGTACGCCGCGTTTGCCGCCATCGTGAGCGCCCACGGATCAACAACCAGCGAGCCTGAAAAAAACGCCCCCTGCGCCCCTGTGTGCGATCTAGCAGGCAATTGCACAGCTGTGCCACCAGATACAACGAATGTTCCGCCAAGCGCCGCGATTCGGCACTGAATGGCCCGAAGACGCGTCCGTTGAAGCGCTTCCCCCCTTCCAGAAGCAGCCCTGAGCACGCAGCGCGTGTTGCGGGACCCGAACTCACTGACAGGCGAAAAGATAGTGCTGGACGTCGTGCGACGCTGACTGCCTTCGTCGGGCCTTGCGGACGTGCTGCACGGCGTCGCGGTCGGGCACAGACCTGTGCTCAGAAACCACTGGCGCCGGTTTCGGCGCTGACGGCCTCATTCGCCTCGGTTGGGCCGCCCGGGTGCGATGACGCCACAGTACATGCAAGGATAGGTGGAGCCTTCATCCCATAGGCCTGGACTCGCTTGTTCGCGCGACGTAGTTCGGTTGGAGTTTGTTGGGCAGTGTCCTGATCGCAGCAGCGGTTTGGCGGGACGTGTCGCCCGATTCCGTTGAAGGTTCACTGAATAGCGACACCGTGGAGCGCGCGGTGCTTCCAGCGGGGCGCAGTGCTGGCGGCGAATGCACATTTTAGGGAATATGGGTGATACTGCGTGATCGTGACGTGCAACAAGACGAGTTGCGCGAATTAGGTGGATGATGTGTCTGTGCTTCGTTCGCGCGGAGCGAACGAGGGCACAACTCGCCGTGCCGAGCACTGCAGCGGACAGCAGGAGGTAGAGCGCTGCAGCGGGAACGAGCGCCATGTCGAAGCCGCCGCAGTCAGGCGCACTTGGGTGGATCGTCGACGTTCTACTGCGGCTGCTGCGCCGCGTGACTGCGATTCTGAACCGCCTGCGGCAAGGAGACGGCCCGCTGGAGACCCAGCTCAAGAAGGACGACGACCTGGGCTTCTTCCGAGGGCGCCAGAGCGAACCAATGCTTCACGCAGCTTCACATCAACTAGGGGTACGACCTAGCGCACAGAATGCCCCACTATGACTCTGAGTAGCAGCTCTGCCGCCTCACAAGCACTGATATACACCGAATGCTGCCCGCATCGCGCGCTCGTCGCGCCCCCGCTCCGTGAGAGCCGTCCCTGCGACTTCCTCGCCGCCGCCCTTCGCCGCCGGTCCGCAGGGGGAGTCCGCGCTGATGATGGCGATGGCGGGAGCTCCCCAGGGTGCGCGCGTAGCTGCGGGGCCTCAAGCGGCCCCGCGTCATGGCCCGCCCGTCTGGCGCGACGTCCCGCACGCCCACGGCAACCCCTTCGCCCTCCCGCGCCCCGGGCCCGACACGATCGTCGTCGCCGGCGTCCAGCAACAGATTACACGCCCGGGGATGCCCCCCCCGCAGCCAACTCCGGCTAGCCCGCGGCCCGAGAACCCGCCGCAGCTGCAGATACCGCCGCCGCCGCCCCTCGGGGCCCCGGCGCACCCGCCGCCGTGGATGGCGCACCCGCAACAGCCGCCGCCCCACCGCCCCGAGCTGCGCCCGCCGCCGGCAGAGCAGGGAGCTCCTCCGGCACGAGCGTCGGCGCAGCACCGCCGGAGCGACTCGCAGGCGCACCCGGGCCACATCAGCTCGGTGCAGGCCGCGCCGCCCCACGCGCCCCCGCGCCACGCCATGGGCACAGCAGTTCTACCTGGCCCCCCCCCCCCGCACGACAGCGCGACGTCCTCCTCCCGCGTCGCCGCGGGCGCCCTGCGTGTCGCCGGGATCGGCAACCAGCAGCCGATCGCGCCCCCGCAGAAGTCCCCCTCAACCCCCAGCCGCACCCCAGCTGCACGGCAAACCTCAACCTCGACCTCGCGGAGGTCAAGATCGGACGCGCCATCGGCGAGGGCGCGTTCGGCCGCGTCCACATCGCCAGTTTTCGCGGCTGCGACGTCGCCGTCAAGGCGCTGTCCCTCGGCGTCGTCGCCGGGGAGCTCTCCGCGATGCAGGCGGCGATGCTGGAGGAGTTCCGCCGCGAAGTGGCGACGATGTCGGCGCTCCCGCCGCACCCGAACGTCCTGCGGCTGATCGGAGCCTGCACGGCCCCGCCGCGGCTCGCGCTGGTGCTGGAACACTGCCCCCGGGGGTCTCTCTTCGGCCTGCTTCACTCCCCCAGCGTGCAGCTGACGTGGAGCCGCGTGGTGGGCTTCCTCCAGGGCGCGGCGCGCGGCATGGCGCACCTCCACGCGCACAAGATCCTCCACCGCGACCTCAAGTCTGCCAACCTCCTTGTCGACGAACACTGGAGGGTCAAGGTGGCGGACTTCGGGCTCTCTCGCGTCGTGGCGCGCAACCAGGTCATGACCGGCGGCCTCGGCACCTTCGAGTGGATGGCGCCGGAGGTCCTTGGCGCGCAGCGGTATTCTGAGAAGGCCGATGTCTATTCATTCGCGATTGTCATTTGGGAGTGTGTGGCGCGGCGGCTGCCGTACGAGGGGTCGCCGGGGATGCAGGCGGCGATGGCGGTGATGAACCGCGGCGCGCGGCCCGAGGTGCCCGGGTTCACGCCGCCCGCGCTCGCGACGCTGATGCGCGCGTGCTGGGCGCCGCTGGCCTCGGAGCGGCCGCGCTTCGTCGAGGTGTGCGCGATGCTGGACGCGATCGCGCGGCAGATGGAGGAGCCGCAGGGCGAAGGAGGCGCGCGCGCGGCGGTGCGAGCGACGAGCGTAGCCTGAAGCACTAGCGGGGGGGGAGTGCCGCCCGGCGTGCATGGGATGCAACGCCGAGCGAGTTGGGTCGCTGTGACCCGTGAATTGGAGCGAACTGCGTCGACCCTCTCATCTGTGGATCGATGAAGCGCGCTGACATGTCAAGACCTGGTAGTGCACTCATCACCCGAAGCACGCGACGACACAAAGCGACACGCGTTCCGGCGGACGGGCGCTCAAGCTGCGTCACATGTACTTGCTCGCTCGTGCGCCGCACGTGCGGCGCAGCAGGAGCCGTTCCAGCTGGGATGGACTGCGTGGAGATTCACGGCCCACTGTCTCCGCTGCGTCAGCGGTCGCAGGGGTCCGGAACGTCTCAGACACAGGCCATGTGCGCAGGCCAGTCGCGTGGACGCCGTCGCCGTCGCCTGTCGTCGGAAGCCGACCCAGGTCTGGCAGCGGAGCACAGCGTTCGAATCTTGACCTGAACGCGCTAGGTTGCGGGCAGCGGCATCCGTGCTGCGGCAGCTAGTTGGCGTGGGAGGTGTAGCGAGCCTCCTGGGGCGGAGTAGTCGCCCAGAGCAGCGGCTTGAGTTCGACAGACACAAAACTGACCGCAGGACTTCCTGTCAGACAGAGATGGTGGTCGGGGGCGGGGACGGAGGGCGGGGGGTTGCACGTGAGTCTGTGCTCGACCAGGCACGTTATGTTAGTGCCGGATGCAAGCTGGACGGAGGGGGGGGGGGGTCGACGAGGTGCCGTCGGGCCCGGACGCCGCTGGCGCAAAAGTTCGGGGAGCTGACTTGGGGGGGGTTGGTCGTTGGTGGAAACGGGACGGGGGGGAGCGCGAGGGTCCTCCGAGCCCGTTCTGTCAGCACATCGGGCTTCGAAGGCCAGCGTTTGCGTCGGTGCCCGACTTGCAACGCTCGCGAGTTACTACGTGGGAGCTGCCCGCGTTTCCCGACGCGGCGCAGCTCCGAACGGCTCCGTCGTGGAGCTGGAGAAGATCATGCAGCGTTCAGGCGTGAAAGCTTGATTGATTCCCGTGCGAGAGAGCCTGACAGGCAGTGCGAGGTGGCAGGCAAGGAATGCAGTGGGTGCGGAAGGGCAGGAGCGCAGTGGGGCGATCGTTCGCCTCGAGTAGGCACTCTTGCACATGCGCACGTGTTGGAGCGCGCGGGGGCGCTCAGCGTCGGCCGCATGAGAAACTCATAGGGAGAAACTCATGGGGAGACACACGTGAGCATCGATATGAGTAGGCGCCGCCGCCGCTGTGCGTGCGCGCGCTCATACTGTCGTCCAGCGCGTCAGAGAGACGCGGGACACTAGTGTGCGGCCCGTAGGGATTGTCGGGAAGCACAATCTTTTGCACGGGCAGTCGTTTTGTTTCCAGCGGCACATGATTGACAGCGTGATTGCCCGGGAAGTCGATGAGGGTGCGAGCTGGATCGTGTGGGGGAGGGGGAGGGGGGACACGAGAAGGGGGGCGGAAGTGGGGGGGGTTTGAAGGGGGGGCATGCTTATGGCGTCATGTGGTTGGTCATGTCGTTTTGCCTTCGGCAGCGCTGACCAAGGCTTCGACCCGTCTTTGGGGATCGGTCCGCGCGGTCGCGGGGGTGCAGGATCAGGGCCGGTGTGGTTCGTCAACGTGCGCCATGGTTGCACGATTCGCAGGGTGTGGCCTTCGATCCGCCTGAGGGGAGGGCGGTCGAGGCCGTGGTAGACTTCTTCCCATCGATGATGGTGTTCTTCGTTTCTTTAGGGGGGCCGGGGGCGGTCCGGGTGGTGTGCGATTGGTGAGTCGAGTAGAGGCCCTCAGTAGGGGAGGAGAGAAGGAGAATCTCGATCACCTTTTCCCCTGTTGTTCTCGTGAACCTATCAGGGACTGTTCGGGGGTGTTGTGTTCAGCCCGTGGTGGAACATCTGTATGAGTTATCCGGGGGCTGCGGCGGACCGGCATCGCGCTAGGTGGCCGTGCCCGGCAGCTGTGTGCCCCCGCGTGTGTGTCGCAGGGGGTGTTTGCGCAGTAGCGTCATGCAGATCGAGAGACAACACCCGGGGGTGAGACGGTGGAAACGACCGCCTCACCACCGGGAATTGGTCGAGGATCGGCGTACATTTGAATAGGTACGACTAGGGAAGGGGGGGAGTTGGGAATTGCGTTGGGTCTGGAGGCTGCGAGAGCCCCAGGCATCGCGACGCTTTTCACCACGGGGAGGTGGGATGACTGAGGGGGGGGGGAAGGGGGATGAATTAGAATAGGAACGGATAGGGAAGGACGAGGGGGGGGACTGTAGCACCACGAAAAGGTGCCTCTGTAGTGGGGGAAGCGCGGGGCTCTCACGCGAGCCTCCACCCGAGCGCCTCGAGGACCACGAGCTCGAGGTTCGACGCCCACGCCGGGTCGACGTAGCAGCCCAGGGCGTGCTCGACAACCGAGTAGGGCTGGTAGGCGCGCTCGCCGATGAACTTGCCCGCGAGGTTGACGCAGACGCAAGCCACGGCCGTCATGGCCACCGGGCGCGTGCTCTGCGCGATGACGCTGCAGAGCGTCGACGACGCAGACAGCTCGCGCTGAGCCTGAGTCAGCTGCGGCGCGTAGTGGGCCGCCGACGGCAACAGCGCGCTTGCCGCGTTGATCCTGCGGGTGATTCGAACACTGGCGAGGCCGTCAGGCAACGCGATGCGAGGAGGTGGAGCAGCAGTGGTCGGGCAGCCGGCGAGATGGGCGGCAAAGGCGGGGGGGGGAGTGGGGGGGGGACTCACCCGTCGACGATGCGGCTGAAGTACTGAGCCCCGACGACGATGGAGAGCGGGTCGAACCCGAGCCTGCGCCCGAGCCTCGCGAACTCCTCGTCGTCGTTGATGTCCCGGCGGAACAGCTGCAACGGGGCGGCTGAGTCAGTCGGTCAGTGGACGATCGAAGCGCGCGTGACATCGGTGAGCGCTGGATACACTGGCGACGACGGGCGCGGCGGCCCACGGCCGGGAAGAGAACGCACCCGGATGGAACAGCGAGCGAAGTCGTTTGCGTCCTGGAGCGTGACTTCGCGCGTGCAGGGCAGCGCGTCCTCCGCACAGAGGAGGTCGAGCTGCGAGGCGCCTCGCGACGAAGCGGACAGCTCGAACTGCACGTCGCCGTCGTCGTCGTTGGCCGTGGAGGGCGCGCGCTTGCACGGACATGGAGCGGAGCGGCCCTGCGCGGTCGCGGTGGCGGTCTCGGAGTCGAGCTCGAAGATTTCCAGGGGCACGCTGCCGGCGCGGGCCCTGCGTGGCGGCGACTCGGCCATCCTGCGCGCGGTCGACGGGAAAAATTGGGACGTGTTGAAAAATTGGACGAACATCGGTGGAGCCGCCCTCGTGCGCGATGGAGCGAAGCGGGAAGTGCATAGCTAGCGAGCGGGAAAACGGCTGTGGTCGTCCGGGGCGCGACGTCTAGCGCGCTGTGTTCTGTGAGATCTTGTGAATGCAAACGTGCGCATGCACCGGCTCGTGCGGGAACGGACCACTCGTCGTTCGTCATGGGAGAGGAGAAAAGGGCGTCCTTCGTCGCCCACGCGTCCGATGGCGTCGCGTGCGTGCGGAGCATCTTCGTCGTATTCGTGGCATCCGCGATCGTCGCCGAGTCGGAGCGGCTCCCGGGCTGGGCGAGGAGGCAAGCGATCGACTCCACTCCTGCACCAAAGCGCCACGACCGCGCTACAGTCAGCCCGCGGGAGCGCAATGGCGCCGCGAGTTCGGGCGAATTATCTCAAACCGCCCGTTCAGATAGCGCGCGGCGCGGATCAGCGCCGGCACGCGCCGTGTGCCTAAGCAGTTACAGGTATTGGGACACGTCGTGGAGCTGAGAGGAGAGAAAGCATGAGTCGATCGCGGCTGCTGCCCTCACCTTTGGTCGACCTCTTCATGGGCCGGGGCGCCTCCGGCACCCCGCCTGTACGGCAGACGTCACGGTAGAGCCTGGGCCCTCTCTCCGCCATCGTCGGGGGCCTGCGAATCAAAGGCGGGGCTGCATGCGTGACGATCGACATCAGATCTAGCGTTCTGGCGCACGCCCTCGTCGCGACGAGCCGCGTATGTTGCACGAGGCACACCATTCCCGAAGCGACCGCAACGACGGTCGCGTCGCCCCACAGGTCGCGATTTCGCCACGCGACCGAACGACAAACGATTACGGGCGTGCCCGGGCGCCGGTTCGTCGAGGGCCGCGACGCTCGTGCCGCCTTCTTCGACGTTGCCAGTACATGGTTAGCTCGACAGCGGCAGGGCACGCTCGAGTGAGCTCGCAGCGCCTCCTGCGGTCCGTTCGTCTCACCTATTGATTGATAGGTGGCACGGTCGGTTTCGAAGGCCGAGTCCAGCCACTGCCGAATTTCGAGGTACTTTTAGTTTTCGGATACCTTCTCGGGCCTCCACGACCACGTCTGGATCGCCGCCAGCGCGCACGATGTCATAGCGTTAGTGGGTGCTCGTACCGTGCGGCGGGACAAGGCAATGGGCGGGCGCTGCCGACCTAAGCATCCCTGCAGTCGCACTTGTCAACATGAGTCAACATCACCGTGTCATACCCTGGCAAGGCCGGCCTCGGCCGCGCGGCCGCGTGAATCATCTGCATGCGAATATCTGCAAGCACCAACAGGCCCTGCACGGCGAGTGCAGGTGTGTCGGCGGAGGAAATGCGCGACGAAGGCAAGGCAACGACGAACGGTGGCGTTCCCGGCCTCGCATGGGCGCTGCCGACCTCTGTTGCCCAGTCCGGGGAAATGATTACGTGAGTGCCGATCGGCCCCGCAACGTCCTGCAAGGAGCCCGAGCGCCCATTCGTGATGCTGTGGCCCGCAGAGCTCACATATGTCCAGGCGCGCCTCGAGCGGATCGACCCCCGGCGACAGCCGCAGGGGGGTGGGAGAAAGAGAGCTAGAGCGTGTTCCGCGCGCGCTCGGCGCGGTAGTCCGCGTCCGTGGCCCACCGGCGGTAGTCCGCCGCGAGGTTGCGCAGGAAGGCAGGGAACATCTGTCCGACCGTGGCGCGCAGCACCGCGCTGCACGTCGACTCCAGCGCGCGCCTGGGCATCGCGTTGAACGGCGGAACCACCTGCACGGCGAGCAACACCCCCCGAACAACCACGGAGTCAATCAACACACCCCGCGCCGCTCACGTGCCCGCCCGCACACGCACGTGTGAACACACGCCGGAACGGCCGCTGGGAGACTCACCTCGCACCACACGTCCAGCTTCGACGACCCGTCGATGCACCCGAGCGCGCCCCCGTCCTCCCCCGCCACGCCCTCGCTCCATCCCATCTCCGTAACCATCCGCATGCGGAACCGCCGGTCCAGGCCCATGCGCTCGATCGCGGGCGACCCGCCGATCTCGCACTTGGTCGCCGCGAGCCGCACGCGCGGGCGCGGGCCCTCCGGGTCGACCAGGTCGACCATCACCTCAACCACGGGATCGATGCGCAGGTTGAAGAACTTGAGGCTGGGCACCTGGAAGCGGAACAGGTTGCCGCCGAGCGACCTGCGGGGCCGGAGACGTCGGAGCGGTGCGCTCGGGCGGGTCCAGGACCGGGGGCGCAGGCCACGCGCAGTGCGTGCGGGGCGGTGCGTCTAGGCGGTGGGTTCGCGGTGGAATGTGGAGTTGATGGGCGCAGGGGCGCGTACGTGATCATTCCGGGCTCGAGGACGAAGTACTGTTCCACGGGGAGCTGCATGTAGGTGGCGAGGCTCACGTCTCCGCCCTGGTCGTGGACCTCGATGGTGGACTTGCTCTTGCAGCCGATCTTCGCGGGCGACCTGAGCGCGGAGATGTCCACCTCGGGCACGCTCGGGGGCTGTGTGGACGTCGCGAGCGCGGCGGGAGCCCCCTGCTGAGACGCCGATGCACACAGCCGCACCCGCCGCTGCGAGGAGGGTTCGAGCCGTTGCGACGCGGGGTGTGAGGCAGGGGGGGCGGGCCTGAGAGGCCGGGATCGCGGGGGAGCGCAGTCGATCGCGGGCAGACGTCGTCGGAGCGAGTCGTGAGGCGCGCGACCAGCGACAGCTTGCGGTGCTTGTGGGGCGCGGAGGCGGGACGCTCCGTGGCCGCTGAACGGTCCCGGCGCCTAGTTAGACTGGTGGCGAGAGGAGGTGCTGGGGCGCGCGGGGCGCCCGTGCGTGTCGCAGCGGGGCGGACCCAGCAGCTGCGTGTGATGGAAGCACTGGCAAAGACTGGGGGGCTGGGGGCGGCACGGGCCTTGGAGCGCAGCGAGGGGGCCCAGAGTGGGAGGCAACGTACCTGCTCGTGCGACGGGGACGCGGGAACCGATGCGCGGGCGCGCAGGAGGCCTGCCGCACGGCTCGGGAGCGAGCACTTGGCACTGGGCGCGGCGTGCATCGTCGGCATTGCTGCGCGCCTTTCCGCTCGCTGTTTCGCGAGGAACTAGAGTGAGGAAACCCGCGAAGGGGAGAGACCAATCGGCAACGGGTGCACGAGGGAGAACAACGCCCCGGAGACGACGATGCTGCGACTCGCCCCCAGCGCTCCGTATAGCCGACGTCGCCTGCGAAACCTATCTCCACCGAACCAGCAATACCCCATCCGCGACACCGCGCGCCGCCTTGTCGTCCCCGCGCTCAACCGGTACCACACGCTCCTCGACCTCTCTCACTCGGCTCGGACAGCACCCCCTGCCACAAGATCTTCGCACGGCGAGCGCGCCAGGCGCCAACCCGCCCCCCGCCGCCGTCTCCCCCGCGCCTGCACGCCCGCGACTCGCCTAGGCTCGAACGGAGCAGCAGCGGCGCCCCAACCGCGACGATTTCGTGCAACCACCTCGACGCACGCCACCGCGCGAACGTCGCCTGCGAAAGCCTCGCTCGCGCCCGCAAACGCACAGCAGCGGCGCCGAGCCTCCTCTGGCCCCCACAGCCCCTCGGCCGCGCAAACACGCCGGAAGTACACGCGAAGCAACCCTCACACACACAAGCGCGTGTTGTGCACTGGTGGCGCAGCGCAGCGCCGCCCTACGACAGCCGCGGCCCCGCGGCCTGGCGCGCCTTGGCCTTGTCGAGCGCGCGCAGGATCTTCGGGTCCGTGAAGCTCAGCGCCCGCACCGGCGGGTTGTCCACCGACCCCTGCCGCCCCTTGAGCCACGCAATCTCCCACTTCGGCCCGAGCAGCCACGCGCCGAGCGCGCCGCCGACGAGCCCGCCCGCGTGGCCCCAGTTGTCCACGCGCGGAATCACGAACCCGAGCAGCATGTTGAGCATGATGGTGCGGTTGATCGAGTCCTGGAAGGCCTGGAGGAACCGGGGGTTGTATAGCCGCCGGTCCGACTTGTGGCGCTGGCAGAAGACCCAGAGCGCGCCCGCGAGGCCGAACAGCGCGCCCGACGCGCCCACCGACGGGTTGCTGCTGAACAGGTATGACGCGAGACACCCCCCCACTGCCCCGGTGAAGTAAATCGTCGCGAACCGCTTCCTGCGCCGGGACGCGCACGCGATCAACGCCGAATGAGGAGGACTCTCGCAGAACACACGCGCTCGCCCGCAGCCGCAGCGAGCCCGGCGCGGAACGGCCCAAGTCCGCGCTGCGGTTGCGCTGCGGTCGACAGCCGCGGCACGCGGGCGCACGGCGCAGGGCGGAGCTGGCGAGGGACGAGGAGGACGGGCCATGCGAGGGCGTTGCTGTGCGGGGAGGCGGGTGTGTTCGGGCGCGTTCCCACCTGCCGGAGAGGCGCTCGACGGTGGGCCCGATGTCATTCAGGAAGCCCGAGTTGAAGGCCAGGTGCATGAGATTGCCGTGGAGGAAGGCCGGCGTGACGAGGCGCCAGAACTGCCCCGCGGCGATGAACTCGTTGATCTTCGCGCCGTACGCGAACAGAAGCCCCTGCGAGCGGTTCGGGGGGGAGGGGGGAGTTTGAGGTTGTTGTTGCTGTGGGGAGCGAGGGGCCCCGAGCGCTGCGGGCGTGATGGAGCGGCGGTGGGGCTGCGAGGGTCTGGCGGGCGCGAGGGGGTGGGGGCTTCTGCGGCGGCGGCGCGCGCGTGCGTTGGGAGGTGCAGGACAGTGAGGAGAGAGTGGCGCCGCACCTGCGTGGCGATGTTGGCGACGAAGACGACGACGTTGCAGGCGAGGAGGATGTCCGTGACGCGGCGTTTCGGGTCGCCGAACCCCCCGGGCGCGCCCCCCGCGCTCCGGTACTTGTCGTACGCAGAGGGCGACCCCGCAGAGGCCGACGCCATCACCCGCAACCTGCGGTTTTGCGCAAAACGACCGGAATACGAGATGTCGGTCATTCTTCCGAGTGCAAAATGCGCGCCAACGCCTCTGAGAGGCCGCACGGCGGGGTTTGGCCTCGCTCTGTGTGTCTGCAGGGTCGGGGGCGAGGCAGCGGCGACGGAGAGGAAACCGCCGTCGATGACGGTGGATGCAGAAGCTGCGTCGTACAGGGGTGCGTGTCGTGGCAGAAACTGCGTCCGCTCGCCCGCTCCGGCGCGGAGCCAGCGCCCCAGCGTCGCAGCGGTCAGCAGGACTCACCCGCTTGCCGAATTCAACGCGGCAGCCGACCCTCCCGCGACGGCGATCACCATCCGACCTTTCCAGGTGAGGCGTCCTTGCATCGGCGAGCCCGCGGAGCCCGAACGCCGCGGGAACCTCGCGCGCGCTCGTCGCCACTCCTCCTGGGCTCGCTCGCAGCCCACACGCAGCGCCCGCAGCCGCCGCGAGCACGACGACATGGCGCCGCGATGCCACGGCTGCCCTGGCTCCGGCACGGGCATGGCTAGAGACGCCCCGCGGCGCAGCCGGGGAACGCGGCGCGCTCAAGGATGCTAGGCCCGCACAGAGACCACCCGGAAGCGTCGCGTCCGGCCGATTTAACGCTATCCTAGTGCGAACACGTAGCGCACGGAGCGATTTCTCCGCCCTGCCCGCGACACCACAGGCATTGAAGCCCACAGCCGCAATGCCAGGCTTATACTTCATCAAGGCTGTGCTAGACAGACACAGCAGGCCCGTGCCCGCACCGGGGGACCGCCGCCGTCGCACATGGCGCCGTCTTCCGCCCGCAGGGTCCAACGTGTCCGCCAGCGGCCACTCATCATCATGCCCGCGCGATGCGTATCGCTAGCAGACTTCTCGAATGCTCCGGGACCGCGCGCGCGCCGTCGCGTGACCGTCACCCGAGGCCACAGCACGGCTTCCTGTAGCACAGCGACGCTGCGAGATCCAAGGTGCGCCTGGGCTCACAACGCCGCCCCGAGCAAGCAAAGCGTCGGCGTCCAACCCCCCCTCGCGGCCCCAGGCCGCCGCGAATCAGCGCCCGCCCGAGCCCCACTGCTGGTGCGGGCCAGGCTGCACGTGTCCGTGCGAAGCGAAGGGATCGAACCCCTGCGCCCCTCCTTGCTGCGGGTGTCCGTAACCCTGCGCGTACTGCGGAGGCGGGTACCCGCCAGGTGCGGCACCGTGCGGCGGTTGCGGCTGCGCGTACTGCTGCTGCGGGTAATGATGCGGCTGCGGCGGGAACGTCGGCGGCGGCCCGGGCGCGTTGTCGCGCGCTGCGGCCAGCGACGTCTGCGCCAGTTGCGATGCGATCCCGCCCACGTTCGCGGCGGCCTGGCCGCCCTCGCGCCGCAGCCGCGCGAGCTGGTCGTCGCGCTCGATCCGCCGCGTCATCACGAAGTCCCCCACGGACCGGCTCAGCGACCGCAGCGCGTCCTGCAGCCTCGTGTAGAACTTGATGCCTTCGTCGAGGTCGTCGCGCAGCGCGGACCAGGACTTGCACGCCTCGCGGAAGCTCTCTGCGGCGCGCGCGCACTGGCGCGTCCACGCGTCGTACGCGAAGGCTTCCTTGAACTGCGCCTGCGCGCGCTCGATGCGCTGGAGGAGCTGCGCCTGCGCGGCGGCGGCGGCCGCGCAGCGCTGGCGGAGCGCGGCGTACTTCTCGATCTCGCGCGCGAAGAAGGCGTCCTGGTCCGCGTCGACGCCCTCCGCGAGCAGCCGCGGGAGGATGTCGTCGCGCGCCTTCAGGTCCTGCAGACATCAACAGCGTGAGCTCCGCTGTCGAGAATCCGCGACTGAACCTGCAAACCATGCCAACATTCCCCAGGATACGCGCTCTTCCCCCGGCAACGGACGACTGCGCGCCGCTCACCTTGATCTCGCGCTCCAGGGCCGCGAGCGACGCCGACACGTCCTCCTGCTGCTGCAGCAGTGCACGCAGCACGTGCGCGGCGTCCGCGGGCGCCACCTCGCTGACGGGGACCATCGGCGCCTCGAGGCGCGGGAGCATCGCCACCGCGTCGTCCACGGTTAGTGCGCGCAGCATGCCCTGCTCGGCCGCCAGCTGTCTCGCGACCTGCACCAGGCCACAGCACGCGGTGGGGGGGGTGGGTGTGTCAGGGCGAGCCTTGGGGCGCGATGTCGCGGGGCCTGGAACTGCGGGATAGACCGTGCGGACTCTAGTAAAAGAACCCTGCATCAAAGGTACTTGTGGGGCACAATGATTCCGTGTGTGTGCGTGCAGTCACGCACCTTGTCGTCGGCCGCCTGTGCCTTGCCGAGGTGTCCGCGGTACTGGTCCAGCTGCTGCCGGTACGGCGCATTGAGTGCCGCGCTCGGCTTGCGCGTCCACACCGCGGACCCCACCTTGTGCCGGATCGCGTTGTCGTCCGCCTCCTCCTTGTCCAGCAGGTCCGTGACGCGCTCCAGGTCCGACGCCGCGACCTTCCGCAGCTGGCCCGACTGCTCCTGCAGCTCCTGCAGCATCCGGAGTCCCCCCCGGGACTCTATCCGGATCAGATCCTCCCGCAGGGCGTCCGGGAGGCTGGTGGCGCTCGCGCCGCCCTCTTCGCCCGACCGCAGCGCGAGCAGCGCGTCGGGGAGGTCCCAGAGGCGCAGCTTCGCGCGCGCCTCGTCGCTGGCCTCCGCGAGCGCGTCAAGGGTGTCGCGCACGGCGCGGTCCACCATGTCTGCGCAGCACACAGTCACGGAGCGGGCGCGCACGGCCGTGAGATGGGCGCGACCTGCGCATGCGCGCGCCTGCAGCAGCCAGACGGACACCCCAACCGACACCCCCTGCTGCTCCCCCGGTCGGGGACGGGGGGTGTCCGTTCCCGCTGCGCACCTGTGTACTTCGACACGGCCCTGGTTGCGGATTCCGGCACGATGTTGCGGAAGTAGTCCTGCGCTTCGCGGGGCTTCAGGTCCGGCTGGATGGCCCGCACCAGCGGCGCGGGCTGGATCTCCGGGAGAGTCGAGTGCTCGGGGATCCGCGCGAGGTACACGGTGTTGTTCTCGCGCTCCGCCTGCACGCCACACGGTCGGGCAGGGCGCGTGGGCGCACGCCGCGACGCGCGTGCGGGGGTGTAATCCAGGGGGTGTAATCCACGGCACGAGAGGGGGGGTCTTGGGTGCCGCTTGCCTTGTTCAGCGCGGCGTTGACGTCCTCCTCGAGCATGAGCAGCGCGTTCTCGAGCTTCGTGTCGTGCGAGAGCCCGCGGCTGGCCACGTGGCGCGCGGTGGCCATGAGCCTGTGGGCCTCCCGCAGCCGCGCGAGCTCGCTGGTGTTCTCGTCCTTCTCCCGGTGGTGCCGCGCCATGCACAGCTCGGCGTACGCGCGGTACATGGAGTCCTTGCAGCGCGAGTGCGCCGGCCACGACACGTCCAAGTAGGAGGACAGGGGCGGGCGCTCCGCCGCGCGCGTGGCGCTGCTGAACAGCTCCGCGGCGTGCAGGGCGAGCCGCGCACAGAGCTGCGTCGGCGAGGCGGGGGAGTGTCGCGGCTTGAGTCCGTTGGAGAGGCGGGCTGTGCGAAAGATGAGCGGTGGAAGAGAAAGCACGTGCTGGCGGTCGTGGGGCGTTCTCGGCCCTGAAACGACGCAGCTCGCTCGTTCGTGCAAGTCAGCCAAGAACGACGCGTCCAGGAAACAGAACTGTCAGGCCGTGCTGGGTGCCGAGTCAGCAGCGCGGCATGCTGTGCACATGCGTCCACGCGGGACAAGTGCGCACCTGGTGGCTCTTCCCGTCGGTGGCCGCCCGCTCGAAGCAGCACTGCTGGGCCTGCGCCAGCGCGAGGCGTTCCAGGAACGTCAGCGCCTCTTGAGTCAGGTCTGGTGCGGGGGAGTCCAGGCGGGTCGCGTCGTGCTCGCGCAGGGCCTGGAAGGTCCCCGCGGCCTCCTGCAGCAGCTGGCACGCGCGCGCAACGCCCTCGGGCTCCGACCGGTCCTGCTCCTGAGCTAGCTTGCTCAGCACAGCACCCAGGTTGAACAGAACGCTGGCCTTCTCCACGAGCAGGTCCCCCGCGTCGTTGCGGTTCTTCGAGTTGAAGGACTCCGACCAGCTGAACCTGCGGCGCGTCCGTGACGTCGCAAGCACGCTCGCGTCGTCGACGGGCGGCACAATGCAATGGTGTTGTGAGGCGGGCCGTGGGGCACGGGCTGATCGCTCTGCGCCGGCAGCACCCGGAGCTGCCAGCGGGATGGTGGAGCCGGCGCGTGGGAGGGCGCGGGCGGCGTTTCGGGGGGCGGGGGCACGCACGAGATGTCGTGAAGGGCGCTCCGGGACGAGGCGAACGGGAATCGGGCGTCGATGGCCTGGAGGGCGTGATAGTACTTCGGCAGCGTGCTCTTGAGGCTCTCCATGGACGCGGCCTCGCGCACGACCGCGTCACGCAGCTGCAGGGCGCGGGAGCGGGTGCCTAGTGTGCGAGTTGTGATGGTGCGCGCAGCCGTCGCAGAGGGCCCCACGTGGGCCAACGTGCCGTGCGAACGAGAGCCTGGGATCTGATGCTCCTGATCACGCCTCGTCGGTATCGGATGCTCCCTCACGGCGACGGACTGGGCAGTCTGGACTAGAGCTGTTGGCACCAGGCAGCCGTGGCCCCGTTACCGCGGACGACCTGGCGCACAAACCGTGCGAGGCGCGCCCGCGAGAGGTATGGAGCGCTGCGGCGCCGCGCGGGCCGAGGCGCGGGCGTCTTGCGGCGTGCCGCGGGCCACGCACGCGGCCCGGAGGGGAGCGGCCTCCTCAGGCGCCAGATTCGCACCTGTTGGATGGTTTCCACGTCGTCCTCGGCGTCTCTGGCCTGCTCCGGGCCGAAGGTGTCCCGGACGTACTGCGTGATCGGGTCGAGGTCCTCCTGCTTGCCCTTGCGCATAGGCACCGCCAGCAGGAGGTGCCTCTGCGCTGGCTTCGCGCTGCTCGACATCCTCGCGCCGCCAATCCCTGCTGTTCCGGAGCCCCTTGTACGCAAGAACCAGTTCGGCACACCGGCGGATTCCGCGCACAAGACGGACGCGCTGCCAGCGGCGGTGTTCACCGCCAAGTCGTCGGGCCGCGTACGGGGCGTGTCCGCGGTCAGGGGCCGAACAACTCCACTCAGAAGCGTGCTCACTTCGCGACCTCGCCTCCCACTGTGCCGCGTCCCACGTAACACCCCCCCTGCGTGGCACTCCACGTCCCTGGGACCTGACGCACTGCGCGGGTGCCCCGCGGTGCCCCCGTTGGCGCAGCGGAGCTCTTCCGCCGGCTCAGTCAAGCGCCCCGCGCACACGAGAAGGCACCATGCAGGCGTCCCTGACTTCGCGCGCTCCGGCCGCGCCGCGCTGCGCGCGAGCGGTGTCGCACAGCGCGACCCGCGCCCACGCAGCGCGGCCGCCCGCGTCGCCGGCGTCTGCCGCGGCACCCGCGCAACGTGCGCATATCGGGACGACCGTCTGCGGGGGCTCCATGAGCGGTTCGAGGCGGTTAGCGCCGCGCGTTGCTCTCCCAGAGCAACCAACACGCCGCGGACCGGCAGCTCCCTGCGCCACAGCCGACAAACAGCTCAGAAAGCGCAGGTCGAACCACACAGGGGTGCGTGCGCCCGCCGTCCGCGCGCCTCCGTGCCCGCGCGGCCCGTCACTTGCCGCGCGACAACTCCCCGTCGTCAACGACCGATCACGTCACCGCACGTCCCGTCTCTGCGCCCATTCGACGCCGCCGCCCCCCCCGGCCCGCAGGTCTATCTCCTCCTCCTCCTGAACACCGTGATATTCGTCGTCGATAGGGTGCTGCACCAGCAGTGGGTCCAGATGCTCTACCTGAACCACGCGGCGCCGATTTGGTGGCAGTTCATCACCTGCTGCTTCTGCCACGCGTCCTGGGACCACATCAGCTCGAACCTCTTCCTCCTCCTCGTCTTCGGCCGTCTCGTCGAGGAGGAGGAGGGCGCGCTCGGGGTCTGGGCCACCTACCTCATCGCCGGCGTCGGCGGCGCGCTCTCCTCCTTCATCTTCACGCCGCAGGCCCAGGTGCGCACGCACGACGCGCGCCCGGCGCCCACACGTCGCACCGCGACCCGCCCCGCCGCAAAGCAACGCAACAATCATCATGATGATGCCGTTTCATACTTCCTAGCAGGGCGGCGCGGCCAAGGCGGCGGTGGTGTCCCTCGGCGCGTCCGGCGCCGTTTTCGGCTTGTTCGTGGTCTCGGTGCTGGTCCGGCTGGCTTTCGACCTCCGGAAGCTGCTCGAAGGGGCGATTCTGGGCCAGTTTGTATACAAGCAGCTCGCGCAGGAGGCGCAGCTCCAGCTCGCGGGCGCGGGCGCCGCGACGGGCGTGTCGCACGTGGCGCACCTGGGCGGCGCGCTGGCGGGGGTGTTTCTGATCCTGCTGCTGTCCCGGATCGCCCCCGCGGACGACGGCGCCGTCGGGGCGCGGTGACGCGGCCGCGCAGCGCCGGGAGCGGCGGCGTGTGACGTGCGATGCAGCGGCGCGCGATGCCCGCGGCGACCGTTTCGGGCCTGCGGCCGCGCCAGCACGCGGGAAGCTACCTCACAAGGGTGCCTGTAGGTCAGCGAATTACGAACAGAACCCGCAGCCCTGCTCGGCGGGCGCGCGTCCGTGCCCCGAGGAGCGAAGTCGCGGACGTACCCTGGCGTTCGTGCCGTGGGGGGGGAGTTGAGTGTCACGGAACGCCCCTCTGAGGGGCGTTGGGGGACTGATGATGTTTGACTCCCTGACGAGGTACATGAGCCGCGGGCGCGGGCATGAAGGTGCACCGCGGGAGCCCGGCGAGCCATTCGAACGCTCGCGGACGTGAGCGCATCGAGACGGAGGGCGAGCGGAGACGCCGTGGGCACAGTCAGCATACCATCGCCCGCACGCCACGCGGAGCCGGCTCATTTTGTTGCGAGGTTCGCGACCTGTGATCGACCCGCTGTAGCTATTCCGGGGGGAGAGCGCAGAGCGAGCACGCCCCGCATCGAAGCCGTTGAGGGCGGTCCACGCCCTGCTGTGTGCCAGTGGGGCAGCAGACAGGATGCCGGGCGCGCTCGCGGCTCTCTTGGCCACTTCATCCTGCTCCCCCGCGAGTAATCTCCACGTACCGGCGCTTTGCGGCGCGCTCTTCAGGCGAGTTCGTGCACAAAGCCAATTTCTCGATTCCGATTGCACTGGATCGCTCGACGCCTCCGCGCCCGTGGCACGGCGCGCCTCGCCGCCCCTCGTGCAGCGCAGCGCCACAAGTACACCAACAGGCACGTGCCGGCGCACCTGTCGCGCAGGCTCGGGACGCGAGCCTCGTACCATGCGAGCACTCTGGGCGGGCCTGGGGATGGGCCGGTGAACGGCGAGGAGGACCCCCTCGAGATCGCGAACATGGGGCGCCCAACCATTCCGTGGGTTCGGCAGGCACGTCCGCCCGCCGTGCGCGCCGCCGTCGCCCCGAACCGCCACCGTGACGAGCCCATGCCCCCAACCGAGCCGGCAATCCCGCCTCTGACGCGCGTGTCGTGACGCTATTGCCCCGCCAACAGCGCGAAAAGCACGTCATCTAGCGGCTGTACCCCCGTCCGTGCAGGTCATCAACGGTGCGAGCCTCATTCGCGACTGCAAGTACAACAAAGGTCTTGCGTTCACGGAATCCGAGCGCGACCGGCTCTACCTGCGAGGCCTGCTGCCGCCCGCGGTGCTCTCCCAGCGCTCCCAGCTCGCGCGCGTCATGGTCAACATCCGGTCGATGCCAAGCGACCTCGACAAATACAGTTACCTCAAGTCCCTACAGGTGCCGCTCCCGCGCCCCGCGCAGCACCGCGTCCACGCCGCCGCTTCCTCGCGCCAACCAGACCGCTCGGCGAATCCCCAGGAAGGCCGCCGAGCGCCCGCTGGTTCCTCGCAGCGCTCGCTTCCTCCCACCATCATCATTGGCTGCTCACTCGGGCGCGTGTGTTGCGTCTCTTCGTATATTTCTTTCACTTGACGAGCTGCGTACTTCTCTTTGGCTGCCGCGCAGGACCGCAACGAGAGGCTGTACTACAGGGTCCTCGCAGACAACATCGAGGAGCTCCTGCCTGTCGTGCACCACCCGACGGTACGGCGGCCCACCGCACGCGACCGCAGATGGCCGCAGCAGAGCACCGCACAGGGGTCGCTCTGCGAACCAAGCCCGCCGTTGTCTGGCCAGGCATAGAGGCCCCCGCGAGCACACAGTCCTGGGACGTCACCGTGCCCCCGCAGGTCGGGCAGGCGTGCGAGCGCTACGGGCTGATGTTCAAGGCCGTCCCGCGCGGCCTCTTCCTCTCGCTGCGGGACCGCGGCATGATCCGCAACATCCTCAAGAACTGGCCCGAGCGCATCGTGCGCATGGTCGTCCTGACGGACGGCGAGCGCGTGCGCGGGCACGGGGACCTCGGCATCCAGGGCATGGGCGTGGCGGTGGCGCGCGCGGGCCTGTACACCGCGTGCGCGGGGATCGTGCCGCACCTCACGCTGCCGATCGTTGTCGACGTCGGCTGCAACAATGCGTCGATCCGCGACGGGCCGTTCTACGTCGGGGAGCGCCACACGCGGCCGCGCGGAGACGAATACTACTCCTTCCTTGACGAGGTGCGGGCGTGCTGAGCGGTGCCGAGGTCCGTCGCGGTCCTGAGCGCGGGCGTTGTGGACTGAGAGAGCGTGCGCCGTGACGGCTGCGCTGCAGGTGATCGCCGCGCTGCGGCACCGGTACGGAAACAACGTGATCATTCAGCTCGAGGACTTCGCGGAGGCGTCGACGCGGCGGATAATGTCGGTGCACCGCGGGAGCTGCTGCATCTTCAATGACGACATGCAAACTTACCCGGCAGTCATCCTCGCCGCGCTCATCAACGCCGCGATCGTCGCGGCGGACAACCCGAACGTGGGCCTCGAGGGCCACCGCATCCTCTTCACGGGCGCGGGCCCTGTGCCGGCGTGGGCCGCTGAGATGGTCGCCGCGCACATCGCGCGCCGCACCGGGGAAGGGCTCGCAACGTAAGGGCCCGACGCACCTTTCGTCCCGAATCATTCATGCGTAGGCACGCAGCGATGCCGATCGTGTTCGGTGCGCAGCATTCCATCGAGAGACACCGATTTCCAACTTGCCAGAATTTTCTGCGTTCTGTCTCGCAGCGTCCGCGGGAGCATCTTCCTGCACGACGACCACGGGCTGGTCTGCCGCGACAGTCAAGACCACCTCGGCGACGAGCAGCTCCTGTACGCGCACAAGGACATCGCGGCCGCCCCATGCCGCAGCCTCCTGGACACCGTCAAGCATGTCCGCCCCACAGCGATCATCGGCCTCGGCGTCGGGAGCCACGAGGTACGACTCAGCAAGCACGCACACCGCCGCTCGCGCTCTCCCGCTGCGCCGCGTGCGCGCGCGGCCCCGCGCCATCCAGAGAGCTTTGCAAGACGCGGACGCGCCCGTTCCCGCGCGCAGTCCACGGACCCCTCGCACGAGCTGTTCTCCGAGGACGTGTGCCGCGCGATGGCGGCCCACACGCACCGCCCGATCATCCTCGCGCTGGGCCACCCCGAGGAGGAGGTGACTTATCAGGATGCCATGAAATGGACCGACGGCCGGTGCATCTACGGCGGCCGGAACATCCCGCGTCGCGACACCGCCGGCGTCCCAGCGGCCCCGGTCACGCCGACGCTGCTGGCCCCCGGGATGGTGCTTGGCGCGGCCGCGGCGGGGGGGACTCGCTTGACTCAGGACATGTTCCTGGCGGCCGGGGAGGAGCTCGCGGCGATGGTGACGGACGAGGAGCGCGCAGCGGGCGCGCTGCTGCCGCCGGTGCGGCGCGTGCGCGAGGTGTCGGCGAAGATAGCTGTTGGCGTGGCGCGTGCCGCGTACGCAGGCGGGCACGCGACGAACCTGCCGAAGCCGAGCAACCTCGCTGCGTTCGTGAGCTCCGTGATGTACAACCCGACGTACCGCACGTACCGCTAGCGCCGCAGGGACACGTCGCGCCGCGACATGTGACAAGTACGGCCACAATCGCAGCAACAAATCTCACAAGCCTTATGGCTGACGACGCGAAGAATGTGACACCTCACCTCACGCGAGTGCACGGGCCGCGGTCTACGCTATCAGGCCCTTCATCCGCAGCTCCCGGAACCCCTCCGTCTCCCCCACGGGCCGCGGCGGCAGCACGTGCGGCTCCGGCGGCTCCTCCCCGCGCTCGTAGTGCGGGTACGACAGCACGTTCGACCCCGCCATCTGCCAGCCGGCCGTCCCGCCCTTGCAGCACAGCGGCCGCGTCCAGCCGGCGTCCTCCGCGACGCGCGCCGCCCACACCGCGCGCCGCTCGCCCCGGGACAGCAGCGCGAGCACCGTATTCTTGGCGGGCTTGGGGAAGCGCCACGTGGCCTCGAACTGCTCGGGGGGCAGGTCCAGCGCCTGCGGGAGGTCTGCGGCGGGCAGGTGGTGCGTGCCGCGGATGCCGCCGTACATGCTGCGCTCGTCGCTGCGGCGCACGTCGAGGATCACGCAGCCGCTGCCCGGCGCGCCGGCGCGGCTGAGGAGGACCGCGAGGGCGTCGCGGCCGAGGTACCGCGGCCCGCTGTCCGGCTTGTCGAAGCTGCCGCGCCCATTCTCCTGGCGAGAGCGGCCGGAACCGGAGTTGTTGTTGTGGTGGTCGTGGTGCAGAAACGACTGAGCGCCGCCCCGCACGGCTGCAAGCGGGCACGGAAACAGGCGCACATGCAAGGTGAGGACCTGCAAGGCGCGCGTTGCGCGGGCGCGGACCGGAGGCGCGCGCGGGGGGCGGGGAGGCACCTGCAAGTCGTCGGTACCCGCTGGAGCGCGCTGCTCTGACGGCCTGCAGGCAGTGCTCCGGCTTGGGTCCGATCAGGACGAGGAGGGCTTCCGTTGACGGGCGCCTGCCTCCGCAGGACACGGGCCATTCGCCGCGAGCGGAGAGCGCGGTGCCGAGCTCGTTGGCGGGGATGCAGGCCACGGGGCCGAGGTCCGAGGGGAGCGGCTTCGCGGCGACCTCGTTTGGCTGGCGTATGTCTATGAGTCTGTGGGGGATGGGGTCTTGGTGGACGAGCTTGCGCACCGCCGCGGGAGTCAACGCGGGCAGCGCAGGCAAGTTCCCGCGGCCTCCCAGCTGCCCGGACTCGAGGCTCGAACGTCGCAGCGCATGCTTCCTGCACAGGATCGTGGTCGGCAGTAGCGTGGGCGCGGTGTACCTCGCAGCCGCCAGTCGGCGGCGCGCCGGGCGCGCACTCGCTGGCCAACCTCTTGCCCGTGCCTAGGCGCGCAGGGCGCGCAATGGCGGGCCGAGAGCGCTGTGCGCGCCGGCGTCAGGTGGTCTCCTGGCGGTGGACTGCGAGCGGGACGGGTTCGACGCGTCTGCGCGTGCTCACCGGAAGAACCGAATGCCCCAAGCAATAGAGGTCAGGGCGACGAGACTCGTGATCGAGCCCCCGACGTTCGTGATCGAGGGCATCTCTCAGTGCTCGGTGGCGCCACCCGCCTCGCGCGTGCCGCTGCAGGGGCGGCGCACCGCGCCCCGAGCGCGGCACTAGGGTGCTTGCAGGTCCCGCGTCAGTCGCCGCCGACGTCAGCGTCGCCGCAAATGAAGGCGAAGCAAGCGAAGAGCTGGAGGAACCGCCCGCAGTCGCCGCACGAGCAGCACATCGCTAACAGTTCCACACGAAAGTCGGTTGGTGATGGTGACACTACGAAGACGTGCACCCGCCGAACAAGTCCGGGCTCACTCACGCAGCCGACCGTGCAACTGCCGGCCGTGCGCGCTGCGCCGCGAGCACAACGCCAGCCTCGCCGCCGCTGACGGGGGAGTCCCAGGGGGGAGTAGGAGCTCTCTGTCAGGGCCGCTCCTCCCCGCGGCGGCCCACATCGCGGCTGCGCGGAGCCAGCGCTGCGTACAAGTGCTGGTCTGCAGCTGGAGTCGCCGGACGCGTTCGTCGTGGTCCTCAGGCGGCGCACGAGCGTCACGATGCTGGCGCGGGAGAAGCAGGGCGGCGCCGCGCTGTCTCCGCGGGCGACGTGGCTGACCACGCTGCTCGCAGTGGCCCTCACATGTCTGAGCTTCTCGCACGTCGGTTCTGCTGACGAGTTCGACCCGCACCCGGCCGTGCGGTCCGATGTCCCCTTCATCAAGTGCGGAGTGTGCGAGATCGTGGCCGCTGAGCTCGTCAAGGGGTGCGTCCGACACCCGAGCCTCGCCTTCACACTCAGCATCCACGTGCTTCGCAATGAAGCCGCGTCGTCGCGTCAGGCGCCCGCACTCGACGATCCTTGTTCGGGAGTCTGTGCTGCTGCGTCGCGCTGCCTCCCGCGGCCCCGCGCTGCCCGCGATGAGCCGCCGTGCAAGCGTTCCTCGGACGCAAGGCGAGCGAATCGCGCTGCCTTTGTTCCGTTGCGTTCGCAGGACGGCGCGGGTCAAGCGTGAGAAGAAGTTTGCGTTCCGCGTCGAGGACGTGCACGACGTGATCGAGGAGGTGTGCGACATCAAGAAGGGCGGCGAGTGGGCCATGCGCGTGGACCTCTTCGAGGACGGAGACGGCCTCACGGTGCGCCACCAGCACGTCGACCCACGCAGTTCGCGCACGCTCAGAGAAGAGCAAAAGCAGCTGCAGCGTTGGAACGACGTCTCCGCGCGCGCTTTGCGCCTGCGCGCGTCGGGGTGAATGACCACTCCTCGCGAATACTCCCCCCGGACAACCTCCCCACCCAACCCTCCTGCGGTCACACAGGTCATCCTCCCCGGCGGGATCTCGCGGTGCGGCCAGGAGTGCTCGACGGCCGTCCGGGCCTGCCGCGACGTGATCGAGGAGACGGACGTGATCGAGCTGGCGGAGGAGCTGTACTCGGGGAAGATCACCGCGGGCGACGCGCGCAAGTCGGTGTGCCGCCGCCTGTCCACAGCGTGCGACGAGGACCCGCCGCCGGTGCCGAAGACGCGCAAGCCCGGACCGCCGTTCAAGCCCATGACGTCCGAGGAGATCAAGGTGTGTGCACCCCAGAACATGGGCATTGTCATGCCGACCATTCATGTTGGTGGTCTGCGCCGACCGCCGGTGCGGGGCCGTTGCAACGTAGCGGAGCTGATGCAAGCATGCACTGTCTGGCGCGCGCCGCGGCGCCGCGCGACGTTGCCTCTGCGATTGGTGCTGCGTGCTCTCCTCTCAAGCGTGTTTGTTTCTTACCTGTGCTGAGGTGCCTCGTCCGGTCTCGACGCTGCCAGGTGTGGGAGATGATCAAGAAGGTGGACGGCATGGAAGGCGTCAAGCCCGAGGTGCTGTCGCGCGACGAAATGGAACGCGAGCACCGACGCGAGCAAGGACTAGACTCGGACGACGAGGACGAGGACGAGGGCGAGGAAGAGGACGCGAGCGGAGCGGCAGGCAGCAGCGGGGAGGACGAGGAGAGTGCGGCGGCGGCCGGGGGCGAGGCATCTGCCGCGGGAGACAAGTTGGAGCTCGCCAAGGAGACGGCAGTCTTCCTGGGGAATCTGGCGAAGAACAAGACCGTCGCTTTCTTCGAGCGGGTGTATCTGGTGCGTCCGTTGAGTCGCGTGAACCAGCTTGCCCGTTGAAGCAGATCTTGCCGACGACATGCATCGGCAGCGAGGTTGGCTTGCAACGCAAGCGTGGGTGGCAATGCGAGGTGTTGTTGCGATTTCGCAGGGCCTTACGCTGATCGTTGAGGACGTGCAGCGGCTGGCGGGGAAGGTGACGGGGTCGGCGAAGGGCGCGGGGCCGCAGGGTGGCGCGGGAGCTGCGGGCAAGGCAAAGGGGAAGAAGAAGGCGACGAAGAAAGGGAAAAAGAAGTCTGCGGGAAAGACGAGCAAGGAGCTCTGATGGAAGGGCGCGGCGCCCGTCGCACCGTGTTACGTCTATCTGCACGAGTATCTTGCGCAGGTATATCAATCAATCACTATTGACTCATTTCAATACTATCCTTTTCCTGTTACTTGTACGAGTCGAGGGGCCCCGCACAGGCTCTGTCGTCTCGGGATTACAGTGCTGCGCGACGATGCGACGTCCTGCGCTCAGTACTTGACGAAGATGTTGTCCTCCTCGATGGCGATCGGGTACGTCGTCAGGGGCGAGGGCTGCACACTCGACTTGAGGGCACCGAGGATCTTGCGCCCGACGGTGTCCTGCGGGCACCATTCGATCACCGCACCCGTCCGCAAGTCGTATTTCGTGCCGTCCAGCGGCGTCTCGATCGTCCACTTGCCCGACTCGGAGCGCGACACCGTGCCGTCCATCAGGGGGTACCTGCACCAGGGGCGCCGGAACCAGAACACGGCCCGTGAACCATGGCCCGAGGCGAAGGACAGAGAGTGCGGGGCGCGAGCGGAAGCAGCGAGCGGAGATGTGGAGGGGGGGGAGTTAGAAGCTCACTTGTATGCCGTGGAGTACACGTTGCACGCAAACCACGCCGAGTCCTCCGCGCCGTCCTCCTTCGCCTCAATCACCAGCACGCCTCCCTGCAGTCGCGCGCCGCGCGGCGGACGGACGCGTTGGTCGCGCGAGGTTCGACGGAACGCTGCACCTCATGACATGACAGGCCTGGCGGGTGCGCAGCGCCGCTGTGCCTCACCTCGACGCCCTTGACGATGAACGGCTTCTTTCCGCCCTTCTCGCGCACCTCCTTGACCGTCGCAAGCTGCTTCCAACCCTCCCCTGCGGCCGCACGAGAGCCCAGCGTGCACTTCGTCATCAACGCGCCGCGCAGGGCGGTGGCGTGGGTCGTGTCGCCCGGCGACGGGCCGACGTGAGGCATTTCGGCATCGACGGCCGGCGCGGCAGGGACGCGGCGGGCAACACGAGGGCGAGGGGCCCAGCGCTGGCTCTGAGGTGTGCAAGGTACCGACTGGCTTCTTGACGGCTGACGTCATCGCCTTGGCCTTGGTCGCCCCCGAAAGCTCGTCCTTGAGGTCGATGCGCCTCTTGCGCTCCTTGGACGCCGTCCCCGCCTTGCGGCCCCCCGAGCTGAAGCCCTTCGCTGCCTGGATGGGAGCGACCACCGCGCGGCGGGCGGTGCACCGCCGCGGGCTCGCAACCAGCGCCGGCGCAATCGAGCCGGTCAGGAAAGGAGCGCCCATCGCGAACAATTCCAGCGTCGGAGAAGGAGACAGGGGGCTGCGGCAGGGCGTGAGTTGAGCTCTCAGGTCTTCCGCCCGAGCCGCTGAGTTCCCGAAACGCGCTGCGGTTGATGAAGTGCTGCTGCGACTACCAAGGAGCTGCGGGCGTCGTCGGCCAACGAAATGACGGCAGCACGAGCTTTCTGAGGCCCACCCTGACCACAAGCATGTCTGACAAACCCCCCCCGCGCACGGCGGCACGCCCACGTCGCAGCGCGGCCAAGAGCGCATCTCCTGCACGCCAAGCGCAGCGCGTGATCACAAAACTGCCCCACCACCTTCAGACCTGAAATCAAGACTACCGTCATCGCTTCAAGACACCAGCCAGCCCGACACGCACCGGCGAGCCGATCGCCCTGCCCGCCCCGGATCCACCCGCCGCCTTCTTCGGCGATCCGATCTTCCCCGCCCCCGCCCCGCGCGCCCTCCGCACCGCAGCCCCCAGCGCGTGCACCACGCGCCCCGCCTCCGGCTCCCACGCCAGCCCGCGCGCCGCCTGCACCGCCCGCGACACCCCCTTCGACGCCCGCCGCTGCGGCCGCTCCGGCCGCGCCTCCGCCACCGGCGACACGGCCTGCGTCGGCGACACGTCGTCGTCCTCGCCGTCGGCGTCGCCCTTCGCCGGCCTCCCGCTCCGCCGCGGCGTGGCCCGCAGCGCCGCCTCGGTCTCGGACGCGGCCACATGCGCGGGCTGCCGCTGCGTGGCGCCCTCGGGCGCCGCCGTCGGAGACATCCAGGAAGTTTTCGAGAAGAGATAGGATTGGAAGGATCGCCCTGAGCCCGACATCTTGACCGTGAACTTGTCGACGAGCGCGACGTCGCCGAAGCCGTACTCCTCCATGTTCGCGACGGCGTCCTCGCGCATGTGCCGCTGCACCACGCACACGTGCTGCAGGGTCGGCGACGCCGCGAACAGCGCGCCAAACGCACACCGCGCCTCGTGCGGGACGCCCTCCCAGAAGGAGTACGCGTGCGTCGCGGGGCACAGCGTCGACATGCCCTCGATCGGCTTGTTCTCGTAGTACGGCACCTCGCCGCCCCCGAGCGCCCGCGCCGCCACCACGCGCGCCTTCTCGCATTTGATGCTGTCGATTTCCACGCCAAAGGACCGCCCCGCGTCGACGCCGGCGTCCGCGATCGCGTGCAGGATCGGACGCCCGAGGCCTGCGGGCGGACCGCGGAAGCAGCGATCCGGCGTGAGTCTCCGAACCATCAACCACGAACGTCACGGCGCCGTGCGCTGTGCTCAGCCCTCGCATCGCTCACGCGCCCCGCACGCCCGCTGCCGGGCGCGGAACGCCGCGCGCGCGCATCGAGCGCGACGCCGGCGGGGCCGCGCGGGGCGTCGCGGCCGCGCCGCGCCCGCACGCGTCGCCCGCGACGCAGCGCTGTTGTTGAGCGCCACGCGCAGGGTCGCTTACCTGCGCCCACGTCCAGAAAGACGCTCCCGCGGCCGAGCCCGCACCGGGACTTGAGCACGTCGATCACCTTCTGCATCGACACCTGCGAGATGCTCCCGTATAGCCCCTCGACGCCCTCCCCGCCGCCCAGCTGCGTCTCGAGGCGGCGCATGTGGCGGTACAGGGCAGCGACCCGCTCTAGTCGCGCAGCCTTCTCCGCATCTGTCTCGCAGGCGACGTCCGCGGGCTCGCCGGGGCGGGACTCCAATGGTGCGGCGTCGGGCGGGGCCGCGGAGCCCCGGGCCGGGCGCGGCATGGGCGCTGGTGGCTGCGAGGGGGGAAGATGGCCGGTGCGGCGCCTGAGAGCCCGCTTGGATCGATATGGTGATGCAACGGCGTAGATACAGGTGATGATGGTCCAGGAATGTGAGGAAACGGCAAGTTGGGGCGTCGCGGAGGGAGTGCGCGCCGTGCAAGTGGAGGGCGGAGGCCTGGGGTCGCCTCACCGGCGTTGCCGAGCGTCTGTGAAACAAAACAGGGATTTCTCCACCTCGCGTACGTCAGCGTCCTTTGTTCTATCGCCTGATATTGTCCGCCGCGCTGCGCGCGGAACGACCAGGCCGGTGTCGCGTTCCCGCTCAGCGCTGCTGGTGAGGACCCTCCGCCGGCGATGGACACGGGGCTACAAGCGCAGCCAGTGGACGACCGGCATGTTCCAGGGTGTCCCGACTGCGGCAGCTCGCTGTGGCCGGCGGGCAACGTCGGCGCTGCGTGGCAGGGGGCGGAGGAGTCACGCCGTGCGCAGTCCTTGGGGGTGTCCGTTTTCGGGCCGCGGGGGTCGAGGCGGGGTCGAGGGCCGGGCGTCGCACTGCTGGGGGCACTGGGAGACCTCGTCGAACGGGTGTTGCGGCCTCAGGATCGCACGTCGACGTGGTGCCGTGAAGGGAAGGGCCTGGCTTCCTGCGCCCGCGACGGCAGTGCAGGGCGCGTCACGTCTGTTGGTTTCGGATTTGATATCACCGGTCCAATATCTGACACGCACGGGCCGCTCGGAGGTTCTCGGAGGATGGAGACGGCGCGGCAGGCGCTGAGAGCGCATGGGGGCGCAGCATGCTCTAGGTGCGCTGGCACGCGGCCGGACGACGCTCAGGACACCGAGCTCTCCACCGACGCATTCAAAGTACATAGAATGTCCAGATTTATCAGTGTTTCGGGCATGCGAAGACATACCGTGACCGGCAGGGGCCCCGGGCCTCTCTGGCCAAGGGCATCCTCTCCCGCCTCTAGCGACTCGTTCCAACCTTCAAACGCCTTTCCCTCCCACCGCAGACCACGAACATCTCCACAAGCGTCGCTACCGCGATCCTGGCGGCCCGCGCGCCCCTGTCCCGCACCGCGCGGGAACCGCCCTGCGCCGCGTGCGTCCCTGAACAACCCCGGCCGGCGCTCGCACTGCACGTCCGCGGCGGCGCCGGTGTCGCCGGAGCCCACGCCGGGGCTCGGGCCGTACAGCAGCCGGTGCGCTACTGGCGCCGGGGAGGTCACGATTCGCCTCCTGAGTCAGTCCGACATCAGGGAGGCCGGGGTGCTGCTCGCACGCGCCTTCGTGGGCGGTTCGGAGCGCTGGGCGTTCGACGACATCAACGGGCACCTCCGCGACATGGTCGCGCCGCGGTCGCCCTCCGCGGTGCTCGTCGCGGAGCTCGACGAGGACCCCGACAGCGAGTCCGACGAAGAGGACGAGACCCCGCCCCCGCGGTCCCCGGGGCTGCGGCGGAAGAAGCGTCGGAAGCCCCGCGGGCGCATGGTCGGGCTCGTTTCGGTGTACTTGACGGAGGAGGGCCGCGAGACGTTCCCGACGCTGCAGCCGCCGGACGGGGCGGCGTACCTGTGCAACATGGCGGTGGCGGTCGGGAGGCGGCGGAACGGGGTGGCGTCGGCGCTGGTGCGGGCGGCGGAGGAGCTGGCGGCGTCGCACGGCGCCCGGGAGCTGGCGTTGCACGTGGCGCTCAAGAACGGAGTGGCTCGGGCGCTGTACGAGAAGGCGGGGTACCGGGAGGTGGCGCGGGACGGGCTGCTGGCGCGGGCGCGGGGGATCAGTCCGCGGTCGCTGATGGTGAAGCAGCTCGGCGCGGGGGGGAGTTAGGGGGTGTGTGATGTTGTGCCGTGTCGGACGGGCCGGGGGGTCGCGGTGGGCGGTGCCGCCGTGAAGAGGTCGCCGGGGCGTCTGGTGTGAGACGTTTGCGGTGCCGTGGGGGCGTGGCGGAGTGTTGCTGCCGTGGCAGAAGGTGATGTGTGTTTTGGTTGTCAGCGTGAGCGCGGAGTAGCGTCGCGGAGTTCATTAGCAAAAGCGCTGGTTCGAGGCTGTAGAACACGGACTTGTCACAAGATCGTCGGAAGTCATCTGAAAGCGACGAATTGGATGGGCACGGGGGCGCGATAGGCACTATGCAGCTCCCTGCACTGCCCGCGCCCCTCGCCTGGGGCCTTGCTGCGTCCGCAGCGCTGTGCGCAGCGGCCCTGGCGGTACTTGCATGCCTCTGCGCATGGTCCGCGATCGATCGCGTGGCCAACCGCGCCGGGGGCGGCCCCGTCATGGTCGTGCTGGGGTCCGGCGGGCACTCTGCGGAGATGACGGCGCTGTTGCGGGCAGTGCTCGTCCCATCCGGCCGAGAAGACGACGACCTCGACACTGAGGAGGCCAGGGCTTGGTTCCGGGAATCGCAGAGGCTGTACGTGATCGCGGAAACTGACACAGGGAGCGCTACCAAAGCCAAGGCGCTCGAGGCGGACGTGCGGAAACAGGCGGTCGCGCGAGGGGCAGGGAAGAGTGGGCGCGCGGGAGGGTTCGAGGTGAGGTCCTTGCCGCGCCTGCGCGGGACGTGTTTGCACCGCATGTCGTCGAGCGCCGTTGACGGGCGCGCCGTGGTTGTGGCCCACCGCAGATACTGCGCATACCGCGGAGCCGGGAGGTACACCAGTCGTACGTCAGCTCCGTCGCGACCACGCTCCGCTCGACTCTCCACGCGCTGCACCTCGTGTTGCGCCACCGGCCGGCAGCTGTGGTGGCCAACGGGCCGGGGACCTGCCTCCCCGTCTGCCTGTGCGCAGCGGCGCTCAGCTGGCTCCGTGTCCAGCCCTGCAAAGGTGCCGCACGCCCCAGTCACGCCCTGCGCGCCCGTCGCGCCTACTTCGGGGGCGCTGAACTCGGGAATCCGTGTCCTCTGCCGCGCAGTCATATTCTTCGAGAGCATCTGCCGCGTGTCGACCCTCTCGCTCACCGCGAAGATCGTGCGGCTGCTGCGGGCCGCCGATCCGCTGCTCGTCCAGTGGGAGGAGGCTGCTCAACTGCACCCCGGCTGCGTCTTTCGCGGACGCGTGTACTAGCCCGTTCGTCTAGCTCCTGGGCGCCACAGAGCGCAGCAGGCCGCTCGAAGTGACCAGGACGTCACGTCTTTGCTTCCCTGCGTCATGGATCACGTCACATCCCTTTCACGCCCGCCCGCTCCATCACGCCCTCCAACACGCTGTTGTAGATGAAGCAGTACTGTTCGAGCCCCTGCACGCACCCGCACCGCATGCCGCGCAGCATCGTCACCGTCTCGCGCACGTCGAGGGCTGCCTCGATGCGCCGCACGTCCACGTCGCCGCCCTCGCGCGCCAAGAAGTCGAGCCGCCGCAGCGCGATGTCGACTGCGAGGAAGGACCCCGAGCGACCGATGCCCGCCGAGCAGTGCACCACGGCGGGCGGCCCGGGCTTCTGACCCCCCCGGGGGAGTGGAACAGCTTTGCGGACCTCCTCCTGTATCGCGCGCAGGACGGACGAGTCCGCCGGGACGCCGAAGTCCGGCCACGCGTCGAAGGCGATGTGCCGCGTGCGGTGCGGCTCGGCCCCGCCCGGGGGGGTGATTTCGAGGTCCCTGACGTACATGCCTTTGAGGGGGGTGTATTCGCTGCCCACGTCGACGCGGAACCCCGCAATCACCCCAAAGCGCGCCCCGCGCTCCGGGAGGTACTGCGCGCACTTCTCCCGGCCGCCCTCGCGGTTCCGAGCCAGCATGATGACGATGGGGGACTTTAGCTGGACCACCATGTGCAGCATGTCTGACACGGTCGACGGGATGGGGCCCTGGCACGCGACGTAGTGGAACGGGGGGCCGATGCCGTCGCTGGCGTCCGACCTGCGATCGGACGCATGCGCGGCGTGCAATCGTCACGCTACGGCGGGGCATGTGACCTCGCGTTGGCAAGAGAGCGACAGACCTCGTTTCGCGAGTAACGCGCGGGCTCTGGGGCTATGGAGCGCGCTGGCCGTGGCGACGTCGGTGTGGCCGCGTACGTGATGTGGTTGGCGTTGATGTATTCTCTAGCCGGGGGGCGGAGCTTGACGCGGTTGTAGTCGTACGCCAGGACGTTGCTGTACCGGTTGTGCTGGGAGTTGGCCTGGGAGACGCTCTCGGAGTGCTTCGGCGCGCCCATCGTGTGCGGCAGGGACGAGTACTCCTGCGGATCCAGCCAGCCGAGGAGAGCGCGCGCTCTAGAGTGGTGGAGAAGCTAGCTTCGTTCGCCGCGCTCAATCATGGACATGTATGCACCGAACAATGCAGAAACGACGTGTTCAGATCCTCGAGTATCGAAAGACTTATTTGTGGGAGCTGAGTCAGCAGGTCTGGAGCGGCCGCGACGGCCGAGACGTCAACGCTCACCTGTATCAGCCAGCCCATGCACCGCTCGCTGTCATGGTCGCTGTTGCGGTGCTCCCTCAGGTACATCCTGACCGTACCGAACTTGCGCTGCATCACCTCGAACGCGGCGCCGTACACGCGCGCGGCGGCTGCCATCCTTGCTCCTGCGGCGCCCAGGCCCCGAGAGCGCCTAGCCGCGAATCACCCGCCCCCGGACCGTCCCGAAGGAAAATCCTCGGCGATACTTCGTGCGATACGGGTCGGCAGTCGTCTAGCGAGCCCCAGGCCGGCACGTTTCGCCGCTGCGCTGCCTAGATTGCAGCAACACGGAATTGCCGCGGTTTCGTCTCACCTTCCCAACGGCACTCACGCTCCCCCGACACGACTATCGAAGTGCTCGCACTTAACGCTGCGCCGCGCCGTAGAACCGGCTCCGCCGCGGCGCGAGCCTGCTGTCATGCCGTGAGAGGGGGGGGTCGCGATGTCGGGCATTCGTCGGCGCCTGCGGCGCTTCACGCCCGGCCGAGCGCGGTGCCGTGCGAGCGCGGTCGCCGCGGCCGGCTACGCGCGCTGACCGGGAAGGTCGGCAGCGGAAGCACTGCCTGCGATGCTCTCCGTCGAAAGAGAGCAGATGGCGCTATGCCTGGCTCGACTCCACTCACTGGCCCGACGCAGCGCGGGGTGCGCGCTTCCCCCTCGGCCTCGCAGCTCCGGCGCGCGCCGCACAGCATGGTTTCTTGAAATGCCAGCAGCCGCCAAGTTTGCGTTTGTTGTTTCGCCGTTTCGTTGCCTACGGACGATCGACCACGCGATGTCCTCACCGGGGGGACCGCCCGCGATGCGTCGGCCTGAGCCGTGGGGTGGTTGATGCGACGCCAGTCCCGGCCCACTGCCGTCCAGGGTCGCCTGTTCCTCCTGGAGCAACACGGCACGCTGGACTCGCAGAGAAGCTCCGGAAACCGCAGATCCATGCCCGTTGCGACCAACACGTATCGAAGATGCTCGACGGCATCGAGTCGCGATTTCTGAGGCTCGCACGGTCGCGGAGGAGGGGGGGACGTCCTCTGCAAAACGTCTCGCCCGCAGCCGCTTCGCGCGACATCGACGCCCGCGTCGAGACCGGCGGGGCAGACCCTTTGGACGACCTCTGCCAGTCCGAGCATCGCAGCCGACCGCAGACTGCCCACGCAGCAGGCATTCCGCGCCTGTCCTTTTCCTGCTCCCATCTGGGCTCCAGCGCGCGTCGCGACAGCCCGGCCCACCCGGCCCTGAAAAGACACGACTCTTCACAATGTCGCAGCCGAGCGTCCGTGACTACGTCATGAACGAGAACGACCTCCGCACCTGCGAGGTCGCCCGATGCCTCCTGTCGCGCGGCGGCCTCTCTGACGGGGCTGAGGAAGCGCTTCACCGGTACGCTGCGCACGCACGCTCTTGCCCTACACGCTCGCCGCCGAGGACCGCGCCGACCGCGCCTGAGGCGCGCGTATGCGCCCGTCTTCACCCGGGCGTCGTTAGCCCGCGGGAGCCGCTCCTCGGCCGCTCATTCGCGCCCCCGTGCGTCGTTCCTGCACCAGGCGACTTTTTCTCGGCCGGCGATCCGTCAGCTCGCCCCGAGCGCTCCCCGCGTGGCCGCGCGGTGCCCTGGTAGTCACTGCCCAGCAACACGCCGCGCGCGCTCCCTCCCGTGCAGCATCATCAACCTGGTCGAGGGCGACGGCTTCTTCCACCTCAACCTCGGCAACCTCGAGCTCGGCGACGACAACCTCTGGCCCATCATGGAGTGCCTCAAGCAAAGCCCGCAGATGGCCCGCAAGGTCATGCTCGAGGTACGCGCGCGCCGCGGCACCGCCGCGCCCGCGAACCGATCGGAGCACGCGTATCCCGAGCCGTGCGTCCCCGGGCGGCCGCCGCCACGCGGGCGCGGGCCGGCCGCCGCCGGGACGCCGAGTGCCTCGAGCCAACTGCTCTCAACGACGACCTTCCGCCCTGGCTGGTTCGCAGGGGAACAACATCTCGTCGAAGGGCGCGCTCCAGATCGCGGAGATGCTCCGCCACAACCGGAACATCATCGTGCTCGTGCTCCAGTGCAACATCATCGGCGACGAGGGCGCCGTAGCCATTGCCGATGCCTGCCGCAAGGTGCGCGGCCGCTCGCCCCGCGCGCCCCGCCGCGCCCGCAACGGCGCCCGCCGGCCTCCCTCGCGGACCACGGCCACAGCCGCGACGCACACGGGCCCGCGCCAGGCCTCGGCATCGCCCCGCGCCGCCCCCGAGGGGTGATGACTGATCAATGACTGCTCTAAGCCTCACATGCTACTTGATTAATTGAGTAATTGAACCGACTCATTTCATTCCCTTTTCGCCGCGACCCGTCTTCCCGCTCCCGGCGCCGCGCCCAGCCACGCCCCTTCCGTCCCGGAACCAACCACCCCCCCCTCTTCCCCCCGCGCGCCCGCAGAACCACGTGATCGAGGTGCTGGGCCTGCACACCAACTTCCTGACGGACGTGGGCGCGTGCGCGCTGGGCAAGATGCTGGGCGTGAACCGCTCCCTGCGCGTGCTGTCGATCTGGAACAACGCGATCACCGACGTCGGCGCGCGCGACATCGCCGAGGGCCTGAAGACGAACTACCACCTGGAGGGCATCGCGGCGGGGTTCAACTGCATCACCGAGGACGGCGCCAAGTTCCTCGCCGAGGCGCTCGAGAAGAACAAGAAGCTCCGGCACATGTGGCTCAACTCCAACCCCATCAGCGAGAACGGCGCGCAGGCGCTGTCGGACGCGCTCAAGGACAACACCACCATCCAGCAGGTCCGCCTGACGGCCAACGGGTTCGAGACCTACTCCGGGATGGTCCGCCCGACCATGGGCGGCGGGTTCCCGCTCATCGGCACCGCGGCGCCGCACCGGCGCTCGTGCGACTACATCCGCGGCAAGGCGTACGACCCGGAGACCAAGCCCGCCGCGCCCGAGGCCGGCGAGGAGGGCCACGCCAAGCCGAGGGTGCGGCACTCGCTGCCCGCGCGTCCCGCGTCGGCCGCGGCGTCGGTGCGCGCCAGCATGGAGAAGAAGAGCGACTTTTTCAAGATGTTCTCCGGGAAGAAGAAGCGCGAGGGGCGGCGCACGCGCGAGAGCGCCGAGACGGTGCGCATGTCCGACAACGGCATCGTGCCCCCGGCGCCCCCCGCGGCCCGCTCGAGCATCGGCGCGCGCCCGGGCCTGACGACACTCAAGGAGGAGAGCAGCGAGCACGCTGCCAAGCACGCGCCCGCGCCGGCCGCGCCGGCCGCGGACCCGTCCACGCTCAAGGTCGAGGACATCGTCATCAGCGAGGACGCCGACGCGGACGAGTCGGACCCGGAGCTCCGCAAGATCAAGGACGAGTGCGAGCTCCTGCGCGACGACACGCAGAACGCGCTCTCCGTGGGCGGGCGCGGCGACCACTGGGGCCCGACCGTCAAGCGCTCGTCCTCGAACCGCATGACGATGGAGGTCCAGCGCGTGACGGGCCCGGTGGGCGCCATGGCCGCGCAGCCCTCGGCCAAGTATGCCGACGCGGCCAACGGCAAGGCGACGTCGATCGACGACCCGTTCGCGCGCTCGACGAAGTTCCGCATGTCGCTGGACTGCCGCGACACCATCGGGACGCGCTCGATGGAGCTGATCCGGTCGTTCGAGTTCCCCGACGCCCGCGTCAAGGTCGACCTGGGTGGCCAGCCGCCCAAGGCTGTCAACTGACGCGGCCCCGCGCCGGCCCGCGGCTCGGGCTCCCGCGAGGCCCCGCGACCTTTTTCGCCCAGGTTGACGCGGCGGGACGCGCAAGCGATGCGCCCCTGCCCCGTCCGGGCGCAGGCGGCTCTGCAGCGGTCGCAGCAAGACTGCAGCTGCTGGAGCTCGCCTCGCGCCAAGAGCTTCCTCCCCTTTGTTCCCCCTTTTTTGATAGGCGCCGTGCCGTTCCAGCGCGGTCGACGAGCCAACGATTGTCGCAAGATCGCGCAGCTGTTGTACACAGGACGAATGGCTGCGAAAGAGCGCCCGCAGTAGTGAGACTTTGACCGCCCCGCTCCTCCCGAGCCGAACCGTGCCCCCCGTCTGCGACATGGTGGTCCGCAGTGTAGCAGCATCGGCCGGGCTCGTGCCCGTCGTTGCAATGCAGCAAACTGCGTCCCGACGCCTTGGAGGTCTTTGGACCCCTCAGCGCATGTGAGACGAATCCGAATTTCCGCAGCATTCGTTTCAGAGGAGGCTGGAACCGCCCTGGCAGGCCTCGTCCCGATCGTCGATTCCAAGAGACCTGCAAGTCGACTGCACCGAACGCTGGGCTCGCGCGCGTGCGTGTCGAGACGCGCGACGAATCGGGGGCGGATTTTTTATGCCAGCTGCATCGCTCCGGTGTGCGCCGTGGCAGCGCGCTGTCCGCGCCCCGTTGTGGGCTATCCTCCCTCGGTTGTCAAGTGCGGGTCGATGGCAGGTGCGATGCGGCGCGCTTCTTCGGAAGTAAGAGTCTCACAGCGTGCCTAGTTTCAGTCTTGTTTCGCGATCGCGAGCGGCGCTTGCGCACGTCGCGATTCGCACGGGAAAAGTTCCTCGTTCATGCGGGCGATGTCGTCCCCGAGCCACCATCTGGGGTGTCGGCCGGACCGGTGTTGGATCGAAATTCGTCGATTCATGTCGGCACGTCAAGCGCGCCTCTCGGCTTCCCTCGTGATCTTGCTCAGCACCTCCTCCAACGATGTCTTCTTGGGAGCTCCGCTGGCCCACGCCGGGGGGTCAGGCCTCGTGGCCGCCGGCCCCACCGGCGCCCTCGCCTCGAGGGAGTACCTGGACCGGGCGCGGAGCGTGCCGCAAGGGGCCATCCTTGCCGCCATCGGGCTCGGCGGCATCGTCTGAGAGGCCGTGGGATTGTCGCCGCGACCCGAGCTCCGCCCCGGCGCAGACGTGTCGGAGTAAGCCGACAGCGAGTGAGTCGTCCTGTGGGACTCGGGCTCCATGTGCTTCGCGAACGCGTCCGCCACTGGCTTGAGGCATGCCAAATCGATGGGCCGCCAGCCCCCCGTCCTGTCCCTCCACGTCATCGAAACACCCGACACAGCCAGCCTGCGCGGTATCAGGTCCGCGCGAAACGTCAAGCCTGAGCCCAGGCCGGGCCACCGCGGCCCGGGGCGACATTCCCTAGGTGAATGCACCAGGTCACGTTTCGCTCCTTGCCGCGGCTCGCTCACCTGTTCGCGATGTCCGCCTTGCCTCCCAGCGCCGCGTAGTGCGCCGCGTTGCGGCCGTGGGCGCACAGCACGTTCCCGTCCGCGCCGTGCCGAAGCAACCAGTCCACGACACGCACCTCGCCAAGCGCCGCCCAGTGCAGCGCCGTGCGGCCCGCATCGTCCTGCGCCGCGCGCACCGCACGCCACGCCCCCGGGTTGGACCATGCGTGGTGTGAGAACCCGACCGCGAGCAAGCGGCAGCCCCGCAGCGCACCTGGGAGTTGATCTCGTCAGCGTGGGCCTTGAAGTAGCGCGCCACGGCGTGGAGCTCGCCCCGCCTGGCGCAGTCGTTGATCGCAGTGGGAGCCATGGCACACAGGCGGCCAGGAACTCGCGCCGATACGTCCCAATACCCCACGCACCGCCGTGGTGCGAGACGGCAAGAAGGGATGGGCCAACCGATCGGGGACCTAGCGGCCGCAGTAGGGGGCTGCGGAATGGACCTGGACGCTCGGGATGGAATGTCCGGGGATGGAGTGTGCCGCGGAGGGCGCTGGATCCGCGATGTGAGCCCGCGGGCGGCGGGCGCGGTGACACCACCCTCCTTACTTGAGGAAGACACCGGGACCCGAGATTCGGTAGTACCAGGGGCGTCCAAGGGTGCCCCTGGGCCCGGGGCGCCGTGTGCGCTGGTGGGGCGCGGAGGGAGCGTGCCACCGCCATTGTTGCACGCGCTCGTGGTGGTCGAAGCCGGGGCGCGCGCGAACGGGCTCGTTGGATGCGCGGAGAGGCGCTGCAGCCGCGCTGAGTGGTTTCTGGCTGGTGGTTGAAAGGGGCACGATGGCGCGGGGGTCGCGCGGGGGGGGTGGGTCGAGCGCGAGCTTGGAGGAGAGGCTCAAGCAGAGGCTGGAGGAGCATCTGGGGCTGGAAAGAATCATCATTGACAGCGTTGTGGACGCGATTGACGATGCCGTGGACCAGCGGGAAGTCGAGGCGCTCGTGCAGGTCGGTGTAGTGCGTGATATGAGACTACTCGAACGACGCAGCATGCATATGTGTACATGGGCGTAGAAAGATGCGAATGCAGTTGTTATATGTCCGTGAGGTCGCGGTGTCGGGCGTTGACTGCGCGCGACAGCAATGTGCCAGCAAGCTGCATGTGCGCGCCCCGACACGACCGGTTCTGCGTCCCACGTCGCTGTGCAGAACTTCATCGGCGAGGACGAGGGGGCCTTGGCGATCATCCAGTCGTACTTGGCGCAGAAGCGCGCGGCGGGCAGCACGCGGCAGCGCCCGAGGCCCACGCCTGTGCAGGTTTCGGGCGCCAGCCGGGGACCATCGGGCGCTCGAGCTGACACAAGGTTCGAGGACTCCGCTCACGGCTCCGGCAGGGCAGATGGACCATCTGCGAGCGCGGGCGCGGGCAGCTCTGCCCCGGCTCGCTTCCAGCAGCTCAGCATGGCGCATCCGAGCGGCGTCGTTCCCGAAAACGGCCCCGACGAGAACAACCCTGCACCAGCACCGTCCACCGACGCCGGCCCGGGTCCCTCGTCTTCTCAGGGCGCGGCGGCGAACCCCACGAGCATGATCAACGTTGGCCGTAATATCCCCGTCAAACAGTCCAAGAAGATGGCGCGCGCCATGACGCTCGCCGACCAGGCCCCCGAGGGCACGTCGGTCGAGAAGCAGGTCGCCAACTGCCTGTCGTGCGGCAAGGTGTACGACCTGCGCAAGCCATCGGAAGATGCCTTGTCGCTCGTGCGCAGCGGCGGGACCTGCGTCTTCTGCAACGCGCACGTCAACCTCAGCATGTCTTCGGCGCCGGCGCCGCAGCGCCAGGCCGAGGGAGCGCGGGCGAAGCCGGCGGCGCAGGAGGACGCTGACCGCAAAGCTGCCGAGTTCAAAAACCGCCTCGTCGCGTACGACAGGCACGACGCCCGGCGTGCCGCGCCGACCGCTGGCTTGCTGCTCCGCGGGGTGCGGTGACCACGCCGTTTGTCCCTGACACGCCGTCGTCACGCGAAGAAGAAACTTGAAGTAAAACATGCCTCTCCGGCCCGTGCAGGGAGGGCGCGAAGCGCACGGCGGTGATCGACGACCAGAGCGACTGGTTCGCGATCGACAGCAACGCGTGGCTCACCGACGAGGAGAAGGAGGAGGCGCGCCGGCGCGAAGCAGCCATCCTCGCCGCCGAGGAGGCTCATCGCAACCGCATCCAAGTGCGCGTCGACCTCGTGGGCCGCCAGGTCGTCGTCGTTGACCAGGCCGCCGAGGAGGACGCCGCGCGGCAGGCGGCCCAGGACGCCGCGCAGGGCAGGCCGCGCGCCGGTGCCTTCGACTCTGGCGCCGGCCCGAGCTCCGGGGCGGCTGGCCTTGCGGCGGACGTCGCGGGCGCCGCGGAGGCGACGCTGGCCGAGGCTGCACACGGCGGCGGCACGGCCGGCGCCGCGGCGCTGCAGGCGGCGGCGGAGGAGGCCAGGCTGCGTGACTTGCGATTGGCGACGTGTCCCGACATCAAAGGACCCTCGCCGATGTTCATGCCGCGCGCGGAGGTGGCGCGGACGGAGGGGGAGGCGGGTGGCGCGGGGCGCGGCGGGCGGGGCCGGGGCCGAGGGAGGGGGGGGAGTGGGAGGGGGCGTGGCGCGGGGCGGGGCCGGGTGCAGGACGAGAGTCCGTTCGATGGTATGGCGGCGCTCGTGGAGCAGCTGGCGCCGTGGAGGAACGAGGCGGGCGGCGTGGAAGGCGCCGCTGCGTAGTCACGGCCTCTCTGTGCAACGTGAGACTTGAAACTTTGATTGGTGTTGCACGGAACGAGACAGGACGTGCGCGGACGCGGAGCGGGCGAGGATGCGAGACGTACGTTGTGCGTGCCGTCGTGCGCGTGATGGGCTTCCCCCGTGCGACGTGGCTGAGTCAAGTGATGGTCTGACTAACGCCGGACTCCGTCAGCCTGGGGGACTTGTCCGGCCTTTTGGGCCGCACGAGCGCCCGGGCGCATGGACACCTTGTAGCGCTCGGCTGAGCCCAGGCGGGAACGAGCTCTGCAAGGGTCTGCAGGAAGGGGCCCGAGTGCGTGCGCCTGGGTTGGTTTGACTCGTCGAGCGGGTGCGCGGCTGTGCCCGACCGGCGGAGCCCCACACTCGCACACGGGTGAGACATGGATACAGATCACTCGACTCGCGGCGCGAAATCGCATGCCTGACGCGATACCAGGCCGCAACACGACCGCAAGCTCCTGTCCGAGCCTCGCGCCGCGTTTCAGCACCGATCCGCGCGTACTCGCGTCCACGATCCAGCGCAGGGGCATCTCTGTCGCGTTGTCTCCGCGATCGTCGGCGCGGGACATCCCCTGAGGAGCTGCACAGCGGCGCCGTAGCTGCCAAGCTGGCCCACCCAGCGCGCTGAGAGGGCGGGGACGCGGCACGGCATCGGGCCCCGCAGAGCCGCTGGCGCGATGCAGGGCTTCAAGGGCTTGCAGGGCCGTTTCAAGCAGGCCGTTGCCAACACGAAGGAGCGCGTGGGCGAGGTATGCGGCTGCCAAGTGCCCACGCTTTCACGCAGCAGCCTCAGCTGCCACCAGCCTCCTGACGCCCGCCTCCCGTTCCCCACATGTTCTCATTCGCTGATACACGGGGCCAGTGAACAACCAGACGCCCGCCTCGATCCAGGCGGCGACCCCGCTGTCAAGCACTTGCGCATCACTTCAAGGGCTTCCGCGCGCGCCCTGACCGCACACACGCGACCTGCCACCGCCCAGCACCGACACCCCCACCATCAACCACCTCGCGCCGCAGGCCACGAAGAACCTCGTCGACCGAGCGCGGGACGGCAGCCGCTCGGAAACGCAGTCCGTGGGCGCGCCCTCGGCGCCTTCGAGCCCCGCGCCGCCGCAGCAGCAGTACGTGCGCATCCCCGTCGAGGCCGCGCGGCGCCTGCGCGCGATGGAGGAGGGCGACATGGCTGACGTCATCAAGAGCCACCTTGAAGACCGGGGGCGGTTGCTCTCAGAGGTCGATCGCCTGCGGGACGCGCTCGCAGCCGCGGGGGTGCCGGAGCCGTCCGGGGGCGACGCGGGGTCTGCGGGCGGGGACGCGCACGGGTGGGGGGGTGTTGAGGGTGTCCGGGAGCACGATGAGGGGATGTCTAGGGTTCTACTGATCAAGCTGACCGACCAGCACGCGGCGCTGGAGACGCGGTACCGCGAGATGGCGTCGCGCAGCGAGCAGCTGCAGCGGGAGCTCGACGAGCACCGCACGAAGCTGCGCGCGCACATCCAGGGCGCCGGCGCCCCGCCGGACCTGCTGTCGGGCGCCGACGTCAGCACGGCCCCCGCCGGCGCGGACGACCGCGTCGCGGCCCTCGAATCGGCCGTGCGCGGCAAGGACGAGGAGCTCGCGCGGCTCCGTGCCCAGATCGAGCACCTGGCGACCGCGATGGGCGACGCGTCGACGGCGGATGCGGCGTCGTCAGCGGAGGAGGCGCACCGTTTGCGGCGGGAGCTCGACCAGGCGCTGCGCGGCGCGTCGGCGCTCGAGGATGAGCGCGAGCAGTGGCGTGCGCAGGCCCTGAGCCAGGGTGCGGTGGTCGAGGACCTGAAAGCGCGGCTCGCGGACGTGGAGGCGGCCGCGCAGGCGCCGGCGGGGGGCGCGGAGGCGGAGGCGCGCGCCGGGGCGGCGGAGAGCCACGCGGCGGAGATGAAAGAGAAGCTGAAGCAGGCGGTGCGGAAGGGGAAGGCGTTGGAGGAGGAACGGAACGAGTTGCGTGCGCGGCTGCAGCAACAGGAGGAGGACGCGAGCCGGCGGGCGGCGGAGCTGAGCGGGCGCGTCGCGGAGCTCGAGGCGACGGCGGAGGCGTCGGCCGCGGAGGTGGCGTCGCTGCGGGACGGTGCGGGGCGCGCCGAGGCGGACCTGACGCAGGCCCGACTGCGGGTGAGCGAGCTCGAGTCTGCGGCGGCGGAGCGCGACGGAGGCGTGGCGGCTGCGCAGGAGGAGGCGGCGAAGCTCCAGGCGCGCGTGGGGGAGCTGGAACGCGCGCTGGAGGAGGCGAGAGCGGCGGGCGCGAAAGCGGCGGAGGCGGAGCACGATCAGGTCGACACGTTGCGGGCGCGTGTCGCTGAGCTGGAGAGCACACTCGCGGCGAGCAATGATGAGGTGGCGCGTTCGAAGAAGGCCGCGGAGAGCTTGCAGGCGCGGGCGGACGAGATCGAGGCGACTGCCACTCAGGCGCAGCACGACGCCGACGAGGCGCGTGCGCGCGTGGCCGAGCTCGAGGAGGCGCTCGCGTCGAGCGCGGACGCGGCGGCGCGCTCGAAGCAGGCCGGGGAGAGCCTGGCGGCACGGGTGGACGAGATCCAGGCAGCGGCATCGCAGGCGCAGCAAGACGGAGACACGGCGCGTGCGCGCGTGGCCGAGCTCGAGGAGGCGCTCGCGGCGGCGACGTCGCGCGCGGACGCGGAGGCGGAGCGCGCTGCGTCGCTGCGGGATCGCGTCGACGAGATGGAGCGAACGGCGGCGGACGCGGACGGCAGTGCCAGGGCCGCGGTCGACGCCGCGCAGGCGCGCGTTGCGGAGGCGGCCCGCGACGCTGAGATGCTGCGCGCCAGGGTGGGTGAGCTGGAGGCCGGCGCCGCGCGAGCGGAGGAGCTTGGCGAGCGCACTGCGACGTTGGAGGCGGAGCTGGAGGCGGCGAAGGGTCGCGGTGAGCAGGCGGCGGCGCTGCAGGCGCGGGTGACCGAGCTGGAGGCGGCTGCTGCGGCGGTGCAGGCCGCGGGGGAGGCCGACGCGGGGCGAGCGGCGAGGGAGCTCGCGGAGGCGCGCGGGCGGGTGGCAGAGCTGGAGGGGGCGCTGGGCGAGCAGCGTGGCGCGGCGGCGAGCGCGTCGGAGGAGGCGCAGGCGCTGCGGGCGCGCGTGGCGGAGCTCACGGCGGAGCTCGACGGGGAGCGTGAGGCGGCGCGGGTGACGGCGGAGCGGGCGCGGAAGCTCGAGGACACCGTCGCGAAGGTGGAGGGTGCGGCGGCGAAGGTCGAGGCGTCGCTCGAGGCGGCCCGGGCGGACGCGGAGGAGCAGCGCCGGCGCGTCGCGGAGCTCGAGGCGGCTCTGGACGACGCGCGCAGGAGTGGCGGGGAGGCCGCGGCGGGTGCGCAGCAGGAGGCGCAGGAGCTGCGGGGGCGCGTCGCGGAGCTGGAGGAGGCGCGGAAGGCCGCGGAGGGGGAGTTCGAGGCGCTGAGGGCTCGGGCGGCGGAGCTCGAGGGCGCGGTGGGGGCAGCGGCTGCACGGGCCGACGGGCTGGCGGGCGAGCTGGCGGCTGCGCAGGCGCGTCTGGCTGAGGTGGACGCTGGCGAGTCTGACCGAGAGACTCGGGCCGCGCAGCTCGCCGAGCGCGTCGCGGACCTCGAGAACATGCTCGAGGTGGCCGAGAAGGCGGCGGAGGACCAGGCTGCGGCTCTGCAGTCCCAGATTCGCGACGCCAAGGCTGAGGCGGAGTCAGGCGTGGCTGACGCGACAGGGAAGTGCGAGGCGGCGCGCGCGGAGGCTGCGGCGGCTGAGAGCGCCCGCGGCGAGCTCGAGAGCGCCCTGGCCGAGAAGGAGGAGTCGAGAGAGATGCTGGAGCACCAGGTCGAGGATTTGACCCACGAAGTCAACCGCGTCATGGCGATCAACCAGGAGCTCGAGACGAACCTCGAACGCATCCTCGCGGACCTCGAGCTCGCGCAGGAGCGCCGGCAGGTCCTCGAGGACCGCGTCGCGGAGCTGCAAGACGCGAAGGGAAGCACGCAAGCGCGCGACAAGGACTCGAACGCCGAGGGCAAAGCAGACGAGCTCGAGCGGCTCCAGAGCCGCGTTTCCGAGCTCGAGGGCGTGCAGGAGGAGCTCCAGGCGGCCAAGGCGAGGGTTGCGGAGCTCGAGGCGGCCGTCGAAGAGGCAACAAAGGCGTCGACGTCTGCGCAGCGGGAACTTGCAGAGGCGGTAGCGCGCGCCGGGGAGCAGGGCGACGCCGAGCGGCTGCGGAGCGAGGCCGAGGAGCGGGCGAAGGAGCTTGCGCAGGAGCGGAGCCGGGCGGAGGCCGCCCAGTCGCTCGTGCGCGACATGCAGGCGCGGTGCGAGGCGCTGCTGCAGGAGCGAGCCGAGGCGGGCGAGCGCGCCGCGAAGGCCGAGGCTGAGCTGAAGGAGGCCCGCGGAGCCACGGACGCCGAGATGAAGTCGCTGCGCGAGAAGGCGAAGCAGGCGCGACACGCGCACCGAGAGGCGGTGGCGGCGGCGGAGCAAATCGTTGCGCAGGAACGGCGGCGCGTGGCCGACGCGGAAGCGGCGCAGCGGAACGCCGAGGCGCAGTGCCGCGAGGCGCAGGCGAAGCTCAAGCAGGCTGAGAAGGCGCACGGGGACGCAGCGCCACAGATCGCGGCAGCGGCGCAGGAGCGCGACGGGCTGAAGGAGCGCCTGCGCGAACGTGACGCGCAGTGCCGCGAGCTCGAGGGCCGCGTGGAGAGCCTCGTCGTGGAGCTGTCGTCCACCGAGGCCAAGGCGACAGCGCTCAAGGCGGACGCCGACATGCTGGCGGTGGAGCGCGCGGCGCGCGAGGAGGCCGAGGCGCGCATCCGGACGCTCGAGGAGGAAATGCGCGAAGCTGGGGGCCGCGAGGCGGGCCGCAGGGCGCTGGAGGAGGCCGCGCGCGCTGCGGACGAGCGCGAGGCGGCTGCGCGGGCGGAGGCCGTGGAGGCCGCCCAGCAGGCCGCGACGCTCGAGGCGCGCGTCGAGCAGCTGCAGCGCGAGCTCGAAGACGCCTGGCGCGACGCGGCGGACGCGCGGGCGGAGTCCCGGCGCGCCGAGGCGCGCGTGACCAAAGAGGTCGAACGTCGGCTCAAGGAATCGGCGAAGGACCGGGCGCAGTGGCCGGACGCTGCCAAGGAGGAGACCGAGCGGCTCGCGGCCGAGGCGGCGCGGGCGGCGCGGCGAGCGGACGGGCTCACGCGCGACGTGGAGGAAGCCACCGCGCGTGCCGCGGAGGAGCACACGCGCGCAGACGAGTTGCAGCGGCGCGTGGCGGAGCTGGCGGCGGAGCGCGACGCGCTCGAGCGGGCCGCGGCGTCCGCGGAGGCGTCGACGCCCGGTGAGCGCGCGAGGCTGGAGCAGGAGGTGCGGCAACTGAAGGCGCTGGTGTTCCAGTTGGAGGAAGACAATCATGCGCTGCAGCGGGAGAACGAGGCTGCGAGCCGGCGGGCGGCGGCGGGAGAGCCGTTGGGGGCCGCGCAGGCCCGGCAGTTGAAGGGTGCGGGGGGGTCTCGGAGGGGGACTCTTTCGAGAGGCCCCTCGTCGCATTTCGACGAGGCGGCGCTGGGGCGCACGAGCGAGGTGGACCACCTGTACGCGAAGAACGTCGTGCTGCGGTTCGTGGAGGCGGCGCTGCGCAACAAGCGCAACGAGCGCGACGCCATGGTGCCCGCCGTGGCAGCAGTGCTTGGTGCGACGCCGATGGAGCTGCAGCATCTAATGGGCATCGTGCAGCGCGGGACCGGGGGCATCCTTGGCGGCCTGCTCGGATGATGCACGAGCCTGCTGAGGCCAGCCACTTTTGAAACATGTGATGACTCCCAATTCCTGAAGTCAGTGGCACCGCGGGAATCCCGAGTGGCCGTGTCGCCAACTGAGCAGCCGTGTTCCGCTGCCTCGTGACGTTTTCCCGCGGGCCGGTGGATCGAGACCATTCGAAAAAAAATTTTGACGACTCAGGTCAGAATCTGATCCGACATCCTACAGTCGGAACGAACGTGCCCAGCCCCACGCTTCCCGAACGACTCCGTCACACGCAGCGCCGTCACTCGTCCGGCTTCGCCCGCAGCACCTCCGTCGCCTTCTCCTGCTCCCGCATGAGCCCCTCCGTCTGGTACCGCGCCAACAACTGCTTCTTCTTCCGCTCCACCACGCGCGCCTCGATGTCCTTGTCGTCCGGCAGCGGCACATACGCCACGAACCGCTCCTCCCCCGCACCCTCCGCGCCCCCCGCGGCCCCGCCCGCCGCCTCCCCCGCCCGCCGCTTCCGCCCACCCTGCACCTTGGCCGCCTCCGCCGCCCGCTCGGCCTCCTTCTCCCGCCACCGCGCCAGCTCCTCCTCCCGCATCCGCGCCTCCGCCGCCGCCTCCACCTCCACCAGCACCCCGTCCTCCTCGTCGCGCAACCCAAAGTAGTCCGCGTCCACCCCCATCAACAGCTGCGCGCGCGTCTTCCGGACCTTCCGCGGCGCCTGCTTCTCGAAGAGCTCCTTCACGCCAGGCAGGCTCTTCGCGGCGCCGAAGTAGCGATACCCGGCCCCGCGGCCCGTCGCCCCGTGCAGCTCGTTGCCGTCCAGGTCGGTGGTCTTCGGCGCCATCTTGGCGTAGTCGGGGCCGCCGAGCTCTTTCACGCGCTTCTCCCAGTGGCCCTTCTCGCGGATCAGCTTGTTGATCTCGTCGTTGAGGTCCCTGCGGTCGCGCCGTGGCGTGGCGCGGGGTGAGAGTGCGCCGGAAGCTGCGGGGTGTTGCCCCGCGTGTGGTGGGCCCGCGGGACATCGGTCGCGTAGTTGCTCGCGTGCCGCTCGTGTGTAGAAGGCAGGGCGCCTGAAGGCAGGGCAGTGCTGGAGCTCAGATATCGCTTCGAGATTGACAAGGAGTTGGGATGCTTGTTCAAGTTGAGGAAGGGGAGCGCGCCTGGTCCGGTGCTCGCCGAGCGCCGGGTTCTGGATCTCCATGACCTTCCGGCTGATCTCTTTGAGGATCTGTTGCCGCCATTTGTCGGCTTCGAACAGGTCGGAGCACTCGGACGCCAGGTACGGGCGCTTCTTCACCTCGCCCTTGGCCTCATCCTGCTTCATTTGGATGTACCTGCGCCGCGATCACCGCAGAGAGCGACACAATCACGACCATTCGCGCCCAGTGGCCAGAGCTGACGACCACGCGGCCGCACAAGGCTCCGGGCGGCTGGCAATGAGGCCCGCCCTGCCCTCCACGCAGGCCACAACGCGATGGTTTGCGGCGCGGGATGACGAGCGAGGTGTGACCTTCGCCGACCGCCGCTGAGATGCGTCAGCGCCGACACGCAACGCCCGCCCCAACAGAGCGAAGACGCTCGCGTGCCTCGAGCGCCACTCCCGTCGCCAGATCGCTGATTGCGTCCCCGTTGCGGACGCGACAAGATGGAACTACCACTGATGCGTGCTGGAGCGGCATGATTCGTGAGGAGCACAACGGAACGCGGCGGTTTTCGCACCTGTTGAGCATGGTCTGCGCCTTCTCAGAGTTGCGCGCCATGGTGCCCTAAATCCCCGTGAAAGCCCCGACGGGGGCAAGTTCGAGCTTATCTCCGATCAGACGCGTGCTCCAGTCTGCAGCAGGCACCTCCTGGGGTCGCTGAAACGGAAGCAGGCAGCGGCGCTGCTGGAACGAGCCCTGCGATGGCGGAGAGCACTCCGGTCTGTTCGCTCGCGAGCGAGGATGATCTCCGGTGCGGAGTGACGCGCGTGCGGGCCTGTACCGGCCCATGGCGTCGGTCAGCGTGCTTCCCGCGTGAGACTCCGCCTGCACGCCCCGCGGGGCCTACGAATCTCGCGTGCGCCTCGCGCCGTCAAGGCAGGGCCGCTCGCGCGTCGCCTCCCGCACCGGACAATCGTCCAGCATCTTTGAAGAAGGTCGCACTCCATCAGACGCGTCCCTGAACGCCGCCTGCGAGGCTTGAAACAACTCACAGAGCAACACCGGTGCAGTTGCGCGCTCCCGAAGACTGAACGGTGGCATTCTAGATTGTTCTGATAGCTGTCGTGCGGAAACGCGCACTGCGTGAATCGAGGGGAGAGGATTTTCCGGACACAGAGGCCGCCCTTGTAGCAAGGAGTTCTGCCCGGCGCCCGGCGACGAGGAGGCCTCCGGTGTCCACCGCCTACCGTGTTTCAGCCAGTTTCCGAACGGTCCCGCTCTCGCCGCTCCCCACTGGAGCGGCGTGACGCACACGCGTCCAGCGGGCGAGCCCGGACCCATGGCGCAGCAAGGCGGGGACGACGGCTGGGGCGTCAAGGTGACCACGTGGCACGCGATCGCCAGCTGGACGTGGAACGCCGGGGACGACGTGTGCGGCATCTGCCGCAGCCACTTCGACGGCTGCCCGCCAAACAGTGCGTGCCCCTTCCAGCGACCCCCTCTGCAGGGGAGATGCCTCGCACCCTGCGCCACCAACGGCCCCAAACCCACTGAATGCGCCCGCCGGTGCCTGCACTGCCCTTCCGAGCGCGTCGCGTGGCCCTGACCCACACCCGCGTGCGTGACTTACACCCGCAGTAAAGTACCCGGGCGACGACGCCCCAGTGGTGTGGGGCGCCTGCAAGCACGCGTTCCACCTGCCGTGTATCTCCAAGTGGCTGGAGCAGCAAACGGAGCCGCAGTGCCCGCTGTGCCGGCGGGCCTGGGAGTTCAGCGGCGGGCCTGAGGGCGCGACGGGGGGGGGTGAGGGGCAGTGAGGAAAAACTTGCCCGCCGCACCCTCGTGTCCTGGGCGGACATGCGTTCCTTCCTCCGAGCGCAGGAGGAGCTGTTGATTTGTTCGGCAACATGACTTCATCACTCAAAATCTTCAGACCTGAGGCGGACCGCAGCCACGTGTGATCGCCTCTGCATCTGCTTTCGGTGCGCAAGTGTGGGGCTCTCCGTGCAAGCTAGCGCCGTCGCACGTGCGGCGGTGCGGAGCCTGCCACCACACGACCTCACGGGGCGCCACTGTGTTGCGCCGGAGTTGCCGGGCTAGTGCGTTCCCGGCGGTGGGCGTAGCCGCAGCGTGTCGCGTGCGTTTCGGATTCCTGGGTGCCTGGGGAGTGTGCAGAGCGCGGTGGCGAGCGCGCGAAGAAGCCTTCCTAGTGGGCCGCGACACTAACAGCCACGAACGTGCACGAGGCTGGTCAGACCGCGCCGTCTGACAAAGATCGGCCATGGGGGGAGAGGGGGGCGGGGTGGGAAGGGGAGGGGGAAGGGGAGGGGGAAGGGGAGGGGGAGATCTACGCATGCAAGGCGGAGAGGCGCAGCGAACGGTCAATTCGCACCATGTCCAGCCAGTGCTCAACGGTGAACGTGTTTCAGGAAACACGATGAAGTCGGTCTTCGCCCTGTCTACAGATCGACTGAGTGGGTCGGGAGCTTGGTCCGGGAGGTCAACATTTCATGCAACCCGCGCCGTCTGACAAAGATCGGCCATGGGGGGAGAGGGGGGCGGGGTGGGAAGGGGAGGGGGAAGGGGAGGGGGAAGGGGAGGGGGAGATCTACGCATGCAAGGCGGAGAGGCGCAGCGAACGGTCAATTCGCACCATGTCCAGCCAGTGCTCAACGGTGAACGTGTTTCAGGAAACACGATGAAGTCGGTCTTCGCCCTGTCTACAAATCGACTGAGTGGGTCGGGAGCTTGGTCCGGGAGGTCAACATTTCATGCATGCAACAGCTTCGGTGCGCGATGGGGTGCAAGGTGACCGGCCGACAAGCACGGCGAACTCCTTCCCGTGATGGGTTCGTGCCGATAAGCACCTGTGCACTCCTGGCGAGCTGTCGCGAGTGAAGTCTGCTTCGTGCACTCCGATGCACGGAACGTGCCCACGTGATCCACACGAGGGCAAATGAGGGGGGATTTAGGTTGCAGGCACGAGTCGAAACCGCGTTCTCGTGCGCTGTGCAGGCGGACGAAAAACCAATGCCAGTGCAGAACCGTCGTAAACGACCTACGTGCACGCGAGCGCGGCGGTCAGCCGCCCGCGCGGGACCCTCAACCGAACGGCCGCAGCGACGCGAGGGTCGCCAGGCCCGAAGGGCCGTGCGACTCGTCGAGGGGGAACGGGACCTGAGCGCCACGTCCGGGCGTCGAGGGCATGGGGCCGCTCGCGACAGCCGACGGGCTCGCGCAGTCGTCGCTGCCGACTTCGGCGCCGCAGTGCGAGGGGGGGAGTTCAGAGAAGGAAGCGACTGGGAGGTGCAGCTGCAGCTTGACGATGAGGCCGCGCGGCGGAGCGAGCAGCGTCGCCTTCTTGCCTGGCGAGCCAGGGTCGGGCGCGGCCGGAACGGGGTGCCTGCGGGTGCCAGTCGCAAAACACCCCACCTCGAACTCCCCCTGGACGCCCTTGAGCCGGAACCGGCCCACGTGATCGACCCTGGCCCGCACGAGCGCCTCGATCCACGTCGGCTCGTGCGCGACCTGCTTGTGGCGCGGCTCGTCCTTGGTGGCCCGTCGCCTCTCTTGGACCACGTTGGTCGAGGTGCGACCCGACCGGCGCTGGCTGCGCACGCGCTGCACGGCCTCCTGGAATCGCCCGATTGCAAAGCTCTTGCGCACCGTGAGGGCCTCCGCGGTCGACTCGGCGACCCCGAGGCGCAGCGCGTCTATGCCTGCATCGTGGCACCCTGGCTGCAGGCCTGGCACCGAACGCCCTTCTTCGTGCCCAGACGCGGCCGACCCGCGCTCGCCTTCGCGATTGCGCGGGATGCTTAACAGGCGCATGGCTTTCGCGAGCGTGCGCTGACGCTCCAGTCGGTCGTCCCCCGACGTGTGGAGCACCGGCGGGCCACGTGGCAGACTGGCCGTGTCCTGCGCCTCGACCGCTGATGATACGGGCACCGCTTCGCGGTCCACTGGCGCGCCGGACTCCAGGAACCTGCTCGGGCGGAACACGCGCGGGCTGCTGTACCCGGCAGCAGCACTCTCTCCAGTTTGCACCGGGGGCAGGTGCGCCGCGAGTGAATCCTTATCTGTCACGCTGAGGCGCAGCCCACGTACGCCATTCTGGTTGACTGGCAGACTTGCCAGCATCTGCGACAGCTCCGTGCCACACATCCACAGCAACGAGCTGTCAGCGTGCACTTCGAACATGCTCGCCATCATCGCGCGCATGGGCTTGCCCGGAGTAGCCTTGGTGTGCACCTTGCGCGCCATCGACAGGGAGCGCGGCAGCATGGCCGAAGGGCGGGGCGTGAGCATGTCCGCTGCCAGCGTGTTGGCAGGTGCTGCTCTCTGCAGCTCCGACGGCGGCGGCAGGTCCGTGACGCTGGCACGCATGGACCCCCAGGCCGTGCCCGTCGGCGACTCGGAGTCCAGCTTGAAGAACCCGCCCGTGTCGCGCTGGCTGCCCATCTGCGCCACCGCCTTGCCCATCTGCTCCACGGGGCCCGTTGTCTGCCCGGGCCGGGCGGCAGCGAAGCACAGCCGAGCTGCGCGGTTCACCAGCGGCCCGAAGTAGTCCGCGCGCCCCGTCGCCGGGTGCGGCATGACCCGCAGGGGCTTGCCTTCGCACACGCCAATGCGGACGCGCAGGCCCCCGTCAACGAAGCGGCCGTTCTCGTCGCAGCTCGGCGCGAACGCCCGGGCACGCATCATCCTCGCGGGCCACGGCATCGTCGGCAGGAGCGCGTGGAACGACGCCGCCCACAGGTAGGCCTGCCAGAGGTGCGTAAAGGCGATCATGAACGCGCCGTTGAGCTCCTGGCACTCGTAGCCGTTGAACCGCGGCAGCGTGTACCGCACGGCGCCCTTGTACAGCGCGACGACCTTCTCCTTCGCGCTTCCTAGCTGCATGACGTCGTCCATGTCGCACGGCGCGCAGAAGACGATGGTGACGTTGGGGAGCGACGCCATCTCCCAGCAGCTGCTGCAGTCGATGTACGCCGTCTTGTGCGGGCACATCGACAGGTGCGGCAGCAGCGGCGCGAGAGCGCCGGGCGCGTGGAAGTACGTGGGCGTCACGGGCGCCTCCACCGGCGGGAACAGCCTGGCGCGCTCCTCCAGCATGGGCACGAGGACCTGGAAGACGTGCGTGGCGCCCTTCTTGCCCAGGCTCTGCTCGCCCATGTCCAGCACGATGACCTCGCCGTGTCGGTCGCGCGACTGGCTCTTGGTCCGCTCGTCGCCGTCGTCGGTGTTGCGTGCCCACAGCACGCCGTCGGGCGCCGTGCGGTGGATGCTCGCAGCACCGTGCTGACTTGACGCGATGAGCCGCGAGGAATTAGACGTCAGCTGGAACTGCACGCGCGATCTGGATGCCTTGGCCTGCGGGGCTGGGTCGGCGGCTTGCGCGCCCATTGCCTGTATGCCGTCCTCAGTGATTCGAGACACTCCGAGGGTAGGCGGAGTCCGGCCTCCGTCGCGGCTGACGGGCATGAAAGTCTTCATGTACCTGCGTCAGACAAGCGTGAGGGAGGGGGCGAGGGGTCGGGAAGAGCGATAGTTTTCAGTTCGAAGTGACAAGTCGACCCTGACGCGAGCGATGGGCTGTGGAGATATAGTTGAAGATATCTCTGTGGCGGCAAGTGTCTGGCTGACGCATTCGTGTGAGTGAGCGGGCGGGGCTCGCACGTCAGGGCGCCGCTCTTGGCCGTGCCGTTCGGCGCAAGCGTGTTCCAGCGCGACAGGGGCGCCGGCAACCCAAACTGGATCTGATTCAGCAGCGCCGTCAGCTTCTTCGCCGGCTTGAGCCCCATAACTCTCTTGTATAGGTCGGTGATCGGGCCGCGCGCGAGCAGTTCCAACGTGCGCTCGCACAACAGCACCTGGCCGCCGTGCGCCACGTCCTGCGTCGAGGTGGGTTTGGAAGAGGCCGGTCTCGGCGGCCATCAGTTTCAGCGCCCCTGCGTCCCCTGATTGTGCATCAGCGAGATAAAACATAGGAAGAGATGATTGACAGGAACATGTCCTGGCAGGTGCTCGTCCGAGCACTTGCCGAACCAAGCAGCGCGTCCGAGTTGGCGAGGGCGGGGACTCAAGAGGATGTACCTGGATGGCGTTGACGAGGTCCATGACCGGCCCCTCGTACTCGACGCGTCGGGTCACCTTGTGCGTCTTGGAGCGCGTGGCGTTCGCCGTGGCGACGCCCATCCTCACCAGCAGTCCGCGGAACACGTGCGGGCCGCCCTCGCCAAGATCGGCTTCGGCCGCGGCTGCCTCGGTTCTCGTCCCGTCGGCGACGCCGGGCCGGTGCGCAGCCACGTGCTCGACCCCCACCTCGGCGACGGTGTGCCGTGACGCAGCCACAGTCCTGCCCTCGGCCTGCGCGGCTCCCGCAGCCGAGACGCGATCTCCGGCCTCCGTCCGCGCGCCGCTGACCTCGGCCAGCGACGCCCCCGCGACGTCCTGGTCGATTTTGCGTGACACGAGTGGGTGCAGGAAGCTGCGCGCCCGAGCGATGGTGTCGTCGCTGCTCTCGCCGACGTGGACGCCGCGTCCGAGCTCGCCCGGCCAGTCCGCGGCCATCAGCTCTTGCTGCACCGACAGACACCACCCCACCGCGTCCGCGGGCTCGTGGAACGCCAGCAGGAACGAGTCGCCCTCCGTCGTCACCTCGTAGCCAAACCACCGGCCGAGGTTCCTGCGCATGATCGCGTCGTGCATGGCGTTCGCCGCGGCCATGACCTCGGGCATGTCCTCCCACAGCTTGGTCGAGTCCTCCACGTCCGTGAGCACCAGCGTCACCTCTCGGTGACCCGTCGGCGGCCCGGCACGCTTGCGCCGGTCCATCACGGCCGCCGCAACCGACTTGCGCATGACGAGGAAGGCGACGCCGGCGATGATGGCGACCAGCGCCACCGCGGGCACGATCGTCGCGACCAGGATGTTGGTCCTGTCCGCCTGTCCCGACACACAGATGGGCAGCACCTCCGGCAAGAAGTCCCGCTCGAACGCCTCGCGGTCCGCGGAGAGCATCGGCGAGCTGCGCGCGATGCTCCACCGCGCGAGGATGATCTCGTTGCCGAGCGTGCGCACGAACGCCATGCGGAACCCCTCTCCGCACCTGCACCCCTGGTAGTGCGTGTAGAAGGACGAGATCTCGATGATCTGCGGTGTGTTGCCGCGGCCGACCCACCGCATTCCCGGGCACTCCAGCGGCCCGTCGCCCCCGAAGTACTGCTCGGTTCGCAGCACGATGCTGTCCGTCCCAAAGGTGAGAAACTCCGGCAGCAGCTCGCCGCGCGAGTTGGGGGCCGAGCGGTTGTGCGTGAGCAGCGAGAAGCGCACGTTGATCTCCTCGAGCTTCGGCATGTCGCCCATGCTGTCCGGGAGCTGCCCGAAGAGGGACGTGTTGACCATGCGCAGGACGCTCAGCCCGCGCATCGTCGGCAGCGTCGCGGGGAACGTGCCCGTGACGAGCAGGTTGTTCGAGATGTCGAGCTCGTGCAGGCCCCAGCGCGTCAGCGGCTCCGGGACGGGCCCTGACAGGGCGTTCCGGTCCAGGCGGAGAATGCGCAGGTGCGCCTGTGCCGTGAGGGCCGCCGGGATCGTGCCGGTGAGCCTGTTGTCGCGCAGGTCGATCTCGAACATCTCCTCGCCCAGCACGAGCGCCGAGATACTCCCCGTCATGTTGTTCGAGCGCAGGTTGAGGATGCGCAAGTCGCTGGGCGCCCCCGCATGCGTCAAGCCCATGGCGAGCGCCAGCTCGCGGGCGTCAGGGCCTGCGACGCGGCTGTACGACGCGGTGTCCGCGATGCTGTTGAACGCGGCCTCGAAGACCTCCAGCCGCGGCATTGAGTCGTCGACGGGCGGCGGCGGGCGGCGGCGGTCGAGAAGACCCACGACGTCCACAGGAGGGTCAGGCCGGCCAGCGCCCAGTACGCCGGGACCCAGTCGTCCGGCCGCCACGCGCAGCACGGCACCTGCGGGCCGGACGGCTCGCTCGGGTCGTCGTGGGCGTGCTTGCCGAGGAGGCCGCTCGCGGGGCCGTCGTCGCTGGGGGGCGCCACGCAGATCCCGTCCTGCTCGACGCGGCCCTCGACGGGCACGACGTGGCCGTTCATGTACGCCACGGCCATGAGCGCGAAGCCCGGGATGCTGGCGACGCCGAGGACGACGTTCGTCAGGATGGCGAACCACACGAGGGGGGTGTTGTCGTTCAGGCCCTTGGCCGACACGCGGAGCATGCTCGCGGTGTAGTCGAGGCGGTCGCGGATCGAGTAGAAGCACGCCGCCATGATCAACGCACTCCTGGCGCCTCGGCTTTTGCGGCCCGTGCGTCGCGTTGCGGGGACGGGAGCGCGGCAGGGAGCGCACAGCTGCCGCCCGAGGGAGCGCACACGCACTCGCACCCGCTCGGGGAGGCGCCGCACCGGACGCGCGGCGCATCGCAGAGACCGTCGGGAACTGCACGCGGCAGCGCCACGGGGCACGCCGCACCGGACGCGCGGGGGCCTGTGCAGGGCCATGATGATGGCCACCGCAGCTGCGGACTCGCCACATGCCACATGCTCCCCACATGCTCCCCACACGCGCCCCACATGCTCCCCACACGCGCCCCACATGCTCCCCCCCACGGGCTCCCCACGGGCGCGTGCGTCGCCTGGCTGTGCACTGCCGCAGCTTGACTTGTTCACACCCCGCAGCGCGTGTCCCAGCACGGCCGTCCGTCCTCTCGGCACGCTGCACCGCGACGATGCAACCAATTCGCGGAGTCGTGGAGCGCGCGACGCTAAGCGCCGCTGACCGCAGGTTCTCATATCGCCCCGCTTCGGCGCCGCTTCGGCGCCGCCCCGTCTGTCTCTCCGGGCTGACGGCCACACGCCTCGAGGGGGGGGGCGGCGAACCACGTCGTTGCCGCGCGGGATGCATCGTGAATGGCATGTGCCGCAGCGCCCTCGGACGCCCGCCGCGCCGCAGGTGCAGCGTGGGCGTTGCCGGGCACCCCGCCAGCGTCCGCCAGCGTGGACGAGGACGCTGCGGCAGGATGTGCGCTGCGGCGCCGCGCGGAGGACGCACCGCGCCGCGCAACCTCGCCGGGCCACACGCCCGCTCGCCGCGAGAACCGCGGGAGGCGCGGCGCTGCGGTGTGTGGGTGCAGCATCCCCGGTGAGGGCACGGCCGCAGCCGACGCGACTGCACGGGTCCTTGCCTAGTGCGCGGGCCCGCAGCACCCCAGACGAACGCCGGGAGTTGCAGCGCGAAACGCCGCCAGTGTGGCGGAGCGTTGCGGGGACGGGAGCGCGGCAGGGAGCGCACAGCTGCCGCCCGAGGGAGCGCACACGCACTCGCACCCGCTCGGGGAGGCGCCGCACCGGACGCGCGGCGCATCGCAGAGACCGTCGGGAACTGCACGCGGCAGCGCCACGGGGCGCGCCGCACCGGACGCGCGGGGGCCTGTGCAGGGCCATGATGGCCACCGCAGCTGCGGACTCGAGCGCCGGGTCCCTCGCGATTTCCGGAGCCCAGGGCGACCGCGAACACCCTCTGTGCGGCTCGTCCGCAGCCCCGCCGGAAGCCCGCCCCCGGACCGCACGAGCGCGGCCCCCTGCGCTGACCGCAGCGTGCGCGCCGTGGCCGACGCGCGGGCGCGCGACGGCCGCCACGCCCTGCCGATCGAGGATGCTCGTGCGCGCCCGCGCCCGCGCGCCCGCGCCCCCCTCGCGTCGCGTCGCGGCTCCTCGCCGCGTCGCTCGCTGCCCGGTGTGTGCGCCCGACTGCCTCCCTGCGCCCCGCCGGGCACGAGTGGGGCCGCGCCCGCCCGCGCACACCACACTCCCGGGCAGCAGCAGCCCGGACCACCGGAGGAGCGGGACCAGCACGTCCGACATGCCGCGCGAGGCGAGCTCCTCCAGCGAGGACGGCTCCGGCTCCGGCTCCGGCTCCGGCTCCGGCCGCGGCGGCGGCAGCACGCACCGCCGGCGCTCGCGCTCGCGGGACGAGACTCGCGGCGGCGGATCGGCGCGCGCCCCCGACAGGTGCGGCGATCACCACCCTGCTGCTGCTGAGCCCCTCCGTGCCGAGCACGCGCGGAAGCGAGCGGCGCGCACGCGGTTTCCCGCGCCTTCCCGGACCCGTCCGACTCCGGACGACCGCCCGCGCCGCAGCGCGGGGCCCGGCGCGCCACGGCGACGACGCGAGGCCCTGCTCGAGCGCTTGAACCGGTCGCGCGGTCCCGGCCCGTTGGGGGCCGCAGACGGCCGGGCCCCGCGCGATCCCGACCAACGGGATTTCCGTGCGCGCCCCCGCGCCGAGAACGCGCGCCCGCGCGACCGCACCGACGCGCCCGCGCGCCCTCTGGCCCCCAAACCGAAACCCGCAGGCTCGCGTCGCCGGCCGCGGCCCAGGGCAGCGCGGGACCGTCGACGGCCCCCGCGAAGATTCTCGCGCGCGTGTCGCTCGACGCCGACCCGCGGAACCCGAAGGAGCCGCAGAAGATCAAGCTGGGGGAGGGCCTCGCGGTCCTGAGAGTGCCGGGCTTCCTAGACATTCTGGAGCACGCCGTGGCGGGGAAGAAAGGCGCGCCGTTGCCCGCAAGCAAAGCGGGCGGCCTGCAAGAACGCCAGGTGCGGACCGGCACACCTCCCCACCACCACCCAACGTTCGTTGTGTCGTCGTTCGCTCGGCCCGCTGCCACGGCCTCGCCGCCGCCGCAGATCGCGGGCGACAGCTCGTCCCACCCGCGCACCGCGCCTGCACTCATCCGTCGATGCGGACCCGCTGCGCGCGCAGGGGGAGGTCGTGCGTCACGAGACGCTCGCCAAGGACGGGCGCGAGGTCCCCGCGCTCAGCGTGGGGCGGACGCAGTGGCGGATGGTCCGCGTCTACGCGGCCCTCCTCATGGGCATGCAGCCCCGCGACTTCACGAAGCCCACCATCCTCGCGCTGGCGGTGCAGGTGCGCTACTACGCCCAGCTCCGACATGACAGCTGGCTGGCCCCAGCGCTCCTCCGACGGCGCGTGCGCGCCCCGCGCCATGCCGCCTCGCCTGGAGAGCGCCTTCAACCACCCCTCCCCACATGACTGCGTCGACACACACACAAACATGTGTGCACACACCAAACATGTTGTACAACCCCCTCCCCTCCCGTTGGCCCGCAGATGCGCCCGCGCAAGGGGGACGGCTCGTGCAGGCCGCTGAAGTGCTTGGACGACGTGCTGAAGGAACTCGGCACGTACCTGCCGCGGGACGAGGGCGCGACTGACGAGCAGCACGATGCGGCGCGCGCCAGCTTCGTGAAAACCCTGGAGGGCAGGGTGCGCCTCCTCGACCACGGCGGCTGCAGCGTACGCCCCCTCCCCCCCCACGTGCGCCCCCCACGTGCGCCCCCGACCGCCGCCGCGCGCACGCCGAGCGCTCCTCCCCCTCGCGGCGCTGCCGTCGTTGTGCAGGTGGACAGAGCCGTGGGTTCTCACCTGACGAAGCCCGTCGCGCTGGTGAAGACCAGCCGTGCGACGCAGGAGCCGCAACTGGGGCCGCTCGGGGCGCGGATCGTCGCCGCGGCGTTCCCGGCCCTCCGCAAGAACGCGTCCAGTCCGGCCAGGGACCTCTACCAGCTGCAGGCCCCGGTCCCCCGGGAGACATCGCGGCAGTGGAAGGCCCCTGCGCCGACGGCGGACACGCTGCGTCGGCTGCTCGAGCGCTCCGAGCAGATGTGCAAGCCGAGTACCATCACGGGTGCGCCCCTGCGTCGCCCGCCCTCCCCCGCGCGCCCACGTGCACGCAGCGCGCCTCGACGCACGTCACGACCCGCGTCCCGCGCACGCACCGCACCGACGCGCCGTCGCGCGCGCCCCGCCCTCGCAGCGGAGTTCCTGGCGCTGCCGTGGGTCCAGGCGTACGTGCAGCCCGACCTCGACCGGGCCGCCCTCTACGTCGTGGGCAACAAGGACCTGTCTGAGGCGGTCGGCGCGCACCTCGTCGAGCCGGCCGTCGCCGGCGCCGGCGACGGCGAGCGCCGCCCCCAGGCAGACGAGCGCCCCCTGGCGCTCGTCAACATGCTGGCGCATGCGCTGGGGCACCTCGAGGCGGAGATGTCGGACAACAGGCAGTCCTCGCCGATCGAGGAGTGGGAGGAGGCGCTGTGCAGGCCCGCGCTGCACGTGCCGCCCGTGCCGTGGCGGTTCTGCACCTTCGAGGTGCCGGAGCTGACCCGCTACGCGCCCTCCTGAGCGCGCCCGGGCGACGCGCGGCCACTCGCCCACCGCAGCGGCCCTCCTCGACGCCCCCGCTCCCCGCGCGCGCCCGAGCGCGGGCACGCACGTGCGCGGGCACGCACGTGCAGCGACGACGACGACGCACGCGTGCCAGCCACGCTCGCGCCACCACGCTCGCCCCCCCAGCCTGCCTGGACGTCCTCGCGCGCATGCCGAGGCCCCTGTGAACAACCCGCGTCCGCGTCCGCGTCCGTGCTCGCGGGTGGTCAATTACTACTTTGCGTGTGCTCACGTGACACACACTGAGCTCGACTCGTGACACACACTGCAGGCGCACACCGCCGCGACTGCAGCCCGCGTACTCGAGCCAGAGTCACAGTCGAGGACGCCCTGGGGCCGTCGCCCGAGCGGGTTCGCCCGCGCCGTCCCGCGCAACGCTGCTCCCAGGGACACAACAACGCGAGTCAGGGGCCGGCCAGCAGCGCCGCCGCCCCTCCACACCGCCCGCGGCGCGTCGCGCGCTGCGTCGAGAACCGATCCCGCGCCGCGCTGCCGCGCCGCCCCTTCGAATGTATATGGATCTATCTGTGGATCTCTTCGTCTATCTATCTATCTATCTATCTATCTATCTATCTATCTATATCTGTATATATATCTGTGCATCCATATCTCGGCCCGCTCGTCCCACGGCCCGGAGCGCCGCAGGCCTCGACCTGCGCGGCATGTTCGTGGCGGGAGCAGCGCGCGCGCGGAGCCAGGGCGCGCCCGACAGGGGCGCTGCGCGCGGAAACGCCCTCCGGCCTGCGCTGGGCTGCCCCTCCTCGCGCGCACCTCGCTGCGGCTCGTGCAGCGCTCCTGCGGCGACGTACGGAGTCCGCACGCTCGCACGGCTTCCTGCATCCGCGACGACCGATTCCTTCGGCGGCCGCGCCTGCCACAGCGCCGCAGGAGGGCCGCTGCTTGCACCGCCACGAGGGCCGCGAGGAGCCGCGAGGAGCCGCGAGGAGCCTCGCGGCCGGCGGCGAGGCCATCGCCGGTGCCACTCTGCGCCATGGTGCGACGCCCGCGCGAGCTCTGCGGCGTCCCCCTCGGCGCGAATGTGCGTCGTCATGCGCCCCCGGCCACCGAGGCGCTGCAGGTGCGCGTGCGTGCGCCGCGCGGGCCGTCGCGCTGCGCGAGCGGCAACGGATCTGCACGCGGTGGTGTCGCGCGGCCGCTCGCGCACAGACGTCCGCGGGGGGGGACGCAGCGGCCCGCGACGTGGAGGGAGGAGCTGGGCGGAGGCGCTGCCCGGCCCCCACGGTGCTTCTCGCGGCGCGAAGTGCACGACGCCCCGGCCTCGCGACCTCAAGGGAGCGGCGTGCGCGGGCGGGGTCGTCGAGGTCCGTCGCCGCGGGCCCCTCCGGGCGTATGAGTGGGTGGCCCCGCGGTGCCTGGTGGGCCCGACGGCGGGGCGCGCCGCGGCGTGACCGGGCCGCGGCCGCGACGGGCTGGCCGACGTCCCGCGCAGGCCGTCGCCCACGTGCGCGACGGCCGGGGGCACACGAGCCGTCGCCCACGTGCGCGGCGGGCCAGTCCGGCTCCCTCCTCTCCTCCCAGCGCGGAGCCCTCCGCGTCCGTCGCGCGCCAGCGGCGCGCGCGCGGCGGGACGGCCGGCTCAGCCCGCAGGCTGCTCGATGGGGCCGCTTTGTGGGCGCTGCTGTCGGGGATCCGGTCTGGAGCCGCCCCGTCGAACTCCAGCGGGCTGCAAACGGCACCCCGCGGCCGCCCCGGGAGTCCGGGCGCCGCGCGAGGGGGCCGCGACGTAGAGCGGGGCCCATTGGCGCGTCCGGGTGCGACAGCGCGCCCGCATGCCGCCGGTGCGGCGCCGGGGCGCGGTCTTCATGGGCATGGCACGCCCCGACGGGCCGCTGGGGCCGCATCCGCGGGAGTGGAGGGCGGACCGCGGAGCTGTTCGAGGTGTGTCGTTCCGTGCGATCGTCGGAGGTCGCTGCGGGCCGCCCTCCGCGCCAGGAGCGGCGCGGGCGTGAGGGCGCAGCTGCGGCGTGGGCCAAGGGCGGGGACCTGCCCGCGGACGGTGCGTGCGCCCCGCCCTCGCGCGTCGAGCCGGGACGTCGCCGTCGCCGCGGGCGCTGCCGCGTCCGCGCCCGGGCGCCCCGCGCTCCAGGCGCCCCGTGCGGCCCCGTTTCTCCGCCCATGCTGCCAAGGTCCCGGTCGCCGGGGGGCGCCCGGGACGCCGTGAGGCCCTCGCTCGCACGCTTCGCCGCACCGACGGGGTTTGCATGCTCGCGGCTCGGTCCCGGTCCCGGAAGGGGGCGCGCACGGGCCGTGCGGAGCGCGTCGCCTGCGCTGCTGCCCAGCTGCGTCCGCCGCAGCCGGGACGCGCGCTTCCGCTCACACACGCGATCCGTTCTTCGGCCCCCACCGCAGCGGCCTGCCCGCCTCGAGCGACGGCGAGCACGCGACGTGGTGGTGGGCTGGCGGCTCCCGGCGCGCGACGACGGGGCGGGCGTGGCGGTCCCCGCAGAGAGCAGCCGGCGGACGCAGAGGGTGTCGCCAGCGCTTGTCGGCGCGCGCTCGCCGCCCCGTGCAGCGCCTCGGGCCGTGCGCGGCCCGCAGGCACATGTGCGAGAGGAGCGAGGCCTGCTGCACCTGCTGTGCGCTCGCGCGGCCGCAGGGCGCCGAGCGCGCACCGGGAGCCCGTGGGGGGCGAAGGGCAACGAGCCGGCCGTGGGGGGCGAGGCGCGGGGGCGGAGCCGCGCCGTCCGAGGTGCCGTCAGACAGGTGCGACGCCCGCTCATGTCCACGAGTGCAAGCCCCGTCGTCCCGCGGACGCACGCGCTGCGCGCTCCGTCTCGCTGCGCTGTCGGATCGCGCTCGCCGCTCGCCGCTCGCGACACCGACAACGACACTCCCGCATCGCCCACCGCCCGCGCGTCGCAGAGCCTGACGGCGCACCCCGCGGCGGACCAGCGCACACGCGCGGGGGCGGCGCCGCGCGGGGGCGACGCACTGAGGCGCGCGCACCGTGCGCGTATTCAGCCTCGACTGCTGGATCACTGAATTACAACCTCAGCACCTATCTGTTTGTGAAGCCGAGGCGGACGCGGCGGGACGGCCCGAGACACGTGCGCGGCGACGACGTGGACGCGACCGGCGAGCCGCCCGTGGGCGACCCGCGCCGGTCGCACTGTCCGTGGCCCCCTCGCGCCCGCGGACAGCGAGCGCTCCCGCGCCGCGCCTGACCCGTCCCGTTCGTCGCTAGACACGGTTTCGCGACCGTCCGCATGAGAGAGCGCGCGTCCGGGCCCCGAGCCGCGCTCCCGCGGGACCCTTGTGGGTCCTCGCCCCCCAGGACCCCCAACCCCGCGCCCGCGGCCTCGCGGTCCTGGGCGGCCGTGCCACGCGCCGCGCATCGCCGTCACGATCGTCTCGCACCCCGGCGGACCGATCCCGACTCCGGCGGGGCGCGCATGCAACGCGATCACGGGACAGAGAATGCATATGTACATGTGTCATGCGCTCACGACGCCATGTCGCGCGAGGTGAGGTGTGCCCGTGGCCGAGCCCCGCTCAGAGCCCAGCGGTGCGCGCGCATCTGGTCGCTGCGGCGCCGGCGCCGCGCGTGCTGCGGAGCTCTAGCACCAGGCCGTCACGTGCACGTGCCTGCAGGCACTGCTCGCGCGTCCGCCAGAGAGCGCGGCCGTATGCGGCGGAGGCGCGGCGATGAGAGCGGGGTGCGCGGAGCGAGGGGGGTGGGCGAAATTGTCCTCCCGGTGCGGCCGCGCGCGCGAGCGGGGCCGGCGCGCACGCCACGTGGCCTCACCGCGGCGGGCAGCGGGCCGTAGACCGCCGCCCGCGCGAGGCGCGCGGCTGCAGCGGGGGGCTGCCGGCCGGGGCGCGGCGCGGCGGGAGCACACAGGCACGGTGGTGCCGGGCGCGCCACACCGTGGTGGGTGTGAGATGCGCGGCGAGCGCGGAGGTCTTGGCGTAGGAACCTAGTAGGCGCCTACGCGCGCGCGGCCGCGGCGCAGCGGTGGGTGCCTACCGAAGCAGCGTAGGCGGGTCGACCATCGGCCACGCGCGGGGAGGCCGCCAAGCAGCCAGAGCAGCCAGAGCGGCCAGAGCGGCCAGAGCAGGCGAGCCCGCGCAGCCGCGCCCCGGCGGGACGCATGTGCTCATCAAGACGATCAGAGCGGGCGGGGTCACGCCGTGACGCCGTGACACGGGGCGTCCCTGTCGGGCAGGAGGGGATGCTCCTGGGAACATCCCCCTGCTCAGCACCGCGGCGCAAGGGGGCGCTGAACCGCGTTCGCGGCCGCAGACGCAAGCATGGCGCCGACGCAACGGCCCTGCCCGCCGGGGAAACGTCGGTGCCCTGGCTGCAAGGAGTTGGTCGGTGTCCGCAGGAAGAAGTGCGCCTGCGGAGCACACCTGGCGCGCCGCCCGCGGACGCACAAGGCGCAAGAGAAAGGCACCGAGGCATCGATCGTCTCCCGGAAGACCTCGGGGCACAACTACTACGTGCAGTGGGTGGGGGCCGACGACCTGTTCCCGGCGCATGCCGGTGAGGTCATCCGGCTGGGCACCCTCACGCGCACACCGTGCCAGGGGTGCCGAAAGGAGTACGTGAGCATCGGGGCTCCGTACTGCAGGCGCTGCATGAAGGCCGAACTCGGCCTCGAGCTCAGGAGGTGCGAGGACGTGCAGCGTGGGCGCAGTGGGGAGTGTTTCGGCCTCTTCGCGACGCGGCGGATCCCGCAGGGGTCCGAAATCGCCAGATATGGAGGCGAGGTGCTCGACCGCGGGAGCATCGACGCCCGCTACGGGGACCACACGGCGTTCTATGCCGTGCAGGTGGGCAAGAAGCTCTGTCTCGACAGCGCCTGCCACCGCACCGTGGCCTCCATGGCAAACATGGCCCTGCGCGAGGACGAGGTGAACGCGGCTCTGGAAGAGCGTCCGGGGTCAGGGAACCGGCGCGTGGCGGGCGGAGAAGCCGGCGCTGCCTACCTGGTGGCCACCAGGGACATCGAGCAGGGCCAGGAGATCTTGTGGGATTACGGCACGGACTACACGTTGCCTGAGGGTGGTCGCGGGTCGCGCCACAGGACGGTTGGAGGCAAGATCCCCCCGTGGCTGCTGGAGATGTGGGGTAAGTCGGTCAAAACAAAAGGGGCCCGGGTCACTTGAACGCCGCCGCGAGACGTCGCCAGATGGCGGGGGACGGCGAGAACCCGGGCACTCGCGCGGCGCGGGACACCTCTCTGTCTCTCTGTCTCTGTGACCACCACAAGACTTTCTGACTCACTCTAAGGACGCACATGTTTGCATGCATCACCACGCGCGCCGCCCGCTGCGTACTTGTCGCCCCTGAGCTGCGCCTTGCGGCTCGCGCACGCGAGCTCGCCGGACGCCCTCCCCCGCACACGCCACACTCGTGGTACTACGACACATGTGCTGCATATGCATCCTCTGACTCGGGGCGTGACGTCGGCGGCCTGGCGTCGTTTCGTGTTCCTCCGCGTCGTCAATGGTCAGGAGGGGAACCTGGAGGTACACGATTCGGTGCGGTTGGTGTCGCTTCGGGGACGGGCGGCTACGAGGGTCGTCGCGGGCTACGCTGCGTCCGCGCACCGCCGCCGTCGCTCCCCCGGCTACGATACCCCCGGAGAAGCGGGACGCGGTTGGGCGGAGCACAGTTCCCACGCCCGCGTCGTCCGGTCCCCTGCGCTGGACCATCGAGCCCCTGTCATGCCTGTCATGTCGTGGTGCACCACGTGGTCCCGGGCTGGCGCCCCCTGATCCGCTCCAGGGGTTTGAGATGACGCGCAGTGCCAGCAAGCGGCCACCCCTGCCACCCCGGCGACCAGCGCCGGTCCCTCGGCGAGGATGAGGGTGCCATCGACCCTGGGCTTTCGCGTCCGGCGGTAGCGCAGCGACCGTTGGCACTCTTCACGGGCCGTTCGGGATGGCGGGGGGACCTCGGTCGCTCCTGCCTCCGCAGGCCGCACGGGGCACGTCTCCGGTTTGTAAGTCTCAGTCTCAGTTGTTGTCTTGGGTATGTCTTGCACGCCGCTGTCGGTGCCGATCTCGAGGGCACTGGCGAGCTCGCGAGCTCGTACCCACGTCATAGCGGGACTCCACGAGCATTTTCAACAATGCTTGTGTCTTCGTCGTGCACGATTCACGCGTGAACGTGGATGATCATCATGATAGTCATGATCATCCACAAACCATTTTCCCGCACATGAGGTTTCTCCGGGTCTGTCTCGCTCACGCGGGTCCACGTCCGAAGGTCGACGATTCGACGGCCCAGTTTTGTCGAGGGCCGCCCGCACAGGGACGCCGGGCGAAGGACTTCTACCGGCGACGGGCGGGGCGCCCCGTCTCGAGCGGCGAGCGGGCGTGCGTCGAAGGAGGCCCTGCAGCGCGCCTGGACGTTCGAGCACCCTCGAAAAGTGGTGAAGAGCCCCGACAGCGGGCTCACGAGGCACGGCGCGCTTCCGAGTGTCAGACACACACGGTGCTGCACGTACGCGTCCCGCGCCCGCGCGACCGCATGTCTACGCTGTGCTCGCTGCGCCTACCCTCGCGGCGACCTGCACCCCGCTCTGGACGTGGTTCGACGCTGCGCAGACCAAATGCATTGTTGCACTGCAGATGGATCACACGTGCCTGCCGGCGCACGAGGAGGGCGGGAACGAGAACACCGGGATGTCGTCCGTCGTGTGAAGGTGCTCCTGGCCAGCGAGCGGGATGCGGTCGACGTGGCGCGGCCGCGGAAGGGGCCGGGCACAACAGGGTGGGGGTTGACGGCGCCAAGGTGCCCGCGGCGACGGGGGGTCGCGGGAGGAGGGCGGCGCCTCGACGGACGTCCTGCGGGCGCGCGAGCGCACTGTGCACGAGCCTCACACGCGTCGCCGGCGCGCGAGATCGGCGCGCCCGATCGGCATGCCCATGAAGAGCGCGATGCTCTGCCGCCTGCCCGGTTCGGAGGCGTTCACGGACCGCAGGTCTGTGACCGCGTGCACGAAGCCAGCGCTCTGGCACACGACGTCGCCGGGCTTCAGCGCGGCCGCCCAGAACTCCTCCGCCAGCTTGTCCTCCTTTGGCTCCACGGGGCGGATGCAGAGGCCGGTGTTGCTTTTCAGGGGCCCGCGTCCCAGGCTCCCTCGACTGATCCGTCGCACGCGGTCGCCGGGTTCCGGCGCGGGCGCGGTGGAGCCGCAGTCAAACACCAGCTCGCACCCCTCCCACTCCTGGCCCGGCAGGGTCGGGAGGACGAACACCAGGGTCCACAGGCCGCCGTCGACGTGCACCCCCAGTCCGGCGCCGTCATCCGCGTCGCTGCCGGCGTGGTAGTCGAGCACGAAGCCGTCGTTGGGCTGGTGCGCTTGCATGTAACCGTCCACGCGCAGGAGGTCGACGTACGGAGAGATGACCGCTTCCTTGATGTCCTTCAGGAGGCCCTGCATGGCCTTGTGGAAGCGCTTCATGACGCTCTCGGCGAAAGCGAGCTTCGGGACCTCGGCTGGCGTGCGGCCCGGATCGCGCCGCGCCAGCTCCAAGTTCGACTCCACGATCTGCTCTATGGCGTCGGCTCCGTCCCTCGGATGAAACGAACCAAACGCCTCCAGGAAGCGGTGCTCCCCGCTCGCGTCCGTCCGCGTGGCCTGGACCTTCCGCAGGTCTCTGATCAGTCTTGGCTTGAAGTGCTTCTCCACGAGGAGGCGCGGCTGTTGCCGCCGAGCGCGCTTGGAGGAGACCTTGCTCTCTCGAAGCTCCTGGAGGACGACGAGGGGGGCGCGGCAACCGCCGATGGAGTGCACCTCCACGTCGCGCGCGTGCAGGCCGCCTTGCCCCGTCTGGGGGGCCGCGAGGCGCGCCCTCCACTCCTCGCGCAGGAGGGCGACGTCGAAGTCGTGGCGCAGAGGCAGGTGGCCGGGCCGGAGCCCTTCCACCTTGCTGTAATATGAAAGACAGGCCTGGAGCCTGGCGGTGTACTGCTGGACGGCGCCCGCCAGCGCGGCCTCGTCGTCGTCGGGCTGCGCGGCCTCCTCGTCGTCGGGCTGCGGCGTCGCCGCGGCGTGGAGCGGCTGCTGGACACGCGGGGACCCCAGCCGCGCGCGCTTCCGCACGCGAGCCCAGCCGTGCCCGCGCCGCCGGCGCCGGCGCGCAGGGGCCGATGCGCCGACCTCCGCATCCGCCGCCGAGCCGTTAGAGGCGGCGAGCTCGTCGTTGAGCGCCGCAAGGCGCCTCTCGACGAGCCTGGTGGCGTCTGCTCCCAGGACGTGCTCGCCCGTCTCAGGGTCGACGATCGCGGCGAGCAGGACCTCGTGCATATGTGCGCGAGACTGCGCGTCCGAGGCCTGCAGCTGGCTCAGCACGGGGTCGTCCTCGAACGTCGCCCAGCAGCGCGTCACCGCCCGGGCGACGCGTTCCTCGGAGACCTTGACCGCCGTGTAGCGCGGCGGCCGACGCTGGCCTGCGTCCGCCAGCCTGGCGCAGGAGGTGCACAGCGGCACCAAATCGCCCGGGTTGTCCGGATGTGCACGCTTGGCCCGGGACTCGTTGGTGCAGCTCCGTACGCCGGCGCCGTCCACCGCCGCCGAGCTCCAGAAGCGGTGGGCCGCACATCGCGGCCGCTTGGGCGTGCCGTTGCGACCTGCGAGGTGTGCGCGGTGGCGTGCGACGTCCGTGAGCGGCCCGTCAGCGGTCGTGGCGCGGGGCGGGCCCGTTGGCACTGGTGGAGCGCTGCAACACCGGCGAATTCCGGGGACGGCGCGGCACCGGCACGCTCCGGGATGCGTTCACTACATTTGGGCGCGCGTAGGCCGGCGATTTTGCGCAGGCTGCAGCCAGCACATGCCCGCACAGGTGCGTGCCCGGCGCACAACCTCACACGTGGGGCAGCAGGTGCTCACCGCGGGAAGCGTCCTCGGCGCCACGGGTGCCCGTTTCCGGCGTCGGGGCCGCGCGTTCGTGCCGCACGGCCACTCTTGCGCTTCGGCGTCGTTCTGGTAGGTCGCCTGCGTCCTCGGCGACTGCGGGAAGAGGGGCGGGCGCTGCGGCAGTGGGCGAGCGCGCGGGCGCGCTGGAGAGGAGGCGCTGCTCCCACCGTTCGGTGCTGTGCACGCGGTGCATGAGCTCCGGTCAAGCAAGGCCGTCGCACGGGCGTGGTTCCTCAGCAGCTGCGCGGAGGGTGGTGGGCCTCACCGTCGGGAGCAGGTGCTGCCCGCCGGCTCATGCTGACGCGGGTGCGCACGCGCGCTGCGGCGATGACGGTAACGCTTCGACACTGACGAAGACGCGACGTGAGGACGGGCACCTGCGGGACAGCGTGGGCCGGAGGCAGCGAGGTGGGTGGGCCTGAGCGAGTACCGTCCGTGACGCGCGGTGCATCGCGGCTGGGCTACGCAAACCCGCTCACGCCACTAGAGCGTGGCCACAAGCAGCGCACGCGCACGCAACTGCGCTTGAGCGGCGAGTCCCGCACCGCGCGGGCCATACGAAGACCGGGGGGGGGGCGGAGGCGCCCCCGGGATCGGCGCGAATGCGGGCCTCCAGGCCGTCTCAAGAGCGCCGGGTCGCGTCACCAGCGCCCGGGTGCAGCACGTGCAGCCCGAGCGCGCTTCTCCCAGCGAAGGGGGCTGCTCCGGCACCGCCTGCTGCAGACGCACGCTGCGGCACGGTGCGGTAGGGCGCAGTGGAGGCCGTGGCGCGGGACGGGCTGTGCGAGGCGCACTGTGGAGCAGGCGGGCCGCGGCGAGGCGATGTGGCCCGCCGGGGTGCGTGCCCGAGGGGCACGGACGTCCCGGGTGGTGTCGGGGTTGCTGCCAGAGTCAGGTGTCAACGGGGGGCGGGTGGGCGATGCGGGCCTGCAGACGTGGCGCGCACCGGAGATCGCGACGTTCGCACGCACGCGGCGGTGACGTCGGCGACGCCGTCGCAGTCCCGGAAGGGGCGGCGCGACTCGACCAACCAACCAACCAGTTGGTAGTACTGCGCGGGCATCGACGCTGCAACCCCTGAGCGCGTTCGGCAGGCGTGGCGGGACCGCTCGCTGAGGTGAGGTGTCACATTCTGCCGTGAAGGCGGATTCCACGTCCAGTCCAGGACGGGACCTGTTCTGAGTTCGCGATCCCAGTTGCAGTGTAGTGCATGCAGTTACAACTTATTAGCTCTCTCGTCCTCAGATCTCGCCCCGCAGTTGCTTCCTGAACCGCGTCACGAGCGCCCATGCCTGCCGGTTCGTCTTGGGAGGCTTGCCGTCGTACTTGTAGGCCTGCAGCGCAGGGCGTTGCAGCCCCCCAATTGGGGGGAGTTGGGTGAAGGGGGGGAGGGAGGGGGAGGTTGTCCGTGGTTGGCGTGTGCGCGCGTACCTCGAGCAATTTCAACACCGCCGGGCATGGTGGCTGCAGGTTCAGTTGGTTGAAGAAGAACTTGACGGTGTCAATGGCCTCGCTCAGGACCACGCGACAGACATGGCACCGGTGCGCTCCTGGCAGAGCGACGTCGATCGGCCATCCCCGGAGAAGCGCCGGTCCCTGCGAAATTGCGCGGACGGGAGGGGCAGGTGAGCAGTGCCGTGAGGGACGCGCGGCGCTGGGGGGCGCCCGGCACGTGGTTCAGCGCGAAGCAGTGCACAGCCCGCATGCTGGCGCGCGCATGCTGGCACCCGGCGTGCCATCGTCGCGGGCGGAGCCCCTCGGGCGGGCCTCACCAGCAGCAGGAGCGTCTGGGCCCCCCATGCCGCCGCTGGCACACGTGCACTTCCCGGCGACGCGTCAGCGGCTGAAGACGGCCAAGAGAGGCCCGGGGTCGCAGTGAGGGCGCGGAGGCGGGGCGACTGCGAAGCAGCGTCGACGGGGGGAGGCTGTGAGGCACTCGCACGGCGTCCGCGGCGCGGGCAGACCCATGCGACGGGCGGCAGGCGCTCGGGAACAGCAAATGGAGGTGGTGCACGTGGCGGGAGGCCTGCTGGAGGAGGCCGACTGCACCTCGTGCCGTCAAAAAAGCGGCGCGTGGCCACACAAAAACTTGGCCGCACCTGGGTCCCGTCCACCCGGACTCGCGGAGGCGTACTGGAGGGAGCAGGAGGACCGAGTGCGTCCACGTCGACTGCCGAGGCGGGCGGCGCCGGGGGCGAGAAGTTGGCCGGCGCGGGCGGGGCCTCAACCGCATCGTGTCAGGCCGAGTATGACGCCGTAGACAGCGGTGTGGGCCGTGGCGCGAGCGGAGCGTGTTCGGCGCGGGACCTCGAGAGAGCGTGCAGCACCGGGCGGCGGCGCGCGAATTCGCCGCGCCGCGGGCGACCCGGGCGCGACTGCGCCGCCGCAGGACGCTGCGTGCTTGCGCGGGTGAGACTCTGACGACCACCGCGCGGGCCCGCTGCTCAGCGTGTGCCTCCAGGCGCGGCCCGAGCAGCGGGCGACGCGAGGTGCGCACGATCATCATGCATGACGTCGAAGTCGTCCGTATCCGTGCGTCCCCCGTGACACATTGCAGACTCGCGCGCAGGACTCACAGGCCGGGTCCCGCAGGGCAGGCGCCATCCGCTGTCGCGTTCCCGCCGTCGCGTGCCGCCCGCTGCCGCGCAGCGGCGCACACGCCAAGGCACGCGCCGAGGGCGCGCGCCAGGGGCACGGGGACCGCGTTGCCCACCTGGCGGTAGCACTGCGCCAGGGTGCCGCAGAACCGGAAGGTGTCCGGGAAGCCCTGCAGCCGCGCGTACTCCCGCACGGTGAGGATGCGATCCAGCGCGTAGTGCACGACCCGGCAGACGGTGGCCGAGGTGCGCGGGTCCGTCGTGAGGGTGTGCGCGGGCGCGTCGGGGTCGACGCGGAACCGGTCGAGGTCCGCGCGCCGCCCGGCCTCCCCGCTGCTGCCGCCGTCGTCGCCGTCGTCGACCAGGTCGAGCAGACCCGCGACGTCGCCGTCGCCCGAGGTGTCGTCGCCCATCTCCGCGAGCTGGTCCTCCAGGGCCTCCCGGGCCAGCGACCGCGACACGTGGTCTCGCAGCCGCTGGCTCCCCTCGCGCGCGAGCTGCTGGAAGGCGTTCCTCGGGCCGTCCTCGTAGTCGCCGCCCTGGGCCCCGGGCAGGTCGCCGATGGCGTCGCGCACCGTGAAGGGCGCCGCGAGGCCCGCGTCGGCGGTCACGGCGGTGCACGCGATGTCGCGCTGGCCGCGGAAGAGGGTCAGTCCGCCCGACCGGAACGCGTGGCGCGGGGCGGGCCACGCGGGGAGCCGCGCCCGGCCGCTGCGCGCCGCCAGCACCACCAGCCGCTCGCGGCGCTGGGGGGCGCCGTACGCGCTCGCGGGCAGCACCCCGAAGCGCACCTGGTAGCCCAGCTCGACGAACACGCGCAGCACCTTGCCGAGCGTGCGACCGCCGGCGTGCGCGGCCAGGGCGGGCACGTTTTCCATCACGACGAATGTGGGGTCCAGCGCCTCGCAGAGCGACAGAAAGAGGGTGGTTGCCGCGTTGTTGCGACGCGCGCACTCGCTGCCGGGGTGCCGATTGAGCGGCGAGTACCCCTGGCACGGCGGGCCGCCGCAGAGCAGGTCGACCTCCCCCCTGCGGGGCAGGAGGTGCCACGGCGTCGCGTCGGAGGCGTCGCCGTCGGGCCGGCGGTCCTGGCCGACGGTCGCGGAGCAGATGCGCCGGAGCACGTCGGCGCAGTCCGCCCGGAGCACGGCCGCGCCCGGGAAGTTGGCCTGGAACGACGCGGCGGCGGGGGCGTCGCGCTCGATGGCCCAGCGCGTCTCCACGGCCCCGGACGCCTGGAGGCCCGCGGACAGCCCTCCGCAGCCCGAGAAGGCGTGCAGGGCGCGCAGCCGCCCGGGCGTGCTGCCGGTGGCGACGGGCGGCGCTGCGTCCCTGAGGTGCACCTCCGGGGGGGCTGCGCCTCGCCGTTCGGCCGAGTCCTCGTCACGGAGGGGCAGCCTCTCCCCGAGCCGCATGTCGTCGCGCGTCGGCAGGTCCTGGAACGCGCCGCAGCGGGCGACGTACGCGTAGCGCAGGCGCAGCGCCTGCCGCGTGCGCCGCACCACGGCGCCCTGGCGGCGGCGCGGCCGCGCCGCCGCCGTCGCCCAGTCGGGGCCCTGCGCCAGACGAAGCAGCTCCACGCCATCGTCCTGCACCGTCGTCATTCGAGGGAGGAAGGCAGGTGAACACCTGGCGGGAACGCGTGCGGGTCCGTTCGCGCACGCGGTTCCGACCAACAGGATGAGCTAGCGGCGACCCGCTGCTCGCGCGTCACGGGCGCCGCATCGCACCAGGCAGACCGTCACCACATCCTGGGTGAGGAACACCTCGTCCGACGCCGCCGCGCCCCTGAGGACCGTCTCCTCTCCGCGCACGAGACGACGAAGCTGCGCCATCGTGCGACCTCCTGCGCCAGCTCCGGGCCTCGCGCCCTCCCCGCCCGCGTCCCCGCCAGCGTCCTCCCGCCACATGCACTGCACGACGCCGACGACGTGCTCCCGGCCGCCGCTGCCGTCCGTGCGCGGCGCACGACACCGCACCGCGGCGCCGCAGCTGGCCTTCAGGTCCCGCCCGGCCCCCGCACCTCCTGTCGACGCGACTCCGTCGCGACGTGTGCGCGGCACGGCGGGAACGTCGCGCGGAGGCGCCGCGCCCGCCGACGGCGACCCCGGCAGTGGATCGACCATCGCGCCGCCGGCTGCGGCCCCGCCCCCGCCACGCGCGCAGCCCACCAGGTCCAGACGGCACAGATGGCCGTCCATGATGTCGCGCACCACCCGCGTCCCCGGCAGCCGCGGGCCGTCCCAGCTCCGCGCTGAAGCGCCACGCCGCAGCGGCAGCAATGTGTCCGTCCTGATGCCGCGCTCCCGCGCAAAGTCCTCGAGCGCCTTGACCAGGGGCGCGTCGCCGGGTACGCCGCGCACCTCGAACACCGCCCGCACGATCGCGGCGTGGCGCGCGAGGTACCTTGCGACAGCTTCGTCGTCGCCGGGGACGTGAAGAATCGTCCCGTCGCGCTGGTGGCGCACGAGCCCCACCGCGTCGCGCAGCGAGAACCGGGAGCGCCGGCGAGCGCCTTTGACGCCCTCCAGCAGCCGTCTCGCTATCAGCACGGGCTTCGCCACGCTGAGACTCGAGGGCGAGAACGGCAGGGTCGCCAGGCGCTCGTGCGACGACACCGCGCGCAGCATGCGGGCCAGCGTCGCCGCCTGTGCCGCCAGGCGCTGCGCAGCGGGGGCCGGGACCCGGCGCCTGGGAGCGAAGAACTCCCAGCCGCACGCCTCGCACGTGCCGGCCGGATTCGGGCTCAAGCCCGGGCAGCCCAAACGGCCGCACGCCTTCATGTGCTGCGCCTGCGAGGACGCGGGAGTGGGCCGCCCAGTGACGGGGGCTCCAAAACTGGCTACCGAGCGGCCCTGGCGGTGAACCACCCTGGCCCGACAGACATGCGTGACATGTTCCGGCAGCGTGCAGCACGAGCGACCATGCCGGCAGCGCGCGCGGGGCGGAACGAGGTCTGGATGCGGCGTGGCCATGCAGGGCGCCCGCACGAGGCGCCTGGGCGCGCGCCACGGCGTCTCGCGCGGTTCCTCGGCGTGCACGCGTGATGTGTGGCCGACGAAACGGGTGCGTCGTGCGGAAGCGTCGCTGGGCACGGCGCAACGGCGAGCGAGGACCGTGCGCAGTCGCTGCTGCGCGCGTCCAGCGCCCGGACCGCACCTTGCGGGGACGCTGTGGTGCGACCTCGTTCTCAGCGGTCTCCAGGGTGACTCCGGAACGCAGACGCATCCCCGGCGCGGCCGTCGACGCCTCGGTCTGCAGACCACTCAGCAGGGGGCCGGGCCGTGTTCAAGGCGCTGCGCGACGCGCCGCGCCATCCAGGCAGGGCGCATGGGGAACTCGAGAGCATGCGAGTCTGCGGCACACACGGCCGACCCTGCCCGGGGCCGCGCGGAAACGAGGGTGCATCTTCTGGCCAGGCAGGGGGAGGGGGCGAGCCCGCTCGTACGCACCGCTCCCGCGTCGCTGCTGCCTCTCAGACCTCCCCGGCGGCGAGACCGCCTCAGGACGTGGCCGGGGAGACGCATGCCCGCCACACGATTCGCGCCTGCTTCTCTGCTTCCCGCTTCTCTTCGCCCACGGGCCTGTTCGCGGCCCCGGATCTCGCCGCACGACTGGCGCTATGGCCGGACGAACTCGCTGTCTTCGCCGGCGCGGCGCTGGCAATCTGCGGCAGCGCACCGCGGAGGTCCGGGACCGTCCCTCTGTCGGGCCTCACTGACTCAAGACCCTGCCGTCGGCGCAGTGAGCCCGGAGCTCGGGACTGACGACCCCCCTCCTGTGCGGCGCGGCGGGACGGGGCCGAAGTCGGACGCGGCGAAGTAGCCCGCTGCACCCACGGCGGCAGCGTGCACTGCCAGCAACTCACTGCGTGCACGCGTGCACGTACGTGCACGCCATTTGTGCGGCGTCTTGACTGAGACGCGCCACATGCGATCCGACTTGTGCGCTGACCGAATCACGCGCCTCGCTGTGAGTCACACGCCTCCCGTCCGTCGACGAGTTCTGCGGTTGCACATCCGGGGCCCCTGCTAGCTATGAGGCACTGCTGGCCTTTGGGGGCGGGTGGGGTGCCAGGCCGCCCCGGGGCGCACTGTTGCTGTGGCCGTGCGCGCGGATGCGTCTCGCTGGCATCTGCTGCGCAGTTGAGACGAACGAGCTGTACTTGCAGCCGCCGCGCACGTGCATGCGCGTACATCTCCAGCTTCGCCGCGCGGGCGCGCCCTGGCCGCGTCTCCCGGGCGCTCGGCATGCGCGCAGTGGTCAACGCAGGCGTGCCTCGGGCGGCGAGCTCCGAGCGACCCACTTGCCTGGCGTCGACCGGCGCGCCTACAACGAAGACATGCAGCGCGACCGCGTCGCGATCGACGGCGCGGACTGCGGTGTAGACGGCTCGCCGGGGGACGTGGTGGGCTCACAGATCGAGGTCCGCGTGCACGGGCGACGTGTCATTCCGGGGAGGGGCAATGCGACTCCCGGTGGGGAGGGGGCAGCCACACCCGCACCGAACCCACAGCCCGTCATCGTCGTCGTCGTGCTCGCCCACTGCGCGTGCGCCTCAGTCAAGTGACATGTGACTGACACCGCCCTCGTCCCCGCCCTCGTCAGCCATCTCCTCACCGACGTCGACCCGATGCGCCGTGATCTCCTTCCGCCTCGCGTTCTCGGCATCCGCCGCCTCCTTCCGGGCGCGCTGCGCCTCTTCAGCCGCCCTGCGGCGTCGAGTCGAGTCAGTCATCTTCTCGCCCTTCGGCTTCGCCCCCATGAAGCGACCGCGCCAGTTCGTGACGGACTGCCACGAGCCCGCGGACAGGACGACGACGTCGGTGACGGGCCTGCTCCCCGGGGACGCTGTCACGACAGACACGCCGCCGTCAGTCCCGTGTTGCAACCCGCAGCCGCAGCCGCGGACGGCGAGCTGGGTCTGCTTCACGCCCTTGGCGGTCACGCGCCGCCGGGAGACGTCGATCGCGAAGAGGTTGACGGCCAGCACGGACGCGGCGAACGCCAGCTCCGGCTCGCTCGCCCACGCGCCGTCTTCCACGCCTCGCACCCACAGGCGCAGCAGCCGCTCCATGCGCTTCCAGTCGTCGTCGCCCGCGCGTCCGGCTGTTTCGCCGGGGGTCTGCCGCCGCCGATCTTCGCACGTCCCGATCCAGCGGGCCTCCGCCTGCAGGTCTTGGCGGAGTTGCTCGAGCATGGCGCCGTGGTCCTCCTGCGACTGAGAGCGAAGTACCTGGTCCAGGTGGGCCACCCACTCCCCCTCCGTCGCGCCCCGCACGGCCCGCAGCAGGATGGCCGCGCGGCTCGTGCACGCCTGGGTCAGGGGGTCGAACCCCCTGCGCGCCAGCTCCAGCACGTCTGGAATCGCGTCCTTCTCCGCCTTCGCCACCCGCGTTCGCAGTTCGACTGCGCTGATACGAGCCCCCCGATAGCTCGCGACGACCGCGTCGTAGAAGCTCTCCGCGGGCACGGCATCGCACGCTGGTGGGATGGGCTGCCAGACCTCCTTGGCGACCGGGAGCCCGCGGAGCCGCTGTTCGCCGACGATCAGCCCGGCGCCGTCCTCCGGAAGAATGTCGACGTTCTTGCTCCGGTGCAAGAGATTGAAGCCGCCGGACCCAGGAAACAGCGCGGGGCCCAGCTGCGCGGCAAGCCTGGCCCGGTCCTGCCCGTCGGGGTCCGCCTGCACCGCCGCGTCTGCCAGGGTCGTCGTGGAACTGGACCGCACCACGAGGAAGGCGGGGCGCCGCCAGTCCTCCATGCCGTACACGAACGACGCCTCCTCGTGCGTCAGCTGACGCACGATGCGGATGCCCCCCAACACGGAGGGGGCCCCTGCGCGCGTCGCGCGCACGGGGATGCCGAGCGCATCCAGGAGCTCCTGCGGCCCGAAGAACGTGAGCCGGAGTGGAGCGCCTTTGGGGCACGGCACAACCCACCGGTTGTCCTTGCGGAACCGCACCTCGTAGCCGCGGTAGCCGCAGCCGATGGCGCGGGGTGCTGCGGCCTCGTCGCGGACGACGAAGGTGACGCTGACATGGGGCAGAGACATAGAACCGAAGCCGTCCCCGAGCGTGCGAGAGAAGATCCGTCCTTCAGTGGACCCAGGAGCGCTGCCGCCGCCTGCCGTGTCGGCGTCGTAGAACAGCGACTTGATCAGTTCCAACAACCTGATCGCGTTTTTTGCTGCATTTGCCCCATCGGTCGTCGCGACTCGCCTGGCTGTGGGTGCCGAAATCACCGCCTGCCAACGGCGGGGCGCGGCAGGATCGGACACCTTCAGGACCTCGATGCCGTCCAGCACGACGTTCCACAGCACATCAGGCGTCGGAGCGCGGAGAAGAGTTGGTGGCCGGGCGGGCCGATCCCCCGGTGCGGGCGGGCGATGTGCTCCGAGCGGAATGGCGTCGAGGTGCCCGTCGTCGTCCGCCAGCTGCCGCACCCAGAAACATGTGGCGCGGGGCAGTCGCCAAGGTGCGTCGGCCTCGGGAGGTCCTTCCGCGCAGAACGCGTCCGATCCGGGAGCCGCGCACACGACGCGGCACTCGGCCTCCGTCATGCGCACGAGGCGGAGCCACCCGGCGTCGTGCGTCTCGTCCAGCGCGGCGCCGAGGTGCTTCAGCAGCCCGACGTCCAAGGGGGTGACGTCGATGACCAATCCTTGCTGCTTGCTCGACCGCTTCTCGAAATGCACGCGGATCAGCGCCTCGCCGCGCGCGTACCCGCCGGCTCCGTCGCGAGCGACAAGGACGATCTTTGCCTGCACCGGTGCGGCCGCTAGCGCTGCAGCACCTTTCCTGATGACATCCCAATCGATGGCGTCGTTCGGGAAGAGCACGCGCAACAGCCAGACTGGAGAGACGTCCGTTGCGAACTCCCCCTTCTGGGTGATGAAGAGGTGCACGCGGTACAGTCCGCCGCGCTCGCACCGCAGGTACAGCGGCGTGCTAGCGTGCTCCGAGGCCACCGAAGGCGCGAGATCACCCTCGGGGGCGGCCTGAAAGCCACCGCGCGTGACTACCGTGTCGGCGAGCGACACCGCACTCCGCAGGTTGACCATGCTCCGCCGCCGCACCGCCTCGACGTGCAGCCGCCCCACTTCGACCTCGATCTCCTCCAGCTTCGCCTCGTGCCGCTTCCCGAACTCCTCGTCCGTCTCGCCCTCGCCCTTGTGCACCTCGTGCACGACCAATCCGAGGCGCGGCTCGGGCAGCTTCAGGCCTGGCTCCCCGAGGAGATCGAGGAGCTGCGCGTTGGTCAGCTCCCGGACCTCGAGCGCACACCACGTCCCCGCGGCACTTGCTGGGGACATGCCCAAGTTCTCGCGCAGCGTCCGCCCGAAGTCGCCGAGCTCCACAGTCCGTTGGAGCTTGCTCGCCCCACGTCCCACCCGGATTCGCACGACCTCGTGAGCTGCACGTGCACCCTGATCGGGGTCGGCGGCCACCTCCGGCACCAGCGTGACCCCGTACGCTCCCTCTGCGCGGACCTTGCCGAGCGTCTCCTCCAGGAACGGCCTCGCGAAGGCCTCGCCGCTGCCCCCCAAGCCCGACGGGTCGGCGCCGGCAGGCGCAGCGCAGTGCGCCGGCACGTGCAGTGCGAACGTCTCAGGCACGAAGCGCCCATGATGCTCGACCGGCACGAACAGCAGCGGGCAGTAGCGTCGGAACGTCGCCTCCTCCGAATGTTGCAGCTGCTTCCCCAGCGCCGGCGTTGCCCCGATGTCTCTTTGAAAGCCCGAGTAGGCATCCTGGGCCATCTCCTGCTGCCTCGCCGCGCCTGCGCCCTCCGTCACGTGCAGCGCCATCACCGCGTCGCCCGCGAGCATCCCGAACGACGTCCCGGGCACCCGCTTACCAGGCGATACCTCCGTGTGCCACGAGCCAGCGATGGGACGCAGCGACACGCCGACGTCGCCGCCGACCTGCACCCCGAGGACCTCGCAGGCGCGGGCCATCCCGGGCACACCAAGTTGCCTACTTCCGAAGGACACGACGACGGGCGCGAACCTCCACGTAGGTGCAGGCGTGGAAGTCTCAGTCTCAGTCTCAGACAAGTCGGCGAGCTCGATGACTCCCTGGTCGGCGTCCGAACCGCCGCCCTCGGGGGGGGGGTTCGCCGCGCGAGCCACACCAGCAGCCGCTTGCCCGATCCCCACAGCGGCTCCTCTTCCCTTGGTACGACGGCCGCGAAGAACGCTCGCACCCGGGACGGACTCGACGCCCATTTATTTCCGTCCCACCACAGGTGGAGGACGTGGTTGGCGCCTTCCGTATCGCCCCGCGCGTGCGCGTGCGTGTCCTCGCCTGCGCCGCGGCCGTCGTCGCCGTCGCTGCGGCCGGGATCGCGACGTCGATCGCGGCGAGCGGTCTGGTGCCCGGCACGTCGAGCGCGCAGCGCACGTCGTGCAGCACGCGCGTGTTCTCCTCCGTACGTCGCGCGTCCGCGACTTCTCGGTCGGATTGGAGGGCACTGATGTTGGAGATGCGGAACACCGCCCGCGCGCCGTCGGGATCGTCGAGCGGCGCGCGGCCTGCGCGCGCCGCCTCGGTGCCCCTCTCATCCTGAGCGGGGTCCGCTGGCCGCACCGAGGCGATGTCGTCGGCGAACTCCAGCATGACCTCGTCCCCGTCGGCCCAGCGCACGCGCCGCGCCAGGGCCGCCGTCCAGCGCAGGTAGACTGCGGTCTTGTCACCCGACCGCTGCACGACGAGGCACGCGTCGACGAACCTCGCCGGGTCCGCTCCCCGCAGGGAGATGGCCACCTTCCTCTCGTACAACCCCCCCTCAAGCTTCGCGGCGTTCATCGGCACCATGCCGGGCTCCGTCCGCTCGACGCCCGACTCGTCCTCGATCCGCACCTCGCCCGGCATCAAAAACAGCGCCTGGGCGAGCAAGGCCCCCCCCCCGTCGACGAACACCACCCTGTTGCCCGACACCCGCCCGAACAGCCGACAGTCCTCGAGGTCGCCGCGACCGTTCCTGTCCCGCCGCAGGTCGCCGCGCAGCAAGGGCCACGTTGCCTCCAGCAGAGGCCGCTGCGCCTTCTCGGCCCGCAGCAGCCGCTCCTCCTGCGTCAGGCGGCCGTTGTAGTAATCGTCGTACAACGTGACCAGCGCCGCGGGGGGCCGGACCGCGCTCCAGTCCGCCGTCTCGACGCCTTCGTCGAGGCGCTGCTTGTGCGCGGCCAGCTCGTTCATGTGCGCGTCGTACGCGACGCTGGCCAGGAACTCGCCGCCCTTGGCCTCCCAGCCGTCGCGCGGGTCGCGGGCGTTCTCGAACGCATCGCCCAAGGCCTGCGCCAGGCTGGCGATCAGCGTCGGGCGGTGGCGGGCCTGGGCGGCTTCGAGAGCCCGTTGTGCGTCGCCCACTCTGGCGGGCACCACGGCGGCCGGGCCCAGCACGGCCCACAGACCCGCGGGTCGCGACCCGGCCGGGACGCCACCGCCCTGGGCCGGGGGGAACGCCTGCCGCAGGTCCACGACGCCCCAGGCATCCAGCGCGGGCGCGGCGTGCTTCGGCATCTTCTTGACCGGTGACGCAGATGGAGACGGCTCGGACGGCTTGGACGGCTTGGACCGCAAGGCGTCCGCCACCGCCTTCCGAAAGTCCCCCGGCGACGTGCCGTAGAGGACGATGAGCGGGAAGGCGCCTTGCGCACGCTCACCGAGCTCCCGCAGGTAGTCCTGGAAGATCTCCGCGGACATGAAGCCACCGGCGGCCCCGGGGAGCGCGCTCGCCACCTCGCGCGACGTCTGAACCCACACGTCGCTCAGGGTGTCCTCCACTTCGACGGTGTCTGAGCGCACCACCACGTGGTGCATCGCCACGTACGCCCAGAACACAGGCTCGGCGTTGTCCGCGCCCTCCTCCAGCTGCACGGCGACGACGAGCGCGCTCCCGCGCTGGACGCCGGGCTTCCTGTAGCGCTTTGCCGCCAGTTGCGCAAGCTCGCCGTACAGCGCTTTCGTCTCGCCGAAGCGGCCCTCGGTGCCGTGCGAGGCGACATCCTCCGCCGCGGCTGCGCCCGGCTGGGACGGCCCAGCCGCAGGCGCCTGCAGGTCCCCTGGCGGAATCACGGGCCCCGTGGGTGTGCCAACACCGAGCGCCGCAGCGCCCATTCTGAGCACCGCGATGACGTCGACGTAGTAGGAGTTGTCGAGGGTACCGAGCGCGAAGCTGTCGACGCCGGCGACGACGTCCTCCACCCGCCTCCGCCCGGTCACGTACTCTTGGGCAACCACGACGCCGTCGAGGCGCGTCCCGTTGACGTCGAGCGGGTCCGCGCGCCACGTCTTGAGGCCGCTCCGCAGCGCGGCGCGGCCGGGCCCGCCCGGCACCGCCGGATCGACGTTGAATCCAATTTCGACGTCCGCGACCGTGGCGTGGTGGCCCGCCTCGCGGTCGCGCAGCTGGCGCGCGCGGCGCAGAGCCTGCGCCAGGGCGTGCGCGGCGAGCTCCCCCAGCGACACGTGGTAGGCGTAGGGCAGCCCCTCGCCCCCCGGCCCAGAGCGAAAGAGGTCGGTGTTGATGCGCACGAACACCGCGTGCAACCCCCGCCGTTCGCACGCAGCGCGGAACACCTCCTCCCGCGCCGTCTCCTCCGCCTCGGTGTGTGTGCGGTGCCGGTGCTCGTCCACCTCGATGAACACGTAGCCTGCAACGTCTCCGTCCTTGCCGTAAAATGGGAGGTAAAAGTCCATCCTGCGCAGCCCCACTGACAGGTCGGGCGGGTTGCCGTACTTCAGGTCGCCGACGCGCTCCAGGAGCTCCGACAGCCGCGTGCCTCCGCCGGCCCTCGAATTGACCTCCTTTAAAATCTCGAGCCCCTGGTCCAGCAGAGCGAAGACGGCCATCTCTCGCAGGCCTTGCGGACGGACCCGGCGCTTGGCCAGGTCGATCGCCCACAGGCGCCGCGACGACCGGTAGTCGCCGCACGTGGCCGCCGCGCCGCGCTCGCGCTCGGCGCCCGAGTCATAGTCGACGAATGCCAAGACGGGATCTGGGAGCCTCATGAGCGCAGAGGCCGGCGTGCAGCTGCAGGCGCCGCGGCCGTTCCGCGCGCAGGCCACGCAGGGGAGGCCGTGGGTCGACGCCACGTGGGCGGCCTCGACGAGGGCGCGCTGGTCCTCCGCTTGCGTGGTCATTCGACCCTGCGTCAGAGAGACTGGCTGCGGCACCCTGAACGGCACCGGGATTCCAGTTCCGTCGACACGCGTGAACCCCCCAGGCTGCGGAAGCAGAGTGAGTGGCGCGGGTGGACAGCGTGGGCGATCGTGCGAGAGCGGCGACGGGCGGGCGTGGGGCGGCGCAGCGCGCGTCCTCGTCCGGCCCGGGCAGGGCGATCGCGGGGAGCGGCGGACGCGTCGGGGGGCGACGGGGAGGACGCACCGGCTCGGCTCCAGCGCCCGCGCCGGCCGCGTCGTCGCGGATGTCCAAACCGCCGAACGTCGCAGTCAGGGCCTCCACATCTTCGTTCGCGGTCCTCTGGCGCGCGATGCGGTTGGGGACGTCGGTGACTGGCTGCGCGTCGACGGGGCGGCACGGCGTCACCGGTCAGGCCCGCGTCGCATGGGAGGCACGCAAGTCAGCCTGGGAGGTACGCCCCGCTCGTGTGGGCGCGCGGCGTGCGCCCGGGCGCGCCGCGCGCGGCGGAGGCGACGGGACGAAACAGTCGCGGCCGGAAGGGGCGGTGGGAATCGCGCGGGCGCGCGCGGCGACGGAGCTCCGGGAGCCTCGTGACGTCCCCCCGAGGGGACGCGGGCGTGGAGAGCACGAGATCCGGGGCGGCGCGCGGCGCGCGTGGCGGGCAGCAGGACGGTGGCGAGAGAATGGCGGCGCGCGTCGTGGGGCCGCGCGCCGCAGGGGGCGCTCGGAGCGCGACCGGGCGGGTGGCAGCATGAGGAGCAGGTCTGCAGCGGGGGCGAGGGGATGGCGCACCTGCAGGGGGGTCGACATGAAGGCTTCTTCCATGTCGTCGGACTCCATGGTGGTGTCCGGGACGGCCTGCGCGCGACGGGCACGCGCGGACGCCGGACGGGTTGGGGGCGCTGGGCTGGCCTGGGGCGTCCGGGGCCGTGCGCGAGAAGACGTCGCACGGGGGCGTCGCCCGCGTATCGCGTTCGCCGGCGGGCAGGCGCGGAGCGCGCTCTGGGCCCACGCGCGGTGCGGAGGACGGGGAGGACGGGGGCGTCTGCGACCTTTCGCGGGGACCGCGCGTGCGCACCTGTAGGTTGCCGGCCATCGCGTCGCTCGTCGAGAGGTCCACCAGGGGGAGCCGGTTCGACGGCGTGGCGGGCCGTGGGGCCCGCGTGCTCCGCGCGGAGCAGCCTGAGTGCTCTGCACCTGGGGCGCGGCCGCTGGGCGGCTGCGGGGGACTGCGCGGGCGGCTCGGGGCAGCCTCGCGCGCAGCGAATGCGGAGAGTCGCGAGGGCGCGCGCCCCAAGACGGCGCAGGTGATGAGAGCGTCGCGCCCCCCGCGGGGGCTGTCGTTGATGTCACCTTGCTGACTGACACGGCGCCCAGCCGCGCCACGGGGCCCCACAATGGCGCATCGCGCATCCACGTCGCGTGTCCTCGCGGCGGCACCCATGTGCCGCGTCCTCGGCGCAGGGCCGCGGACACGTGCACCGCGCGAGGCGTTGGCAAAGCAAGGGCACTCCGCCCCGCCGCTAGCGCGGCCGGCCGCAGAGGTGGCGCGCGCGCAGCAGCCTCGCGGGGACTTCGTCGTCCACGTGGATCTCCCCCGGTCTTTTCGGCCGTCTCGTGCCTCCTCTCCGCGCGACGGGCGGGCCGGGGCCGCCAAGCGGGCGCCCTCCCCGCGCGCCGCTGGCCCGCGCAGCGGCGCCCGAGCGGATCGCGCGCGCGGCATGGAAGTGTACCACCGGGCGGGCCTCGACAACATGGCTCCGAGCGAGGACATCCCGCACGTCGACGGTCGCGACGTGCTGCTCCAGCGAGGAGGAGGGTGCCTCGCCCGAGGTTGCGTGACCAGCGGTGGCGCAGCGACCGTTGGCACTCTTCACGCGCCTTTGGGTGGCGGGGGGGCCTCGGCCGCCCCTGCCACCGCCGGCCGCACGGGGCGACCCGGTCTTGTGACTCTGACTCGCATGTACTTTGACTCGACTCGTTCACACCCCGGCCGAGGCCCCCCGCCATCCCAATCGGCCCGTGAAGAGTGCCAACGGTCTCAGTCTCAGGGTGGGCAAATTCGACCTCCCGGTGCGGCCGCGCGCGAGAGGCGCCTGTGAACATCCAAGGCAGTCGAAAGGGGCTGGGAAACGGGTCACACCGGCACACTGGTGCGCACCGGTCCCGACCTTGTCCACCAATCTTACGTAACAACCGGTCAGCCGCCGGTGCGCACCGCTCAGCGTCGGTTCGCACCGGTCAAGCACGGTTCGCACCGGTCCCCGCCCGCGTCCCACCGCGACCAGCTGCAGCCGCCGAATCGCGCGCTTCCGGGGTGACTGCGCGCGTGCTACATTCGCGTTCACACCGTCCACCTTGGACCGGTCACCCGCGAGCGGGAGACGTCGCATGCACGGCGCACGCGGCACGCTGTCATAACTCGAAGGCGACGCCTGGCGTGCGCCGCACGCAGCTAGCCCCAGCGCCGCTCGGCCCCTGCAGCTTCCACTACCTGTACCAGCGCCGTCGTCGCCGACCGGCGGGAGATGGGGGCCTGTCACGGCTTGCAAGTCCGTTGGTGTGCAAGGCCGCCCGTGCGAGGAACGGCAGGCTTGTGAGGGCCGCATCTCCCCGGTGCGGGTTCGTGAGTACGTCGGAGGCGAGAAGCGGTCACCTGAATACTCCACGAGCACACGGGCGGAGCGCAAACGGGCACCTGGGAAGCCACGTTCTTCAACATCTGCGGGGGGGCACATCTGCGCCTGTCGCGGCGCGACACCGGGATCGGAGTGCCATCGAACATGTCATTGTAGTGAGGGACGAGATGCGCGCGTCCATGCCCCGAGACTAGTCGCTCGCAGGTGTCCGCGGGCCGAGGCAGGGTGTGCTCACTGGTCGCACCTTGCACGCAATTTCCTGCCGTGCGAGGGCCTTGTGATCCTCGAGCGCGTCGAAAGTGTTCGCAAGACCGCGCAGCGACCCCAGTAACGCGCAAACACGCAGCGATGGAGTCGACACGGAGGTATGAAGCCGAGCCCATAGAGACTGTCCGCGTGTCAAGTCGCGCGTTATCGATGGGTGGGGGGGGGGGCGCAGGGGTCGGGGGGGGCATGTGACGCGCTCGGAAGGCCTCTGACCCATTCTGCCGGATGCCATCCGATGGGTGGGGGGCTGCAGGATGGGTGGGGGGGCAGACCCTGCCGCCCAGAAGCGCGCAAAGCAATCATACGGCTTGTTTTGCTGCATCAGCAGGTACACAGTCCCGCTTGAGAGCGCTGAGAGTCCGTATCTGGTCCAGGCGACGGTCAACAAGCGCGTTCAAGTCCACGCTCATGTGGTGCCCCCGCCTCCATGTGAAAGTCCGGCGTGGTTCGCGGGAGAGGACGCCCGCGCGGGCCGGTGCGGCAGTGGCGCCGGACGCGAGAGTGGAGCCGGTCTCTTCGCGCCGGACACTGGGTTGTAGCCGGGGGTCAGTGTGGTGACACACAATCTCCGGTGAGCTCGGAGCATGTGGGGAGCATGTGGGGAGCGTGTGGGGAGCGTGTGGGGAGCGTGTGGGGAGCGTGCGGGGAGCGTGTGGGGAGCATGTGGGGAACATGTGGGAGCAGGCACTCCTGGCGCGCCGCCGCCGCCCGTCGACTTGAGTCGATGCGGAACTGTGTCGTAGACAGGGCGTTCCCCGACAGCGCGAGGTACCGCAGGCTGAGCATGTCGCTCATCGAGCGAGGCACCTGTCCGGACAGACTGTTGTCCGACAGGAACAAGGCCCTCATGCGCGCGTGCAGCCCCCTGCGCGGATGGTGCAAGTGCAAGCAGCAGGATGTCATGGGCTTTCGCGATCACTCAACAGCGCGCGATGAGACGTCATGTCGCTGCAACGGGGCGCGCAGCACGACGCGTGGCCGCCGCGAAAGCCGTTTGCGTGTAGACGACGGGACACGCACGGCACGCGCGAGGGAACACCCCGCGCCACTCACCAGCCTCTCCCTGCGTCAGGGGCTTGACCCGGCAGCGCCCCGACGAAGGCGTTGTCCTCCAGGTGCAGGCTCCGCAGGAGCACCGCCTCCAGCACGTCCCGCGGGACCGCCCCTTCCAGCCCCAGCCCCGATGCGTCGAAATACTCCAGGCTGCCCCTCACGGCCTCGAACCAGCCGTCCGATAGCTGCCCCCCCGCGCGCCCGCTGCCGGACATGCCCGGTGCGGTGTCAGGGATTGTGCTGCGCGACAGGTCCACGGCCGCGACCCCCCCCCGCTGGATGCATGCCAGCGCGCGCTCGCTTGAGTCGGTCAGACTGACAGGGCGCAGGGAGGAGTCGGTCCGGAACAGCGGCATCGTGTTGTCCGCGTGGCAGCACACGACGCCCGGCCAGCAGCAGTGGTGCAGCTCCGACGCCCATGTCGCAGACATCTCGGCGTTCGCCCAGCTGGGGCCGTTGGTGGCCTGGAACAGCGACTGCAGGGCCTGGCGCTGGGCGGCCTGGCAGGCGGCCCCGCAGGCCGGCGCAGCATCGAGGAGGCGCTGGTCGAGGTCGGTCTCGGCGGCGACGAGCGTCGACTTGAGAAGCGTGCTGGACTGGCCGGGGAACACGTTGTTGCCCCACTCAACGTTGTCCTTGCCCTGCAGGTCGCGTTGGGAGGGACGGGCACGACTTGTGGCGGCGGCGAGGGGGCAGGAGGAGAGCGGGGTTGTTTGTGAGCGCAGGGGTTCGCTGCGCGCATGCTGGTGCGGTTCCGCGGGCGTACCTGCAACAGCGCGTCGCGCCAGGTGGAGATGACGGCCGCGGGGTCCCAGGAGGTCGACGTCGCGCCGGACGAAGGGTTCGCCAGGGCGGTGATGCCCCGGCTGTCGACGTAGGCCTGCAGGCAGGGAATCTTGGGGAGCATCTTGGGGTTGCGCGTAGCGCGCAGCCACTCGCGCCGGTGACCCCGCAAGCGCGGTCTTGCAGGAGCAGTCAGACCGACGCGCTCGCGTTTGGGCCGAATCGTTGCATCGTTTGTCGGCGCCCGCCCTTAACCCTTGTGTAACAGGGTAAAGCTCCCCTACGCACGTATGCGCGACTTCGCGCTGGTTGGACGGGCGTTTTGGACCAGGTGGAACATCGTGAGGAATGAGGAACAGCTACAGCCTGGCGTGTTGCGAACAGGGCAGCGGGAGGGAGAGGCTGCATGACGGGGGTGTGCGTGGTGCCGTCGTGGGGCTTGGGAGGGCGCTGTGCGTGTGCTTTCGCACCTGACACGCCGCAGTATCTCCACTGGCAAATCTTCCGCCGAAGTCAGTGCCTGTCGTTCCTTGAGCTGCGCGTAGTGGCCCGGGCGGTTTGGTATGTGGCCGCCTCCCGGGCTCCGTGCGCGACACACCATGCTGGAGGCGGCGAATCAGGAAGCACCAGAGACTAGGTGTGCGCGGGACCGGCAAGCCGCGCTCGTTCGACCGGCCACGCGGTGGCTTGGGCTGTGGAGCACAACCACCACTTGCTGAGACAAGTGGTGCCCGGACGGTGCGGCAGCGCCCTCGTGAGTGAAATGCACGGGCGACGAGACATCAAAAGCGCACCTTGAGCCAGCTGTAGCAGCACGAGAGCACCGAACGCGAGCCCGAGCGCCAGAAGGTGCCAAGAAGGCATCTTTGTTGGGTCCCTGTATGCCCCCGCCGGCGCTCCCCGTACTGGTCGCTGTCCTCGGCTCTGTGCGAGATGTCACGCAGTCACACGCACAGGGAGGACGCCCGTTCGTCGCGCCCGCGGGATCCTGCCATGGCCCTCGAGATGCGCGCCGGACACGTCGCGAATCTCCTTTCGCGCCGTCGGCGGCGAGATGAAACGCAAGCGGAGTTCGCTCACCGTGTCCCTCTGCCGTGCCACGCGCCTGAAACGCGGCGATGTAGGCAGCCCCAGACTGACTCAGTCCGGGACTCCCCCAGAGTGCGTATGACATGCAGGACCTGGCTGTGACAATGGCGGTACGCAACCGCTGCTCCGCCGGCGCCGGCCCTCGGCGCACTGACGCCAGTTCACTAGCGCCGCCCGGCGCGCGGCAACGACGTGCTCATACAGCGGCGTATGTCCGCCCGGGTTCCACGCACTTCGTCTGCGCACGTCGCCGTGGCCGCTTCCTCGGGACTCTATTGCGGCGGACGAGCCACCCGGGTGCGCTCCTTGCGTCGGGTGCGATCATGCCGCGAGACCCCTCCGCGCGCACGCGCGTCGTTTCTACCCATGGGGGTGTCAGAGACACCTCCCCGGGAGCCCGGCGCGCGTTTGCGCGGAGGCATAGCGTCGCAGCGAGCGCCGCAGTGACTACTTCAGGCGGGACTGCAGAGCGTGCTCAGGTACGAGCTGTGCGGGGCCGCAACTCTGAGAGTCTGTGTGTGCGCGGGGGCGTGCCACCTGGGGACGCGCAGTGCGGGCGACAGCTCACAAGCGCTCTCGCGGACCAGACGGAGAGGTAGTAGCGCACTTAGGGAGCGCGGATGCGCGGCTGACGGTGCGTCGGTCCACTGCGAAACGCACCGCCACCAGGCTAGGCAACTAGGCGCGCCGGGGACGCAACAAGCGCGTGAAGCGCGGCGGCTGCGGGGCAGCAGCGGCACGACAGCGTGGCCGCGATGACGCAGCCGTCGTTCGAGAGCCTCGGGCTGGACCCGCGGCTGTTGCGGGCGCTGGCCCGGCGAGGACTGACGGCGCCCACCGCCGTGCAGGTGCGCGAGCGACAGCCCCGAGTCGCGCATTGCAGCGGTTGCGGCTTGAATAAGCGTGGCGAGGTCGCCGATCTCCCGAATTCGACGCGGAAACGCTGCAGCCGCTGCTGCTCTTGTTGTGCTGTGCTTCGCGGCCTCCCGGAGCGCGAGAGAGCGCTCGGCGACAGTGTGCACTTGCCTGTCACGTTTGACGGCGATGAGTGGTGGTCGCTGACTCGTCAGAGAGGCTTTCTCCTGCCGTGGAAGGCGTCGCGCGCCATCATTCTTGGCGGCGGCCCGGCCAGCAGCCCGCCGCATGAAGCGCCCTGCACGGCGCGACACGCGACTGCCGCGTGCAGCAGCCAGCCGCACGCGCTTGTAGCGGTGTTGTGCGGGATATCTCTCGCTCGCGCGGCTGCACCAGGAGCCTGAGCGCTCAGCTGTTGCTGGTCATCGCAGGCTCAAGGAATCCCGAAGGCGATGGAAGGGAAGGATTTGGTGGCTACGGCACGGACGGGGACGGGAAAGACGCTAGCATACCTGCTTCCTGCGCTCGACAAGATCCTCAGAGCGCCCGGGGGCAAAGGAATGCGGCGAAAAGCATGGCAGTGCCTGGTCCTGGTGCCCACGCGCGAGCTGTGCGAGCAGGTCAAGAGCGAGGGGCAGTCCATCGTGCGCTTCATCGACGACGGAGTCTCCGTCAGCGCCATTACCGCCACCGGAAGCGCCGACAGCGCGCAAATGAGGGCGGCTGTAGCCTCCGCAGGACAGGTCGTCGTGTCGACCCCAGGTACGCGCACGCCCGCGCCGCCTCCTGGCCCAACATCTTGCGCCTCCCACCCCGCGTACGTATGCGTGCATTCTGCTGTCGCGGCGTCCCAGCCACTCTGTTCCAGTCGACGACGGTCGTCTCTCTCGTACTTGTGCGTGCAGCGAGGATCGCAAGCCTCCTCTCGGCGGGCGCCCTCCGCGCCGCGACGCTCACGGACGCGCTCTCGACCCTCGTGCTCGACGAGGCTGACCTCCTGCTCAGCTACGGCCACCGGGACGACATCAAGGCTCTGGCGCCTGCGCTGCCGAAATCCTGCCAGTGCCTGCTGCTGACCGCGACGAAGAGCGACGAGCTGCGGGAGCTCGAGGGCCTCGTGCTGCACAACCCGACCGAGCTCGACCTGACGCAGGGCGGGGGCGCTGACATCGACGGTGATGCTGAGGGCGGGGCAGGGGCGCTGGGCATCTCGAAGCGCGTGGCGCACTTCCGCGTGACGTGCGAGGAGAGCGACCGGCTGCTGTACTGCATGACGCTGCTGCGCATGGGCATCGTGCGCCGCAAGGTGCTGGTGTTCGTCAACACGACGGACGCCGCGTATCGCCTGCGGTTGTTTTTGGACGCGTTCGGCGTGAAGTCCGCGGTGCTGGACCGCAGCATGCCGCTGAATAGCCGGCACCACATCCTGCAGCAGTTCAACCGCGGGCTCGTCGACCACGTGATCGCCACGGACGGGGGGGAGTCGGGCGACGCGTCTGGGGGTGTCGCGGGCGCGGCGCCGGCGCCGGGCAAGGACAGGAAGGGCAAGAAGGAGAAGAAGAAGAAGCGCGCGAAGGAGGGGCAGGTCGAGGAGGGCCCGAAGGGCGTGGCGGGGGTCGCTGGCGCGGAGGACGACGTGGAGTATGGCGTTGTGCGCGGGGTCGACTTCCAGGAGGTTCGAACGGTGATCAACTTCGACGTGCCGGAGACGCTTCGCGGGTACGTGCACCGCGTCGGGCGCACGGGCCGCGCGGGCAAGGACGGCACGGCCATCACGCTGGTGGCGCCGGGCGACACGGCGTCCAGTCGCATGGTGCAGGAGATCGACGCAGCGCTAGCGTGAGCGCCCCGCCCCCGATGTGCTTCGAACAGCGTGCACTTGCGTCACGCTGTCAGCGCGCCGTCATGGCATGCGACGCGTCGGCGGCTTCGAATCTGCGCTGCGACGCTTGTCACTTGAAAGCTGTGCTGTGCCTCGCAGGCCGGCGGGGGCGGGGGACGGCGAAGACGACGCGGCTCCTGTGCCGGGGCTCCCCGAGTTCCCGCGGCTCAAGCGCGACACGGTGGAGGGCCTGCGGTACCGCGCGGACGACGTGCTGCTGAGCGTGACGCGCAAGGCGGTGCGGGAGGCGCGCGTGCGCGACATCCGCAACGAGCTCCTCGCGAGCGAGAAGCTCCGCGACCACTTCGCCGAGAACCCGCACGACCTGGCGGTGCTGCGGCACGACCAGCCTCTCGCAAAGGGCCCCGCGCTCGGCGCGGGTAAAAAGCTTCCGAGCTACCTGCGCAAGCACGTGGACACCGCGGCGGCTGCGGCGGCCGAGGACGGGGGCAAGGCGGCGCAGCTGGCGCGGAAGCGCAAGCGTCCGTCCGGGGTGGACCCGCTGAAGGCGACGTTTGCGCGCGGGACGGACCAGTTGACGGAGATGGAGAAGAAGGCGATGGCGGAGGCGAAGAAGCGTGCGCGGAAGGAGGAGAAGAAGGCGAAGAAGGTCGGGGCGCTGGTGAGAGACGACCGGGGGCAGAAGATGCGGGACAAGCGCGAGGCGAAGCGGGGGCGCAGGGGGTGACGGCGGTTGGTGGCAGCTGTGAGGCTCCGGTGCCGCGGGCGAGGGGCGCGGGTGGCCACGTGCGTCGAACGGCTCCCAGCGCGACGCGGCGCTTCGATGCTTACAGTGCCGTAGCACGGGTGTGCGATCGATATCTATATCGGTTGGCGGCTTCCTTTGTGTGTGCGATGGATGCCGGGGCAGAGCGGGGAAAAAGTGTCGGATGTCACTGTTACAGTCGCTGCCGGGCCCGCGCTTAGCCGATGCCGAGCAGCACCGCGAGGATCCACCGCGCGAACGCCGTCGACCGCCGCGCCACCGCCAGCACCGCGCGTCCGATCACCGCGCGGTTCTGCAGCACCACCAACGCCGCCACCCCCCACACCGCGCCTTCTCGCCACGGCTCCGCACGCGCCCCGCCGCCCGGCGGATCCCTCGTACGGTGCGCCCGCGGCAACAGCCCGATCGAGCGCAGCGCGGCGCGCAGCCAGCCCTCGATCAACTCCACAACCCCACGCACCTGCCCGAGGATCGTGCCGGCGTGCCGGCCTGTTGCGGCGGCGAGGAGCGCTCCGAGGGCGCCAGCGGATCGCGCAGGGGCTGCGCTGCCGGGCTCGGAGCCCGGGGTGCGCGCGCGCGCCTGGTGCGCGGGACGGACGCGCGAGCCGGTCTCTGCATCGGCGATAGTCAAGCTGGCTTGGCGCGTGACGACGGGGCTGACGTTGGAGTCGGCCTTGGAGGGCTGGCGATTCATCGCCGCTCCGTACTCCATGGCCAGCCGCGCAGCTTCGACCGCGCGCTTGACCTGCAAGGGCCAGAAACGGGACAAGTCATTATGTACTCTCGTCAGCGTGACAGCCAAACAGACGGACTTGCTGAGAGCTCTGGTGCTATGAGGCCGCACTCCTGGAAGAAGCAGCCCCTGTATGGCAGGTCGAAGCCGAGGCCAACTCCAGAAGAGGGCTGGGCTTCGGCATTCCTGGAGTTGGCCTGGGCTTCGCCCTCCCATACAGCGACTTCTTCTTCCACGAGTGCAGCCTCATAGCACCAGAGCTCTAAGCAGGCAACGCTGCGTTTCGCCACCGTCCAGCATTGCCGGCGCGCTCGCGGCGCACGCCGTCGGTCCGGCGCAGCCCGCCCGCTGCGCGCGCCGTTCGGCAACTCGTCTCGTCACCTGCGCAGGGCGCGGCGACGCCGACGCGGCGGGGCTCGAGCGCGCCAGAGCCCGGCCGTTGCGCACCTCGGCGAGTTCCTCGCGTCCGAGCTCCAGGTCGTTCGTCTCCACCCACATTTCCGCGCAGAGGGGGTCCCCCAGACCAGCAACCAGAATGTCGCTCGCGTACGCCGTGGCCCACGCCGTCCGCGCGCGCGGGTCCCACTGCCTGTGCGCGCTCGTGGTGGTGCAGGCGGACAGGTAGACGTCCGCCGCGCCGCGCGCCGCGGCGGGCCCCGAGCGCTTGAGGATGATCGAGGTGGCCAGGAGCGCCGCCTCCGCCGGGACGCGCTCGCGGCCGCTGAAGAGCTTCGCGAGGTGATTGAGGGGGTCGACGGACCTGCGCGCGGGAGGCAGCCGGGCGGAGAGGATCGCAGGCCGCGCGAACGAAGCGCTCAGTTCGGTTGCAGGGCGTCGCAGTCGCTGCTGCTCTCCGCAGGTTGCGGCGCGGGCGGCGTGAGCGTGCGCGGGCGAGGTATATGCGATCACTCTCGGGGCGTGAGAGAAAATCACGGGAAGACGCGCCGGGCGCGGGATCCACGGGTGTAGAGAGCGCCGTGATTGGGGCCGTGCAACGGCGCGCTGCGCCCGCTCCGACCCCCCCGCTGGGACACGCTCGCGACTCATGCATCGCGTCGTCGCGGAATCGAGGCTGCGTACCCGGCGGTCGCGTCCAGCGCCTGCACGTTGACGCACGCGGCCGCGCACACCACCTCGCGGCCGCCGTCCGAGGCCAATGCGTCCGCAATCAAGCTCGCGCTCGCCTCCTGCGCGGCTGTGTTGTCGCCTGCGATCATCTGCCGCTCCGCGAGGCGCAGCCTCGCCGCGAGCCCGGGTTGGGCCATTGGAGCAGCTGCCAGCCGGCCCCCTGCTGGCAACGCGGGCGTCAGGCAGTGCCTCGTGGGCCCAGACTGCTCGTTTGTCCCCGGGAGACTCTCGGGCGCGCCGGATAAGGTAGCGCGCCCCCCGCCACCGGCCCCAGCCCCCGCTCGCGCTGCACCCCGCAGTCCAGACGCCGCCCGACGCACCGAGTCGCGTCGACGGCGGACCTCTTGCACGGAATACGGCGGACGGCGAGCAGAACTGCCGGGAGCGGGCTCGCAGGGGCGATTTCGACGACGGTGCAGCACCACGCGCCTGCTGACAGCTGTGCTGATAGAACACTGCCAGGGACACGCCGCCTTTGCGCCGCGCCGCCGGCACCTGCGTGCATTACGCGCACGGCACCTCGGCCCGACCACTCCCACGGACCTTCTCCCCTCACAGAAGAAGCAGCAAACAGGTACGGTGCGGGCACCTTCGGTTTGATGGCTCAACCCACGGTTTGGCGCGCCGCGCCACTGGCGGTCCGCGCGATCCCGCGGCCCGCGCACCACCGTGCTCTGGTCGCAAGTAGACCGGGGCGGCGCTCGGGCGGGGGCGTGCGGGCCCCGGTCGCGTTCCCCCGCGAAGCCGTCTGAGCCGAATTCTTTCGGCCGCGCACCGCGCGCCTCGGGGCTCTATCAGCGCCGCACACACGCGCCGGGACGACGCACCTATCGTGTCGCGTCCATTGCGCGCGCGCTTGCGCTTCAAACGCCCCTGTGCGGTGTGCTGTGCGGCCCCAAGGGTCGTCTGGTACCAGACAAACGAGCTTTGAATTCTCCTCGCGGACCGTCGTGCTGGCCATGCTTCGCATCCCATCGCGCACCTCAGACATTCCACCGCCCCGTTCCGTCGCCGCGCGCGAACTCGGGCGCCTGTGCGCGCGGCGCGGGCACCCGATAGCACGCGACAGGCAAACGCCCGGCGTGCGCACCGCCCACGGACGCAACCCCGGTTTCCACCGCCGGCATCGCGGCCTCGATTCTCGAACCGCGCCCCCGTCGCGCCGCTCCCTCCAACAATCCGCCAGAACCGCTCCCGCGCGGACGGCTTCCAAACTCCAATTCCCGTCCCTGGTCGCCGCGCGCCCCCCGGGCCCCCGCGCCGCGCCCCGCCCGCGCAACCGCTCCACGTGTACGGCACGGCCGCCCTCACGCGCCTCACGCCCCCCCGCGCGCGCCCCCGCAGGCACAATGGCCACCAACTCTCCCCGGGACAACAGCCACGAGATGGCCGAGCCGCTCCTCCGCGACAACCCGGACCGCTTCTGCATGTTCCCCATCAAGTTCCCCGAGATCTGGGAGATGTACAAGAAGGCCGAGGCCTCCTTCTGGACCGCGGAGGAGGTGCGTGCCACCCCTGCCGCACCATGCTCCTCGCCCGCCGCGCTCCGGCCCCGCCCGCCCCGCATTCCGCGCCGAACCCCGCGCAACCGCCTCTCCGCGACCCCGTCCGCGCGCCCCGCCCGCTCCCGCGCCCCCTCCGCCCCGCGCCGCGCCCCCGCCCCCTCGCCTGTTCAAGTCGCCCCCAGCCAGCTCCCCTCCACACACCGCCCCCGCGCGCTCCCGGCGCGCAGGTCGACCTCAGCTCGGACATGAAGGACTGGGAGCGGTTGACGGAGGACGAGCAGCACTTCATCAAGCACATCCTGGCGTTCTTCGCGGCCTCGGACGGCATCGTGCTGGAGAACCTGGCGGTGCGCTTCATGAAGGAGGTGCAGGTGGCGGAGGCGCGGGCGTTCTACGGGTTCCAGATCGCGATCGAGAACATCCACTCGGAGATGTACTCGCTCCTGCTCGACACGTACATCAAGGACACGGCCGAGAAGCAGCGCCTGTTCCACGCCATCGACACGGTGCCCGCGGTGAAGAAGAAGGCCGACTGGGCGCTCAAGTGGATCGGGTCGAACAACTCGTTCGCGGAGCGCCTGGTCGCGTTCGCGGCGATCGAGGGCATCTTCTTCTCCGGGTCGTTCTGCGCCATCTTCTGGGTGCGCAAGCGCGGCCTCATGCCGGGCCTCACCTTCTCGAACGAGCTCATCTCGCGCGACGAGGGCCTCCACACGGACTTCGCGTGCCTGCTGTACAAGCTCCTGGACAACAAGCTCGACCGCGAGGCCGTCGAGGGCATCATCGCGGAGGCCGTCGAGATCGAGCGCGAGTTCGTGTGCGAGGCGCTCCCCGTGTCGCTCATCGGGATGAACGCCGACATGATGTCGCAGTACATCGAGTTCGTCGCCGACCGCCTCCTCGTCGCGCTCGACTGCCCCAAGCGGTACCACGCGTCCAACCCCTTCGACTGGATGGAGCTCATCAGCCTCCAGGGCAAGACCAACTTCTTCGAGAAGCGCGTCGGGGACTACCAGAAGTCGGGCGTCATGTCGGGCCTCACGGGCGACAACCACAACGCGTTCGCGCTCGACCACGACTTCTGAGGCGCCCCCGGGCCGTGGCGGGCGACGGGGCCTGCGCCGCGGGCGGGGCGCCGTGGCCGGGCGCGCGCGGTCGGCGGCGCGCTGGGCGAGCTGCCGGCCGTCGTGCTGCCGCGAGATGAAGGAGAAGGAGGAGACTATAGACCCACACGTTCCGTTTCCGTTCCCAGCACAACATTCGTGAAGCAGTGCGCGCACGCGACGGCGCCTGGACGGCCCGCCGTCGCGGCAGCGGCTTCGCGCTCCCCTCCGTCTACCGCCTGAACTACCGACGCGTGTGCTCGCGTGCGCCGCGCTATGTGGTGCCGACCAGCCACCCACTGCGCGCCTAATTTTCCCCGCCAGGCGTGCACCACCGCGGGACGCTCCGCACCGGCCCGCGAATACAACGGCCGCCTTCGCGCGAGCTACTCTCGTTCCTAGCAGGGCGTGCGGTCTCCCCACGCGCACACACATGTGACTCAATTTGGCTTGGAAGTACGCCGCTCCGCCGGGAATGCGCCCGTGCCTGCACGCGTCACGCCAGCACCTCGCGGCCAGGCAACAGACTCGAAGTGCGCACCATGCTTGGTTTCGTCGCGGAAATGCAAGTAATGCCCCTAAGAAGGCTCTTTATCCCTGTCACGTCTACTTGTTTCCACCAGGTCGCCGATGAATCGAGATGGCCAGTTCTCACATCCTTCTACCATCCCCTGCCATCCACCCCGCTCGCGCAGCTTCGCGCCTATGCGAACGCAGCCCTGCCCTTGCGCGACGGTCCACGCCGCACTTTTGCCGGCCCCCCGTCCAGCACCTCCGACTGGTCCGGCAGCGTAAGGCACGGCGACTGCCCCCCCGACGACTCCTCGGCCACCGCGCTCCTCCGTGCGCCCGACTGGCGGCGCGTCTGCACGCCCACAGCAGCCTGTGCAGGCTGACTGCGAACGGCGACGGGGGGTGCGTGTGATGAGTGCCGCCCTGACGCCTGCGCAGCCACGGATCCCACCGCATCCGCCGCAGGCGGCGCCCTGCCGCTCGCGCGGCGCGTGGTCGGCCCGGAGACTCCCCCAGGGGCCTGCTGCTGAGTCAGGGGTGCTGTCTGACCCGGGGCTGGCGCTGCCGTGTGTGCAGGGTCGCGCGAGCGCGCTGCACTCGGGGAGGCGTGCGCCCGTGTGCGTCTGGACCCGCCCGCAGGCCGTTTCGGGGAGGGCTCTCTCTCTGGCGACGACATGGAGTGTCGTGACGGCCCGCGCTTCCGGCCGGCGCGCTGCGGCGTGCCGAACACCGCGTCGAGCGACGCGAGCTCCGCCTGCGACGCCATCGGCACCAGCGCGTCCGCGATGCGAGCCTCGCCCGTCGCGGGCCCGGCAGGCTCGGAACCCCCCCCCTCCCACTCAGGAGACGCCCCCTTCGAGCCGCCGAAGAGCGCGCGCCCCGTGCGCTGGCCGGCGCTCGCACCGACGTCCTCGCGCGCCCCGGGCGACCCAATCATCCGCAGCGTGGGCTTCGGCGACGCAAAAAGCCCGTCCGCACCCGGCGACGCCACGCCCTCCTCCGCGCGCGACCCGAACGCGGCGATCCGCGGCGACCGCCGCGGCGAGAACACCCCCGTCGCCTTATCGCCCAGCGCCGTCGCCGGCACGGGCGACGCCAAGATCGCGTCAGGGCTGCCATGCACAGCACGTGCTTGCGCTGCGTCCCCGCCGCCGTCCGCTTCCCGCAAGCTCCGCCGCCCCACGTGCCGCCGCAGCCCTTCGGGCGACAGCAGGCCCATGCCCGCCCACCCGGCGCCCTGGTTCGGCTCCTTGGTGGCGTTGCGTGGAGCAGCACGGGAGTGGTGTTGTCCCGGCGTGCCTTGCACGAACAGCGGCGCGGCTCCGCGCTGCTCGGGCGACACTGCGTGCGCGGACGCGGGCCGCTGCGTCTTGACGGGCGACGTGACTTCCTCACCGTCGCCCGCGTTGCGCGCTGCGTTCGCGCCCTGCACAGCTCCGCCGTCCTTGCCACGGGCGGTGGCGGTCGCTGCCGCGCCGAAGAGCACGCTGTGGCGCGGGACGCTCGTCTGCTGCTTGCTCTGCGCGGCCTGCGATCCCCGCAGGCCGGACGCGCTCGGCATGCGCACCACCTGCAGGGTACTGTGTCGGAAGCGCTCACGCATGCGCCCGCGCAGCGCGCCTGCATTGCCGCGCGCATCGCCCTGCGTCCCCGTCGCCGTCGTCTGCGCTGGAGCGCTGCCGTCGCTGCGGCCCGAGGGCGCGGAGGGCGCTGGCGCGCCGTCTGCTGCCGCCACTGCCGCGGCGTCGGCGCGCTCTAGCACCGCCAGCGCCTCCGCGTCCGTCATCGCGAGGTCCTGCGCAGCGACAAGGCCGAAGTCCTCGCGCGCCCGCTGCAGCACCGCTCTCGCCGACGCCACCTTCGCGAACGGCCCAGCGACTGACGCCTCAAACCACGCCGGGAACGCCCCCTTCAGATCGAACCGGACGCGCTGCAGCGCCTTGGCGAGCCACATGCCACACGCCTTCCGCAGCGCCCGCGCGGCCGCCTTCCCGGCCCTCGACTTGGGCGCAGGCACGAACCTGACAGCGGCGCAAAACACCCCCAAATACCACTCCGCGAGCATCGCGACCACCGCGGGCCGCTGCTCGCCGTCCAGCTCGCCCAGTCCGCGCAGCAGCTCGGCCGTGCCCTCCCAGAGCGGCCGCGCGGCGTCCTGCGGCGCCGAAGCGTTGGCGTCGGTCATGCTCCGCACTGCCGCCTCCACGGCCTGCTCGGCAAGCGTCGGAACGACGGCGCCCGGAGCAACAGAGCCTCTCTCTGCACGGCCGACCGCCTCGATCGCCCCCGCGAACCTCGCCAGCGCCTGCGTGGGGTCTGCGAGCGACACACCCGCGTCCCCTCCGCCACGGGCCTCGAATTCGGCCATCATTTCCGCCAGCGCGGCCGCCTCAGCGCGCAGATCCACTGCCGACGGCTCCGCCTCCGCGGGCGCCACGCGCTGAAGCGCCTGCGTCACGGCGCGCATTGGTTTGGACACCCCCCCTTGTGAAGGGGGGGGTCCGAGGAGCCCGAACGGCTCCTTGGGGTCCAGCGGCTCCGCCGCAAGGCGCCTCTCGAGACTGCTCTTCCACTGCGCGCCGCTGTCGCGCCGCACGCGCCCCGCAAACGGCCCGACTCCGAGCGCAGGTGCGACGCACGATGTCGACGCACGCAGATCCATGAGCTCCGGTTCGCGCAGGCCGAGCCGCTCGGGGATGCGCAGCGACGCGAGGTCCCCCGCGGCGCCCAGCGGGCGCAGCATCGCGTGCTTGCCGTCGTGCGTCAGCGGCTGCAGTAGAAACCAGGCCCCTGAGTCAGGGCTGCGCGGGGCGCCGCGCGCCTGGAGCAGCGCGCACGTCGCCGTGTCGGCGAGCGCACGGACGACCTCGCGCACCCGCGCTGACGCCGGCGCGCGCGCGAGGAATGGCTCCAGGGGGGTCTTTTGTTGCAAGGCGACGTCAGGGCCCCATGGCTCCCGCAGCAGCTCCGCGAGCGTGTCGAGCGGGACCGTGGCGCCCACGTGCATGTCGCGCGGTGGCCGGCCCGTCACCGTCAGCCCCCCCGGCGTGCAAACGAGCTCTCCGAGAGCCACGTTGTCGCGCGCCGCCGTTCCTCCGTTGCGTGTCGCGGGCGCCTCCGCCGCGACGCTCAGGCGCACGTTGTGGTGCGGCAGCGGCGCGCACGCCGGACCAGCGGCGCCGAAGGTCTCGTTGAGGCACGCCTGGAGGCAGAAGTGCATCGGCGCTATCGCACGATGCGTGAGCAGGAGAGTCGCCGGCGCGCAGGGGATGCCCGGAACTGCGGTGCGGAACGGAGACGGCGGCGGTGGGCGCTGCGGGCCGGTCGTTCGGGAGTGAGGCGCGCGCTTGTGAACTGTCCATCCAAAGACTTGTTTCCATACGTCATAAGCGAGTGGTTTGGTGCATGGGCTGAGAGCTGCGGGCGCCGTGTGCGTGGCCGTGCGCCGGGTGGCGTACCGCTGTCGGCGGCTTCGTCGCTGAGGTCGATCATCAGGCACCGTGGCCGCCTGGCGCCCCCGTCGGGGGGCGCGATGAGCACGCTGCCCTCGCTGGCGGTAATGCACACCACGACGCAGTCCGGACCGCCGAACCCACTGCTCTTGACCACCTGCGCGAGCGCCAGGACGCGCCGCGACGGCGCCGCGCCCGCGCCGGTCCCGTCCGGGGCGCCCGCGCGCCCCTGCGACCCCTGCGAGCTCTGCTGCGGCTGCGTGCTCGCGGCGGACAGCAGGTCCATCAGCGCGCAGTCGAGGCGGATCCTGTCCCACGTGAGAGCCTGGGCGGGCGCCAGTTGAACCCCTGCGCGACGGAACGCACGCGCGGCACGGCCACACTTGGCAAGGAGGGCTCCGCAGGGGGGCTGGAGGGCGCAGTGCCGCGGCCACATGCATCTACTGCTCGTTTCAGCCCGCGCGCCTCGCTCTCCGGTATGTGGGGCGACGAGCGCGCGTTGGACATTCGCAGCGGTGCCACGGAGTAGTGCTGGGACGGAGAGCAGGTGCGTGCGGGCATGAAACGTCTTGGCGGGCGCACCGCTGGGCCCTCCCCGGGGGCGACGGCACAGGTCCGGGCCGTCGAAACAGACGAACGATAGCTGGCAGGCAGGGTGGCACGTCGCCGCGAAGTCCTGGAGCGCTGCGGCGACCGCGCGCGCAGTTTGGGCGCGCTGGGGGCAGGTGCACGACGCGAGGTCGACGCCCACGACCAGCCCCGAGGGCTGCACGTCCCTCGACTCCCGCGCCATCGTCCTCGAGCCACTACCGCACGCGAGGCGCCCCCATTTCGCCGCAGACTCGTCTAGACCGTCGGACGTCGCGCGAGGAACAGTGGCGCAGGACAGCTGCGTCGTCCGCGCGGTCGCGGGCGCGAAATGGACAGGAAGCGGCCCTCCGTGACGCGTCACTTGCTCTGCGCGCCCTGCGGCGGCGCGCCCGCGGATGACGGCCTGGTCCGACGCAGGGGGGTGTGTGACTCGGTGGGCGCGACGCGGGCTCTCCGCGCGGTGCCGACCTCTGTGCGCCGCACTCTGGCGAAACCTCGACGCGATCCATGTGGCGCACGCTCTCATTCAGCCCTGATCGATTCCTCGCTCGAACCACGCCACGCACGCCGTCTGCTCTGCACGCCTGCGGTGCACCCCGTCCCGTGCGCCTTCCGCAGCGGGCCGCCTTCGGCGTAGAGCGTCTCCGCCGCGCCGCGGGATCGAGGCGTGCATCGAGGAGCGCGCTGACGTGCGTGGCCTGGGCGCGGGGGTCGCGGCGGCACAAGATGGGGCGCGGGGCCAAGGCGCCGTCCTCCGAGCAGGCCTACTCGCGCGCCATGGCTCTGCTGGACGCCGCGCCGCGGCTGCCGTCTCTCGCGGTCTTTGACCTGGACTACACGATCTGGCCGACCTTCTGCGAGTTCCATTCGGGACGGTGAGCGGGAGCACGCGCGAGGAGTGAGCGGCTCCGTTTCCCAGCAAGAAACGGGCGCGCGCTGCGGCGTCTTGGCGGGATATGCGTGCGAACCGACGCTGCGGCTCGTGCGCTGCAGGGAGGAGTGCTCGGTGTACCCGGAGGTCCAGGGCATCCTGGAGGCGCTGAAAGCCAAGGGCGTGAAGCTGGCCGTGGCGTCTCGGAGTCCGACGGCCAGCGTGGCCCGGGCGTGGCTCAAGAAGATCGACTTCGAGCGCTACTTCTGCAGCACGCACATCTTCTCCAGGTGCGCAGAGCCCTGCCCGCGCGCCGGCGCCCGCGCAATCGACCGAGACCTGACGCGGGGCCTGGTCTGACCCGCACGGACCCCGGCGCCCGCGCAGCTCCACGAACAAGACGGAGCACTTCCAGAAGATCAAGAGCGACACGGGCGTCCCGTACAGCGAGATGATTTTCTTCGACGACGAGGACCGCAACATCCACGCCATCAACCGCATCGGGGTGGTCGCCGTCGACGTGTCCCGGCGCGGCACGGACGTCGCGGCGCTCAAGGAGGCGCTCGACCGCTACGGCGACAAGGCGGACGAGAGCCGGGGGTTCTAGCGCCCGTGCGGTGCGCGCAGGCAGGGGTGTCGAGCTGACGCCCAGCGCGATGCGACGACGACGCTGTGAGCCCGTGAGGATCGACTGGGCGCGGCTCGGCCGCTCACGCACTCGGCGTGTGGCGCCGCGCACACGCCTTGCATTCCGTTACAGTCGAATTCGAATATCTTCTATTTTGTCAATTATGTCTCTTGATCGAGGTCTGGGCCGTGGCGGAACACTGCAGCCAAGATGTGACGCACCACGCCCCCCAGCTTTTCCTCGTCATCGCGACAGCAGGCTGATGAAGGCGTCCGTGGGAATCGAGACGTTTCCGACGCGTTTCATCCTCTTCTTGCCCTCCTTCTGCTTCTCCAGCAACTTGCGCTTCCGGGACACGTCGCCGCCGTAGCACTTCGCGAGGACGTTCTTCGCGTATGCCTGCACCACGAAAGAAAGCAACCGGCGCGTTCCTTCTACCGATGATTCTACAATCAGCGCGCGAGTCTTCTTCTACCGATTCGAAACGCACACGCACCCATGCAACACGCGGCAATGCAGCAGCGGCAGCTGGCTGCCACGAGCGGCGCAGCGAGCCGCGTGGCGCACCTTGAGCGTCTCGCGCGCGAGGATGCGCGACCCGCAGCGCGCCTGGATGGCAATCTCGAACAGTTGGCGCTCCATGACCCCAGCGAGCTTGCCACACAATCTCTTCCCTTCGCGCTGGGCGTCCGAGCGGTGCACGACCTTCGCGAACGCGTCGACGGGCTCCCCATTGACGAGCAGGTCCAGGCGCTGCATGTCGGCCATGCGCTCCGGCGCGTCCTCGTAGTCTAGGGTGGCGTAGCCTGCGTGGCCGAGGGATGCGGCACGTCTGGGACTGTGCGACTGCCGTGGACGGGGTGATGCGTCGGGCGCGGGAGCGGGGGGAGGTGTTTGGAGGTAGGAGACGGACCTGAGGTCAGGCTCTTGACGCGGTCGTACAGGGACTCTGCGAGCTCCGCCATGGGCAGCCAGTACTTGAGCAGCACGCGCGACGACGACCCGGACCCCAGCACCTGCGCGAGCAGGTCGTGGAAAGACACGAACCGATGAGGGGAGATCAGACGAGATATCGCGACTGCCAAACAACTGTGAATTGCCATCTCGAACCAACGAGGGCGTAGAGCTCGCGCAGAGGCCAGCAGTGTCGCCCACGCGGACACCGGAAGCCGCCGCGCGCGCGAGCCTCCCTCCTTGAGGCACGGCAGCCTCCAGTCGTGCGGCGGAGGGCCGCGCACGCACCACCTGGTCCTGCAGCTCCCCGCGCCGGTCCTGGCACAGCTGGATGAGGTCGCCCATGAACTCGATCGGCGCCACGAGCGTCACGCTGACCATCGGCTCCCACACCTCGCGTGGCATGGCGTCGCCGTCGGGCGCGCACGGGAACTCCACGGGGTTGCTGACGACGCGCTCGGTGCCGTCCTTGTACACCAGGCGGTACGGCACCGTCGGCGGCGTCAGCAGCACGTCCGCGCCGTGTTCCTGGCGCATGCGCTGCAAGAATACATCCATGTGCAAAAGACCGAGGAAGCCGCACCGGAAGCCGAGCCCGAGCGCGGAGCTGCGCTCCTTGGCCGCGACGACCGACGCGTCGGTCAGCAGCAGCCGCGACATGGCGGTTTTGAGGCCCTCGAGCTCGTCTGACGCAGCCGGATACACCCCCGCAAACACCTTGGGCACCGCGGGCTGGAAGCCCGGGAGCGGCTCGGCGGCGGCGGCGGCGGCGCGCAGCGGGGAGCCGGGTGGCGGCACGCCGTGCAGCGTGTCGCCCACCCGCGCCTCCTCCGCGCGCTTCATCCCCAGAATTGCATACCTGGAAAACAAGGGGGGGGTGTTTGGGGGGGAGTTGGTGTTCAAGCGAGACGGGGCGCGGCATCGACGCTTTGTGATGGCGCTCGCGCGCCGGGAAGCGCAAAAACGCGCGCAGGAAACACAGGGCGTCGTTCGAGCACCGGAGCCCCGCGTCGCAGCGCTGGCACAGCCGCGTGCGCCGGGGCGCTGTCCAGCGCGGGTAGGCCCTCGCTGTGCGTCGTGGTCCCTACCCGATCAGTCCCGTGGGGATCTTGTCGGTGGGCAGGCGGTGCGGGACCAGTAGTCCGCACTCCTGCACCTCGTACTCCTGATTCGTGGCGTGCGACCGCACGCGCGCGCCGCGCTCGACGACGCCGTCCTGCGCCTTGAGGAGGCACACCACGCCGCGGAACCGGTCGTGGTGCGCGTCGAACAGCAGCGCGCGCAGGGGCGCCGCGGCGTCGCCGTCGGTGGCCGGCGGAATGCCGGTGACGATGCGGTCGAGGAGCTCCCGGCAGCCCTGCCCCGTCTTGCCGGACGTCTCGACGCAGCTCTCCGGCGCGATGTCGAAGGAGAGTTGCAGGTCCTGCCTGACTGTGTCGGGCTCGGCGGCGGGCATGTCGCACTTGTTGATCGCCGGGACGATCGCGAGGTTCTGCCCCCACGCGAGGTAGAAGTTCGCGACGGTCTGCGCCTCGACGCCCTGCGTGGCGTCCACCACCAGCACCGCGCCCTGGCAGGCCTGGAGCGACCGCGCGACCTCGTAGCTGAAGTCCACGTGCCCGGGGGTGTCCACGAGGTTGAGGAGGTAGTCCTGCCCGTCGTACCGGTGCACGATGCTCGCGGTGTTGGCCTTCACGGTGATGCCGCGGGAGCGCTCGACCTCGAGGCTGTCCAGGAACTGGGCCTGCTGGCCCGCGGGGAGCGCGCCCGTGAGCTCGAGGAGGCGATCGCTCAGCGTGGACTTGCCGTGGTCGACGTGCGCGATGATGCTGAAGTTCCGCACGCGCTCCGGCGGGAACAGGCCAACGTGGAGGGCCCCGCTCTCCCACTCCCTCCGCAAGTCCCGCACCGGGGCTTCCGGATCGGCGCTGCGGCGCGCCGCGTCCGGCCCGCGCGCTCGGGCGGTCGACGACGTCTGTCTGGCCGCGAAAGACGTGCGTTCGGGGGGCGCGGGGCAGTGTGTGGAGGACCTCGGGTGCGGCTCCGGCGCCCTCGCGCCCGTGACGTTCCGGCGCGGCGGCTCCAGCGAAGCGTTTCGTACGTGACGGGCCACAGGTTGTCCGTGCGCCGTCGGAGACCCGTCCCCCGGGCCACTGTCACGCATCGCCCCCAGGCACGTCCATGACGAGCCCGCCGGGAGGCCTTCGAGGGCCAGCACCGCCCCGGACGGGCGGAGCCGCACGAGGGCCGATCTCAACATCCCAGCTGAACGGAAAGTCACCTAAACATATCGAAACCTGACGAAACGGAGCACTCTGCTGGTTCTCCAGGTTCAGCTCGCGCCCCTGTCGCCCGCCCAGCTATACGGCCTGTCCGCTCTCCACTGGAAGCTCGCGTCCGCCTGCAACGAGCGCCGCACGCCTGTGACTCCGGCCAATGTCCTCACCGGCCGCAACCGCCAGTACGACAGCAGCCTGAGCGGAGGGCACTGCGCGGCCTCCCTGCCTCCCGCTACGTTGCGGCGGGGCGCCCGGCGCGCGAGGGCAAAGCTCACTCCGCACCCGCTGCGTAGGAGATGCCTGGCTGCCGGCCGTGAGCAGCAGGCTGTGCTTGTGAGTGCACGCGCCAGCCAAGCGCCACCGGCGACCGCGGCGGGGGCTAGCCCGCAGGCGGGGTCGCGATGGCGCAGCTACTTAAGGCGTGGCTGATCGACGATGTCGGCATGCATCTGGACGAGGATGTGTCCGTGGAGAAGGTGAGCGCCCGGCCCAGGCATGTGCAGCTGAGCTGCAGAGCCACTGCGGTTCGCGACGCGCTGCGGGGACCGCGTCCCGCGCGAGCGGTGCGGCGCGGTCGTCTAAATTGGCGTGCGCCCGGAGGTCGTCGCCGCGCCTCCAGCCCGCGCCCATACCGGGCGGTTCTCCGCGACGACAATTTTGGTCCGTCATCAGGCACGCCGTCTGCCCCGCGCTGCGGGCCGGGCGGCGTGACCTCTGCGCCGGAGCTGTCTTTCATTTGGCCGCGACGCCACCTCGCCGCGGAGCCGCTCGAAACCCCTCGTACACGCACGCGGAGCGCCGAGCACTCGTCATGCCTCCAGGCCCCGCCTCCCTCGCGTTCCCGCGCAACTGGCGCTCCCTCTTGACGCTGGGCCGATGGCCTACTCTCTCCGGTCCGCCAGGGCTGCGCACGCGCGCCCAACCCGCACGTTCGCGGGCCCGTGCTGCCTCTCAACCCAGTGCACGACTTTTCGATCCACGACGCGGCGCGCGCGACCTCCGCGACCTCCGCGATGGCGGCGCCGCGGACTCGTCCGCACGCGCTTTGCGCCCGACGCCAGGTCGACCGCAGCGGACCCCGCACGGCGCGGCAGCTCGCCCCCCATGCGCCCGCACTAGCACATTTCGCCGCCCCTGTTCTGCGCGCGGCCGTCTCTGCCTCCCAGCGCCCGCGCCCTCCTTCCCGTATCCCCACACAACTCACTCACCCGCGCCGCAGCCCCCACGCCCCCCACACAGCCCCTTGGGGGAAGCCCTGCGTGCGCGCGCCCCCGACCGCGCCATCGCCCCCGACCCGCGCGCAGGAGTTCGCCACGGGCTACCTCCTCGGCGAGCTGCTCGCGCGGCTCGACCTGCAGCCGGACTTCGAGAAGTTCGACCCCGCGGAGACGCCGGATGCACGCATCAACAACTTCAACCGCCTGCAAAAGTCCCTGAAGACGCTGGGCATCTCGATGGACTCGCGGAAGGCCAACGCGATCATGACGGAGGAGAAGGGCTTCGTGATGCGCCTGCTGTACCAGATCAAGAGCAAGGTGGCCTCGCTGCACAAGGGGCTGAACGCGACGACGGGCGCGACGGGGCGCACCGCGGGCGGCGCCGCGGGGGGCGCGAGGCCGACGTACGGGCTGCTCGAGAAACAGAGCCACCGGTCGCAGCACGCTGCGTACCGTAGGTGCGACCCCGCGCCACGCGTGCGCGTGCTGTAGAGGCGCGGTGGGGGACGGCGCACCGGCCGCGCGCGGCACGGATCTAGCGCGCCGCCGCGCGCTCGCATGCCGCGACGTCGCTGCCACACGGAAGCGCCCCCCCTCGTCCTGCTCGCTTCACACCCCACCCCCGCTCTGTCGTCCACTCCCCCTGCCCCTCGCAGGAGCCAGGCGGACCAGCTCGACCGCACGCTCCGGCGCACCGCGGGCAATCCGAAGGTCCTCATGCAGGGCCTGCATCTGCAGCGGTTCCAGCGGATGCAGCAGAAGCTCGAGACGCACGCCGCGGAGGCGACCGAGGCCGACCGGCGCGCGCAGGCCGACGCGAAGCGCGAGCTGCGCGAGTCCCTGGTCGGCACGTTGCGCAAGAAGCGCGAGGAGGGCGCGAAGCTGCTCGAGACGCAGCACCGCGAGCACAAGCAGGCCGTGGACCGGCGGCGCGCCTACTTCCGAGACGACCTCCGCGTGGAGGTGTCGCTCGCGGAGAAGCGCGGGCGCATCATGGACGAGCGCCACGAGCGCGAGGGCCAGGAGGCGGAGTCCGGGATCGACATGTTCGAGGGGAACCTGCGGCGGATGGGCGCGGACGGGAGCACGGGCACCGAGGGCGCGGTGACGGGCGACACGCACCACGCGACGCCGCTGGACACGATGCGGAAGATCGTGGAGATCGTCCCGCGCCGCCAGGCGCTCCTGGACGCCACGGAGGGCTACGTGCGGCAGCTCAAGGCCAAGCGCGCCGACGACATCCTGGTGCGGAGGGAGCGGGAGGCCCGGCGGCGGCGCATGGTGGTCGAGCAGGTGTCGGCGGCCGCGGAGATGGACCGGCGGACGCGGCAGGAGGCGCTGATGGAGCTGCTGCGGCGGCAGTCGCGGGCGGAGGAGAAGGTGGCGGAGCGGGTGTGGCGGGTGAGGCAGGAGGAGCAGGTGATGGTCGAGAACCGCGCGCTGCGCGAGAAGCAGTACCGGGAGCGCCGGGAGCGCGACTGGTCGGAGGCGATCGAGCGGGAGGTCGCGGCGATGAAGGCGGTGGGGGAGTCGGTGGCGCGGCTGTCGGCGGCGGAGCTGGCGGCGCTGCAGGCGGAGCGCGCGCGCGTGGAGGCGGCGCGCAAGGCCGCGGTGCTCGAGGAGTGCACGCGGTGCGCGTGGGGCCTCGTGGGCATCGCGGAGCGCTGCGCGAACTACCGCGAGCACATGGAGGTGAACGCGCCGCGCAAGGAGCACCGCGAGTGGGTGTCGATGTTCACGAGCGACGACCCTGCGCTGGTGGACGGGATCATTCCGGATCCGGAGGAGCACGAGCCGGAGCCGGAGCCCAAGGCGTCGGTCCTCGCCACGGCGGCGGTGCAGCTGTACCTGAGCAAGCAGGGGGAGTGGCAGCGCGGGGACGCGACGGCGCGGGCCAGCGCGGCGGAGACGGGCTCCGTGCGCGCGGAGGAGCCGTCGGGCGCGGAGGCCGAGGGCGCCGCGGAGCCCCCGCGGACGCTGGCGGGGGTGTTGCACGAGCTCCTCGAGGGGAGTGTTGCGGCGGACGCGCCCCCGCTCCCGACGCCGCCCGACCTGACGACGATGCCCGTCAAGCTCGCGGTCGTCGGCGCGCCCTTCTCCGGCAAGTCGACCATCGCGCGCGAGATCGCCGTGGAGCACCAGCTCGCGGTCATCACCCCGGAGGACGTCGTCGAGGCCGCGCTGGCCGCCGCGGAGGCCTACGTGCCGCCGAGTGCGGTGGGGGACGGCAGCGACGCCGCAGCGGAGCCCGAGGCCTCGGGCGACGCGGCAGCGCCAGAGGGCGACGGTACCGAGGAGGGCGGCGCAGCGGAGGGCGACGGTGCCGAGGAGGGCGGGGAGGCGTCGGGCGCGGAGGAGTCCGCGGCGCGTGCGGAGCCGGAGGCGCCGGAGGTAGTGCGGCTCGGGCGGGAGTGCCGTGCGGCGCTTGACGCCGGCGAGGCGGTGCCGGACGCCGTTCTGTGTCGCCTTGTGGCGCTGGAGATTGCGGCGCTGAGCGACCGGCTGCGGGAGTCGAAGGCGGAGAACGAGGCGCCGGAGAGCGAGGCGCCGGCGCCGAAGACCAAGGGCAAGAAGAAGGAGGACAAGGCCGGGAAGGCGAAGCCCGCGAAGGGCGGCAAGGGCGGCGCGGAGGCGGCGGAGCTGCCGGAGCCCGCGAACGGGTTCGTGCTGGACGGGTTCCCGCAGACGGAGCGGCAGGCGCGGCTGCTGGAGCGGAGTCTGACGCAGCTGGACATGGAGGCCGAGGCGATCGTGCGGGAGCGGCGGAGCGTGGTGGTTCCGCCGCCGCCGCCGGCTGCGCGCAGCACGCGCCGCCTGCTGCACTCCGGGCTCGACGGCGTGCTTCTGCTCGGGATGGTCTCCGAGGAGGAGGCGATCAAGCGCGCGCAGGGCCGCCGCGTGGATCCGGAGACCGGCGCGGTGTACCACGTGGAGGCGCGCCCGCCACCGACGAACAACCCGGGCCTCGTCGCGCGGCTGGTGGGCGCCGACGACCCGTCCAACTCGGAGCAGCAGATCCAGGCGCGGATCGAGGCGTTCCTCGCGGACCGCGGCCCCCTCGTCGACTGGTTCTCCCGCTTCGAAAAGCTCTTGCACGACGTTGATTCCGAGCTGACGCTAGACGACGAGGTTGCGGCGGGCAAGGAGGCGGCGGGGCGGATCCGGGGCGCGCAGACGGCGGCGGGCGAGGTCGCGAAGGCGATCCGGAGTGCGGAGAAGGCGGTCGAGGCGGCGCGGGCTGCGGAGGCGGAGGGCGTGCGGGCGGCGGAGGCGGCGAAAGCGGCCGCGAAGGCGCTGTTCGCTGCGAAGCGGGCCGAGGTCGAGGCCGCGCAGCTGCTCGCGGGCGTGACGCCGCAGGCGGCCGGCGGCGCCGCTGCGAAGGGCGGGAAGGGCGGAAAGGGCGGGAAGGGGGCCCCACCGCCGCCGGTGCCCGCAGAGGACCTCCCGAAGGGGGGGCTGAGCGCGCAGGAGATGCTGAACCAGAACGCGTCGGAGGCGATCGCGCAGAGCCTGGCGAACGCGGAGGCGGCGGCGAAGGAGGCGGAGGTGGCGGCGGCGCAGGCGCAGGCCGAGTGCGGGCACGCCAACGAGCACGTGGAGGCGTGCCGCGGGGCGCGGGCGGACGTGGACGCGTCGGTGCAGGCGCGCGAGGCCGCGGAGGCGGCCGCGGCGCAGGCGGACGAGCTCCTCGACGCGGCGGCGGGGGCGGCACGGCGCGCCCAGGAGGCGGCGCAGGCGGCGCAAGCGGCGTTGGAGAAGGCGCAGGCTGCTGCCGCGCTGGCCGAGGGCGAGGAGCTGCCGGAGGAGGAGCCGGAAGAGGGCGCCGAGGCTGGCGAGGACGTGCAGCCGCGGGCGGAGTCGCCCGGCGGCGGGGACGCGGCGGAGGCGCCAGCGGAGCCCACGCGCGGCGCGGTGGCGCAGGAGAGCGCCAAGGCGCTGTGGGCGCGGTGGAACGAGGCGGAGTCGACGTACCTGCGCGCGCTCGAGGCGCTTCTCGGCGAGGTGCGCGTGGACCGCGCCAAGGCGATGCGGCACGTGGTCATCTCGAAGCGGCAGGCGCTGCAGATGCTCACCGCGGACGATGGGCGGCAGGCGCACGTCGACGCGTTCCTGAAGGAGCTCAAGGAGCGCGAGCAGACGATGTTCCGCGACACGCTGGCGCGCAACGAGGTCCTCGAGCAGGCCGACGCGCTCCGAGACAAGATTTGGGACATGTGCGACGCGCGGCTGGCCGAGCTGGACAAGTACCGGAAGCAGCTGAGCCAGGACCCCGCGATCACGAATCTGGCGAACGCTGGGTACGAGAAGCACGGGCGGCTGCTCGCGCTCGAGATGGAGCGGCTCGGGAGCGCGGCGGCGGTGGCGGTGGCCGCGTCCTGCGAGGCGTGGGGCGTGCACCCGCCGGGCGCGGCCGACCAAGCGGCGCAGCCCGTGCCTCCGGCGCCGGACGTCACGAAGCCCGCGCCGTCCGAGCTCGCGGCGCTCGCGCGCGCCGTCAACGCCGCGGACGTGCCGGGTCTGACTGAGGCCGAGAAGGCGGGCGCGAACTCCCCCCTCGGGCAGCTCGCGGCGGCGATCCGGACGTCGCTCGCGTACACGAATGCGCTTGCGGCGTACGATCCCGTCGCGGCCCCCGCGGGCGGCAAGGGCGGCGGGAAGGCCAAGGGGGGGGGTGAGGCTGAGTCAGTCAGCCCGCTCGAGCACGCCCGGCGCGCGCAGTGCTCCGCGGAGGTGGCCGCGGTGCTCGCGCCGGAGCTCGAGGCCACGCGCGACCGCGTCATTTCCATCTGGGAGCGCGCCCAGGGCCACGCGAAGGAGATGGGGGAGTCGTGGCGCCGCACGCAGGAACGCCTCGAGGCCTGGGGCAAGGAGCGCTACACGCGCGAGTGCAAGGCCGTCTCCACCGCCGTCACGGCCGTCGCGCAGGCGGTCCAGTCGAAGCACCCCGTGCCCACCTCGCTCGTCCTGGACGGCCCCTCGCTGCACTTGGAGGCCCTGAAGCTCACGTCCATCCAACAGGCGCTCGCGGAGCTCGCGGAGCTCGCGCCGGTCGGCATGGCGCCCGCGCAGGACGTGGCGCTCGCGCTGCACCGCGCGCTGCACGGCCAGCACCCCGGCCCGCTCGGCAGCTGCACGGTGGAGGAGATGACCGAGGCGCTGACGGCGCTGGATCACGCGGGGTGCAACGGCGTGGACTGGCGCGAGGCGGTGATCGAGGTGCTGCTGGAGGCGTACCCGGCGCTGGCGTCGCTGTCGCCGGCGCTCGTCGCGCAGACGGTGTCGGCGATGGAGCAGGCGGCAGTGGGCGGCGACGCAGGCGCGAGCCTGCTCGCGCGCGAGACGTGGTCCGCCACGCCGCTGTGGTGGGAGCGCCCGCTCGACGAGCTCGAGACCGCGGCGATGCAGGTGCGCGGCCAGAAGCCCGGCAAGCTCCCGGCGCCGAAGCGTTCGGGCCGCAAGTGCACCACCACGCAGACCGAGTCGCTCGCGGCAGCCACGGAGGCCACCGAGGGCGGCGGCGCGGCGCTCAAGGAGGTCCTCTTCGACCTCCTCGGCGAGACGGCCGCGGACGGCGAGCTCGTCGTCCCCGTCCTGGAGGGCCTGTTGCAGCTTCTCAAGGACCTGGACCCTGACGTGGGCCTGCGCAAGGCGTGGGCGTGCGTCACGGGGAACGAGGCGGGCGGCGCGATCGGCGCGGACCTCCTGCACACGCTCGTCGCGCCCGTGCGCGACGCCGGGTTCTACAACGGCATGCCGTCGGTGGGCGACGTGGAGAAGCACCTGCGGGACATTCAGGAGGCGGAGCTGGCGGCCGCGGAGCAGGAGGGCGAGGACGGGGACGATGAGGAGGACGAGGAGGAGGAGGAGGAGGAGCTGCCGCCGCCGACGATTGAGCTGGAGGCGTTGTTGAGCGGGGAGAGCAAGGCGCACGAGGCGCTGAGGGCGCCGCTGGCGCGGTACGGCGTGGTCGGCCTCGCGGACCGCGTGCGGGCGATCCAGGAGAGGGCCGCGGAGGCGGCGAGCACGAGCAGGGGCCCGTCGCAGGCGGGGAGCCGGGCGCCGAGCAACCGCAGCGAGTTTGAGTAGCCACCATGGCAGCTGTGATGCTTCTCATTGCGACCTAGAGCGGTCTCGTTGAGTGCGAACGTGATCCGGGCGACTCGGACGCGCGTGGCGAGCTCACACACGTCGCAGTGGTTGCCGTCCGCGGCCGTGTTGCTCGTCATCGCTTCTGCGCAGCTGCTACGTCGGACGCGCGACGCGCTTCCCGCTCCAGCCCCTACGCCGCTGCAGCCGAAGTGCGAGTCTCCCGCGGGGCGCCGCATCGCCGGCGCGGGCGGGGCGGGGGGCTCCTACTTGGCGAGTTTGTCCACCGTGTCCTCAAGGAGCTTCTTCTTGTAGCCGGTGATGTCCATGTCGAGGTCCTTGCCGTCCTTGAAGAACTTGAAGTACGGCATGGCCTTGACGCCCATCTCCTCCGAGAACCCCTCCATCGGCCCGTCGGTGGTGTCCACCTTGGCAAACGTCATCGTCGGGTACTTCTCCGCGAGCTTGTCGACGAACGGCGCCAGCTGCCGGCACCTGCGGGATGACGGCGGAGGTAGCCGCGGTATGGGCGTCGACGACGGGTGCAGCGGGGCGGCGAGCTGCGAGGACGCGTGCGCTGCAGGGGCAGAAACAGGGAGGGGGCACGTCGCGGGGCGGGGCACTTGCTTGCCACACCACGGCGCCATGAACTCCACGACGTTGACGCCCGAGGCGCTCGTGAGCGCCTTGTACTCGGCCTCGGTCCTCAGCGGCTGCAACACGCCGGAAACATCCAGCATCGATGTCAGACACAAGCAGCGGGTGCGGCGGGCTTCCAGGCAGCGCAGCGGGTCGCGCGGGAGCAGCGCTGACCTTGAGCTTCTCGCCGCCGCTCTTGGCGTCCTCGTCGCCGTGCACGGAGCTGAAGTACTTCTGCGAACCCTCGGGATCGGCCTCCATGGTCGCGTCGCCCGGCTTCCAGCCGGCGGGGCACACCTCGCCGTGCTCGCGCACGAACTGATGCGCCTGGATCAGGCGGATCGTCTCGTCCACGGAGCGCCCGACGGGCAGGTCGTTGACGGTGATGTGCGACAGGACGCCCTCAGGGTTGATGATGAACAGACCTGCGCCGACGACGGAACCAACGCCGGTGAGGCGATGAGGAGATGTGCAGTGTGTTGACGGTGAGGCGTTGCAAGACCGGTCCAACGGAACAGCAAGGCCGCGGCAGCGCGAAACACGCTCGCGTTCTCGACAGGGCCTCGCAAGCGGTGAGACACGTCGCTGTCGGCCGTGCGGTTCTTGGCGGTGCCCCGCGGGTTGTCCGCGCGCGCCTCACCTCGGAACGCGATCCCGAGCTTGTCGAGCAGGACGCCGTACTGCGCGGAGATCTGTTTTGTGGTGTCAGCCACAAGAGGGATGTTCATGACGCCGAGGCCGCCCTTGCGGCGCGGCATGCGGCACCAAGCGAGGTGCGACTCCTCGGTGTCCGTCGAGATGCCCACGACCTGCGCGTTGATCGCCTCGAACTCCGCGTGGCGGTCGCTGAAGGCGATCAGCTCCGTCGGACACACGAAGGTGAAGTCCTTGGGGTAGAACAGCAGAACGACCCACTTGCCTGCGGTTGCCCCGTGCAGGAGGAGGACGGTCGGGTGCGTGGACGGTCCGGGCGGGCGGGGCGGAGCGGACAGAGCGGGAAAGAGGTTGGTGGCAAGATCAGTCGGGTTCGACGGGGCAGAACGCGCCCTGGAACGTGCGACGGCGGCGCTGTTTCGCCTGATGCCAGACTTCTGCGAGAAAAGCGTCGTTAGGGCGTGCGTTTCGCGCAATTCGTTGGTCGGCGCGCACCCTTGTTGGCTGAGAGCTGGTAGGCCGGTTCGATCTCGCCGTCGACGACAGCGGGCGCGACGAAGTCCGGGGCGGGCTCCTGAAGCGCGACCATGGGGCTCGGGTACATGACGGGCTCGAGGGGCTCGCCGGCATCGTCGGTGGTGTCGAGGTAGCGCGGTGCAGCGGAGGAGGTCACGAACCGGCTCGGGAGGCCGCGGGCAGCCACGGGGAGGGCGCGGGCGGCGACGGACGCGAGGCCTGCGGGGACGACAGGGGCGCTGCGGGCGAGGGCGCTGGAAGCCGTGGCCTCGACGGCGCCTGCGAGGAACGGAAACAGGAGGAAGGCTTGGTAGGAGACTGGTGGTCGGTGAGACGTGGTAGAAGCCAACAACGAGGGGCGTCCAGCGCCACTGATGGCCTCATGTCGCGTGTATGGGTCGGGCACCGAGATCGGGGCGGAAAAGGCCGTGTGTGGCTGTCCCGGGGCCGACGAGATGAGGCGATCGCTGGCGGGCGAGGAGCGCTCCAGCGGTCGTCTTGCAGGTTCAGGGCTAGATTCTGTCGCAGCGGCACCGTCTGTGGGCGAGGTACTCTCAAGCCTACGCCCGCAAGCGTGTTACGGCGGGCAGGAGCCCCCCTGGACGCGAGCACGGTGTGCCAGGCAGCGAGTCACTGGCGCGCATGGCCAGCCACGGGCGTGCGGGGTCCAATGCGCGCCACGTGCGGAGTACCGCGAGAGTCGTCAGTCACGAGCTGCGATCGCTTTGACAAAGCATGCCCGGCGGACGTGGGACGGGGGCCAGCTAACCTCCGGCTGCAACTTGGCTCTCGAGGGCCGCGCGGCCGACGCGCGCGAGGCGAGAAAAGGCGTTCCTCATCCTGTCTATGACACCCGACCAGGTCAGACCTCACAGACCTCACGACGGCGCCGTCGCGGCCGCCCATTCAAGCCACAACAGAAACTCCTCGGTGCAACACAACACACCCCCGGGTCCGACGCCCCGCACCGCGTCGACCCTGCGGCCTGCGCGCAGGAGAACGAGTCCGCGACGGTCTCCGCGAACTTGTCCGAGCCCTGCGGACCGCAGCACACACAAGACTCACGTCGACAACACAACCCCGTGAACCTGCGGAGGCGGGGCGCGTGGGACAGTCATAGCTGCTGCTCCGCGAGACAGAGTAGGAGCAGATGATGTCTTGAGGTAGCGCTCTCGAGAGCATCTGAAAGTGGCGTCAGCACACACCGAGTCAGCGTATGGCCCCCGGGGGTCTCTGAGCTGCGAGCTGACCCGCGGCACCTCTTTGTGCTTGGTCTGCGATGCGCCTGGTGCATGTTCAGACGAGCCGGACCTGAATAGCTAGCGACATTCGTCCTGGCACGGCGTGCTCATCTTGAGTTGAGAGAGAGCTGTGCAGTTGACGCGACGCCTCATCGATCGTGACCGAAACCTGGGCACGCAATAGGTCGCGTACGTTCACACATACACGCCGAACTGGTCGAAACGCACGCTGCATCGCGGTTCCGCCGCACTGAGCGCGAACCCTGCAGCTAGAGGGTAGCTCCTTTGCGCGCGGCATCAGCGTCGACACGGGGCTTTCATGTCGCGAGATCTCGCGTAGAACTCTCGCTCCAGCCTGAGATAGCCTTGCCTGTCCGCGAGATGGGCCTGTTCCTCTCGCGCGACCGGCGAAGAGCCAGGCCTGGTGAGAGCAGTGCCTTTCCATCATGGGCCGACGCCGACGCGCCGGGCTGGGCCGGCTCGAGCCGCATGGAGGTCAACTGGCCGGTCATCTCCCTCCTCGCTGTCGCGCTTCTCCTCGTGGTCGGGTTTGTCGCCAGCCCCGTGCCCGAGGTGTCCCCGGGTATGCCAGGGCTGACTGGGGCGCCACGGCTGCACGAGCTGCGCGTGGCGCCGTCGGAGCCGCTGATCAACCGCAGGTGCGACGCGCACGGGGCGCCCGGCATGCAACACGTCGCGTTCACACTCGCAAAAACAACACACTTACATTCTCCTTGCCCCGCGGTGTCCTATAGGTTGGCGGCCGAGGTGGCTGCGCTGGGAGGAGCAGACAGCCGCGGGCCGGGAGTGGTCCTGGCGACGAAGCACGCGTCGTCGGTGCAAGTGATCGCCGACACGCGACGACTCGCAAAGCGCGTCGCGCCGTTCCCCGTGCAGCACGCGGGGGTGTTCCGGCCGGACCCGAAGCAGCTCGGCTCGTGCGGCGGCTTCCGCGTCTCCGGCGCGCAGATCCAGCGGGCCGCTGCAGAGGCGAACAAAAGCCTGCGTCTGTCGCGGGGGCAGCTGCCGCCCGGCGGCGCCTTGCACGTCAGCCTCATGCCGGGGCGGCGGTGCGACAGTGCAGCTGAGGAGGAGGCTGCCCACGAGGCGATCTTGGCGAGGATGCGCACGCCGGACGGGCGGCGGCTGTCAGGGACCGCGTGGACGGCACAGGTGGTGCAGGTGTGGGCGCGGGAGGGGGGCGAGGAGGAGGGGGCGTGGAGCTTGGTCGAGACCGTGCCGCTGCCGGGGCGCGCCGAGATGTGAACGCAGCTTGCGGGGGGGTGTTTTTTTAATGCTTTCAAGTCGAGAGGTAGAAAAGTGACGGGAAGCAGGGGGTCTCGTCGAACAAGGGGCCCCGCTGGACGCCTGCGTGTGCACGTGTGCGAGAGGACGCGACGGGCGAGGGAATCCGAAGTGCGCGCTGTTCGGCGGCTGGGTACGTGGTGGCTTCGACGTAGGGTGGGGAGTGGTGGGCGTTCTGCGTGAAACGCGGGCATCGGCGGAGGGGGGGCAGGGGGGCGCGATGTGGCGGTTCGTGATTGCGAGCCTCGTGGCCGGGGCGGTTGCGCTCGCTGCTGCGGCGGCGAGCGGTCGTGCTTCGCTGATAGGGACGTTGCCGGCTGCGGCGATGTTGCGGGGCGTGCTTCCGCAGAAACTGCTGGATGCAGCTGACCAGTACATACAGAGCTTGTCGCGCCCGCCGGGAGATCTCCCCGAAGACAGCGACGCGCCGACGCTCATGGAGGGTTCCATTCATGCGGCCGGCCCCGAGCAGGCCGAGGGGGCCTGTGGGCTCAAGGGCGAGGTGCACGAGCATTGCGGCTGCACGTACGAGGAAGTTGACCGGCTCAACCGCGCAGTCATCCATCCAATCCTCGCGGAACTGGTGCGTACGGCCCCTGCGTCGCTCCGTGGCACGCTCCCTCCTCCTTTTCCGCGTCTCACGACCCCGGCTTGCGTCCGTGCAGACATCCACGCCCTTCTTCCGGTACTTCAAGGTCAACCTCGTGTGTGACTGCCCCTTCTGGCCCGAAGACGGCATGTGTTCGGCGCCAGACTGCTCGGTGTGTACGTGCCCGGAAGACGAAGTGCCGAAGCCGTGGCGCACCCCGGCGCTCGGGACGCAAGACCCTTCGTGCGAGGCCGCCACCTCGGGCCACGGCGACGCGGAGGGCCAGGTCGACCTCGGTCTCGGCGGCGTCGGCCCCCTGCAAGGCACCACCTTTGGCGGGAGCGACAACCCATGGCTCGCGCCGCGCGACATGTACGGCCGGGAGGAGGACTACGAGTACGTCGACCTGCTCGTCAACCCCGAGCGGTACACGGGGTACAAGGGCGCGCACTCGCACCGCATCTGGCGAGCGCTGTACTCTCAAAGTTGCTTCAGCGGCATCACAGAGGAGGGGCTGTTCGGGGACGAGGGCGGCGGGACGTGCAGCGTGCAGGCCGTCTTCTTCAAGCTGCTCTCCGGCATGCACGCGTCGATCACGTCGCACATCGCGGCGAACCACCTCCTCGAGCGCCGCACTGCGCGAAACGGGACCACGGAGGACGTCTGGGGGCCCAACACCGACGTGTTCCTCGACCGCCTCGCGCGCCCGGGCCGCAGGTGAGCGCTGCCTGAGCGAACGCGCCGCGCAGGACCGACCGCGGCGTTGCGTTGCGTTGCGTTGCGTCTCTCGTGAATAGCGGAATCTGTGTGTCTGTCAAACCCCCCGCGTGTGTAGGGCCGGTGCCCTGCCCCTCCTCTGCCTTCCCCCAAGGTTCCGAGTGCTCGAGGGCCCCGTGTTGCGCAGGCACCGGATCGAGAATCTGTACTTCACGTTCTTGGTGGTGCTGCGCGCGGTGACGAAGGCGGCGCCGGCGCTGCTAGGCCACGACTACACGGTGGGCGATCCCGCAGTCGACGCGCGCACGCGGGAGCTCGTGGCTTCGCTGGTCGGGAACCAGGAGCTGCAGGCCTCGTGCCCGCTGCCGTTCGACGAGGGGGCGCTGTGGACGTCCGGGGACGCGTGGGCGGCGGCGGGCGACGGCGGCGACGGCGAGCGCGTGGAGGTCTTCCAGCAGCTGCAGGGGTCGTTCCGCAACATGACGCTGGTGATGAACTGCGTGGGCTGCGAGAAGTGCAAGCTGTGGGGCAAGCTGCAGATCCTCGGGATGGCGTCGGCGCTCAAGGTCGTCATGGCGGAGGCCAGCGTCGCGGCCGGACAGGTCAGTGCGCGCCCCGTGCGCGCGCCCGCCCGAGCGAGCGAGAGCTCTTGTTCGCGGCCGCGCACCTGAGCATGCGTGTCGCGGCCGGCGCTCGCAGGCTCCGATGGACGTGGCGCTGGAGAGGAACGAGGTGATCGCGCTGGTCAACTTCCTCGCGCGGCTGTCGACGTCGCTGGAGACGGCGCGCAAGATGGGGCAGCTGGCGCTGGCACTGGATGGGCAGGGGGCGGGGGCGTGGGACCAGGTGCCGGACACGAGCTCGGCGGACGACGAGGGCCCCGAGCTGCCGCGGACAGGCGGCGTCCCGGGCTGGAACGACCTGTTCTGACGGCGCCTCGTCTGATGGCCATCGGTGTGTGACGCGCCGCGATCGTGGGCAGGGCGACGGCCGCTGTGTTCGGGCCCGGACAATGAGGAGCCCGCGAACTCGGGGAGGCGCCGATACGAGAAGTCGTGGACGCCGTGTCCGACAGTCGTGACAGGTGTCAACCAGCTGTCAACGGGGGAGTGCTGCAGTTGATGCTTCTTCCCTGGGACCGTTCCGCAATTGGAGGGCGACGCGTGCGCGCTGGTGTATTGCAGTTGAGAGGGGTGGTCAGGTTTCACGTGTGCGCGACGTTTAAGCAACAAACGAAGAGACAAGCAGCAACAAAAGAGCCTAGCCAAGGCAGCCATGATGACCTGCCGCCCAGCGCGCGTCACCGGCGCGATGCCGGCCCGTGCCGTGTCGCTCCGGCCGAGGCCCTCGCGCGGCACGATCAGGTGCGCCACGCCACGCCCCCTCGTCCCGCCCACGCCGCCGCGGCGCTAACCTCTCTCTGACAGCACTGGGCGTTGCGATGGCACCGGCTCTCGAGGTCGATGCCGCGCTGCGGCCTCGCGAGAGGTTTCCGGGAGCTAAGTCTGCGAATCGGCCCTGCGCTGACGCCGCACGCTGCGGTTCGCGCGGCCCCCGAGCCCCGCACTGCACCTCGGGCCACTCGCCGCCCTTGTGGGCGTTCCTGGGGGCCCACGGCCACGAGACGGGCGGAGGGCCGCGGCCCGCCGTCGTGGGCATGTCACCACCAAGCGCACGTCCTCTCGGCGTCTGAGCAGTCCTGGCTGAGCAGTCCCGTCAGGCTCGACTACTCACTGGCTGGTAGACCGTGTCGCCGCGCCCGTGCAGCGTGCGGGCGGAGAACCAGGGCAAGGTCACCCGGGAGTACCGCGAGGACGACGACGAGATCGTGGTGAACAAGCCGAAGGCTGAGGGGGGCCAGGCGGCCCCGACCGGGAACCAGAAGTCGGTCTATGTGGACCAGCTCCCCGACGTGCAGCGCGACCCCATGAGCAAGGAGATGCGCGAGAAGCTGCGGAAGGAGTACTACTCTATGGGTGAGCCGCCTCTGCAGCTCCGTGCCGCGGACTTTGCCCTCGGACGACGCCCGCGCGGCGATGCTTGCGCGCCGCGTTGGTTTCGATCGCTGGCGCCTGGATCGGGCGCGGAATCACGGTCCGGTCCGCGTTGAGCCTTGTCATTCTGATGAGCTCGCTGCGACCGGCGTGGACGAGGGGAACCTGAGCACCTGGCGGTGCCGGCCGCTTGGCTCTGCAGGTGGCGCTCCGGACCAGAAAATGACCAACTGGTACCTGTACATCATCCTCTTCATCGGTTTCCTCGCCATCTCGTCTGCCCTCACCGGCGCGCTCGGTCCGGCAGGGTACTAATCGGCAGGGCTCATTCGCCGGCTGCAAGCACGGCTGTGTAACGACATCGCCCCTGAAACGGCAGACCTGCCGCACAACTGCGACATGCGTTGCAGCAGAGACCGCTCCTGCTCGTCGACACGTCGCCACCCACGCCGCGCAAATACAACCTTGTTTTCTCGTCTGGCAATGGCGATCAAGTGTGTGGCTCGCCGACAGCGGGGCATTGCGCAACATCATGCCACTCGACCGCCAAGCCCGGTCGCTACGTGAGTGCAGTGCTTGCGTGCGTCCCCTGAGCGGTTGTACGGGCAGCAAGCGCTTCGATTCCCGGCTTGTGTCTGCTGGTGCTCCGGAAGCGGCTAGTACTTCGCTGACCTACAAGCACCCTCGCCGCGAGGACGCTTGAGCGACCGAAATGGTACGGCAGGCGAGACTCACACAGCAGACAGGGTAGACAATGTGAGCAGTCATGCATGTCGTACACACACCTGCACGACGGTGAGACAATGCGGGGATCGTTCAGGAAGCGCACAGCGTGCTGCGTGAGTCTCTGAACGACCCCAGGTGACGACGGGCCTTTGTGCCTCGGTCCAGCAGCACGTCCAGAGTCCAACCGACATGAGTCAGTGTGCCAGTCCCCCCGGGGGTGTGTACCCACGCTGCCACCGCACCGCCGTAGGGGCACGGCTGCAGCAGGCCTTCACGAACTTCGTGGGATTGTCGGGCGGGGTGGAGTACGCCTCGGAGAGAACAAGCGCGGACCATTACTGGCGCATGGGGGCGCGTAGCACTTTCGGTACGGGTCCATACCCCGCCTACCCCATGCGAGGCCGTCGCCCGCATTCCTGGCGTGCCGGTATCGCGGTCAGGCCAGTTGGGCACCGGTCATGCGCGTGGTCGCTACGGTGGGAAACGTTCGGCACAACGCTTGACCAAGCAGGACAGCACAGTCTGGAGGGCGACACCAGGTTGAACGTGATCCTGAATGGACGTTGCGCTGTGCTGGCAATACGTTACAGGGCCGCCGGACGCCCCAGCGCGCGCGGCGTCGCGGCGTGAGCATGAGCATGATGTGACGTGAGGGCGTTGGTTCTCCGAAGCGCAGACTGCGGACGTTGATGCTGACGCTGAGACTCCCGCCGCACCGTGAGGGCAGGTGACGTCGAAGTCACCCACGGGGGCCACGGTGTCGCCACTCCCCCCCTGCCCCCCACGTCTCAACACCGCAGAGCGAGCACCTGCGCATAAATACATCGCGCCGCTCCAGACCTCGCCCCCGCTAGCTCCGCGTATCCTCCACGCGGACCCAGGAGCGGCCAGGAGCAGGCGTGCCGAGCACGTCGTCGTCGCCGCCCTCACGCGGGCCGGTGCGGCGCGTGGCCCGTGGACGCGGTCGGGGACCGCAGGAGCGCCTCGAGGTCCGAGACGTCGACGTCGATATCGTCCAGCGCGGAGTCCAGCGACCCCAGGTCCTCGATGTGCGGCAGCGCCGACGCGTCCAGCAGACCCATGTCCATGGCCTGTTGGCCCGTGATGGTCTTCTTCCCCCCCGACACCTGCGGAGACTGCTCGTAGTACTGCTTCCCGGGCTCCTTGCCGCCCACGCCCCCGCCGCGCCCTCCCGAAGCCGTCCCGAACGGCGCGCCCCCCGGGGGGGCGTGCGAGACCGGCGGCTGCGGCGGGGGGAACCCGTGCGCGGGCGGCGCGCCGTCGAAGCCCACCGCCGTGTGCGGCACCGGCACCGGCGCCCCCGCGGCGTACGTCGCGGGGTACAGCGGCCCCGCGCCGACCTCCTGAATCAACATCCCCCCCGCGTCGGGCACCTCGACGGGCCCCGCGGTGGCGCCCGGCGCCGCGTGCGGCTTCAGGTGGAAGCCCGGCTGCGCGGGCTGCTGCTGCCGCAGCGTCCGCGACGCCATGGCGTCCTTGTGCTGCTGGACGGACTGCGTGGCCTCCGTGGTGAGCTTTTCGAGCGCCCCCGCGAGGAACTCCCCGGGGTCCGCGCGCACGATCATCTGGTTCCCGGAGTCGGCCTCGGTGCCCTCCGTCGGCCCGCTGAGCCCCGTGCGCCGCTTGCGGCCCTGCATGCCGCCGTCGAGGCTGCCCAGGACGTTGCCCAGGAGCGTCTGGACCATGTGGGGGTTCTGCACGACCTGGTTGACGATCATCAGGAGCTTCGCCTGGCGCTCCTCGCTCGCGAGCATCCGCCCGTGCATGTCGTCGATGACGCGCTGCGTCTCGAGCTGCTGTTGCCGCAGCCGGTGGACCTCGTGGACCAGCGTCATCTTGTCGCGCTTGAGGCTGTCGAGCTCCGAACGAATCCCGCCGTACTGCCCGAGCTCGAGGACCTCGCCGCCCTGCGGCGCGGCGTGCGCCTGGTTGCCGCCAGAGGCGTGGGCGGCGTTGGAGGCGTTCGCTTGGTTCGAGGACGGCTTCCGGCGGTGAATCTCGAACAGGAGATCGCGCCTGCCGCGGATGAACGCCGTGTTGGCGAACTCCCACCGGTCTGGATCCACTTTTCGGAACCCATAGCTGCGAGGAGGTGCACGGCGCGCAGCGGACGGGTGAGGGAACCACGCGGGATATTTTGCGATTCCAGGATACTACGCGATGATCTCGTCGCAGGCCGGGCATACACGGGCGCCGATCGGCGAGGGGAGGGGCCACGCACGTGTTGAGCTGCCGGACGAAGGAGGAGAAGTTGTTGTGCTTGAACATGCGCGGCAGGACGTCCCTCGCGAACTCTGGCGGCTTCCAAACGATGAAGCTCCGGCCCTGGGGCGCCCACGAGATGATGGAGTCCGTGCTCGGGTCGTCCACGAGCTCGTACCTGCGAGGAGGAGCCGCGTGGGCAGTTGCGGGCGCGTGTGCGACAGATCCGGACGCGCATTGCCATGCGTCGGGCGGAACCTGGAAGGGCCGCAACGAACGGAGATGAAACGCGGTGCGAACATGGCAGGTGGTCGCATGTGCCGGCGCGAGCGCGGCAGAGGGATGCAGATGGCCTTGGGCCTCCGCCGCGGGCGGCCGCTTGCTCGAGTCGCATTTATACGTGCTGCTCGTGGGACATGCAGCGTGCGATAGCCGGAAGCGCAATGAAATAGTGGCGTGCGGCGACGGTTGAGCACGCTATGCCGCGACTGCTATGAGAGGTTCCGCGGCCGAGGCCCCGCGTGCTGGCACGCAACGCACGTTTTCGTCAGGAATGGCGGTGGCGCTTGAGACTTGTTCGTTCCGCCGCCGTCCCCGCTAGGCGCGACGGACTCGCTGTCGTCGCGCTGGGCGCCGCGGCGCGTGCTGCCCCGTGCCATTGTCCACGCAGTCCTCCTCGCCCACCGTCACAGATCCACCGAGTCCACGCGATGCCGGCTCCGCGTCACCCTGGCACAACCGCTTGTCGCTCCCCGCCCGCAGCGTGGCGCTGAGAGCCCAGGGAGCCGCCTGCCTAGTTGCGCACAGCTCGACGGCGCTCACGCCGTGTCAGCCGCGTGGTATCGATCGAACACGCTTACTGCCGTATGAGTATAACGCCAACAAGTGCCCCGCGCAGCCACACTCCGCGCCCATTCACCGCGGCATGAGGTACAAGTAGGACTCCTGAGGAGCTCTCTAGAACCCCCCCCCTCGCGACCCCGCCTCGGCGCCGACCCCGCCGCCGCTCCGCCCTCCGTCGCAGCGTTTCGCGCCCTCGCCCGTCAGCCCTTCGTCAGTCTCGCCGCGGCGATGCCCGTGAGCTGCCCTTGCCCATCGTACCACCGCCGCCACACCACCACGCGCCCCGAACCCCCCCTCTCCATCACCCCGGCCTCAATCATCACGCCCGCTTCGCTGGCCGTCACGCGCGACCACGCGCCGCCGGGCAGCATCACCACCCCCTCCCCGCCCGCCCGGACCCCCCCCAACCACTCCTCCGCGTCCCCAGCACCCTCCGCCCCCGCCCACGTGCACGGGTACCCCTCCGCAACCACCCAGTCGCCCGCGAGCTCCTTCGCAGCGTCGAGGGCCTCGCGGTCGGACAGCTTGCGCGTCCCGGCCCCGCACGCGAACAGTTCTGTGCCAGCATTATACTCCCCCTCAAACTCCTCCTCAAACACCTTCACCTCCGCGACCGACCACTTGCCCGGGGCGCCCGTCCAGTTCCGCAGCGACTGCGACACGCGCACGCGGTACCCGTCGCCCACCGGCACGCAGTGCTCCGCCAGCTCCTGCGCAACACCCCCAAACAGACAGTCCAACAGCATCTTCGAGGCCCTGGTGCACGCAGCTCCCGAGCGGAGTGCGCAGGACGCGGGCCCGCAGTCCCGAGCGGCCGGCACGGGTCGCACCTTTTTCGAGCTGTCCAGCGCAGTGGGTCCGATGGAGTAGCCGCCGTCGGGCAGCGGCGCCAGGCCGCTCCCGGGGGTGTTGCCCGCCTCCTGGATCTCCTCCTCGAACGCAACGGCGTCGGCCTCGCAGCCCGCGGTCGGCATCAGCTGCTTCGACATGCGCGTGAAGGTGCCCTCTCGGACAGTCGAGCTCGCTTGCGTCTGCGGGAGGGCTTTCAAACACACGAGCGGCCCTGGGCGCCGCGCTGCTGCACGTGCTCTGGCGCGGAACGATGCGAGCGCGTCGTGTGTTGCGCGGAAGCGAGAGTGCTGTCACGGCGTCTCTGTGATGCACGTGGGGGTGATGAGCCGGCGCGGGGAGATGGCCGCACCTGCCAGTCGTAGAGGGTGACGTCCCACTCGCGGAAGGCGGCCGGAACGTACAGCTCCGGGATCTCCAGGAGGTGGCCGCGGCCCGTGAACACGCAGCACACCCCCTCCCACTCCCCGCTCACTGCGCCGGGCGTTCGGGCCATGCAGTCTCGGAGTTAGGGACCCGTGAGGCATGTCATGTGTTTCGCGAGAGCTGTGGTTCGCGTTGCGCGCCGCCCACGGCGGGAGATGCCGTGATTCGCCTGGGCCAAGTGAGCTGCGCACCTGCCCTCGAGAAGCTCTGCCACTGGTCGCCGGTGAGCTCGCCAGACACGTCCGCGATGTTGCTCTGCGCCGCGCATCGAATCGCGCGTCTCAGAGCGTTTGCGGCCGTGCATGGCCTGCATAGCCGGTCGCCAGAAGCTGGCGCCCTCAGCCGCTCCGTGAACCGCACACGCATCATCTTCTCCGTCCCCCTGGGTTGGAAGAAGCACAGCGACTGCGCGGGCGTCGTCGTTCTTGCGGCATCGAGCTGCGCGTGCGAGACAGACAGACTTAGGTCAGGAGAAGTCCCCAGAGAGGTCCCGTCCCCTGCGAGGCAGGCCCGGCGACAAGCCCTGACCTCGTCCGGCTACAAGCGATATCGGACACGACCGCAAGCCGCGTTGCGAAGCCTCTTGTCCTCGCCAGCTCCGAACCAAGCAGTTGCTGCCTGGGCGTCTGCATGGACCCAGCGAGCACCGCAGAGCGCCGCCTGTCCGTCATCTCCGGTCACTTCCGACGAACCTCGCAACACGTAGCTGCCACGGCGGCTCGCGCGCAGGTGCGTCCCCAGCAAGCCGCCCGCACGGCCTGAAAGCAGACCAACAACACGCCATCCTCGCTCCTCTGCTCGCTCCGTCAGCTCCCCGCCTCGGTCGCGTGCCGCAGCATCTTCGCCATGGCGCCGCAGCGGCTGCATCCGTGCGGCCACCGGGGCGACCTGGCGACACGTGGCGCCACCCAACCAACACACACTCTGCTTGCAGAGCGATGCGGCGGGGCTCGCAGCCAGCCAGGGCGCTGGGGACGGGAGCGGCGGCCTGCTGAGCACCGTCCGCGGCGTCGTGGAGGAGGGACTCGTGTCGGGGCTTCAGCGGGCTGCGGCTGGGTTCGCCGTAGGGTTGGTGATGCGGGTGGGAGCCGTCGGCGCTGCAGCCCTGGGCATGATGCTGGGGGCGCGGCGGTCGAGGAAGGCGGGAGCGCGGGCCGATGGAGACGGCGCGGCGGCGCAAGATGCGGATGAGGCCAGGGAGGGGCGCGGCGGCAGGAGCGGGAGTGAGGGCACGGACGCAGCCGGCGACGAAGCGCGCTGGGCCAAGGACGGCGACGTGGCGTTCCAGGACGAGGGGGAGCTGATCGCGCGCGTGCTGTGGTACGGGCCTGACGCTGGTTTCGAGCCGGAGGACGCGGGGGGGGATGCGTGTGCGGGGGGCGACGCGGCGGGGCGCGGGGAGGGCGGCGGTGGGCTGTGAAACGCCCTGATAGGCACGGTGATGCGTCGATAGGGGTGTTCGGTGGGAATTCGGCAGCTGCGAGCGGCGCAAGTATGAACTGCGTGGGACAGACCCCGCGAATTGCCGCTCGGGGTGTGAGGGCTGAGGGGCGCGATGAGCGCTCCCTTCGTTGCGGCGGGCGTGGGGGCGGTCGGTGCATTCCCTGCCTGTGGAGGGGGGCTCACTTGTGTGGTGCATCCGCGAAGCGGAGTGAGCTCTACATCGACAGCCAGCCCGTGCTGTCGCGTGCGAGATGACGACGCCGCTGCGGAACTCGGCGCGGCTGAACCGTGGTATTGCTCTCACGGAGATTTCATCGATCGTGGTCCCGAAGACGAAGGCAGCAGGCCCCGGCGAGAGGAAGGTGCGAACGACGGAAGAGGGCGCCTGTGGCGTCGCCTCGCGCTATGCCGTGCTCCACACCCACGACCTGCGGTTCTCCGTTTGTGATGACCGGTTCGAGGCGAGGTGTTACGCAGGCCGGCTCTGGCCAGGCTCCCGGGAGGCAGCAGGCTGCAGGCACCCAGCCCACCGCGTCGCGTGACGGTTTGGAGAACGTTTCTGCCCAGGCGCTGAATGGTTCTGAAGGGGACCACACGGAGACGACTGCCCAGCTGGACACTGCGGCCGCCGCGGCCACTGCGGGCCACCCTGCACCTGATGGCACAGCAGCCCCTGCGCGGCCGGACGGGCCAGTTCGCGGCCAGCACGCACGCCACGGAGACGGACTCAGCAGCGACGACGGGGATGCGCCCGCGGGCGACTCGGAGGACATGACGATCGCCCTGCGCGTCCGGGGCGCCAGCAGGCGTCGCACCATGGGCGTCCGGCGATACGGCGAGTGGGCCACCGCGGACGTCGCGGTTTCCGATCGCGAGGACGACGAGGTAAGAGGCAGTCTGTCTCTCGGGCCCCCAGCCGGGCAACCAGCCCGAGCCCGCGAGCGTGCGCCCCGCAAGTGGGCTGTCGTCGCGCAAGTCAAGCGCTTGTGTGGGCCGCTGCGCTTCCATTCAAAGCGAGACGCCAATACGTAGCCACCCTCGTGTTGTACAGGACGATTTCGTGCCAGGACGTGACGGGAAAGTCGCAGACGGTGGCGTTGCGGGGCGGGGCGACGCCGGGGCGTGTGGCAGCAAGCAGGGGGCGAGGGGGCTCGCCGAGCCGCGCCCTGGCCGCCCGAGCATGGTCTCCGAGGAAGTGGCCCGGATCCAGAGGATGGCGCAGGAGCTCACCGCGGCGGCGGACCAGCTGCTTCCTGGCGGTGACTCGCCAGAGCAGCACAGAGAGGCAGAGAGGTGCGGCTCCTGCGCGCGCGGCAAGCCGACGGACCAGACCCGACGCCCCAGCCCCCTCGCACCGGCTGGTCCGCAGCCGCGCGCGGGCACTGCCGATGATGGCGGGCAGCGTCACATCACATCGCACCTTGCTCCGACTCCGCGTCCCGTGCAGGCCGCTGAAGGAGCGCCTCTCGCAGGTCTGGCAGGGGCAGTCGTACTACGACATCCTGCGCAGCAAGTTCGGGGACGCGGACGGCGCGGGCGACAAGGCGGCGCCCGCGGGCAAGGGCACGTCGCGCGCCGCCTCGGGACGCAAGGCCGCGTCAGGCTCGCGCGGCGCGCGTGGCAGGGCGGCGTCGTCGACCACCGCCAGCAGGGGCCGCGGGGGGGGACTGATGGCACGTCTCATGGCCAAACAGAAGGACGGGGACACGAACAGCACCTTGCACGGCAGCGCGCTCGGCGCCGCGCAGGCCGGCGGCTGGAAGCGCGCTTCGGGGGCGCGGCCTGCATCGGCCGCTGCGAAGCGGTCGGCTGCCGCGCCGGCGCCCGCCGCGACGCCGCCGCGTGCTGCCACGCGCAAGGCGCCCGCGCCGCCGGAAGCCGCTCCGATGACGCCGATCGACCAGTGGCTGGCGAGCAAGCGCCAGCCCGCAGCGACGCCGCGCCGGACGCCACCGCCGTCCGCCAAGCCCGCGACGAGGTCGGTGAGGGCCTCGATGCAGGACCACGACGCCGACGACATGGACATCGACTCGGACGCCGCGCCCGAGGCGCCGAGCAGGACCGTGGAGGATCAGCCGCGGCCTACGTCGGCCCGGGGGAGGCGGGCGGCAGCGTCAGGGACGCCAGGGAACGCACCGGCTGCGAAGGCGCGCCCGGTCCGCGAGATCGGGGCGGTGACAGCGGAGGAGGCGGACCGGGGGGTGGCGAAGGCGAAGGCGGACGCGGAAGCCAAGGCGGCGGAGGAGGCGGAGTTGCGTGCGGCCGAGGCTGCGCGGGCGAGCGCTGCGGTGCGTCGAGGGCCGCTTGATATATGCGCCCGGGTCCCGCGCAGGCAGTCCGACGAGCCTGCGAAACAATCTCTCGCATTACTGGTGCATGCCGCCGGCTGGTTCGCGCACGTGTGCAATTCGCAAGGTTTGAGGGTCCCAAACCAGTCTTATACATCAACCCGTGTCGTCGGTTGCAGGAGAAGGTCGCGCGCGACCTCAGGGCGGAGCTGGCGGCTGCCCAGCGCGCCACGAAGGCGGCCGAGGCGCGTGCGACCGCCGCTGAGGCCTCGTGTCAGAAGCAGGCCGCTAGCGCAGCGAGGCACAAGAAAGGGACGGCGGAGCTGCTGTCACGGGCGGCGCGGATGGAGGCGCAGGCGCGGAAGCTCGAGGCGGCGGCGAAAGAGCTCCTCGGGGAGGCGGCGGCCATCCGCGAGGGCGTGGCAGGCCTCGCTGTGTGAAACAGCATGCCTCGCTCTGTTCGCCACCGCGCAGCCGTCCTCTGCGGGGCAGCCGACGGGGCCTGGGTACAAGACGACAGCCATGCGGGCTGGTGCTGTGACGTGGTCAATGGCGGCCGCCAAACAGAGTCAGCTGGGGGAGTCTCCTGCAGTGTCAGCAGCTTATACCGCATTTTCCCGGGTACCTGTGCCACAGTGTGGTGCCCATGGGTCAGCGTTGCTCGCGCACCCGCGTCGTTTTGTTGGGTCGTGTGCGCGTCGGTGCGCCTCACGCAAGGGTGACGGGCGCACACACCTCGCCACCATGGCACGGTGTGTCCAGCACGCGCCCACGTTCCATCACGCGACACGCAAAGCATCCCTGCGGACGCGTAACCAGTGCGATATCCCGGTCCGACTAGGTTGGCGCCGCGCCAGCCCTTTTGGTGGCGTGCACGAGGCCACCCGTGCCGGCAGGCAACTGCACAGACTAATGCCGGCCGCTCGTTCAGCGCAGCCGTCGTTCAGCGCGTATCTCAGCAAGGAGGCGTACTCCCCGCCATCTTGGATCGATGGCAAGGTAGATTTGGTTCCGAGCGAGCGAGTGCGCCTTGGGATGCTCCCAACACCAATGCATCAAGTCACTCTCCCGCCTGGCAGCCTGCCCGACGGGTGCGAGCTGTGGTGCAAGAGGGACGATCTATCTGGCATGCAGATGTCGGGCAACAAGGTACTGGCCCTGATCCCGGAGCGAATGAATGGACTCCTGGGGTGCTATGCTTTTGCCGCTCGCACACCTCGACCTGCCTCGCCACGTAGTCGGGCGACCTCTTCCCGACGGAGGCCAGACGGTTGGCGACATGCACATGCGACAGCTAAGCCAGGTCAGCACGCCGGACTGCGTCGTGCGCAGGTCAGGAAGCTCGAATTTCTCATGGCCGAGGCGCTGGCACAAGGCGCCGACACGATCATCACGATCGGGGGTATCCAGTCCAACCACTGTCGCGCGACGGCCACCGCTGCGCGCCTGCTGGGCCTCGACTGCCACCTCATTCTGCGCACGTCACGGACGGTCGTGGACGAGGACCCCGGGCTTGTAGGCAACCTGCTCGTGGAGCGCATGGTGCGCGCCCCGCATCCACGCGCCTCCGAGCACCTTTGCTGGCGCACGACCGCCGCCCCGCGTGTCGGGTCTCAGACTCCCCCAGTGCAGCTGCAGCATCGCGTGAGTATTCGCAACGAATATTCTCGCCCTGCCCTGCACCGCAGATTGGCGCGCACGTGCACACGTGCACGAAGGAGGAGTACACCAGCAACGGCAGCGAAGCCCTCACCGCAGCCCTTGCGGACCGCCTCCGCGCCGACGGCAAGCGGCCCTACGTCGTCCCCGTGGGGGGGTCCAACTCCCTGGGCACGTGGGGCTACATCGAGGCAATGGCCGAGCTCGAACCTGCCGCGCGCGCGGCAGGCATCACCGACATTGCGATGGCGTGCGGCAGCGGCGCGACCACGGCGGGCATCGCTCTTGGCTCGCGATACTCGGGCCTTGGTGCTGTCGTGCACGGCTTCGGCGTGTGCGACTCGCCGAGGTACTTTTACGACTTCATCGGGGGGCTGCTGGACGGGCTCGGGGGCGAGGTTGGGGCGCGGAAATCCGAGGTGGAGTCCCTGTTTGTTGCGCACCAGGCCAAGGGGGGCGGGTACGCGATGAGCACGACCGAGGAGCTTGAGACGACGGTGGCGTTCGCGGAGGCGACCGGGATCGTGCTGGACCCCGTGTACAGCGGGAAGGCCATGCACGGGCTGCTGAAGATGGTGCGCGAGGACGCAGGCGCGTGGGAGGGGCGCAAGATTCTGTTCTGGCACACAGGTGCGTCGAGGAACGCGCGCATCGCGTGTTTGCCCCTCGGCTTCGCTTTTGGCCCTACCAACATCCTTCATCACCGCACTGTCATTGACGGCGTGCACACGTGCTGGCTTACAAGGCCTGATCAGCGCGGCGCGGCCCCTGGGGCCCGCGAGCGCAGCGAGGACCCGTCGATATCAGCGGCCGCGACATGGTATCATCGACGCGCGCTGTCCCTTCCCTTCTCAGGCGGTTTGCTAGGCATGTACGAGAAGGCCGACCAACTCCAACCCCTCATTGCGGGTTCCGGCCGCTGGGAGCGGATGACGACGTAGCGCGAGGTGCCGGTCGGACTCTGTTACAGCTCAGCAGCAAAGCTAGGAGTGCCATCCTGTTGGACGGAGCCAGCATGCGAAGTGCTCAAAGTCAGGAGTGGGGACTTTGGCTCTAGCCGATAGTGTCTCGTCGCGCGGGGAACGCGGGCGCCGCGATCCGCCGGGCGGTAGACTGTGACAGCCGGGCCGCTTCGTGCGCTGGCGAGGGCGCTGTGCTCGTGGAACGCGCACATGCCACCGGTGGGTCGTAGGTAGTAGTATCTTAGGACGGGCGTGGCTAGTTCAGATGCTCCGAAGCAGGATGCGAGGTCGGGCGCCAGTGGCCTCTCCACGCCGGTGTGCCGGACAGCCGCCTTTCGTTTCTTGTGGAAAGGGCAGAAGGAGGAAAGTGCGATTAGGGATACTACAAGCTGGTAGCCGTGATGGGAGGGATCACGGCGGGGTGAAGTGACGCGCCGTGTCAGAGCGCGCCTGGCGCCGACTCGGGCACCTCCACGTTGTCGCCGCGCCGAAAGACTGTTCTGCGGGCTTCGTCGGGCCTCCGAAAGACTGTCGGTGGGAGATGGTAGGTGGTGTGGTAGTAGAGGTGGGAAACGAGGAACTGTACCGCGTGGGCAAGTTCCCCAGGTCGCAATGATGTCCGGAACTGTCGTCCGAAGTCGGCCGGTCCTCCGAGAAACTTCGAATTGCCTGAGCAGGACAACCAGTTGTTCTTCCGCAAACAGAAGATAGAACTGTGACCCCCAAGTGAGTTGGTGGTAGTGGGAGTGAGCAAGCCCCTGGCGGACCAGGGGCCGGGGGGCCCGAGGAAGAGGGGGGGAATAGACGGGGTTGCGTTGGGGGTTCAACCCGCAAGTTGCGTTTTTGCGTCGACTCAGGTGAGTGCTCATGAGCAGTCCGACTGCCAATCGGACTCCTGATGATAGGGAGTCCTGATCAGGCCTGAAAGCAGTTCCGCAGCCGTCTCAGACCTCCTCTTCGATCGTCGCCTGGAAGTGATGGGCTGCTTGGGAACTCCGCAACGACGGCGGCCCCGGCGGCAGCACGAGCTCCTCGCCCGCGTTCACGCGCCTGTTCGTCCGCAGGCCCGGCAGGCGCAGGTCGTGTAGCTGCGCGTCGGCGAGATGCTGCGGCGCGGTCCCGCCCTTGTGCCGCAACGACGGCCCTGCCACGTGGACCTTCCGCAAGCTCCTCCGTGCAGTGAACCTGGAGCCCGCGAGCAGCCCGCGGGGGTGCGCACCCGCGGCCTCGCGCCGCTGTGCGGCCTTGGGGTGACTGCGCAGCACCGTGTGCCGCAGCACCGTCAACAACACGGCCCGACCCAAGCCGTCCTCGAGCTTCTCGATCTTCTTCGACGTCTTGATTCCGGTGGCTCCCACAGCATCGCTACCGACTGGCGTCAGGGAGCCAAGATCCATGGGGCCCGACAAGCCCTTCATCTTGTACAGGCCCGCGTGCCACACCTCGAAGCGTCCCTCGCGCATCGTCCACACCCATTCAGAGGTCGAGCTCGTGCCTGCATCGGCAGGCCCGCAGGCGGTGCTGCGCTCGGTTTCCGTGGCGCGCCGGCCGTGTACCGAGGCGCCCGTGAAGGGCGTCGACTCCCGCTCCGAGGACCGCCTGAGGAACGCGTGTTCCTGGCCGCCCGCGGGGGCGCCGGTGCGCTGCGGTCCCGGCGAAGTTCGCGGCGCCAAAACCCTGGGCGACACGGCCGTGTCTGGCATGAAGCCCGCCGTTGCGATCGTGCGGGTGCCCGAGACGAGGCCGCTGGCACTGTCGTCCAGGTTGCGGCTTTGCATGGAGGACGGATGGTGCCGGGCGGCCGAGCGCGAGTCGGAGAAAGCCGAAGTCCGGGGTCCGTGCGACGACCGGTCCCCGCCGGCCTGGCTCGCGACGCGCCTGCTCTCCCTCGCGGCGAGGATGTCCTGCACGACCTCGCCGCCGGCCTTGTCGAGGATGTTGGCGTCCGTTGTGATCCAGGTTGCCTGCGCTGACATCCCCACAAGGTGCCCCGGCCCGGAAAACAAGCCAGCGGAGGCCCCCGGGTCGGCCGCGCCCTTGCATCGGCAGCGCGCAAGCCCAACGTCGTCCTCGCACATCCAGCCGTGCGCTCCGGGCCCCGTGACGATCCAAGAGCAGGCCCTCATGATCTGGTCGAACGGCGCCGTCGCGCAGGCCTCGGGCTGCGACGCGGCCGCGACGCGCGCGGCGCGATTCACCAGCGGCCCGAAGTAGTCGGCCCGGCCAGAGGACGGGTGCGGCATAACCCGCGCAGGCCGTCCCTCGTACATGCCGATGCGCACAGGCACCCCACGTGCGCCTGACGCCTCGCTCCGCGTGGACGCCCGCCCGCCCAGCTGCGCCCGCGTGAGCAGCTCATCCAGCGCCGTCTTCACGCACGTGCTCCACATCAGCCCGTCGGCCATCGCGTGGAACACCAGCATGAAGGTGCCGTCGATCTCCTGGCACTCGTAGCCGCGGAACCGCGTGAGAGTCACGCGCACGGTCTCGCGGTACGCCTCCAGCATCCGCCTGCTCGCTGCGTCGCCCGCGTGGAGCGCCTGGGAGTCGCTGGGCATGCAGAAGCAAATCGTGATCTCCGGGACCGGCAGGTCGAGCTGGCGCGAGATCTGCGCCCCGCTGTTGCTGTCCAGCGCCGGAGCCAGCAAGCCGTTCCCTGAGTCGCCCCCGTGGGCGGCCGCCGAGCCCACCAGCGGGCCGCAGCGCGCGCCCGGAGCGTCGAAGTAGCCCGCGCACAGCTGCGCTTTGGCCTCCCACTCCGGGCGCTCGAACACGCGCGCGCGGTCCTCGAGGCGCGGAACCAGGAGCTGGTACACGCGCACCGGCGCGGCGCCGTCCCGTGACGGCAGCAGCTGGACCTCCCCCATGTCCAGCAGCAGCAGACCGTTCGACTCCTGGCCGAGGCCGGACTTGGCACGCGACGCCCTCCAGCTCGCGACGACCGTCGACAGCAACCGCGCTACGCGGCTCTCCTTCAACGTGGAGCCGAGCACGCCGAGGTTGGGCCGCAGGGAGGCGGACATGGAGAGACCGCTTGGCCTCACCTGGAGGCTCTCGCGGTCGCCGACCGACGCGGCCGCGCTGCACATCGTGACGCGCCGGGTTCGGCGCGATGCAGCTGCGTCCTCGTCCAGCCGTGGGCACCGTGAGTCGTCCGCGGCATCCGAGATGGCGCTGCCGGCGTCGGGAGGTGGCTGCAACCAGGAGACCGTTCCCCGTGACGGGGCCACGCGGCCCGACAGCGACGCAAACTGGGGGTCCAGCCTGTGGACGCGCAGCTGGTCGGCTGCGGGGCGCTGTGCGCCACTGGACGCGCGTCGGTTCGCGAGCAGCGACACCTGGGGGTGCTGCGGGGTGCTCGCCCTGTTGGGGCCGCCGCCCAAGATGGTGCCCCTGTGCCCGCTGGAGCCCACGACAGCTTCGGCGAACTGCGTCAACCGGGACTTCTGCAGCCAGACGGAGAAAGGGAACGCTTCCGTTCCATGCAACATGCAATTCAAAGTATGATCGCTTGCATGGCGCAGCGTTTCCCACGAATTCTGCCCGAATTGTGGGTCCGAAGGGCGCAGTGCGGGCGACACGAGGCACGAGCACGGGCGTCGTCCGGCGAGCACCGCACATCCACTCACCCGTCGCATCTTTGCCACGTCCTTCCTGGAGACCTCTCTTCGCACCGGCTGAAGGCGGCGCGCCACCGCCGCGGCGATGGTGCCTTTCTTGACCCGCGCCGCGACGTGCGAGACGCGCATCTGCGCGTGCGTGCGCGTCCTGCCGCACAGCAGGATCTGACCCCCCTGGGCTGCCTCCTGGATGGCCGTGGCCTGGCGCAGCACCTCGCCGCTGTAAGTCATGCGGCCCGTGACGCGGTGCCGAGTCGCGGAAGTCGGCTTGCCGGTCGCCACGCCCATGCGCACGGACAGGCCCCCGAAGAGGAGGGCAGGGGAGACCTCCACTGCCTGGGGGGACTCAGCGGGGTCCTCCCGAGGCGCCCCGCTCTCGAATCGGACATGTGAGAGTCTCGGCGACATGTACCCCAGGGCGTGCCCCCCCTCGGCGTCGCCGCGCGGCAAGGTCGGCTTCCATGAGCTTTCGGGGGAGGGGTCGAAGGGGTGTGCTGGCCGACCCTCCCAGGGTAGCGGGCCCATCGCCGCCACGCGCGGGGGCAGGGGGGACTGGATCGTCGCGGGCCACGGCGCCGTGAGGAGCTTCTGCTGCACGGAGACGCACCACCCCAGCGCGTCGTCAGCGGTGTGGAAGGCAACGATGAACGCGTCGCCCTCGGTCGTGACCTCGTAGCCGTGCCAGCTGGTGAGCAAGTCCCGCATGATGTTGTCGTGCATCGTGCTTGCGGTCATCATGTCGTCCGGGTACCGCTCCCACAGGTCCGTGGAGCCCTGGACGTCGGTCACCACCAGCGTGACGTAGTGGTTGGCTTGCGGGGGGCCGGTCGTCTTGCGGCGCTCGAGCATCGCCACGGCGATGTGGCGACGCATCACGAACGCGGTGGCCAGCGCGAGGACGACCAAGACGAGGACCACCGCGCCGACGCTGACGCCGACGCGTGCGTCCAGCGGCAACGCGTCGCCCGACGAAGCGTCCACGCACACCGGCGTCGGCTGCGGAGCGAAGTCCGCCTCCCACCCCGCCGCGCTCGTCCTCGCCTGCTCCACGCGCGCTGCCACGTGAGCATCCAGACCGTCCCCCGGGCGCAATTCGAATCCCTCCTCGCACGAGCAAGCCGAGAAGTGGTGGTACCGCGCGGAAATCGACACCACTCCCTGCGTCGCGCCAGCGCCAGCCAGGTGCACGCGCCTGCACTGCAGCCTCTGCGCGTCGTCGACGTTGTCGAGCTGCTCTCCAAATCTCAGGTACTCCGGCAACAGCTCCCCCCGGGAGTTCGGCCGCGAGCGGTTGTGCGCCATCAGCGTGTCCGTGATGTCCAGCAAGGCGAGCCGCTGCGCGCTCAGCCCGACGGGCAGCTCCCCGAAGATGTTGGTCCTCGCGACCCGCAGTAGAGTGAGGTCCAGATTTCGCCCCAGCCACGGCGGGAGCGTCGACGTCAGGCGCGGGTTGTCCGCGAGGTCGAGGGCCTGGAGCGAGCGGACCGAGGAGCGCTCGGGCAGGGCCCCGTCGAGGTCGTTTCCGTCGAGGAAGAGCCGCGTCAGCGCCACGATGGAAAACGTCGACGGCGGAATGGTCCCTGTGAGGCGGTTCTCGCCGAGGTCCAGCTCGCCGAGGTCCAAGTGCGAGATTGCTTGCGGGAGGGAGCCCGACAGACCGGCTCGGCGGATGCGCACCGCCTGCGGCGCAGAGAATTTGAAGGGGGGAGGGCGTTCGGACATGAAGTGAGGCAAGGTCGCTGACGCTCCGCATCAAGGAGGGACGTGGGCTCGGTACTCACGATCGGTTCGGCGTCGAGCGCGGCGTCGAAACGGCCCAGGACGGCGAAGTTGGGCGACCCAAGGAACTCCCCGGACAACCCTTGCATGAGAAAGAGCCGCGGCCCGACCGCGGGCTCGGTGCCGATCGACGTCACGTCGAGGTCGCTGTTGTATCCCGCCACGAGCACGCGCAGCCAGGGCAGGCCGAAGAGCCCCGCTGGCAACCCTTGGAACTTGTTGGAGCTGACATCCAGGAAACGAAGACTGAGGGCGGACCGCAGAGACTCCGGGACCGGCCCGGAGAGCTCGTTGCCCTCGAGCATGGCGTCCGACATGCGCAAGTGCAGCGACCAGTCGCTCCCGTCTCCAGCCGTCCCCGTCGCGCCCGGCAGCTCCCCTGACAGACGGTTGAAGCGCAAGTCGAGAGACCTGAGCAGCCGCAGGGACAGCACCGCGGTCGGGACGGCGCCACGCAGGCCCATGCCAGTAGCGCCGAAGTACTCGAGGGAGTCGGCGAGGTCGAGGAGTGCATCCCCGGGCAGGGTAGGCGGCGCGGCGCTGCCCTGTCCGATGAAATTGAGCCCTGACGACAAGTCGACGGCGGCGACCCCGCCTGGCCGGACACACGACGTGGCGAAGGGTCGGGAAGTGCCCATGTCTGCCGGCTCCCCGTCAGCTGCAAGGACACGGCGCCAACAGAGCGCGCAGTCATGTCGTGCCTCTTGGCTCGTGGGGCGCCGCGGTCGGCACATGAGGGCGGGCGGGAGGACGAGGCCGCGAGACACGCGACTGCGGTGGCGCGTATGCGGGGCGCACCTGAGGTTCGCACGGTCGGAAGCGCGTGGTCGGCGGTGCAGCAGACGACGCCAGGCCAGCAGCAGTGGTGCAGGTCCGACGCCCAGAGACGCCGCATCGCTGCGTTCGTCCAGGAGGGGCCCTGCGACGCCTCGTACACGCGCCTCAGCGCCGCGCGCTGCCTGCGAGTCGTCGAACACGTGGCGATGCTGTTGCAGCTAGGGCACGCCCGTCGTTTGGCGGGAGGCGGGCCGCCGCGATGCCCCGTCGGGAAATCTGCGGTTCAGCCAGCGTGCATCTGTGCCAGGGAGCGGGCCGCGGCGTCTGGGCTGACCTGGCCTGGCAGCCTGCCCCACAGGGCGGCGCCGCGCTGATGAGGGACGCGTCCAGGTCCCTGAGCCTCGCCGCGAGCTCGTGGAACAGCACGGTGTCTTCCTCGCCTGCAAACCGCCACCTGCCCCAACTCATCCTGCTGTACTGGCTCCCCACGCTCTGCTCCCACGCAGAGAATATGCCCTGGTGGTCCCAGCGCTCATCTGAACCCGCTCCCGACGACTGCAGAGCCGCGATGCCAGCCTCCTGGAGAAACACCTGCGCGCTCAGATTGCGAGGAGCGATGCGCGTCGGTCGGCCGGGGCCCGCGAGCCGCACGCGGGCGACACTTGGCACGCGATGCTGTCCCTGGCTAGCAGCTGGGGCTCCGCGTCTGCCCTCCGAGAGATGTGTTTGACGAGCTCGGGAGCTCCCGCCTGCCTCGAACCATCGAGCTGACCGAGACGCCGCCGTCGCGCCGCAAGGGAGCGAGGACGCGCGCGGGGCGAACAGTGCCAGGGAGAGGCAACCGCCGGAAGGGTTCCCGCGACAAACGCGGCGTCGAGGTGGACACCCTGGGCAGGACGTGCACCGGTGGCATACTGCCGGTCTGGGCCCCCAGCAAGGAGACTCGCCGGCATCCACGATTCGCAGCGACTCGTCTTTCGAGGGAAGCTAGGTGCTGTGCGGCCAAGGCTCGGTTGCGTGCGGCGGCACGCTGCGCGCTCGAGCGTAACCGACTTGCGAGACCGGTCGGGTCGCACCTGGCAGGCGTTCTGGTCCCCGTCGATCAGGCGCTGCAGCTGCTCCCCCGTCAGGATTGCCCGCGCGTTGCCTGCAGGGGGAACAGCCCGGCGAGCGCCGTGAGGCGGTCGCGGCTGGAATCTACGGGAGGAGATTCCGCGGCGAGGGCGTTGGAAGCAACTCGTTGCTTCGAAGCGCTGCCTGCTGGGCAGCATCTCGGCACCGCGCGCACGGTGGCGTGCCAGAGGGATGTGGGCAGGACAAGGCGCGGCAACGCGGACGGTGGTCCGGCAGGTGGGCAGCCAGGAGGCCCCCGACGATGCATGGTGGTGCTTGAGGCCAGCGGAGACGCTGCGTCGGCGACTTGCCTGCGAGCAACGCCAGCAGGAGCAGCCATGACAGGGCGCAAAGCCCCTCGAAGCGAGAGGGCGCGCGCCCCATGGCAGCCGCTCAGTCGCCCGGGCCAAATGCCACGTCGCGCGCTATATCGCTTCCTTCCGCATACTGCGCCGCATCGTGGCGAGACGCGCCAGAGCCGCGAAAACGCTCGCTTTCGTTCGCTCCGGGGAAACGCTTCGCCTGCCTGAGCAGCGAATGCGAAAGCGGGGAAATCTCACCCGCACCGTGAAACTGCACATTCTCGGCGCAGGGCCCCGCAAACGGCGCGCAGGACGCAGCGAGCCCAGTCTGGCCCAGAGGGGGCCGAGCCTGCCTGAGAACCCTAACAGGTCCCTGCGGCCCGTGAACGCGTGCAGGGAAAGGATGATTGTCGTCGCACTGCAGGCCTTTGATAGCGGCGGTGTTGCCCGCCACGGTTGCGGCGTTACAGCCAGGCGCAAACGGCTCCCTGCGCGCCCTACCCACCAGACGCTTGTGATCGACTGGCGACCCCGCTGTGCCGCGGTCGCGCCAAAACAGCGCTGCACCCCACCCAGCGGGTGGTCTGGCTGGTGGTGTGCTACCGCCCGGAGGCAGAAAGCGAGCCGTTTGATCGCACAGTCGCGGCCGAGCGGCGCGAAAAGGTGGTGAGGCAGAACCGACTCCTGAGACCGCGCGTGGGTCCGTCGAACAGCGGGGGCGTGTGAGTCACATGCCTACGAGCGCGACGTCCAGGTCAGCGTCCCGTGGTGGCCCAGGGGCGTCCCAGCATCTACTTGCCCTTGGCCGTGACGTTGAACTGCGCAGGGCGGTGGCGGGCCAAGGGGCGGCGTGGGGCGGGGCGCGAGCGGGCGAGGATCGTTGGCCGCTAGCTGGGCCGGCGGCGGCGCACGACGGACGGGCTGCGCGGACGCGTCTGACACTGGCGGGGTGGTTGTGGTGGTGGTGTGGGCGCACCTTAAACAGGCAGATGTCTCCGTCGCTCACGACGTACTCCTTGCCCTGCTGGCGCATCTTCCCGTTCGCCTTGACCTGCGCCTCGGTCTCCAGCTCCTTGAGGTCGCTGTACGTCATGACTTCGGCACAAATGAACCCGCGCTCGAAGTCGGTGTGGATGGTGCCCGCCGCGCCGGGCGCCTTGGTGCCCTTGCGGATCGTCCAGCACTTGACCTCGTCCGGCCCCGCGGTGAAGAAGTAGATCAGCTTCAGCGCCTGGAAGCCGGTCTTGATGATCTTGGGCAACATCGACGTCACGTTGTCGCCCAGGCCCTTGAGGTGCTCCGCCTGCACACGCACCGCCGCCACAACGCACCCAACGTCGTCGTCGTCGCGGCCGCACGCCGCCCCGCGCACCCAACGCCGCACGCACCCAACGCCGCACGCACGCACGCACGCACGCATGACGCCAGCTCGTGCAAGCGCAGCGCACCTGCTGCTCGGGCTCCATCTCGCAGATGTCCGACTCGAGCGCGCCCGAGTACGGGATCACGGGCTCGTTGCCGTTGGCCTTGACCCACTCGGCGATCTTCGGGAGCCACTTGTTCTTCTTGCGCAGGTAGTCGCGCTCGGAGAGGTTGACGAGGTACACGACGGGCTTGGCCGTGAGCAGCTGGAGCTGGTTGAGCCAGTCCGCGTCCTTCTGCGACCACTCCCCGAAGCGCACGTCCTTGCCGCTCTCGAGCAGCTCCACCACGCGCGCGCCAGTCTCCAGGTTCTCCTTCTCCTCCTTGCTCAGCCCGCGGTTCTTGCCCTTGTTTATCCGCTCGATCTCGCCGTTCACGCGCTCCAGGTCCTTCGCGCGCAGCTCCGCGTGGATGATGGCCAGGTCCTCCACGGGGTCCACGCGGTCCTCCACGTGCACCACCTCCGCGTCCTCGAACGCGCGGCACACGTGGAAGATGCCGTCCACCGCGCTGATGTTGGACAGGAACGCGTTGCCGAGGCCCTGGCCCTCCGACGCCCCCTTGACCAGCCCCGCGATGTCCCACACCTCCAGGCACGCCGGCACCGCGTTCTTGGGCTTGTACGTCTCCACGAGCCAGTCGAAGCGGTCGTCCGGGATGTTGATGCGCTGCAGAGCGGGTGGGCGGCCGTGCGGGCGGCGTCGGTTGGACCGAGCGGCGGCGCGCAGCAGTCACAGTGGTGGGCTGGTGGCGGAAAGCGCAGCGGCGCGGCGGCGGTGTGGTCGAGCGGATGCACAGGCGTGGGTGGCGGAGTGGGTCGCCGGGGCGGGTTGCGTGGTGGCGGCGCTGAGGGTCCCGGATGGCACAAATAGAACACAACACACAGGTCAAGACCGGGCGCCTCGCGCGGGGGCGCACGCCCGCAGCGGCGTCCACGAGCTCTGGGAGTGCTGCGATGCCGCCGTGGCCGCGCGCAAGGGCGAGGGATGTGGCGCGCGGCGGCACAGGGTGGGGCAGACAGCGTGCGCTGCACCCGTGAGAGCGAGCGCTGATGGGGGCGGGCCGGCGTACCGCTTCGTTGGGCTCGATGGTGCAGAACGGGAAGCTGCAGGGGGCGCGGGAGGGGGGATCTTGCGCGTGAGTGCCGCCGCACGAGCGCGGGCACGCGGCGACGGGGCAAGCAGTCACGGGGGGCGGTGTGTAGGAGCCGGTTGGTGAGCCACTCACTTCTCCGCCGGGATCCCACGCTTAGACAGCGTGTTGAACAGCGTGGACTTCCTGCAGCAGACCGTGGGAACGCGTGCTGTTCGTCGGCGCTGGCACGAGGAGCATTTTGGCGCGCAGTCCTCGGGCGATGCTGCCGTGGGACCGAATATTCGATCGGCGCAAGACGTTGGACGGCATCTCCGTCGCGTTCGTCGCCAGCATCGCGAACGAGTCTCCGCGAAACGGCCACAGGCTGCCTGTGCTGGGCGCGCACCCCACGTTCGGCAAGCCGACGATTCCCATCTTCAGGTGCGACCTGAAGCGGCCCAGGATGGGCTTCTCCTCCGGAACATCTCCCTTCTTCTTCGGCGCCATCCTCGCCTGTGCCCCTCGAGCGCAGTAGCTGGCAGCAGTCGCCGAATAGCACACGAGCCCCTCAGCCGCGCTTGGGGGTCCCGCTCGGTGTCACGGACAATGCGGGGGTCGCAGTGCGAGGTCCAGCACAGTGCTCCCGCGCAGACGCATCGCTGCCCCCCACTGACCGACCGGGCCCTTGCCCAATAGGGCCCTCGTGAGTCAGCGCCGCGGCCTGGAGCGTTGCGGCGCGGCCGACATGGGGCCGCGGGGCGCAGGTCTCCCGCGTACACGCGGCCATCGACTCCGAAGCCACGACCACCGCTGCCACGTGCGCTTGGAGCGATTGTGTCTACAAGAGCGCACTGCTGCGCCAGGCGAAGCCGCGAGTCTCGGGGAGCGCGGGCACCATGGCTGACTCGGGGGAAGCAAAGCACCTGGAAAGCAACACGAAGTTGCAGTACGCGAAGGTGGGTGGCTGAGCCCTACATGTTGGCAGTGAAATCGGTTGCAACCATCTGCTCTCCGTTGCCTGGCGCGTCGCCCGCCGCCGGGGAGGTCGTCCGCTACTGCTTTTTCGCGGGTGAATGATCCTCCCGCGGCGCTTCTCGTGGAGGGTCGCCGCGAGGCGGTGACGCATGGCCCGTTCGGCGCGCCCTCGCGGCACTCGCCGCGCGGCGCGGGACTGCGGGCCCGTCGCGCCACGACCTGTACGTTTGCGGAAGCATCGGCGACCGAAGCGCTGCAGCAAGCCGGCCCAGATTCGCGGTTTCCGCTCGACCAACAAGCTCAGTTGCTGCTTGCTCCGTCGCCCTGCAGAACCACGTGCCAGCGTTCGTTGCGCACGACGGGACGATCAACAAGGTGGATGAGAGCGCCGACTACCAGGCCAAGGAGTCCGGTGAGCCCGCCGCTGCCGCGAACACGTCGCTGCCTGCAGATGTCATCACTGGGCCGCGGTGCTCCTCGGGGCCGCGGTGGGAGAACCTCCCGCACTTCCCTCGACGCATGCACGACGCCTCTCCTGGTCCCGCGCCCCTAGGCGCGCCGAATGGCGGGCCCGTTCGAGAGATTTGCCGGAGCTGCCAGCTCACCCTCATTGGTCCCTCCTCCTGCTCGCAGACGAGCACTACCTCCGGAAATTCGACGCGTTGCCGGACGAGCCGAAGTTCCAAGTCGAGTACGTCATGAACGAAGAGCCCGAGCCGCCCAAGGCTGCGAAAAAGGGCAAGGGCAAGAAGTAGCTGGGCCCCGGACGGTTCCACGGAAGAATTCGGAGGGGCACGTGCGCCGCACCGCGGGACCGCCGTCGGATCGCACGTCGCGCGAACAGCAGCGGCCGTCAAGGCGGCCCCGCGCCCGGCCCGCCCACAATCGCATCGACCATGCCGATCGAGCACGAGGCTGGCCGACCCCAACCGCCTAGATTTATTTCATGCGCCGCACTGTCGGTGGCAAACTGCCGCTCTGTGCGGCGCAATTCTTTCCACAGCGCCCTGCGGCCGTCGCGGCCGGGGCTTGTTGAGCACCTGCAAGTCCACTACCATCCCCTGACAGTCATCCACCACCCGCGACGGGCGACGCGAGGGGGAGGGGGAGGGCGTGCGGGAGCGGCGCGGTACGTGCGGTCACGAAGCGACCCTATATTTGTGAGTCAACGTCTCTCCCGAGAACATCGTCATGTTCTGGACTCGTGTGGACCCACGCAAGCGGGGACGCTGCGTCGGCGACTTGCCTGCGAGCAACGCCAGCAAGAGCAGCCATGACAGGGCGCAAAGCCCCTCGAAGCGAGAGGGCGCGCGCCCCATGGCAGCCACCCAGTCGCCCGGGTCGAATGCCACGTCGCGCGCTATATCGCTTCCTTCCGCATACTGCGCCGCATCGTGGCGAGACGCGCCAGAGCCGCGGAAACACTCGCTTTCGCTCGCTCCGGGGAACCGCCTGCCTGAGCAGCGAATGCGGAAGCGGGGAAATCTCACCCGCACCGTGAAACTACACATTCTCGGCGCAGGGCGCCGAAAACGGCGCGCAGGACGCAGCGAGCCCAGAGGGGGCCGAGCCTGCCTGAGAACCCTAACAGGTCCCTGCGGCCCGTGAACGCCTGCGGAACGTATGATGTATCATCGCTCTACAGCTTTCATATCGGCAGCGTTGTCCGCCGGGCGGTTGCAGCGTAGCGGCCCGGCGCCAACGGCTCCCGGCGCGCCCTGCCCATCAGACGCTTGTGATCGACTGGCGACCCCGCCGTGCAGTACGAGTCGGCCCGACGACCTGACACCCCTCGCGACACAGGCTGGCGACCCCTCCCGAGGCGCCCGCGCCGAATTCGGGGTCGCAAGGGCGCGACCGGGTGCGTACACCCCAGTCTTCGAATCCCTCCACCTGCAAGGCTGCGGACTGTGACGCTCCCGACCGTCCATCGAGCCTCCAACATGGCGTTCACAAGCACCCACACCGCCAGCGCACCCGTGGCCGCTCAGGCCCGTCCCGCCGCGCGGTACGTCCCATCGACTCCCTGAACGCATCTGCGCTTGCTGCGACGGTCGGCGGGAAGGCGGGCGGAGCTCCGCCCCCCGAACCCTGTCGCACCGCAAGCTGCCTCTGTGGGCTGTGCCGGGCTCCTGCTCGGGCGATGCCGCTCTGCTTTGACGCCGATGGATTCAACAACAGTTGTGTAACCAAGCGAGATGAATGACGTTGGGTTTATTGCCCTGCAGGCCGCGTGCTTCGGCTCAGCAGGTGCTCCGTGCCCCCCTCCTCGTGCGAGGTCCTGCTCCGGCCCCTGCGCGCCACTCCGTGCTCGCGCGGTCGGGCCCCGCCGATGAGATCGATCCCACGACCGGGGAAATCATCCCTGGATCGGGGCTGGCGCGCGAGCCCGTCGCAAGCACGACCATCAAGGTGGGCAAGTACAAGTGGGCGGTGCGGCGGTCCTCGCCGGACGAGGGCGCCAAGAAGCAGAAGGAGGCCGTCCTGCTGCTGCACGGCATCGGCTCGTCGTCCTACTCCTACCGCGAGGTCGCGCCGCTGCTCGCCAAGGAGGGCTTCGAGACGCTGGCGGTGGACTGGATCGGCCACGGCGGCAGCGACAAGCCCTCGCCGGACGAGTTCGACTACACGCAGGGTAAGGGCGCAGCTGCATCGCTCCCCAGCGCGCGTCGCGTGCGATGCCGAAGCAAAGACCGACGTTGACAACCTGCTGTGCGTGCTTGTGCAACGCAGAGTCGTACGTGCGTGCGCTGGACGCGTTCATCGAGGAGGCCGGGCTGGGGCAGCCGCTCGTGCTCGTCGTGAACGGCTTCGTCCTGGGCAACTACGCCCTCGACTGGGCGCAGCGCAACCAGGACAAGTTCGACAAGCTCATCATGCTCAACACCCCCCTGAGCCCGCGCAAGTCCAAGCTGCCGCCCACGCTCGCGGCGTACAAGAGCCCCATTCCGTTCCTGCGCCCCGCGGCGGGCTCGCCTTTCCCGGGCGACCTGTGGAACGCGGACGGGCTGGCGTACGTGATGGAGCGCAAGGTGGCCGACGCGTACCTGGCGCCGTACGAGGGCGACGCGGGCGCGGCGGCGAGCGAGGCGGTGCGGGCGACGATGGAGGCGCACGACTTCAAGACGTGCCTGCAGGACCTGGACTACGCGTACGAGTCGTTCAAGAAGGACAGCCTGCTCTTGTTCGGAGGTGCGAACGGCGACGCGCATGCCTGGACGACCACGCGCGCACAGCTGCTCGAATGATGGCTGGAATTAATGCGGGGGTGATGGGCGTTTGAGGCTGTGCGCTGACGGGCGGCGGCACCGGCGTCGTGGCTGCAGGCAAGGACAGGAACGTCAACCTGACCGAGGCGGTGGACTGGCTGGACTCGAAGCGGACGAACATGCAGCTCATGACGCTGGAGGAGCGCCTGGGCCACATGCCGCAGGAGGACTACGCGGAGCCCGTCGCGGAGGCCATGGCCAAGTGGATCCGCGGCGAGAAGTTCCAGCTCTCGCTCGGGAAGAAGGCGTCGAAGCGGCCCGAGGGCGTCGGCGCGGAGAAGTGAGTGCGCACCTCGCGCTCGCGCGGTCTCTCGCTCGTCGGGACCGGTGCGGGGAGGCCATGGCATTTTTCAAGTCTGTGACTCCCTCGAGGCTTTGCACGGTGAATCCTGGGCACGGGCAGCGTGTGCGGCAGCGCAGAGGCTGGTCCGGTGCGACGCACACAATCTCGGGCTTACATGTCGCGCCGAGGTCAGCAGCTGCAGCAACGCCGCGTGTCTACACGGGTCCGTCGGCGACGCATTTTGCGAGGTACAAGTCGTAGTACTCCGCGGCCTTCTCGTAGTCGCCGAGCTCCGTGTACAGGTCCGCGATCGTCCCGTACGCGTCCGCGTCGCCCACGTAGTCCTGGATCTCCCCGCTGATCCGCAGCACCCCCTCGAGGTATTCGATGCCGTCCTTGTACTTGCCCTGAATACGCGCCGCCGCCGCCATGCCCCGCATCGCCCGCCGCTCCTGCACCTTCATCCCCATCGCCCGCGACAGCACCAGCGCCTTCTCGAACCGCACCATTGCGCCGTTGCCGTTCCCGGCCTTGAGCAGGCGCTTGCCTTCCCGCAGCGCCAGCCGCGTCTCGTCCGGCTCCTCGTCCAGCGACGCCTCCCACCGCGAGCTCGCGGACGGGTCCTGCGTCACGTCGTCCGCGGCGGCCTCGGCCTCCGGGGGCGAAGCTGCCGCCGCTGCCATCGCCGGCGGAGGCGTCGGCGGCGCCTCCCTCGGCGGAGCCACCTCCGTCGGCACGCCCTCGAGGGGAGGCAGCACCGCAGTGCCGCCCTCCTGGTCCGAGCCCGTAGGGGGCGCGTAGCTCAGCCCGGGGGCGTACACCATGCCCGCGCGCGCCTGATTCCTGCACAAAGGCCCCGAACGCTTTTCGCGAGGTTCAGACGCGCAAAACACGCGACGCGGCACACGTTGCGCGCACAGCGCACAGCGCCGGAGCGCAGTCGGCTGCGGCGGCGGTCGGTGGCACGTGGCGCCGGCGTTGCGTGCCTGAGCTCGTAGTTGATGGTGCGGAGTTGCTCGGTGACGCGCTGGAGCTCGGCGCGCTTGTTCCGGGCCGAGATGCCGCCGACGGCGGCGCCCACGAGGGCGACGGCCTCGGTGATGCCGACCACGTCGATGCCGTACGGCGTCGCGCAGAGCTTGCCGTCCTGCGTCGCACGCGCTGCCTCCTCGTACTCCGCGCGCAGGGCGGCGATCTCTTCTCTGCGAGGAGCGACACGCGTGTTGGAGACGTGGGGGCGAGGAGGGCTGCCGGGCGGTGCGCCGACGGCGCCGTGGAGCGCGGTCGACCCTGCGTGCGCGGCAGTGTGGATGACACGCGCACGGGCGACCGCGAACGAGTTTCTGAGATCGCAGCGTGATCGGCGCCACACACAACGCAGGAAGAAGTTAGAAATCAGGACAAATACGCTTCGCGTGGCAAGAAAGCCTCCAGACCCGCGAGTAAGCTTCTCCAACAACAGGCCGACTCTTTGCTCCCAGAAGTGGACGTGGCGACCAGCGTGCCGCGCGTCCTCATCAGACAGAACGTCTCCATCATTCGCAGCAAACGCACGCGTGGCACGACGGGGACTCACTGCGCCTCGGCCTCCTTCTCCAGCCTCATCTCGTACAGGATTTCCTCCTCTTCAGCGAGGAAGCCGCGGCCCCCGGTGCGCTTCAGTGGCGCGAGGGACTCCGAGGCGCGCGCGTCCGATACCTGGGACAGCGCGAGCGCGCCGGCGAGCATGCCGGTGAAGATGGCGCGGCGGGGGAGGGCACGCACGGGCGGCTGCTGCTCCGCGGCGCACGCCACCGAGCGGCGCGCAGGCGCGGGCGCTGCAACGGGACTGGAGGCCGCGACTTGCATGGTTTTCCTGCAGACGGAGAGCCGGAAACGCGGTGGGAGGGCGGTCGTTCCTTGCTCGCACGGTTCGGGTTGAGACGACGCGAGGGGAGGTCGACATTGGAACGGAAACGCAGCCGTTCGAGGAGTTAAACACGAAAAACCAAATGAGCGGGAAGACGCGCCCGTTGAGAGCACGCACGGCGCTGCAAGGATGTGATCATGGCGCGCGCAATCAATCGACCGCGCGGCCGACTCGGCGCGACACGCGTACCTCTCACGGACGCAGCGGCGCAGAGCCTGAGCCACAACTGTGCCAGCGCGCCCCCCGCCGGCCCTCCGTTGAGCCCCAGCTGCGCGTGGCGCGGGCTTCTCCCTGGCTGACTCCTCGATGCTCTCCCCCCAGACAGGCTGTCTGGCGGCGCCAACCCAGTCGCCCTCATGACTCCGCGACGGACGCGGACGGCGACAGAGAGACGCTCGCGCCCACCTGGACCCCCGACGCTGCTTGGATAGGTGCTGGCTGCCGCACCTGTCGATTAGATACCAGCGGCGCCTAGACTTGGCCCCGGTACCTGCACGCCGCGGCGCCCGGGACACTCGGCTATCGCGGCGGCCGTGAGCAAGCGGAATGAAGCGGAAGGTCCAATTGTACATCTATGACCTGTCGCAGGGGCTCGCGAAGCAGCTCTCAATGCCGCTGCTGGGCAGGCAGATAGAGGGCGTGTGGCACACGAGCATCGTCATCGACAACGAAGACGGGTCCGGAAAGAAGACTGAGTACTTCTACTCAGCCGGATTGCAGCAAGCTGCGGCAGGTGCGGCGCGCAGCGTTGGCCCCTGCGCTGATGCATCTGGGCCGCCGCCGCGACGTAGGGGCGCACGCGACGCCGGTCGCCCGTTTCACGGAGAGACCCAGGGTATCTGCGAGCCGGCAGGAGCGCTCACGGCTCAACTGTCCGCTGTACCGGTTCAGCCGCGGGCCACCTTCGAGCGGTTTCCTGGACGCGGCCCGCACCCTGCCGCGTGTGCGACGTGCATACTGCGCAGCGCAACCCATCTACTTGACGACCATGATATGCACCCATGGGAATGCGTCTCGAAGGACCGCACGGTGACCAGAAGAAGACGGATGCCCGCCGCGACTGCAGGAACCACCCCGTTCGGACTGCCGCTGCACGTCGAGGACCTAGGCGAGACCGAGGTCCCGGACGAGGTCGTGCAGGCCTTTCTGGCGGAGCTGTCGCCATCCTACACGCAGGAGACGTACTCGCTGTTGTCGCACAACTGCAACAACTTCAGCGACGACTTCGCGCAGATGCTCGTCGGCAAGGGCATCCGCCAGGACATCCTCGACCTCCCGAAGACGGTCATGTCGACGCCCATGGGGCAGCTCCTGATCCCCGTGTTGGAGCAGATGCAGGAGCGGCTGCGCTCCGTGGAGGCAGTGCCAGTGCACGTCCGCAACGGATGACCGCCGACGACGAGCTGGTTTCGACGCGAGCGCGGGCTCGGCCCACGGCGCGCCCGCGTCTGAGCTGGCGTGTTGTCGCACGACGCGTCGGCGAGGAACCTCGCTCTATGCGACCGAGGTGGCGGCGTACGCGGCGGGTGTGCGCGCAGCCGCCTTGAGCGTACGTCATGCGCGTGCGCGCTGACCGGCCGGACGCTGAGCACGCCGCGGAAGTTGCGAGTGCCGCTCCTGCAGCGCCGGTGCTGATGCGCAGCTTCGCGCTGTTTTGCAGAGCTCCGGGCACGGCGTGCTCGCACGTTGCTGCAATCGTAGTTGCGGCGCACGTTCCTGTGCTCGCGGTGTCACAGGTTGCCGGGCCTCATTCAGAAATGAGCGCTGACACGTGTCAGGAGGCACCGCTCCCTACTCGAATGTACATTTTTCGCCCCGCGGCCGGCATGTGATCCACCGCGCTCTCACCACCCACCTACACACTCACGGCACGTCCGATCAGATCCGCACCACCTCTGCGCCTCCCTCAGGCGCGTCGCGCCCAGCGATGTCTGCGTCACCACAGCGTGCTGCGCCTCGCCCGCCCCAGCGCCGTCGTCGTCCACACCGACGGCCTGTTCCTGCACCGCACCACCGTCGTCCGCGCCCGCACCCTCGTGCACCGAACCCCTCCCAACCCCGCACCGATGCTTCGGCACCACTCAATCAATCGCAAGTCACAGACCCTGCGCGTGCACTTGCCCTGCGGCATCGACCGCCACCGCGCCCTGCTCCACACCGCCATGCGGCTGCCCTGCCGCCGTCCGCTGCACCCTGACGTACGTCAGGTTGCACGAGTCGAAGTAGACGGGCCCTGATTCATACAACAGCACCCCACGGTTGGTGTGGGGCGGGGGGCGCTCGTGCTGCAGCAGCACGTTGACGCCCGAGACCATGGCCGGCCGCGACGTGTTGACGACGAGCAGGCAGTTGATGTGGACGGTGAACGGCACGCGCCCGATCTCGGTGGCCTCCGCGTCGTCCGCACCCGACATGACCGGCATCTCCCCGCCCGTGATCGCGATGGGCGCGCCCGGCCCAACGAGCGTCCCGTTGCGCAGGCTGTACTGGCTGGCACCCCCGGGCCCCTGCGCGTCCTGCAGACACCATGTACGAAGACCATGCCATTTTGACCACACCATTCTGACGAGCAGAATTGCGGGATGGCGGGGGTGTGTGCCGCGGGGTGCAGCCAGCGAAGCGGGCGCGATGGGTGCAGTGACACGGGGCGTGGGTGTGCAGCAGCACGGCCTGACGTGGTGGAAAACACCCCCTACCTTGAGATGCAAGAAGCCCACCCCTGGGACGGGGGAGTCAGGGGCGAGCTGCACGGTGCGGCCGCACAGGTCGACGCCAGGCACCAGCGGGCAGTCCAGGAGCCACTGCGACGACGGGGCCGGCGTTCGGTCGGTGTCGGGCGCTGCCATCGCGCGGCACTGCTTCTGGAGTCACCGAGGGGGCCCTGCCGGGGCACGCCGCACCTGAGCCTCTGCAGCCGTCCCGCTGCGCGCCTGGGCGGGCTGGCTGCGCAGCGCTGCCCGCCAGATCGCCGGCAGCAGGTCTTCGGCGGGGAACTGGTCCAGTGCCCTCACCACCCGGTCCCCCTCGCTCTCGGCGGACGGGGGCAGCCGGACCGAGGACCGCAGGACTGGAGACGCCTCGCAGCAACGGTCCAGGAAGCTCGGCGACGACAGCACGGCCAGCGCGCCCACCAGGCCGTTGACAAACACGTCGCACGGGTCTATGCCGTCCATGGGGCCCCGCCGCGACAGCTGCGTCAGCTACCTGGGACACCCGTGAGGCATGTAGTCAGTACGGAGACAGAGGAGCGTCGTGGCGGGCTACGCTTGCTTCGACCCGCCGTTCCCGGGCCCTCCTCGCGCCAGGAGCTTGGCTGTGTACACCTCCTCGTCGCGCACGGGCCCCGCGGCCAGGCGCTTCTTCTCCTCCACCTTGTTGTTGCACACCCACCAGATCGACGCGCCCGTCGCTGCAACGGCCGCTGTGAAGAATATCGTCGACCGGCTCACCATCGGGAGCTCGAGCCCGCGCGCCCTCCTCCCTGCCGCCTTGCGCGCGCTAGATTCGCCCGTGTGGGGCGGACGACCGAGGAACCACGACCTCGCCAGTCTGCTTGGACCGGGGAGCGCCGCCCCGCTTGGGCCTCCGGCGCGGAGACCGCAGCTGGTTGCTGATGTGGCAGCGAGACTCTCCACCTCGAGTGTCTCCTCCCCGCGTGCGCAGGCCAGCGCTCGAGGGCGCCTGTCCGCGCGCCGCCGCCTACTCGCGACATTCAGCACCTCGGTGAGCAGTTGTTCGGTGCGAGAGCTAGGCTCAGCGAAGCAGTGGACGCAACAGCCTGTCAACCAGGGCGAGGCGCCCGTCGCGCCGGTGCGGCATGTCGGAAGGTGGCCGGGCACACTAGGCGACGCCGCGAGTAGTACATAGGCTAGCGGCACCATGCAGGAGGATCCCTCGGGCGAGGTGAGCCCACACCGCGCCTTCAACGCTCCCGAGAACAGCTACTGTGTCGGAGCCCCCCTGCGCGGCACCCCGCGCAGATACTCGGCGGTCGACGGGCGCGAAGTGATGCCTACTGCCATGACTCCCGGTTCTGGTCTGAAACCTGCTCGATTGTGGACCACGAAGCGCGTTCGTGACCTCTCTGTTGAAGCGGTGTCGTGCGTCCGGTGCAGGCGGGAGCGCAGGGAACAGATGCGGTCCTCCTGTCGCATTATCGGTTGGGAAAAACGCTTGGAATCGGGTCGTTCGGGAAGGTGAGCCCTCGCGCGCGCTTGGCGACCAGCTCCAGTGGTTCAGCCGACGCCTGCACTGCGCACGACAGCTCCCCGCTCGCGCTGTCGACTCGGGGACCGCCATCTCTGCTTTGAAGACGGCGGCCGGCCCGAAAGCACGTCTCTCGCAGCGGGCACGGGTCCGTCAGCGTGGTCCTCCCCAAAGCAACGGATTTTCACGCGCGGCAGCCTTGCGTGCATCGCTCCCGGCCGTATTTCCGCCGCAAGCGAGCGGTTCGACCGCCTGTCCTCGCTGCGGCCGGCAAGATGAGAGAATGGCCCGCAGATTCGGCGGAGGCGCCTCCGGTCAAGCCGCTCTTGCACAGCTGCCCCGCGCCCGGACGTTCCCGGACCGCGTGGCAGAGATACCGCACCCCGCCACATCGGTCATCGCAACACCGTCCCCCAGTCCCTCGCGGCCCGCCTGCAGCCGCCCCCCCAAACCTCCCCGCAGCTTCTTGCACCAGCTGCAGTTTCCCCGCAGCTTGCCGCGGCAGGGCCCTGAGATGCGCGGTTCGCCGGCCGCGCGCCTCGGTCTGTGCCTCACATTTCGGCCGGTAGCTGAGACTTCGAATTGCGCGGCTCTGAACGCGGTCAGGACGCGTCCATCTGTGCAGGTGAAGCTCGCGGAGCACGTGCTGACGGGGATGAAGGTGGCCATTAAGATTTTGAACAAGAAGAAGATCAAGGCCATGGAGATGGACGAGAAGGTCCGGCGGGAAATCAAGGTGCGCAGCTGCCTCGCGCGGCCTCCTCCTGCGATTGCACCAGTGGCCCCGCGCCGCCCGCGCCGCCACGCGCCAGCTCCCCGCGCACAGCGCCCTCTACCAGCCCTCACTGTCCGTCCGCGCACCCACCGCGCCCCCCCGCCCCGCCCCGCGCAGATATTGCGGTTGTTCATGCACCCGCACATCATTCGGCTGTACGAGGTGATGGACACGGCGTCGGACATCTACGTCGTGATGGAGTACGTCAAGTCCGGCGAGCTCTTCGACTATATCGTCGAGAAGGGCCGCCTCATGGAGGACGAGGCGCGCCACTTCTTCCAGCAGATCATCTCCGGCGTCGAGTACTGCCACCGACACATGGTCGTGCACCGCGACCTCAAGCCAGGCGAGCGCCCCTCCCGCAGCGCCCCCGCCGCCGCGCAGTCCGCCCGCGGCGACCTTGGCCCCGCACGAACACGTGTGCATGCGCGTGTGCGTGTGTGTGCGTGTCGCGCTCGCCGCTGACAGCCCCCCGCCCGCGTCCGCGTGCGCAGAGAACATCCTGTTGGACGCGAAGATGAACGTCAAGATCGCGGACTTCGGTCTGTCGAACGTGATGCGCGACGGGCACTTCCTGAAGACGTCGTGCGGGTCGCCCAACTACGCGGCGCCCGAGGTCATCTCGGGCAAGATGTACGCGGGCCCGGAGGTCGACGTGTGGTCGTGCGGCGTGATCCTGTACGCGCTCCTGTGCGGCTCGCTCCCCTTCGACGACGAAAACATCCCCAACCTGTTCAAGAAGATCAAGGGGGGCATCTACAACCTGCCGTCGCACCTGTCCCCGGGGGCGCGCGACCTGATCCCGCGGATGCTCCTCGTCGACCCGATGAAGCGCATCACCATCCTCGAGGTCCGCCAGCACCCGTGGTTCACCGTGCGCCTCCCGCGCTACCTGGCGGTGATGCAAGCGGACCACTTCTTCCACCTCCAGCTCGACGCGGACATCGTGGGCGAGGTCTGCCGGCTCGGGTTCACGCGCGAGGAGCTCCTCGGGTCGCTCAAGGAGCGCCATCAGAACAAGGCGACGGTGGCGTACTACCTGCTGCAGGACAACAAGCGGCGCATGCAGAGCGCGGGGTACCTCACGGGGCAGATGGAGCCGCAGGAGCTGTGCACGCCGTACACGAGCGGCATCATGAACCGCGCGACGAACAGCCGCACGCCGTCGATGCTGCACGCCTTCCCCGCGCACCGCGTGGTGGCCGAGCGGCGGTGGCAGGTGGGCATCCGGTGCCGGGCGCACCCGCAGCACATCATGCACGAGGTGTACCGGACGCTCCAGGCGCTCAACGTGACGTGGAAGAAGTCGCAGCCGTACAACTTGAAGCTGCGGACCGAGGTGCGGATCCGCCGGGCGCGGGTGGCGTCGCGCGGGGAGGGGAGCGACGCGATGGCGGAGGACATGGAGGGCGACAGCATGAAGGATGCGGACGGGGCGGACGGGAACGGGTTCGGGGGCGGGGAGGGCGCTGGCGAGGGCACGCTGACGACGCACGAGGTGAAGCTGGAGCTGCAGCTGTACCGGACGCGGGAGGGGGAGTACGTGGTGGACCTGCAGCTGGTGCGGGGGGAGTTCTTCCTGTTCATCGACGTGTGCTCCGCGGTGCTGCGGGAACTGCGGATCTGAGGGGGGCTCGTTGCACTGCTGCGTGCGCACGGGCCATCAGCGGCCTCGTGTGACGCCGGACGCACGACGCAGTCCACGATTGGCTTCACAGGTGGTCGAGGTGTGTCGACGAGCGCAGCACATGTCGCCCGTCATGTCGCAGGTCGTCTGCGAGAGTCGAGATGGCGAATAATCACCACCAGTGGGAGAGGAATCACCCACCGGACGGGAGCCCTCTGGTGAGATGTGTGCAACGATGGCTGCGCGCGCGCGCGAGCAGAGGGCACGACGGAGCCAGGTTCGTTTTGCTTGAGGCGTGACTGGAACAGTAGACTTGACAGATTGGTATTTTGGGCGCCCGTGTCTCGTGGCGACCGAGCGGCCGGGCGGCGCACGTGCGCAGGGGTCACAGCTACCCGCCCGACCTCTCGGGCTCGTTCGTCGTATCTTCCCTCCCGTGCTGGACCCGCGCACCGGCTGCACCGCCTGATGTGTAGCCTCTCTTGCAGGTGGGTGTCTCTGTGGCGCTCGGTGTGGTCGATGCCTGCGTGCACACTACGTGTCGTGTCGGACGTGCCGCTGCTGAGCGTCTCGCGTCGCCGCACTCGCAGCATCTACGTTGATCGAGGGCTGATGCTGAGCTTGATGCGTCCCCAGCCCTCCTCGTACGTGCGACGCAGCCTGCCCTTGAGCCCGTCGACCTCCTCCTGGATGTCTTGCTGCGGCGTCGCCTTCGATGCCCCCCAGAGCGCCGCTCCGATCTCGTGATGTTTCCCCAGTTGCCGCCGCTCGACCATCGCATCGACCAGCTCCCGCATCCCACGCAAGGGAAGACTGTCGACCCTGCACCCCCCCACGCCGATGACCCTGAGCGCGCAGCCCCGCCGCAGTGCGCGTGCGAACGACGTCGCCACGGTATCGTCGACGGGACATGCAAGCTGATCAGTCAGACGGTGAGTCTGCGGCCTATGGAAGCCGAGTCGCAGGCGTTCGAGCGCAGATCCCGCGCCGAGCGAGTCCGCCAAGGCAGTCGCCCCCGCCCTGCCGATCTTGTTCTCCCACAAGTCCGCGACCTGGAGGGTTGTGTTGCGCTGAAGACCTGCCGCAAGCCCACGCGCCCCTTCGTCGCCGATGTCGCATTGTTGCAGGGTGAGGGTCTTGAGCGCGCGGTTCGTCTGCAGCGCGGTGCCGAGCGCGGTGGCTTCTTCGTCACCGAATGAGGCGTGGCAGATCTCCAGGTCGCGCAGGACATGGTTGTGCTCCAGCGCCTTTGCGAGGGCCACGAAGCCTTCCGTGTCCCTGCCCTGCCTAGACTTGTCGAAGATTTTGAGGGCCTCCAGAGTGCGGCCCAGCGCTCCGTCAGCGATGGCCTTCGCGAGCTCGCGCAGGAACCCAGGCACCAGCGCTGGCTCGCTGAGACGCCAGCGGTCACCGGCGTGCAGCTCGACCACGCACGACCTCGACGACAGCGCTCGAGCCACATCGACCATGTCAGTCAGCCTGCTCCCCACGTCAATCACCCGCAGCGCGCTGCCCCGCCTCACCGCCGCCGCGAGTTTGAGTGGCGAGACGAATCTGCCGTAAATAGATCTCCCCAGATCGAGGCGCTGCAGGGTCGTGTTCTGGAGCAGGCTGTCGACGTCACCGTCGTTGAACGTGAGATAGTGGCCCTCGACGTGCAGTTCCCGCAGCGCGTTGTTCTGGGAGAGTCCAGCGCTCAGAGCCTTCCCGACATCCGCACCGATCCACTCATCCTCTTCTTCAGAATCGTCGATCGTGCAGGAGCGATCGACGATGAAGAGCTTCCTCAGCGTCGTGCTCGTGCGCAGCATCGACTCGAGAGCAGCCTCGTCAATCACTCCTTTCTGCACGACGACGAGGTGCAGCTCCTCCAGCGACTTGTGCGTCCCGAGCATCCGGAGAAGCGCGCCGGATGCCTCGGGCAGAGGAGGGAGCCTCAGCTCGCGCAGCATCTCCAGTCCGGAGACCTGCGCGGTGCGGTGCCTAGCGTTGTTAGGGCAGCAACCTATACGGCAACCCCAGTACGGACACGGGCGCCAGCGCGGCAGTGAGACGCACCGTGTCGATCAGCTCCGTCATACCAGCAGGCGAGATCTGTATATCTCCGTCGTAGTAGCCGTCCATGAGCAGCTGCTCCAGCTTCGTGGTGGTGCGCAGGACCTTCATCAGCTCGGTGAATTCAGCGGACGAAAGATGGAAGCACTGCAGCTTGAGCCGGCGCAGGTTGCTCGCCACGGACGGCAGGCGCAGCAGCTTCCGAAGCACGCCTCCACGGTCGCCACAGTGAACGTCCTCCTGTGCCGCCGTCACGCTGCGGAGCTTGAGAGGGGTGCCGAGCTCCGCACACTCCTGTGCGACGGCTAGCAGATCGCAGATCTCATATTCTGATTCCCCACCAGCCTCTCTCTCTTCGTCCATCGACCCGTACTGGGACCTGGCCCAGTCACGGACGTCCGCCCAATCCTCTTCGTCGGACATGCTACCCTGCTCCACGAACGCGTACAGCCCTGCCAAGAACGTGCCCGCCTCGTCGGCAGCCAGTGTCGCCTCGGCCAGCCACCTCACGCACACGCTCCCCAGCGCGGGCCTCGCGCCGGGCCTCATGCGCTGGGCAATCGAACGCAGCAGGTCGCCGCCCGCGGACAGCCGCAGCGTCGCGCGGGTCCACTCCAGCACCGCCGCCAGCGCGCTCCGCGACGTCGCCGCCACGCTGCGCTTGCTGTCGTCGGGCAGCGTCTGCAGCACCGCGGGCACGCTGCGCAGCAGCCCTTCGAAGGTGGCTTCCTGCGTGACAGCGGGAAGGCGTGGAGGTGAGACAGGATGACGGCGCGACCGCGGTGTACTGGAATCAATATGTGCGGCCGGGATCTACGCACCATGCTGCTGTTTTCGACGCCGGGACCGCGTGACGGAGGAGGAGGGCCTGGATGCAGTGGACGGGGCGTGGCTGACGCCGGCAGGGACGCGGGGTGTGGTTGATATCGCCCGCTAGCTCGATACGTGTGTCGTGGGGGTGGTCGGCTGCCCGTGGCGTCTGCGGCGGACGCAGAGCGCTGTCGCCGGGTACCTGCACAGCGGTCAAGGTTGCTCGGCTCTCACGGGTCATGCGTGACTGTATTATACGCAGCGAAGCAGCCCGCTCATGCTGACTACTACCAGCGACGCGGCCCCAGTCATTGTCATGGGTCAGCGCGGTCGGTTGCGCTCGCAATCGGTCTCTGCTGTGAGATATGTGTACGGCTCCCAGAGAGCTCAGGGCCGCACTAAGCGAGATGAACCATGGCTCCGGCTCGTCTTCCGTATCTCAAGTCCAGCGTATCGTCGCGCATACGGCGTCGCGACCCCGCCACAGGCCCCGGCAGCGCTGGACGTTGCACTGCTGCGCACCCACGCACCATCGGTCCACGCGACGCAGCGACACGCACCTGGCACCGGCGCGCCGCGGCCAAGTAGTCACACACTCCCTGAGATCTGACGCGGACCCCGAGCACGCGGCGCCCTGGTCTCCACAGCGCACCGGGGGGATCGGAACCCCCCGCGCACGCCCCACACCTCCCCCTGATCGCCGACGCGACGCGGTGTCGACGCGAGTGTGTCTCGCCGCATCTGCGGCCGCCTCGCACAGCCGGTGCGCGCGCAACGAGCAGCGGCTCGGCCGCGGACTCGCAGCGGTCGTCCGCCCGCACGTTGGCGACCTAGTGCCGCGTCTTTCCTGGCGCCCGTGACTGCAAGAGCTGCACCGGAAGAGCGCCTCGCGCGACCGCACACGCTCGCCGCGGGCACAGGCGGAGCATGCGACACAGCACGTCCGGGCGCGGTCGTTTGTCGACACGGTCACTTGACAGATTGGTATTTTGGGTGCCCCTGTCTCGTGGCGACCGAGCGGTCTGGCGGCGCACGTGCGCAGGGGTCACAGCTACCCGCCCGACCTCTCGGGCTGCTCGTCTCTGCTCTCTCCCTCCCGTGCTGGACCCGCGCACCGCCTGATGTGTACGTGACGTGTCGGACGTGCCGCTGCTGAGCGTCTCGCGTCGCCGCACTCGCAGCACCTACGTTGAGGGAGGGCTAATATTAATGCGGAGCTTGATGCGTCCCCAGCCCTCCTCGTACGTGTGACGCAGCCTGCCCTTGAGCCCGTTGACCTCCTCCTGGATGTCTTGCTGCGGCGTTGCCTTCGATGCCCCCCAGAGCGCCGCTCCGATCTCGTGATGTTTCCCCAGTTGCCGCCGCTCGACCATCGCATCGACCAGCTCCCGCATCCCACGCAAGGGAAGACTGTCGACCCTGCACCCCCCCACGTCGATGACCCTGAGCGCGCAGCCCCGCCGCAGTGCGCGTGCGAACGATGTCGCCACGGTATCGTCGACGGAACATGCAAGCTGAAGCTGTTGATTCAACGTCGTCAGACGGTGAGTCTGCGGCCTAACGATGCCGAGCCGCAGGCACTCAAGGGCGGACTCGGCACCGAGCGAGTCTGCCAACGCAGTCGCCCCCGCCACGCCGATCTTGCTGTCCATCAAGTCCGCGACCTGGAGGGTGGTGTTGCGCTCAAGACCTGCCGCAAGCCCACGCGCCCCTTCGTCGCCGATGTCGCATCCGTGAAGGGTGAGGGTCTTGAGCGCGCGGTTCGTACGCAGCGCGGTGCCGAGCGCGGCGGTTCCTTCGTCACCGAATGAGGCGTGGCAGATCTCCAGGTCGCGCAGGACATGGTTGTGCTCCAGCGCCTTTGCGAGGGCCACGAAGCCTTCCGTGTCCCTGCCCTGCCTCGGCTTGTCGAAGATTCTGAGGGTCTCCAGAGTGCGGCCCAGCGCTCCGTCAGCGATGGCCTTCGCGAGCTCGCGCACGAACCCAGGCACCAGCTCGCGGGAATCGCAGCGGTCACCGACGTGCAGCTCGACCACGCTCGACCTCGACGACAGCGCTCGAGCGACATCGACCGCGCCGGCCAGACCGCCTCCCAAGCGCATCACCCGCAGCGCGCTGCCCCGCCTCACCGCCGCCGCGAGTTTAAAGGGCGAGATGATTTTGCTGTCAAAAGATCCCCACATGTCGAGGCGCTGCAAGGTCGTGTTCTGGAGCAGGCCGTCGACGTCACCGTCGTTGAGCATGACCCAGTCGCCCCCGACGTGCAGTTCCCGCAGCGTGTTGTTCTGGGAGAGTCCAGCACTCAGAGCCTTCCCGACATCCGCACCGATCCACTCATCCTCTTCTTCAGAATCGTCGTACGCATCGGAATAATCGACGATGAAGAGCTTCCTCAGCGTCGTGCTCGTGCGCAGCATCGACTCGAGAGCAGCCTCGTCAAGCTGTCCTTTCTGCACGACTGTCGTAACGACCAGGTGCAGCTCCTCCAGCGACTTGTGCGTCCCGAGCATCCGGAGAAGCGCGCCGCCCGAAGCCTCGGGCAGAGGAGGCAGCGAGAGGTCGCGCAGCATCTCCAGTCCGGAGACCTGCGCGGTGCGGTGCGTTGCGTTGTTGGTGCAGCAACCTCCACGGCAACCCCAGTACGGACACGGGCGCCAGCGCGGCAGTGAGACGCACCGTGTCGATCAGCTCCGTCATGCCAGCAGGCGAGATCTGTATATCTCCGGGGTAGTAGCCGTCCATGAGCAGCTGCTCCAGCTTCGTGGTGGTGCGCAGGACCTTCATCAGCTCGGTGAATTCAGCGGACGAAAGATGGAAGCACTGCAGCTTGAGCTGGCGCAGGTTGCTCGCCACGGACGGCAGGCGCAGCAGCTCCAGAAGCACGCCTCCGCAGTCGCCGTCGTCAAAGTCCTCCTGTGCCGCCGTCACGCTGCGGAGCTTGAGAGGGGTGCCGAGCTCCGCACACTCCTGTGCGACGGCTAGCAGATCGCAGATCTCATATTCTGTTTCCCAACCAGCCTCTCTCTCTTCGTCCATCGACCCGTACTGGGACCTGGCCCAGTCACGGACGTCCGCCCAATCCTCGTCGTCGGACATGCTACCCTGCTGCTCCACGAACGCGTACAGCCCCGCCAAGAACGTGCCCGCCTCGTCGGCAGCCAGTGTCGCCTCGGCCAGCCACCTCACGCACACGCTCCCCAGCGCGGGCCTCGCGCCGGGCCTCATGCGCTGGGCGATCGAGTGCAGCAGGTCGCCGCCCGCGGACAGCCGCAGCGTCGCGCGGGTCCGCTCCAGCACCGTCGCCAGCGCACTCCACGACGTCGCCGCCACGCTGCGCTTGCTGTCGTCGGGCAGCGCCTGCAGCACCGCGGGCACGCCGTGAAGCAGCTCTTCGAAGGTGGCTTCCTGCGTGACAGCGGGAAGGTGTGGAGGTGAGACAGGATGACGGCGCGACCGCGGTGTACTGGAATCAATATGTGCGGCCGGGATCTACGCACCATGCTGCTGTTTTCGACGCCGGGGCCGCGTGACGGAGGAGGAGGGCCTGGATGCAGTGGACGGGGCGTGGCTGACGCCGGCAGGGACGCGGGGTGTGGTTGATATCGCCCGCTAGCTCGATACGTGTGTCGTGGGGGTGGTCGGCTGCCCGTGGCGTCTGCGGCGGACGCAGAGCGCTGTCGCCGGGTACCTGCACAGCGGTCAAGGTTGCTCGGCTCTCACGGGTCATGCGTGACTGTATTATACGCAGCGAAGCAGCCCGCTCATGCTGATCGCTACCAGTGACGCGGCCCCGGTCATTGTCATGGGTCAGCGCGGTCGGTTGCGCTCGCAATCGGTCCCTGCTGTGATCTGTGTGTGTGTACGGCTCCCAGAGAGCTCAGGGCCGCACTAAGCGAGATGAACCATGGCTCCGGCTCGTCTTCCGTATCTCAAGTCCAGCGTATCGTCGCGCACACGGCGTCGCGACCCCGCCACAGGCCCCGACAGCGCTGGACGTTGCACTGCTGCGCACCCACGCACCATCGGTCCACGCGACGCAGCAACACGCACCTGGCACCGCCACGCCGCGGCCAAGTAGTCACACACTCCCTGAGATCTGACGCGGACCCCGAGCACGCGGCGCCCTGGTCTCCACAGCGCACCGGGGGGCTCGGGACCCCCGCGCACGCCCCACACCTCCCCCTGATCGCCGACGCGACGCGACGTCGACGCGAGTGTGACTCGCCGCACCTGCGGCTGCCTCATACAGGCGGTGCGCGCGCAACCAGCAGCGGCTCGGCCGCGGACTCGCAGCGGTCGTCGAACGGCACGTTGGCGACGTCACACATTTTTCCGGCGCCCGTGACTGGCAGAGCTCAAGTGGACGGGCGCCTTGTGCGAGGGCGCACTCGCCGACGGGTCGCCGCGGGCGCAGGCGGAGCATGCGACACAGCACGTCCGGACGTTTGTCGACACGGTCACTTGACAGATTGGTATTTTGGGTGCCCCTGTCTCGTGGCGACCGAGCGGTCTGGCGGCGCACGTGCGCAGGGGTCACAGCTACCCGCCCGACCTCTCGGGCTGCTCGTCTCTGCTCTCTCCCTCCCGTGCTGGACCCGCGCACCGCCTGATGTGTACGTGTCGTGTCGGACGTGCCGCTGCTGAGCGTCTCGCGTCGCCGCACTCGCAGCATCTACGTTGATCGAGGGCTCATATTAATGCGGAGCTTGATGCGTCCCCAGCCCTCCTCGTACGTGCGACGCAGCCTGCCCTTGAGCCCGTCGACCTCCTTCTGGATGTCTTGCTTCGGCGTCGCCTTCGATGCCGCCCAGAGCGCCGCTCCGATCTCGTGATGTTTCCCCAGTTGCCGCCGCTCGACCATCGCATCGACCAGCTCCCGCATCCCACGCAAGGGAAGACTGTCGACCCTGCACCCCCCCCCGTCGATGACCCTGAGTGTGCAGCCCCGCCGCAGTGCGCGTGCGAACGACATCGCCACGGTATCGTCGACGGGACATGCAAGCCGACCTAGATTCAAGTTTGTCAGACGGCGAGCCTGCGGACTACCGGAGTCGACTCGCAGGCATTCGAGCGCAGACCCCGCACCGAGCGAGTCTGCCAACGCAGTCGCCCCCGCCACGCCGATGCGGCTGTCGAACAATTTCGCGACCTGGAGGGTGGTGTTGTGCACCAGACCCGCTGCGAGTCTGCACAGCCCTTCGTCGCCGATGTCGCATCGGTTCAGGTTGAGGGTCTTGAGCGCGCGGTTCGTACGCAGCGCGGTGCCGAGCGCGGCGGTTTCCTCGTCACCGAACGCGGCGTCGCAGATCTCCAGGTCCCGCAGGACATGGTTGTGCTCCAGCGCCTTTGTGAGGGCCACGAAGCCTTCCGTGTCCCTGCCCTGCCTAGACTTGTCGAAGATTCTGAGGGCCTCCAGAGTGCGGCCCAGCGCTCCGTCAGCGATGGCCTTCGCGAGCTCGCGCACGAACCCAGGCACCAGCTCGCTGAGAGTCCGGGGCGTAACGACGTGCAGCTCGACCACGCACGACCTCGACGACAGCGCTCGAGCGACATCGACCACGCCGACCAGACCGCCTGGCACGTGCATCACCCGCAGCGCGCTGCCCCGCCTCACCGCCGCCGCGAGTTTGAGCGGCGAGATGCATCTGCGGTCATAAGATCCCCACAGGTCGAGGCGCTGCAGGCTTGTGTTCTGTAGCAGGCTGTCGATGTCGCCGTCGTCGGGTTCGAGCCAGTCGCCCCCGACGTGCAGTTCCCGCAGCGTGTTGTTCTGGGAGAGTCCAGCGCTCAGAGCCTTCCCGACATCCGCAGAGATCCACTCACCCTCTTCTTCAGAACCGTCGTACAGATCGGAACGATCGACGATGAGGAGCTTCCTCAGCGTCGTGCTCGTGCGCAGCATCGACTCGAGAGCAGTCTCGTCAATCACTGGTTTCAGCACGACCAGGTGCAGCTCCTCCAGCGACTTGTGCCTCCCGAGCATCCGGAGAAGCGCGCCGCCGGATGCCTCGGGCAGAGGAGGGAGCCTCAGCTCGCGCAGCATCTCCAGTCCAGAGACCTGCGCGGCGCGGTGCCTAGCGTTGTTGGTGCAGCAACCTCCACGGCAACCCCAACATGGACACGGGCACCGCCGCGGCAGCGAGACGCACCGTGTCGATCAGCTCCGCCATGCCAGCAGGCGAGATCTGTATCTCTCCGGGGTAGTAGTAGCACATGAGCAGCTGCTCCAGCTTTGTGGTGGTGCGCAGGACCTTCATCAGCTCGGTGAATTCAGCGGACGTAAGATGGAAGCGCTCCAGCTTGAGCTGGCGCAGGTTGCTCGCCACGGACGGCAGGCGCAGCAGCTCCAGAAGCACGCCTCCGCGGTCGCCACCGTCAAAGTCCTCCTGTACCGCCGTCACGCCGCGGAGCTTGAGGGGGGTGCCGAGCTTCACGCACTCCTGTGCGACGGCTAGCAGATCGAATATCTCATATTCTGTTTCCCAACCAGCCTCTTCCTCGTCCATCGACCCGTACTGGGACCTTGCCCAGTCACGGACGTCCGCGCAATCCTCGTCGTCGGACATGCCACCCTGCTGCTCCACGAACGCGTACAGCCCCGCCAAGAACGTGCCCGCCTCGTCGGCAGCCAGTGTCGCCTCGGCCAGCCACCTCACGCACACGCTCCCCAGCGCGGGCCTCGCGCCGGGCCTCATGTGCTGGGCGATCGAACGCAGCAGGTCGCCGCCCGCGGACAGCCGCAGCGTCGCGCGGGTCCGCTCCAGCACCGCCGCCAGCGCGCTCCACGACGTCGCCGCCACGCTGCGCTTGCTGTCGTCGGGCAGCGTCTGCAGCACCGCGGGCACGCTGCGCAGCAGCCCTTCGAAGGTAGCTTCCTGCGTGACAGTGAGCGGGGAGGACAAGGGGGCGTGAGACGGACGACGGCGCGACGGCGATGCAATACGTGCGGTCGGGATCTGCGCACCATGCTGCTGTTTTCGGCGCAGGGGCCGCGCGACGGAGCAGGGCCTGGATGCAGTGGACGGGGCGTGGTTGACGCCGGCAGGGACGCGGGGTGTGATTGATATCGCCCGCTAGCTTGATACGTGTGTCGTGGGGGTGGTCGGCTGCCCGTGGCGTCTGCGGCGGACGCAGAGCGCTGTCGCCGGGTACCTGCACAGCGGTCAAGGTTGCTCGGCTCTCACGGGTCATGCGTGACTGCGTGGAACACATGAAGCAGCCCGCTCATGCTGATCGCTATCAGCGACGCGGCCCCGGTCATTGTCATGGGTTAGTGCGCACGGTCGGTTGCGCTCGCAATCGGTCCCTGCTGTGATCTGTGTGTGTGTACGGCTCCCAGAGAGCTCAGGGCCGCACTAAGCGAGATGAACCATGGCTCCGGCTGGTCTTCCGTATCTCAAGTCCAGCGTATCGTCGCGCACACGGCGTCGCGACCCCGCCACAGGCCCCGGCAGCGCTGGACGTTGCACTGCTGCGCACCCACGCACCATCGGTCCACGCGACGCAGCGACACGCACCTGGCACCGGCGCGCCGCGGCCAAGTAGTCACACACTCCCTGAGATCTGACGCGGACCCCGAGCACGCGGCGCCCTGGTCTCCACAGCGCACCGGGGGGCTCGGGACCCCCGCGCACGCCCCACACCTCCCCCTGATCGCCGACGCGACGCGACGGCGACGCGAGTGTGACTCGCCGCACCTGCGGCTGCCTCATACAGGCGGTGCGCGCGCAACCAGCAGCGGCTCGGCCGCGGACTCGCAGCGGTCGTCGAACGGCACGTTAACGACGTCGGATATTTCTTTCCGGCGCCCGTGACTGGCAGAGCTCAAGTGGACGGGCGCCTTGTGCGAGGGCGCACTCGCCGACGGGTCGCCGCGGGCACAGGCGGAGCATGCGGCACAGCACGTCCGGGCGCGGTGGTTCGTGGACACGGTCACAAGGCTGATAGGTATTTTGGGCGCCCGTGTCTCGTGGCGACCGAGCGGCCGGGCGGCGCACGTGCGCAGGGGTCACAGCTACACGCCCCATCTCGGGCTCGTTCGTCGTATCTTCCCTCCCATGCTGGACCCGCGAAACGCCTGCACCACCTGATGTATGCTCTGTTGCAGGGGGGTGTCTCTGTGGCGCTCGGTGTCGTTGATACCTGCGTGCACACTACGTGACGTGCCGCTGCTGAGCGTCTCGCGTCGCCGCACTCGCAGCATCTACGTTGATCGAGGGCTGATGCGGAGCTTGATGCGTCCCCAGCCCTCCTCGTACGTGCGACGCAGCCTGCCCTTGAGCCCGTCGACCTCCTTCTGGATGTCTTGCTTCGGCGTCGCCTTCGATGCCCCCCAGAGCCCCGCTCCGATCTCGTGATGTTTCCCCAGTTGCCGCCGCTCGACCATCGCATCGACCAGCTCCCGCATCCCACGCAAGGGAAGACTGTCGACCCTGCACCCCCCCACGTCGATGACCCTGAGTGTGCAGCCCCGCCGCAGTGCGCGTGCGAGCGACATCGCCACGGTATCGTCGACGGAACATGCAAGCTGACGTATTTTCAAGTTAGTCAGTTGGTGAGTCTGCGGCGTAAGGATGCCGAGCCGCAGGCACTCAAGGGCGGACTCGGCACCGAGCGAGTCTGCCAACGCAGTCGCCCCCGCCCTGCCGATCTTGCTGTCCATCAAGTCCGCGACCTGGAGGGTTGTGTTGCGCTGAAGACCTGCCGCAAGCCCACGCGCCCCTTCGTCGCCGATGTCGCATTGTTGCAGGGTGAGGGTCTTGAGCGCGCGGTTCGTCTGCAGCGCGGTGCCGAGCGCGGTGGCTTCTTCGTCACCGAATGAGGCGTGGCAGATCTCCAGGTCGCGCAGGACATGGTTGTGCTCCAGCGCCTTTGCGAGGGCCACGAAGCCTTCCGTGTCCCTGCCCTGCCTAGACTTGTCGAAGATTCTGAGGGCCTCCAGAGTGCGGCCCAGCGCTCCGTCAGCGATGGCCTTCGCGAGCTCGCGCACGTACCCAGGCGACAGCTCGCTGAGATGCCAGCGCTCACCGACGTGCAGCTCGACCACGCACGACCTCGACGACAGCGCTCGAGCGACATCGACCATGTCAGTCAGCTTGCCTTCCAAGCGCATCACCCGCAGCGCGCTGCCCCGCCTCACCGCCGCCGCGAGTTTGAGCGGCGAGATGCATCTGCCGGAAATAGATCTCCCCAGATCGAGGCGCTGCAGGGTCGTGTTCTGTAGCAGGCTGTCGACGTCACCGTCGTTGAACGTGAGACAGTCGCCCCAGACGATCAGTTCCCGCAGCGTGTTGTTCTGGGAGAGTCCAGCGCTCAGAGCCTTCCCGACATCCGCAGAGATCCACTCACCCTCTTCTTCAGAACCGTCGTTCGGGCGGGACTGATCGGCGATGAGGAGCTTCCTCAGCGTCGCGCTCGTGTGCAGCATCGACTCGAGAGCAGTCTCGTCAAGCTGTCCTTTCTGCACGACGATGAGGTGCAGCTCCTCCAGCGACTTGTGCCTCCCGAGCATCCGGAGAAGCGCGCCGCCGGATGCCTCAGCCAGAGGAGGCAGCCTCAGCTCGCGCAGCATCTCCAGTCCAGAGACCTGCGCGGCGCGGTGCCTAGCGTTGTTGGTGCAGCAACCTCCACGGCAACCCCAACATGGACACGGGCGCCAGCGCGGCAGTGAGACGCACCGTGTCGATCAGCTCCGCCATGCCAGCAGGCGAGATCTGTATCTCTCCGTCGTAGTGGTCGTCCATGAGCAGCTGCTCCAGCTTTGTGGTGGTGCGCAGGACCTTCATCAGCTCGGTGAATTCAGTGGACGAAAGATGGAAGCGCTTCAGCTTGAGCCGGCGCAGGTTGCTCGCCACGGACGGCAGGCGCAGCAGCTCCAGAAGCACGCCTCCGTAGCCTTCATCGTCAAAGTCCTGTACCGTCACGCCGCGGAGCTTGAGAGGGGTGCCGAGCTCCGCGCACTCCTGTGCGACGGCTAGCAGATCGCAGATCTCACGATCTTTTTTCCAACCAGCTCTCTCATCGTCCATCGACCCGTACTGGGACCTTGCCCAGTCACGGACCTTGCCGAGACAATCCTCTTCTTCAGACATGCCACCCTGCGGCACTTCGGGCGCGTACAGCCCCGCCAAGAACGTGCCCGCCTCGTCGGCAGCCAGTGTCGCCTCGGCCAGCCACCTCACGCACACGCTCCCCAGCGCGGGCCTCGCGCCGGGCGTCATGCGCTGGGCAATCGAACGCAGGAGGTCGCCGCCCGCGGACAGCCGCAGCGTCGCGCGGGTCCGCTCCAGCACCGCCGCCAGCGCGCTCCGCGACGTCGCCGCCACGCTGCGCTTGCTGTCGTCGGGCAGCGTCTGCAGCACCGCGGGCACGCTGCGCAGCAGCTCTTCGAAGGTCGACCCCTGCGTGCGACGAGCGGGGACGCGGGCGCGTGAGACGGCTGCTGGCGCGATGGCGGCGCACTGAAGTACTAACGTGCAGCCGGGATCTGCGCACCATGCTGCTGTTGTCGCCGTCAGGGCCGCGCGACGGAGCACAACGGCCTTGATGCAGTGGACAGGGCGTGCTTGACGCAGTGAGCCGCGCGCGGCGTAGATCGTGTCTCCCTGTGGCTTGATATGTATGTCTTGGAGACGGTCGCCAGCGCGTGGCGTCTGAGGCGGACGCAGAGCGCGGTTGCCGGGGTACCTGCACAGCACGGTGAGTTCGAAGCGCAGCAGCCGTTTTGAGACCGTGCTACACAGCAAGAACGTCGCCTACACATTCAACGATGCGTCGCAACCATGAGCACTGGAGCATAGTTCGCCCTGTCCGCGACAGTGCGCGGGAGTAGCAACAGTATTTGCCCCGTCTCCCACGGTCCGTGTGCGCGCTGAATGAGCCTGAGAGTTAATATCAGGACAGTCAGATAGACAGAGACATCGGGAAGGTCAGAGAAGCGGCCGTATTCTGACGCTGTCTGATCCAATGACGCGCTCAGCGACGCACCTCGCTTCTCTCCGATACGCGCGCAAGGCGTGACGCGCACCTGCCCGGGCGAGTACCGCCTGTCGGTCCTGACTGCCGGGGACCTGCGTCGCCCCACGCATTCGTGACGCCGTCAACACCGCCGACGCGAGGGGCCCTCACCGCTGGGCGCGCTCAGGCGACACCTCCAGCGCGCCAGGCAGGCGCGGCGCCGGCCCCGTTGCCGGACGGCACGATGCGCAGCTGCACATTCTTGTGCGCGGCGGTGCACATCCACGGCTGGACGGCAAACCCCGGCATCGCGGCCGGCGTTGACAGCTGGCGCACCCCAGCACGCGGCAACAGCGCATTTCTGCGCGTCCAGAGGCCCGCGGGCGCAGCCCGCACTCCCTCCGGCTCCTCGTTTGCGTGAGGCATCACCCGTCGCCGCCGAAGGCTCCGCGCGGGGCCCTGGCGAGCCGTTCGCCGCATAGTTGGTGAGGCGTCATCATGTCCGGCACCTCCGACGATGCGGAGCTGACGGCGCTCGTGGAGGGCCTCGGCAGCCACTTCCGCGAGGCGCTGGGGGCGCCGAGCGGGCTGCCGGGCTTCAAGGTCCGCTCTACGGCGATATCTCTGAGCAGGGGCGGGACCCAAGCCTACAGTGAGGTGCGCTCCACGGTCACACCGCGCGCTGGCGCCCCATCTGACCCGGCGGCGCGAGGCAACTGCCGAACAGCAGGCGGCACGGACGGCGAACATCGTCGTTCGCGCGCCACCGGCTCGGCCCGCCATCCTGCAACCAAATGCAAACAGACTCGCGGCTCGTTCGCGACATTGACGCGCCCTCGCCGGACCAGACGCGCGCAATGACAAAACTTGACGTCCAACATATCAGAACACTGCCAGTTCTCGGTTCAATCGCCGCGTGCAGCCCGGCACGACCCCCGTGCTGTGTCCCGCTTCGCACGCCTTCGCGCACGCCGTCACGCTCGCCCGGTCCCACGCGTCCTCCGCGCAGGCCTCGGCGAGGAACTCCATCCAGGAGCTGTCAAAGCAATCTCCGGACCCGGAGCGTCTCCGCGCGGTGCACCAGCGTCTTGCCGCCCGCTCCCCACGCGGCCTCGCCAACTTCGTGTGCACGCTCGAGCAGGTCGCGCGGCTCGACCGCACCGTCCTCTCCACCCTCTCCATCGCGTCCAGGGCGCGCGCGGCCCGCGACGCCCTCCGCGCGGGCGCCCCCAGCACGCCCCCGGCCTCCCCGCCGCGCCCGCTCCCCACCGACCCGCCCTCGCACGCGCGACCCTCCCCGCCGCCGCACCCGAGCCTCCTCGACGACTCCCTCCGCTCCATCCCCTCCGCCGCGGCCACGCCCGCGCGCGCCCCACCCGCGCCCGCCCCGCCCCCGCACCGCACCACACCGGACACGTCGCCGTCCCTCGAGTGGATCGGCGGGCAGCGGTTCGCGGCGGTCACGAACCCGGTCTTCGGCACCGCGCAGCCAGCGCCCGCGGCGGTCCTCGACCCGCAGTTCGAGGCCGTCGGGGACCTCCTCGACGCGCAGGGTGCTCACAAGCGCAGCGGCATCGCTGCGGGGCGACCGTACCTCACGGGCGACCACCTGCTCGCCGGGCTGCTCGGAGGGGACGCGGACGGCGCGGGGGCGCGGCAGTGGGGCGTGCGGGAGCTCGACGAGGCCGGGCTGGGCGCTCCGGAGGCGCAGGAGGCGGTGCTTGTCGACGACGTGCTGAGCGCGATGGCGGGGCTCGAGGGGCGGCTGGTGTCGCTGGTCGCGGGGGACTCCGGGCGCGGCGCGGCGTTCCAGGTCGCCGCGGGCGTCGAGCGGCCGCTCGCGGAGCTGTGCGGGCGCATCCTGCCCGCGTGCGAGAGCGCGCTGCTCGTGCGGCGGTTCTGTCAGACCAGGCGCGCGTGGGGTGAGTCGGACCCGCGATCGCACACCGCAGCGCCGCGTGCGTGCCTCGTGCGTGCCTCGCGACAACATCCGACCCGTGTTTCCCAAACCTCCCCCCCCTCTTGCCTACAGGGTCCCAACACTCGCAAGGGTTGGTGAGTCAGGCGCTCGCGGCGGCGCTGGAGAAGGTCCTCGCGGAGTGGGCGGCGCTCACGTCGAAGATGGAGCACCAGCAGCGCCTCGGCCGCCTCTCCCTGCAGTCGGCGCTGCTGTTCGTGCAGCCCGCCATGCACGGCCTGCACGTGGCGGCGTCCCTCGCGGCCACCGCGGCCGAGAAGTCCCTGCGCGGCGGCGCGCTGCTCGACCTCCTCGGCGCGCTCCGCAGCGCCAACGCCGGCGACGCGTCCGTGCACGCGGTCCTGCACGCGCTGTGGGTTGCGGCGGCGCGGCCCTACCTGATGATGCTGGACCGCTGGCTGTCCGAGGGCGTGCTGGAGGACCCGTACGAGGAGTTCATGGTGCGGGAGGACACGCACGTGCAGCCGCGGGACATGTCGAGCGACCCGTTCGCGGACTGGTGGGCGGGGCGGTTTGTGCTGCGCGGGAGCAACAGCGTGCCCAAGGTGCTCGCGGGGATGGCGGACCAGATCCTGGCGACCGGGCGCACGCTCGCGGTGGCGCGGCTGGACGCGGAGAGCGCGGGCGGGGCGCAGGCGGGGCCGCAGGGGCTGGCGCGGGTCGGCGGCGGCGCGTCGGCGAGCGACTGGGTCGGGGGCGCGCCGGACGCGCGTTCGATCAGGGACGCGATCGATGCGGCGCACGGCGCGGCGTGCGCGAAGGCGATGGCGCGGCTGCGGGAGGGCGTCGACCTGGAGGGCCGGCTGCGGACGATGCGGGCGGTGTTCCTGATGTCGGCGGGGGACTTCATAACACACCTCCTGGACACGTGCTCCGAGGAGCTCTGGCAGCCCATGCACCGCGTGTCGCTGCCGCGCCTGCAGCGCCTCGTCGAGGCGGCCGTTCGGTCCACCTCCATCGCGTCGGACGCGTACGCAGAAGACGTGCGCGTGAGGCTCGAGACAGACAGTCTGACGCGGCAGCTGCGGCGGGCGTTCGCCGAGGGACGCGCCGCTGCGCCCGCGCCGTACGTGCCGTCTGGTCAGGACGGTCGCCGGGGGCTGGAGACGTTCGCCCTGGATGCGCAGGCGCCATGGCCTGCATCGCTCGTGCTCCACCGGCGCGCGCTGGACAAGTACAAGGTGCGGCGGCTCGGGGTTGGGGACGCGTCTGTCTGCCCTGCCGGGCCCGCAACGGGCCGGATGCGCCGCTTCGCAGCACGAGAGCGCCTCGAAACAACAATCCTCGATTCCCGCGGACCTTTGCAGATCATATTCCGGCACTTCCTGTTCTGCAAGAGCCTGGAGCGGCGGCTGTGCGGCGCGGTCGCGCGCCTGCGGCTCCTGCGCGGCACGGGCGGCCCGGCGTACGCCGGGATGTCGGCCGCACAGCGCGGCCTGCGGTCGATGGCCCACGTCGTGCGCGAGTACCTCTCCTTCGTGACGCTCGAGGTGGTGGAGCCGGAGTGGGAGAAAATGGTGGAGCGCGTGCGCGCCGCGACGTCGCCCGACGAGGCCGCGCGGCACCACGAGAGCTTCCTTGACACGTGCCTGTCGCTGTCGCTCCTGCACCGGCCCGCGAGCGGCCGCCGCGGACAAGGTGCGCCGCGCATGCGACGCGCACCCCGCCATCGCTGCGACGCAACGCCCTCGCACCCGTCGTCGCTCGCCCGGGCCGTCGTGAAGTGCATTGTTTCCCACGAAACAACGCAGACAACTCCTGCCCTGCGCGGCCCGCGCCTTTTTCCGCGGTGATACCTGCCGAGACAGGAGAATGTCGCCGAGCTGACTGGTTCACTTCCCGTGCGATCACTTGCCCTCGCAGCGCTGGTGCGCTTGTACGACGTCCTGACAGTGTGCGACACGGCGCTGGCGCCGACGGAGAGCGACATCAAGGAGGCAGAGGAGCGCGCGGCGCGTGCTGATGCGGGGCGGCACGGGGCCGCGGAGGACGGCGCGCGCGCGGTGACGACGCGGCTGGCGGCGCTGGTGGGGAGCGCGGCCTTTGCGGAGCGCTGGGTCGCGTCGGAGGAGGGGCTGACGCGCAGCATGCGGGCGCTGCTGGAGCAGCTGCACAAGGAGACCATGGTGAGCCCCGTGCTCTCGAACCTGGTGAGTCGACTGGACTGGAACCAGTACTTCTCGACTGCGGGTGCGGGGCGCGGTGGCGCTGCGGGCGTGCGGCACGCGATGCCCAACGGCGGGCCCGCGACTGCCGTGGCGTCGTGAGGCGCGGGCCGGCCGCCGTGGCAGCCCATGAGGCGTTGCTGGTATGACTGACGCAGATCAGGTGTGTGTGTGCGGGCAGCTGCGGTCGTTGGCGATGGCCAGCGACGTTCAGGTGCAGGGCGGTCAACGGGACGCGGGTCGCGACGGCTGGAAGTGCGCTTGCATGCCGCTGTGCTTCGCATCGCGAGGACCATCCAGTGTTCGTAGCAGCCTCAAGGCTTGTTCTGCCGAGGGAAGGGTTCACAGGCAGCCATTGAGCCACGAACGCACCGGTAATACCCCGTGTTGTACTTCTAGTAGGCGAAAGAGACCTGCGGGGACCGTGATGGCGGCGCGCGGGGCACGCCAGGCAGCGGAGAGCGCTGGCAAGTGCTTGAGTGTGCAGTCACACGTCGTTTCGGGTTATGTTGGCAACAGATGCGCTATATTCACTCTTCAGGTCCGCATCATCTCCAATTACGAGCACAACACGTCGCCCATGTCCCCCCGCGAGCGTCATCCTCTCTGTACTAGCAACGTGCTCGCCGCGCACCAGAGGCGCATGTGTTCCTCGCACATTCAAACATGAGAATCATCTAACCAGTACCCGCGTCATCGGCTGGAAGACTCATCCATCATCTCGCTCAGGAATGCCACACTGCGACCGCTTGGCCTGCAGATGCTTGGCCTCGACGCTGACGCCGTCAACACCGTGCAGCTGTCCAACCACACGGGATACCCTTCCTTCAAAGGATCGTTCCTCTCCGCCAGCGACCTAGACGCCCTGGCCGCGGGCCTCGACGACAGCGGCCTGCTGGGCCGCTACACGCACATGCTGAGCGGCTTCGTGCGTGGTGCCCCGCTGCTGGCCCGCGTCGCAGCCCTCGCGAAGGACGTCAAGGCCAAGACGCCCTCCCTGACGTACCTCTGCGACCCCGTCATGGGCGACGCGGGCCGCCTATATGTGGAGCAAGAGATGATTGACATCTACCGCACGCAGGTCGTGCCGCACGCCACCATCGTGACGCCGAACCAGTTCGAGGCCGAGCTCCTCACGAACACCAAGGTCACCAGCGAGGACACCGCCTGGGCCGCCGCCGACCAGCTCCACCGCATGGGCCCCACCACCGTCATCCTCACCTCGCTCGACGAGGCCGTCGCCGGGACGGAGAAGATCGTCGTGCTCGGGTCCCGGACGCCACCCGACGGCGGCGCCCCGCAGCGCGTCCGCGCAGAGGTCCCGCGCGTCCGCAGCTACTTCACGGGCACAGGCGACCTGCTCGCCGCGCTGCTGCTTGCGCGGCTCTCGGAGGCGCCGGCGGACGCGGAGGGCCTCGCGGCGGCGCTCGGACTCGCGCTGGGGTCGCTGCAGGCCGTCGTGAGGGAGACGGCGGCGGCGGCGGGCGAGGCGGCGCTGGCCGGGGAGCGCACAGCCGCCAACTCTGCCGCCAGGGAGTTGCGCTTGGTGCAGTGCCGGGCGTGGCTGGCGGAGCCGCCCGAGGTGGTGCCCGTGACGGTGGTGTCGTGAGGGGGGCGCGTGCGGCCATGGCGGCGCGGCTTGGCGCTGCGCGCGCCGTTGTGATGTTGCTCGGCGCGCGTGTGACGTTGTCGGCGCGAATGTGGGGAGGTGCTGAGTGTGAGTGGGGCCGGCGAGGTGGCGTGCGGGGGGTGGGGAGGGCTGCGATGCGAGAGTCGAGGTTGCGTGGCGGCTGCTGCCACTGATCCAGTGTTCGGGGGAGGCGCGCTTTTCGTTAGGGAAAGCTCGATCTGGAGCAAATGGGATGCTCGAGCACTTTCCCTGGTCGTAAGGGATTCGGGATTGAATTCGTTGCGTGCGCGACAGATTCACGGGAAGCGCAGGTTGCGATGCCCGCAGCGACCGCAGGCGCGGTCGAATCTTGTTCGTGCCTGAGAAGCGGGGGGCGTCTGAGGAGGTGGGAGGAACGACGGCGCCTCGATGCCAGGCGGGGTCCGGCTGCTCGACCACACGCTGCGAACGCGCACAAGCGCCACGCTGGTTCGAGAGACGTCAGAGAGATAGGTTCGGACTGCGTATACGCGAGGAACGCGCGCTCGCTTGTGCTCCGCTAGCTTTGGCTCCTCGGCCACGCCTCGCCAAGGTCTAACAGCAGGTCCTCGTTCGGTCTCATTTCGCCCCTCATCACCGGGCGGCTCGTCGCGGCTCCGTCGCTTCTGCGGTGAAGTGACGTGCCCATGCGCGCGCACTCGCCACAACACCACGCACTGCCCACCGCCCTGGGCGCGCTCGCGGGGCGGTCGCAGCACCGCTGGGCACCCCGCCGCGCGCCTCGCCTTCTCCTGAGCCGAAGGTTGCTCCACAGCAGCAGCAGACCGGGCATCACGGGCGCGCCGGCGGGTGCAGCTGCTCGCCACAAGGAAGTGATCGAGGAGGGTTGCGGCCTCTGTGGCGGCCTGCTGGCCCGCTCCGCCGCCTCACGCGGCAGAAAGCTGGCCTTCCTGCGGGACACGAGGGGATTCGCGGCCCCTGAGGACACGTCGGTCGGAACGGCCAGCGCAGAGGCGCAGGCTACCACACACAACGGCGCGGCCCCGGCCTCCGAGACAGCATCCGATGCGATCAAGGAGCACAGCTCACCGGCGCCCAACGCGTCCAACGGACACGCGAGCCAGGACGCGGAGGATGACTGGGAGCCCCGGGCTCCTGGCCTCGCAGGGTTCTTGCGCACTCCGCACGACAAGGAGATCCTCTCCATGGTGGTTCCCGCGATGGCCGCGGTCCTGCTCGACCCGGTGATGAACCTCGTCGACACAGGCACGCCCCCGACGCCGCCCGAGCCGCGCACCGCGCACGCCCCTTGCCTACTCAGCAACAGCGCCCTGGCAGCCCCGCCTCACGCCCGACCGCCTTGTGCTTCGCTCACGCGGCGCGACCTCTGTGCTCGCAGCGCTCGTCGGGCGTTTGGGCGCCGCGAACCTCGCGGGAGCCGGCACCGCGGGTCTGATCTTCTCCTTCAGCTCGTGGCTCTTCGGGTTCCTGGCCATGGTGACGACGCCCAAGGTGGCCGTCGCGCGCGCCAAGGGCAACCACGAGGAGGCCTACCGCCAGGTCGGCCAGACCATCTTCCTCGCGGCGTCCATCGGGTGCTGCCTCGCGGCTGGCTTCTGGGTGGGCGCAGAGAAGCTCGCGGGGACGCTCGCGCACGGGGACCCGGCCGTGCTGGGCCACGCCACGACGTACCTCAAGTGCCGCGCGCTCTCCGCACCCTTCCTCCTCGTCCAGTTCGTCGCGTTCGGATCCTTCAGGTCCCCTCACACGCCAACCCTGCCCTGTCCGCCGCACTCAGTCGTCCGCGACACCTGTGCGCCAGCAACCGCGCTGCACCGCCGAGTACGGCGCCTCACTGCGCCCCCCCCTCGTCTGCGTGCGCAGGGGCATGAAGGACACGCGCACGCCGCTGCTGGCGTCGGTGCTGTCCAACATCACCAACCTGCTGCTGGACTGCCTCTTCATCTTCGGGTTCGGCTGGGGCGTCGCGGGGGCGTCCATCGCGTCGTCGATCGCGGTGACCGTCGGGTGCACCACCGCCCTCACGCTGCTGTGCCGCAAGGGCATGATCAAAGCACGGGTGAGGCCCACACGCACCCGCTCACGCGCACCCGCTCCCCCGCGTCGCCACCGCAGCCCCCAGCCAACGCCTGTCACGTCCTTCCATGCTCGGCGACGATGACGTCAAGTCGCCCGTTCGGCTCACAGCCTGCTTTAGGGGGGGCTGCCCGCGTGCAGCGGCGCGCCTGCATTCACGCGGGCCCCTCACCGTGCGTCCTGTCGTTTCCGCTGCTCGCAGTACGTCTTCCGGATCCCGCCGTGGTCGGACGTGCTCCCCACCTTCACCGCGGGCCTCTCGCTGTCGCTGCGCACCATCTCCGGCATGGCGGCCGTCCTCACCGCCACGTCGTGCATCTCGTGGCTCGGCGCCGCACCGCTCGCTGCCCACGAGATCCTCCGCCAGATGTGGATCTTGACCATCATGGCGTACGAGGGGTTCAACGCCGCGGCGAACGCGCTCATCGCGGTCGGCGTGGGGCAGGGCCGCCCGGACAGGGCCGCCGGGGTGTTCCGGCGCCTCATGGAGCTCAGCGGCATCTGGGGCCTCGCCGTCGGGCTGTCGCTGTGGTTTGCGCGGCATCAGATTGCGGCGACCTTCACCACTGACCCGGCGGTGGCGATGGTCGTGCTCGCCATCTTCCCGCTCCTGACGGCGCTGCAGCCGCTGGACGCGATGGTCGGCGTCATGGACGGCACGATGTACGGGCTGCAGGAGCACAAGTTCATCGGCATGTCGATGGCAGTCACGACGGCCTTCTGTCTGAGCACGTTGTTCGGGCTGTGGCAGGTGTGGCCGTCCGTGATGGCGGTGTGGGTGAGCCTGAAGGTGCTGACGATCGGGCGCGGGGTCGCGGGGACGTGGAAGCTCACGCGCAAGGACAGTTTCCTGATGGAGGCCGCGCGGATGCGCGCCGAGGAGCAGGAGCTGAACGGCGCGCGGGGAACGAACGGCAACGGAGGTGGCGGGCCGCTGCCAGCACCCGCTGCCACAGGTTGAGCGCGCTGTGTCCTCGTTGACAGAGGGGCGCACATGTGTTGATAGCGCTCCGAACCCGACCGCGGCGATGGTCGAGGCCCTCTCGCTGTGATGCAGGCAAAGCGAGTGCTGACGTCTTCGCCGCCCTACCCTGCTGCAGCGTCGCATCGCCCTCGTGCTTACTTGTTCAGGGATTCACGTCAACCATGTTTCTGCAATGTTGATGGCCCTTGGCAAGGGCCATTTGTATTTGTCGCAGCTCACAAGGGCCCGTCCGTGTCGTCTGGCCCGTCGTCAGGTCGCCCTCGAACCTCGCGCAGGCTTGCTATCAGCGTTCGAACCTCCGCAGGCAGTGCTGCTTCGCTCCGGACCCAAGGCGTTGCCCCGCTGCTGGACCGCACCGCGCTGCAGTCCCAGGGCTTCGTCGGGACGGGAGCGGCGCCGTCCACGAGGAAGCACAGCCCCGAGAGGACGTCCTCGAGGCCAAACAAGTCTTCGTCGTCTTCGAAGAAACGGAACCCCGCCTTGCCACCTCCGCACACCCCCAGGGGCCTTTTGGCCGACATGTTGTCGCCGCGGACCCCGCGCTTGTACTGAACTTCCTCGGACGTGGGGGATATCTTCGGGAGGTGCATCAGGAGACGAGCTGAACCGGGCGCACGCGAACCGGGCGCACGCGGGCTCCTGTCAATGGACCAGGCAACGCCTTCGACGTCGACGGGACAGTACTCTGGCGCGCGCTCCTGCTTCGCCGCGTCCCTCCAGAACGTCTGGTGATTCGCACGCGGGCACGGAGCACAACCATGAGCGACGCACTGATCAATGGCCTGGACTGGATATCTTCGAACGCACTACGTCGGCAACGTCATCGCGTCGGCCGCACCTTTCGGATTTCCACAACCTCCGGCACACGCACTTCGATCCCCGTCCTCCCCACCTTGACCGTCACGTCCTTCTCGCGCACCCACGCGGGCAGCGCGGCCTCCACGGTGACGTCGCCGTCCGACTCCTGCACCACCACGCCTGGCACGAGCGCGCGGGCGCCGCACGGGTCGCCGCGGAACGCCGCTTCCCATGTCGGCGGCTCGCGCCGCCCGGCGTCGTCCTTGGGCAGCAGCACCGCGCACACCCGCCCGTCCACGGTGCAGATCACCTCCGCCGCCACATCGGGCGCCACGGGGCCCCACAACTCCCGCTCCACCACCGCAGGAGCCCCGCGCTGCCCGATCGTGATCCTCCCGCCAGACAGCTCCACGGTGGGCCTCTGTCCGCGCGGGCCCGGCGCTGGCATGAAGCAGGCCAGCAGCACCAAGCAGTCAGTCTGATGCCACATGTAGTACCGCGCGAGGCCGAGATCGTACGTCTGTGCGCTGTCCGGACGTCGGGCTGCCGCGGCCGCTGCCGCGAGGAAGCGCCGCGTCTCGGCCTTCTCGTGCTCTGAGCGGTGGTTGGGGTCGGCCAGCGTCAGGCGCCGTGCGTCGTCAATGCGCTTCTTCTCGTACTCCTGCTTCCCCAGCCGCTCCAGCATCATGCCTGGGCGATCTACGGTGGGCCAGTGGAGGCCCCACGCCCCGCGCCAGTGCCTCGTGCGCGTGCAGAAGTCGCAGATGGGCATGCGACAGACGAAGCACTCGGCGGTGGCGGGGCGGTGGCAGACCTCGCAGACGACCACGAGCTGGCAGCGCGGGTCGCAGTGGAGGCCGAGAGCCACGAGCTCGTCGAGCAGGACCGCGGCCTCTCGCGCCTGCTCCCCCGGGTACAAGTCGCCGCGCCTCGGCCCGACGTAGCGGTGCCGCAGGTCAGACTGGAGAGCGTCGTACACGCCTCGCCGCTTGGGGTCGGACAGGACCTGCGGAAACGTGGCCACGGCTGGCTGGGAAGGTGAAACGGCGGCACTTGTTCGCTTCTTGCTGCAATGCCAGCCAACTCTATTCTCCTGCTCGCCTCTGCGGGGCTGAGCGGAGAGATCGGGGAGCCTGTCATCGCACCTCGTAGGCCTTCTGTATCGCGGCGAACGTCTGGTCATCGCCGCCTTTGTCGGGGTGGTGCAGCCGCGCCTTGCGGCGGTAGGCACTCCTGATCTCTGCTTCACTGGCATCCCTCGCGACGCCCAGGGCAACGTAGTGCGCGTCTCCGTCGATGTCTTCCACCTGTACAGGGTGCGATCGATCTGACACGGTCAAGCGCCCGCGGTCTGCGATCCCTGGGCGCGAGGTCGAGGCATGTTCATCGTAGTCTCAAAACAGCTCTGTCGCGGGGATAAGCGGTCGCAGTCACTTCTAAGCAAGTGGAACAGGACGCTATTAATTCAGGCTGGCGAAGGAGAGATCAGCCGTGAACGGGCGCAGCGGGGGGTGCGTCTGACACCGCCTCACCTGGGACCAAGGATCATCCCCGTTCATGTTCTCGCTCGCGAAGTCAACGGAGGCGGCCTGCCGCTGGAAGTACGGCCAGCTGCGCGCTGCGCACGAACGATGAGCGCTGTGGCGGGGCGCCGCGTCAGCCCGTGTGCCGACGTTGATGCTATTGACAGCAGGGGGGGGGTCGTTTTGCGGCTATTTCCTACCTGCGAGGCGTCGACTTACGCTCGGCTTCGGCTCATTGTCAAGAACATTGCGAGGTTCACCCGTGTGCGAGAGCCTGTAGCCGCGCTTGACACACACAGTGAGTTTTTGCGAGCTTTCTGAGGTCGAGGCTGGCCGTGTGGCGGGTGGGACACTCAGGGACGCGATGCGCGCGCTCGCATCTCCGTGTGCTAGATGCGCGCTTCGTTGTGTTGTGTCGCGGATGGCCGGCAGCAAACGGTCGGTAGCGGCTCGCGCGGGCGGCAAGAAGCCGGAGGGTGAGGCGTTCGACATCCGGAAGGTTGCAGACCTCGCTCACATGGACTTGACGGACAAGGAGGTGCGCAACGGTATCCTGCGACGATCAGGCGGCCAGGCGTCGAGCAGCCCGTTTGCCGCACGGGCTCACGGCGTCGTTTTACCGTCATGTTCCTCCTGCGGCACCTGAGGCCGTTTCGTTCACACATGCGCGTTTGAAGAAGTTTCGATGCTACCGTACGACTCTTCATACATCAGAGCGCTCGCATGTTTCAGGATAGCATCCATCAACCCCGCATTTCGTCGCGCTGCTCGTGTGTTCATCCAGTTCCCATCAACGCCCGTCACCGCGCCAAGAGCTGCGCAGGTTGAGGAATGGACGCCCCAAATTACTTCGATCGTCGACTGGTTCGGAGAGCTGAGCGAAGTGGACACTTCCGGCGTGCCTCCGGCGCTGCGGGCGAGCGAGGGGAAGCACCGCCTGCGCCCGGACGAGCCCGTGGCGTACGAGGGGCGCGAAGAGGTGATGAAGGCCGTGCCGAAGATGGACGGCGACCTCGTGCGCGTGCCCAAGATCGGCAGCGGTGCCGACTCCGTCGAGGGCTGACGAGAGGCAGAGAGAGAGCGCGCGTCGAGACAGGTTGAAGCGAACGCAACGCCAACGGACGTAGCAGCCGCGGGAGACCGCCCACGGACACTCGCGGTCGTTGGTGTGATCCTGCACAGTCACTTGGCGCTCATCGACGCGCCCTCTTCATGTCGAAGATCTTCCAACCTCGGGACCTGCCCCGGGCTGCCTGGGGTCGCGGACTCGCTTCGCTCTCCTGTTGCCAGCGGTCACAGGACCCCTACTTGGTGAGGGAGCGCGCGAACTTCTGCAGCGACGCCACCGCGCGCAGGGCGTTCCCAAGACCCCCCATCAGACCCCCCCCCTCCTGCTCCTCGCCCTCCTCCGGCTCGAGCCCCAGCCCACGCATCACGATCGAGTCCAGCGCCTCCCCCGCTGGCCGCCGCGGCTCCTCCGCCACCAGCTTGTACCTCCCGGGCGTCGTCTCGTCCTCCACAAACACCTGCCACAGCCCCGGGTACCGCCGGAACACCGAGCCGACGTCCTCGATCGGGCGGATCGAGTACGCCGTGACGAACGACCCCAAAAAGTTGTCGCGCATGCGCCGCACGTTCAGGCCGATCCCCACGTCGCCCGACGCCAGCCGCGGGTTGAAGAGAATCATCGCCTGGCCCGGACCCAGCGAGTTCGCCGCCGCCTGCGTCTCCTCCAGGCCCTGCGACGCGACACCTCGCGGACAAAAAATACTTGGCGCACGCCGCGGCAGTCAGACAGCGCCGCTCCTCGGCACAGTGCGAAATCAGTGCCGTCCTACGCACAGGCCCGTCTCTGCGTCGGACGGCGCTTGCTGTGCATGAGGGCGACGCACCTGCGGGTCTGGCGCCGCCACGACCACGATGCCGTCCTCGGGGCTCACGGGGTTGCGGTCCGTGAGCGCCGAGATCTCGAATCCGATTTCCTCGCCATCCGCAGCCCACGAGTTCTTGAGCATGGCCGCGACGCCCATGTCCGGGTAGATCGCGCGCATCTGGCCGCGGTCCCCCGCCGTCGCGCGCACCTGGTCGATGAACCGCCGCGTCAGCCGCCAGAAGCGCTGCTGGTCCCCCTCGTCGCGGAACATCGCGCCGCTGATCGGGTCCCAGAAGTCCGGCACGAGGATCTCGACGACCATGCGGCCCTGCCCGCGCTCCATCGCGTCGCAGCAGGCCTGCGCTGCCTGCACGGGGAACGTCGCGCGCAGCGCAAAAGGACGTGAAGGGCGCCCGGAAACAGCTTTGCGCATCGGCCCTCGAGAGGTTAGCGCATCAAAGTAGCGCTAGCTGGCGGGGCGGCGACGTCAGCGCACCTGCGAGAGCGAGTCTTCGAGGGAGTCGGGCAGGACGTCGTCGTCGCGAGGCCCGGTGACTTCTGGCGTTGGCTCCTGGGGGCTGGGCTCTGCGGCCGCCTGCGCCTCCACCTCGGGAACGGCGCCGGAGAGCGCCGCAAGCTCCTCGGGGGTCGGGGCGCGCGGCTGATCGCCGCTGAACAGGTCGCCGCCCTGGTCCTGGGCGGCCCGGCGCACAGAGCGCAAGGGGTCCGGCGTCCATGCGCGCTGAGCCCGCTGGTGCGCACCACGGACCCTGCACGGGGCGCTGCAAGTACGACAGACGGAGCGATGCGTGTCAGGTGGGATGTGAGCGCTCGGTGGCTGCGTGCGCGACGACGATGTGCCCGGGCTCAGACGGAAGTGAGGATTCCGGGGGATTCCGAGGGTGGAACGACTTGCTCGGCGCGCGAGATGGCCGCGTAAAGTATGAACTATGCGGCAGTTGCATCGAAGTCATGCGTCCGAGGCCGTGCGACGGCCCAGCGGCCTGGATTTCCCCCTACGCCGGCCACTCACTCGCCCTCCCCGGAGGCCCCGAGAACACGCGTGAAACGGCTCGCGCGACCACACAGGCCGCACTAGAGTGCTCGGTGAGTTCCCAGGGTTGCGCAAATGCGACGCCCTCGCCTCACGGTGCGACGCGGGGCAAATCCACAACACAGGGGCGCACCTCAGAGCGCCCGCGCCCTTAAGCAAGCTGGCCGCCATGGTGCACGCCTGGCTCGACGACACTCTATCGCGAGTCACCTGGACGTCGGCAGGGCGCAGCAGCGAGCGCTCAGGGCGCCTCGCCGCGAGTCGCGCACGCAGACGCCCCTGAGGCCTCCCAGTCCCCCGCACGGCCACAGGGCGGACGAGGCGCGGTGGCCCAAACGGTCCGGACGGAAGCGGCGGCCCCAGCGGAGTCGGGCGCTGCGGTGAGAGCCGTGTCGTCGACCTGTGCGCCACCGAATGAGGTTTCACACACAGGTGGACAAGTAGCGTTGTGGTGTTCCAGGACGGGCCGGTCACGAGACGGGATGGCGGGCGAGGCGCGGTCGTCCTGCGCCGCTGCGGGCACCCGGGCGGCTCGGCAAGCGGAGTGCGGCGTGCGCAAGTTGCAGACACACCGTGGTGCGACACGACGGGGCGGAGGGTCGAGATGATCGCGCGCGTGCCCGGCAAAGCTTGGCTGGGCTGCGTCTGTGGGGCGGCTGCTGGGACGTGCTGCGCCGCCGCTACGGCGCGGCACGCGAGCCCGCGGCCCGGAGCATCAGGAGTGCCCATGTGGCCCCACCCCGCTGCTCTCTCGCGGAGACTTTCGTGTGTTTTCGCCTCGGACGAGAACCCGCGGATGAGGATGAGCTTCGGGGGATTCAGATTTGTTTTGGTTCGATCGTTCGCGGAGGTGTGTCGTCGGACGAATATGGAGGAGTGGAGCCCGGACAGCCCCGGCGCAGGAAGCGTCGCCCGGGGCTTACTTGGCGGTGTGACGCGGTGCGGCGTGAACTGCATGTGTTGCTCGTCTGCGGAGCGGTGCAAGAGCTTCTGCTGCTGCGCTTCAGAGGCGATCACGGGGACGTCACGCGTTAGTTTGCGCCCGTCGTTGGTGCCGTTGGCGACCCCCCGCGCTCCCTAGTTGCGAAACTTCACCAAACAGCGAAATGCTCTCCGCTGCGACGTCGTAGGGAGGGATCGCGGCGGGCCGATCGGGCCAAACAGCCTCAGCTGCGGGGCACGGTTTCTCCGCGCTGCGCGGGGGTGAGAGCCGCCTCGTGGCACACAGGACATTAGGCGGTCGCTCGGAGGACGTGCACGATGCCGAAGAGGAAGCGCACGAAGGGGGAGTCCGGCTCGAAGAGGCCTGAGTTCAGACAAGTCACCGTCTCTGGCGCGGCCGACGGACCGCACAAGGACCACCACTGGGCCAGCAACTATGTGTCGACGGCCAAGTACAACCTCCTGACGTACCTTCCGATCGCGCTCTTCGAGCAGTACAGGCAAGACCCGAAGGACGAGCCGCTCACAGCTGACCTGCCGCGACGCGCCGACGCCGGTCCGGTCAGCGCCGTAGAAGGGCCGCCGCGGGCCTGTCGTGATCTGTCCATGCCCCTTCCGCGCCCTCGCGAGCCCAAGCCCCGCCCCCGCGCCGCGCGCGCCAGGCCTGAACCCTGCGCGGCTGCCCCTGCACTGCTCCTCGCTCCGTTTCGCGGCGGTTCCCGACCGGCGCGGCGCGAGGACGTCCCCGCAGGCGCGTGGCGAATGTGTACTTCACGCTCATGGCCGCCCTGTCGGTGACGGAGTTCTCTCCGCTGCGCCCGTTCACGACCTTCACCCCGCTGGTGATCGTGATGGGCACGGCCATGGTCAAGGAGGCGTACGAGGACTTCAAGCGCCACAGAGCGGACCGCGAGGAGAACAACCGCGAAAGCCTCGTCTGGGACGGCACCAAGTGGGAGCCCAAGCGCTGGCACGAGATCGAGGTGCGCTCATGCAACACCCGTCCTGGCGCCGCGCACGGCCCGCGGGGGGCGCATTCCGCCCCCCCCGCACGAGCCGCGCACCACGCACGCATAGCTCGATCGTTCCCGGATCCGTCGCGCCGCGTTTCGCCGCCCCGCCAGCCGCAACGGCGCACCAGCCACCGCGCCGGGCTGCGCGCGGCTCAGCCCGCGCGCCCCCGCGCCCCCGCGCCCTGCAGATGGGCGACCTCGTCAAGGTCCAGCGCGACGAGGCGTTCCCGGCCGACCTCGTCCTCCTCGACTCGTCCATCGACGAGGGCGTGTGCTACATCGAGACGGTAAACCTCGACGGCGAGTCCAACCTGAAGATCAAGCAGGCCGTCGAGGAGGCGCGCCCGCTCGTGCGCGAGGGCAAGCTGTCCGACTTCCGCGGCGTCATCGAGTGCGAGCTCCCGAACGTCTCGCTCTACACCTTTGCCGGCAACATCCTCCTCAACCAGCTGGCCGCCAACGGACGCGCGCCGGACCCGATCCCGCTCGAGCCCTCCATGGTACTCCTGCGCGGGTCCTCCCTCCGGAACACCCCCTGGGTCATCGGCACGGCCGTCTACACCGGTCACGAGACGAAGGTCTACATGAACGCCACGCGCCCGCCCTCGAAGCGCTCCACGATCGAGCGCCAGCTGGACACGTGCATCTACGTGATGATGTCGCTGCTGATCGTCATCTGCGTCATCGGCGCCATCTTCTTCGGCATCTGGACCCGCGACCGCATGCCCGACATGTGGTACCTGGTGCCCGAGGACGTCGACACCGTGCAGTTCGACCCGGACAAACCAGCCATGGTCGGCTTCCTCGGATTCCTCACCTCGTTCATCCTCTACGGTGAGCGCGCGCCGCCGCCCCGTGCAGCAGCGCACGCCCCCGCCGCAACGCACGCCGCGCGCTTCCGTGCGGCCGCGGTCTGTACGTGGGTGTGTATGTGTACGTTTTTGTGTGTGCGCGCGCAGGGTATCTGGTGCCGATCTCGCTGTACGTGTCTGTGGAGATCGTGAAGATCATCCAGTCGATGTGGTTCATCCACTTCGACAAGGAGATGTTCGACGAGCGCACCAAGCAGCTGTGCCTAGCGCGCACGTCCAACCTGAACGAGGAGCTCGGCATGATCGAGATCGTCCTGTCCGACAAGACCGGGACGCTGACGCAGAACCAGATGGAGTTCCTCAAGTGCTCGGTCGCTGGCGAGTCGTACGGCCAGGGCCTCACGGAGGTCGAGCGCGCCATGATGCAGCACTCGTACCACCCGGGCGAGCCCCGCGCGCAGGACAACATCCCGGAGGACCTCGGCGGACTCAAGGAGAAGGGGTTCAACTTCTGGGACACGCGCATCCTGTTCGGGTGCGAACCACTGCCCCCCGCCGCACGCCCGCCGCCGCCGCCTGTCCGCGTGCCAGCGGCGACCCACGCAGGCACGTGTCTCGCCGGGGCTTGCGCAGGGCGTGGCACAAGCAGCCGAGCGCGGACATCATCGAGAGCTTCCTGCGGTGCCTCGCGGTGTGCCACACGGTGATCCCGGACCGCGACCCGGAGACGGGCGACGTGGCGTACGAGGCGGAGAGCCCCGACGAGGCCGCCCTGCTGGTGGCTGCGAAGAACATGGGCTTCCGGTTCACCGACCGCAAGCAGGGCAAGATCACGGTCGAGGAGACGACCCCGCGCGGCACGGAGAGCGTCGTGTACGAGATCGTCGCGCTGCTCGAGTTCAACTCGACCCGCAAGCGCATGTCGGTCATCGCGCGGCGGGAGGGCGACGGGCGCCTGCTGCTGTTCACCAAGGGCGCGGACTCGGTGATCTACGAGCGGCTGTCGTCCAAGGTGAAGCAGACGGTCGCGGCGGCAACGCGCGAGCACCTGCAGGAGTACGGCGAGGCGGGGCTGCGCACGCTGTGCCTGGCGTACGCCGAGATCCCGCAGGCGCGGTTCGACAAGTGGTGGAAGACGTACATGGCGGCGCGCACGTCGATCGTCGGGCGCGAGGAGAAGCTGATGGAGGCGTACGACGACATCGAGACGGACCTGGTGCTGCTGGGGTGCACGGCGATTGAGGACAAGCTGCAGGTGGGCGTCCCGAAGACGATCGAGACGCTGCTGGACGGCGGGATCAAGGTCTGGGTGCTCACGGGCGACAAGCTGGAGACGGCGGTCAACATCGGGCACGCGTGCAACCTGCTGCGGCACGACATGACCATCGTGCTGGTGAACCCGGACACGGCCGAGGTGGCGGCGCTGGAGGAGGACGGGAAGCGGGAGGAGGCGCGCGCGCTGCAGCGCAAGACGGCGCTGAAGCAGCTGCGGGAGGCCATGGACATGATGGAGGGCGGGACGGCGTCGCGGGAGGGGGGGAGTAAGTACGGGTACAACCACGCGCTGGTGATCACGGGCGCGGCGATCGGGTACTGCATGGCCGACGAGGACGCGCGCGCGATGTTCTGGGAGGTCGCGAGCTCGTGCAGCAGCGTGATCTGCTGCCGCGTGTCGCCGAAGCAGAAGGCGGAGGTGACGGCGCTGGCGCGGCTCAAGGGCCTGCGCGCGCTGGGCATCGGCGACGGCGCGAACGACGTGGGCATGATCCAGGAGGCGGACATCGGCGTGGGCATCAGCGGGCTCGAGGGCCGCCAGGCGGTGATGTCGTCGGACTTCGCCATCGGGCAGTTCCGCTTCCTGGAGACGCTGCTCATGGTGCACGGGCGGTGGTGCTACAAGCGGATATCGCGCATGGTCGGGTACTTCTTCTACAAGAACCTGGTGTTCGGGCTGTCGGTATTCTACTACAACGCGTTCGCCTTCTTCTCGGGGCAGTTCACCTACGACCAGTTCTACATTGGGCTCTACAACGTCATCTTCACCGCGCTCCCGCCCGTCATCGTCGGCGTGCTCGACCAGGACGTCGACCGCAAGACCTGCCACCACTACCCGGGGCTCTACCGCCAGGGCATCCTCAACGAGTGGTTCGGCCTGCCCGCGCGGGGCGGGTGGTTCTTCACGGGCGTCCTGCAGTCCGTCCTCGTCTTCTTCGGCGGCCTCATGGGCAACTACCTCGCGATGTCGGACTCCTCCGGCCGCCCCGTCGAGATGTGGGTCAACGGCGTGACCATCTTCACCTGCGTCATCATCACCGTGCACCTGCAGCTGGCCTTCGTGCTCGACTTCTGGACCTGGCTCCACCACTTCTCCATCTGGGGCTCCATCATCGTCTGGTTCATCTTCATCATCGTCTACGGAGCCGTGCCCCCCGAGTGGATGCTCGACGAGAACGTGCGCTACCTCTTCGTCGACATCGTCGCCAAGATGCCGCGCTTCTGGCTCATCTGCCTCGTCGTCCCCGTCCTCGCCGTCCTCCCGGACTTCCTCTACCGCGTCCTGCGCCGCCTCGTGTACCCGGACGACCACCACATCCTCCAGGAGCACAACCTCATGAAGAGCCGCAAGAGCTGCCTGCGCGGCGGGTGGCTCGCGGGCGCGGGCCTCGTCCGCCGCCTCGCCAGCGCGGATCTCAAGAAACAGGCCGAGGCCATCGAGACCGCGCCCGTCGCCCAGTTCGCCGACATGTCGGCTGGCGCGTCGCCGGAGAAGCTGGGCATGCCCGCGGTCAGCGACGGGGCCGCACTGCCTGCGCGGATCAGCCAGGCCGCGAGCGCGGCGAGCGGGGAGGGGATCGTGTCGGCGTACGGGTCGGTCGGGGAGGACGGCAAGGACATGCGGCGCCGGATGATGGCCAGCAAGTCGGGGAAGGGCACGCCGCAACGGACCACGTCGAGGCGCACCAACGCGATGCGCGCTGCCAGAGGTGCGCCACACCCCTCCTCGCGTGCATGTCCGCCGCTTTCGAAACTCATGCCGTTCGCGCCGCCACGCGTGCCTCGCGCTGCGCTGCTGCAGCGATCGAGTGTCGTCTTCTTCATTGTTGTCGTTGTTGTTCTGTTCGTACGGAGGCTGTGGTCGACTCCTGCACGCGACCCGCCGCCTGCCCCTCGCAGAGTTCGCCGGGGACCTCAACACGGCCGGTCCGTTCTCCGCGGTCCGGTCCTCGCGGCGCGACATGCACAACCGCGCGCAGAGCCGCGTGCTGGCCGACCTGAACTTCATGGGCGGCAACCTCACCACCTTCGACAGATTCACCGCCAAGTTCGCCGCCGAGCGCGCCGCGGGGCTGCAGCAGCAGGTCAAGGAGAAGGTCCACCGGCGGATCAAGTCGGACATGCCGCAGGCCAGCACCGACATGCTCACCGCCGACATCAGCGACATCCTCAGCAGGGAGCGCGACGTGCCGCCCGGGCGCGGCAGGCAGCGCCGCGGGATGAAGCTCGGCCTCGCGCCCGTGGTGAGCAACGCGGGCAACCTCGTCGAAGATCTCAGCCCGACCTCGCCCGCAGGCGAGGGCAGTCCCAAGAGGGGCTTCGGGGGGGACTCGCGAAAGAAGCAGCTGGCGCCGCTTGGCGAGGGCGTCGAGGACCCGTCGCCGGGGACGCCCTCCGCGCACGCCAAGCTGCGGCGCGCCCTGTCGGACGGCGGGGAAGGGGCGGCTGTGGGCCAGGGGCTGCCTTCGCCACACATGGCCACGGCGAAGTCGTCCGAGGCCGAGGGGCGCTTCACGGGCTCGGAGGGCGAGGAGGAGGAGGCGCAGGCCAACCCCAAGAAGTAGACTCCCTGCGTCGTCCACATGGGCGCTCACCTAGACCTGGGTTTATTTCCGCGCCACCCCAGGCTCCGGGCCCAACGGCGCACCCAAGCAGCCCGTGACTCGGCGCTGATTGGGGTGCACGAACCAACGCGACGTGTAATTCTTCGTTGACCGCCGCGAGAGCTTTCACATGTGCGCCGCACCCCTAGGCCAGTATCTGCGCGGTCAGCCGCTCCATCGCCGGCGCGAGCCCCGGGTTCGTCGTCTTGATCGCGTTCATCGCCTGCACCAGCCGCGACCGCCGGTCCTCCGCCTTGGACGCCTCCTCCGCGAGCCTGGCCCGGTCCATGCCCTCCACCACTGGCCGGTGCCGCCCCGCCGCCAGCTCCTCGAACCGGCGCGCCAGCCGCTGCAGCTTCGCCGTGCTCACCACCGTCGACACCTTCCGCGACGCCGCCGCCCCCAGCTCCGCCCGCAGGTCCTGCTCCTCCTGCCGCAGCGCATGGCACCGCGCCGCCACGCGCTCCGACTCCTCCGCCGCCTTCCCGCGCGCCTCCTCGAGCTCCCGGATCCGCGACTCCGACGCTCCGGCCTCCTGCTCCGTCGCGCGGATCGACCGCTTCAGCTCCGCGGCGCGCTTCTTCGCGCCCGCCGCGGTCGCGTCGAACGACCCCTTCTTGGCCTGGAACGACCGGCCCTTGTCGCCGATGACGCCGCGCTTCGAGATGCCGCGCTCCATCTCCGTGATGAGGCGCTCCTGGAGCCGCAGCAGCTCCGTGAACCGCAGCTTCATGCGGTGGATCTCCTTGCGCATGGCCTCCACCACCTCGCGGCCCACCTCCGGGTCGATCGCCTCCTGCATCTCCTTCTCGAGCTGGATCTTGCGCTCCCAGAGCATGATCTGGCGCTCCGTCTCCACGATGTCCGCCATCACCGCGCGCTTCTCCTCGTGCTTGCCCGAGATCTTGCTCTCCAGGCGCGCCGCCTCCTCCTCCATGGACCGCAGCTCCCCGAGCACCTTGTTCTGCAGGTTGAAGTTGTCCGACTCGAGCTCCTGCTGCAGCCCCGCGTTCTTCGCGATGAGCCCGTTCAGCCGCTGCATCTCCCCCTGCATGCGCGCCACGGCCTGGTCCAGCCCCTTGATGTCCTTCACCGTGTGCTCGTACTGCTGCTCCAGCCGCCGCCGCTTCTGCATGATCACCGTGATCTCCGCCTTCCGCCGCTGGATCGCCTCCTCCATCGCGTTGTTGTCGTTCACCACGCCCACCAGCTCCGTCTGGAAGTTGATCCACCGCCGCTGCAGCTCCTTCCCCTCCACGCCCTTCTGCAATATCTCCTTCCGCAGGTTGCTGATCGTGCTCTCCAGCGGGCCCATGCTCTCCTCCTCGCGCCCCGCCGTCAGCCGGTCGTACATCTTGTTCAGGTGGTCAACGTACTTGGTCTTCTTCTCGATCGCGTCGTTCCGGGACCGCAGGTCCTGCTCGTACTTCTCGATCGCGCGGCTCCGCTCGTGCATCTCGCGGTCCAGCAGCCGCAGCGCCTCCTCGAGCTGCTCGTTGTGCCCCGTGGTGTTGAGAATGTCCACCTCCACCTTGGCCAGCTCGTTCTGCAGGTTGATCGCCGCCAGCTCCTCGGCCTGCACGCGCGCCCGCGTCTCCCGCGTCTCCGTCACCGCCTTGCTCGCGCTCTTCTCCAGCGTCACCTGGTCGCTCAGCCGCGTCAGCATCTCCGTCGCCAGCTCCTGGATGCTGTTGGACACCTTGACGTACTCGCGGTCCAGCCGCTCCGACTCCGACGCCAGCTGCCGCCCCGCCTTCCGCGCCCCCTCCAGCTCGCCCTCCGTCACGTCCAGCGCCTGCTCCGCGCGCTGCTGCTTGGCGCGCACCTCGTCCTGGCGCGCCACCAGCGCCGCGATCTGCCGCTGCAGGAACGTGGCCTCGCCCTGCACCTTCTTCAGCACCGCCGTGAGCTGCTCGTTGCGCTGCTCCTCGCGCAGCACGTCGCGGCGCGTGCCGTCGACCTCCACCACCATCGCGGCGTGCTCCTCGTCCTGCTGCTTGATCGCGCTCTCCGTCGCCCGCAGCGCCTCCACGCGCCGCGAGATCATCACCAGCGCCGACCGCCACTGCTGCGACAGCTGCTTCTTCTCGAAGTGGATCCCCTCCATCTCCAGCTCCGCCTCCGCCAGCGTCTGCTTCGCCGCCGCCGTCTCCTTCCGCTGCGCGTCCAGCTGCAGCCGCACCACCGCCAGCTCCTGGTGCTTGGTCTTCAGCTGCTCCTGCATCCGGTCGATCCGCAGGTCCTGCTCCAGCTTCTCCTTCTCCAGCTTCTGCACCGCCTCCTCCGCCGCGTGCGCCGCGCGCTTCGTCACCGCGATCTCCCCGCGGACCTGCTCGTTGTACATCTCAATCTGCTTCAACGTCTCCGCCAACTTGTCCAACTCGCCCTGGAACGCGTCGACGCGCCGCCTGCGACGCCGGGGGGCGCGCGGGGTGAGCGGCGGCGCGCGGGCCGAGGCGGGGCCGCCGGGCGCGCAGGGCGGGGCGCACCTCTCGGCCGCGGTGCGCTTGCTCGCGACCTCCGCGGCCTCGCGGAGCCGGACGACGTCCTGCTCGGTCTGCTGGCGCTGGTCCGCGATGCCCTCGAACTTCTCGTGCGCCTGCTCGAGGCTCACCTGCGGCGGAGCGGCGTCAGGCGCGGGCGGGCATGTTGGTGCTGGGCTGCGGGCGTGTCGACCGCGCGCGTGGTGCCTTGTCGCGGCTTGGGCGAAGCGACCTGACGCGGAGATGCGAGTGGAAGGCCGGGGGGAGGCCGGGCGCGGCCCCGGGCCCACGCGCGGGCCGCCTGCCGGAGGCATGTTCGAGAGTTGCCTGGTCTCAGGGCGGCCTTGTTCTGAGGCGTGTGCGCACCTGGAGGCCGGCAAGGTGCTGCTGAGCGCCGTAGAGCTCCACGCCGATCTCCTCGCGCTCCTTCCTCGCCCTCTGCGCGCACGAAACGGGCGTTCGAACGTGGTCTCGTCCAGCGGGAGAGGCTACCAGGGAGAATTGATGGAATCACGCGTAATGAGCCTCCGCCGGACTCAGGCAAGGAAGCGCAGTCGATTGTGCAGCAGTTGGACGCGCGTGCTCGCCGGTCTACGGTCGGGCAAGAAGGATTGCGCGCTCTGGCAGGAGGAACCGTCGTGTTGCCGGCTGGGCGCTCCGTGCGGCTTCAAGAACAGCCCTGTCGCGCGACGCTGGGCAGAAACAATTGCACTTGCGAGGTTCTTGACAGCGAATCGCCGGCAAGATGGCTCCGCGGCCCGGAACGGGACTCGTGTGCCGCTCTATTAGAATAGATGCCTCCCGCTCGCTCGCCAGGGCTTTCAGAAGCCCTGGGACTGCACCGCGTCGCATCCTTCGATGCACGAGGACTCACCCGGAGCGCTTCGGACTTCTCTCGCAGCTCCTCTTTGAGGCGCTGCTCAGCTTCCTTCAGCTGGGACTTGAGCGCGGCCTGGGCGCGCGCCAGCAGCGGGTGCTCCGGGTCCATCGCGCCGTCGGCACCGAAGATGCCCTCGTCGTCCATCTCCGGGAACTCGTCCGGCGGAGCCTCATTCTCCGGCGGCCCCTGCCCCCGCGACGGGCCAGCATCGCTCGCGCCTTCCGACATCGCAAACCACGAACGCCCCGCTCCCCTCGCGCGTCACTCGCAGTGCCGTCTGCCTTTCAGCGTGACGTCTGTCCTGGCCGCGTGCCCCGCCGCCCCGATGCCCCACTGTGGCCGTCAGCCACCGCCGCGGCGCTCAGACAGACCGCACCGCCCGACCGTCTGACCGCTGCCCCGCGCCATGACTTCGCCCGCGCCCGCGCCACGCCGGCGTGTCTACACCCTGGCCACCTCCAGGCGGGGCCGTGCGCTGCTCCGGCCCGACCAGCTGGGAGTGTCACAACCACCAACCTTTGGCAGGACCGGGCCGCGGTTTGTCGGACTCTGTCGACTTGGACGGACAGCGCGACCCGCGGCGCGTCCTGCGGTGGTGGTCCTCGCCTGGAGAAGCGCACCGGAGCCCCGGCGGTCGATCGTCGCCGAGGCGACGCCACACCAAGCTGTAGGAGGGGGGCTGGTTGCGCAGCTGACGTCAGGTCCCGGACCCGTGGTCGCAGCGGAGAGTCGTGGGCTGAGTGCGGGCGGGCGCGACTCACCGGTCCGTGCGCCCCGCTGACGTGTACGGTATAATTTGCTGGGTGACAGACAGGACGCTCCGACGGCAACAAGGGACGTTGCCCGCGGCAGCCGGGCACACACGGCGTCGATACCGGACCCCGAGTCGAGGAGGGCTGTTTTCTGGCGCTGCCGTCGCGACTGTGCCTGCCGAATCCGGGACCCGCCAAAACAGCACCGTCCGCCTCCGCCGAGGCCCCGCGACCGCGCGCTTGGCCCCTTGGCCGCCAGGAGTGGCGAAGTCGATGCTCATTGTATCGCCGGAGTCGCAGAGCCTCTCGTGTTGAGTCCGTTAACCGCGTGGAGCGCGCACGAGCGCTTGCGTTTTGGGGAGCAGCACTGAGGGTCGGGATGGTGCGCGCGAGGCGGGCCGCGGCTGCCGACGCGGCGCGCAGGGTCAAGAAAGGGCTCCAATGCGACGTGAACGACGTGGAGGCGCGACCGGGCCCGACAGGTCCCCAGCTGGTGCGGCGCGCGACGCCCCTGCAATGCATGAAATGCTGTGGCCTGAGGCTCGCTCTCGGTGCTCCAGCGGCAGGCCCCGCGGGGGACACGTGCACCGCGACCCCCAGGGCGACTGGACCACCGTTCGACCCCGCGCATTCCCAGCAGAAGGCCCACAAGTTGCCCATCGCCTCACGTCCCCTTGCGTCGTGAAATGCGCTGCAGCCGCCTCTGAGCTCGCGCGTGATGGTCCAAACGACGGACGGGGCCTTCTGGGGGAGAGTCACCAAGTTCGACGACCTCATGGAGTGCTTCGAAGTGAGATACGAAGCGGAGGGCGCCTGGAGGGGCTGGCACGCTGCCGACGACGTGCTCGACTTCGATCACGCAGCGGGCGGGGCGCGTGCCGCGCCGCAGAGGGGCCGCACACCTTCGAGACGGAAAGAAGACACCGTCAAGACCCCTGAACACGCTCCCAGGCCGCCGGCGGCCGAGCCAGTGCGCGCCAAGCGAGCCCCAACCCTGCACACGCCCACGCCCGCCCGCCCCGTGGCTGACCGCGACGAAGGCGCCGGCACGGAGCGCCGCGAGCTGCCGCAGCGGTCCACCAAGGATCGCGCGGTCGGCCTCATCCTCCAGACGCTATCTCCGGACCTCCGCCGCCCGCGCCCTGCCGCTGCGCCCACGCCGCCCACTGTGCCGACGCGCGCCGCGGCACGCGGGCCGGGCAAGAGAGCGCGCGAGGACGCCGACGAGCCGCACGCACCGCGCAGCTCGCGGAAGAAGCCGCGGGGCCCGGAAGACACGCAGGCCTCCGCACCCGCTGCGAAGCTCCTTGGCCCTGGGTGCGGGACGTGCCGGCGAGCGCGCCGCGGATGCACGGCGTGCTTGCGATCGAGGATGGCGGCCTGCCTGCACGACCCGTCTGCGCGGCCTACCCCGGAGCTGGTCGAGGCGGTGTTGTTTGCCTGGGTCAACAAACACCTCACGGGACCGAAAGCGGCGAAGCTGTACGACGCGGTGACGCATGCGGCGGGATGTACGGCGAGGGAGGCGTTCGCGCGGTGGCGCGCGGGGCGGCTCCCGGCCGCCTTCGTGGAGTTCGTGGCTGCCGCGGATGACGACTTTGTTGCACGGGTGCTGGGCGGGGCGGCCGGGCTCGGGGCGGCCCGCGCAGAGACGGCGCAGCCAGCGAGGGCGGCGGAGGCGGCCGCGCACGCGCCAGCACCGCGGCCGCGGCAGGTTCGGACAGGTGGGAAAGCAGGCTCTGCGGGCACGAAGAAGGCTGCTGGCCGGACGGGCGGGGGCGTCCCGGCGCGCAACGAGGCGGGCGCGGGCACGGAGGTGAAGGTGCCGGCCGCTGGAGAGCAGGGCGGTGGGAGCGCGGCCAATTTCGTGGACGTGGTGCTGGCGGTGCGTGCCATCATGGTCAAGAAGGCGGCGAGTTTCGCCAAGGACGGGGCGAAGGGAAAGAAGTACACGGAGTGGCTGAAGGACGTGCGGGCGGAGCTGAGGAAGCTGTCAGCGGACGAGCGCAAGGAGTTCAAGGCTGTGTTTGAGGCGGACGGCACCCTGCTCGAGGACTGCAAGGGCCGCGAGGTCACGAACGACTACATCGCGGAGAAGCTGCAGCTCGTCGGGGTGTCCCTGGCCAGCAAGCAGCGCTGCGAGCCCCCCGCGCGCGGCGAGAAGCTGCGGCGCTTTGTTGAGGACGCGACGCTGGCGCGGAAGCTGCAGGCGACGATCCTGAAGGGCGGCGGCGACGCGATGGAGCAGGAGGCCATCGCGCGGCTCATGAAGTCCCCCGTGGCCGCGGAGGGCGGCGACGAGCGCTGCGACGGTGCGGCCCCGCCGTCGCCGTTTGGAGTCTCGCCGTTGCGACACGTCTCGGACTCTTCCGCGGGGCACTCCGCGGACAACGATGCGGCGGAGTTTGGCGTGGAGGTGGACGCGCCGAGCGGCCCCGGGAACCCCGCATCGCCCCCAGAGCGCAAGGCTCGCAGCTACGCAGCGGTCAGCGGTGACGCACTCAGCCCCGCCGCGGAGCCGACGCCGCGCACGCCGCCTCGGCGCTCTGCAAGCCGCGCCGACGACGACGAGGTGGAGCTCAGCTTCGGGGCGGGCATGCAAGCAGCTGCGCGGCCACCGGCAACTCCAGGCTGCACGCCACCCGTCAGCCGTGGTGTTCGCGCTGACTCGGCCTCCCCGCCCGTGCCCGTCCGCGCCGAGCCGATGCAGCTGCCGCAGCTGCCGCTGGCTTCCGTCCGCGCCGAGTCGTCGCCTCTGGAGGTCTCGCACGATGAGGAGGACTCCCACGATGGCTGTTTGCCCACGCCGAGGAGGGCTCGCAATGACCCCCCGAAGGCCGACGGTGCTGCGGCCCCGGCCGCCGCCGCTTCTCCTGCTGTCACTCACGCGGACCCGGCAGGCGATGTGGAGACCCCCGTTCCGGCGACACAAGTGGATGCACTACAGGAGGACAACAACATTGCGCGGCCCTCCCCGCCAGATCCTGCGACGCACTGCGCCGCGCCGGTGCAGGAGACCGCTCGCACGCCTGCCGCGGCGCCGGTGCCGCGCTGCGAGCCCGTCGAGGAGCCTGCGCAGCCGCCGGTGCAGTGCAACACGGTGGCTGCTGTGCCGGCGTGGGAGAACCCGACTTGGTTCGATCCGCGCCTCAAGGCTGCTGTCCAGTGCGTCCGCAACGTCCTGCACGCGTCCTACGCGCACTGCGAGGAGACCGGCCTGCGGGAGCGCGCGGGCGAGCGCGCGGCGCTGCAGCAGCACATCCATCGGGTGCTCGAGGCCAGCAGCGGGGGCGCGGTGTACATCCCGGGGGTCCCCGGCACCGGCAAGACCGTCACCGTGCACGACGTGGCGCGGCGGGCGCTCGGGCAGCGGGTCGCCGGGCACGCGCTCAGCGGCGCGATCTGCATCAACTGCATGGCGATCGGCGGCAGCGAGGCGCGCATTTACGCGGCGCTCCTTGAAGCCGCCGCGAAGGCCACGCCGCGCAAGCTCCTGAAGTGGACGCAGGCGCCCGCGGAGGGCCCCGGCCGCCCGTCGGCCGCCGCGATGCTGCAGAGCCTGCAGGAGGTCTTGGTCCCGCGCCGACCCGGGGGCGTGGTGGCCGCGGGCGTCGCGGACGTGCGCGCGCTGTCCTCGCCGCTGCTCGTCGTCCTCGACGAGGCCGACCAGCTCCTGTCCGGCGACTCGCAGGCCCTGCAGAACCTGGTCATGCTCGCCGCGCAAGCCAACTCCAAGCTGCTGCTCTTCGCGATCGCGAACTCGATCGACCTCGTCGAGCGGCGCATGCAGCGTGTGCGGCAGGGCGGGTTCTGCCCCGCGGTCGTCACGTTCCAGGCCTACCGGCACGACGAGGTCGCGCGGTTGCTACGCGCCCGACTGGAGAACCTGCCGGGGCCGGCGTTCCAGCCCGCCGCGATCGACTTCGTCGCGAAGAGCGTCGCGAACTACTCGGGCGACATGCGGCGCGCCCTCGACCTCGCGAAGCGCGCCCTCGACGCGCTGGTGAGTCATCCAGGTCCGCGTCAGGGCCACCAGTTGGTGACGCTGTCGCACGTGAGCCGCGCCGTGGCCGCGCAGCAGGCCGCGCTGGCGCCCGCGACGGCGAACATCGTGCGTCTCCCGCGCGAGTGGCAGCTCGTGTTGTGCGCCGTGGCCAACATCGCCCTGGTGTATGAAACACCCCCGGGCGACAGCAGACCCGGGGCCCCCGGTGCCGCGGCCGGTGCGGACGCGGTGGCGCGGGACATCTCGCTCGGGGAGGCGTTCGACGAGTTCGCGGCGCTGTGTGCGAGCCAGCCGGACATTCTCCCGCCGGCGTCGCAGAACGAGTTTTGCTCGATTTTCACCGACATGACAGCGACGGGGGGGCTCGTGGAGTTCTGCAAGGGTGCGCGCGGCCGGCCGACGTCCGTGTCGCTGCACTTCGGGCGGTCCAGCATGGCGCCTTCCGTCGGCAACTTGACGCGCGGCCTCAGCGTGGCGGACTCGCTGGGCAACGGCCGGCGCTCCAGCGTCGCGCACGGGCTCGCGGGGCCGCGGAGCGCCGGCGGGGGCGCCCTCGATAGAAGGAAGATCGTCAGGCTGGTCGCACGGCCGCGGGACGTCCTCGCGGCGCTGCGCACCAAGGACTTGTTCCGGCGCCTGCTGCGGGTGTAGGTGTGCGGGTGCGCGGGGAGGTGCGCGCAGGCGCAGGGCGCGGACACGGCCGTGAGCGAATGAGACATACGATGAGGTGAGGTGAGGTGTCACATTCTTCGCGTCGTCAGCCATAAGGCTTTGGGACCTGAAAAGATCATTCGACTAGGTGGCGAGTCATGCTAACCCCCCACCGTTATGGTAGCAACAGGTTCGGCAGCTGTGACAGAGTCGGCCTGGAGCAGATCCTCGATGCCACGAGCAAAGATCGCCATGCCTCGCTGATTCGGCAGGTTCAGGAGATAACGCACTGCAGCGTTGGCAGCGGCTTCCGAGTCGAGTGTTGCAGCGCCGTACAGGTCCTCGAGGTGCTGGCGTAGACGGCGGTTGAGAGCGAAGCGGCGGCGCTGTCCAACAGTTGCCGTGGACGACAGGGGCGCATCGGCAGCGGGCGGGGGTGGCAGCGTGAGCTGCCCAGACGAGTCCACGGCCAGGCCCGCTCGTTCCCGGAGAGAGCGTACCGCCGGGGCACAGCAGTCCAGCAGCAGGTGGCGGAGGTCCTCCGGGGCGGGCGATGCCGCCACGTCCACGCAGAAGCGGCAGACTTTCGACGGGTGCGACAGCGGTGTGTGTTGCCACTGCTGTTCCTGGTCCGCCATGGCCATCGTGGAGGTGCGCAGCCTCGTAGCTCCCACACGCAGGCGGGACAGGGCACGGCGGTCCGCGTGGTAGATCGCGGTGTCGAGCAGATGTGGAGGGATGGTGCGCGGTGGTGGCTGGCACCACCAGGCGTACCTGGCCCGTGTGCGGCCAAGCCCGTGCTGAGTGACCTCGGTCCGGGGATCCGGGGTTGCCGCGGGCTCGTGGTCCGGCAGCACGACCTGAGCGATCTTTCGTACCCTGCCCACAGCAGGTGCCGGGTGTGGCTGCTGCGGGGTCCCTGGCGTGCCGCCTATCTGAATGATGGCCGCCACGATGTGCGCTGCCCACGGCAGCTCGCGTTTGCGGAGGCGGTGGGCTGCGGGTTCGGCGCGCCTTGCGCTCGTACGAGTTGTCGACGTCGTGCGTAATCCCCGTCGGCCAGCGCCGCCCCTGCCTCCCCCGCGCCGCCCGCGACCCCGTGACCGTCCGCCTCGCCCCCGTCCCCGGGTGCTCCGTGGCTGCGACCGCTGGCCCGGCTCATCCGAGTCCGTCAGGGACGTCGTTGAAGACGCAGTAACGTCGTGCGACCCCTCGTATTCTGATTCGCTGTCGTCGCCGGTGGCAGCCGAGGAGTCCTCGCAGTAGTTCGGCCTCGGTGTAGCGCGGGACCCCCCTCGCGTGGTCCGGTCCAGCGTGCGGGCGGTCAAGCGGTTCGATTCATTGCTGCGGGATGCCGGTGGTAGCGAGGGCCGCGATCGAGATGGTGTGCGGCCGCCCCGTGCTGCGCGTCCCCTGCCTCGGGTGGCCCGAGCTCCGTGGTCTCGGCGGGCGGCGGCCCGTGCTCCTGCGTCGCGCCGGCCCGGCTGCATGTGCGGGGGGAGTTGAAGTTGTCGTAGTCGCCGCTGCTGGCCCGGCGGTGCAGCTCCGTCGTCGTCGTCCGTGTCGTCCGACGGGTCAGGCTCGGCCGCACGAGGGCGGCCCATCCGTGCAGCGCTCGACGATGTCGCGTCGCCCTCCGCCGTGTCTCCTGCTGGAGGGTAGCTGACGAACGCGTCGGAATCGGGCTCCGCCGCGAGCAGAAGCTGCGCGGTGAACGCCCGGACCGTCATGTGCGGGAAGTCAGGGGGCAGGGTCGGGTTCGTTCGCGCTGTGTACAACAGCTTCGTCAACGAGTCCCAAAAGTCGAAGTTACGGGCCCACAACGTCGCTTCGAGGGGAAGCGTCCCGAACTCGCGGAAGAGCAGTTCGGGCGGCGTCTTGTAGCAGGACGTGATCCGCTGGTTGGCGGTGGATATGAGGGAGGCGAGAAATGCACGCTGGGCGCGCGCGGGGTGTTGGGAGGGAATGCGTGTCAGGCGGCCGTCTGGGTGCCGCAGCGGCTTGAGGCCGAGGCGTGGTGACCAGAGTTCGCAGCCGTACGTCGAAACCGGTGTGACGTATGTCTTGAAAAGGGCAGATTGCAGGAGGGGGTCAAAGATTCCCGTCTGCCAGCAGCGTTTGGACAGGCTGTACATTGCCTTCCGGGACTTGTCGCCCGCGATGGACATGTGCGACGATACACCCGGTGGTCGGCCCTTGTCTTGGCCAAGGGTGATGCCCAGATACTTTGTAAGCACTGGGACCCGAGCTTGGCTCCGCAGATGACGCAGAGCCTGTACCGTAAGCCAGTAGAGTTACAGTTGGAGCGCGCACGCTCCCGACATGAGCGCGCAGCTCGGCCACCAAGGCCTGACAACAGTGACCTGACCGCAGCGTCATACTGTTGCATACTTGCAGCTTGTGCATGGCATGATATTGTGCTGCTTGACAACGAGGCCGGTGGTGGGGTCGATACGGGTGAACATGGTCAGGGTCGTGGTGCGGGGGGTGTTTCCGAACGAGAGAAAGGTGGACTTTTTGGGGGCCAGGCGGAGGCCTGCCGAGCACGCCCAGCGGCAAGTGCTGGTGAGCAGTCGATGTGAGAGCTGCTTCGGCTCGCGTGCGAATCACAACTGCACGCGCGACCCACTTGGTTTCTCAGCGGGACCGGCCAGCGCCCGCAGGGCACTTGGTGAGTCACGCGGACGCAGCCCTGTCGTCCAGGAACGCGATCATTTCCTCCACGGAGGTGAACTTCTCCCGGACCTTGCCCTTCTCTTCGCCGCGCGACCGCTCCTCGGCGTCGATGGCCTCCCAGTCGTCCCACGACACCACGCGCACGCCGCGCTTCGCCAGGAGCGGCTGCAGCCCAGCCTCGCCCTCGGGCGCCCCGGGCGGCAGCAGCGGCACGCGTCCGTTCGTCAGGTCGTCGGTGATGGTGTCCACCGCCTCCTCTGCGGCAGCAAGGCGGACAGGGGAGGGGGGGGGAGTGAGCGATCGGGTGAACTGCACGAGCGTGGCGGTCGTGGAGGTCGCGGAGGGGGCGTGGCGTGGAGTGGGCGTGCACCGGCGTCGCGTTGCAGCTCATCGTCAGGCGAGTGCCGCGGGGCGCCGGATTTCGAGGACACGTGGCCCCACAACCGCTGGTCCGCCATGTATTTCAGGAGCAGAGACTCGTTGTCCTCCTCGCCACTCGCCACCTCCGCCTCTGCGCCATGGCCGACGAGGGGCGGGGCGCGTCGTGCGGGATGGACAGTGGGGGGAGGGGGAGGTTCGGAGCACGGCGCCGTGAAACAGATGCGGCCGCAAAACGCCCAAAAATGGATGCGACAGCGGGGAGGGGCATCCGGCACGCACCTGCGTCGTGGAGGTTCGTCGCGATGATGCCAGTGGGTCCCCGCCGCAGCCAGCCCGTGACGTACAGCCCAGGCATCGGCTCCCCGTTGTCGTCCAGCACGCGCCCGGCCTCGTTCGGGACGACGCCGCGATCGCTGTCGAACGGCACGCCAGGCAGCGCCAGCGACCTGCAGCCACGCAACCAACCAGCCACTCGTTGCACCTTGCACGTGCAACCAAGCGCAGCACGGCAGAGCAGTACGGCGCGGGGCCGCTCGCGCCCCCCGCGCCCCGGCTGCGCTGCGTCGCGCGGTGCCTCACTTGTACCCGACCGCCTTGAGCACCAGGTCCACAGGCACCTCCGACACCTGCCCGGTGCCCCGGAGCGTCCGCCGCCCGTCCGCGAGCTGCTCCACGACCGTGTCCTCCAGCACGAGCGACTGCACGCCGTCCTTCGCGTTCCCGCGCAGCTCCATCGGCCTCTTCCAGAAGTGCAGGTGCAGCTCCCGCTGACCGTCCTTGGTCGGCAGGCGCCCGCGGTCCTCGTACGCCTGCGCCGCGCGAAAGAGGTGGCAGAGCTCAGCGGTCGCGCGCGCGCTCGGGGGCCGTCCGAGGCCCGAGAAGGTGAAAGAAGAAGCCCGCGGCACGACAGCACAGAGCTTGGGATGTATTGTATTGTCACGTCATGTAATGCCGTCTGCGGGCGCCCTGGCGCGGGCAGCAACACGTGGGCCATGCTGTTGTTTGCGGGATTCTGCGCGCGCACCTTCTTGAGCACTTCGTAGTTGCGGCGCATGCGACGGTGCTCCGCGGCGTCCTCGGCGTCGCTCGGCGACAGGTTCAGGCTCCTCTCCGGGTCGTGCAGCCGCAGCCGCAGCGACGGCATCGACAGCACCTCTCGGAGCTCCTTGGGCGTGTACGCCGCCTGCACGGGCCCGCGCCGCCCCACGATGTGCACCGCCTGCACCACCGACGTCTGGAGCTGCCGCACCGCGTCCGACGTGATGTCGGTCGCCGCAAGCTCCTTCCACGGCGCGCCCAGGACGCGCGCGACGTCCAGCGCGACGTTGCCGAGCCCCAGCACCGCCACGGACCGCGTGCGCGACAAATCAATGGGCAGCGTCGAGTGGTCCGGGTGGCCGTTGTACCACCCGACGAACTGCTTGGCACTCAGTACGCCCGGCTGCGGACAAAGCGCACGGCGGGGGCGCGCGTGGGCACCAACCGTTGCTCGCAGCAGCACGAGACACGCCTACACGCATGTGCTGCCTGGGCGCGGCGGCAGGGTGCGCACCAGGTTCTCGCCCGGGATGTCGAGGCTGCGGTCGCCCTGCGAGCCGTACGCGAGGACGACCACGTTGTACATGGACTGCAGCTCCTCGACCGACACGTGGCGCCCGAGCTGGACGTTGCCCAGGAACCGGCAGCGCGGGTCCGAGCCGACGCGGGAGAACTGACCAGTCACGTTCTTGGTGTCCGCGTGGTCCGGGGCGACGCCTGCGCGGCACCGCGAGGGCCAGTGGCACGCCTGAGGCACCCAGGGTGCGAACAGGGCCACGCGCATCGCGTCTATAGAATCCACGCTGGTGCAGTGTGGAGAGACGTCTGACGAGGGCGGTCCGCCAAGCTCGCATGCGCTAGGCTTCGCGTGCGGCGCGAACCCATGGGCGAGGGAACTAACCGTCGCTGGAGAGCGACGGGCGCCAGCCAACTCACCTGAGCGAACGAGGCCGTAGGGCGTCGGCAGGCGCTCGATGATGTCGACCGTCGCGTGGGAACCCCACCGTCGGAGCAGCTTGGCGGCTGCGTAGAACCCCGCGGGGCCGCTGCCGACAATGCAACACCGCACCGGGTCCATCCCGCGGGGCGCCGTCGCCTCCTTGCGCTGCGTCAGCCGGCCGCCGAACGTCGATGACATGGCAGCTTCGCGGCTGTCACCCTGCGGACGGGGACGGAGGGAGCGTTGCAGCGGGTCGGGAGAAGCCCAACAGAGGCCTCGGAGCGGCCGGGTGTGGCCTCTGGGCGGCCGAGAGCGCTTGAACGCGCCGGCATCGCGTAGAACTTCCAGTACCTGTGCTTCACGCACAGCCAGCACGGCGGTGGCGGCGCGCCCGGCCTCCCAGGGCAGCCAGCAGCACTACATCACGCACCTCTCTCGCCTCAGGCGACGAGTGAAAGGTCGCCGAGTCCCAGCGCGATCCGTGCGGGACAGCCGCAGCGAGCCGCGTCAGCGCCGGCAGCCATTGGTGGTAAGCTGCGGCCAGGGCCGCCGACGCTCCCTGCCCTGGGCCCACGCCCGCCAGCATCGCGCACGCCCGCCGATCCTCCTATCGCTGCAGCGCCCTCAACGGCAAGTGCACAAGGCCTGCCGACGGGGAAGCGCCCACCCGCGGCTCACCCTCTGTCCAAGGCCCCTGAGCCAACCACCCTGCTCGCAATCCCAGGCTTCGCAGCGCAGGAGTTCTAGGGAACCGTGAGATCTGACCAGCCTGCCTGCATGCGACTGATACTGCCGGGCCCGTCGGATGCGCGGGCCTCATGTCCCCGCACCCCGTGTCAAGCTTGCCTGTCGTGCAGAGTAGAACTCGTGCCGGCCGCCCCCTGGCCCTGCGCCGTCCTTGCTCAGCGCGAACACGCCAGCCGAGCATGTGACACCTCGCAGGTCAGGACTCGGGCCGCCATCGGTCCGGAATCGCGGAACGGCTTCCAAACAACGCTCCGCACTCGCTCGTGGGGACCTGCGAACACGATGTCGACGCCCGACGCCCCGCAACGGAGGTTCGGGACACCGCTGGCTCAAAATGTGCCAGGCCAGGGCGTCGACGGCGCCGGGAAGGCCCCGCTGAGGACTCCGTCCGGGACGCCTAGTCAAGCATCAGCAAGCACCGCGCACGCGGGCCACACGCCGTTCCCGCGGGCTCGCATCGTGTCGCCGCAGCAGAACGCCCTTGAGATGCGATGCGCGGACCTGGTCAGCCGCGCCAAGCTCGTCCTCGACAGAGCGACGGGCCAGGATACGTCAGCTGCGGGCAGCGAGTTGGAGCGCGGTCACGCGGATTACGGTCGACAGCAGCTCCTGGACGACCTGCAGGTTTGAAACACTGCCAAACATCTTTCTCCAGAGCCTCCTGCTGACGCCTGGTGTCGCGTCCCGGGGGCTCCCGCGCGGCGCTCACAAGCCAGCTGCACGTTTGCACGCTCCGTGCGCGCCCGCCGCAGCGTTCCTGCTGACGTACGCGTCGGCTTTGACATACCGTGCAGTATCTCGTTGACCGGCTGGTCGTAGAGGGGGATCTGCGCCGTGAGCTCGAGGAAACGGTCGTGGCCAAGGACGCTCTCGAGGCGCACGCGGCACAGCTGGCAACCGAGAAGCGCTCCCTCCAGCTCGAGCTCTCCTCCTTGGCGAGGGACCTCGCGCACGCACGGAAACTTGCCGAGGAGCGCGCCCTCGACCTCGCAGAGGCCCGAACCAGGCAAGCGTCACGCCACGCCGCCCACCCTGACCTGCACGCAGCCCCGCCACGTGGGACCGCACCGCGACCTGTGTCTGATGCGAGCGAGCCCCTCTCGGCCTGCAGGTGTCACGCCCTCGAGTCGAAGGCGAAAGGCGGCGACAGCGCCGTTGCCGCAGCGGCGCGCGCCTCGGCCCGCATCCGCGGCGAGCTCAGCGCGGCGCTCGACCGCGCCGCGGCCCTGGAGCGCGACCTCGCGTCGGAGCGCGCCGAGCACGCGGCGCTCCGGGAGGCCTTCAAAGCTCTCTTGGCCAACACGGAGGAGGTAGGAGCGGCGAACAGCCAGCTGCGCGACGAGGTCGAGCGGCTGCGAGCGGACGCGCGGGGCGCGGCGGCGGCGGCGGGGGCGCGCGGCGACAGGGCGGCGCGGCGGCGGCGGGCTGGCGGCCGCGGCGGGAGTGCGACGCGTGGCGCGGGCGCGCACAGGGCGCGGAGCGGCGGCTGCGGGAGGTGACGGAGCGGCTCGGCGAGGTGGAGGCGGCGGCGGCGCGGACGCCGCAGACGCCGGAGGCGGCGCGGGCGCGCATGGCGGCGCTGAGGCGGGAGCGGGAGATCCTGGTGGGGCGGATGGAGCGCATGCAGGCGGGGCAGCGGCGCGCGGTGGAGGAGGAGGGGGTGCTGGGGGAGTTCCTGGGGCAGGAGGTGGCGGCTCTGCAGGAGGAGTGCGCGGCGCTGCGGGGGCGTGTGGAGGAGCTGCGGGGGCGCGCGGAGCGGGCGGAGCAGCAGGCAGACACGCGCGGGCGGCTCGCGGCGCAGCTCGAGGCCCAGATCCAGCAGTACGAGGACGGTGAGGCGCCTCGGCCGAACGCCCTGCGTCGACACCACGCGCAGTGCTCCTTGACTTGATTTGACTGACATCTCCCTTGAAGCTCCGTCCAGGAGTGTCTGATGTGCACACGCACAGCCGCTGTCTGGGCGCTACGTGTGCGACAGCCGCCTGCCGCGGTGCCGACCGCCCCTGCAGACAACGCGGAGAGCGCCCAGAAGCTGGACGCGCTCACCGACGAGGTGCGGGAGTTGCAGGCTACCAACGCCGCGCTCGATGCGCAGGCGAGGACGGCCGGGCAGCGCGCCGACGCGCTGCAGGCCGCCGCGGGCGAGCACGCCGGCGTCGTCGCCCGCCTGCGCAGCGACCTGCGGATGGCCGAGGCGCGCGCCGTGGCTGCGGAGGCGCGCAGCCCATCGGTGGAGCGCCCCCCCGCCTCGGACATGATCGAGGCCGCCCGCGCGCAGCTCGAGGCGGAGGTCCTCCGCGGCAACCTGCAGGCGTGCGAGGCGGAGCTGGAGGCGTGCAACGCGGTCTGCTACGAGGTCAAACAGCAGCTCGAGGTGATCTGCGCTGGGGGTGCCGGGACGCACGAGGCCGTGCGGGAGCTCGCGGGGCTGCTCGCTGGACTTGAGAGGCCGCGCGGGGCGTGACGCTCGGCTGCGTGTGGGCCCGTCGCATCGCACCGCGAGGGGCAAACGCCCAACGTGACACGGCGTGCGCTGGAGGGTCGTGTGGCCACGGCCGGGGGGCTCAGGCCGGCCTGTAAAGCGAGGCTGCGAGTGCAGTAGACGGCGACGTGTCGGGGCCAGCTTGTCCAGCGGGGGGGGTATTTTGGGGCCTGTGTCAGGTGTGCGGTGCGCAGGTGTGGTGCTTTCGGCGTGGCTTGCGTGGCGCGCGGGGCATTTGGGAGCGGCGCCGACCTGATGGGCGTCGACGAGGTGATCGAGGCCCTAGGGGCCGGGGTGTCGCGCGTCCACGAGCTGCTGTGCGGCGAGGGCGCGACGGACTTGGCCGATGTCATTCGCAGCTGCCCACGCGGGTCGCGGGCGCGCCTGCACGCGGCCGTCCTGGCCGCAGTGGACACCTGCGCTGGATTCCTCAATGCAGACGGAGCTGCCAGGGCTGGGAATGCGGCAACGCCGGGCAAAGGTAAGGGAGCGCGAGTGAGCGAACGCTGCATCGGCAACGGCACCACTGCCTAGGCGAATGTGCGGCCATCAGCGAGTGACCGGGGCGAGAACTGCCGGCGCTGTGCTCAAATGTACTTCGAGAGATGCCTGGCGAGTGGTTCGGCTGACGTGGCGGCGCGGCTTTTGAATGGTCAGCGTCGCAGCTGGCTGCGACCATGCAGGGAGTAGCGCCTGTCGCTGCCAGGGCGGGCCAGTCTAGAGATCGTGACTGTCTGGAATGAACTCCCCATGTATCTGAACGCACGTTCCGGTGGTGTGCAGGGGCGTCCGGCCCGGACAGCCTGAACGCGGAGGAGAGCCTGTGCAGCCTCGCCGCGGCCCTTCGCGCGCTGGCCACGAACGCCGCGTCCGACATCAAGGGCGCGGTCGACCTTCAGAATGCGGCCGAGCGTATCCACGACAGCTGCATCTGCGAGGCGCAGGGGCGTCCAGCGCTCCAGGTGCGCGATGTCGCACGCACCCCGTCCAGCCCAGTCCACTCCCGGCCCCTCCCTCCTCTGCTGCGTCCCAGCCCTTGCCTAGCCCCCCACATCCTTGTACGCACTCTGCATGTTCGTCCTTTCCAACGTCCTTCGCGTACTGGACCGCCACACTCACCCTGTGCTCTGGCGGTGAGCTCCGCAGGACGCTGCGTGCGCCATGGCCGAGGCGTGGTGGCGCAAGTCCGTCGAGGGCGCGGACCGCGTCATCGCGCAGACCCTGCTGCACCTCCTCATGACCGCGCTGCTCTCCGGGCGCGCCGGCGACGTCAAGCGCTGCGCCGCCATCCGCACCGCCCTGAACGAGCTCGACTACGACGACGCGGCGTCCGACTTCATCAAGCAGCTCCTCCTGCGCGCCACCATGCACCCGGCCTTCCTGCGCTCCCCGGACGGCCGCCGCCTCGTCGCCCACGCCCTCACCCTGCACGCCCCGCTCGTGCCGGAGATGTTTGCCGTCATCCGCAACCAGGCCGTGACGGGGCGGAAGTCGGTCCTCGACGCGTACGGCGAGGTGCTGTACCGCGGGTGGAAGGCCGCGGCGGGGGCGTGCCGCGCGGAGATCGAGGCGGGTCTCGCGGGCGTGGCGGAGTCGGCGCTGCTGGCGCGGACGCCGGCGCTGGCGGTGGCGGCGGGCCGGCTGCTGACGCACCTGCTGGACAACCGCGTGGCGCCCGGCGCGGAGGCGCTCGTCGCGCGCATCCACCTCCCGCTGGTGTTCCGGTACCTCACGGCCGCCAACGCGCAGGTGCGGTGCAACGCCGTGCGCGTCCTCGGCGCGGTGTTCCCGCTCCAGGACCCCGAGGCGCCGCAGGAGGAGAACGACGAGCTGCTCGCGCGGCAGGTCGGCCGGCTCGGCAAGGCGCTGGCGGACCCGTGCGCGCACGTGCGCGCGGAGGGCGTGCGCGCCACGGGGCGCGTGCTCAACCTGTACTGGGAGCTCCTGCCCGCGGGCACGTGCGCGGCGCTCCTGAAGCGCGTCGTCGAGGAGCTCGCCGTGGACGCGTCGACGCCGGACGTGCGCGCGGCCGTCGTCGAGACAGGTCAGCGCCAAACATCCCCCCCCCCACATGACTACACGCATCGTCCGCCACGGCCGCAGAGCCCGCGGCTGCGCTCACGCGACCCCCGTCTCCGCGCGCGTGTCCCCCGCAGCTTCCGTCCTCGTGGGCAACCCCCAGACGCACGCCGTGCTCCTCCCCCTGCTGCCCCGCCTGGGGCCGCTCATCAACGACCCCTCCCCGCGCGTCCGCCTGCACCTCGCGACGCTCCTGTGCGACCTCAACCGCACGCGCGGAGCGCGCTTCACCGACGTCGTCGACGTGGAGGCCCTCCTCGAGACCATCTCGCGCGACGCTGGCGTGTCGGGCGCCGCCGTGCAGCGCCTCCTGCTCCCGTCCTTCTGGCCCTCCGCGGACGAGGGCCCCGCGCTCGTCGTCGGCCTGCTCCGCCACGCCCCCGCCGCGGGCGTCGCCTTCTGCCGCTATCTCGCCGCGCGGCTCACTCCGGGCCCGCAGACGACGGCGGCGACCAAGAAGAAGGGCCGGAAGGGGGCCTCCGCGAACACCGTCACGGTGGCGGACGCGTTCGTGCTCGCCGAGGCCATGAAGGAGCACCTCCTCGCGGTGCCCCTGGAGGCGGCGCCCGCGGAGGCCGAGCGTCCCAGGCGCGGGAAGAAGGGCTCGAAGAAGCGCGCGGTGGCGGAGGACGCGGAGACGCCCGAGACGTGGACGTCGATCGCGGCGGGGCTCGCGGAGGTGTGCGCTGGGCTGGCGGAGCGCGCTGCGGACGCGGGCGCGGCGGCCGCGGACGGCGGGGGCCAGGCTGGGCGCGGCGGGTCGCGGCGGCGCGGCGCGGCAGGTCTGGACACGATTTTCGAGTCGGACGAGGTTCCGGAGCACGCGCCGTCGCGTTTGTTCGAAGACGGGAGCCTGACGGAGCTGCTGGCCGCGGCGCCGCCGGCAGCGGCGCGTGCGGCGGTGCTGGCGGTGGCTGCGACGCTCGACGTGGGCTCCGCGGGCGCGGTCGGCGCACGCGAGGCGTGCATGAGCTGGCTTGATGGCGCCGCGGGGCGGCGCAAGGAGTTCCTCGGCTCCGAGGCGCTCCTGACCGCGGCGCTGAGGGTGCTCGCGAGGGACGAGGTGTCCCGCGCCAAGCTGGCGGGGTGGATCGAGCACGGGCTCGCGGCGGGCGGGAAGCAGGGCGAGTGCGCGGTGGCGGCCGCGATCGTCGCCGCGCGCGAGGAGTGCGTCCGCGAGGCGCTCGGTCCGCGTGCCCTCGGCCGGCTGTCGGCGGCGGCGGCGGGCGCGGACGGCAACGCGGTGCTCCAGATGGCCAGCGTCGTCCTTGCGACGCACGCGGCGGCCGGGGGCAACGCCAGCTGGCTGCCGGAAGCGCTTGCAGCGAGCGCGTGCGTTGCGGAGGCGCAGGTCCGCGGACTGGCCGTGGCCGGGGCCGCAGGGCGGAAGCGCGGGCGCGAGGAGCCTGCGCCGACCGATGCGGCGACGGCGGCGGCCTGCGCCGACGTCGGGCTCGGGTCTGTCGCCGATGGGTTCGCGCTGGGCGTCCTGCCGGCGGGCGGGACGGCGCGCGCCTTGGAGCAATGGCTCGAGGTCGGGGGGGAGTTTTGCACCATGGCTGACGCAGGGACCTCCGAGGACGCCGCCGCGTGGGGCCGCGCGCTGGCTCAGATCCTGCGTGCGGCGGCTGGTGCGGCTGGGGCGGTCGCTGCGAGCCTGCCGGGCGCGGAGGGTCCGCTGGAGGGCCAGATGGCGGACGTCGCAGACAATGGGGACGTGCAGCTCAAGGACCTGGAGGGCGCGGTGCTGCGCGTGGCCACCGCCGCGTTCCGCGCTGGCCGGGAGAGCGAGACGGCGAGCGCGGCGGTGCTTGCGGCGCTCCCAGGCGCGCTGTCGGGGCTGCTCAAGCTGCGCGGTGCGGCGGGCGCGGGCGGATCGGCGTGGGTGAGCGAGGTGGCGCGCGGGGAGGCGCAGCTCGCGGCGGCGGCGTGCAACGCGGCGAAGCTGGCGCGCGTGGCGCCACGGCTGGCGGAGGAAGCGGCGGCGGCGGGTGCTGCCGTTGCGGTGTCAGCAGCCGTGCTCACGTCCGAGGACGCGTCGACGATCGAGGCGCTGCTGAGGTGCGCACCGCACCGATGACATGACTGCGCGCTGCAGGTGCTTTGCCGTGACGCTGGCGCGACTCCTGCGGCCTGCGGCACGCTGCCAGCATGGGCGGCGTCGCACGTCGTGCCTGGTGGCCACGGGAGGGAGCGGGCGTTCATGTTCCAGCGTGCGCCTGAATGTTCGTTGCAGGATGTGCAAGAAGCTTGGTTACAAGCACGGGTCTCGCGGTTCTGACGCGGCTGTCAAGCAGCACGTGGAGGCTATCACCAGGGTGGCCGAGGGCTGCCAGGGCGAGGCGCGGGACGCTTGGGCGGCGGTCCTCGACAGCACGCTTGGAGTGTCCCTCGCGCCGGCGACCGCGGCCGCGTAGAACCGGGTGGAGACGATGTGACGGCACTGGAAATGTTTGTGTGTGTGTGTGCTTTGGGGTAGGATGCGACGGCGTTGCTTCGGGGTTCGGGCCGCGTGCGTTGGGTGGCGAGGGCTGGACGCGCGCAGGCGCCGGTGCCCGCGTGGTCCTGTCTGACCACTGCCGGGGGGAGTCATTGAGTGTCCCCCGTATCCAGCGCGCGACATGTTGCCGCGCAACCGACGTGTGAAGTTTCACTTCGTAGGTGCCAGACCATTTATCTTCCTCAACGGCGTGTTCTCTTGTCGCAGTGCCCGCCAACCAAGCGGAAGGTAGCCCAGTGGAGAGAGAACCAACCGTCTCGTCGTGACTGCTGACTGCGCATGGGGTGCCACCCAGCAGACGACACAGACAAAGCGCCTCTGTTGTGCTAGGTGCCTAGGATGCTAGAAGTCACGCAGTTTGGTCCCGCACGGAGACTCGTGCGGTGTTGACGCGGCAGGCGCGGCGCTCCCCAGGGCGCCCGCTTCCCCTGCAACCGTTCAGGCGCTCGTCGTCAACCCTGCACAGCCGCTGAAGAGAGATGACGCGACCGATCGCGACGCCGCGTCTGATGTCGCTGCCGCCGGGCGCCAAGACGTGCGTGTATGCCTGGGGAAGGGGCGAGCTCGGTCAGCTCGGGCTGGGGCCGTGCGAGGAGGTCGAAACGCCGACACGCGTCCCCGACGTGGAATCGAGCGAGATAGTCTACGTCACAGCGGGCCTGTACAACACAGGCGCGCGCCCGCGCCGACGCACTGCCGCCAGACCCACCAGGACATGCTCGTTGAGAGACGCTGTGTGCACGCCCGCGTCGTCCGTTTCGACTCGCTTGGACCCCGCCACGTACATCTCCATAACTGACGCGAACCCTTCGTCGCGCGAACGATCGCTTGCAGCCATGATATCGGCCGGGGGCGAGGTGCTCATGTGTGGAGACAACGAGAGCGGCCAACTGGGTGGCACGGGCGACGGACGCAGCATCGGCCCGCGCCGCGTCCCGGCCCTCGACTCTCTGCGTATCACGCACGCCGCGGTCGGCCACGGGCACACCGCGGTCGTCACCGACCAGGGCGCCATTGCGACTTGGGGCGCCGGCGAGTGCGGGCAGCTGGGGCAGGGCAGCACGGGCGACGACCAGCCGCAGCCAAGGTGCCGCAGCTCCCCGTCGCCGCGTTTCATCCGCCCGCGTCCCGGGCTGCGAGCGGCCGCTCCCGTCCACCCAGCAGTGGAAACATCATGTGCCAACTTGTTCGTCTCTGCTCTGTGGGTCTCGTTGCGCGCAGGGTGATCCGCGGCACGCGCGAGGTGTACTTCACCAGAGTCGCGTGCGGCGCGCAGCACACGGTCGCGCTGACCGGCAGCGGGCACGTCTTCTCCTTTGGGCACGGGGCGTTTGGCGCGCTGGGCCTGGGGGACGACGAGAGCCAGGAGCTCCCGGTGCTGGTGGAGCGCCTCTGGCCAGTCGCGGTCGCGCAGGTCGCTTGCGGGGACAGCCACAGCGTGGCGCTGGACGTGGGCGGCCAGGTGTGGAGCTGGGGCCGCGGCAAGTATGGGCAGCTGGGGCTGGGCGACACGCGCGGGCGGAGCACGCCGGAGCGCGTCGCGGCGCTGGTGGGGAGCGTGCAGGTGGCGGGGGTGGCGTGCGGGCCGGACCACACGATGGCGGTGTCGCGCAACGGGGAGCTGCTCACGTGGGGGCGGGGGACGTGGGGGCAGCTGGGGCACGGCAGCGCGGAGTCGCAGCTGCTGCCGAAGCAGGTGGAGGCGCTGTCGGAGAAGCACGTCGTGCAGGCGGTGGGGTCGGCGAAGATGTCGCTGGCGCTGACGCTGTCAGGGAAGGTGTACGCGATGGGGGGGAGTGCCGCGGCGGCCAAGCGCGACCCCGCGGTGCGCCGGATACGCGGGTTCCCCAGGGGCTGTCGCGTGATCCAGGGGGCCGCGGCGGGGGAGCACGTGCTGGCGATCTGCGAGGCGATGCCGGGCACGCTGGGCGACGGCGTGCGGCCAGCTGGCAGCGAGCCGCTGCGGCGCTCGCTGCCGACCAGGCTCATCCCGAGCGACATCACACCCTCCGGACCAGGACCGGCGTCGTGTCCGCCCGTCACGGCGCTCCTGGAAGCCGCGCACGCGGCCGCCCAGCCCCTGGCCCCGCGACGCACTCTCACCGACGTCATACGCGCGGTCGAGGACGTCTTCTCTTCCCCGGGCCTGCTCGTCGCGGGCTTCTCCCGCCCGCGCAGCTCCGAGGCCTCCCCGCCAGGAACGCCGGCTCGCACCTCGCCTGGAAGCCCGGCGCGGTCGAGCAGCGACGATGAGGAAGCGCCCGCGGCGGCAGGTGCCGCGGCAAGCGACGACCCGCCCGCGTCGGACGGACTCGCGGACATCGATCCGGACCTGCTGCCTGTGCCGACGAACCTCGACGAGGTCGCGGGAGGCGCGCTGTACCCGGATTGGAGCCACGACTTGGACTCGGGCGCTATCGAGTCGATCTATGGAGCCCTTCTGCGGATATATAGCCCGGAGGTCGTGGCGGCGCTCGGCGCGGCGACGGGCCGGCTGATGGAGGGCATGAAGCGCTCGATGGTGTCGGCGAGCGGCGCGCCGGAGCAGGAGTGGTTGAAGGCGCTGGTGGTGGCCATGCAGAACCCTCTGCAGAGCGCGCTGCTGGGGCGGCGGGACTCTTCGGAGGGCGAGGACCCCGGCATCTCCACCGCGATCGCGACGACGCTGCTCGACGGGCTCGCGCAGGTCATTGCGCGCCTCACGCACGCCAGCAAGCGGCAGCTCGCGAGCTGGCTGGCCACGCTGCCGCCTGAGACGTTCGCCAGCCGGATCGTCCGGCCGATGCAGAAGCGCATGGAGGGCCTCATCGGGCGCGTCAGCGTCATCGCCGCGTGGCCGTCGGTCCGCGAGGACGTCCTGACCGCGTGCCACGTCATGGACCTCCTCCACGAGTCGTCGCACGCGCAGCGGCACGGGCGCGGCGACGAGGACCTCGGGCATCGTCTCTCCGCGCAGCCGGACCCGTGGCAGGAGGGCGGGGCGCTCGTCCCGGAGGCCGAGTTCTACAACCGCGCGATCACGGCGCTGCAGGACGACGTGCTCGATCACGAGTACCGCGCGTGGATGTCGCTCAACCTGGAGGACGAGGCGATGGACGCGCCACAGCCGCTCGTGTCGCTGTGCCAGGTCCCGTTTTTGCTGCTCCCGGAGACGAAGGCGCGCGTGCTGCTGCTGGAGGCCCTGTACCAGAAGCAGCACGAGGTGCGCACGTCGCACATCCGCGCGCTGGCGCAGGGGGCGCCGCCCGGGGGCGGGCAGTGGCTCGAGCTGCGCGTGCGGCGCGGGCACGTGCTGGAGGACGCCCTGCGGTGCATTGCGGAGCGCACGGAGGACCTGAAGAAGCCCCTGCGCGTGCGGTTCATCAGCGGGGGCGTGGAGGAGGAGGGGCTGGACGAGGGCGGCGTGGCGAAGGAGTTCTTCCAGCTGCTGGTGCGGGAGGTGTTCGAGGAGGAGTACGGGATGTTCTGCTGGCTGCCGGAGTCGCGCACGTTGTGGTTCGACCCCCACACCACCGAGGCCCCGCTGGCGTTCCAGCTGGTGGGCGTCCTGGTCGGACTGGCGATCTACAACGGCCACATCCTCGACGTGCGGTTCCCCGCGGTGGTGTACCGGCGGCTGCTCGGGGAGTCGATGACGCTCGAGGACCTGCGCACCGTGCTGCCGGGGTTCGCGACGGGGCTGCGCAAGTTGCTGGACATGGGCCCGGACGTCGACGTGGAGAACACGCTGTGCTACACGTTCGCGATCGACGTGGAGATCGGGGGGCGTGTGCTGCACGTCGACCTGGTGCCGGGGGGCTCCGACATGCCCGTCACGCGCGCGAATCGGGCGCTGTTCGTGGATCTCTGCATCCACCATATCCTGGAAAGAAGCGTCGCGCCGTCGTTCGAGGGCTTCAATCGCGGGTTCGGGCAGGTGTGCGGCGGCCCAGCGCTGTCCATGTTCCGCCCCTCAGAGCTCGAGCTGCTGGTCTGCGGGCTCCCGCACCTGGACTTCGAGGCGCTCGAGCGGAGCACGCGGTACGAGGGGGGCTACAGCGCCGACACCCCCGTCGTGCGGTGGTTCTGGTCCAAGGTCGCGAAGATGGACATGATGAGGCGGCGCAGGCTGCTCGCCTTCATCACCGGGTGCGACCGCGCGCCGATCGGGGGGCTGGAAGCGCTGAAGCTGGTGGTGCAGCGCAACGGGGGGGACACCATGCGGCTCCCGACGGCGCACACGTGCTTCAACATCCTCCTGCTGCCCGAGTACCACTCGGCAAGGAAGCTCGAGGAGCGCCTGATGCTCGCGATCGAGAACGCGCAGGGCTTCGGGCTCGCGTGAAGCACGTTCGGCAACGTCCGTGCTGAGGGCCAGGAAGCGACCGAGAGGCGTCATCGGCGTCTGGGATAGAGACTTGAAGGGTGGAACGGCACCCTGCTCGACTTGCAGCCGCGCGAGTGGCCGCTGGCTTGTCAGCGAGTGTTGCGGCATTGGGCGCCAGCGATGAGAGGGGGGTGATTGCGCTGTGGGATGCCGGAGCGATTCACAGCGATTATGCATAGACGTGTTGATACACGTACAACTTGGTCCCGCAGTTTGAAAGTGAATCCTGAGCGGCGCAACCTGTGACGGTGTATACGCGTCGAGCGTTTCGGTACATACAAGAGTGATCCTGTGCAGTTCCTACGAGTCGCCGCTCCACACAGAGCCCTTGAATAGCAAATTCAACACCGATGCAACCGTCCCGTTGCCGCCGTCGTCGCTTGACGGCGCGTCGTCGTCGCTTGACGGTGCATCGCCGTCGCCGTTGTTGATCCCTGCCAGGTCGCAGTACAGCGTGAAGACGATCGCAAAGACGTTCAAGATCCCGACGGCCCACGTCTGCGATCATTTTGTCAGCACACGGAAGCTGGCGGTCAGGTCAGGAGCAGAAGCGCGGTCGCCTCCCGCCACTTCGGCAGCGCGTCCAGCACGGGACGCCAGGGCACTCACCAGCACTAGCGCGAGCAGCGCAGGCTCGCATCGCTGCCGCACCCAGGCGGGAAGCGCATAAAAGTGCGGCTCCTTCCACGTGGCCACCTCGTCCTCCTCCTCGATCTCGATCAGGTCCTCGTCCGCCAGCAACCGCTCCTCGAGCTCCTCCTGCGCCGCAAACGACACCGACTTCTCACTCGGACCAACTGCACAGCTGCATAGGCAGCGGGGCGTGACGGGGCAGCTGGTTCGACGGGGCGAGGGGTGCCTCACCAGTGTCGTCTCGCCCATGCTCGGGCCCGGGACGCGACGGATGCTGGCGTCCCGCATGTACACCCGCGCCCCGAGGGGGGCATTGCTGGTCGTGCGTACGCTGTCTCCGTCCCCGTCCGCATCCTCGCCCGTCGCGCTCCGCGCCCCGCCCATCGGCGTGCCCGGCGCCGCGCGCCGGATCGACAGACTCGGGCCGTACCCCCTCAGCCCCCTGTTCCCGCGCGTGAGAGACCCCCCCCGGACCGGCGGTCCAACGGCCTGGTCGTCCGCGGAGCCCCTCCGCATCGTGCTCGACCGCGAGTGCGCCGACGATCCACGCGGCAGGCCGTCGTCCCCCTGCCGACCTCCGTAGCCCTCCTGGTGCTCCGGGATGTCCCCCAGCAGCGGCACGGAGAGGTCCTGCTGCGATGGCGCTGGCGGCGGCAGCCGGCGCGAGCTGCGCGCGGGCGTGGCGGGCCGCGTGAGCGTGCGCGCCTCGATTTCCTCCGAGTACGGGTGCCACATGACCGCGCGGCGGTACATCATCGCCGGCAGGACGAAGTTCGTCCCGCCCTGGACCAGCAGCGCCGCGTAGTTGCAGGCCTTGCCGACGAGGGAGCGCTGGTAGAGGAAGGCCGCGGCGGTCCAGGGGATGATGACGGCGTACATGAAGGCCTGGCGGTTGGTGCAGAGGTCCCCTGACAGCAGGTTGTACCGCGTCATGATGGAGTAGACAGGGATTTGAGGTATGAGAGTGACCGCGGTGAAGCCGTACACGCACACCGCGAGGAACGCGTTGCACGCGGGGGACCCGAGCACGATCTGGAGGATGTTGGCCGCGCCCGGGAGCGGCACCCCGCGCGGGAGGGCGCCGACTCCGTTGGGGAAGGTGAGCAGCTTGAAGGCCCAGGCGCCCATGAGGCCGAACACGACCTTGACGACGACCGTCAGCGCCGTGGGCCACCACACGCCCCAGGAGATGGGCACGCCGGGGGCCTTCTCGTTGACCCACGACGGGACGGTCACGATGTACGCGTGGAAGAAGAAGGACACCCCCAGGACGAGCTCCTGGCTGAAGAGGTCCGTGACCGCGGGCGTGAGCGGCGCGGGCCACATCCCGGCGGTCGCCACCATGCGCACGCCGAAGAAGACCAGGAACACGGCCAGCAGGACGAAGAACACCAGGCCCGTGTACACGTTGAACATGACGTTGTCCTCGAGGTTCACTGCGGGCCGGGAGCGGCGCGGGTCGGCTGAGGGGGCTGCGGCGGGCTCGCGGGGCGCGACGTGCGTGCCGGGGCGGGCTGCGGGGCGCACCTAGCCCCAAGGGGAGGCACATGGCCATGATGAGCAGGTAGCCCAGCGAGATGATGTTCTGGCTGCCGCCCGGCCACTGGGCGGCGCCGGAGGCTGCGTCGGCCACGGTGGAGACGATCCTCGGCGGGAACGTCCCGTACTCGAGCCCGTAGGAGTGTCGGAAGAAGGTGCGCAGGGCCGAGTCGGCGACGCGCGCCGAGACGATCATCGCGACGACGTTCGTGGCCTGGATGGTGAGGTTGTACGTCACCTGCGCGGCCAGGAAGCCCGTGCGGCCGTAGTAGTGCCGCGCGAGCGTCGCGAACTCGTACCGCTCCTGGAATCCACGGTTGCCAGGCACGCGCTGCATTGCCTCCACCAGCATCGCCGACAGGAGGCCGCTCAGGCCGCAGAAGATCGTCCCGACCACCTGCGCGCGGGACATGTGCGGGGACGGACGTTGGCGCGCGACCGTGCGTGGTTCCGCGGCGCGCGGCGCGTGTGAGGTGCGCGTGTTGTTGTGCACATCTAGGGCGCGTGGGGACGCACTTGTGGAGCGAGCCAGCCGGCCTGCTGGTTGAGGAGGGGGAGCATGACCAAGGCCGGCCCCATGATGTTGTTGAAGTTCAGGATGAACGAGCCGACCTTCCCAATGTGCTTGCCTCCAAACCCTGTCTCGTGCGCACCGTCCTTGTCCCGGAACTCCGTGATGTTGTGCGGAACCTGCGTGGAGGGGAAAGACTGTCCTGTTCGACCGAAGAGCTCGCCGGAACGAACGCGTTGTGCCGCAGCACGCGGACTCGGAGACCAGATGTATCAGTTGCTGGTGATGCGTTCAAGCGCGACACTAGGCCGCCCTTCTGCCCATGGTGACGGTCAGAACTAGAAGGGTAGGTCGATGACCCGTGCAATGCGCGAGCGGCCGACTGCCTCGGGGCCGAGAGCAGCCGCACTCAAAGGCAGCAACGATAGCCCTCGTCCGCGCCGAAACATTCGCTGCGAGACGGAGTTCTCGTCCGTCAGGCATGCGTCCCATTCTTGCGTAGCAGGCGACGCTCCTTCCCGTCCCCCGCGCCGCGCAGGCTCCGCGCTGCGGCAGGAGCATAGACTGCTTGTACAGCCAGCTACACGCGGCCTGGTGGAGGCCACAGATACACGGAGTTCGGCTCAGAGGTTCTACGACGATATCCTCGACGAGCCCGCGCGGCGTGCTGCGTGGCTCGCGCACGGTCCGAAGGCCTGCAAGCCGCACAAGCTGCACTGAGGACGTACCGCCCGCGTCCTCCTGTACACCACCCTGCGCTGCCCATGGTGGGCCTGTTCCTCGACGTCGGCCATGTCGGGGACGTGCGCGCCGCCCAGAGGTCAGGCCCGCCGAGGGCGCGGCCCCTGCTGTCGGTGCCTCCTCCGCCCAGACCAAGTGCAGTCAGCCGTGGGGCGCAAGGACGATTTCGTCCAGGTACGATGAACCAGTGCGCAGGTCTCTGCCCGTGCGGCCCCCGCCGCGCGCGAACGAGCCCACGCCCGCCGCGACACGTGCGCTGCGCGGGAGGGATCTTGGCGGGGGCCTCCGCGCGACCACCACGGTGGCGGAGCGCGGCGCCGGCTGCGCACGAGTGCCCGGGCCCGGCGCGGCCTCCGCCAGATCAACGCTAGCACGTGGCGGTCGTCGAGCGAGGTCGCGGTCGCGTCTGGAAGCCGCCGGGAGCTGTGGTACGTGCCACGAACTTGCGGGCTGCACTGCTGGGGAGGGGACAGCAAGGGCGAGACGGACAGGCCACCGTGCGCAGGGTCACCGGGCCGCTCACCCCGACGAGCCGGATCGCGGCATCACCCACGGAGCGCTCGCGCGCGCTCGCGGCTGGATACCAACCCTTGAGGCGCCGGCACCAGCAATCTCCGGTCCCCGCAAGAAGGACAAGGTCTCCGACGCTGACAACTGGGGTCGAAGGTCGAGCGCTCGGGCCGCGGAACGGCGGCGATCCTCCCGCGGGCCCGCGAGCCGGGCTGCTTGGCAGGCCTGTGGCCCCGCTGCGGGCAGCGTGAGAAATGGGGCAAGTGTGCCTCACTCTGCGCAATGCCACGCGCCTGGACGACGCTCTCGCGGGGGACTGGTCGGACTGGACGACCAACCCGCACCTGAACGCCAACTACACAGTTCAGGCGAGTCGCGCTGTGTCTCGCGATCGCATGCATGGCCTTGTTCTTCGTCGCGGAAGGCACAACATCTGTGCAGCGATGCCCGTGCGGCGCCATGAGCCCAGAACGGCGCGGCATGCGTCGGAAGCGGGCGCCTGCAATGCACGTTGCTCTCCTGCTCCCGCCGGGACGTTGCGGTCACAGCGTACACCGCACACGCGCCTCGAGCGCCCCGCGCCGCGGAACGTACCGAGTCCAGGCGCTTGAGGCGCACGCCGCGGCTGGGATCCTCCCGAAAAGCCACGTCGAAACGTCCTCGTTCAGTTTGGCAGCGCGCCTTTTCCGCGACATCCCGGGAACTCCCGCTCTGGGCCCACCGCCCCCTCCGCTTCGGCGCCACGCTGTTGCAGGGCCCACTGGGCCACGGGGCGTTCGCGGAGGTCCTCAAGGCGGTCGCGAAAAAGGGACAGCCATCAGGCCTCAAGCCCGGGGACCCCGTGGCGATCAAAGTGCTCCATAAGAAGCGGCCTGGACTCACCCACAAGCTCCTCGACATCCTCAAGCGCGAAGCCGCGCTCCTCGAGGTGCGGACCGTTGCCCCCGCTCTCCCGTCTCTGCAGTTGCGTGACGCACCTCGGCACTCTCGCCGCCCGCGACGGCATCGTCCGCCCGCCGCATAGTCCTCGCACGGTGCCGCTGTGTTCGTTCCGCGCAGAAGCTCTCCGGGAGCACGGGCATCCCGCACGTCCACGAGGTGTGGGAGGACCACACGCACCTCTTCATGGCGCAGGACCTGCTCGAGGGCGGGGAGCTCTTCGACCACCTCGTCAAGATCGACCGGTACACCGAGATGACGGCCGCGCACATCTTCCGGGACATCGTCAAGGCCATCAAGTCGCTGTGCGTGCCCCACCGCCAACCACACCGCCGCGTCACAGCGCGCCGACCACGCAGCAGCAGTCGCCTCACGCAGCGCGCGCCCCCCCCCCCTCGGCCCCGCTGCCCCCCGCAGGCACGACAAGGGCATCGTGCACCGCGACATCAAGCCGGAGAACATTCTCTTCACGTCAAAGATCAGCGATCGCTGCTGCGTGTCGAGCACGCAGGGCCCGCACGCGAACGGCGCGAGGGACGGGGCGAACGGGGCGAGCGGCGGGCACGGCGCCAACGGCGCGGGGGCGCCCCCCCGCACGCGCGAGGGCCTCGAGGCGCCGTACTGCTTCAACGACGCGGGCGAGCCCGTGAAGCCGAAGCTGATCGACCTGGGGATGGCCGAGGTGCTCGATCCGAAGGAGCGCACGAAGGGCGTGTGCGGGTCCGCGGGGTTCATCGCCCCGGAGACGCTGTTGGGGGAGCCGCACGACCTGCCGATGGACATGTACGGCGCAGGCGTGGTGCTCTTCATGATGCTGACGGGGAGCGTGCCGTACGGGAACAAGGTCTCGCACGACCTGACGTACGCCGAGGTGCCCATCGCGGAGGCGCAGAACGTCCGGGCGCCCGAGTTCCAGGACCTGTCGCCCGAGGCGCAAAACATCCTCTTGGCCCTGCTCGAGAACGACCCGGCCAAGCGCCTGACGGCCAACCAGGCGCTGCAGCACCCGTGGCTACTCCAGGCCGCGAACAAGGCCTCCCTCGCCAGGCGCGCCCGCACCCCGTCGCCAGGCAAAGCTCTCGCGGCGCTGCAACACACACCGCGACCCCGACGTGCTGTCCTGACTGCCCGCGCCACCGGGGTGTGTCTTGCGTGCAGGGCGGGCGGCGAGAACATCGAGCTGCTGTTGGATGCGCGCGCGAGGATGGCGTTCCGCACCACGAGCTTGCGGCGCCACCACGGGCGCGACGCATGCATCAACATCGACATCGACGCCGCGGGGGAGCAGGTGCGTCGATTGCCGCGCTGCGGTTGCGCACGTGACTCGCCCGTCGGTCGCGGACGCCGCTTCTTGCTTGCTGGCGAGCGCCTCACGTGGCGCGCATGGTGCGGGCCGGCTGTTGTTGCAGGAGGCGGCCGCTACGAGCATTTCCGGGCTGTCGGGGCGGGCGTCGCAGAAGGACGGCATTGCGTCGCTGGGCGGCGCGAGCGGCACTCGCGAGCTGTGGTCGCGCCACGGGAAGGAGATCCAAATCATGCGCACGGAGAGCAAGCGACGCGTCAAGCTGATGAAGCAGAAGCAGGACGCAAGCGGCGAGTCCATGCACGGCGGGCTGGCCAGCAAGACGGAACCGGGGTCACCGAAGCGGGCGCAGTCCCCCACCTGAGGTGACGCAACGCGATGAGGCAGCGTTCCTCACAAGCTGATTGGCTGGGGAGCAAGACGGGCTGCTCGAACACTCAAGCACTACTTGCGCCAGCTGCCGGGGCGAAGTGAGCTCCCAGGCGCGCACAGGCTTGACGTGCGTGGTTGTTGCTCACGCATTGTGACCATACGTGGCCCGCACGCTCGTCTCCGGGGCGTCCGGGCCCTGCTCCGGCACCGACTGCAGGGCACGCGTGCCCGTCGAGGTCCCGGGGGCCGCGGGACCGGGGCCGCGCGACCGGCGCAGCTGCCTGACCACCTCCTCGGCGCCGAGGGACGACACATCCGGGGTGTCCCCGAGCCAGTATGTGTGCACGGCCTCCGACCAGCCCTTGAGCTGCACGGTGCCGCGCCGGCGGATGAGCCTCAGCTGCTTCGCCTGCGGCCACTCGCGGACCAGCGCGTCCCTCGTGGCCCGCGTCATCTGAATGCACATTGGGGCGCTGGTGCTCTCCATGACGCTCGCGAGCCTCACGCTCTGACCGAGGACCTTGTACCGGGGATTGATCGTGCCGATGAGGGACCCGACGAGCGGGCCGGTGTGCAGGCCGACGCGGATGCGCACGTGGTCGCCTGGAGTTCCGAGCTTGATGGGGGTGTTGCGGCTGGCCTCCACGGTCTCCAGCGCGAACTGCGCGACGCGGCGGGCGGCGCCCTGCAGCGCAGTCTCCGCGTCGACGCTCCCGTCGCGGCCCGTGGCGATCCCGCCGACCACCATGTACGCGTCGCCGATGGTGCCCACTTTGAACAGATTGTGCTTCTCGACCGCCTCGTCGAACTGCGAGTGCAGGCGCGTGATCATGTCGAGCACCTCGACGGACGACAGGCGCGAGGACAGCTCCGTGAAGTTCACCACGTCCGACAGGTAGATGTGCGTCACCTCGTACGAGTCGGGGGCGAGCGCCTCTCCGGCCTCGAGCCTGGCGCGCACGTGCGGTGGCAGGCACAGCGCGGCGGACTTCGCGGCCTCGGCCGTCGGCTCCGCGGCAGCCGACGCGGCGACGCGGTCCGACCAGGACGCCTGCGCCGCACTCATCGCCGCGTCCAAGCGCTGCCGGATTTCGCCCCATTCAGGCCGCCGCATGGGGTTGCACACGAGGCACTCTTCCATGATGAGTGCCAGGGCGTCGGGCATCCCCAGCGGTGCGGGCGGGAGGGAGAGACATCCCGACGCAAGATCGCGCAGCCACTGAGCCGCGTCCGCTGCAGCAGAGATGAGCGGCCGGCCAGCGTAGATCTCGTACAGCAGCGCGCCGAATGAGAAGACGTCCGACTCGACCAGTGGGGCCCCGCCCGCTAGAATCTCAGGCGCAATGTAGGAGACGCACTGTCCGGCGGGCACGACCCAGTCGAACGTGTCCCCGGCGAACTTGGCGACGAACTTCTTCGAATCCAGCCAGATCGAGTGCGGGTTGAGTCGGCCGAAGCAACCGAGGGGGCCCAGCGTCCTGACGAACTCCATGGCATCGACCACGTCCGTCAGCACACTGATCGCTGACACGTGGTCGAAAGCCCCGTCCTGGGTCACGAACATCCCCTCAGCGAGGGCACTGGCCAACACCGACCCGTTGATGCCCTCCTTCACGATCATCGTCGCGTTCGGGGCCTTGCTTGCGCCGAGCAGCATCACCGTCGACGAGTGCGTGAACAGCTTGGCCCGAGCCAGCGAGTTCGCGGCGCGCGGCGCGGAGAGGTCCTTCCTGCCGGTCTTCGGGGTGGAGTCACGCGCCTCGACTTTCGCCTTGTCGGTTTTCCCTGCCCGTTTGACCTGCGCGGCGAGCCCAGTGGGCGGCTTCGACAGGCCAGCGCCCGTCACCCCGATCCGGCTGGGTCGCTGCGACGCCCGCGACAGGAAGGGGGGCGGGTTCCTCTCCGCTGTCGGCGTCGGGTCGCTTATCCCCGCCAGCGGCATGCTGCGCACCCGCGTCCAGGTCTCGGCGACGGTGGCCCCGCTGGGCAGCGCGATGGCCTCGTACTCGTAGCCGGCGTAGGACGCGCAGAACTCCGCGCGACGCGGCGCGGCGATGGATACCTCGGTCCTCGAGCCCGAGCCTGTGCCCGTCATCCGCCTCCACGTCTGCCTGAGCCGCTGAGACACGTGAAACTCTGCCGACGTAGCACTGGCGAGAGAACACGCCCCAGAGTCTCCAGGCGACTGAAGACGCATCGGCGTGCCGGTCGCTGACGTGGCGTTGCTGAAGTCCAGCTGCTCGGACTGTGTGCGGTCCAGCTCGGACACGGAGTCCCCCGGGCAGCTCTGCCCAATTCGAACGCGGGGCGCACGCTCTGCGAGGGCCACGGGGGGCCGCAAGACCTCTCTGCGCTCGCCCTCTGCGGTGCTCTCGGGGGTCTCGCTTGCAACGATGTTGTCCCTGCACGTGGAGTGAGACGCGCTGAGGGCTGTTGTGCGGCAAGCATGAATCGTGTGTGCTTGATTGCGCTCGAGATCGACGTGAGCGAGCGACACGTGGAACCGACCTGAGGATCTCGTCGATGTCTCCGAGGTCTGGGTGCTGGTTGCCTTGCTTGCGCGACCTCGCCCGCCCGAATGTCAGGAACGCAGTGATCGCTGACGAGGCCCAGCTCATCCCCGTCCTTGCTGACACGCCGGAGCCGTTCCGGGCGCGCCGCAGATGTCTGCGCTCGCTGGCGCCCTTCGCGGCATACTGCACCACCGTCACGAGAGTCTGGCGGTACCTGCCAACCCATGCCGTCACGAGGTTGTCGGGCGATGCGGCAATCGGAGACAACAGTGCGATCTCCTCGTGCGCGATGTCCGGGATCGGATGCCGCAATCGCCGCGCCGTCCGCTGGCGCTTCGAACCCACGACGCACACGAGCACCACGATGGCTGAGATCACGCCTGTGACCGCGACCGGGACGCCAGCTGCAATCACGATGATGTCGTCCCCAAGGTCCTCGCCGGGCGGGACGAACCCGTCGTCCAGGGGCCGCGTGCTGAAGCTCCCGTCTGACCAGCTGATGTTGCGAGTGAGCTTGACGGAGCTCGACTCCACCGTCCACGTCCCCACGGGCACCTCCTCCCCAACGAGGCGCGCCACGGGCCCCGAGCGGTCCACGGCGTGCCGGTAGTTCTTGAGGAACATCGACGCCTTCATGTCCCCGAAGCTGTCGAACGCGATCTGCTGCGACGGGCCGTTCGCCCCGGACATGGTCAGCGTGCGCATGGCCTCGTACAGCGCTGTTCCGTTGCGGTCAGGGCCGGCGAGCTGGCAGGCGCGACCGGAGACGACGAGGCGGTGCATGCCGCACACCGCGACTGCGGCGGCGTCGAGGCTGCCCCCGAGGAACGGGAGGAGCGACCGCGGGAGGGACGCAAACACGTAGGAAGGTCCTGCTGCGTTGACGATCGACGCAAGCTCGTCCGAGACCGCCGGATCGATGTGGATGGTCTCGAACGCGCCGTTCAGCATCGTCCACAGGTGGGACAGGTCGACCGGCGCGGGGATGTCCCAAGCAGGAGCCGGAGCCAGCAGCGGCGCGCCCGACGCTGCGTTAGCGAATACCTGGGTGGTGAGGAACGCCGCGAGCCCGATGGGCGTGATCCAGACGAGGCCGCGTCCTTCGCTCAGACCCAGGCCGCCCGCGTCCCGCCCCTCGCCAAGACCCCCTACGGCTGCGTACCCGACAAGCTTGTACACGTCGTTGATGTCCAGGATCTGCACAACGAGCGACCGGCAGGCCGTCATGAGCTCGGATCAATTTCCACGCATCGATCTGTGCTTGCAGATCTAGCGTCACGTGCGCAGGCCGTTTGCAGTGTGCAGCAGAGTGTAGGCCTGGTCGATTTCGGGGCGGTGCGCACCGGCACGAGGTAGCGCACGCGGCGCTCTTTCAGGGTGTCGATCAGATCCTTCCAGAAGGACGGGCGCTCGTCCCTCCCCGCGGAGCGATACACGGGGAAGCGCAGCGTCGGGTGGATCTTTTTTGACTCTTGGATGATGGCTTGCGCGACACTCTCCCCGTAGGGCGTCCCGCTGAAGATCAAGCCCACCTGCCTGATATCCCACTGCGTACAGCCACGTGCCGAGCGGCAATCGTTGGCGTGGCCGAAGACGACGTCGCCGCATCTGCGTGTGTCTGACGAACGCAACAGACAAGGGCACGCACCTGAGACAGCAGCTGCGCGATCATTCTACCGTGCAGTGTCCCCGACGGGATGACGCGCAGGAACCTCGGGCTGACTTTCACGTCGGAGAGCCGCGGACTGAGCGCGGCTGGATCGAGGTGTGGAATGTTGCGCAGCGTGCTGATCAAATTCAGCGCCTCTGCCCGGCCGGAAGAGTACCCGCCGACCATCGCGCCGATCGACGACAGCCGGGTACGGTTGCCGAGCGTGTACTGCATGTACGTCTTGAACGCTGTCGTCGCATCGCGGGCTGTCGCGACGCGCTCGAACTTGACCCTGGGACCGCGGAAGGAATCTGGGCCTTTCACGGCCTCGAGAGTGTTGTATACGTCTCCGAGAAACTCGTAGGCCGAGAAAACCGCGCTCGACGTGGCATCCTGCGCTGGCGGAGGAGGACGTTGGCATGTTGCCACTGTTTCACGCCGAAATGGCGCCGCAGCCCGCTCGTTCTTGGCGTTCGAAGCCACAGCAGGCGATAACGGACCTCGGGGAGGAAGACGGGGACCAGAAGCTCTGCCTCGTAGGTCTCTGAGCAGGTGTTTTCTGCCAGGGGCGGGTCTTGGAGGGCACTCCACTGCGCCACGTCTGCAAGCAGCAGTCGCGATGAAGACGCGCGAGGCTGGGCCGAGGTAGTTTGACGGCCCCGTCTGTCGCGCTTAGCGCGGCAGGAGCAGTCGCGCAGTCGCCGCATGGAGGCATGATTTCATGCATGTCAACCACCACCTACATCGTCGCAGAAACAGCGCAGCATACGACGGCGGGTCTTTGATAGTCGTACCAGGGTCATACAGACACGAGGGGAAGGGTAGAATGACGCCTCGAACGAACGGGATGGGCCAAAAAAACAAAAACAGGGCCGCCCCGACGAACCACATTCGCTGGGGCTCCCCTCTGGCTTCGTGGGAGTGTCGGGCGAACATGGGGCTCCTCGGAGGCTCCAACCTTGGCCCGGGCCCGCGAAGTATGGCGAGGCGCGCGGGGCGCGCGGCTCATCACGCCGGGTGCGTCAAGGGCTTATACCTGCTCGCCGCCTCGTTTGATGTGACTTGCTGACTCAGTGCGGTCCAGGGCACCCGACGTCGAGGGAACTTGAACGGCCGGACCTGCGCGTCTGTGGGAAACCCGACGGCGGTTCGACATGAGCCAGCACGTCGCGTGATTCGGGCCCTCGCAGCAACAACGGGCTGCGGTGTTCTTGCAGATGAACGCCCGTTCCAGTTCTCGCACGGAAGGCCAAAGGCTCGCGGGATCGCAAGTTCTCGGCCTCGTCCTTTTCCGGTGGATTTCTTACAACGAAAGTCGAGCGAAATGGAGACGGTCACTGGTAGTTCAATCCGTGACCTACTGCTGCACGTTCCAGAGCACACGTTTGGCAGCGACATTGCGCATCACGCCCAACGGAGTGGCTCCGATCTGCATGAACGTGCGTGCACGCACAAGTGTGGGGCAGCCATACCGTGCGAACAGGATTCGGAAGACACAGAGCAACAACGCGATCAAGATCTTCGTCGGTCCCGGGCACTCACGCTGCTCCGGCGGATCTTCGCCCGCTTATCCGCCTCCCGCATCCGCGCAAGGTCCCCAGCGCCCTGCAGAGCGACCGCCTTCGCCCTCGCCTGGAACTCCCGTGCCGCCGACTGCAGCGCGGCGCCATCCGCGGAGCCCTCCTCCGCCGCCAAGTCGACCCACGCGAGGTAGTTGGCGACGAGGGTCTCCGTCACCTCCGTCAGCTCCGGCAGCACCCCGACGACCGGTTCCAGAAGCGGCCAGAGAACAAACTCGACGAACTTCATTTGCGAGTAGGCAAGCTTCACCTCGGCCCGGTCCATCATGGGCGAGATGGGCAGGCCGAGGCTGGCCTCGCGATCCCCCTGCTCGAAGAACTCGTGGAGCACCCGCTCCGACCAGCCCAGCGTCCCGGGCTTGAGCATCGGTCCGATGTCCGCGAGGTGCAACAGGACCGCGAAAATGTACCGGCGGTCGCGGTCGTCGAACGCGCGGTCCGCGCCCGCGCTCTGGCCGTCGGGGGCGTAGACCGTGCGGCAGAGCTGCGACTTGCGGCTGCGCCGGGCCATCACGTGCAGGTTGTTGATCATCTCGAAGTGCGACGCCTGCAATGCACAACAACAGTGTCAGTACCGCGGTGGGGGTGTTGCAAGAGCTATGAAGCGATGCAGGCCCGGGCACTCTGTCCCATGGAGTCGCAGGGCAGCAGCGCTTCGCTGCACGGGCGAGAGGCGCCGTGCGTCTGCGCGGGTTGCGTACCATGTCGGTGAGCAGGATGCAGTCGATGATAAGGGAGCGCATGGAGCGAGCATCTGACTTCTGCAGGTCGACGAAGATGTCGGCCTCGGGCTCCAACTCCATGGCCTCGAAGAGCGTGCTTGCGTGGTGGTTCTCGAGCACCGACCGGCCGTTGTAGCGAGTCGCGAGAGGGTGTCGCGTCGCGACCAAGAACGCGTTGTTCACGCCCGGGTGCCCGACGTCGTGGGCCACTGCTGCGAGCAGCACGGCGAACTTCTCGAGCGGGCGGGCCTGGAGGCGCGGCTGCGCCTTGGCGAGCAACAGGTGCGTGGTGTGGGCGACGTCCACCGCGTGGCCGATGTTGTGGTACGCGTTGTGCTCGGAGTACGCCTGCGAGATGACGTGGAGGAGCTTGGCGGTGCGCCTGCGCGAGATGTAGCCCGTCTCAAACACCCCCGTGGACGCGAATAGCTCCATGGCGCCTGCGAGGAGCTGGTCGCACTGCAGGTCGAAGATCGTGCCGGCCCACTCGACGTTCAGCGGCGACACCTCGCTCTCGGGCGCGAACGACAGCTCGCATCCGCTCTGCCGGGGACTGTCATCGAGTGGCTCGTCCCGCGAGCACGAGCTGGGCAGTGGGGGCATTGAGTTGAAGCGCCGCGGCATGTCGACGGACGGGTCCGCGACGCTTGCCGACGACATGCGGCCGCACATGATGTCGTTGCCGAAGAGGGTCTGCCGATCGTTGAGGGTCCCGCAGCCGAGCGGCGCTTCCTCGCGGCGTGGATCGAAGCCCCCGTCGTCGCAGGAGCCCGCACGCGAGTCAGACACGCTCGACGCGCGGGCGACGCTGCTCTCGCAGCCCTTGGGCAGGCTGTCGATGCCCTCCGACGTGTACTGGTTGACGATCCAGTCCGCGGTGCGCTTGTCCAACATGTTGTGGTAGTCCGGGATGCGCTGAGACACGGCCGGCGGGGAGCACGAACATGCCTCGAGTAGGGCGGCCGAGATCGACTGCAGCAGAGGTCGGAGGGTGCGTTTCGAGTGAGGTACGCTTCTCTTCTCGTGCGGGCCATAATGCAAAACAGGAAACGGGCAGGACGTGGCGCATCGGGCTGAGGGCGAGCGCGAGGAGAGATCAAGGCGTACCTCTCCTGAAGCTTGCGCGCTAGACAGCCTTTCGAGAAGGGTGCGCAGGCAGGCAACGTCTGTGCCGCTGCTGCCGCTTCCGCTGGGCCGTTCGTCGCACTGGGGCTCCGAATCAGCCAGGGACTCGACATGGAAGGAGAGGACACTCAGGAGGAGATCGAGGGGCTGAGCGTCGCTCGACTCGAGCGCGACTCGCGTCGCAAACAACAATGCGATGACAGTCAAGAGCAGCTGGGTCTGCGTCAAGGCAAGCAAGGGCCAGAAGTGTGCCCGTAGATGACGCGTCATGACGACCTCAGTCGACGCGACGCTGCCGTCGTCCTGAACCGCCAGTCGAGCGACGATGAGGGGGCCGACAACACCATCCTGAGTGCCAAAACGCAGCTTCGAGCTCGTCGGCAGCCACCCAGCCCGGGCAGACTCGGAGTCGGACCGCTCGACGTACCGGCTGCCAGCTCCTGTCGTGTGTAGCGGGTGGAGAGCGAGCTCAGTCACGTTGTCGACGCCTCCGTTTGAGGTGAGGAGGGGAACCAACGCCACCGCGTGCTCCGGTACGACGTGCGGCACCGCGATCAGCGCCACGATGCAGCTCACGGAGATGAAGTGCACGTGCTGGGACAGCACCCATGATGTCCGGGGCGTTGCAGGCACGTGGGTGCACTTTCCCGTGCAGTCGTTGGTCCGCTGGCGCTCCTGCTGGCTCCACTGCCCGAGCACGGCGACGCACAGGCACGCCCTGAGCAGTGACATGCGACTGATGTACGCCGTGCCTGTGTCCAGGGCTCGGAGGAGAGAGCGGAGCCCGTCCACGTCGGTGTCAGTGACTGTCCAGGCCGCGCTCGGACCCAGCAGGACCGCCAGAACCGCCGTCGCCGCGAAGCCCCAGAAAGATAGAGCGACCAGCACGAGAAAATACTGCCTCGACGCGTCCACGACGATGTTCTGGCTCGTTGCATCCGCCTTGTGCTCCCGCGGGTTGTTGTTGGGTGCAGGCCACGACGCCGCCAGGCTGGCGCCCGCCAGGGCCACCATCGAGACCGTCGCAACCATCGGCGAGGCGCCGGTGGAAAGCAGAACTTCGCCTGCGTCGAGCGGCGGCAAGGTCACGATGGGTGGGCAGTTGTTGCATGTGCAGGTGCCCCGAGGCGCGGATTGTCAGATCGATTGAACATCCGACGTTCCACGGCAGAAACAGCAGACCGACAGCAGCTTGCAGACGGGCGTGATTGCGAAAATGACGATACGTTTCGGCCGCCTTGACGGCATGAGAGCGCGGGCAAGGCCAACGCGTCGATTGGGTCCGTGGTCTCACCGATGATGGTGCTGAGCCCCGCAGCAACCGTCGCTGCAGTAAGCCTGACGTTTCGATTCATTTTTATGTCCTGCGTTGCTCGCAGCTGTCCGCTGCAACCAGTTGAAGTCCAAACTGAAAGCGCAGCCCGTGCTAGGCGGCGGCGCTGGGCAGTTTCTGTACGATCGAGCTGCCCGCTCGATCGAAGTGCGCGGTCCAATGACTACCGAGCACTGCCAAATCAAGCACGAACAAGTGCACGACACTCAGCGCCAGGTCAGAATTAGGTGGGCAACACGACAGGGGGGGTCGGGGGAGTCTCCAACCCTTGCCGACGACCGAGGCGCCAGCGGCGCACCGAGAGCCGCCCTGCACACATCGTGTCAGCGGGCTCGACGCGGGGGAGCGCGCTTGAGAGCAGTTACAAGGATCCGACGTGCGGGGGGCAAAGACCAAACTGCAGGGGGCCGCAGCGCGCACGTCTCGGGGCGCCGAGCGTCGCCGGCCGGTCGATCAGACGGCACCGTAGAAGTTGATCGCCTCGTCGTCGCTGCTTGACGCGGGTTCCTCCTCCTCCGGCTCCGGCCCGTGACCGATCTTCACCCCAGTCTCGCCGTCGCTCCCGATCACGTCGAGCTCCTCGTGCGCGGGGCCCCAGTAGTTGAGGTGGTTGAACTCCTCCCGGCACTCCTCGACGTCCCCGTCGGCGCCTGCCCCGCCGCCCCGCACGCCGTCCGCGGCCACGTGCAGCGCCGGAAAGATGTCGTCCACGTGGGCCTTGATCGCGCCCAGCGACGACACGGCGCCGGCCTGCGTGTTGGTCATCTTCGTGATCTTCCCCCGCGGGTTGATCGTGAACACCCGCCCGGGCGTGATCCCCACGTCCATGTACGACACCTCGTCCGAGTGGCGGTTGCCGAACCCCGCGTAAAAGGGGTTGCGGCCCTCCGGGAACAGGTCGAGGATGTTGCGCAGGGCGGCCATCTTGAACTCGTGCGGGCGGCGGAGGATGACCTCGCGCGTCAGGGAGCGCATCAGGCCGTCGGGCGACAGGATGACGGGCCCCAGGGGGAGTGGTGTGGACCCCTGCCGCAGGTTGTGCAGAAAGTCCCGCGTCATCGACGCCTGGGCGATCGCCCGCGACGAGAGGTACATGAAGCTGTAGCCGTTCTTGCTGATGCACTGAAACAGGTCCGCGATCCCGCCGTGCGTCCAGTCGCGCCCGATGAGGGTGAAGACGTGCCCCAGGGTGTCGCTCTTGGTGATGGTGCCGTCGATGTCCGAGATGATGATCTTGTGCGTCCAGTCGAGCAGGTAGATGTACGCCCGCACCTCGCGCCCGTTGCAGTGGAACGACACGTCGTTCTGCCCGAACTGCAGCTCCGTGCCCAGCCACTCCAACATCGTCGCGCTCGGCGTCCACATCTTCTTCACCGGCGGGCCCCGCTCGACGTGCGCGCCGCCGGCGCCGGGCACAGGCTGCTCACCCGCGGGCGACTTCTGCGACGCCTGCCGTCCCGGCGCCTCCTTCTCCGGCGACGCTTCCGGGGGGGTCGTGCGCTGCGGCGACGTGGGCATCTGCGCCTCGGGATCCGACTTCTGGGGCGAACGGAGCTCGCTCTGCGTCGGAGGCGTGCCTCTGATGGACGTGTTGTCGCCCCTGGCCTTCTCAGACGTGCTGTTGAACGGCCAGATCCTGAGCCAGCCTCCGCTGTTGGTCCCCCGGGGGCCCTCGTCCTCTGTGTCGTCCTCGTTCTTGCTCGTCTCGCCGCTCGCGATCTTGTCGCCCCTGCCCTTTGCGTCGCCCCACGGCTGCACCAGCCACTCCCCGAGCCCCGCGACCGTGCCCGCCCACACCTCCAGGCCCTCGCCCCCTGTCGACATCGACTCGAGCAGCTTCACCGCCGCAGGGGGGCCGAACGCCACGCGGCAGGCCAGCAGAGGGACGAGCGACGACCAGCGCACGATGCAGCCGCCGGCGCGGCACATCAGGTCCGGGTGACCGACGGGGCCAGCGGGGTTGCCCAGCAGGTTGTCTGCCGGGACGCGGTGCGCCTCAAACACCTTGGTCGCCGCCTCCTCCGACACCGACGGGCCGGTGCCGAAGTTCGACAGCTCGAGCAGCCGCTTGTGGCACAGCGACACCTCCAGAATCGGGGCGCCCTGAGTCGGAATGTCTGCGTTCAACAACACCTCTCGAACGCCTGGTCAGCGAACGCGCCGGGACGTTGTGCGCACGCGCAAGCAAGCAAAGCGTCCTCGTGCGGCGGGGCAGTTCGTGCGCTCACCGGACGGGGAGCGCGGCATCCCGATCGTTGGCTTCGTCGACGCCACCGAGCCGTCACTGCGCACGGTCTCCGCACCATGGACCGTCGCGGGGCGGTCGTTGGGGACCTCGGGTGCGGGCGGTCCCTCCGTCGCCACCTCGGCCGTTGCGTCCCCGGGCGCCTTGTCCTTCGCGCCGGAGATGGCGATCGCAGCCACCGGCTGTGCAGGCGGCACATTCGCCATCGATCCGGCCATCTGCGCGAAGCTCAGACTCCGCCGCTCCGTCTCCAGCTCAGCGTTCGCCTTCCCGTCGCCCTCCTCCCGCGCCTCCCCGCCCGCGGCCTTCGGCCCCTCCTGTTCTGCCTGTGCCGACTTGATCGCCTGAGTCAGCTGGCCGGGGGGGAGCGCCCCCGCGGGCGAACGCGGCGCGGACGCCCCCGACTTCCCCGTGCCCGAGTTGTCCGCCTCCGACCCGGAGTTCCACCGCGCGATCTGCGACGGCTGCGGGGACGACATCCCGGACGCGGCCCGCATCCCGCGCTTGTACGCGTCGAACCCGAGCGGGTGCGTCAGGGGCGGGGAGCCGCCGAGCGGGGCGGCGTCGTCGAACCCGGTCCCGGTGTCGTGGTCCCAGTTCGGGTCGTCGCGCCGCACGTGGCTGCCCTTGGGCGTGGTGCCCCCAGAGTAGTGGCGGTGCGAGTAGTCGCGGCGCATATCCTCGGCCGCGTCGCTGACGACTTGCGCCATGTGCGGCGGCAAGATGTGGTGCGGGAGCTCCTGCGGGGGGCGCGTGGGGAGTGGAGGAACGCGGAGGAGTCAGGGAGAGCTGGGGAGACACGGGAACGAGGGACCTCACGGGTGAATGACGGCGAGCCGTGCGCCGCGGCTGCGCGGCCGCCGCACGCGGTGCGCGCTGAGTGACGTCCCGTCCAGGCAGCGGCTCGGCGTCTCTCGGCAACTCGCCACTGCGCGGTGAGGCCCGGGGTCCGGATCAGAGGGAGCGCACCGTGTCGGAGGAGTACCCGGACGGAGGCGACACCATTCCTGTGAGGCTCTGGGCGTCGTCGAGGTCCTCCACGTCCGCGTCCTCGCCCTCCCGCACCGGCTGGAGGAAGTACGCGTTGCCAGTGCGGCCCAGCGCCATCTGCAGGCGAGGCGGAACCGGGCGCGCGCACCGTGGCTGCACGCTCAGTAGCAACGCGGACGTGCGGGAGAGCTACGCGCCCGGGTGGCGCGCGGTTCCGGCGCACCCGGCGCGGTCCTGGGCGGCAGGGTGGGGGGCGCAGCAAGTGCTCGACGGCGCACCTTGACCGGCGCGTCCTTCTGGTTGACCTTGATCGAGACGTCGCGGTGTCTCGGGCGGTTGAGCCAGTCGCCGAACCGCACGTAGAAGGGCGAGGACTTGAGGGACCCGTCTGGCTGCCGGACGCACATGATGTCGATCGCGCCGCCCATGGAGGGCTGCAGCCGGCTAACCAGCTCTCCGACGCGCTCCTGCGATCATCTCCGAGCAGGGCGCGGCTCCTTGGCCGTCGATCAGCGGCGCAATTGCGAGCCGCGGGCGCACTGTGCTCTCGCCGTAGAATGCGAGGCGAGGGGTCCGCGGAGCAGCGCGCGTGCGGCGGGCGCCGGGCGGTGGCGCGATTTCCGCAGCAGATCTCGCGGAACAGGCGCGCGGAACGCCCCCTGCTGCCCGCGCACGGCGAAAGTGTCCCTTCAGTGGAGACCAGGCCCGCTCGGAAGCTCTGTTGGCCCATCGGGCCGGTTGAGCGGTCGCTCACGAAACGCCTACGATGGAGCTTGGCCGTCGCGTAGCGGAAATGGAGGAAAAATCATCGGGTAGCCAGGAAAAGCCGCAGCTTGACAGCTGGGCTGGAGGCGACCTTGTGGGGACGTTTCGGCGCTGGAACGGCGCTCCACGGCCGCAAGACCTTGGAGTGGATCGCTTGAATCAGGCGATAACGAGAAACGGCTCAAATCGGTCGATAGGGCGGAATGCGGCGAGATTCTCAGGCTCCGCTCGGAGAGCTAAAAAGCAGGTGGCGAACGAGCCTCGTAGGCTGAATGTCTCGCCGAGTCTCGGAAGCGAAGGCCTAGTACGGGCATACAGAACCTCCAGGGGGGTGTAACGATCCACCGGGGGGTCATTACTCTTGCCTTGAGGCTCATCTTGTGCGTCCGAGCGAGCGGCCCGCGTCTGCGGTAACTCCAGACCGCACAGCGTAATCGCTACGGCCCAATCGGGATCGAGATGTACGTTAGCCCGCCACGAGGATTCAATCAACACGTCTCGCCCTCTGCGAGCCGCGCAGCTGGCGCTGAACTCCGACTCGAGCCTCGAACCTCTCTTTTGTCAGATCCAGGAGGCAACACCCACTCCTACGGCCCCGCCAGTGCGATTGATTGCTGCACGAACTGAATTGATCGACTCGACTCGGCCCCCCCTTATGATCCCGGGGTGGACCGTCCACTGACAGTGGGGGGCCTAGCAGGCTACGTAGGCCCTGCGCCATCAGCGCCGCCGCCGCCGCTGCACTTCCCCGAATCAAGACGGATGCGTCGTGATGCCAGGAGCACGTCGGCGCACGGATCGACGCCGTTTCAGCGTCCGCCCGGCTCCGAACAGCGTGCGCGCGCGGTGAGCATCAATCATCAACCTGGCCTCGGCAGTGACGCGGGGAGGGGCCCACGCGGCCCCGGACACGCCGCACGCCTGTCGCCCCCTGGCGCCCTGCTCGGCGCAATACGCTCGCTACGACCGCGTGCTCGCGGGAGCGCCAGCACACTGCCCTCCGCGCGCCGGGCCGCCAATGACGGCCGTGTGGCGACTGACGCGCGAAGCGCACAAGGCTTGCGACGAGGATGTGCACGGTCCTCTGACGTCGGTGCGCGCGTCGGCCGCAGCGGCAGTCGCATTACATGGCGACGTGAGTGTCACCGCCTGCGCGACGTGGCAGGGTCGCGTTCGCGGCAGGACTATGTACTAATTGATATCACGCAGGACCCGCCCTCTGCGGGGAGACCGGCTGGTGCGGGTCCGTCATCTCGCCCCCGCTGTCCACGCGCTGCGTCGACTTGGGGCGCTGCCGGCCAACAAGGGTGGTGGCGTCCGACTGCTCGTCGTACGGCTGCTGCGACGGCGACCCGCTCGCCACCGATCCAGCCGCTTCTGCCTTGGCCATCGCGAGCGGGAGCCCCTCGGGGGTGTCTCTCCCAGCGCGCTGCTGCTCGGCCGTGGTGGGGCGCACCACGTCGTGCCCCACCGCCAACATCATCGCGCGGTGCGACTCCCCAGTAGCCAAGTCCGCCTCGGCGCGCCCAGGCGACGGAGCGGGAGGCGCGGGGTGCTCGGGCGTGGTGGTCAGCCCCGAGATGGCAGGTCCGCGCCCTGAGTGCGACCCCACCCCAATCTTGTCCGTTGACCGCTCCACGCCGAGCAGCGTCGCCCCGCTCGAGACGGACGAAGGCATGGGCTCGGGACGCGCCATCGGTGGGGGCAGCGGGGTGACGCGCGACCGCGACATGCCGCGCGGGGGCGTGCGGTGCCCCTGCGGCTCCGAGTCCGCCGCGGGCGCCACCTGTGGGAGCCGGCGACGCGGGGGCTCGGTGGCGACGCCGGCGTCCGTGGGCGGGTCGTCGCTTTCGACGCCCGTCGCGCCGATGGCCACCAGCGGGCCCTGAGTGAGGGGCGCAGGTGCGACGCGGCGGCGGGCGCGGCTGCGGCCCTCGCGGGCGTCGCGGCCGCCCCCGCGGCGCCCGAAGAGCTCGGACTGCAGGTTCATGAGGTTGTCGTTGAGGCGCTGCATCTGGCTGCTGAGCGCGTCCACCTTGGACTGCAGCTGCTGCTGCTCGCCGGCGCTGGCGTCGCCGTCCTGCGTGCGCTGCAGACGCAGCTGCTCGGCCTCGAGCTGATCCTGCTTCTCCCGCAGCGCCTGCTCCTTCGCCATGAGCTGCGAAACCGAACAAGCGGCGAGCACCTATGAGCACACCGCAGCAACCAGGCAAAGACACGACCGAGCACGAGCGAGGGACGCGAAATCGAGCTGGGAGCGTGGCGTTGTCTCGCAGCGCACCTCGCTCTCCAGCTGCTGGAGCTTGCGCCGCTGCTCCTGCACCGTCTCCACCGCAGAAATCTCCGACACGTCCTGCACCTCCGAAACGATGCGCACCCCCGCGGACTGGTCCCCGGGCCCGATCGCAACTCTCGGCGTCTCCCTGGCGTCCGAATCCGCGGTCGCGGCCTGCCCGTACACCTCGGTAGAAACCCTATTACCCCCCCCAAAGGCTGTCAGGGCGCCCATCTCGATCGACCCCGACGGAGGCTCGACGACAGCGGGAAGCTCGCTCGCCTCCGCCTCGGACTCACGAGCTTCCGATGCAGTCCCCTGTCTGGCGCTGCCTGAGGCGTCGGCCTGGCTGCCCGCGCTCCTGCCGCTGCGTCGGGAGACCTCCGCCTCCATCGATCTGCGCGCCGCCGACAGCATCCGAGACGCCATCGCGTTCTGCGGCTTCTTCTGGGCGAGACCGTCCCGCGCGGACGGCGTGTCGTGCATCATGCGCATGATGTTGCGCGGGTCCCGCATTTGCATGCCGGCTTCTTTGAACCCGTTGTTGTTGCCGAGGATGTCCGCCACGCCGATCTTCCGCACGGCGCGCGGACTGGCGGCTCCTTCGGCCCCGCTGCGCCGCAGCTCCACTCCGGAGACCACGGCGGCCGTGGCCTTGAAGAGCCGGTCGGCCTGCGTGTGCTTCTCCGGGTTGTACTCCGACACCTGACGCTTCGACAACAGCTTTTCCTCGTCCTCCTCCTCCTCGCCCTTCTTGTTTGACTGCAAAACATCGGGGCATGACACGGAGACGCTCGGCGGGCGAAGCGTGTGCGCGCCGCAAGAACGGCGATCGCTGCCCGTGCACATGGGCGCTGGCGAGCGCGGGGGCGTGCGTACCAGCTTGTTTGCGAGGTTGGCCATGGTCCAGCGAAGCGTGCGCTCGAGCTCGACCAGGCGCAGCTGCAGCGCCCTCCCGAACGCCGCCCGGTCCTGCGGCGACTGCTCCAGCTCGAGGGAGACGTCGCCCGGCGGGATCAACTTGCCGCGGGTCCACATGCCCGAGCGCCAGGTCGTGTGCCGGCTCCCGATCGGCCTCTTCACCCCCCCGTCTCCGTCGTCCGCGCGGTCCACCTTGAGCGCGGTGAGCGTCATCGTACGCAGCACGACAGCGCCGCTCACCCCTGAAACCGTCTTCTGGGGCAGCGGCGTCTCGGGCGCCATCGAGAGCTGCTTCTCGGATTTCGCCGCGCGAGAACCCCGCGATGTGGCGCGCGACGTGGCCGCGGAGCGCCCCGCCTGCTTGGGCGTGTCCCCCGCCTTGGCCGGCGGCAGGCGCTCCGCGGGGCTCTTCGCCCCGCCCGTGAACGTCACGGAGCGATTGGCGCCCTTTTTCGAGGTGCGCGGCGTCCGCGGGTCGTCGCCGACCTCGGACCGCCCCCGCGCACCCTTCCGTTTGCCCTTGCCCTCGTCCTCGGTCTCGGAGGCCCGCGGGGGCGAGTCGCCACGATCCGAGCCCACGTCGAAAGCGACCGACGCGCCAGTCTGACGGTTCCGTCTGCGCGGCACCTCGCGGCTCGACCGCTTCGACTTGCTAGGTCCCGGCTCGTCTGCAGCCACCAGCTCCGCCCCGGGTGCCGTCTTCGTGCGCAGCGCCATCTTCTTCCCTGGCGCTGAGGGACCCTCGTCCTCAGCGACGCCGGCCTCGCGCTTGGTCTTGAGGCTCTTGTGCAGGTTGAGCCCGGAGACTGCGCCCTTGATGCTCTTCATGCTCTTCATGCTCTTGAGGCGGAACTTGCTCAGGAAGTTCGACTGGTGCGAAGACACTTCGTTATCTGCAGAGCACACATGCGCGCACAGGAGCTTGAGCGCACGTGCCGAGCGATCGCAGCCAGCAGCCTTGCCGGGGTGCGTTGACGCGCGCACCTTCGTCATGCAGCCCGCCCAGCATGCTTCGCGCAGTGCGGGAGATCGGGCTCAGCAGCGCTTCCGACATTCCGCTTTTCACGCCGCCGAGAACCGACCTCCGCAACCCTCTCTTGGTGGTGCGTGGGGTCCCGCTGACGGGTACGGGCCGCATCTCTGCTTCAAGCATATGCTGTACGAGAATCAGCCTCTTGAGCACTGCAGAGCACACGCGACAGCTCAAGGAGCGGTGACAGTGGTCGCAAAGCATCGCCGCCGCACGGTGCAGTGCCAGCAGAAGAGGGGGCCGTGCCGGCGCACCTGGGTCGCCATCCTCGTCCTCGGAGAAGCCCTCGGACGGCGCCATGGTCCCACGAGAGGTTCCGGCCTCGAGGGAATGCCGCCTGTCGTCGATGTCCGTCGAGATCCGCCTGTCAGGGTTCTCAATGAACTCCCGCGTGCGCTTGGCGACGGCCCTCGAGAACGGCGTCGAGGCGGGCGCCAGCAAACAGTGATCCGGAATCTGCCCGACGCGCTCCATGAGTTCCCAGCCTGCGTCCAGCGCGTCGCGGGGGCCAGCGGTGAGCCAAGCGTCGCGCACCATGGCAACGGGGCGTTTCGAGTGCGGGGGCGGGACGCGCACGGGGGCGGGGGCACGCGGGGACGCGGGTTCGCGGGGCGGGCGGGCGCGCACCTTCGATGTGCGTGGCGATGAACTCCCCGAACGTGAGCGTGCTGTCGGAGTCCCGGTCCATCTTCTGCATGATGTGCATGAACGCGGCCGCCTCCCGCGGCGTGATCATGTCGCCCAGGTCCTTGAGCGTGCTGGAGATCTCCCCGACGGAGAGCTTCCCGGACCCGTCGATGTCGAACACCCGGAACGCGTCCTCGAGCAGCGCGTGTTCGGAGCGCATGCGCTCCTCGTGCACGAGGTAGAACAGCGCGAACTCGTCCCGCGAGACGCGGCTCGTCTCCGGGAGCATGTCCATCTCGGCGAGGAGGTGGTACACGATCGACTCCGACACCACGAGCCCCAGGCAGTTGAAGATCATCACCACCTCGGCCACCGTGAAGGAGTACACGTGGCCGTACCCCAGGACGGTCAGGACGCGGTACAGGTTGAGCAGGCGCCGGCCCATGAAGTGCGGCTCCTGCTGCACCAAGCGGATCAGCCGCACGCCCGGCGGGTCCACGCGCCCGAACTGCTTGATGCGGTTGATGAGCGTCATGGGGTGCGCCAGCGTGCGGGACCGCGCGATCGCGCCCGCGTGCGGCGCCAGCTGCCGCCGGGTGTCCTCCGGGGCCGCGGCGCGCTTCCTCCGGAAGCACCCGAACGGCCGCACCGCGTCGGGCTCGTCCGCGTGGACGCTGGTGCGCCGGGTCTGCGTGGTGAACGCGCGCGTCAGCACCGGCATGAGGCCGCGCCCCCGCTTCGACACCGCCCCCTGAGGGCCCTTCTTCTTCCACTTGGACACGTCCTGCCCGAAGTACCGCTTCCGGTGCCCGTGGCGCGTCCAAAAGTGCGCCGCGTACCCCTCGTCGTCGCTGTCCTGCCCGTGCAACGGCTCCCCCTTGGCGAGGCCGCTCGCCATCGCCGCCAGGTGCGACTCCGCGACGCTCCGCTCGTCGTGCATCGTCTCCGACGCCGCCGTGGCCTGTCTCCGCGAGTCCCCCGGGCTCGCCGCGCTCGACGCAAACCGCATCCGCTTCTCCGTGGGCAGCGCCCGCGGCAAAGCCTCCGCCTCCGCCTCCGTGGCGGACCGCCCGCTCGGGCCTGCGTCGCCGTTCGACGACCGCCCCGCGCTGATCCGAGAGGACATGTTCCGAATCGATTGCAGGATCGCTACGGGGCGCCGCAGCCCCGGCCGGGACGGACTCTCTGCGGCGGGGAGAGGAGAGGCGACGCGGTGGGCTGCGGGTCGGCGAGGCAGCGCGCGGCACGGGTCTCCGCTGGGACTGGGACTGGGCGCACCTGGCTTCGCCTGCGAGTCGTCTGGCGTGTGGCGGTGGCTGCTGTGCTCGTGTTCGTCTACTGCCGCGAGGAAGCCCGTCCCGCTGGGGCCGCCCGAGAGGAGGCCGCGCCGGCTGTGGCTGGCCTCCGGCCTGGCCCTGCGCCCGCGCTCGTCGGCGCTGAGCTGCCTGAAGAGCTCGTTGAGCTCGGGCGGCCCGGACATCCGTCCCTCCGCGATGGCCTGGCAGGGCGACGTCAAGTACGCCCGCGAGGACCCCCCGCTGAGCTGCTGCCTGAGGTCGGAGGGCGCCGCCCGTGCCCTGTGCTGCGCCTGCAGCTCCTGGGAGTGCCGCTGCATCTCGGCCTCGGCCTGCATCAGGTCGCGCATCTTGAGGAACCCGGAGGGCCGCTTGGAGACCCTGCGGCTCAGGGAGCGCCCGAACGAGGACGTGCTGCGCGCCAGCCTGCTCGAGCTGTCCCTCCGCAGCGCCCGCCCGTTGCTCGACGACGCCGCGCCATCGGCCCCGCCCGGCTCAGCACCGCGCGAGGCCCCGCTCGCCCCCCGGTTCAACCCGCTGCCCGCGCGCCCGGGCGGCCCCCAGCTGCTCTCGCCCGCCCTCCTCGACGCCTCCCGCTGGGCCGCCTGCCGCTGGCCAGACCCGGCGGCGACGTGGCTGACCATCCTCCTCGGCCCCCGCGATCAGGCGCAGGCACCGCTCAGCGTCGTGGGCCGCAGGCGAGGGCCACCACCACCCGCATCTCAGGGCCTCCCGGCCAAACTGCCATGCTGCGCGCCGCCTCCGGCCCCGTCCCGCCCTCCAGGAACGCGCCTACGAGCACCGCCACTGGGGCTCCCGCGCCTGCTCTCGCGGCCCTCGCCGGGACCTCCCGCAAGCCCGCGCGCGACGCCCACGATGGAAACAGCTGTTGCCGGTCCCGCTCGCAGCTGGAGGGGGCGTTTCCTCCGCAAACGCGCTCCCCTGCTACAGGGCCACGTGCGGCGTCGTCCAAGGTCGGCAACTCGCGTCTCTGGGCACGAAAGGGCCGCCTTAGGGCCCGAGTACCTTGGTACCAACAGGCGACCGAACGCGTGGGTCGACGCCCGTGATCAGAGAAATCTTGTTCGGATTGTCACCGGCGCGAGACGAAATGCGGGCCGAGCTGCGCACGGCGTGCACAGGACCCGGGGCCGGGCTAGCGTGGCTGTCGGACGTTTTCATACCGCGCTCGGGCCCGGCCGGGGGCGAACGGAGCTCGTTGGGCGCGCCCGCCGCTTAGCTCTCTCCTTTCTGGGACACCATGGGCGCCTACAAGGTGCGGGGCCCAGCCACGACCGCGTGCGGGCGCGAGCCGCATCGCAGACCGGGCGCCTGCTCCCGGGATGGCCCCCGCGGCTGCGCGCACCGCCTCGCGGGATGTCCATTCGAATGGCGTTCGCTCATTCGACGCGACAGCCGGCGCCGGCAGGCTTCGAAGCCTTCCCCGGAGCTGCGTTCGGGCATCATGCAGCTTTGCGTTGCGCCTTGCGGTCACGCCGGTGCACACTCGCGCTGATTCCCCCGCCGTTCCGCGCTTCCGAATGCAGTATCTCGAGGAGCTGTGGAGGAAGAAGCAGAGCGATGTGCTCCGCTTCCTCCTCCGCGTGCGCTGCTGGGAGTACCGCCAGCTGCCCGGCATCACGCGGCTGACCAAGTGCGCCCCCTCCCCCGTGACTTCATTTCGTGCGTTCCGCGTGCCCCGAGCCGCTCGCGCTCCGCGCGGCCCTGAGCGGCCGGCTCGACCCTCCAAGCCCCATCGTTCCTGCTTCCCGCCCCCTCCCGTCCGCGGCGATCCCGGGGCGCGCGGTCCGGCATTCCCAGCGCGAGCTTGCCACGCGCGGGCTCCTTGCCGGGCGGCCGCGAGCCCCCGTCCGCGCTCGCACGGCTCTGCTGCGCGCTCCCAGTCAGCCGCCGCTCCCGTGCCCGGCTCTCGCGCTCACTCCTGGCCCCCCGCGCCCCTCGCGGTCCGCAGGCCCTCCCGCCCGGACAAGGCGCGTCGCATGGGCTACAAGGCCAAGCAGGGCTACGTGGTGTACCGCGTGCGCATCCGCCGCGGCAACCGCAAGAGGCAGGTGGCCAAGGGCATCGTGTACGGCAAGCCCGTCACGCAGGGCGTCACCCAGCTCAAGCCCAACCGCAACCTGCGCGCCATGGCCGAGGAGAAGGTCGGGCGGAAGTGCGGCGGCCTGCGCGTGCTCAACTCGTACTGGGTGAACCAGGACTCGACGTACAAGTACTTCGAGGTCGTCCTCGTGGACCCCGCGCACACCGCGATCCGCAACGACCCCCGCATCAACTGGATCTGCAACCCCGTGCACAAGCACCGCGAGCTGCGCGGCACCACCTCGGCGGGGAAGACGGGCCGGGGCCTGCGGGTGCGCGCCCGCCCAGCCCCGCCGCGCGCCGCCCGCGGACCGCCGCCGCGCGCGCCGTGCGGGGGCCGCCGCGCCGCAGCCTGCCGCGGGCGCGCTGCCGCACGCGGAGGGCTCGTTCTCATCTCATGCTGTGTGCTGTTCCCACTCGTGCGCAGGGCAAGGGGACGCGGTACGACACGCGCCCGTCGATCCGCGCTACCTGGAAGCGTCACAACTCGAAGGTGTTCAGGCGCTACCGCTAGTCGGGGCGGGGGCATATCTAGGGCGCCACGATGTGATGCCTTGGGAATCGCAGCGCGCGCGCGGAGGGGGGGCCGACCCGTGCGCGGCGGGGAGCGGCGAGCGAGATCGCGTGGTGCTGTGCCGGGGGCCTGGTGCCCACGAGCGGTCGCTTGCGTGCGGGCTGAGTCCAGCTGTTGACGCGAGTGCATCTGTGTCAGGCAGACAGCGTGTTCCGCGTCGCTTGCTGGGGCGCGCTCATGGCGGACAGGGGCGGCCCGGGGTGGGTACTTGCGGCGCGTGCGAGCCCGGGTGCTGTGGGCGCGATGGCGTTCGCGATGTCGCGGCACCTCCCGGGATGCCAGCTCAGCCAGCCCGCCCGGGCGGGGCAGCGCCCGTGCGGCCGGGCGGTCACGCCAGCGCGGAGCGTTCGTGCGAGAGGGCTGAACCGCAGCGCCAACCGCTCCCGTTGGTCGTCGGGGAATGCCGGGGGGCCGGGTGGAGACGCAGCGGACGGAGTCGCCGGCGGCCAGCTCGCGGAACTGCGCGGCGACGAGGTATGCGCAAGCGGACGCGCTGAACTTGCTGGCAGCGCTGGGGCCGAGGCAGCAGACAGAGGGCCCGTCGTTGAGCGGCACATTCCCTGGCGGCCTTGTGTTCCACCTGCACCACCGACCTGCGTCGCGGCGGTTCAGACCATCTCTGCCGCCCGTTTTGGTGTACATTCGTGCATCATGGGGACGAGCACAGCTGGCATCACTGTCGCGCGGTGGTGGCCTCGCACGTTGCAGGGACAGCTGCTGGAGGCGTGCTCATCGTTGACCCCGTCGCAGGTCGTGTGGGGCGCTGCGGAGGACCTTGCCGCGGAATTCGCGGCAGTTGATCGTCACGTGTTCCAGTGCAGCGCTCGTGTCCAGCGAGCAATGGCACGGGCGCGTGTTGGCCCGCATCACTTTCAGGGCTCCACAGGCTACGGGCACGGCGACATCGGTCGCGACGCCCTCGACGAGATCGTCGCAGAGGCAAGCGCAGCTCCCCGCGCGCCGGCCCCCGCCACGCCCCACGTGACCGCCAGGCAGGGCCAACCCCCCCCGGCCGTCTCGCGATGCGCTGCAGGTCATGGGCGCTGAGTCGGCCATGGTGCGCGCGCAGTTCATGTCCGGCACGCACGCGATCGCGACCGCGCTGTACGCGTGCTTGCGGCCGGGCGACGAGCTGCTCGCGGCCGTGGGGGCGCCCTACGACACCATGGAGGAGGTCATTGGGCTGAGGGGGGTGCCGAACGTGGGGTCGCTGCGAGACTGGGGGGTGTCGTACCGGGAGCACCCGACGCTCGACGGCGGGCGCGTGGACGTGGAGGGGCTCGGGGCGGCGGTGGCGCGCGGGGGCGGGAAGACCAGGGTGGTGCTGGTGCAGCGGTCGTGTGGGTACGCGCTGCGGCCGACGCTGACGATCGAGGAGGTCGGCGCGTGCGTGCGGGCGGTCAAGGAGGCGGACCCGGACTGCCTCGTCCTCGTCGACAACTGCTACGGCGAGTTCGTCGAGGTGCGAAGGAACGCCGCTCGGCAGTTGCGCAAACCGATCCCGCGTCGTGCCGCCCCGCGCGGTGCCCACGTGGACCACGCTCGTCTCGCTTCCTCGCTCCGCCGCGCAGGCCAAGGAACCGCCGGCAGTGGGCGCTGACCTGTGCATGGGCTCGCTGATCAAGAACGGCGGGGGGACCATCGTGCCCGGCGGCGGGTACGTCGCGGGCCGCGCGGACTTGATCGACCGCGTCGCAGCCCGGCTATCGGCGCCGGGGCTGTCGACCGACGCGGGGCAGGTGGACGGCACCACGCTGCGGCTCATGTTCCAGGGTCTGTGGCTGGCGCCGCAGATGACCGCGGAGGCGCTCAAGGGCGGCATGCTGGTCGCGGCGGTCATGCGCGCCGAAGGCCACGCCGTGGACCCGAAGATGGCGCGCTGGCCGCGCGTGGACTTCATCACGCCGGTGGAGCTCGGGTCCCCGGAGGCGATGGTTGCCTTTGCGCGTGCGCTGCAGGAGCGGTCGCCGGTGGGGTCGTACATCAGGCCGGAGCCCGGCGTGACGGCGGGGTACGGCGACCCCGTGGTGTTCGCCGACGGCACGTTCATCGACGGGGCGACCTCGGAGATGTCTGCGGACGGGCCGATGCGGGCGCCGTATGTCATCTACTGCCAGGGCGGCAACCACTGGACGCACTGGGCGTACGCGCTGGAGGGCGTCGTAGAGGCGCTGCGTGGTCTCGCCGGATCCGAGCAGGCGGAGCGCGCGGACAGCGTCGCGGCGTGAGGGCGGCCCGACCTGACAGCGCAGTCGTGCCTCGGATGGGCGGAGGAGCATCGCCGCGCTGATCGGCGAAGCGAAGTAGGTGCGTGACGGAGGTGCGATTGGTGACGGGGTGGAGGCGTTCCAGGCTGCCTCGAGCGCGAGTGGACCCTTTCGAGGCGTTGACATTCGGGTTTGCAATTCCCAGAGATCAAAATTCAGTCGCCGCCTTGACCCTCACCAAGTTTCATCGGCGTGCGTTGATTTGATGGATCATTTCCGTGGATGCTACGCCTATGACGTCAAGGAACGCGGAGCAGGGCGATCAGAGCATGCGTACAGCATGTCCAGTATGCACACGGCTTCGCGCCAGCACTTGGCTCGTGATCACCGTCCTTGCGCTCAGCGTCTACATACTCGAACGCAGCAGGTCGTCCGCTCGCGCGCTGCGACGAATAGAACCGCTCGCACACGGAGGCAGCCAGAATGCTGGTGACAAGACTGCATTTCTTGTTCTGTACGCCGGGCATGTTGGCTCTTCGGCATTTCTCGACGCTCTCGGACTGTTACCTGACGTCTATGTGCCGGGGTTCGAGCCTTTGGACGTCGAAGGACTCGACGGACCGCGGAAGCTCGATTGGATGGACAACCTGTTTTCGATCACGCATGACGATGGCTTCGAGGCGGGAACGGTGAGCTCCTCGCGCCGACCACGTAGCCCGCTGCATGCTACAGTCACAAGCCGCGCCTCGACCCCCTCTAATTCTGAAAACTCTGCTCGACGTGTCATTTCTCTGCAGTGGCTGAACGGGGTCTTGCAGCTTGGAGAGCCATGGAGGCCGCGCGTCAATGCCACGAAGGCCATCGCAGTCGCCACCTCGAGCAGCACTCCGCACGCTGTGGGCTTCAAGATGCGCCCGTTCCCTGGGCAGCACACCGCCTGGACCGGCATGGACCCATGGGCTCTCAGGGAGACGCTCGCTCGACACAACGTCAGGGTGGTGGTAATGATGCGGCGAAACGCCCTGAAGCAGGCGATATCGTGGCATCTTGCCCGCGATCAGGACATCTCGCAATTTGCGCGGGAGCCTGACAGCGCTGAGGATCAAGACATCCAGCTCGACGTCGTGCGTGTGCGACTGTGGATTAAGTACGTGGAGCGGACGAACCTGTGGCTCGTCTCTGCCGCGCGCTTCCTCGGACGCCCGTGGCACGTAGTGTGGCACGAGGACTACATTGCCGACGCCCATCAGACCCTCAGCGACACCGCGTCGTTTCTGGGACTTCCAAGCGAGAGCAGGGCGAGCAGTGCAATCGCAGCCGCCGTGGCGGCGCAGGCGTTCACGAAGAAGCGCAGCGACGACCTTGCGAGCGCTGGATTCAACAACACAAGCGAACTGGCCCGCGCGTTCATGACCGACTGGTGCTGGGAGCTCGGACCCCGCCTCTGCCCGCCTCGCATTCCGGACGAACGTCAAGCTGACGACGTCCCACATGGTCTGGCCGATCCCGCTTCAGCGATGATGCGACATGGCGACGTTTCGTTCACGGGCTACTGGGAGATGCTTTCGAAAGATATGGAGGCTTCAACGCCTCTGTTCTCTGGCCTGTCCGCGCGGCAAGCTGCGATGCAGTACGACACAGGCCGGCGGGGCCGTCTGCAGTCGGTGCGGGCGCGCCAGCGCGCTGTCATCTTCAAACACGAGCACAAGGCCGGCGGTACGACACTGTGCCGCGTGGCGCGCCTCTTCATGTCGGCTCCGACCGACAAGCTCCCGGGCTCCGCGGAGTGGGATGCAAACTGCATTCCGATCGAGGCGTTCGCGCGGCCCGCGCCTCCGTGGGTGCTGACAGGAGAGCCCAGTCCGGCTGGCGAAGCCAACTCGATGACGGGGGGCGCGTGCTGGTTCGGGCAGCTTGACCCTGCGCAGCAGGAAGCACTCACCAGGACCATGTTTCCTGCATTCGACTTCTTCGCCAGCGAGGGACCGCTCCCGGACGCAATGGCGCTGGGCGCGCCGCACAGCTTCGTCACCATGCTGCGGCGCCCGCAGGACAGGACGCTGAGCGCGTACCACTGGTGGAAGTCGATGGTGGCGAAGTTCGGGCCGTACAACGCGCCCATCTGTCACAGCTTCTGGGCGCCTCAGAACTCGACGTTGGAAAGTTGGCTGGAAGTGTTCCCCGACAACTGGCAGACCAGGACGATGCTCGGGAAGGAATGGCTCCTGGGTGCGGCGCGAAGAGAGATCGGCGACGAGGACCTCCGCAACGCTGTTTGGCGCCTCCATTTGTTCGACGGAGTTCTGCTCGTTGAGGACGTCGAGGGCTCCTCTGCACTGCTGCGGTCTCGGTTCGGATGGGACCCCGCGGGGATAGGGGGCGTCTCGGCCGAGCGCCCTGAAGAGTTGTTCGAGATTTTCAGGTGCTGATTCTTCTCGTTGGTCGCTGGCTCAGATATCAGAAGAACCACGACCTAAGAACCAGAATCCACGTGATTGGGTCCTGAATTTCTGGTGTCCCCGCAAGCAGGGCCTCCGACCACCCTTCCTGTTGGAATGCAGGCACGGGTCCAGACGGGACAGCAACGCCGCAGACGAGCTGCGAGGAAGCAAGGCGGCGGACCAGATGCGCCGGTTGCACGAGTACGACGAGCAGCTGTACGCCTACGCGTCGCGGCTGCATTGCCGGCAGTTGTCGCAAGACGGCATCGATAGCGCGTTCTGCGCGGATTTGCGCAACGGGCACTGACTCGCCTCCGGTCAGCAAGAGCGCACCCTCACACGACAGCACCTCGCCCCGCGTCCCGACAACCAGCGCTAGCCACTGCTCGGAACGAGGTGCCACATCTTTCGCGTCGTCGATGATGTGAGACGTCACGACGCGAAGAATGTGTGGTGCGATGTGATGTGATTCAGAATCCAGGATCTTTCCGCAGCTCCTCGAGGGCGCTCAGCAGCTTCCACCCGCCCCCGACGCTCCCACCTGACCCCACCGCCCAAGCAGCCACCGCGACGCTCCCGACCGCGTCAGCCTGCCGCAACGCGCACTCCAGGCCGTCCCAGCTGCGCAGGCCCGCCAGCGCCATCCAGCCGGTCACGGCCGCCCCAGGCGCAGCGCCGCCCGACGCATCCCCAGCCAGCCACCGTCTGAGCGCACTGCCCGCGCCGCCCTCGAGCGTGGCGGCCAGCAGCGCATCCCACAGGTGCCGCAACACCTCCGGAGGTACCAGCGGGCCGCAGTGGCGCGCGTCGGCCACCTCGGCCATCCCGGCGTGCGTGAGCGCCACTCCGATCACGTGGCCGACCAGCGCGGGCAGGTAGCTGTCGCCGGCGCGCCGCGCCGCGTCGCACGCGCTCGTCACGTCGGAGAGGAGGGCCAGGCAGAGAGTCAGGGACTCCTCCGTCCCCTCGAGCAGCGCGCGCCTCAGCATGGCCTCGAACAGCCCGGGCTCGACACCCCGCATCGCCCCCGCGAAGCCCCTCGTGCAGTCGCGCGCGAGGGCGGACAGGCATGGATCAGACCCGAAGAGACAACATGCTTCCTCCAAGCTGGCGTCTGCAACGGTTCCGTGCCCGTTCGCGGGGGACGCGGTGCGCGGCAGGCGAGCCGTAAGAGCGAGCGACCGCATTCCGGACTCGTCTCGCGCGTAGGGCAGCGACCCGGCCTGCCGTTTGACGAGCAGGACGCGCTGGCGGAACAGGGCGTCGATGCTGGCGCCGTCGCCCAGCACGAGCGGAAGGTACCGCGGCCCCATCGTGCGCAGGGCCTGGATCCTGGAGCGCTCCTGGAGCAGCCACGGCGCGGTGGCGTGGGTGTCGAGCGCCGCGTGCTGATCGTCTGCCGCCATGCTCGCGTCGTGGCCGCTCGCTGCCTCGGACGTGGCCGTGATGGAGATCGGGACTTGCACCGGGAGGCGCGTGTCGACGTCAATCGCGGTGACGCTCCTGGGCACCGCGGCCATCGCGTACAGGTGCCGCTGGATGGACCCCAGCGCGGACGAGAAGTCTGGGAAGAAGGCAATGGCCAGGGCCGCGGTCGCCGCCGGGGACTGCTCGAGCGTCATCGAGCCGCCGCCGAGGAACAGCATGCCGAGCGCCAGGGACAGCGTGGCGTGGTGGTCTGCGTCAGCAGCGGCGGCACGGCACGTGTGTGAGCACAGGCGGCGCGGGTCTCTCGCAAGTGCTGGTGTGGCTGCGCGGGGGGGCGGGGCGCGGGGGCCGTGGGGCGCACCCGATGTCATTTCCTTCGCGTTCCTGAGCGACATCGCGCGCAGCAGCTTCACGCACTCGAGGTCGCCCGTGCCCGCCATGATCATGCCCAGTGCGCTTGCGAGAGTTGCCAGGGCTCCCTCGGCCGCGTAGCGACTGATGCCCGCCTTCAGGGCGTGGCCCGTCACGCCGTGGATGAGCCGCATGCAGTCAAGAATGTGCTCGATCTCCCCGCGGATGGTCCGCGCGGCTTGTGCGTCTCCGCTGCCCGCGTACCGCAGACCGACGCCGAGCCCGAGCCCGGTGATCATGCTCAGGTGGCCGGCAGTCTTGGACGCGAGGTCCTCGCCGTCCCTGTGGCAAAGGCGGGCAACCACGCTGCGTCGAACCCGGTGCGCGGTGACCATGTGGAAGCATGAAAAACGACACCATGCAGAAACGCACGGCGGATGGCTCACCTCGCCAGCTTCCTCTCGAGGCCATCAATATCGTCTCCTGGTTCCGGCGGCGACAAGAGGTCCGCGAGGCGGCCCTTGAGCGTCGGCGGAAGGCGGCTCTGAATGAAGTCAGGTGTGTTGCCGACCGAGTCCCAAGCGACGAGGCACCACGCGGTCGTTCGTAGCTGCAACATGTCCGGCCGGACGAGGTCAAGCCCCGCAGCCGACGCCGGCGGATCGAACCACGACGCGGCGCGCATGTCGTTCGTTCGATGGTACATCAGCGCAAGGGCCATCGTCGCGCCGGGACACGTGATGTCGAGCGCCGGCAGGTCGCCTTCGAGCGTCGTGCTCGACGCCTTGACGCGCCGCATGTTGCTCCGCGCCGCGTCGCACACGTCGTCCTCCGCGCGCCTGGTCTTGGCCGGCTGCCCCACCTTTCGAATCGTGGCGGCGTGCGCGCCCGTCGACGGGTCCACGCCGCCCGTCATCAGTGCGCGCAGCCGACTTTCGATGTTCAGGTCGGCAAGCCCGGGCGCCCGCCCCCCCGAGCACAGCAGCACCAGCCCGAGCCCCAGACCAGCCGAGCGCGCGTAGCCCTCTCGAGACCCGCTCGGCGCGCCGCTGGGGGGTGCGGGCGTGTCCCACGGGGGCGGGTGGATCTCCTCGAGCAGCACCTCGGACATGAGGCGGTGGCAGGACCCTTGGAAGAGGAGTCCGACGCCCAGCACTGCGGCAGACTGAGTCAGGGGTACGACGTCGATCTCTGGGTAGGAGGCCGGGTGGCGGGACGGGATGTGGAGGAAGAGCATCCGCGAGAACGACGTGTCCATGGAGCCGCGCCGCGACGCCGCTGTGCCGAGCAGCGTCGCCATGGTCGTCGGCTGCTGGTCCTGCAAGAAGAGGGCGGAATCGTATGTGACGTACAAGCTCGGCCCAAGGGAGCGAGGAGGCGAGCGCAGCGCCGGGCGCGGACGCGTCGTACCAGGGACAGCAAGGTGTACACGTCCGTCGAAGACAGGGAGGCGAGGTTCCCGGACAGCCCGAGTCCAAGCAGTGTGCCCGCCTGCGTCAACACCACCTCCGTCGGGGCGTCCTTCGTGAGCGTCACGCGCTGCAGCGCGACCCACGACCGCGATCCCGCGGCGCCGCCGGGCGAGGCCCGCAGCCCCTCGGCCACGCCGTTCGAGAAGAACGCCCAGCGAAGCAGCGCGGCCACGTTGGGCCGCGACGTGTTGGCGAGCACCGTGCGCTCGTCCGGGCCGACGATCGCGTTGTTCTGGTGCGGCAGGCGCACGTTGATGACGAGTCGCGGGGCGGCGAGCACCGTGCTGGGCAACACGCGCACGGTGTGCAACGCAATGGCGCCGCGCCCCGCAGGCAGGCCGAGGGTGCGCGCGGCCGTCCGGTACAGCAGCGTCTGCACTGCGTCGGCGTCGTTCGACGGCGGAAAGACGTCCCGCGTCGCCGACGAGTCCAGCAGCGCGACCACCTCCGCGACGCGCCGGTCCCGGGGGAAGCGCAGCGCACCCACCCCGGTGACGACCGAGTGCGACCACGGCGGCAGCCTCGCATGGCCCTGCAAGGGCGCTGCGCCCGGCGTGCCGTCCGCGGACACCACGGCCTCGTCGTCTGCGTCATCGGCGTCCTGGACCGGCAATCGTTCTGTCTGCGGGCGTGCGAAAGCCTGCAGACTCCTCACCCACGCCAGCGCGACGGTGTCGCCGTCCGACGCGGTCGAGCGTGCAGCCATCGCGGCGACGTCGTCGCGGCCGATGATCAGGTACGCTGCGGGCGTCAGTCCCTCCGGGGGCCGCTGTTTGAGGTCCCACAGCGCCTGACGCAAGGGCAGCGCCACGCCCGCGGCCACGCGGTCGAGTTCGCCCGGTGTCCAGCCGACCTCCGTCATGCGCCGCAGCAGGACGACGGCGTCCGCCCCGTCCGCACCGTCCGCGCTCGCTGCGCGCCCCTCGCGCGCCCGCCGCACCCGCAGTTCAGCCGCCACGCGCGCCTGGGCCGCGAGCACGTGGTACGCCGCCACAACGCGCACCGCAAGCCTCATGCACGTCGGCACCTTCCTGATATCGCCCGCAGACAGGCGTCCCTCTCCTGCGAGCTGCGGCGGCAGCACCCCGCGTGCAGCCTCCACGCGGCCCGCCGCCAGCAAGCGGCACCCTTCAAGCAAGTCCGCCACCGCGGGCTCGCCCTTCGCGTCTCGGTCCGGCACCGCAACCGCCATGCCGTCACGGCAGTACCGCTCCGCGTGCGCGCGCCACCCAAGCGCGGCGCACAGGCTCCCAAGCAGGTCAGCGAGCGCTGGCAGGTGTCTCCAGCACAGCGGCTCGATCCGCCACGCCTCGTACAGCGCATGGAGCGTGCTCGCGGCAGCAGCAAGCCGTGCGTCGCCCCGTCCGCCGGCCGCCACGCGTGTCGAGCCGGCCAGCTGCGCGTCAAGCCCGATGTTGGACAGGAGGGCCGCAACCGCCCTGCCTGTGGCGTCGGTGCCGCGTCGCCGCGCCGAGTCGGCCACGAGACGCTCGAACGGGGTGCGGCCGCTCCCGCCCCGGTCCGTCTCTTGGCTTCGGCGAAGGTTCTGCCCGCTGACGCCGAGCCACGTGAGGATTGCGCTAGCTGTGGCCCCCCACTCCGCCGCGTGGAGGTCCTGGGGCCCGGAACAGCGCGTCGCGGCGTGCTGGACGGCGCAGATCGCGGCGGCGTGACCGGGGACGAACGCTTCGGCTCCCAGCGCGGAAGCCAGCGCCTCCAACACTTGCTGGGCCGGCAGCGACGTAGGGGCGTCGATGCCCACGTGGACGCGGACGGACCGCGCGCCGTTGCCGAGGACGACCACCGCCTTCGTTCCGAGCCCCTCGGCGAGCACAGCGCCGCGCAGATCGACTGGGCCCGGGGCAGCGGGCAGGGGCTGTATTCCACTCATCCCGGAGGAGTCAAAGCTGCCTGACGCATCAATGTCGATCGGGTGCGACGCGGGCGTCGGAAACGCGTCCACGGGCTCGTTCCCATCGCTGTCCTGCTCCATGTCGCTCGACACGCGCCGTGGTGTGCGCGCGTGCGGCGTCGCAGGCGCAGCAAGGCCGCTATGTTCAATCGGCGCCGCAACGTGCGCCAGGCGCTGCGCGCCGGCGTACACCGCAAGCTCCCCCGAGGGGCTCAGCGCGAGGATGTCCGTCTGCGGCAGGTGCTTCCACCACCGGCTCCAGGGGGGGCGCGCGCGTGCTGGTGCCGCAGGGCCGTAGGACGCTCGTAGCGCGGCCCGCGCGGCCCGCACGGGCTGCGCGGACGCGCAGTGCGGTATGGTGAACTCCACCGCCGCGCGCTCCCCCTCTGCGCGCGGCAGCCGCACCGCCAGCAGCTCCGAGGCCTCGCGCGACACAAGGCACATCAGCGGTGTGCTGTCAATGCCGGTGCTGAGGAACGCCTGCGCCGCGGACCGCCCCGGTGCGCCCTGCCACACGAGGTGCAGGGAGGGCGCGGGTTCGGGCGGCCGCAGCGCCGCTTCGAGCTCGTGGCGCTCGGCGACGTCCGCCACGGTGGTCGCGTGCGTCTTCGACGGGGTCCTGGTCAGACGGGGCTGCGTCTTGCTTCCGGGGGCTCTGGGGGTGCGAGCGAGGGAGGGCCCCGCCGTGCTGCGCGGCGCAGTCGTCGTGTGCGCCGGCGTGGCCGGCACGCCCGCGACGGGCGCTGGTGTGGCTCCAACGGCGGCGGGGTTCGGTGCCTCCGCGTCGTCGAACCGCACGCGCCAGACCGAGAGACGCGACGACGTGGTCGACCACGTCAGCACGAAGGGCGCGCGCGGGTCCGAGAAGCACGGCACCTCGGTGGCGGGGAGGGCCTGACGTGGCGAGTCGACACCCCCCCTTGCCAGAACGCGCGTCGGCCCCTCGAGCGGGTGCAGCAGCGCGGCAGTCGGCGCGTCGCTCTCCGAGCTCCGCCCGCTGCACGCCGACGACAGCAGCACTCCGCGCGGCAGAGCGTGGAGCTGCGTGTACGCGGCCCCCACGGGCGTCTTGAGCACCTCGCCACCCGCCGTCTGCATGGCGAGCGTCCCTCCGCTGAGCAGGAGGCACAGCACCGGCCGGCACTCGTCGAACCGTTCGAAGACCACCAGGGCTGCGTCGATCGGGGGCGCTGAGGTCGAGATGCGACGATACAGGCCTCCAGGGCCGCTCCACTCCGCCTCGCAGTCCCGCAGCAGGACGCGGTGCGCGTCGGGGCGCCGGGCATCGCCACGGAGCGCCGCGGGTCCGGGAAGGAGGCGGTAGTCCGCGAAGGCCCCCGGGAGCTGCGAACATTGAAAGAGCCACCGCACCGAACGCAGTGGGTTGCGCGCCCGCGGCGAGTCAGGGCCGTTGGTGGCGGTTGGATGGTCCAGGCTGTGAGATCGGGTGGCGGTTCGCCGTACCTGATTGCAGCGCTGGGCTGGTCGAGCCTCGGTGTCCCGGTTGTCCTGCTCGCGCGCCGGGAGCAGCGCCCCGGGACACAGGCGCGCGGGCACCTCGCTCGTCATGGATCAAATGCGCGCGAATCACCCTTGGTCCATTTCCTCGGAGTCAGAGGACGCACGGCGGGATCAAGCGGGGCAGACTGCTGCGCTCAGCAGCGATGCGCCGGCTGCCACCACCTGGAGCAGGCGCTCAGCATGAAACTGGGTCTCGCGCGCGGCGGAAACAATCCCCTCCGCGCGACAGGCTGTCTCACTACCTCTGGCACCAACCGTGGAACAAGTAGGGCGCGTATGGGAGCAGGCGATCCCCGCGAGGCTATCTGCGAGCTCCCAGAGGCGCAGCGAAGCGGAAGGGCGCCAACGGCCTCCCTTGCGCTGTGTGGGGGAAATCTGGATGCGGGTCGGGAGGGCCGACAAGAAGCGTGACCTGCGCAGCGCTTGGCGGGCCAAAGAGCCTGAGGGAGCGGCGTCGGCAGCGTCGCGGGGGACTAAGGCTAGGTCTGTCTTTTTGCCCTCCCCGCACGGGGGCACACGAACTGCCGCTCCGACCAGTCACGGACACTCCGGAGACCTTCGACCTCGCGATTCGCAGCCCTGTCGTATCCGCGCAGTGCTTGACTTCGCAGCATAGCCACCCACCCCGCCTGCCCCCCTTCGTGCTCTCGCCGCCCCTGCCCCTGCCAGCTGGGGCGCGCGCGACCACCTCGTTTGCATGTGGCCTTGGTCGAAATCCTCAGAGCCCGAGACGAGCGTCCTCAAGTGCGTGCCCTGCTTGCGCGAGCAGTCTGCTGCGTTGGCCACACACTCCTGCGGGCCCTTGCGGCAAGGCCGCGGCGGTCCCACGCTCCACTTGTGCCTCGTCGCAGCCTCTCGTAATGTATGTCAAAGCGGGCTCGCGCGCACCGCACGTCCCGCCCCGCACGCTCCGTGCGCGGGCATTAAACAGGAGCAGAATCGTCTCGTCGTCAACGCTGTCCTGCGCTTGCTCCTTCGGCTGCAGGGACAGCCGGAAAAAGTGCTGGGAAGCACGGGACAGCTACTACCGCTGCTGCGAGGAGCTAGGCGACTCGGAGGACGCTCGTAGCTGCAGGTGTGCACCTCTTCCGGGCCACCCCCGCCGCTCGCTCCCACGCCCCTACGGCCGCGCCACACGACGTGCACGGTGTCCGGCGAGCAGCACCCACGTCCACCCCCCCGCGCGCTCGCCCTCGCAGCTCTGAGCGCAAGCTCTACGAGGCCCTGTGCCGCGCGTCGTGGGTCGCCCACTGGGACCAGGCCCGCGAGCGCGACGCCAAGTACTCCCGCGTCCTCGCGCGCAACATCCGCCAGGGCCAGCGCACGGGCAGCCTGCGCGGCGTGCAGGAGGGGCGCAACCAGCAGGTCGAGGACGACTTGTAGGCCATGGCCGACCGCGGGAGGTCGCCGCGACGCGACTACTCGCCCCGGCGCGAGCGCGGGCGGGACCGCGATGACCGCCGGGGCCGCGGGGCGCACGACCGAGACAGGGACGCTGACCGGCGGCGCGGGCGCGATGAGGGTGAGCGCGGGTACGACCGGCGCGGCGACGAACGGCGCGGCGACGAACGGCGCCGGCGCCGCAGCCGGAGTCGCAGCCGGAGCCGGGAGCGCGAGCGGCGGGACCGCGACCGCGAGCGGCGGTACGACGGGGAGGTGTACGGGAACTCCCCCGCGCGCCAGGAGCCACGTCAGTACGACGGCGTGGTGTACGGGGCCGCGGCGCGGGCGGCGGGGGGACGCGGACGCGGGGACTCGCGCGGCCGCGAGGGCTCCCGGGGCCCGAAGGAGGCGGCCCCGGCCCCTGACGCAGGCGCCCAGGCGGACCTGACCCAGATCGACGTCGACGGCGAGGACCCCGAGGCGGCGATGGCGGCGATGGCGGCGGCGATGGGCCTCCCGGTCGGGTTCGATACGACGCAGGACAAGGACCACACGGCGACGGACGCGAGCGCGGTGCACCGCAAGACCACGCGGACGGCGCGGCAGTACATGAACCGCAAGGGCGGGTTCAACCGGGACCTGCCCGCGGAACGCACGGGCGAGAAGGTGCGCAAGGAGGGGCTGCGCCTCGCGTAGCATCTGCCGCAGCCCGTGTGAGCTCCAAAACGTCGGCAGTTACATCGTCACGTGCGCAGCGCCCGCCCCGGCGCCGCGCGGTCTCACGAGACCTTGCGCGACTGGTGGCGCGTCAGCTTCGCCGCCACTTCGCTCGAGAAGTTGACCCCCTGCTTGTTCGGGTCGAGCACGGCGCGCGACGCGGACCGCGACACGTCCCTGCTCCCCTTCACGCTCCCCGCGCGGCTCACCGCCCTGCTCGCCATCCTGCTCGGCATCCGGCTCGTCTGCCGCGACAGCCCGCCGCCCCCGCCGCTCCTCACGCTCACGTTGCTGCCCACGCGCCCCAACAGGTTGCGCTTCGACTTCCCCGTGCTCCCGGGCTCCTCGTCGCCGAACGGCAGCGACGTGCGCGCGTTCGCGGCCTCGCGCGACTTGAGCCGCATGCGCTCGATGTCGCCCTCCAGCATCGGCACCTCGTTCCCGCTCACCTCGGAGCTCAGCGGGCCGCGGCCGTCGTCGAGGTCGCCCATGAGCGACGAAAACGCGTTGGTGTCCGCGAGCGACGACGGCGCGTACGTCCCCGGCATGTCGTCGTCGTCGCCCGCGTCGCCGCTCGGGCGCGGCGGGCGGAAGTCGTGCACGGTGATGGCGCCGCCCACCGCGGGCGCCGCGTCGGGGCCGTCGCGCCGCCGCAGCAGCCCCGCGCGCTTCTTCACCTGCATGAACACCGCGAGCACCTCGTCCGCCTTCGCCTCGATCGCGGACAGCATCGGCAGGATGTCTGACTCCAACACCCCCCCCTCCGACCGCACGCGCTCCTCGTCCTCGGGCCCCCCGAGCGGCAGCCTGCAGTCCAGCGCCTTGTACGCCGCCTGCAGTCGCTCCTTCAGCGCGTCCATCCGCGCCGTGTGCGACCCCGCCAGCTCCACCATCTTGACCGACTTGCCCGCCAGCTTGTCCACGCGCTCCGTGACCGCGCGGACCATGTTGCGGCGCTCCTCGGCCACCTGCCGCTGCTCCCCGCGCAGCTGGTTGCGCTGCCGCTCGACTGCCTCCGTGTGGTCCCGCAGGCGCTCGATCTCCTCCTGCAGCACCTGGTGCTCCAAGAACAGCCGCATGTTCCGCTCCTCGCGCGCCACGAACTGCCCGACGATGTCCTCCGCCGTCTCGATGCCCAGCGCCTCGCGCATCGCCTCGAACGCGCGCTCGTACAGCAGCGCCTTGGAGGTCATGGCCTTGGCGGTGGCGCCGCCCAGCTTGTTCCACGAGGACGCGAGGTGCGCCTCCTTCTTCACCGCCTCGGTCACCGCGAGCTGCTTCTGCCGCTCCATCTCCAGCACCGACTTGACGTACTCGATGCGCGTGTTCATCCGGTTCATCTCGCTCTCAAACGCGCGCCGCCGCTCGTCCTGGTCCGACCGCAGCCGCGCCGCCAGCGACTGCGCGTTGTCGCGGCTCTCGCGGGACAGGTCCGCGGAGTCCTTGCTCGAGTCCACCTTGCCCTTGCGCTCCTGCAAGTCGCGCTCCAGCCGCCTGCAGCGCAACAAGGCACGCGGGGGGGTGTTGGGGCGGGGAGCGCAAACACCGGCGGCGGCGCCCGCGGGGTGCGCGGGCAGGCGCGGCGTGTGTTCTCGGGCGGCGCGGGGCGTGCGGGCGCACAGGTAGATCTCCCGGTAGCGGCGGCGGTCCTTGCGCAGGGCGTTGATTTCCTCGCGGAGCTTCTTGTTGACCGCGACGGCCTTGTTGAAGTCGACCGTGCACTTCTCGAGGCGGTCCTCCATCTGCTTGACCCGCCTGGTCAGCGTCAGGTTCAGGTCCGTCACCGCCGAGGTGCCCGGCATCCTGCCGCGGTCCTGCTTCGCGCGACTCTGCACGAACGAGACGCTCCGGTGCGGTCAGTTCGAGTCCTTGTGGTGTCGTGAGCGCGCGCGGGCGCGCGGGCGTCGACTGCGGTGCGCCGTCTCGTCCGCAGAGACCAGGAAAGGCTCGAGGTTGCCAACAAGCGCACCTGCGTTTTCGACATCTCCGCCTCCAAGTCCTCGATTCTCTTCCTCTCCAGCTCAATCTTGCGCTCGAAATCGTCGATGAGATGCCCGAGCCGCGCCATGCGTTGCCTCTGCGGACGCAACGGGCGCGTCATGGGCGAGTGAGCGCATGCTGACGCACCGGCCTCCAGCGACCCGGGCGAGGGGCCTCCTGCGCAGCGGCGGTCAGCGGCGCAGCTGCGGAGCCCGCGAGCGGCTGGCGAACGTACCTCGGCGTCCGTCGGCATGGCCGCGCGCTCCTCCCGGATGGTTGCAAGGCGGGTTTTGAGAACCGCATTCTCGTCTGTGAGTTGACGAATCTGAGCCGTCTGCCTAGCAATCGTGTCTTGGAGCTCGTCGGAGAGAGTCGCTCCGGCTGCACGCAGCACGACAGTTCGCTCCGTCAGCGGGCCAGGCTGCGGCCACTGGTGCACGCACAAGAGCAGCTCCTCCTCCCAGGGCGCCCGAGGCGTCCTGACCCCATCATCTCGGCGCGCCGCGCCGCGACTTCGCGAGGTGGGAGGGGGTCGAGCTGTACGCGGGGGCAGCGAGCGCGCGGACCGGCCCAACGAGCGGCAGGCCGGGGGCCGCGTGCACTCGGCCATGCACCAGGGTGGTCGGCTTTGGCGCGTGGACGTACCCGGACGGCCGGAGTGGGACGAACGCTGCAGTGCCTTGTGCATCGTGCGTTCGGAACAGACCTAAGCGAAGCCCGGCTACGGGACGACCGCGGTGGACCACCCAGCCCCAGCGTTGCGCTTTGCTTCGTCGGGCGAAGGCAAGCGCAAGCTGGGGCGCCTGGCGGACGAGTCGCGCCCAGCAGTCGGAGCCCTGCTTGGACGTGTCAGCCCCGGGAACGCAACGCCGCTGCGACACCCCGGGTGCTCCGGACAGATGCCTGACCAGCTGCGTCTGATGCTCCGCCGGCCCTGTGCCTCGTCCCGACCAGTGCGTGGCGCCGTACGCCCTCTGCTATCTCCCATCTGCCCATCGATGGCGGGCGTGCGGCCCCCTGAGGCCGCGATGCGCGGACACACCAGTGATGATCAGTGACGTCAGTTCTACCACCGCGGTGCTGGTCCGACACGCAATCGTGCCCGCGCCCGGCAGGGGCCGCCGCGTTCGCGCTTTGCGCGGGACCGCGTTCATCTGGCGGCGCTGGACGACGTCGGCGGACAACAGGAACCGGTAGGCGTTCTCTCACAGCAGGATGCCAGCACATCTCACTGCACGTGACGCGAGTCTAGCTGTCGAACCAGCCCCCGCACGCTGGGCCCATGGTCCACCGCAACGCAATGCTCATACCTCTCCGCAAGGGGGAGTCCCCTCACCTCGTCGGGCTCGGCTCTTGCTTAAACCTTCTTGCCGCCCTTCTTGCCGCCCTTCTTGCCGTACTTCTTCGGCGGCTGCCTCTTGACGCCGGGGGGCAGCTTCGGGCGCACCCACTTCGGCGGCTTCCTGTACGCCGTCGTCGACAGCCCCTTGCCGGAGCCGGCGAAGTCCGTCTGCGCCCACACCGCACAGCACCAGCCACGGTCGCGACGCAGCGCCGCGCGAGCGCGAGCACGAGCACGAGCCTCGCGCGCGTCGGTCGCGAGCAGGCACCGCTCGCCCCCGCCGCGCACCGCACCGCCTGCCCGCCCGCCCGCACGCACGCACGCACCTTCTTGCCGTAGCCGTCGACAGTCTTCTCGAAGAGGTAGTCGGACCCGGCCTTGCCCTTGTAGTCCGTGTAGCCCGTCCCGTACGCCACGCCGTCGCCGTCGCGCCCGCCGAACCACGACGACCCCTTCGCGATCAGGCCGGCGCCCTTCTTGCCGACAGTCACGCCAGACTCGCCCTTGGTGCCGGCGTAGATGTGCGAGCCGGAGACGGAGTTGCCCTGCAGGACGAGGCGACGCGGCATCACGCGTGAGGTCGCGTGGCGTGGCGGGTCCTTCGGCCACCAGGGAGCGGCCCGCCCGTCGCTGTTGCGTGAAAACAGCGGGGCGTGTTGGTTGCCAACCACGGGGCGCCGAGGTACACGCCGGTCGCTCGTGAGCCGCGCTGCATGCCGCGCATGGCTCGTCGCACCTGGGTCGTCCCCGCCGTCATGTCCTTGACGTACGAGTTGGTCGCCGAGAAGTCGGTGATAGTCCCGTGGTCGCTGTAGCCGTTGGTCTTGACGTTGGCCACCGTCGAGAGGTCTGCAGCGCACCGCAGTATGTCTCTTCGAGCTCAGCTGCACCGCGACGCAGGACACGTCTCAACAGCGCATGCAAGTGCGCAGTGAGCAGCAAGGTCACCATGTGACGGGTGACATGTCAAACAAGCTGGGGAACGGAAAGAGCCCCGCAGTCGTCGGTTGCGCGATGGCCCCGAGAAGTCGCGGTGAGGATATCGACGAACGTCGCGGCCCAACGCAGCGCGCTCGGCCGCCCCCGCGGCGATGTGCAAGGTGAACATGGCACTGCAGCGGTGCGCGCCGGCGCGCCCGGCGGCGGCGGTCGCGACGCGCTCGCCGCGCACGCACGCAGCACACTCCTCAGGCGCCCGCGGGGACGTACAGGGCATCGACTTCTTCTTGTACCCGCCGCCCCCCGCCTGCGCCGTGGCCACCAGCGCTGCCAGCAGCGTGACGATGAAGGGGCGGATGAACATGATGCTGCTTGCGACGGCGGTCCCTCCGAGCGGCGACGGCAGAGTGTGCGGCGTGCGCCGCCGGCGAGCGCTCTTGTCTCGCGCTCGCGCTGCCGGGGCCCGGAGAGTCCCCCTTTGCTGTCAGGTCGGGCTGCGGGCGCAGCTGCGGTGCGCGGGCAGAGGCGGCGCGCGCGGCGCCGCGCGCACCTGCGCGATACCCGTCCGCGGCGGGCCCACAGCGCGCGCGCCTCTCCGCGGCCCCCGCCTCGCGCGCAGCGCCCCATACATGGTGCAATGGGCACTGCACGCCACGACACGTGGCCGGCATGGGACGGCACACAGGCGGCACGGCAGCACCGCAGCAGTGCGGCGGCAGGTGTGACGCGTGCGGGGCCTGCAGCCGCCGCTGCGGGGCGCCTCGAGCACTGCTACGAGCGCTGTCGTGCAACCCCGCAGATCGCACCAGCAACGACGACCCGCCGCCCCGGCCTACCACGCCCGCCGCGTCCACAGCACCAAATGCATGCCCGCGCACCCCGCACGCCCTGACGCTCGCGCGCGAGACCGGTGTTCCGACGCGTTCTCTCACAGCAAGGCACCGCAGGCGCGTGCCCACGGCCTCTGCACGCGACGCGTGTCTATCTGCCGAGCCGCCGCTGCGCCGCGCGCGCGCAGGCGTCCTGGTGCTCGGGGCGCCGTTGTGCGTGCTGGCGTGCTCAGGAGTTGCCGCCCTTCTTGCCGTACTTCTTCGGCGGCTGCCTCTTGACGCCGGGGGGCAGCTTCGGGCGCACCCACTTCGGCGGCTTCCTGTACGCCGTCGTCGACAGCCCCTTGCCGGACCCGGCGAAGTCCGTCTGCGCCCGCACAGCACAGCACCAGCCACGGTCAGCGCCGCGCGAGCGCGAGCACGAGCACGAGCGCGAGCGCGAGCCTCGCGCTGTGAGCAGGCACCGCTCGCCCCCGCCGCGCACCGCACCGCACCGCCCGCCCGCCCGCCCGCACACACGCACCTTCTTGCCGTAGCCGTCGACGGTCTTCTCGAAGAGGTAGTCGGACCCGGCCTTGCCCTTGTAGTCCGTGTAGCCCGTCCCGTACGCCACGCCGTCGCCGTCGCGCCCGCCGAACCACGACGACCCCTTCGCGATCAGGCCGGCGCCCTTCTTGCCGACAGTCACGCCAGACTCGCCCTTGGTGCCGGCGCTGACGTGCGAGCCGTAGACGGAGTTGCCCTGCAGGACGAGGCGACGCGGCATCACGCGTGAGGTCGCGTGGCGCGACAGGTCAGGTCCATTGGCGCGCCGCCCGCCCGTCGCTGTTGCTTGGCAGCAGCCTTGTGTCTGCAGCGGCCACCATCGCGTGCTGCGCCGACCACGGCGCGCCCGGCTGCAAGCTGCCGCGCATGGCTCGTCGCACCTGGGTCGTCCCCGCCGTCATGTCCTTGACGTACGAGTTGGTCACCGAGAGGTCAGTGATAGTTCCGTGGTCGCTGTAGCCGTTGGTCTTGACATTGGCCACCGTCGAGAGGTCTGCAGCGCAGCCGCGCACGACGCACGCGCGTCAGCGCACATACCGCGGCACGGCGCCTGCGCGCTGCTGCAGCGACGTCACCATGCGACGTGGACAGCAGCGCTCATGTGTGGCACACAAACGCGCGCGCGGGCCGCGGGTGGCGCCGGCGCGCACGCACGAGGACGTCCGCGCGCGGCATCGACGATGCGGCGTCGCTCGCGGCGCGCTCGGCCGCCCCCGCAGCCCTCCCGCCGCCATGTGCGCGCCAGCAGGTCGCTGCACATCGCAACACAGTATAGTGCGCGCCGGCGCGCCCGGCGGCGGCGGTCGCGACGCGCTCGCCGCGCACGCACGCAGCACACTCCTCAGGCGCCCGCGGGGACGTACAGGGCATCGACTTCTTCTTGTACCCGCCGCCCCCAGCCTGCGCCGTGGCCACCAGCGCTGCCAGCAGCGTGACGATGAAGGTGCGGATGAACATGATGCTGCTTGCGACGGCGGTCCCTCCGAGCGGCGACGGCAGAGTGTGCCGCGTGCGCCGCCGGCGAGCGCTCTTGTCTCGCGCTCGCGCTGCCGGGGCCCGGAGAGTCCCCCTTTGCTGTCAGGTCGGGCTGCGGGCGCAGCTGCGGTGCGCGGGCAGAGGCGGCGCGCGCGGCGCCGCGCGCACCTGCGCGATACCCGTCCGCGGCGGGCCCACAGCGCGCGCGCCTCTCCGCGGCCCCCGCCTCGCGCGCAGCGCCCCATACATGGTGCAATGGGCACTGCACCCCACGACACGTGGCCGGCATGGGACGGCACACAGGCGGCACGGCAGCAGTGCGGCGGCAGGTGCGGTACCGCGCGGCGAGTCGTGCGGGGCCCGCAGACGCCGCTGCCGTTCCAAGGCCTCGCAAGCTGGGTTCCAGTGGCTTCAAGTGAGCACTGCACTCCCAGCGAGCAGGTGCCGCCCCCCGCCTGTCAATCTCTGCCTGGTGTACTCGTACACAGTGATGGCGCCAGCAACGTGGACGTTGAGAGATCTGCATGTGACTGACACAGGCTGAGCATGCTCTGAAAAGTCAAGCACGTCGGACAGCGAGGTGCAGGAGAACGACGTTCGGATGCGCACCTGACTAGGCCGAGCTGTGGGATCTCGACACAGCTGTCCATCAGCTGCAGCAGAGGCGCGGGGATGCCGTCACCCTCCGCGCCCAGCAACAACACACTCTTGTCCGGGAACCTCGCCTCTGGGAGGGACTCGGAGGAGTCCGTCTGCTCCAGGCCGTACAGAGCGTACCCCGCTGCTCGCATTGCCCGCAGCCAGCCCGGAAGATCCTCCTGGTGGACCTCCTGCGAGGCGCAACAGTTGGACACCACGGCGGGACACCCAGCAGTGAGCGCCGAGATCGCGGTGGGTCGGAGGCGCCGCGAGTCGGCATGTTCGGAGTAGAAAGGCGCTTTTCTAGCGCGGGAGCGACTGATCCCCGGGCCTGGTCTCAGACGAGCATGTAATCGATTCCGTTGCGGTCTTTTCTTCAGAGTCGCGGACTCGGTAGAGGGAGACCATTGTTCGATCATCGACCAGGTAGCCGGGGCGCTCGAATGTCAGCGAATGGCGCACATCAGGGTTGCGCTGAAACTCAGGGGGAGGAACGCCCCAACATGGGCAGTTGAGGAAACAAGGAAGGCGCCAGCCGCGGCAGAGCCCTCTCGAGGCGGCTTTTTTATCTCGACTACGCGTGCATATCCGAACTTTCCCCTCCACCCCTGAGAGCGCGCTCGGGGTCTACATGACGGGGCCTTGCATCGAAACATGCATCGACAGACGCTGCAGGTGTACATGGCAGCACGTCGACTTCCTCACCTCGAGCGGCGTCAGGTGCTCCGCACTCGACGCGATGGACTGGAACATGTGGTCCTTCGCCACCTTCTTGTCCGACACCACCAGACGCTCCGCTCGGAACACCTCGCATGTGCGCGCCAGCCCCGCGAGGTTCGGAACCTTGTCAACCAGCGTCCCCACCACCACCAACCCCTGCCGCGACACCCCCCCGCCACCCTCGACCCCCGCGTCCGCCACTCCCCCGCCCGCCAGCGCCTCCCCAAACAAACTCCAGGGCGCAAACGGCCACGTCGCCGAGGCGACGAGCGACGCGCCGCCCGCGCACGACCGCGCATCGGACAGCCACGACAGATCCAGTGGCCCGAATGCCCCCGCCGCGCCCCTCGCGTCCGCCACGTCGATCTTGCGTTGAATCGCGCCACGCTGCCGATCGACCGCCGGCGGCGCGGCCCCGCTGGCCGCCGCTTCCCGCAAGCTGTTCTCCGCTGCAGCGCGCATGCGCGCAGCGGCGTTGACCTCCGTGCGGAGGGTCTGCCGCGCGTCCATGAGGTAGGCATGGATAGCGTCGACAAACGTTGGTTCCGCGCCCTCGAAACGCAGGGGCAGCGGCGGCCAGGGCCCGGCGACGGACGCACTGCCACCAAGGAGCTCTCCGGGGGTGATGGGCTGCCCCGGATCGAAGGTGCGGAGGCGCGGGGCGATCTGCCGAATGAAGCGACGGACCTCAGCACTCTCCGAGCAGTACTTGCGGTAGGCCTCGAGCGCGGGGTTCCCGTCCGCGCACGCCGGAAAGTGCCGCACGAGGAGCTCGTGGAGCAAGACCTCGGCGAGCGCACGCTTCCCGTGGTTGCACACCGTCGCCCAGGGCAAGGCGATTGATGTCAGTCGCCTCACGCGATCGGCGAGCGCTCGCTGCGCCTCCTCGTCCCCGCTCTCCGCGGCCCGCCGCTGGAGCGCCATCGCGAGGCTCGCCGCGATCACGAGGTAGCTCCCGACGCCCTCGTGCCGCGCGGTGTAGTCGTGCAACCTTGTCAGCACGACGTCCTCATAGAGCCGCGGGGCCTGCCATATCACCCGCGCCCCGGTAACCTCCGCGAGGATTCGGATCGTCGGGTGCTCGGAGCGCGAGTACACGGCGTGCAGGGCCGCCATCGCCTTGGACGGGTCCGCGGCGAGGTCGAGTGCGTCCTGCAGGTTCACGCCGCGCGGGAGGGCGTCCGCGGGGAGCTGGGCGAGGATGTCGGGGTCGATGAAGGGCCCCTCGGTGTCGCTGTAGTCGGGTAGCGCGGACGACAGCACGACGATCGCGTGCCACAGTCTGATCTTGACTCTGTGGATGGCAGACCCCTGCGGGCGCACCAACAGGGGGCGTGATGCGACAGTGAGTTGAATTGAAGTGGACGTGGCCAAACTGAAATGTGCGACCCGCGCGTCATCGTACGCGACAAAAGCATCGCAGCCCGCGACAGACAGATTGCTGCAACACGTCACGCACCTCACGGTATTCCGTGTCGCTGCCGACCTCCCCCTTCACGGCGTCCCAGAGCAAAGCGCACCACAGCACGCGCGCGACCGACAGCGCGTCGCGGTCCTCCGACGTCGCGAGCTCGTACAGGCAGCACAGCGCTGCTGCGCGCGCAGCCACCGATGTCGCAGACAGGCGCGCCTCCACCGCGGGGCTCAGGGCGGTCTGTCCCGGGAGCAGCACGTTGTGCTCGGCGCCGTCCCTGCGCATCCCGCTCTGCGTTGCGAGGTCCGCCGTGAACTCGCGTTCCTGGTCGTTGACTGGGCACTCGGACGCTGGGAGCTGCGCTAGGGTGCTCAGCGCGCCGAGGTAGCGCATTCCGGCCGAGGGAACGGCCAGGACCGCCTTGCCCAGGTGCGCGGCGAGGATGCGGGCCACGCGCGTCGACCGCGACGCCTGGTCCGTGAGCCGCGTCACGAGCCACTGCAAGAACACATCAGGGTCAACGGAGGTGGGATGCTGCAGGTGCAGAGGATGGACGTGAACGTCGCGCACAAGCGAGACACAGGAAGGCAGTTGGCGCACCGGGACAGGGCCGTCGGGGGCGTGCAGGGCGCGCAGTCGGTCGAGGTGGCCTTCGAATGTGTGTGCAGACAGCGTGGCCGACAGCAGGCAGGCAGCGGTCGCGGATGCGTCGCGCTTTCCGCCCGACATGCAGCAGCCGTATGCCGCGCGGAACAGGCGCGACACCACCGACGCAAGCACGTCTCCCCCAGCCTCGGGAGCGTTTCCAGTCGGAATCTGCATCGCTACAGCAGCTGCCTGCGCGGATGCGTCGTCGCGGAGGAGCTGCGGCATCACGCGACACAGACAGGAGAGCAGAGGGAGGGCCGTGTCCTCGTCTCCGGCGTCCATCTCGTCTTCCAGCCACGCAGCGACCTTGCCGACGTGTTCTACCGGGACGACTCCCCCCCTTGCGTCGGGCGAGTGCGCCGCGACAGCGTCGAGCGCCGCAGCAATCAGCCGGCAGCGCGCCACCCTGCTGTTCTGTCCAGCAGGGCTCCGGCTGCCAGGGAACGCAAAGACCGCCCCGCGCTGCAGCAGTGCCTGTGCCGTCTCCACAACGCTCCTCCTGTGGACCGTCTCGACGTCCCGGACGGCTTCGTGACCACCAACGTGCTCTCCCTGTCCCGTCGTCGGCGCAAGGTGCGTCCAGGCCGCCAGCAGCGTCGCAACAGCCGACACCACAGGGGGACTTTGCAGACCCCCCTCCCTCCCAACCGCGGCGTCCAGCCCCCCGACCGCTAGTCGAGAGAATGCCGACAGCCACCTCGACGCCCCCCGGAGGCACATCGCCGCCTCCTGCGCGGGCGGCAGGCTGCGCGTGTACCCGTTCCCGTTGATTGGCACCTCGTGTATTCCCAGCGCGACGCACGCGCGCACCACCGTCACCCCGCGCGCACACGTCTCGATCGCGATCGCGCAGCGACGCGCCGCGACGCCGTCGTCCCCACCCGCCCCGCCCTGCAGCGCCGCCAGAGCCAGCTGCGTCACCTCCCCCGAAGCTGCCTCGAGCAAAAACACGCATAGATGCGTCAGCGACGCAAGCAAGTCGTCCACGACGCCGTCGCACTCCTGCGCGCCGTCCGCTGCGAACGGCGACGCGACGCCGTCGGCCCCCGCGCGACCGGCCAGCCACGCCTCGAGCTCGCAGAGCAGTGCTGCGAGGACCAGCATAGCGCGCTCCGCGGACCCGACGGGCGCGTACGTCGCGCGGTAGACCTGCGAGAGGCGCGTCGCGAGGCCCATCGCCCCGGTCTCGCACGCCCCCGCCAGGTCAGCCACCACGGCGAGTCTCGCCAGCTGCCGGGCGCGCCGCTCCCACGCGTCGAGCGACGCGAGGTCCAACGCAGGCGCCGCGGTGTCGGGCGACGGGCCTGGCCCGGCCACGAAGTCGTCGATCATGCGCCAGCACCGATGCGGCGCCTCGGGCGAGTCCCTCGGTGGCGCCAGCCACGCTTGCAGCACGGGGTACGCGCTCCTGCCCAAAACGCGGGTGGGGCAGCGAGCCACGGACGGGAACGCGTCCAGGAGCAGCAGCACCGCCTCGACGTCGTCCGGGGCCACGGCGCACGCCGCTGCCGCGATGTCGCAGAACACTGCTTTGCGGAACTCCGAGTCCCAGTGCGACGCAGCGCCGAGCGCCAGCCGCGTCAGGGCCCCGAGGACGTCCCGCGCGTCCTCGGGCTGTAGCTGCCAGGGCCCCGCGGACGCGAGCGCTGCCAGGGCGCCGCACGCCGCCGACAGCCCTGTGCGTGAGATGCCGCCGCCGCAACTGCCCATGACGGTGCCCGACGCGAGCCAGGCGACGGCGGCCCGGCCCGCGCGCGGTGCTCCGCAGTCAGCTGCCCATTCGCGCAGGAACGCGTCCGCGGCGGGCCCCGTCCCGGTGGTCCACGGCGCCTCCGACCAGTTCCTGTCTGACGGCGCACCTGACGCAGGCGCGTAGTGGTGCACACTGAGCAGCGCCGGCAGGACGGCGCCCGCGACGAACTCGCAGGGGATCGCTCCGCGCAGGGTCGCGCCGCCGTGGAGCTCGATGAGCGACGTCAGCGCGCGGCGCTGCACGTTTGGGTTTGAATGCCGCAGCGCCTTCTGCCACACAACCATCGTCCAGTCGAATCCCAACATAGCGTCGTACGCCGCGGGGTCCGACACGACGGCGGGGCTCGTCGCGGGCGCCGCGTTTGCGTCGGGCACCAGGCGCGTGACGTCGTCCCAGGCCTGCTCCACCAGGTGGGTGCCGAACTCGTCTAATACCGAATAAAGGCGCAGGAAGCACCTCCACCGCGGCGGGTGCGGGCTCGGCAGCGCCGCGCTGAGCAGGTACGCCGAGCGCTTGCGCACGACGTCGGCGTCGTGGTGCAGCCCCATGCGGAGCGCCTCCCACAGCTCGGGGCGCGTGCGCGCAGCCAACACGTCGGCGTCGGTTTCCGGGCTGGGGAGAGTATCTTCGGCGAAGCGCACCAAGAACCCGAGGCCGGACGCGAGGCTGCGTGCGTCGGCGAGCCGCGTTGTGGCTTCGGGCGTCCTCGCCAGCACCATGCCGATGCACTGCTGCCACAGCGTGTCCCAGAAGAAGGTGCGCGCGTCGCGGTCGGCGAGCCTCGCAGCACCAGCGAGCGGAGCGATGCAGTGGTCGAACGCGAGCCGCGTTGCGTCCTGAGCGTGCACAGCGCCCCCCACAGCCTCCGGCTGCTGTGTTCCGTCCGCTTCCCCCGCGCCCAGGTTTGCCAGCAGCCTTGCGCACGGGCGCGCGGCATCTCTCACGACACGGCTCGCAGTCGCCTCGACGGCCGCGGCGTCGCGTGCCTCGCTGCAGCTCGTCAGCGCTGCGATCGCCGCGGGGATGATGGCAGCTGCCAGCAGCAGCGGAGCGGGCTGCGGAAGCGCGCGGGCGAGAGCCGCTGTAGGACAGGTCTCCAGCCGCCCAGCGGTCGGCATCAGCGTACCGTCAGGGTTGAGGGATGTGGACAGTTCGGTGGCGGTGGCGGCGATCCCCTGCCCTGCGTCGCTGCGTGTAGATCCTGCTTCGAGGGCGCGAAGCGCGATGGCCAGGAGCTGCTCCGCGACGTCGTACGACTCCGTGGTGCGCAGAGTGCGCGCGAGGATCGCGCTGAGAGCCGGGACATGCTGTGCAAACGGCGGTTGCACGATGGCTGGCAGGAGCACGAGGGACGCCATCATGGAGACGAACGGCTGGACGACCTGCAGCGCCTCTGCGTGCGAGGGGGCAACGGAGACGGCTCCTGGTCTCGCGCGAGGTCGTGCGGTCTACGCCGCAACAGCCTCTCCAGCTGTCCACGGTCAGCTTGAACGACCCGCGAGCAGTATGTTGCGCGACCCAGTGCGAGGATTCAAGCGTGACGACTGACCTGCCGCCACCGTGTCCGCAATCATCGCCACAACCGCGCACATTCCCAGGCGCCGCTGCTGGCCAGCTTGTTCGTCCGTGGAACGAAGTGCTCTTGCATCTGACAAGCACCTCGACAGCCCCACAAGCGTCCTCTGTACCATTTCATACCGCCCACGACCGGACGGTTCCTGGTGCGCCCCCACAGCAACGGCGGCGACCTTCGCCCATGACGTAGGCGGCAGGTCCACCACCGTCCTCCCGAGCGCCTCGCAGGCAGCTGGGATCATGTCAGGCCCACCTTCCATATCGGCTCGCCTTGTCGGCGCGAAATCGCAGAGCGGGCGTTCTGGGCGTCGTCCAGAGAGCGCGGAGTTGTGACTACACCAAGCAAATCATGGCGAATTCCTGCGATCCGAGGCGGCGCGGACCGCAGGACAGGCTCGTCAGTTGCCGAGTATGTCAGCGCTCGTGGCGCCACGTCGCGGGGCATTGTGTGCCCGGCTCGCAAGCTGCTCGTCAGGCGCCGGCCGGGCCGACTTCTACCGGCCGAGTGCGAACTGATTCGCCCACGACGCAGGCAGGTATGGCCCACATCGCGTTCCTGGCGCGAACCAGCTGCGACTCTGGTGCACCCCGCGCTGGTGACGGCGGCCACCGGGAGCCAAGCAGCAGCCGCCCGAAGATGCAGGTGCGGCTGCGGCGCTGTGCTCGCCGAATCGGTGTCGTGACGGCCGATTCGTCCTGCATCCACACTCCACGTTTGCGCGAAGCGTCACTACGGCGCTGCGGCCGCGACCGCGCAGCCGCGTGGACTTCCGCGCTGCTTGCGAAGTCTGGCGGTGTGAATTTCCGCGCAGCGCATGAAGCACCTCGCGGCGCCGGTGCCTCCCGAGCATCGTGGACGGCACTACCTTGCGTTCCGCGCTGTTCGCGGAGCGATATTCTTCGTGGCCTGCCCCGTGGCCGCGAAACATCTCGGATGCGCTGCCCACACTCGGGAGCCCCCCCGCGTCTCATCGCAGGAGCAGGGCGGCGAGCAGGGGATCCAAATCACCCTCGAGCGGGGCCAGGATGGCAGGCTCAGAATTTCAGGCCACGAGGTGCGCGCCCGCCCACTCGACACGGGTCTGCTTGCTCATCTAGGTCACGACTCGTGGCGCACGCGCCCCGTTGTACACGCGCCACGACCACGTGCGCGCTCCTCGCCCGCTCCCGCCGGCGCCGGCATCGACAAGGCCGCAACGACGCGCCCCGCACGGTGTGTTTGTGTCGCGGCAGTGTGCCTTGCGTCACGGCACCACGTCGACGCCCGCGCCGAGCTTCCGACGACCCGCAGGTGAACAGGCTGGACGAGTTCGACGACGCGGGCAAGCGCCCCTCGGGCTCGGACGTCACGCGCGAGCATGGCGGCGACACCGCGCCGAGCGGCGACATGCCGGGGGCGGAGAAGCCCGCGGAGAAGTCGGCGTACGGGAGCGTGAAGGAGCGCATCAACGCGCTGGGTCCGTTCGCGATCATCTCGCTGGCGTACCTGCTGTTCACGGTGACGGACGGGGCGATCCGGACCATCGTGTTGCTGCACGCGTACAACAAGGACTTCTCCGCGATGGAGGTGGCGCTGATGTTCACGCTGTACGAGACGGCGGGCGTGGCGACGAACCTGCTCGCGGGCGTCTGCGGGTCCCGCTGGGGCATCAAGACCACGCTGCTGACGGGGCTGCTGCTGCAGCTCGGCGGGCTTGGGATGCTGGCCGGGTGGCAGGACAGCTGGTCCAAGGGCGAGGCGATCGTGTACGTGCTGTTCGCGCAGATGCTGTCGGGCGTGGCCAAGGACCTGACCAAGCTCGGGGGGAAGACGGTGACCAAGCTGGTCACGCCCGAGGAGAAGCAGGCGCGGCTGTTCAAGCTCGTGTCCTTCATCACGGGCTTCAAGAACTCCCTCAAGGGCCTCGGCTACTTCCTCGGCGCGGCCTTCCTCATGTGGGACTACTTCGCGGCCCTGGCCTTCAACGCCGTCCTCATCCTGCTCGCGCTGCCCTTCGCGGCGCTCGGGCTGAGCAACAAGCTCGGGCGCGCGCGGAGCAAGAGCCTCACGCTGACGGAGATCTTCCGGAAGAACCGCAACGTCAACATCCTGTCCGTCGCCCGCTTCTTCCTGTTTGGGTCGCGCGACCTGTGGTTCGAAGTGCCGCTGCCGTTCTTCCTCCGCGACGACGTGTTCGGCCTCGGATGGAACAGGTGCGGCGCGCGCACGTCGCTGCCCCGCTCCCCGCCCGCGCTGCGCGCCCGCTGCGACGCCGACGGCCGCGTGTGTCTTGGAAGGGTGCAGGGCAGCGGTGGGTGCGTTCCTGGCGTGCTGGATCATCGGGTACGGACAGGTGCAGTCGTGGTCGCCGCAGCTACTGCTGAAGCCGCTCCGGCAGTACCCCGCCAACAAGTGGACAGGTGCGCCAGCTGTCATGCGCAGCAACGACAGGCTGTGCTCACGTCACGCGCGGCGGTCCACCATCGTCCGACACGCCGCCCCGCGCTCCTCCCACGTTCCCCGCAGCAACGCTGTGGGCCGCGGTCCTCGTGGCGTGTCCATTCGCCATGGGCGCCATCGTCCAGTTTTCCGACGTGTTCCGGGACCAGGACCAGGGCGGGATGGTCGCGGTGATGGTCGTGGGGCTCGCGGCGTTCGCGGTGGTGTTCGCGGTGAACTCGTCGGTGCACTCGTACCTGATCGTCAAGTACAGCGACGGCGACAAGGTCGCGATGAACGTGGGCTTCTACTACATGGCCAACGCCATGGGGCGCCTGGTGGGGACGATCGCGTCCGGGGCGCTGTACAGCTACGTCGGGGACACCCGCGAGGGGTTCGCGGCGTGCTTCTGGGCGTCGGTCGGCTTCGTCGTCCTCGCGTCGGTCCTGTGCGTGCCCATCGCCGACGACCGCGGGGGGCTGCAGTGCGGCCCGTGCCTGACGTGCGTCGGCCACGCGGAGGGGGACCCGGAGCAGGGGGGCGCGGAAAACGGCGGCGGGGAGGAGGCGCCCGCGCAGCAGGCGATGGCGAAGGTCTAGGGAGCTGTGACGCGCGCGACATGGTCCACGGCGACTCAGCAGGCCATGACGCGAGACGGCGGACCCCGCAACATGCGCCGAGAGGGCGCGGGCGCGGCGGCGGCGCGTGGCCCGCGTCGCGCGCTGTGTCACTGCGTCAGGGTTGGCGGCAGAACTAGACAGACCGAGACTCGGCGAGTCGCGGTGGCGCTGCGCCTACATGGGCGGCGGGCGCCGGCTACCTCGTCCTCGTTTCGACGACCAGCCGAGCTGCATGGCAACCATGGTGGACGCGACCGAGGCCACGATGGCCCCTCAGCCGGAGGAGGCTGAGAAGCCCAAGGTGCCTCTGAAGCGCCTCCCCAAGCCCGACAAGGAGGCGCACAAGCTCCAGGTGCGCGTCGCCGCGCGGTCTGGATTCGAAGCAAGCGAACCGCGATCGAGCGGCGCTCTGCGCGGGCCGCGCCAGGGCGTTTCGCGCCCCTGGGTGTTGTTGCGCGCACAGCGCGTCTGGCAGCTCGCGGAGCGGGGGCGACGCATCCGCCCATCTCCTCTCTTCTCCACCTGCTATTAATCGAGAGCGAGTGTCCGATCTGAGTTGTTCGGGCGGCCCCAAGCGCGCCCTCAGCGCGCCCCCAGCAAGCTCGCCTGAACGATCGACCAGGGCCGTGCGGCCGCAGCGCGCCTCCCTCCATCACCGCCCCCGGCACGAATATCGGGACGTGCTCATTGGCACGGCCACTGGCTCAGAGAATCAATCCCCGCCCGTGCGCGAGCGAGCACGTAGCTCCCTCGGGAGAGGCGCCTCCCGCCTCGCGGGCTGGTCGACCTCTCCGCCGCGCGGATAAGCGGCCCACCGCCGCCTCTCGATGACCCCCCTGCCCGGAGTGCCGTAGCGCCGCGTTGCCGTCCCGGCACGGCCTCCGCGGCCTGCCAGCTTGCTGTCTCGGCGCGCTGTACGCGCTGCGTGCCCCGCGCTGCGGCCGCGAGCGGCCACGGGCAACGGCGCGCGTCGGTGGAGGTCCCTGCACCCACCGCGTCGCGCACGCAACCTCGCTCCGTCGGTCTCGGGCGCGATTAAAACCCTAGCAGCAGCCGACCGCAGCCCCCCCTGCCCTTGCACGCGCAGATGGACAAGCTGTCGGAGAAGATCGACGCGGAGATGAAGAAGGTCGACGAGCTCAAGGAGCTGCTCGACAACAAGCAGAACAACCGCGGCGCCACCTCGTCGGAGGAGCAGAAGATCCGCGACGCGATGCGCCAGTGCCGCGCCAAGAAGGTGCCGCGCCCCGCCGACCCCGCCGCGCACCGCCCCGCCGCGACGCCCCCCGGCCACCGTTGCCGCCCGATCGCACGCCCGCTCCCTGCGCTCCGCGTCTCTGGGCCGCGCCGAGCCCGTGCGCGGCAGTGCGCGCCCTGCCCTGGCGCTGCGCCCCGCGCGCGCCCGAGCGTCCCGCGCCCCCGCCGACGCGCCCCCCGCGCGCGCTGCCGCGTGCAGGAGGACCTGATCGCGGAGAAGCAGCAGCTGGTGGCGCTCGCGAAGAGCCAGCGGGAGATGGAGCGCGAGATGAAGGAGCAGACGCGGGCCCTTCGCGCGGCGACGGGGCACATCTCGGCGAAGACGATCGACGAGGAGATCGCGAAGCTGGAGGCGCGCATCGCGCACGAGTCGCTGGACCTGAACGAGGAGAAGCGCGTGCTGACGCAGATCAAGGACCTGCGCGCGCACAAGGTCCGCGTGGCCGAGCACGACGAGAAGATCTCGCAGGCGGCCAAGGCGCCCGAGGGCGCGAGCGTGGACGAGCGCATCAAGGAGATGAACGCGGCGATCGACGCGCAGACCAAGGAGCTGGCCGACCTGCGCGAGGCGCTGGCCGAGGCGCAGGAGCGCGCGCGGGCGGCGGGCGCGGACTTCCCGAGCCTGCTGAAGAAGAAGAACGAGGCGCTCGAGGTCGCGAAGCTGCTCAAGCAGGAGAAGTACAAGCTGAACCAGAGCTACAAGGCGCGGCAGGACGAGTGGTGGGCCGCCGAGCAGTACTTCAGGGAGAAGGAGCGCAAGGAGCGCCACGAGCGGTACCTCGAGCGGCAGGCCGCGCGCGAGCAGCGCGACAAGGAGCGCCGCGCGCAGGAGATGGCCTCGCGCGGGCCCCCGCTGGCCGCCGAGATCGCGGCCTGCGACCAGCTCGCGACCTACATCCTCAAGTTCGACCCGGCGGCGGGCGGGAAGCCCGCGCAGGAGAACCAGAGCCCCGAGAAGGGCGGCGAGGGCGGCGCGTCCTTTGCCGGGTTTGGCGCGGCGATCAAGAGCAAGCGCGAGGACGACCTCCTGGGCGGCTTCGGGGGCTCCGGGAAGGGCAAGAAGGGCAAGAAGGGCAAGGGCGGGGAGGACGCCGGGCCGAAGGGGAGCGACAAGCTGCAGCACGGGATCGACGTGCTCAAGGACTTCCAGAAGGTGGGGGTGTCGGCGCCGCTGACGCGGGGCGAGGTGGCGGCCAAGGTCGCGCAGCTGCAGGAGCGCAAGGCGGCGCTGCTGGAGAAGCAGGCGAAGGAGATCAAGAAGCAGGAGGCGAAGGAGGCGGCGGAGGCGGCCGCGCAGGCCAAGGCGGAGGCGGAGGGCAGGGCGGGGCGGGTGGCGGCGGTGACGCTCGAGTGCAACGGGGCCGCGGTGACGGTGAGCATCACGGCTGTGGGCGCGGCCGCGGCGCAGTGAGACGCGCGAGCGCTCTAGGAGGGGCGTGGCGACCAAAGCATCCTCCTCAGAACCACCGCGAGTGCCGGCGCGCGGTGCGGCAGCCCGACCCGACCACGGCCCCGCGGCGAGCCTGGGCGCGGTGGCGGCGGGGCGCCCGCACCGCGCGACGGAATAGGCGGGCCGTGCCGAAGAGGCCTGCCTGCGATGTAAGCGCGACGCGTCAGTGTTGTCTGGGGCGTTTCTTCAGGTCGGCTGGCTTGCGATGCCCTGCGCGTCGATGCGCCGTGGCCGGGCGGCGGCAGTCCTGCCCCCGGGGGTGAGCGGACAACCCCCCCAACTGATGCGGGTTGCTGCGCAGTGAGCGGCCCGGGATTTCGGCGCTCGTGCTGGTGGGACGGCTGCAGTCGGGCGTGATTGAGTCAGTGAGATGTTGTCTCTGCAGCGTGCTGTCGTCGTCCACGCAGGGACGCGGGATGGGAGCGGCGCGGGCCGTCGGGCCCTGTGCCTCAGGTCGTTGGGCCCAAAACGTGGGACGAGAGCGGTGCAGTGCGACTACAAGTCAACCAAGGCATCCCACATTGTTGTCGGGACGCGAGGCTCGGAGCTGGCGCGGAGGCAAGCCCAGGAGGTGCGTGTGCCGGTCGGTTGGTCTCCCCGCTGAAGACAAGCCGCGCCTCATCAATGCAGGCTCTGCGGCGGTACTTCGCAGGTCGTGAACGCACTGAAGAAGGTCGAGCGAGATCTTGGCGCCGAGTTGCTCGCGCTCTCGACGCGGGGCGACCGGCACAAGGACGTGAAGAGCATGGCATCGCTGGGCCAAGGCGCCTTCACGGAGGACATCGACGAGGCGCTGCTCTCCGGGGAGTGCGACATCGCGGTGCACTCGATGAAGGACTATCCCCTGGACGGAGCGGCGGGTGCGATCCTCGGTCCCGCACGGCCGACAAGTCAGCGCGTCGACATCCAAAGAAGCCGCTGCCTATCCCCGGCCCCCGACCTACCAGCGACCCTCTTCCGCTACCGTTGCAGGTGTCGAGATCGTTGCCTGCCTGCCGCGCGCCGACCCCACCGACGCGCTCGTCCTGCCGTCGGGCAGCGCTCCAGTGCAGCACCTGCGCGAGCTGCCGCCTGGGACGCGCGTGGGCACCAGCAGCGACCGCCGGCGCCACCAGCTGCTCTGGGCCAACCCTGCTGTCGAAGTCGTCCCAGCGAGGGGCTCGATTCAGAAACGCCTGGAGATGCTGGAGAGTGGCGAGACTGATGCACTCATCGTGGCCTCCGCGGCGCTACACAGGCGCGCAGCCGTTCCGCACGCCTGCTCGCGATCTTCGTGGTGGTACAGCGGCGCCTCTCCCCTCGATGGGCGCCGTCAAAACAGGAAGCATTTGCACACTGCAGGCTGGGACTCACCCTTGAGGCATACAAGTTGCCGGTGCGGGAAATGATTCCGGGCGGGGGGCAGGGAGCGATCGGCATTGCGATACGCGCGGACGACGACCGCATGCGCGAGCTCGTCGCGCGGATCGACCATGCAGCAACACGCATCGCCGTCATCGCTGAGCGGGCGTTCCTGTCGCCCGTGTACAGGCCGCTGACCGGCATGGGCTTCGCTGCGCACGCGCGGGTCACTGACAGCGGCAAGGTGCGGCTGATCGGTGCGGTGGGCGACTCGGGGGCGGTGGGGATGTACACGACGGAGGCCAGCGGACCGGCGACGGAGGAGGGCGCAGGTGCCGCGCACGACCAGTCCCGCTGCATCCGTGCGCACCGTGTTTGCGCCCTCCCGCGCACGCGATCGTTTGTTTCGCGCGACTCTCTTGACGACGCTCTGCGCCGTCCCTGGCCGCGGTGCAGTCGCCGCGGGGGAGGAGGCGGCCGAACAGCTCACGGAGCTGCTGCACGGATTCCTCGACACCATGGAACAGGACTACCCAGATTTCAGCTGAAGCGGGCCCACTGCGCAGGATTCGCTCCGCACTCACTGAACTGCTTGACGACAGATCATTGTTACGCCTCCTGCAGCCTCACATCGCCCACGCATCGCCGTCGCCCGACATTGACAGGCTCCTCAACGCGCTGTCGTCGTCGCGGCTGCGCTTCAGCCCCTGCAGCCTCACATCGCCCACGCATCGCCGTCGCCCGACATTGACAGGCTCCTCAACGCGCTGTCGTCGTCGCGGCTGCGCTTCAGCCCCACGCCCTCACCCAGCTCCTGATCCCGTGCAATCGCAGCAAGCTTGCCGCCTTCATGCTGCCTCGCGCCCTCGGACACCGCCATGTCGCGCCTCAGCACGTCGACCGAACGCAGCCAGATCATCGTGGCGCCGATCGCGGCCACGGCGGCCACTGGCATCGCTGCAGAGAGGGAGCCGCACGCAAACAGCATGCCTGCCAGTAGGAGCGAGCTGCCCGTCTTTCCGACGACCGTACTGAGCATGTCGACGGCCGTCTTGCGCCGCCCTCGCTTGTGCGGCGACATGCTGATATACACCATCTCTTTCGCTGGGTCTGACAGCGCATGTCGCAAGCTTCCGACGATCACCTGCGCCACGGCCCCGACCGCGACGCCGATCCGACCGAGGGAGCAGCGCAGCTCCGGCGCCAGATCGGCGTTCTGTGCGAGGACGGACGGCACGAAGAACGCGGTGAGGGACACCGCCACGAACAAGGGAGGCAGCAGCGCGGCGACGCCCCAGCCCATCGAGCTGAAGATGTAGGGCGCGATCGCCATCATCGTGATCGTCGCTGCGCCGTTCGCGATCTGGACCCAGCCGAGCGTGCCAGCGTATTGGCCCTCGGCCGGGTAGAGCGTGCGCAGCTGGTGCCGCCACGCGACTTCGAAGATCCCTCGGGCGAACGCGGACGCCACGACGACGTTGGCGATGCCCCAGGCCTTGCGGTCGGCGGCCACGGCACGGAGCGCGGACCCAAGGCGCATGCGCGGCCGATGCTTCTGCGATCGCGTGCTTCCGGGCGAGAACGTTCGGTCGACATGAATCCGGGTGAGGGACATCATGGCTCCGCATGCAAGCATCGCCAGGGACAGCGTCCGGAACAGATCCTGCGGGTGTCCGTGGGGGAAGCAAGGACAGTATGAGAGAGCGAACGTGCGAGCGTGGTGTTCAGGCGCGAGGCATCGGGCTTTGTGGTGCGCACCTGCGGAGGAGCGTTCTTCGGCAGCGTGGCGCGGACGGCCTGCAGCAGCGTCCCCGCTGCGACGACGGCGATGTTGCCGCAGATCCCGATCAGCGGGTACACCACTTTGGCCTCCTTGATGCTGCAGGCACAGAACCCGGCGGATCCGACAGGCAAGTCAAGCCGAGTCCATCGGGGCGAGGAGGACCGTCGATGTTGCTGACGGCAGGGACAGGAGACTCACGTGCAGATTTCGTTGGCGGTGCTCCAGAACAGAATCGACACGCCGATCAGACCCCAGATGTCGGCGAGGCAATAGAAGGCGGCGACGGACCAGTGCTCCGCCAGCGTCGCGAGCGCCCCGAGCCTTTCTGGCAGCAGGACGCGAAGCCAGTCACCAAGCCCATGGGCTTGCAAGGAGTCGATTCGTGGGTACACGACGGCGAGGAACGCAACGTACGCGGCCAGCATCCCCCAGAGTGCGGCTTGGTACACGGCCCGTGCGGACAGCAGTTGCTGCATCTGACCGAGGAGCCAGAACGCTGCAAAGGCGATGAGCGGGCTGATGCCCGCGCCCAGCACCGGCATCGCCTCGGCGCCGATCGACGTGACGATAAGGGTGTCCTTGACCACCGCGAGGATCGTGTATATGAAGATTGACCCTGCGGCGCAGGTGTGCCGGGCACGTGTCAACAACATTGCTTTCCGATTGAGTTCCTTGCGCGTGCGAGAGACGATATGTTCCAGATCGGCTGTTAGATCGCTGTGAGCGTGTGTTGCTCCGGTCGATGTGATCAGGGTGGCGGACGGGGCGCGAACATGGATGCGCGAAGGTGTATTGGTTTGCGCACCGGAGAGTAGTAGCGCCAGGGGGACGGCTTTCTTGAACAACGTTGTCGGCGACGCTGGCAGAGGCCGCTGAGCTTTCTGTCGGGGAATCGGAGCCAGCGGGAAGGGGGCGTAGGGCCACCATCGTTTGCGTCTGCGCCTGTGCAGGTAGAACCTGTTCGTGGCGGATCCTGACTGCGCGTACCGCAGCGCTGTCTCCCACACCGAGATCGAGTGTTTCTTCGCGTCTCTGTTGCCTGCATACGATTGCGGGGACCGAGCACCGTGCTGCGTGGGACCAACTAACATCACTTCTGCTCCCACCAGCCCCCCCGCTCGTCCTACGCATCAATCAGGGCGAACCGGGCAATTCCTGCTCAACCAAGCACTTGACAGTCGATCGCCAGCCGCTGGCGTACCCTGATGCAGCGGATCCTTATCGAAAGACGCTGGATGAGGATCATCCTGCATATCAGGCTGCGCAGCGCACGTCCAGGACTCCCGTGGACTCGGACACGGTCCCGATATTGTCGGGCCGTTGGTCAAGGACCTAATCCTCGGAGCTCTCCGCGCGACCGGCAAGCCCGGGATGAGAGGTGCACCATGTGCAAGTCGGAGGGCCATCCCACCCGTCCAGCTGCGCGGCTGCAGTCTGGACGCCAGCTGCGTTTGCACAGGTCGAGGATGACGCAGCTGGGCTCCCGGGAAAGCGCTTCACGGGAGGAGAAGCCAGTGGCACTGGGCCCCCGATGTCGTTGACTCCCCCGGTGCCTGTTTCTTGGTCTGACGCAGCAGGCCGGCGCTCACGGGCCTGCACGTACGACCCGGGGCACCTGCGTGCGCCACTTCAGCGGTGTGGCGCCGTGGAACGCCGTGACCAGCGTCGGACACTACGACGCGACAGGGCCCCTCTGCCACTTATGTTGTTTGGCCTTTCGTCTTCATAGACCGGGAGGGGTGCCCCGTCAGCGCCGTGGCCCGACTGCACATACAAGTGACATCGACTATACAGACAACTGGTTCCGCTCGCGGGGCGGCCCGAGCAAACGGCGACGCACGGCTTCCCGCGGCGCTGGAACAGCTTCTCTGGCGTTGAGGGCGGGTAGAAAGTAGAATACAACATGCCGCGGGGAAAGGGGAAGGGCACGGGTGGCAAACCGGCCAAGCCGAAGCAGGCCGCGAAGGTACGTGCGCAGGGAGACCCAAATGCCCAACAGCAGCGTCTGCGCTGCGCTCGTGTGCATGGAAGCACCGCTCGAGGTCGCGGGACTCTTGCACGATCGCAACGGTTGTTCAAGACGTGCGACAGATGCCCGTTCGACGCGTAACAGAGTCTGCGCGAGGCCCTGCCGGCCCTCATTCTGTTCGCGTGGCCGCCGGACGAGCCGCACCGCTCCGCAGCGGGCCGTGGGGTTCTCTTGGGCTGACGACCACGCGACCTGCAAGGTCCACTCCGTGATAGGACGTTCGTGCACGCAGAGGCCAAAAAACCAGAGAGGCGCGAAGGCGGCGACGGAGCAGGGGCCTGCGCGGCCGCAGGTGTGGCGCAAGGGGCTCGACGAGCTCGGGGAGGACGAGGAGCTCGACTACGACCCGACGGTGTACTTCTGTCTGCACTCCCTCTCCCTCGACTGGCCCTGCCTGTCGTTCGACCTCTGCAAGGACGGGTTCGGCGCCCCCCGCAACGCGTTCCCGCACCAGATGCTGCTGGTGGCCGGGACGCAGGCCGCGGACGCACGGAGCAACTACCTCGCCGTCATGAAGCTCGCCGACATGGGACAGGTGCGGCGAACGGCCCGGCAGCCCAGGCTCGCGCGTGTTGCCACGACGCATGGCACGACGCGTCTCAAGTTGCCTGCTCCGTCTCCATGTCCTCCTCGGTGGCCCCGCATCGCGTCGGCCTGGCACGCGCACGAGCATGGACGACAGCGTCGCTCTCGGCGCCGCGCATCGCAGGCTGGGCACGGGCCGAAGCCGGCCAAGGAGGGCGACGACAGCGACAGCGACATGAGCGAGTCCAGCGACGACGAGGACGAGGAGCCGCCCAAGCTGCACTGCCGACAGGTGGCGCACAACGGCGGCGTCAACCGCGTGCGCGCATGCCCGCAGCACCCCAACCTGGTGGCCACGTGGAGCGACGCGGGCCAGGTCAACATGTTCGACGTCGAGGAGCAGCTCAAGGCCGTGGCCGACGCGAAGGCACGCACCTTGGCCCGACTGTTGCCCCAGCTGCGCCGCTGCCGCCGCGCTGCGGCCGCTCTCTCTCTGCGGGCGCCGAGAGGGACCATTGCTGTTGCAGTGCAGTCTGACGACCCCGCACGGCCCGTGATCGCGATTCGCGAGGTTTCGGCTCGCGTGCTGCTTGGTTCCGCAGGAGGTGAAGCCGCCAAAGGGCGCTCAGAAAGCGCAGCCGAAGCAGACGTTCGGCGGCCACTCGTGCGAGGGGTTTGCGATGGACTGGTCGCCGCTGACGACGGGGCGGTTCGTGTCCGGGGACTGCAAGGGCCGCGTCTTCCTGTGGGAGCCGACGCCCGCCGGAAAGTGGGACGTCGGGCAGCGCAAGTTCGCGGGGCACACGGGCAGCGTGGAGGACGCGCAGTGGTCGCCCACGGAGCCTGACGTGTTCATGACGGTGGCGGCGGACCGCACGATCCGCGTGTGGGACTGCCGCGTGGCGACGAAGCCCATGATCACGCTCGAGGGCGCGCACGACGCGGACGTCAACGTCCTGTCGTGGAACCGCCTGACGACGCACATGGTCGCGACGGGCGGCGACGACAACGCGCTGCGCATCTGGGACCTGCGCAACCTCGCGGCGGGGCGGCACGTCGCGCACTTCAACTACCACCGCGGCCCCGTGGCGGCCGTGGAGTGGTGCCCGTACGAGTCGAGCATGTTGCTGACGTGCGGCGAGGACGACCAGCTGTGCGTGTGGGACCTCGCGCTGGAACGCGACCCGGAGGAGGAGGCGGCGATGGCGGCGGAGCTGGGCGGGGAGCGCAACGCGGAGCTGCCGGAGGACGTGCCCCCGCAGCTGCTGTTCGTGCACCAGGGGCAGCACATGCTCAAGGAGGCGCACTGGCACACGCAGATCCCCGGGATGATCGTGTCGACCGCGGGGGACGGGTTCAATGTGTTCAAGCCGTTCAACGTGTGACGCGGGGCAGCCGTGCGCGCGTGGGGTGCGACGGGGGGGTGCGAAGGATTGCAGCATGCCACGCGCGAGGTGCAGCTGTACCGGACGCCGGGGGGGGGAGCACGTATTTTGGTCGCAGCTGGCGCGGGGGAGAGGGGTTCGTCGTGTTCATCGACGTGTGCTTCGCCGTGCTGCAGGAACTTGGGGGTGGTTGTTGCGCTGATGCGCTGGCACGGGCCATCAGCGGCCTCGTGTGACGCCGGACGCACGGCACAGCTCTCAGGCATGATCGCGGGTAGCTGAGGCACGCCGACGGAACCGCTATGCGCGGAGCTCATGTCGGCTTCGGTGTTCCAGCTAGTGCGCGTGACGACAGCAAAAGATCACCTGTCGGGGAGTTATCATCCACCGGACGGGGTCTGATCGCGAGGCACGTACATCAATGAGAGTTTTCTCGCGCGAGAAGACCACAGGACGGGGCACGGCGTCCTTCGTTCCGCTTGGTGAGTGCGAAATCAGTGTGGGTTGAGAGCCCTTACGCACGCGGGTTACGCGGGTTACACACTCGACCGCGAGACGGGACGCGGGGCTTCCTCTGCCCGCCGATGGCCCACCTTCCTGCCCCCCGCGTGCTCATTTCCACCTTCCGAAGCCCCTTGAAGCAAGCTGATGGGTGTTCTCTGTGCGTACACATCTCAGGCCGTGCGAACGATGCCCGTCGTCATGGCCCTTTCTCGTCCAGAGTCTCTAGAATTCTAGAACATCAAGCTTGACGCGCCTCACCGGGTTTTTGAAAAACGCGCGGGAATCGCCCTCCCATCCCATTCCAGGCACCTTGTACTCCTTTTCGCGGAGCCGGCGAACCTCCTGCCGCATCAGATCTGCTGTCGGATGATTGAACCCGACCTCCGCTGGCCTCCAGAGCTGCGCCTTGACCGCCATGCGCCGTCCAGGAACGTAGCGCCGCCTCGCCGCCTCGATCACCGCGTCGGCTAGTTTGTGGAGCCCGTCCAAGGTTGCCGAGCCGACCTTGCAGTGCCCGATGTCGACGTCCTCGAGCGCGCCGCTCAGTGCAAACGCAGCCGCGAAGCCAGCCGCCACGGACTCGTCAACAGGGTCGAGTTGCTTGTCGAGGCCTTGGGGCCCTAGGCCCAGACTGGAAAGTGACAGGCGGCGCACCGCAGACGCGGCGCTGAGAGAGCGGGCCACGGCCAGAGCACCGGACCTACCGACGCGGTTGCCGCTCAACTGCAGGTCCCGGAGGGTCTGATTCCGCGCCAGACCTGCCGAAAGAGCACTTGCGCATTCGTCGCAGATCTGGCAGTCGGCGAGGAGGAGCGTCTCGAGCGTGTGGTTCGCAGCCAGCGCGTGCCCGAGCGCGGCGGCTCCCTCTGTGTCTACCGGGCTGCGCTCAACTCGAAGCGTGCGCAAAACTTGGTTGTGCTCCAGTGCGTTTCCCAGCGCCACAAACCCCCCCGTCGCCGTCTCCTGCGCCCCAGCGAGCTCCAGGACCTCCAGCGTGGCCCCCAGCGCTCCATCTGCGACGGCCTTGGCGAGCTCGAGCACCACTCCGGGCGCGAGCCGTGGATGACCATATGCATAGCTTTGCCCGACACGTAGCTCGACGAAACACGACCTCGACGACAGCGCCTGGAACAAGGTTGCCCCGCCAATAGCAGGCACGTGCGTCTCCCGCAGGCCGCTCCCCTGCGTCACGGCTGCCGCGACTTCGTCCGCGAAGCTGGGGGCGTGCCGTGCTGCGTCCACGTACAGGTGCTGCAGCGTCGCGTTGCGCTGCAGGCCATCCATCAGGGCGTAGACGCCGTCTGCAGTCAGCGCGTCACTGCTGCCACCGCAGATGCACAGTTTCTGCAGCGTGCTGTTCCGCGCGAGCCCGGCGCCCAGGGCGTCGCCCAGCATTTGCCCGATGTGCGCATCAGCGACCTCGTCATCGTCGATCTCGGAGTCGCTCTCGTCAAGTGTGTCATACGGCTGCTCCAAGACCAGAGTCGACAGCGTCGTGTTGGTGCACAGCATCCGCTCGAGCGCGTTGACGTCGGCTTCGGTGAGAAGCGTTGGCTTGACGATCAGTTCCAGCTCCGCGATCGACGTGTGAGCACCGAGCATGTCGAACATCGCGGCGAGCTTCCCCGACCTCTGGACCGCGAAGGGCAGCGTCAGCTTGCGGATCGCCTCCATGCCAGCAACCTGCAACGCGCGATCGCCATGTCGCGGTTGCATGAGGTGCGCTCAACGAACAGAGCCGCATCACGCGCACGAGCACGCGATCATGCATAGCGTGTGGAGCGCACCACATCGACGAGCGCCAGCACGCCCTCGCAAGACGCCTGCACTTCCTGCTCCATGTCCTGGATGCGCAGCACCTCCACCTTCTTGGTAGCGCGCAGGGCGTGGACCAGACCCGCGAAGCTCGACGTCGTCAGGGCGTACCTAGCCAGCGTGAGTTCGCGCAGGTTGTCCGCCACGGACGGTCGGCGCAGCACCTCCAGCAGGAGGGATCCTATGTCCCATCTTTCGATCTCAAATGATGAAGGCAAGCGTGAACCGCGGAGTCCGACCGCCCTGACGCCTCGGAGAGCGATCGGAGGTTTGCCGACATCGTCATGCGCCTCCATCTGGCAATGCAGACGGACGAACGGCTCATCATCGGGATGGGGGAAGTAGGCATCCTCGTACTGACCGTCGTCACTGTCTGCGGGGTCGAGGCAAAAGAACAGGCCGTCGTCCAACAGCGGGCCGACCTCGTCGGCAGCAACCATCGCGTCGGCCAGCTCCTTCACGCACACGCTCCCCAGCGCGGGTCTCGCGCCAGGCGTCATGCGCTGGGCGATCGCGTGCAGCAGGTCGCTGTGAGCTGACAGCCGCAGCGTCGCGCGGGTCCGCTCCAGCACCGTCGCCAGCGCGCTCCACGACGTCGCCGCCACGCTCCGCTTGCTCTCGTCGGGCAGCGCCTGCAGCACCGCGGGCACGCAGCGCAGCAGCTCTTCGAAGGTCGACCCCTGCGTGCGACGAGCGGGGACGCGGGGGCGTGAGACGGTTGCCGGCGCGATGGCCACGCACTGAAGCACTAATGTGCAGCCGAGACCTGCGCACCATGCTGCCGAAGTCGACGCAGGGGCCGCGCGACGGAGGAGGAGGGCCTTGATGCAGTGGACTGGGCGTGACTGACGCCGGGGGCGCCGCGGAGCTTCAAGCGTGCCACCCGGTGGCTTGAAATGTGTGTCTGCAGGGACAATCAGGCGCGCGTAGGGTCTGAGATGGACGCGGAGCGCGGCTCCCGAGGTAACTGCACAGCGGCAAACGGTCGCTCGGCTATCTTTGGGCATGCAGGGATGTATGGCACGCCGTGGAGCACTGTACTTGTCGATCACTGTCTGTGAAGTGGATCGAATCGGCATCACGGGACAGCACGTTGGTTCGCGCTAGCAATCGGTCCCTGCTGCTTGGAGAGCTCCCAGAGAGCTCAGCGCTCTACTAAGCGCGGTGAACTGCCTCTATCTCATATTGCGTGTGAGAACCGAGCGCGTCATTGCGTACACGGCGTCGCAAGGCCCGGCGAGGGCGCTGTTCGTTGCATCTCTGGACCGACGCACCATCGGTCCACGCGCGACGCGACAACACGCACCTGGCACCTGGCACGCCACGACCGAGCCGTCGTGCACTCCCGCAGATCTGTGTGGCCCCGCGAACGCGCGGAACCGTTGCCTCGGTCGCGCACTGACCAGTGGGCTTGGGACCTCTTGGCCCCAGGGGTGCCCTGCCCAGGTGCGGGATGTTGGGCGCGCCGTGGAGCCAGCGCAGTCACTCCGTAGGCAGCATCGCCGACGTGGCCGTCACGCGCCGGAATCCCACCCCAGGGACGTAGGAGCGCCCGTCTCGTTGGCGTGCACAGCGACGCACGCGTGACGGGGCCGAGGTGGGCCCTCGACCGGTGACTAGCGCGTAGCCAAAGACGGAGGAGACGCTGCGAGCCAGCGCGATAGTTTTCGAGTCAAATCCGCGCGCAAATCTAGCGGCGCAGGGTCGTTCATAGGCAGCGCGCACGTTGTCACGCTGAGCGTGCGTTGCGCGCGTTGCAGTCGCGCAGGCGCGTCCCGGCGCAGCGGGGCCAGGAACCTCGATTGGTGGCGTCCGAGGCGCGTGCTAGCGTGATCCCAGGGGGCTGTTCGGGGGCGTGGTGAGCGGACAGCTCTCTTAGGATGCCCTCCACGAAAAAGAAGGTGCGCAGGCGCTCGCCCGCGAGGCTTGATCGCGCCCGACCCCGCGGAGCAGCTCTAGGGCGAGGCATGCTGCGTCGTGCGCCCTTGCGCGGCAGCATGCCGGCCAGCAGGCTCTGTGCTGTTCCAGCTGGGCTCGACGCTCGCGCCTGCGCACGGTACGGGCCGAGGATCCCCCTGTATTCCGGAACGGGCGCCTCTCACATACGCTCACGCACAAGAGCGTCGTTTCGTCTCCATTGACGGCGTCTCTGCGCCGCAATTCGCGAGGCTCGCCTGCGAGCTGGTACCTGGACGCGTCCCGCGCGGCCGGGCCTCTCACAGCGCGAGACTCTCTCGCTTTGCGCGGGCCGGATCCCACTGCGTGCACGCTGTCCGCCGGCACATCCGCTGCCGTTCCGGCGCGGGTGGCCACGGCGGTCGCGGGCCCTGCAACCCTGTTGCTTGCTGCCCCTGCCGCGCAGTACAAGCCCGGGGCGATAGAGGCCTCTCCGACGGAGCTGGCGCTGCTGGTGCACTACGACAAGGAGGTGCTGACCATCGCCGACGATGGGAAGACGGTCCTCAGCACGACGAAGGAGCCGGGCGTGCAAAAGGTGTCGGTCGAGACTATGATCCAAAAGAGCATCCAGGGTGCGCGCTTCGGTCGCCAGGCGGCCGCCCGAGCATCGCAGCCAGCCCGTCGCGCGCGTGCCGGGCCCGGCGACCCCTGCCCACCGCGTGCCACTGCGGCACCCCTCCTCGCGACGCGCTCCCGTCTCCCGGCCCGGCGCGTGTCCCGCAGGCCAAGCCAAGCTCGAGCAGCTCGCGGCGCTCGTCGTCGAGAAGAACAAGCTGATCCACCCGTCCAAGACGGAGCTCGTCGTGCACGTCCTCGCCGACCTCCAAGTCCGCGCCGCGCGCGCCGCAGGGCGCCCCGCAGGTGCCTCGCGCGCCGCCCGCACGCGCGCCCCCGCCCCGCACGCACGGTCCGCCCCCGCCCGACCGCCTGCCCTCCCCCGCGCGCCTGCAGCGGCGGTCGCGGGCCGCGCGGCGGACAAGCAGCTCCGCGTGGCGCAGATCCAGGACGCGGCGCTGCGGACGGCGAACATCGACGACCTGGACGACTACGTGGAGCTGCTGTACGAGGACTCGCTGGAGGAGCGGCTGCGCGGGACGGCGCTCGTCGCGGCGCTGTTCCGGCGCGTGGACAACATCCCGGACCTGCTCGAGCACCCGTCGGTGTTGGGGGCGCTCACGCGGGTGCTGCGCGACGACTTCAAGCGCAGCATCGACCTCGCGATCAACGTGGTGAGCGCGATGTTCGCGATCTCGCTGTGGAGCAACTTCCACGGGCTGCTCCTGAGCAACCAGGTGGGGGTGTTGGTCCTGGACATCATCGACCTGGAGCTGCGGCGGACGGAGGACCGGCAGGTGGAGGACGGCGTGTCGCCGCAGATGGTCGCGCAGAAGGTCGCGGAGCAGCAGATGGGCATCGACGACCCGCGCCTGACGGAGCGCGAGCGCAAGCTGCTGGCGGTGGTCCAGAAGCAGGACCGCCTGCTGTACTACGCGCTCTACTTCCTGCTCAACCTGGCGCAGGACGCGCGCGTCGAGAACAAGATGCGCAAGCGCGGGATCGTGGAGTACCTCGTGCGGTGCCTCGACCGCAGCAACGCCGACCTGTTGATCGTGGTGATGATGTTTTTGAAGAAGCTGTCCATCTTCGTGGAGAACAAGGACGCCATGCTGCGCGCCGGGGCCGTCCCCGAGCTCCTCCGCTACGTCCCCGTCGGGAACGAGGAGCTCCTGTCGGTCACGCTGCGGCTGCTGCACAACCTGAGCTTCGACGCGGCGCTGCGGAGCGGGATGGTCGAGGAGGGCATCGTGCCGCGGTGCATGCAGCTGCTGAACCAGGCGTCCCTGCACGCGCTCGTCATGGGCCTGCTGTACCACCTGTCGATGGACGACCAGGCCAAGCGGGAGGCGGCGTCGACGGGGGCCATCAAGACGCTGCGGTCCTTCCTGCTCCAGGTCAAGGACCTGCGGCAGACGCCCGAGTTGATCGCGCTCATGGTCAACCTGAGCCAGGACGCGCAGTGCGCGGAGAAGCTGTGCGAGGGCGGGGGGCTGCGGCAGCTCATGCAGCAGGCGCTGGAGACGGGCGACGACCTGCTGTTCAAGGTGCTGCGGAACGTGTCGCAGAACAACTCCGTGAACATCCGCAAGCAGTTCCTGCCGTACGTGGGCACGCTCGTGGGCATGGTCAAGGCCGACGTCACGTCCAACGTCCTGGTCGAGGTCCTGGGGATGCTGGGCAACGTGGGGAGCCTCCCGGGGGTCGACTTCGCGAAGATCCTGCGCGAGCACGACCTCCTGCGCTTCCTCGCCGCGGCGGTGCGGCCGGACATGGTCGAGGACGACATCCTGTTGGAGGTGGTGGTCTTCTTGGGGGCTCTGTGCTCGGACACCACCGCGCCCATGATCGTCGAGGCCGGGCTCATCCCCGCGCTGATGGACCTCATCACGGAGCGCAAGCACGACGACGAGTTCGTCCTGCAGATCGCGTTCGCGTTCCACAAGCTGCTGCTCTTCGCCGACACGCGCTCCGTGCTGCTGCAGCAGGGCGAGGTGGTGCCGTACCTGGTCGACCTGCTCTTCGACCGCAACCGGCACGTGCGGGAGGTGGCCGGGAAGGCCGTGGACACGATCGTGGACTCGGACGAGTCGTGGGCAGTGCGCATCCGACACATCAAGTTCGAGCACTACAACGCGGCGTGGATCCAGCGGGCGCACGACGCGGGCGCGGTGCGCATGATGCGGTCCGCCGCGAACAGCGTCGGCGACGAGTCCGGCGACGAGGACGCGTACGGCATGGTGATGCTCCCCGGCGGGACGGGCGAGGCCATCATGGACGTCAGCGGCCTCGTGATGTGATTGACGCGCGACGGTGCAGCGCACAACGGTGCCCCGCATGGGAATCAACGCGGATGTGAGCCTCACGAGGCTCACAATGACACCTCACCTCACCTCAATAATGGGTGAGGGGTGATCCCTTGTCTGGCCTCAGGGCCGCAGGGCGTGCCCCTCAGCGCCCCGCACGGCGCACGAACACCGGCGCCGGGCCCATCTTCCGCGCGGCCGTCACCTTCTTCCCGAACCCGGCCTTCCCGCCCGCCTTGGCGCGCGCCACGCTGTCCCCGCCGCGCCGCACCGACCCCGGCCCGAACATCCGCGCCTTCCAGAACTCCTGCGCGGACGCCCGCGCCTCCTCCGCCCCCGCCCGCCCGCCGTCCAGCACCCGCACGCGGATCCCCGCCACCTCGCGCTCGCCGCCCACCAGCCCCCGCCGCCTCCGCTCCGCCGCAGCCTCTCGCCGCGCCACCTCCGCCGCCACCCGCCGCCGCTCCGCCTCCTCCTCCCTCCGCCGCTCCTCCCGCTCCCGCTCGCCCCGCCGCGCCTGCTCCGCCACCGCGTTCAACACCTCGTCTGGGATGTCGTCCCCGTCCGAGTCGTCCTCGCCCGCGCGCCGGAACGCCTCCCAGTCGATCGGCGCGCCCTCGCCCTCGGAGTCCTCCTCGTCCTCCTCGTCCTCCTCGCCCCCCGCGGCCCCGTCGGGCTCGTCGAGCAGGTCGCGCCCGCTGGCCTCGAGCCCCGTCCGCTGCAGCGATTTCACCATGCCTTCGTCCTCGCTGGCGTCCTCCTCGTCGTCCGGTTCGGCGCGCTGGCGGGAGTCCCGCTTCTTGGTCTGCTTCGCCGCGCGCGCCTGCTCCTGGACGCGCGTCGTGCGGCGCTTGTTCTCCTCGCGGACTGCGCGCCGCTGGTGGGCTGCCGCCTCGCGCTGCCGCTTCGCCGTCGCGAGCGCTGCCTGTTTCGCGCCCCCCAGCGAGACCTCCTCGGGAGCATCGTCGCTGTCGCTATCGTCTACGACCCGCGGAGGCGCAGCTGTGCGCGCAGACCTGCGTTGCTCAGGAGGCAGTGAGGCATCGTCGCAGGCGCGTAATGCAGGGGATGATATGATGAACGCAGCTCCCGCTGCGTTCAAGGTCAATGTCTCCGTTGCGGGGCAGATTGTTGCGCACCTGCGGCGCTTTGGCGGCTCCTCAGCAGGTGGGCTTTTTGCTGCCGCCCGTTTTGCGCGCGTGCGAGGCGCCATGTCGCCCAAATCTACGCGCAAGCTCCAGACGATGACTTTGTGTCGCGGTGTGCAAGGGCTCTGGAAAAATTTGCTGCGTCACCAGTACAGGGTCGGCAAGGAACTCATGCGATGGCACATAACCCTGCGCCGCTGTCCAGCTCCTGGTCCGCACAAACAGCAACGATGCCCGCGATCGATAGCACGATTCGCTCCATGCCGCGGCGCAGCCAACGCATGAAGCGGGGGCAGCAGAGGGATATATTTTCATATTCACAGGTTTCTACCACTAATGCCTTTCTTCGCTCATGAGCCCCACCATCCGATGAACGGAGTGCGCGCGCCACGCCCCTACGAGCGGCGCACGGGGGGCCGCGTCCCGGTGCCCGGCATCACGCGGTGCAGGAGGCGGTACGCTGTCTGCATGTCGCGCAGGCGCAGGTCCGAGCGCCGGAACAGAGTGACGAGCCTCTCCGCGCCCCCGTCCGGATCCTTGACGAGCACTGCGAGCACGGCCCTGACGCCGGTGACCGTCACCCTCTCGTAGATCAGCGGCCCGACCACGCAATCCTCCCGCACAAACGTCTCTCGCGTGGGCCACGGAAACCTGCGCGACGGGAGGCGGGAGCCGGAGCACGGCACGTCGGCGTGGGGCCGGGCTGCGCGACGCAACGCAGGCGCCGTGCGCGGTCGGGCGCTGCGGCAGTGTGGTGCAGTGGAGCGTAGGGTTGTGGTGCTGTGCGTTGCGTCGTGGGTCCGTCGCGCACCTTCGATGGCACTTGACCGAGATGCCCACTCCACGCACAGCCACGACCGCCTCCTCCGCTGTGCTCCGTGCGGACAGCGCGATGAGCGCAGCCACGAGGACTGTCACGGCAAGTGTTACGGACCTGACCGCCGCCAGGCAGGTGGCCGCAGCGCAAGCGCCCCCAAACAACAGGGTCGGTGCGCGGAAGCTGTCCGGGGTCGCGTCGCCGGGTGTGTCGTCGCGGAGCTGCTCGGCACGGTGTTGTTCTCGACCAGCTTCTGAGCTTGACCGAGCAGCGCCAGCCGTGTCTGGTCCAGCGCCGAGGTCAGTGCACCGAACTCTGAGGTCGACGATGAAGGCGTCTGAATGCGCGACGTGCAGCCTCGCGCCCTGACGCATCCCCCACGCGGGCGTGCGATGCTCTGCAAGCAACTACTTCACACCGGCATTGTGCACGGTAGGCGTGTCGGACCAAGATGACGGTGCAGCTCGAGGGATATATAGATGTGTGTCATGTGTTCGGGCCGCAGGTTGTTCCCCAGAAGAGCTCGAGGAGTTCCCATCCGAGGTCCCCCCCTGAGCTATGTTGCAGGCCTCAGCCCTGCACCCTAGGGGTTCACGCCCGGGACTCACGTGCCACAAGGCATGGTCGAGAGCCATACAAGGTAGCGAGCAAGCTTAATCACGCGTTCGTGATTCGAACGTGGCAGGGCCCGCTCCTGCGTGGACCTGGATGTCGAGTCGTTGTGCGCTCGCAGCAGCCGTGATCCCGCGCCTGCGGCGACGGACGAAAGTCTGTGGACGAGTACAGGGCAATCGTTGCGCGCGCTTGCTTTCTGATTCGCGCGAGGGCGTGCATGCCCCCTCGGTAGTTGTGGCACGCAGCCCCCAGGTCCGCCTCCACGGGCGTTCGCGCGGTCCGGCGGGACGCCCCCGCACCAGCAGGGCAGCCTCGTCCGCGGACGGGGCCATGGCGAGTCTGCGTCCCGGGCCGGTCGCGCTCGTGCTTTGCGGTAGCTTCAACCCTCCCACAGTCGCCCATCTCAGGTGCGCGACGGCTCTCGCGCCGCCGGCGCTGCGTCCGCTCACAGCTCACACCGCCCGCGCACGCGTCGTCCCGGACGAGCCCCCGAGCGCCCGACTTTGTCCGGCACCACGTGCTGTCATGCCCACACGAACTCGTCTCTCAACGGTCGCTGGTGCGCGCCGCAGGATGCTGGACCTGGCCCGGGACGCGTTCCGAGATCAGGGCATCGACGTCGTCCGCGGCATCCTGTCCCCGGTCAACGACGCGTACGGCAAGCCCGGCCTAGCGCCCGCGTCGCACCGCCTCGCCATGACGCGGCTCGCCGCCGCGGCGCACGGGGACTGGGTGGCCTGCGACCCGTGGGAGGCGGAGCAGCCAGAGTACGTGCGGACGCTCGAGGTGCTGCGGCGTGCGGCGCGGGAGCTGCGCGCCGGTCCCGAGCCTCACGCGCGCCCCGTGCTGCTGTGCGGTGCCGACCTGCTGCAGTCGTTCGCTCGGCCGGGAGTGTGGCTCGAGGAGCACCTCAGGTGAGACCCACACCCGAGTGACGGCGAGGCGACCGTCCGCCGGCGCTGCAGGCGACCTTTCTGTACCGTTCATCGCCAGTGTCCCCTCAACGGTCGGCCTGGCTCGTTCCCACACCTCGAGGCCACGCTCTGCAACGCAGTGAGATCCTGACCGGGTTCGGCGTCGCCTGCGTCACTCGCGACGGCTCCGACCCCACGGAGGCGCTGGCCACCGCGACACTTGCACCGCACCGACACGGCGTGCTGACCATCCACGAGCCCGTGCCGAACCACGTGAGCTCGACGGCGGTGCGGAAGCTCGCGGGACAGAAGCGCAGCGTTGCGTGGCTGGTGCCGCCAACCGTGGCGTCTTACATCGCGGAGCACGGACTGTACGAGGGGCAGGACGCGACGGCGGGGCGGGGCGGGGCGGGGGGCGACGCGTGGCAGACGGACGCCGCGTGGGCGGCGGGGAAGAAGGGCTCGTAGCTGCGGGGGCGCGCCGGGCTCGTGGCGCGGCGCTCGAGGCCGGCACGGGCGATGCGCGCCGTGGGTGGGTGGGGGCTGTGAGTGAGGGCTCGGAGAGTCTCTCTCCGCGGGAGTCCCGTGAGCTGCCTGACGCGCGACAAGGCCGACGCACGGCGCATGCCGTCCAGCATTGGCGCCCCACCTCCGAGGGAGATACCGCTCCGTTGGTTCGAGCGAGGCCGCACAATGGAGGCGCTGGCTCAGAGGCCTCACACGCCGTGCACCGGGTCGCGCACCTCGCGCGTCGCGGCCTGCTGCAACCGAGCTGCCAAATTCGGCGTTTCGCGACGAAGAATAGCGCAGCATGCGCTCGGGACGGCGCTGAGGGGCAGGAAACCCCAGGCGACCCCGTTCCGGATTCCGGGCTACAAGCACAGCAGGGGAGCAATTCTACGCGCCATGGGCGATAATGAAGATCCCATGAATCCATGGAAAGCGGGGAAGGAGGCATGGGACTTCAAGAAGAAGTGCGCCGCCCTCTTTCCTTGTGCACCTCTGAGTTGGCAACGCGCCGCAGCGGACGCGCCTTGCGATGCGCAGCGATTCAGGCGGCGCGTGGTTTGCGAATAAAGCCAGCCGCGTGCCCAGCCGAATCGTACTCTGAGCGGTGTGCGAAAAAAGCGCATGGCTCGTTCGTGTGCTTTCCGCAGGTACGAGGTGCGGTCGTGGAAGGACGCCGTCAAGGTCGCGCGGCTGGTGCTGCCGCCTGGCTGGGAGCTGTGGGCGTTCGGGGCTGGAATCGCGCTCCTGGCGGTCGCACCCGCGCTGTTGGCGTCCGCGATGGCAGGCGTGGCCATCATGATCGCCCTCTCCGCAAGTGCGACCCCCTCCGCGTCGCAAGCGCCCGAGACGCACATTCTGGCCCTCGATGACGCCCTCGCTTGCTCCTTTCTTCGTCGTCAACGTTCTCCTCCTTCCCACGCCCCGACAATACAACACAACATCAACTCACGTCTGCCAACCGTCGCGTTCTTGTTCCTGCGAGCTGCAGGCCTGGCGGTGGCGTCGATCTTCCTCCCCATCGCCCTGATGGGTCTCTTCTTCGTCTCCGTGGCGTTCACGGTCCCGTTCGGCATCATCCCCTTTTCGTTTGGCATTGCCGCACTCGCAGCCAAGGCAGCCACCGCGGGCGCGTTCGTGCTCGCGGGCGCGGCGGGGACGCGGTACCTCCTCTCCTCCGCGGCCTTCAACGAGTCGGGCGAGGTCGTCGACGTCGACGCGGCGCCGGGGTCCTCCGGGGGGAGTAAGCGGGGCCCCAAGGTGAGTCAAGAGGAGCGGGAGCTGGCGGAGGAGCGCGAGAGGCAGCGCAAGGAGCTCGAGGAGTTCGACGAGCTCCTGAAGAAGCGAGAGGACTTCATGAAGGGGAGCTGAGGGCCAATCTGCATTACGGCGGCGATGCTGCATCTTTTTGGGAGGGCACGCAGGGGCTGAGATCCTTGCGAGGACGGTACCGATACCATTGGGTATCTGGCGGACACCGAGGTGCCTTGCACAGTCGCGACGGGAGGTGGATCTCCTCGGATGTGACGGCAGCGCCTCGACACGTTTGGCACGATTCCACGCATCGAAGAAATCGTGCGGACCGACCGCCCGCGCTTTCAAGGTGGAATACGGACCTGCTGGCAACCTGAAAAGCGCAGCCTCGTACGTGCAGAGCTCAAGCGGGGTGCAAAGTGATGGCTCCACATTGGGCCGGGAAAGGCCCCCGCCCGTGAGCAGTTCGACGTGTGGCGCCAATCATCAGAAAGCACGCGGCGCGTCGCCTGAGTCCTGAGCAACGCGCCCGCCGTCGACATGCCGAACAGCTTGTGCACGTTCTGCATGTCCACTTGCTTCATGGGCGGTGTTCAGCGACCGTCTAGGTGTTCGCGACGACGCTGCTGTGCAGGGGCGTCGCAGCGTAGCCCTCGTGGACTTCCTCGCCGCCATGGACTGTCGTGCGGGATCGGTGCCATGACGCAGCATCAAGCGACGGGCAGCATAGGCGTTGGTGCGGTGAACGGCTCTCACGCTGATGTGATGCACGCTGACCGCTGGGGCAACAGCTTTCGCTGCCACATACACGCTTCTGCTCGCTGCTGTGGGGTGCCACATGAACATGCTCAGCAGGGAGCAGCAGACATGCAGAGGACAGATCGCCACGCTCTCTGCGCCAGCTGGCCCGGTTCGACACACTGCTCCGGCCTCCGCAGCCGGTGCAATTCCGACACATCGGTCGCCCTGGCCAGGACTCTCACACGGACTCGACAAGCGCCGCACAAAAGCATGTTGCTCTAGCACAGACCGACGACTGACGTCGCCTCACAGGTCTGTCTACCGCCTCCTTATCGACCGCGCACCGCCCACCACTTGCTCGTCGCCCTCGGTGTTTCCGTCCGCCTCCACGCCCCTCAATTCCACCACCGTCCCTTGCCCCGCCACGTACACCCCGCACATCTTGTTGTTGCGCATCCAGCCGCGGCTGATGACCAGACGCGCGCCGTCCGTGCCATCGGCGCCGTTCCAAAGATTGTCGTCGCACACGAGTCCATCCGCCTCCACCTTGGTGTCTGGCTCGAGTGCGCAGAGCCCGTTCTCCTTGTTGTTGCACAGCCGCCCGCTCACGTGCAGCTTCGCACCCTCCTGTGCATGCGCGCCACTGCCGCCGTTTCCCTCGCACGAGACAGCCTCCGCCCGCACCTCTGTCCCGCCGTGGCACGCAAGCAGGCCGCAGTCCATGTTGTTGCACAGCCGCCCGCTCACGTGCAGCTTCGCACCCTGCCGTGCATATGCGCCGTGCTCAGCGTTTCCCTCGCACAAGACAGCCTCCGCCCGCACCTCTGTCCCGCCGCCGCCCGCAAACACGCCGCAGTTCTTGTTGTTGCACAGCCGCCCGCTCACGTGCAGCTTCGCACCCTCCTGTGCACATGCGCCGTGCGCGGCGTTTCCTTCGCACAAGACAGCCTCCGCCCGCACCTCTGTCCCGCCGTCGCCCGCAAACACGCCGCACTTGTTGTTGCACAGCCGCCCGCTCACGTGCAGCTTCGCACCCTTCTGTGCAGCGGCGCCGGTCGCTCCATTCTCGTCGCAAACAACGCCTTCCGCTCGCACCTCCGTTCCGCCGTCGTTAGCTATCACTCCCTGCCACTTGTTGTTGCAAAACCGCCCGCTTAAATCCACCTTCGCCCCATTGGTAGCACGTGCGCCGTTCGCACCGTTCCCATTGCATACCGCGCCCTCCGCACGCAACACCGTTCCGCCGCCGTCGGCCACCACGCCGCCGCGCTTGTTTCTGCAAAGCCGGCCGCCCACGTGAAGCTTCGCACCGTCCAGCGCCGCTGCCCCATGCCGTTGGTTATCGTCGCAAGTCACGCCCTCCGCCCGCACCTCCGTCCCCTCCCCCTCCACTCTCAGCCCGTCCCCGCTGTTTCCCGTGAACGCGCACCGCTCCATCGTCACCTCCGCCCCGCCCATGACCTTCACGCCACACCCGCCCTCGTCCTCGTTGCCACCCTCGACCTCCATCCCCGCGCAGCCCCCATCCACTCGGCACTCCACCATCCGCACCTCCCGCGCCCCGCACACCCTCACCAGCGCCTCAACCCCCCCGCACCCCTTCCTCACGCCACCGCGCACCACATCCACCCTCTCCAACCGCGTCCCGCTCGCGCCCGCCTGCACCTCCACCGCCACGCCCCGCAGCACGCCATTCTTCACCGTCACGGGCTGCAGCAGCTCCACCACGCTTCCCTCCTCCCCGACCACCGACCGCCCCCCCAGGTCCACCACACCCCCGGGGCCCTTCGACGCGATCAGCGACCGCAGGCCGTCCAGCGTGAGCGCGCGCGCGTCGGCCGCGCCCGCACCGCCGCGCAGGGCCGCGATCTCCGCCCGCACCTCGTCCAGCAGCAGCTGCCGGTGTTCCTCCAACAGACCTGCGATGTCTCCGTCGTCAACGCGCGCGCGTTTCGCGGGACGCGACGGGCCCGCGCCGCCCCGCGAGGAGCCCTTCGCCATGCTCACTCCGCTGCCTTGTAACGGCCAGCACCTGACGCAGTCGGGCCCTGCACCAGAGTGGGGGGAGCAGCGAGGCTGTCGTGAGGCGCACGGCCGGCGGTCCTCAGCGGGCACGCTATCTGGCTGCACGAGCGCCCGGGGCCTAACTCCCACGCAGGACATCTTCCGCTCATCCTGCGCCCAGTCACTGCCGCCCCCGCGGCGCAAGACGCCAAGCGCGCCTAAATTTTGGAGCCACAACAGGGTGCCCGCGGTGCGCGTCGTGCATCCCCCGAACAGCATGTCACGCAGATGAGGCAGCTCGCGTGATATGGTTGTCGCACCTCTGGCCACGGGATAGCAGTTCCGTCACCGCACACGCCTGCACTGGGCCGAAACCTGCGCACGTCCCTTCCCGCCTTGCCTTCCCGCAGGAGCCGCCAGCCTCTTGCTGACTTGCCTCTTGCTGAGCTTGTACGTACTGTTCCACTCCCCCTGCGGGGCGCCCCCATATCGTCGAACACGCCCCAACGGCCGCCTGCGCCCCCCCTCACCGACACCCCCGCCTCCATGAGCGCGACCCACGGTCATGCGCGCACGTGCTCGCCGAGTCGTCCGCACACACGCCCGTCCGATCGCCCGGGCATGTCGAGGCCGGCATCATCGCGTCCAGTGCCGCTGGCGGGCGGCGACGGCGACGGCGCGCGTGACCGCCCCAATGTGCCTGTTGACGCGGAGGAAATGATACGAACGCCCGCTCCAAGGTAGCCGAACCCAGACGTGCGTGAGCGTCGCGGCTCAGGCGGCCTTGCGCTAGGAGAACCGCGCGGGACGCCACGTGAGCGCGCAATGATGTGCCAAGGGAGGCTCTGTGCCGACCTGGAATCATGACGGACGCGTACATGGGGCGAGACACGCGTACAAGCCGAACTAGCGACGCGGGTATTACACGCCGCTACTCCTTCGCCGCGGCGCAGATCGTCGGCCCCTCGCGCGGGCCGTCGCTGCGCCGAGACGCACCTGCAGCCCGTGCACGCGGCCGGCGCCCGTGCAGCCCAGCTTCTCCCGTCAGCCCATCACCTACCGACGCGCGTCCGCGGCCCTTGAGGCACGTCCGCGCGCCGTCCCCCCGGCGCCCCCACCCCCTCTCGCGCCCACCGTCATAAGACATTGCCTGCGCACACCGCCGCGTACGCCTCCCGGCGCGCCTGCTCGGCGCGGCGCACGATCCGCGCGCGCGCGTGCGCGTTCGCCACGAACAGCAGCGGCACGTCGCCCACCTCGACGAGGCTCAGATGCGGCAGCGCGGCCACCCGCCCAGACCCCACCTCGCGCCCATTCACCCGCAGCGGGTGCCGCCCGAGGTTCTCGATCGCGAACGAGCCCCCCTCGCACAGCGCGACGTGCGCGTGCTCCCGCGACACCTGCTTCGCGCCGGGCTCCGCCGACAGGTCCACGTCGACGGGCTTGGCCTTGGTGCTCCGCCCGACCGACACCGCGGCGCGGCGGATCAGGTAGCGGCCGCGGGCGCCGCAGAGCGCACCGAGCGCCGCGGGGCCGTCGAGCTCGCAGGCGGTGGCGGCCGCGGCGGCGTGCTCCAGGACGAGGGCGCGGCGGCGCTCACTGGACCAGGACGCGATGTCGCCTGCGGGCGGGGGGGCATCCGGGGTGGCAGGTTGGTGGCGGGCGGCGGGGGCTCGCGGTGGGGGGCTGGGGGGCGCGGCGGCGGCGGGGGGCGCGGCGGGGGCGCACTTTGGACGTCGGCGCGGGCAGGGGGGCGGCCGGCGACGTCGCTGAGGACGAGGTTCTCTGCGTCAGACGCGCTGGGAATGTCCCTTGTGGAGTCCTCTGCGTCGGACCCGCGGTCGCGGCCCTCCCAGTCCGCGCGGAGGTCGCGCGCGGCCTTGCTGCCTCTGCTGAGCGAGTCATCCCCCGCGCACCGGTAGTGCAGGACGCGAACGAGCCGCCAGAACTGATCGGCGTAGAGGCTCTCGAGTTTCTCGACGTTGCGGAGACGCTCCTCTAGGATCTGCGCGCGGGCGAGTGCAGGAGGCGGGTGTTTGGGTTGCTGTCAGAGGCTGCAGGGCGACGCGCCGCGCTTGCTGGATCCGCGGCTCCAAGGTCCATGTGCGCGCTTACGTTGTAGCATTCAACGGTGTCGACGTGGGGCGGGTGCGTGCGTGAGCGATGGGGCGCGGCACGGCGCGTGCGCGGCGTCAGAGGACGCCTGGGGGATGGAGAGCGTGCCTGGAGCGTTGTTGGGGCGCTTTCGCCTGACGCGTTCGCGCACGCCACCTCGAGCTTCTCCACTTCGATGGCAGCGTCGGACGTCACGTCGTCGCGGTCGCAGTCGAGCAGGGAGTCGCTCTCACTGACCACGGCCTGCTCCATCTCCGCGGCACGCGCAGGGCCCGCGCCGCCCGTCACCCGCGGTTTCTTCGCCCCCGCAGCACCCACGCCGTTCCCGAAATCTGCAGCGCTTCCAACCGGTCCGAACTGATGAGCATCACGGCCAATTCCAAGTTGCTGAACAAAGGCGCCGGGCGCCGCTTTGCAGGACAGTGCCACGCGCGTTGCGCCGCGGGCCGGACATCAAATTCGAATTGCGCCTCACCTCTTGGCCGCTTCGACCCGTCAGGCGGAGTCGTCATGACGGGCGGGCCGTCAGCTGAGGCCTACCTGGCCACTGCGCACGCAACGCCGCTCAGGTGTGGTGGCTGGAGGCTGCTGAGCGAGGACAGGCGAACTGCCGCACAGGGCGACGCGGCGGCGGCCCATGCAGCACGCGGCGACGCGTCCCTGCGTCAGCTGTCCGACCCAACAGTGCTCCCCCCACTTTGGAGTCGTCCTGGCCTGCGCGCCACGACAGGGCGGCGCCGTCGCAGGGGGCCGCAGAACCGTGCAGGGTCGACCGTGGGCTTTCTCCCCTTGCGACAGAAACAGACGTGCGAGCGAGCGAGGAGCGCCGCGCGGCGGTTGACCACCAGGAGAGGACGGGCCCGCCTGAGGCCGGATCCGCGCGGAGCGCCGGGGCAGAGCCGGCAGGATGGACGTAGATCAAGAGAAGAAGAAGGGGGAGGTGGACTACACCGCGCTGGACAAGGACATCGCGTCGTTCGTGGAGCTGGCCAAGGTGCGTGCTCGCGCCGCCCAGGCGGTCGCCCGCGGCGAACCGCGCGGCCTCGCGACTGTGTCTCGCGCGCGGTGCAGTGTTAGTACGTTGATCTACGAGCCTGGGCCCTGCACGGCGCGTGTTGTGCCTCTCGAGCGATTTGGCAGGGGCTCATAAGTTCCGGGCTGGAAGCCGTGGTTGCGCGCTCATGGCTGGCCGCACGAGCGCCCGAGCGGTGCGAGTAGGACGACACGTCAGATCCTCGTTGCGACGGGGCAGCGTTGTGCGGGCCGGCGCCCGAGCAGCTCGGTGGGCTCGTGTGGAAAGCAGAGCAGCACGGAGCGGTCTCGAGCGCACCGGCGCGCACTGCCTGACCCTCCGGCGACCGCTCCCGCGCCCCCGCGTCCGCAGAAAGATCTCCATGCGGGTATTGAGGGTCTCTTATCGCTGGAGCGCACGCAGCGCACGGCGGAGGCCCTGGAGGGCACCCGGCGCTGCTGTTCAGCCATCCTCGACGCGTGCTTCGCCAAGAAGGACTGGAAGCAGCTGAACGACTCCATCACCGCCCTCTCGAAGCGAAGGTCCGCGCCTCCCGCCCCCCCGCTCGCCCGCACGTCCACCGCGACAGCGCGAGGGCCCCGAGGCCGCTTCACGCTGGCCTGCACGCGCACCCCGCGGCGCACGCGCGCTCCCCGCACCGCTCCCACCGCCTCGCACGTCCTCCTACCGCCCCGCGCAGAGGCCAGCTCAAGAACGCGATCGTGGCGTTCGTGCGGCAGGCAATGGACTACGTGTCGCAGCTCCCGGACGAGCCGACGCAGGTGGAGCTCATCGAGACGCTCCTCGCGATCACCGCGGGCAAGATCTTCGTGGAGATCGAGCGCGCGCGGCTCGTGAAGCGTCTCGCGCACATGAAGGAGGCCAAGGGCGACGTGGAGGCCGCGGCGGACCTCATCCAGGAGGTCCCCGTGGAGACGTTCGGCGCGATGCACCGCACGGAGAAGGTGGCGTTCATCCTCGAGCAGGTCCGGCTGTGCCTGGACCGCGGCGACCCCACCCGCGCGCAGATCCTGTCGAAGAAGATCTCGCCCATGGCCTTCAAGGTGGGCAAGGGCTCCGAGCAGCAGTTCGGGATCGAGGGAACCGCGATCCAGGCCGCCGCGGAGGGCACGCCGCCGCTCCAGGAGCTCCGCGTCATCTACTACCAGCTCATGATGCGCTTCCACGGGTGCGAACACGGCTGCGCTGCACGCGCGCTACGCGGGCCTGTGCGGGAGCGCAGCGCGTCTCATGTGCGTGGGCGCGCGTGCGGTGTGCGTGCAGGCACCACAACGACTACCTGGAGGTGGCGCGGTGTCTGCTCGCGATCATGGAGGACGAGACGATCGCGGCGGACGCAGCGCGGTGGAAGCCGCTGCTGAAGCAGACGGCGTGGTACCTCGCGCTGGCGCCGGCGACGGTCGAGCAGCGCACGCTGATGGCGTCGACCACCGCGGACCGCAAGCTGAAGGACCTCCCCGTGCACCGCGAGATGCTGGCCGCCTTCACGACGCAGGAGATCTGCGCGCAGGAGTCCTTCGCGGCGCGGTTCGGCGCGGCGATGGAGGAGGAGACGGAGATCTTCGCGGGCGAGGCCGGGCCGAAGCGCCGCGAGGACCTGAAGCTGCGCCTCGTGGAGCACAACATCCTGGTGGTGGCCAAGTACTACTCGCGCGTGACGCTGCAGCGGCTGTCGGTGCTGCTGTCGCTGACGCCCGCGGAGGTGGAGAAGCACCTCGCGGACATGGTGACGGGCGGCGCGGTGACGGCGAAGATCGACCGCCCGACGGGCGTGGTGCGGCTGGCCACCAGCCGGCAGCCGCAGGAGCTGCTGAACGAGTGGGCGGGGAACGTGGCCAAGGTGCTCGACGTCGTCGAGCGCGCGTGCCAGTCGATCGCGAAGGAGTGCATGCAGCACAAGGTGTCGCTGCCGTCCATGCCGGCGTAATGCCGCTGCGCGAGGCCGCCGCGTGTGACCTTGCTTGTGCGAGCCGCTTCACACGCGTGTGTCTGACCTACAGGTTCGCGAGATCGTGGCAATTGAACACACAATTCAACCGTCGCGGGAAGCGCTGCGAAGGGCATGGCGTCGCGCACGATCACTCGTCGGGTCCGCTGGGCTCCGGAACCGCCGGCCACGTCACCTCTTCGATCTCCCTGCGCGCCAGCTCGCGCTTGTGCTCCATGTTCGCCGCCTCCTGGTCCAGCCCGAGCTTGCGCGCCACCTCGCAGTGGAACCCCAGCGTCATGTGCAGCTCCCGCAACAACGCGATGCGCAGACCCTGAGCAGTCTTCAGCTCCTCCGCACGCGGACGCTCCTGCGACAGGTCAGAGGGGTTACGGCGTTCGGCGCGCGGTGTCGCAAGGAGGGGGCGAGTTGTACCTGACATGGGGAGGGGGTGGGGAGCTCACCGCAATGAGGTAGTTGAACGGCCACCGCGCGTCCTGCTTCGCGCGCATCTCCTCGCCCTCCGTAGACACCAGCGCGCCGATCTTCCGCAGCCCGTCCCAGATCTCGGGGGACTCCAGCGACGCCTCCGCCTCGGTCAACAGCGCGTCCGCCTCGCGCGCTGGACCCAGGTCCGCGCCGGCCTGCGACGCCGTCAGACACCGCGCCTGCGCCCGCAGCGATCGCGCGAGGTTCGCGGTCGCGCCCGCGCGCTCCAGCTGCAGTGCGAACCTCGCCCGCCCCCCACTCATGCCCAGGATCTTTGCGCCGTAGTCCGACCCCTGCACCGCCCCGCGGCTGAGCGCGAGCGCGCGCTCCGCATGCCTGCTCGCCTCCTGGACGTCGCCCATCTCGAGGCAGATCTCCGCGAGCGGCACCAGCGCGGTGACGCGCGCCGCGATCGCCGCGGGTTCGTCTGTTGCGCCTCGCTCCAGGGACCGCACGAGACCCTCGTACAGCGACCGCGCGGCGTCGTGGCGACCACTCGTCCACATCACGACTCCCAGGCTGGCCGCAGCCTGCACGGATACGGCGGCAACATGCCCCGAAGGTGTTGTCCAAACGCTCGAGCGCAAGGAACGACTTGTGGGGGTGTTTTGGGGGGAGTTCCGCGCAGGCGCCGGCGTCCAGCACGGCCTGCCATGCCAGCACGAAGGCAACAGAGCGTGTCGGCGCCAGGGTGTCTGACCTTGGACGCCTCCTGCACGACGAGCGGAAACTCGTCTCTGTTCAGATCCGCCGCGCGCAGCAGGCGGTCGACCGCCCGCCGCAACTCGCGCTCCACCTCCTGCGACGAGACCGTCTTGTTCCGCACCCACCCCGTCCAGCCGCCCTGCTTCCCGCCGCCGTGCGACGCGTCGGGGCCGCGCAGCAGCGCTGACGCGTACTCGGCCATGCGCTTGAGCTCGCCCTCGCCCAGCTCGAGCCGCTGGTCCTCGATGCCGTCGACGGTCGCCTTCATCAGGTCGAGGCCCTCGCGCGTGCGGCCCATGCGGTACAGGCAGCGGCCGAGGGAGAACTGGGTGCTCAGGGTGCCGCGGTGGTTCGGACCCATCAAACGCTTCTCCTCGTTGTACCCGCGCCGCAACCACTCCTCCGCTAGCGCCAGCTCCTTCGTCTCCAGCCACATGTGCCCGATACTGCACGAAGCGCGATACCACATTCTCGCTTTCTCTACTTGCGTGCGCAATGCAGCTACGCAACGGCGCTGGACCGCCCGTGGCCCCGGAACGACCCCCGGGCCGGCACGGCCACAGCGTGTCCTCTCGTAAGCCGCACCTGTTGTAAACGAACGCGACGCCGGGGTAGTCGGCCCCCAGCGTCTTGAGCAGACTCGCCACCGCGGACTCGAAGCACTTCTGCGCGCGCCTGCGCTGGCCCCACCGCCGGTACAGCTCCCCGAGGTTGTGCACCGCCGCCGCCACCTGCGGATGGTCCTCCCCGAGCCCCGCGGACTCGTACGCCTTCCAGGCCATGGCCTTGGCCTGAGTCAGGCAGGCCTCTGCCTCCTTGTACTTGCCGGCCTCCGTGAAGTCCCGGCCCTCGCGCGTGGCGCGCTGGAACAGCAGGAACCACTTGGTGTTCAGCGCCGGGCCGTCCGCGCCCTCCTCGCTCTTGCTGCTCTCGCCCGTTGTCGGCGACGCGTCGATGCCGTACGGCCAAGACACCGCGCGACCCCCCTCGCCGGTCGTCGGCATACCTGCGCAGCGGTGAGTCCTCGAGGGCGGCAGGGCGGTTGGCTGCGCGACGCAGCCCGAGCGAGGCGCGGCCGACGACATGGCAAGTGTGCAACAAGTGTGTCTGTGAGGACGGTGCGCACCTGCGGCCTGGTCCTGAGCGGGCGTGGTAGGAAGCTTCGCCCCGGAGTCCGCGTGCGCTACCGGCGTGGCCGCGACGGCGGCGCCACCGGCGAGCGCGACACTTGCGACGCCTGCGACACTGTGTGCCATGCGTTGCAGCCATCCTGCGCGTTTCTGCGACTCCTCGCGCGCACCCGCTTCAAGCTTGCGCCAGGAATGGATCGCTGCGCGCTGTGGTGACGCTCCTGGCGGCGTCAGGCGCGTCGACGCGGCACTACCCTGCGTGGTCGCGGAGACGTGAACCGCGCCCGTGGCTGCGACGAGCCGCGCCGCGACCTCTCTGAGGTTGTCGGTCGCGAGGAAGGAGGAGTCGGAAGCGAACTCGCGCTGGACCGCCTGGCTCCCGCCGTGCGCCGCGCCACTGAGAGCGAGTGGCGGGAGAGCACGAGTGCCCGCACGAAGGGACTGAGGCCCGACGAACCCCATACCGGCCTGACAAAATAGTCCTTGTAAGTAGTTGTGCGCGAGGCTCGCAGAAACGCGTCAGAATCGCGTCGCCCGCGGGAGGAGCGGGCAACCTGGTGTTGGCGCAAGACCTAGCAAGTTGCTGCTTCGGCGGTGTCCACGGGTCGGTGTGCCGAACATCCACGACCACGTAGCGGAGAGCAGTCTCTCTACTGCGTGGAAGTGACGGCGCTTGCGGGCGCGTTGCTCTGTCAAGGTCGGCACTTGCACACCCCCGAAGAGGTGTCGCAACCCTGCTGCATGGGCGGTCGTCATTGCGGGTCGTGGTGCAAGCCGGGGAGCATGGTTCATGGGCACGATGTGCCAAGGAGCCTGAGCGTGTTCCGCGAGGTAGAAAGTGAGCGTTTGCCGCTCGCGAGGGCGTGGAGTGGAGCTCGCATTACACCATGGCGTCCAGCGGACGGAGGTAGGGCAAAACCGCGTGCTGCCTGGTCTCATCGACATGATGATATCGCGAGGATGTCGTTGCGCCTCGAGCGCGCGCCCCCGTCGACCACTGCCACTCGCGCCACGCACCAGCAGCACCGCCCACCTGTAGCCGCGCCTACGCTGGCGTTCAGGTTGGGTCTGATTTTGGGCAGGCCGCTCAGTGATCGTGTCCAGCATCGCGTTTGCGAGCGCGCCTTCTTGGGCCCTGCTCTGCGGCGGACCAGCAGCCAGACGTGGGCCCGGCTTGCGGACCGCCGCACGGCTCAATGTGCCTCACCGGCGCGCCGCGACGCACTCGAGCCTCCCGCCGTCTCTCACGCGCGCTCCGCCGCTCCGACCCCGACTCGGCTGCCCACCCTCTTGCGCGCACACACACCCCCAGCCCGCGTGCCAACACACCTCCTGAAGACGACGAGAACCCCCAGCACAGACCGCTCCCGCCTGCCGGAACTCTGAACGACGCGCTCGCCCTCCGCCCTCGCGCAGGGCGGGGCCCTCCCTGCTGTCGTCACTGCTGTCAGGGTTCCTAGTTCTACTGTTGGGCATGGGTGTCGGGTTCGTGGTCATCACGCCCGTGCTGCTCGTCAAGGCGGACGGGGATCCAGTCAGGGCGTACAAGCACTTCGCAGCGGTGCGCAGGTCCCGCCGGCCGTCACATCCCGGGATGATCCCTCGCGCGCTGCCACATGCCCGTGCCACGGCGCCACGGCGCGACACCGCCGCACCGCTCCCGTGCGGACCCTGGCAGCTGTCCGAGCTGCCGTCGCCCCGCTGTGTGTTGGTCCGCAGGACGTGGCGGTAGTCCCAGAGAGGCTGGCGTGGGCAGCAAGCGCTTCGACGAGCCGCGTCCTGGGGCTCATACCGGCGCCGGTGAAGTCTTCCGCTCGAACTGCAGCACGCGCCGCCGTCGACGCAATCCCCGACGCCGTGAAGGTCCCTGTGGTGCGCAGCGGGCCCAAACTCAGCGACGACAGTGCTTGCGGGGCGACATCCCGGTGCTGCGTGCCCGCGAGACGCAGCGCCGCGCCCCACGCTCCACAGTTCAGCCGCCGTCGCAGGTGCGCACGTACGCGAGGGGCGTGGACGTCCTGCACACGAAGATGGTCCTGAACCACAAGCAGCTGAGGGGCGCCTGCGTGAGGTGGCTCGGGCCCGGGATCGCGAAGCGCATCGGCGCGTTCTTCCACAAGAAAGAAGGTCCGCGCGGCCAGCGGCCCCCAGCATGGCTGCCCTCGCACACCCAACGCCCGTCAACCCTACGTTGGGCGCACCTACGTCGCCGTCGCTGCCCGTCGCTGAGCGCACGCGCGTGCTTCCGATCCACCCTGCAGGCGGCGCGGCGGCCTCGCCGGGGCTCTGCGGCCTCCTTCACACCAGCAAGCGCGTCTTCACTGCAAGCGAGCTGGCACAGCTCTCCTCGCGCGGGCAGTGCATCCTGCTCGCGCTGGCGGGCCGCGTGTACGACGTCAGCGCGGGCGCGCGGCACTACGGGCCCGAGGGCGCGTACGCCGCGTTCGCAGGCCGGGACGCGTCGCGGGCGTTCGTCACGGGGGACTTTGTGCACGACCTGACGGACGACGTCTCCGGTCTGACCACGAGCGAGCTCGAGGGCCTGCACGGGTGGTCCCAGTTCTACGACGAGTCGGACTACCCCCTCGTCGGCGTGCTCGAGGGCCGCTTCTACGACGCGGAGGGGCGCCCCACCGGTCAGGCTGCGCTGCTGTCGGGGGCGGTGGAGGAGGGGCAGGCCAAGCGGGACCGCGTCGCCGCGCACCCGACGAGCCAGCTGCCGGGGTGCGCGATGCGGTTTGAGGCCAACACCAACACGGTCACGTTCTGGTGCGAGGGCGACAGCGCCGCGTACCCGCGCGCGATGGACAACCCTGACCCCGACAACGACAGAGAAGTGTGCGTGGCCCGACCCCTCGCTCGCGGCGGTGCAGCCTGCCTGCTTGGCGAGCGAACGCGTGGGGGCACTGGGAGGGAGTGCGTCGTGTGTGTGTGGCTGCAGGTGCAAGTGTTTGAAGGAGCCTGTTGTGGACGAAAAACACCGGCTGTACAAGGGCGCGGACGCGGAGGCCACCACCGTCGTGATCGACGCGCCGCAGCCGGAGCGAGATCCGTTCTCGTCCTCCGAAGACGGGTTCTCTCTGTGATGCCGCGCGAGGTGCTCGGGACCGCCAATCGCTCGTCGACGCGCGAAAGCGCTTGCGGCTTCGCATCCGGCTGGGACTGGCTGGTCGCGCGGGGCCCGTGCACGCGTCCGCGGGCGCGATGTCCGCGCCGCGTAACGATGCGTGGAGAAAGAGAAAGAGCGCGGCTGATGGCGGGCGCCGCACAAGTGGACCGAACCGGGATTCTGCGACGGAGCGACTCCCTGCCGTATGATTGCGGATAGGTTTATGGGCAGGATGGCTCGATTCGTCGGTCCTACGGGCGCGGACAGACGCAGATGCTTGTCAACTGCGTCCCTGACGGTTGGCAGCTCGGGGGTGCCCGGGGCGCCGGCAGGGGGGCTCGACGCCCCGCGCCGACGGCGGTAGGGGCCACCTGGCGGGCACCAGCCCACGACCCCCTCGCAGTCACCTCCGTCCGGACCGGAACCAGCCTGGCAGTGCATAGTTGGAGCCCAAAAAATGGCGGGCGTTTCGCTCCTCTCATCGGCGCTCTCTGGGCTGCCCGTGTGCGGGCCCTCGTGCTTCATGAGCGGTGTCGCAAAGCCGGCGGCAGGGCTGGCCGTCGCGACGCTCGCCGCGTCCTCTTCCGGCGCGGGCTTCCCCATGGAGCGAAGGACGTCTGGCGGTGCAGCTGTGGCGTGCAAGCAGTCGACCGAGATGGCCGTCGGTTCTCCCCCGCGAACAAAGCGCTGCCTTCCACCTACGCGGGCGGTTCCGCCGCTCACGCGCCGGAAGCGGAGAGCCAAGCGAAAGGGATTCGGTGAGCGCCCCGACGCGCTGGCGCGACATACGCCAAAGCGCCGCCGCGAAACGCTCCACGGAATCGCCTCGAGCGGCACCGGCGGAGCGAAGCGCCTCGTTCCGGCCGCGCGACCCCCACAGCTGCGGAAATATCCCTCTGCCAGCTCCCACCCGCGCCCCTGCGCGCGTGCGCAATCCCGTCGGCACGCCTCCCCGACGGCCGAGGGCGCGCACCCGTGCTGCTTCTCAGGAGCCTCTCGGCCCGCCTGCGACGTCCGCGGCGCCCGCGACCTCACGCGCCACGCCCCCGTTCCCTGCGCTCCAGGAGACGATGGCGAACACTGGTGGGACGGGGCTGGCTTCAACTTCGAGGCTTTGTGGGGCGACGGTGGCTTCAACGGCGGCGGCAGCTACGGCGGAGGGGGCGGCGGAGGCGGAGGCGGCGGGGACGACTTCGAGGGCGAGGGGCGCGGGGAGGCCACGGCGCGGATGTGGGCGCGGTGGGTGTGGACGGCGGCCTCGATGTTCAGCCTCCTGCACACCGCGCACTTCCTCGTCGAGCGCTCCATCCGGGACACCACGGGCACCGCGGCGGCCATGTCGCTCACCGTGTGCCTCCTGGCGCGGCGCTCCAACCTGGAGCACTTCAGCGAAGCGTGACGCGCGCTCGCGCGCCGGACGCGAGCCCCCCATGTACATACAAGCCCGCGCGGGCGGCCTCGGGCGCACCGTTCGCAGCGCAGCATGTTGCCGGTGTAACATCCGCCCCCCCCGCACACATCGCGACTCGCCACGCTAGCTGGGCGTGGGTGCGCAGCGTCGCTGCCCGGGCGCCCCACGCAGCCGCACAGCACCGTCCCTGCACCGGCCCGCGCGACCTGCACGTCCCCCTCCCCGCCCTCGGTGCGTGACCTAGGATGCCAAAAGGTCACCCGCCGACGCCGCGGCGTACGTGCGCGTGCCCGCTCGTGTTCCGCGCCGTCGCGCCCGCGCTGCAGCCCGCGTCCGCGCCGCACGCGCCCGGCGGGTCGCACGGCGGGGGCGGCGAGCTCGTGCGTGCCACAGCGCGTGTGCGGGCCTCCGAGGGCGGTCCGCGGGGCCGCGACCGTGCGCGCGGGCCGCGCGGGACGCGCCCGAACGTCCGCGCTGGGTGAGGCGTCGCCGCGGGGGCGCGCGGGGCCGCGCAGGTGGAGGCGCGCGGGCGTAACGCGCTTTCGGAGGGGAGGGCACTTTTCCCGAAAAAGGCTCCAACCACCTACCCGACGCGTCGCGTGGCGCAGCGGGGCGGGGCTGCGGCGCTCCGCGACCGCACCGCACTGGACCGGACGTCGCTCCTCGTCCGCGAGCGCCGCGTGGGCCGCGGACGCTCCGCGGGGGTCGTTGGAGCGCCTCCAACGACTTTACCACACACGGCCGACGGCGCGCGCTGTGGGGCCTCGCGCGGCCCGGCGGGGGCCGCAAGGTGCGGCTCGCAAAAACGGCGAGGGCCGTGCGGAGACGTGCCGAGCATCTTCGGCGAGCGAGCCCGGGTGACACGGAATCCACAGCCTGAATCATCAACGTGCATGCTCGAACGACGGCAGCCGGGTCGCGCAGTGCACCTGTGCCGCGAGGTCGCAGGACGGGCGCTCAGGGGGCCGTCTGCGGGCTCGGTGCCCGGGAGACGTTGGGGACAGTCGCCAACGCGTGTTGGCAACGGCGAGGTCCTGTCGTAGTGGTTCGCGGCAGAAACATCCGCACAGGAGTCCGTCGACGCGCTGGTGGTGCCTGTCGTGAGACGTGCCCGGTGGTGTCGGGATACCTAGTGTTCGGAGCTCCGTCGAGTGTCCAGAGCACCTGCGCCACAGGCTGTGTGGGGCCACGCGGTTCGTGATAGCCCAGTGGGTGCGACGGCCTGCTGGGCAGCGCCTGCGAGGGTTGTCTCGGAATGCTCGATGGGGTTCGGGTCGATCGGAGGACCCCCCCCGGAGGGCTGAATGCAGGGGTAGGAGGAAAAGGCAAACACTCCGCGCGCAGCCCAGCCACCGGGGCGCAACAAGGCGTCGGCGCCGCGCGAGGACGGTCACTTTTCGCGTCACCCACTGTGCGAAAGCAGAGCGTACGAGAGACACAGGAGAAGCGAGCACGCCGATCCTCGGATCGCGGTCTCTTTTTTGCGGCTGCCAGCGCCCGCGACTGCGTTCCAGGGCACGCGCGCAGCCGGAGACCGTATTTCGTCCCGAATTGACGCATCCCGCGTACAAGCGTCTGATTTGGCCCGCGATGGTCCCGAAGCAAGCAGCGGAGGGCAAGAAGTTCAAGGGTGTCACGCAGCGGGCCTCCGGCAGCTATGCCGCGCACGTCTGGTGCAGTGGAGACATCGGGCCGAACCGCGAGATGCACATCGCGTCGTGTCCGTCCATGGAGATCGCAGCGTGCTGCTACGACATAGTGTGCTGCTATATCGCGCGCTGCCTTCGTCCGGAGCCCAGGAAGGCGCCTGACACGCTGAACTTCACCGAGGCACCGTACTGGCACGAGGGCGGCATCCTCTGGGTGAGTCCACCCGCACACGCAGGCAGCGCGCAGTTAGGTCGTCAGCTGCCAGCAGAGCGCCTCCGCTGGCGACCGGTCGCTCCGCGACGCTTTCGCGCCTCGCTGCAACCGGCGTGCGAAAGTTGCGCTGCGTGACGGACTCGCGGCGCGCCGTGCGCGCCCACCGCGCGGGCCCGCGAGGCCGAAAGTACGCGAGCTAGCCGGCCGGCCGAGTCCGCGCCTGCGCGCGGGCGCACTGTGCCCCGCGTCGTGGGCGTATCATTCGATTTGCGAGCCAAATACGGCGACGATTAGGGCGCTCCTCACGCCGGGGCGCGGCGCTCGGAACACACGGCTCTGGGCTCACCCTACCTCGTTCCTCGCCTGTCTCGCCCCCTTTTGGCCCATTTTCGCCCCGAGGGACCCTAGCAGACCCTGCACACGGCCCGTGACGGCGGTGTACAGGCGCCGCCCCACCCGCGGGCGCGAGGCGGCTGCAAGCCGTTTGCAGCCAAGCCCGCTCACTGCGCTGCGCGCTCCACCCCACGCGCGGCGTCCCTCCGAACCAAGGCGCCTTCCCCCGCTTCCTGCAGGACGTGCTGCACGGGTCCGAGCCCGCCCCGAAGCTACAGGCCTTCATCAAGCTTTTGCGCCCCAGGGTAAAGCACATCCCAGGCCCGGAGGCCCTGCGCGGCGGCGCCCCTCTCGAGGTACGAAAACGCACTTTTCCGCGCCCTTGCGGCAGATCGAGTCGACTCCGCGCGCAGATCCGGGCGCACCCCCCCCCCAGCCCCCGCGCGCGGCCTCCCACCCTACCCTGCCCCTGCGCGTCCCCCCGCCCGCTCCTCGCGCCGAGCGCCTCGCCCGCGCGCCCTCGCTCGCAGGCCGACTCTTCTAGCAAGAACCCGGAGGTCGCCGCCGCGGCCGACGCCGCCGCAGCGGCCGCCGGCGCCACCGTGTCGAGTTCCAGCTCCCAGGCCAACGGCCACTCCGCGGGGAACCCCAGCACGAACTCCTACGGCAACTCCGACGACAACGGCGTCCAGGTCAGTGCCCACACGCACCACCGCCGCCCCCGCGCGCCCCCCTCCCCGCGCCACACCGCCACCCCGCGCCCCGCACAACTCACCACAGCCACGCGCTCCGCCCCCGGCCCCCCCCGCGCCCCAACGCCCTGCCGACGCGCCCCGCCCCGCACTACATCGTCCGCAGGCGTTCCAGGGGCTCCACGTCACCAGCCCGAGCGACGTGCTCCCCGTGCCGGAGGGCAGGCGCGCTACGGAGCCCCGCCTCCTCACGCGGCGCGCCGACTCCATGGGACGCGGCGCGCACACCCCGCGCGGCGCGCGCGCGACCACGACGCACCTGGACCCCTCGCACAGCGGCCGGAGCGCCGCCGACGCCGCTCTGCGCCCGCGCGGCGGCGCCGCGTTCAAGCGCGGCTCGGGGGGCGCCTCCGGCCGCGTGCGGCTGTCCGCGGGCGAGAACCTCCCGCAGGAGGCCATGGCGTTCGCGACCGCCGACCCGGGCGCGCGTCCCCAGTCCCACCGCGGCGACCGCCGCCACAGCATGGGCCTGCGCCTGTCGGCGGGCAACTTCAACACGCTGGTCAACATGCACGCGCACTCGGCGCACGGGCCGGGCGACCTGCACGGCGACGTGCACCCCCACGTGTACGGTGGGATCTCGCTCGAGAGCAGCCCCGTCGCGCAACCCGCCTACGGCGCCCTGATGCCGCTGCCCCCCAGCGCGCCGCCAGCCATGGACGTCGACGGAGCCTTGGCCTCCGAGGGCCCGATGGGCTCGTGGAACAAGCCGCAGGGCGCGGCGTTCGGCGGGCAGCAGCAGCGGCGCGACTGGTCGGCGACCGGCACGCTGCCGTCGGACTCGACGCGCTCGTGGGAGAACCAGGCGGGGCTCTGGGACCAGGACGCCCCCATGGACGCGTGCCTCGACGCACCCTTCCCCGAGGCGCCGCCGTGCGAGTTCGAGCAGTACCTCGACGTGCTCCGCCGCGAGACCTAACCGCTGCCCACCCCGGCTTGAAGCACGGACGTGATGATGCGTGGGACCCCCTCGAACAGTCCACGCCCCCTCCCCCCCCAGCCCCTTGCCCCCGTCACCCCCCGCCCTCTTGGTCAAGACGTCGTCGCCCTTCCGGCGACGCGCCTGTCTGTCGCAACAGTGTCGCCTTGCAACTATCCCCCCCCCGCCCTCCTACCCGCCCTCCTCACCCCCCTGTTGTTGCTTGTTGCGATCCCCTGCCTGTGTTTGTAGTCGTCTGACCCGCCGTTATCTCGCCCTATGCACGAACTACGTTCTACAGCCGCCTATCACGAGATGCGCGCGACCTGGCCGTCTTCTCGGGAGCTCGGTGGAGTCGTTGTACGCGAAGAGCACCGCAGGCGGGCTGTTCCGTTTGCCCCGTCGTACCTGTACTTGGCAGGACCAGAAACCATGTTGCCTTCCACGCCTGCACCGTGGGAGACATGGTATGTATGTCGCAGTACCTGTCATGTGCTTGGGAAGCGCAATGCCCCCGTTGCGCTCGTCGCAATGGAGGGACTCGGTCGTTTGGAAGACCGCCCGTAGCCGCGAGACGCGACGACAGTCTCGAAGGTATAGTTTCCGGCCTCGTAGATTATAACGCAAGTCCACGATAGATGATAGTACCGTTTCGATCGCTCAAGCATCCTCGCGGTCGGGGGATGCCTGTAGGTCAGCGAACAACCAATGCCTACAGAACACATACAACGACAACCGTTCCCCCCCCTCCCCACCCTTCCCATGGATCCTGTCGGCCGAACACATCCAGGGCGCCTGCCCAAGGCTGCTCCCCCATCCAAGACCTCGATCACATTGACGACATCTTCCGAGAACCTCATCTAGACCTCTCCTTCCTCTCCCCCAAAGGAACCCCTCAGAAGCTCCCCTTCCTTCCTTCCCCCTCCCCTCCCCTCCCCCTTTTCCCGGAGCCCCTCCCCTGAGCCGCCCTGAGACCGCGCGCACTTCGAAAGAGCGTGCGTATGCGCCTGCCCACGCGGAAACGACTCGACCAGCGGCGCGCTCTGGAGCTGACACCGCATGACGCACCGGACCCTGGCCCCCTCCATCCCTACCGGCCCTGCACGCTGGCTTCGTAGCCACGTCGGGATGCCTTCGACCCTGCCAGGGACGTGCGTCATGCGGAACCTCCTCTCGAGCCCCCATCGCGGCACGCCGCCGCTCGGTCTGGAGCCTGCCTCCCTCCTCTACGCCCTCTGCCGACCGTGCCACCTCTCAAGGGCCGAAGCGGCAACAACCTTTCCCCCCCCCCCTTCCCCTCCTCTAGCACCTACTAGCGGTCTTCAGGGACATGCAACTGCGCGCGGACCGTCCGCCCGCCCCTACCGCATGAAGCCCGCCCCTACGCACGACGCGCGTCAATTCTTCTAGAACGGAGACGGAAGTGCATCCTCCGTGATGAGTCTGCAGCCGCAGCCGGCTCCCGGACCTCTCTGGGAGCCGTGCATCCGCGGGCTGGGCATGCATGGAGGCGCCTGAGACGCCATGCATTTTGATGGCGCGGCGTGGGGACAACTTAGGGAGCCCCCGCACCGTCGCTGTAAGCAGTTGCCCACAGTTGCGCCGAACCGAACCAGCACCGCGGGGACGTTCCTACCCTGTCTGCTGTGTGAGTCTCGCCTGCCGTACCATTTCGGTCGCTCAAGCGTCCTTGCGGCGAGGGTGCTTGTAGGTCAGCGAAGTACTGTTCCGCGGCGGACAGCGCCCGGCGCGCGCGGTGAGGGTGCTTGTAGGTCAGCGAAGTACAAAGCCGAAATTCATGCGTGGAGATGGTAGTGGCAGGCTCAAGGCATCAATCGTCCCGCAGTGGCGCGCTAACATCGCTCCGTGCGCCGACACAAGGCTGTTGCATGTGTGCGTGGCCTCCAGTGAAATGCAGCGCACGCCGCGAACCAGCAGTGCCCACGCCTGACCCCGCTCGATCGTCACAGCACTGCGCCACGTCCGCTCACCTTCACCGCCGCCGCCTCCCCGGCCCCGCGGACCCCCTCCTGTGTCGCCCGCGCGGAACACCCCCCTGCCCCACCTCCTGCAGCATCCTCTTCACGCGCCCCTCCCACGCGCTCCACTCCGCCCCCTCCGCACCCAGCGGCGACAGCCCCACGCGCACGCCCGGCCCTGCAGTCGGACCCACGTGCCCCCACACCTCCCCCTTCTGCACCTCCAGACTCCCCTCCATCGCGCCCTCCAGCCGCCCCGACCCCGCCTGCTGCTCGAGCGCCCCCTCTGCCGCTCCCTCGCCCCCGCGGTCGTCCAGCAGCGCGTCGGGCACGTGCGCAGCGTCCACTTGAGTCAGCCACCGCGTCGGGCCGTGCATGCTGTCGAGGCGGTCCCAGAGCACGCCCCCGCCGTTGTCCGTCCGCGAGAAGTACGCGTTGCGCACGGACCGCGCAGACGTATGGTACACCGCCTCAAGCAGCCGCATCGTGTCGTGGCGCAGGATGGAGGCGGTGGCCTCCTGCAGGCTGGCCTGGCAGCGCGTGTCGACGAGGAAGCCGACGATGCGATCGCGGAGTCGAGGGATCTCGACGCCTAGCGGGATCGAGCGCACGACCTCCAGCGGGTCGAGGTGCCCCCCCACACAGTCCAGGAGGTCTCCGAGGAGGTCGGGGCTGTCCAGGACCTGCGGGGGAGCCCGGGACGGACGGAACGACGTCTTCGCAGGGAGAGTGGCGCGAGACTATGCGTGACGGTGGGTCGCCGGAACAAACCAACGGACTGTGCGCGCAACACAAGGGGGGGAGTCAAATCCACTCACCTTGTCCACAAGGTCCTTCCACAGCGCGGGGTCCCGCTGCGCGCGCACGAAGTCCACGGCGCGCGGCACGTCGCGCAGCTCGCCGACGATCACCCCCAGCGCGCGCTCCGTCGACCCCATGCGCCCAAGCACCACAACCATCTCGTTTCGCAGCCCGCGCTCCTCGCAGATCCGCAGCGCCCCGTCCAGCGCGTACGCCTGCCCGCGCCGGAGCAGCGGCGTCAGCCGGCCCGGCGCGAAATCCGCCACCAACTCCACCAAGGCCAACTGATGGGGCTCCACCGAGGCAGGGTCGATCGTGTCCATCGCCTCGAGGTAGTGCAGCAGCCGCCGGCGCCACCGCTCAGCGCCCCGCGCGTCCTCCGCTAGTGCACAGGCCTCGGCACGCGCGCTGAGCGCCCGGACCACGTCCTCCACAGCGACCGGGGCTGCAGGCGGACCCAGGCGGTTCCCGGGCGTCCCGGGGAGCAGCAGCGCGATGCCGCGCTGCTCGTCGATGTCGAGCAGCTCGGCCACGTGCGGGCCGATCTCCACGCGCAGCCCGTGCTCGTGCACGAACTCGAAGGTGCGTTCCTCGCGCAGCTGCACCAGCAGGGCTAGCGCGTCCGACAGGCGGCCGAGGCGGGTCGTCAGGCACACTTCGATCTCCATGAGAGCGCGCGCGCGCTCCGGGATCTCGGCCGTTCGCGCCGCCGCGTCGGGCGCGGCCTCCTCCCTGCTTCCCTGCGAGGGGCGTATTGGAGACCCCTGGGGGGACTTTGCCGCGCGGCTGCTCTTCCTGCTGCGGCGCTTGGGGCTGGCGGCCACGGGCGCGAGGTCGCTGCTGGACCTGCGCGGCCCGTGCGCGCTGGAGGCGAGCATGGCGCGGGCCTCGTGCTGCATGGCTTCGACAATCCTCTCGGCATCGAACACGTCGATCGGCCAGGTCCGCACGAGCTTGTGCAGCACGTGGGTCGCAGACGCGTCCGTCAACAGCGCGTGCAGCACCATGCCATACGCCTCCGGGTCGAGGCGGGGCGGCTGGGCGCCCCGTGCGGAAGGGGCGTCCGAGGCCCCCGCCGCCTCGGTGGGGCCCGTGGGAATGTGGCGCGCGATTCGCGCCAGCTGCCGATGCCGCGCGAAGACGTACAGCCAGCGCTCCCACGCCGTCTTCGAGCCCGCCAGCAGCCTGCGCGCAAGCAAAAGCACGCGCACACGGCGTTTTCGCGTCCCTCGCGCGGCGGCGCAGTCACGCCAGCCCGTGGCCGCGTCAGTCCGCCTCGACTCACCTCGGCCCGAGCTCCGCGGCCTCGTCGAACCTGCCTTGCCCCAGCAGCACCTCCAGCGCCGAGTCCCGCAGATCGGCCCACACGTCCTCGCTGATGAGCGCCGGGTGCGCCTCGGCGACGTCGAGCGCGCGCTGGAAGAGCCCGTGCGACGTCAGCCACGACACCACCCCTTCCGCCTCCAGGGGCCGCCCCAACACCACCCCCCGGGCACTCCACAAAAAGTACCCCGGCTCGTCCGTGCCCTCCTGCCACCACGCGTCCACCGTCGCGCTCCGCGGCCGCGCTGCCTTCTCCGTCGCGCTGCCGCCCGGCGTGTTCCCCAGCGCCCCCGCGCGGCCCTGCTGCCCCACAGCAAGCTCCCTCTCCAACTGCGCCCGCGCCTGCGAGTACGGACCGGGCAGGTACGCAAACACCCGCAGCTCCGACTCCGGGTCCGCCGCGCCGCCGTGCTCGCCCGCCGTCGGTCTCCGCGCGCCCGGCACGGCAACGTGGTCCAGCGCGTGGCGCCGTCCACGGCAGCTCACGAACTCGAGCGTCGCGTACGCCACGTCCGCGTCGTCCTCGAACCCCGACGTGCTGCCGCTCAGCTGCGTGGCGCCGCTCGCGGGCGTTCCGTCCTCCGCCGGGACCTCCCCGGCACGCGAGACAACAATGGCCTCCGAGCCGAACGGCGCGAGGCCGCAGACGGGCTGCGTGCCGGACTGGAACGCCGCGAGCGACTCGAGGTAGTGCTGGCTCGAGCCCGACGCCGCGGTCTTGGACGCGTCGTTCAACCCCACGCGCGCCACCTGCACCCAGTCGCCAAACCGCATGTGGAGCAGCCACTCCTCCTGCCACGCCACCTGGCACGACAGACCCGCCGCGGGCATCGCCACGCTCGCGCCGCCGCCGGCGACCGCCCCGCCGCCGGGCGTCCCGATCGCCCGCATCGTGCGCTGCGCCGAGCTCATCGACGACGACAGGGGGATGGCGCCGCGCGGGACGTCGAACATGGCCACGTGGCGGTGCGCGTGCGCGTCGTACACGCGGACACCGCGCCCGTTGCACCACGCGATCAGCGCGCCCGCCCACGCCGCCTGCGTGACGGGGCCCTCGCCGCTGTGGATGACGTCCTGCCGGTTGCCCAGCCAGCCGCGCGAGTGCAGCACGAGGTGGCCCTGGGACCCCCCGACCACCCACTCGCGCGTCCTGCGCTGGGAGTGCCGGGGATCGATCGCCACGGCGTGCAGCTCCTGGGCTGCATGCGCAGCGAAACAAGGGCGTTGGGATGGGGCGTGGTTGGTTCTACCGAACCGGGGCGCACGGATGGATGGGATTCTCCTCGGGGCGGCGAGGCAGCGGGCGTCGCACCTGAGCCCTGGACGGTCTTGGCGGCCGTGTAGAGGTTGAGCACGGCGGAAGTGCCTGAGCTGCTGCAGCTCGCGAGGTGCTCGCCGTCGTGGTCGAACGACAGCGCCGTGACGCGCCCCTTGTGTAGCCGCTCCGCGGAGACCTGGGCTCGGAGGAGCAGGAGGGAGGTCAGGTGGGCGCTGCGCGTGCACGCAGGGTGTCTGCGAGCAACGCTGTCCGTCAGGACACGGCATGGCTGTCGCGTACCGCGTTCCCCATGTAGTCGACGATGTGGATCCACCCATTGCTCGTGCCGACCGCGATCGCCTTCCCGGACGCGGCCACGCAGGTGATGGTTGCGTTGCCCAGCCACTCCGGGCCGTACAGCAGCGTGCTGAAGCGCAGCCGCGGGCACTCTGGCTCCGCAGCGCTCATTCTATGCCCCCAGCTCCACGTTCATGCGACAACTTGGCGCCCTGGCCCAGGCAGCGCACACACGGACGTGCCGCTCTCCTCCACACCACGCCGCGCACTGCATGCGGCCGCCGGACGGCAGCGAGCTACGGCTGAAATGGATCTCTCAGATCAGTGTATGCTCAAAGCCAGGCCTCTGTCTTGAATCAGCACCCCAGCACGCCCCCGCGGTTCGCCAAGACCTTTTCTCTGCCACAGTGTGTGGACGTGTGCGTGCTGACCGCACACAGCAACGAAGGTTCGCGCGCAATGACGCACAGCTGGCGCGCGTCAGCGCCCGCGGCCCAGATAGCCTCGCTTCTCTGCGAGAGCCCCCAACCACCTCAGGCTGTGATGTCCCTCGAGGGCCTCAAGGCCGTCCTTGTCGCATGGAATGCTTCGTCGCTGCCACAGCGGCTGTCATGTCATACCACACCAACCGAGATATCTGTGCCATCCGCAAGCACCTTACTGGCGCGGGGAACGCATCGTGTGAGCGATACGCAACAGAGCGTGAGGTTCCCCGCGGCCTCTGGGCGCACTGAGGCGATGAGCAGCGCGGACTGGATCCGAACGTAGTAGACACGATCGCCGGTGCACCGCTGTCGGGGACTTCGAGCTTTGGGTGAAGAATTCGGCACATCTAGTTCAGGTTCAGCATCTGCGCGCGGAAAGCAGAGCCATGTCCGGTGCTCCGCCGCCCGAGGAGGAATTCGAGGAACTCACGATGGAGGAGGTCGACGCCTGGGCCGCGGATTCGGCTCCAGGCGACGGCTCGGACGAGGAAGAGCCCCTGGCACACGATGCCCGAACAGTCCCGCAGCAAGGTCCGTCCTCGACATCCTGCGCCGGAACGTGCCTGTCGCTCCCGTTCGTGCGCCCCCACGGCCCACCCCGCTCCCACCCGCCCTGCAGGGGGCGCGATGCAGCAGATGGAGGTGCACGAGTCCACTCGAGAGGACGCGAGCAACGCGGGCTGGGGCCTCGGGGGCTGGGGCAGCGCCATATCTGCCCTCGCGAAGGGAGCCCATCACGACCTCCAGCAGCTCGGGCGCGCGATCAGCGACACGGTGGCGCCCGAGCCTCCCGCGCGTCAGCGTAGCACAGCGCCACCCGCGGAGGACGACGACGGGCGGGACGCGCGGGCAGCCGGCGAGAAGGACGACCTCGGCGAGCGCACGCGCGAGGCCGGCGCGTTCCTGTCGTCTGCGTGGGGCTGGGCCCAGCGCGAGGTCGCACAGGGCGTGCAAGCGGTGGCGGCGACGCAGGAGTGGCAGGCCGCGAAGGGCGGCGTCGCGGCGCTGAGGAAGCGCGCCGGCGCGCTCGTGCTGGGCGCGGAGCAGCGCCTGGCCCCGGAGGCAGCGCGGGCGATGCATGTGTTTGCGCAGTCACTGCGGTCCGCGCTCGAGGGCGGCACGGCGGCGCTCGAGGGGCTGCTCGGCGGGCAGCGCGCGGCGACCTTCGAGCAGGTCTGGGCGGACGCTGGCGGCGAGCGCGACCTCCGAGAGCTGGAGGGCGTGTCGCGGTCTACGCGCGAGGGAGTGCGAGCCGCAGCGCGCTCAGCGGCGCCGGCGCATGCGGAACGCATCGCGGTCGGCCTCAAGGACCTGGCGGCCGTCTTCGACATCGACAACTCCCACGGCCATCGCGCGATCACGTCGTGGGAGGAGGTCAAGGTGGCGATTGTCGACAAGGGCAGGGTGTCTGCAGCGGCGGCGCTGGCGGTCCCGGGGGCCGCACCGGTGGACGTGGCGTCGGTCGAGGGGCTGGAGGCGCTGCAGGCGGAGGCGGACGCGGCGTTCGGGGCCCTGTTGGGCTCTGAGGCGTGCGGGGCGTTCAGAACAGGAAAGGGAGCTCTCATGGTGCGTTTTCCGAGCCTTCAAAGCACAGGAGGCCAAGCAACGTTACACGTACCTTCTCTCGCACCGTGTTCTGCCTAACGATCTCACGACGCGCCCGCTGCCCCGCCGACGGCGCAGACGCAGGCACACGCGCTTCCACAGCGCAGCAAGGAGGTGGCGGACAACCTGCTTCCGCCGGACATGAAGGCCGACGGCACGCCGCGCGACGAAGCTCTGGCGGTGCTCGAGGGCGCGGTGGAGTCAGGCACGGACATCATCGTGTCCGTCCGCGCCACCGGCATGGCCGCGACCGTGCAAACGACCGTCCGCGGCGTTGCGTCGCTCGCCGCTGCGGCGTTCGCGCTCGAGCGGCGCGCTCGTGGTGGCGTTGGCCCCGGAGACGACACGGCGACCTTGCCGGAGACCGCGTGGCCCCCCAGGTACGTCTCTGTTGCCCTGGCGCTGCGCAAGCTCGCGGAGAGCTGCGTGGAGGACATGGAGGCGGTCAATCTGGCGTTCAAGGCAGCGGTGCGCGAGGCGGCGGCTGCCTTCGCGGCGGGCTGCGAGGCGTTCGCGCCGGGGGTGGACGAAACGGCCGGCGAGGGGCCGAGCGACAACTTGCCGAGCATCACCAACGACGAGGCGCGGTGGGCGCGTGAAGAGCTTCAGAGGTGAGCGGCGGCGCCCACGGTCCTGGACATGCCACGCCAGGTCGCCCAACATGCGTGTCACGTCCGGTCTTCCATGTGGGGGGGGCGTAGGGATGTCAGTATGGCCGCGCCCGGTTTCTTGCATTCAGGGCTGCTGGCGCAGCTGCGGCCGGACTCGAGGAGGCGCGCGGGCGCTGCAAGTTGCTTCTTGTGCAGGCGACCAGGTGGCTGCACAGCCCGGCCCTGCTGCCGTTCGCGCTGGTGGACCCCGACCAGGAGCGCTCCGGTGACGCCCCCACTGTGGCGCACGTGGACCACGTGGGACCTGAGGAGGTGGAGCGGCACGTGCACGACGTTGGGGGTGGGCCGGAGAGTTGACTGCATGCAACACACACACAAATTTGACGGCCTTCGAGCTGAGAACGACGCTGGGGGGCGAGTACGGCTGGCTTTATCCCCGTCCTCCTCGCCGCGCCTCACAGACGCAGCGCTTGCGCAGCCCACCGCGAGGCAACAATTGCCTCTGCCGCGCCCTCAGTCCTCAACCGGCCTGAGCATGCACTCCCCCATGACTCCGCTGCCGAACACGTCATCTAGTGCGTCTGCAGCATCAACGCTCGCCGCAGCGGCGGCCTCGTCCGGTCGTACCGCGCCGCTCTCCGTCACGATCGTGTCCGCGAGGTCCCACGGCACGTCCTCGAAGTACTGGTTGCGCACTTCCAGCACTCCGTCTCCGCGCGCCGACCCCCACGCCTGCAACTCGCCGGGCCAGCCGCGGCAGACCTCCGCGCCCCCCATGTCCTCGTGCTGCAATGGTGCTCGGCTCTGTGCGCGTACCGCCTCCCCCGCCGGACCGAGGACGGTGTCCCGTATCGCGAATGCGCCTGTGCAACGGGCAGCCGTGTGCAGGGAGCGGGCTTGTTTCCGTGCATTCGTTCCAGCGTTGACATGCAGCCAGTGTGTCAGGGTTAGTAGCTCGGTTGCGCCGCACCTCGCACGTCGGCTTGCTCGAGCTTGAGATCGGTGGCAACGAACACGACGGGCACGTTGAACCGCCGGGCGCACAGCGCAATGGGCAGTGACCCGACCTTGTTCGCGACGCCTTGCGTGCCAACTGTATCCGCCCCCAGCAGCACCGCGTCAGCCTCTCGCACCGCGACCGCCGCCTGTGCGTCCGTCACCACAGCGATCCTGTCCACCGCGTCGGCGACAGCGCGCGCCGCTGCGGCCCCCTCGAACCGGGGCCGCGCCTCGCACACAGCCACCCCTATCTGTGCTTGGCCAGTTTCTCCGCCAGCTCCATCCACGCGTGCCACCTCCTGCCGCAAGTTCCGCACCGTGCGTACGACGAGCGACGAGTACGAGTGCGTCAACACCCGCGACAAGCCGCGCTTCCGCGGCAAGCTTGCCAGCACCGCAGCTGCCTGCGACGCTGCGGCATCGGATGCGGCCTCGATCTCCGCGATGACGAGCGCCGCGGCCTCCTCGACGGCGACGAGCACAGGGCCGCTGGGGCTGTCCGCGGTGCGCGGGATCGCGTCGAAGGCGCTTGGCGGCAGGATGTTGGATGACAGGATGGCGTTGGCATGGCGGAGGACCCGGACCGCCGCTGCGGCGATGGGGGCCATGGAGGGCCGGCACATCGCGAGATGGAACGCCAGGTCGCGGAAGTGCTCGAGGCCGTCCGTGCGCACCGGGCAGCCTGGCAGGTCCGGGGTGCGTGGCGCAACGTCCCTGAGGCTGCGCTTCGCCAGGGGCCGGCCGGGGGCGGCCTTAAGTACCTGCCCGATAGCTGCGTGGATGTGGATGCGTGGGGACGTGTCGTTGAGCTGTGCGGCTCCTCGCTGCCCGCATGGCGAGCCTTTGAGCAAGTGTGTTGTAGAATGCACAACAACGACCAGATTCCGCTCACCTGCATGCGCTGCGGCGCGAACCATGGCGAGGCTGGCTGCATCGGAGGCCCTGCTTGCGAGCAGGCGCTGCGCCTCCTGACCGAGGCACGCTGCGGCCCACACAGCGAGCTCCACAGCACCATGGTCACGATCATCGTGGAGGTCCTGCAGCCACCCGAGAGCGGTCGAGGAGACAGCGAGCGCGCCCAGCGTAGGATGGAGCTTCGGCACGCACGACGAGGGAGGCGGAAGGTTCGCGGCAGAGGTCCAGAAGGCTTCTGTGTTCTCCCAGTTCAGGGCCACGTCGATGGAGTCTCCCCTGCGTGGGATCATCGGTCGTGTCGCTGGGGTGTTCGCGACCGATGAGCGCCGCGATGGGCGGTCGCGTGCATCGCGCCTGCGCGCCCGCAGCGGTCGTTGGGCGAGTGACGCAGTGATGCTCAGGGTCTGCTCGCCTGCATGGAACCTGGAGCAGGAAAGGATAGACGATGAGGCGCCTGCCGTCGTCGTCGACCTGGAGTGGCCGCCCTGCCCTCACGAGCACCAGGCCGTGGTCATCCCGGGAGATGCCTGCGACAAGGAAGCGCATGGTGTCGTCTTTGCGATGGTGGCGATGCGGAAATGCCGACCCGGGGCCCGGAGAGACAGACTGAGACAGCAGTGATGACTGCACCGCTCGCGAGGGGCTGACGTGCGTATTCGCGGCGTCATTGTGCAAGCAGACGGGCCGCGACGGCCAGAAACGCTTGCGTGGCGGAGCTTGACTGGCCCGTACAAGTAGTATATGCTGGCTGAGACGAAAATCATGGGGCGGAACGCTCCAGCGTGGATCCATCAGGGCGGCATTGCCCATTCTTCCCTGGCGGTCGCCCCTCCAGCCATCAGCGCGCCCCTTCGCCGCACCTGTTTCCTCGTACACTTCCCTGAATGCTGCCTCTTGAGGGTCTTCGTACCCGCAAACCACGCTGTCCCCGGGCGCCGGTTCAGGCGCGCGTTTGTCCAACCCCCCACTCACGAAATGCAGGAGGCCCGGGTACGTCGATACCGCCGCGGACCGACGCAACACAAGCACACGGCCCTTGCTGTCTATGACAGCAGCCGTCACGACCGGACGGCGCGTGCTGCGCAGCCTCGGCGCAGCAGCACTGCTTCCTACAGCGGCCATCCTGGTCTGTGCCATGAGCGCCTACCGCGATCTGCAACCCCCCGCAAGCGATCTGGGGCCCGCGGGGACCCCCGCGCAGCGCCGCCGCGCCTTGAGACGGCCAGCGTCCCGGGCGGTGGTCGGACGGGACCCTGACAGCGTGCAACAAGGCCAAGCAGCGCACGCCTGCCGTCAGGCGCGGTTGCTCGCAGGTCAGCTCCGGTTCGAGGCGGAGGAAGCTCACAGCGGCCCCGCGTGGCGCGTACAGGGCGGGCACATCGCCAGGCTGCACTTAACGGTTGGCCTTGGCAACACGCTCGATCTCGTCCTTCTTCTTGATCGCGTACGAGTTCGACGAGCCCTGCGAAGCCGCGCGACAGCGTGGGGCGTGAGCGGGCCGCGTGGGGGGGGGTCCGGGCGGCCGCGGGGGGCGCGGCGCAGCACTGTGTGGCTGCGTGGTGCATGCGTGCGTGGGGTGGGGCGGACCTTGGCGGCGTTGATCAGCTCGTCGGCGAGGCACTCCGCGATGGTCTTGATGTTGCGGAACGAGGCCTCGCGGGCGCCGGTGACCAGGAGCCAGATGGCCTGGTTGACGCGGCGCAGCGGCGACACGTCCACAGCCTGCCTCCGGACCACACCGGCCGAGCCGATACGCGTGGCGTCCTCACGCGGACCCGAGTTGATGATCGCCTCCACGACCACCTGCGGAGCGGCGGGGCGCGGGGGCGCGCGAGGTGGGCTCTCCAGCGCCCAGCAGGGACGGGAGGGAGAGCGTGCCGGGTGGGTGCGCTGGGCCGGGAAATGGGGACTGCCCGGTCGCAGGGATGCCGGCAAGGCGGTGCAGTGCCGGCTGCGATTGCGTGCGCGGCCGTCCGGGCACGCTGCGGGTGGCGCGCGGGCAGACAGCAGCCCGCCCAGGAGCGCGCGATACGACGGATGCCTTCCCCCCAGGGGTGCCTTGAGCCGCGGAAATTCTATCGAAACGGACGGCGGGGTCACGAGGCCGGGGAAACGGTCCGGCTTCGCGCACGGCGGGGCCGGCGCGTGCGGCGGCTGCAGCCTGAGAGCAGCTCAGCGCGGCGGGACCCGGCCGGAGCGGGTCGAAGGGAGCGGAAACCGGACTGGGCGGCATGGAAGGGGAAAGTTGCGCGAAGGCCGCGGCGTGGGGATCGCCCTAAGGCCACGGGCTGCGCAAACTGCGGCACCGAGTGTCCTGCTGGGGCCTCCCGGCTCATCTTGCGCGCCCGGGTGGGCCTCGCGCGGCGCGGCCTGCCGGGCCGGCACGGAATGAGCACGCTGCCGCAGGCGACCGCAATGGTTCGCGTCCAGGGCGCGGCCGTGCGCGCCGGTGACGGCGACACAGCCGCAGCAGTGGTGCGAGTCCCGGCAGGGCCCGGTGCGCGAGGATCGGCGCCGCGGCGTCGCCGCGCAGAGCACATCGCGGGCTCGTGCCGCTGGGAGGGCCTGGCGGCGGCGGGGGGGCAGCGGGGGGGCCGCACCTGGATGGGGTTCTGGTCGGTGAGGAGGTGGATGATGTCGAACGCGTGCTGCACGATCCGGTTGGCCATGAGCTTCTTGCCGTTGTTGCGGCCGTGCATCATGAGGGCGTTCGTGAGGCGCTCCACGATGGGGCACTGCGCCTTGCGGAAGCGCTTCTTCTGGTACCGGCCGGCAGTGTGGGGCACGTAGCGCGCATACTTCTCGGGCTTCACGGAGATGTAGTCCTCGAGGGAGATGTCGGACACCTCGACCTCCTCGAAGGACCACTTGCCCCAGAGCTTGATCTCGTTCGCAACCTCGGCCATGGCTACTTCTCGATTCGCTCCACTGGCCTGTCGGCTGCAGCACTCGACCGAAACCGCCGACTAGGAATCGGGGATATCCGAAAAGGAGGGAGCCAGCGCGGCCGGGGGGCCGTTGAGCCCCGGACGGCGCCTCGGCGGGACGTCCGCCGGCACGGCTCCTACCGTTCGACGCAGGAGGCGCGCAAAGCTGGCAAACGGCGCGCCGGATCCTCAAATTCCTCGAGACGTCCGGTTTGCGTGGCGTCCCGGGGGCCACGAGGACGCGCGCTGGCGCCGCGTCGGCTGCCTGCAAGCCCTCAACACATCATCGTCGCGTTCTCTGGGTTGCGGGGCGGCGGGCGCTCAAGACGCCAACGCGCGCGCAGAGGCCGCGGAGCCGCGCCGGACGGCTGCGCCTGGGTCGCGAGTTGGGTGCGTGGGCGCCAACGACACAAGCACCCTCGCCAGCCATGCCTGCGCGGGGCGGCGGCTTCATGGCCGCGCACGAACGAACGGGCTGAGCGGGGCCCGCGCTGACGCCACCGCTGCCCCGTGGCGCATGCATGCAAGGCGCCAAGCGGACGTTGCTGTTGTATCACAAACAACGCAAACTGTTTTCCGTGGCTTGGTCTTTGGTGGCTTGTCAGCGACTCGGAGGACGACGGCGCGCTGACGTTCGTCGCGACGGCGGAGCTGCACGGGGGCTCCGTGCGGGGGCGGATCGCTGCGGCCGGCGACGGCGATTTTCCGTGGCAGCGCAAGCTCGAAAGACACGGCCGGTCACGGGTGCGATCACACAGCGCCACGCGCATCTCTGCGACCGCCTGCCTCGCGGCGGATCGCGAACGGGAAAGAATACACTACACGCGATAGTTCTGTACGCAAGGGCAAAGGGGGTGCGGACAGCGCCTGCCGCCCGCGACCGCGACCCCGGCCTGGCGCAAGCTCATTTGGCTTGCGCGTCAGCAGCATTGGTAGTATCGGTTGTTGCACAGCGTGTCGCGCTTGGCCTCCTCCGCCTCGCGCACCAGGTCCGGCAGCGCGCGCATCGTGTCCGCGCGCCAGTCCCCGCGCAGCAGACACACCATGCGGAAGTTCCACCACGCCCCGCGCGAGAACGGGTTCACGCCCGCCGGCACGTGCTTGAGGTACCAAACCCGGCCCGCCTTGTGCTGCACACACACACGCGCACGCGAAAGAGCGTCCCGCGGTCAGCACCGGGCCGCGCGGGCGGGCGGGACGCGGCGCGCGCAGTGCGGCGGGGCGCTCACCTTTTCGTACGACGTCTGGTTGGTCACGAGCATCCACAGGCTCTGGAGCCACAGGATGCCGGTCAGGAGCGTCACGAGCGCGACGAGGATCGACCCGATGAGGATCAGGCAGTTGCTCCACATCCAGTCCCCGAAGTCGCCCCCGCCGCGGAAGGCGTCGACGAAGAGCACGAGGCTCCACACCATGAGCCCGAACTGGACGGTGACGAACCACGTGAAGCGCGCGTAGTTGCGGCGCCCGACGCACACGCCCAGCCAGATGCAGTGGTGGTCGAAGCGGTAGACGCACTTCCCGCAGTCGAAGCAGTGCTTGATCCGCGGCTGCTGCCACAGCCGACACACGCGGCAAAAGCGCCCCTGGTGCGAGATGGCGTTGTGCGGCACGCGCGACTCGGGCGGCTCCAGGACCACCTCGCACGGCATGTCCAGGTTCTCCACCTCGGGGGGGCGCCACTCCACCGCGGCCCCGCGCGCGCCGCGCGAGCTCCGCCGCGCAACGCCGCTCGTTGTGGGTGCGCGCAGCGAGTCCTGCGCCACATGCGACGTCCTCGCCAGCACGCCGGCCTCAAGGTCCTGCGGCGGCGCCGGGTACGGCGCGTGCGGGGGGAGCACGCGCGGCCGGTCGCCCGACGGCTCGCGCGCCGACCCCGCAGGGGTGTGCGCCAGGTGCGCGGGCACGACTGGAGCCATCTCCACCTCCGTCCCCGCGTATCCGTGGTGCGCCGGCTGGCCGCCGGTCGCCTGCTGCAGCCGCGAGGCCCGCGGGGCGTCCGGGCGCGCCGACCCCGGCAGCGCCCGCCCCCGCCGCGCCCCACACATCTGCGCCCTGCCGTCCTGCGACCGCCCCTCGCGCTCAGGCGCCGGCCGCGCGACGCCCCGCATCGCGAGCCCGGGGCCCTGCTGCGGAGGCCGCGCGTCTGCGGGCCCCGAGACGCGCCCCGGCTCCCTGTCTGCGTCGTCCCCAAACTCAATCACTACGTCGTCGCTGGCCGCGCCCGTCTCGGTCCCGCCGGGCGCATTCGCGGTCGCGTGCACCTCGAGGTTGTCGAAGAGCGACCCGGAGCTATCGCGCCGCTGCGGTGCGTCGCGGCCCGCCGTCGACCGACTCGCGCCTGCATCGTCCCCCTCCTCCGAGCTGCCGTCAAACGCCCCCCACACCTCCTGCGCGGCCCCGTCGAGCCTGGGCCCTCCGATCGGCAGCGAGGCCTGCCGCGTCGCCCCCGCACCCATCGGCGAGCCTGGCCGCCGATTGGGGGAGTACCGAGACTCCTCCACCTGCGTCCGCACCCGCGCGCCCGGGGCGGGCGGGCTCCCGGACTCCTTCGAAGCTACGTTCGACGCCCCGTCCGTGCGGTATGACGCGTAAATCTCCGCGACCAGCGCTCGCGTGTTGAGCTGCGCGGTCCGCAGGTTCGTGGGGGCTGGGCTGCTGCCCGGCGCGGGCGAGGCCGGCGACTTGAACCACTCCGCGGTCCGCGAACCCGGCTCCCCGGGGCCGCCGCGCGGCGGCGTCGTCGGATCGTCGTGCGCGCCGGTCGCGCCCTCGCGCGTGGCACGCGCAAACGGGTTGCTGATCGAGCCCCGCTGCTTCCCGCTGCCCGCGCCGTTCGCCGTGGCGTTGCGCATGCTGCTCGAGGTGGACGAGGACGACAGCATCGCCGCGTGGTTCCGCCCGGCGCGTCGGTCGCGCGCCGTCTCCGCAGCGTGCCACTCGCTGAACGCGCCCTCGCCCGCGCCGGCGGCCGCCGAGTCGGTGACGCCGCCGAGCATGCGGTCGCGGTCCTCGAGGACGTAGCCGGGGTTCGAGGCCGAGGCGTAGCAGAACAGGAAGAAGTTCACCCCAAACACCGTCAGGTAGATCCACGCGAACGGGGTCACTGCGCGGAGGGACGGGGCGGGAGGGGCGGCCGTGTGCGCTGGGGAGAGGGCGGGTGCGGCCGGGGGGGGGCGGAGCGGCGGGGGAGGAGGGGCGGTGCGCGAGCGGGCCGGAGTAGGCTTGCCAGATGGGTGGCAGAGTCGCGGGCACGCGCGCGGGGGGGGAAAGCACCTTCCCACTTGGAGTCCTCGAAGCGGAGGGTGATGTTGAGCGTGCTTCCCGGGTTCGTCGCGAGAACGACGATGAGGAAGGTGTGGAAAGCGGCCCACATTACTCGACACACCAGCGTGGACGCGCGCGTGTACTTCTGGCGCGCGTCGACGGGGCTCGTGGCGAGGATCTGCAGGCGCGGAGCGGTGCGGAGCGGTCGGGGGTGGTTTGCGGCGGGTGCGGGCCGGAGCGGCGCGGAGGCAGCGTGCTGCGTTGCAAGCACACCAGGTGGCCAACCCTGGCGAGGAACGTCGCCGCGGCCGCCCTCGCCGATTTCACGGTAAAGAGCCCAGACAACCGGGCATGCGCGTGGCGGCGGGCTCGCGCTGCGCGCGACAGCGTCCTCGGCGCACCGGGCAGGCAGGACCTCTGCAGGTCGTGCGTGCTGCGGGGCCGTGCAGCGCGGCGGGCGCGCGGCGCCGGTCGGGATCCGCGGCGCACGCAGGGCGCAGCGCTCGGTCAGCACAGGGGTGGCCTTTTGCAGCCGCTGTTCGTGCGGGCCGCAGGGCCGCTGAGCGAACGCAGGTGCGAGAGGAAACGGACGCACCCTCCGCTGCTTGAAGCGCGGCGTCAGTCCAGCGCAGATGCCGTCGTTGAGCTTCTCCGCGACCTGGACGAGCCAGGACGCCCCCTGCGGGTTGTCCATCCCGCTGGTCTCTCGCCGGCCGAGAGCCTGCGGGGCCATCGCAGCGAGCGTCACCAGACCCTGGCCATCACTCCATGTCGGCAGGAAGCATCGAAGGAACGCCGCTCCCGCTTCGGCGAGGCCCGGCTGCCGCGCTGCTCTCCGCCTGCAGGCTCACGGGTGCGGCGGTTGCTCGGGGCGCTGCCGTCGGCGCTGGTGTCGCGCACGCGGCGTGCGGCGCGCCGAGGAGAGCGAGCTGCTTGCTGCGCACGGCTCGGCGTCGGGCGTCGGCCATGAACCCGTCGAGGAAGACGGCCTGGCAACGCGCTCACGAGCCAACGTGTCGTGAGAGCGCTTCGCGTGCTGCGGGGCGGCCTCGGGTCGCACCGATTGTAACGTCTAATTCGCCGGCTTCGCAACAATTGACGCACGACGAAACGCTCGGGGTCCAGCACGCAACATGCTCCGTGCCACGAGCACGATCCTTTTCCAGTCCCGCGTGCGCGGCCGCCCTGACGCAGGTCGTCCGTCTATCGGCACCTTTGTGCAGCGGCTCGCCAGTGGCACGCGGGGCGGCGGGCGCCCGCCAATGAGGGCGGTGCGAGCCCGCGCGCGTCGCCTTAGAGGGAGAGGAAAGAGCATGAACCCCGTCGGACCGGGCCCTGGACCATGCAGGCCCGCGGCGTGGAGATCGGCGACGCCGGCGGGGCGCTGCGCCCACACAGCGATCTCACGAGGACAGCGGGGCGCCGAAAGGTCGAGGCGTGGAGCAGCGCCAGGCAACGGGTCGAGTGCGCCAGGCACACAGGCCCTCTGCACGGGCCCGGGCGCCGGCACACGGGGCTGGGAATCGCAGGCTGGGCTCACCATACAGCCATGCAGGGGTACGGGGGTTACGGCATGGGGGGCATGGGGCGGCAGGACTACAGAAGGTGTGTTGTCTTGCCACGCTGCTGCCACCACCCTCTCACCCATCTGCAGCTCGTGACCACTCGACGCGTGACCATCGCATTTGCATCTTTTCCCGCCGTGTACGGTCCAAGGAAACCACGCACGGAGGCGGCCAGCGCGGCCACCAGCCTGCCGCTCTCAACCGAGCTGGCCCGGCACGCCGTCCACGCGCATGAACGACCCCGGCCCCACCTGCGACGATGCAGAGATGGGCGGCCGATGCATCCGGGGCCACCGCCGCGCGGGTATCCGCCACCCGGCGCGCACGGCAGGGGCCCGATGGGCGGACCGCACGAGTGGGACCCCCGCGCGGGACAGGGACCCCCCCCGCCGCGCGACATGGGCCCGCCTTACAGAGGCCCACCGCGCGGGGGCCCCATGGACCGCGCGGACGGTCACGCGCCCGTCCGATCCGCCAATCTGACGCCGTACGAGCAGCGTGTTGCGTCGGGCGAGCTGCAGATCCTGGAGGGCACGTCGCACAAGCCGCTCTGCGTGAGCTGGAGCTGCGACGGCAAGCGCGTCGCGGCAGGCTGCCAGGTGCGTCCGCGTCCCAGCGCGGTTCGGCCCTGTGCTGCAAATGCAGGCAACACACATCGCTCCACGGTGACGACCGAGGTCGCGCTCGACTGCCGCAGGACGGCGCGGTGGTGGTGTGGTCTCTGTCGTCGAAGGGGCGGAGTCCTCGGAAGGAGGTGACGTTCCGTTTGTCTCAGACGGCGGAGGCCGTGCGTTGGCACCCCTCGCAGCCCGAGATCGTCGCGACGGCGGGGCGCGAGGCGGCGGTGTCGCTGTGGGACGCGCGGACGGGCAAGCGCGGGGAGCGGCACGAGTCGGCCGGCGGGAACGTCGTGCTGGCGTGGCACCCGAGCGGAGATCAGATTGCGTGTGCCAACGAGGCCAACGAGGTCTTCGCAGTCGACGTCCGGACGATGCGCGAGGTCGCACGCGCGACGTCGCGCCTGGCGGACATCAACGCGATGTCGTACACGCCGGACGGACAGATGCTCGTGCACAACAGCAGGTGCGCTGCGTTCCGACGCTGCCGCGCCAGTCGAACCATCCTGCCCGCTGGACCGACCCACTCTCCGAGTGCCCGGCGGCCCCGCGGACCCCCGCTCGCGCCTCGCGTGTCTCGTCCTCGTGCGACCGCGCCGACGCACCGCACCGCTCGCAGGACGGGGGTGCAGCTGCGGTCGCCGCAGGACATGCAGCTGGCGCGAGCGATCCCGACCAACACGTACGCGATCTTCGACATCGCCATCTCGGCCGACGGCCGCTCGCTCGCCACCGCCGGAGCGGACGGATGCGTCGCAGTCGTGGACCTGGACTCGATGTGCTGCACCAACACCATCTCTTTCAGGTGCGCAGCCTCGACGGCGCGCCGCACGGCGCATGTCCCTCGCAGGCATGCGCCTGCAGCGACTCACGCGGTCGTGCCCGGTCGCCGCGCTGCAGTTCCGGGGCGGTGCAGGGCCTGGGCTTCTCTGGCGATGGCAACCGCGTGGGGTACGTGTCGACGGACCCAGAGGCGGTCGTGGCGGACGTGCGCACCGGGGACAAGGTGGCGTCGTGTCCTCTGGGCACCTCGTCGCCGCTGGCCGCGGCCTACCACCCGAAACTGGATATCGTCGCAATCGCGGGCGCGGATGCTGCACCAGCGGCCATGCCCGACAGGCGGGGCGCGCCGCAGCGGAGAGCACGCGCCGTTGGGCTGTACACTGTCAAGCACGAGGACCGCCCGACGGGCTGAGTGTGTGAGAGAGGGTTAGAGCTACATGGATGCCTCCAGCCGCAAAAGATGTACTTTGCGCCCGATTTCATCATCAAATGTGATCGATTGTTCGCTGAGCTACAGGCAAGCTTGCCGCGAGGATGCGTGAGCGACCGAAATGGTGCGGCAGACGACACTCCAACAGCAGACAGGGTAGACAATGAGTGAGTGAGTGGGCCGTCATGCAATGTGAGCAGTCATGCACACCTGCACGTCGGTGAGACAATGCGGGGATCGTTCGTCCAACGCACGGCGCGCTGTGTGAGTCTCGGGACGACAGTCGTGCTCAGGTGACGAGGGTTCTTTGTGCCTCTGTCAGCAGCACATCGGTGCCCCTCCGTGGGATCGTAGGAGTGTTGGAGTACGTGTCGGAGCAGAGCAAGCGCGGACCATTACTGGCGCACAGGGGCGCGTAGCTCTTTCGGTGCGGATCCGCATTCCGCCAACCCCATGCGAGGCCGCCCCCTGCATTCCTGGCGTGCCGTTATCGCGGTCAGGCCAGTTGGGCACCAATTGCGCTTGCAGTTGCGAGGGGTGGAAACCACACAGGCATAGCCACGGAACAGCGCAGTTCTAGGCAAAGCGGAGACGTCTCTTTTGATACTGTACGATGATTACACGGTACGTCTCGGACACACAGCACGTTCCACGTGGAGCAGTGGACCTAGACCTACAAGCCGCTCCCCGACACGGGATCAAGCTCGAGGTCGTCCGAAAGACTCCGGATCGTGCGTTCCAGGAGCTGCAGCAGGATGGTTTACGGATGGACATGCGATCTGTTCAGTGAGGTTCATGCGGGATGGAGGGCGTAGTCTGAAGGGGGGAACGATACACGAAATGAGGCCCCGCTGCGACACGAATTAGTCGGCGGGGGGTCACGCGCGAACGGTCTTACGGAGGTGCCGTCGCGCGGAGCGAGACGTTGGGGGAGGGCCGGACGGCGCCGGATGGGACAAAACCAGGTGGGGCTAGCCAGTGGAGGCTGAGGTGATCATGAGAGGTTTGACCGCAGGGCTGCTACCACAAGGGGGCAGGGCCACACGTGCCCAGGGGGAGGCCGAACGTCTCGGCGCCGGCGTTGTCGGCGCCCGACACGCTCGGGTGTCCAGGCCTGCGCTAGGACCCGCGTGGTGGTTGGTGTTCAAAGTATTGGTATGCAGATCAGGGGTACATTGCGTCCGGGGGCATGCGGGAGGCACTGCGCGTGGGTTCGGGGAAGCGGAAAAGCGGGGGCGCGCCCGTCGATGCGGGCCGCGCATCGTACTGCGACGGGGGTGTCAGCTGCTGCTGGCACTGCCCAGAGGAAGCGCTTTGCCTCTAGAACTGCAGCGGCCGGGAAAGGGGGGGAGTGGGGAGGAAGGGCGGGGAGGAAATGCGGTGCGCGTCCATGCGCGCACTGCCAGCCTAACTTGTGGGCAAAAGTGGGTACCGGGTCGAAGCATCGCAGGGAAGCAGGCACCGGGGCTGAGTGGCCCTGGCAGGACGGCTTGCGTGGACATCGCGGGGGCCGGTTTCGACCTGGGGGGGAGGGCATGCAGGTGAGCGTCAACAAGGGTGAGGTTCTGAGGGGTCAAGGGGTTCGTTTTGTTCAACGTGTACAGAACTGCTCAACGCGGCACTTTGATTGCTTGCCGACCGACAGGCACCCGAGTGCCAGGAAAAGACGGTTCGGGCATCATACATAAAACAAGGGACTACCAAAGCTAGCGCTCCCAAGAGCGTTTTACTGTGCCTGCGACGACGGCGCGCCAGTCAGGGCGGGGTGGGACAGCGCCAGGATTGGTAGCTCAGCGGCGGGCTGCCTGCGATTGCGCAACGGTGGGCGACGGGGGCAGGCCACCCATGACCTGCCAGGGGGGGGGGTGTATAGGCTTGGCGTACTGCGTGACGAGCCAGGAGGCCAAACTGCGTGTTGCGTGGAACAGGTGGCGCGCACCATGCCCGCTGGGTGCGGGTGGTCGCTGAGAGGGCTACCAGCGGGATCTCGGTGTCGGCTCATGCGCCCGGTCGCGAGGACGTCGTGCCATCCAAAGCGACGCGGGGGGGGGGGGTGAAACACAGGCCGACGGGGGGGTCAGGGGGCCTGGATGGGGGGGGCGGGTTCGAAGTGGGGGAGGGGGATCTGATTGCTTGCGGTCATGCTGACCTCGTACAGCGGCAGGGGCCCGGGCTGCGCGGTCCCGCTCAGCCCAGCCGCGCGCCAGGTATCATCTGCGAGATGTCGCTCATCTCGCCCGGCGCGCCGTGGCGCCCGTCGTTCGGCAGCGGGCGCACCGGCAGCGCGCCCGTTGGGCACAGCGGGTAGCGCGGCTGCCCCGCGGGCTCAGCCGGGGCCGCGTGCTGCATCGAGCGCAGCGTCGACTGCGCGAGCTTGATCTGCGACGACTCCCCGGCGAGCGGCATCCGCAGCGCGGGGGCGTTGTATCCGTTGTACAGCTTGTCGAACTTCCTGCGGGGGCGCCGGCCGGTCCGACGCGAGCGCCGCGCGGCCCCCACGGTGCCGTCCTGGTCGCCGGGCGGCCGCGTGGGCGCCGGGCCCGGCGCGGTCTGCGGCGCGGGCGGCATGACGACGCCCTGCACCAGCCGCGAGAGGCACTGGTTGCACGTGGCGAGCTGCGCGGTGACGACGTCGCCGGAGTCGACGGGCGCGGCGCAGAAGGTGCAGCGCGACGTGCCGGCCATGCAGGGGTCCGCGTGCGGGGCGTCGGCGATGTCGCTGCCCATGTGCGTGCCGTCGTTCTCCGAGCTCCCGAGAATCGTGCTGGCGTCGACGCTCCGGTCGGGATGACGGACCACGTGCAGGTAGCTCGCCGGGTCGGACACCGTCGCGCAGAGCTGCTCGCCGTGGTTGGAGGAGTCGCCCGGCGTGGTGAGCGAGCGCACGCAGGGGCCGTGGCCCGACGGGGCGTCCGTGGGGAACGCGAGGGGCCACGCGCCGCGCGAGTCCCATTGAATGGGGCCGAACGCCGGGTCCGAGGGCCTCTCGCTCCAGGAGAAGCCCGTGCCGGCCCCGGGCGGGAGGCGCCTGGCACTCTCGGTGCCCGACTGCCCGTTACTCATCGACGTATCCGAGGGGAAGGTCGGGACCGGGGCGTCGAAGGCGAACTGCTGGAGCTGGTGCGCGTTGGCCCTGGGCATCTGGCCGTGCGGGAGCTGCGCCCGGAGCGACATGGTGGTGCGGGACGGTGGCACCAGACCGTTGCCGGCCACCGGGTCCCCGGCCCAGGCCATTGGGGCCGGCGCGGGGCCGGGGGCGTCCGCAGGCATCCACGGAGCCTGCCGCCATCCGTCCTGGGCTTGGGAGGGCAGCTGGTTCTCGGCGACGTAGTCCTGATAGCGCGACATCAGCGCTCCGCAGTGAGACTCGCGTGCTGGGGCGCGCCGGAGGGACTCTGCGGAAACCGGCGCAAAATTCTACGTGATGAGGGGCTGTGCGCCGCGGGGGAACGCAGGAGCCACATTAGGCGCGAAACGGCGGCAGCCGTGCAATCGAGCTTCCGGCGCGCGCGCGGGGCCGCCGGGGCGACGCGCCGCGTCGGCGCGCGCTCGCGGGGATATTTGTCTCAGTCGAGGCGAGAGAGAGGGCCGGAGCGAGTGCTCGCGGGGCGTGCGGCTTGCCTGGGGGCCACTACCGGTTCTTCTGTCTTCAGCGCGATTTTTCTCTCAAACGCCCATCTGCGGTCCGTTCGTTGCGCTCTGTTCTGGTGCGAATCGTCGGCGCGAGCGTTTAAGTATAGCGGCGCACCCGGCGGAGCGCCCCCTTCGTCGCGGACGAGCCTTCCTCCTGGTGGGAAGACTTCCTACTTCCGAAGTAGGAGCAATTATGAACTGCTTATTATTGTTATACTATTTCCTACTGTGGCCACGGCTGCATCACGTCAGTGAGAGAGAGAGAGACGTCCGCATCGGCAATCGCGCCCGACTCACCCTGCCGGGCCCCGGAGCCTGCTGGCCGCCGTGGTGGCCGCTTCGCCCGGCTGGCGAGCTGGACGTGTCGCCAGCAGCCGAGGCCTCTGCCGCCAGAACACGTGGCGGCACCGCTGGCGACAGGCGGCGGCTTCGCGGACGCTGCTGCGGGCGGCCGGGAGCGCGCAAGCCCGCCTGCCAGCCCGCCGCGGTGCTCCTCCCGGTTCCGCGCGGCCGCGGCCTCGCAACTGTTGCGCGCCCTCCACTACGACAGAAATCGAGGGTGGCGCGTGTTATAGACCACGCGATGCATGGTCCGGGGGCGTGCAGACGTGTACCGCGAGCGCGACCGACCGCTCCGTGCGGTCGGGCGGCCCTGCCTCCTCCCTCGGGTCGCTGGAAGCGACCTCCTTGCTCATGGCATGGCATCAAGCAAGGGAGTGCCGAGACGGGGGCTCCGAGCTGACCCACGGGCCCCGCACGACCGCCCGCATCGCTGCGCCTCGGCAGCCGGGGCGCGCCTGCGCGAGCCGCGGGCGCACGGCCGCAGGGGCCCTGAGCGCAGCGGGGGAGTGCCGAGCCTTCCTGCACCCGCCCTGCTTCAACAAGCGGCGCAGATGCGGCACACGTCGAGAGTGCACCCTGTGCTAGTGGTCGGATCGCTGCGAAGTGCGCACCTTGCGCGGTCGGCCCCGGTTTCGCCGGCGTGGTCGCCGCCGACGCGCTGAGCCCGCCGTGTCCCGCCCGACGTGGAGATGAAGGCAGTGGACGTGCTTCTCGCTCGGTTGGGCAGCAGACAGCGGTGACGTTCCGCGCACGCGATGACAGCGCTGGTCGCCGGCCCGAGGGTAAGCGTGAGGCGCGCACCCTCGGTGCTCCTGCGCACACTCCAGGGGCTCAGCGAGGATGATGTAGCAGGGTTGCGCGCTCCGTGGACTGGCCGCGCGGGTGAACAGGCACGGCAGTTGTCAGGCGCGGCGAACTCCGGTCCCTCCAGCGACGCCCCGACCCGCTGCCGAGTCGTCATCACAGGTGCTGCCTCTCGCCTCAGAGCAGCACCTCTCGCGTGACCCACGAAGAAAATTCGATTCGCCAGACGACGCTCGTTCCTCATGTCTCGCGACCGCGCCCGCGCGGACCCCGGCACAGCACGGCGCGCGTCGCGATGTTGCAGGCATGGGCGCCGTCACGCCTCTCGCGATGGGCGCCGCGGCGTCCTGGGAGGCAGCACTGGCGGGGGCCTGCGGCATACGTGCGCTCCACGTCGACGACTTGCAGGTACGCTGCGCCCGCAATAGGCACGAGCGCGGCTATGTGTGTGCGTTGGCGTGGATGGGCCAATTCGCGCAACTCATGGGCCGGCACCTGAAACGAAAACGCGTCTGCAGAATCCGTGGGACGCGTGGGATCTTCCGAGCGCGATGGCGTCGATTCGCTCGCGGGTGGTCGGCTGCGTGGACCAGGACGCGCTGGCAGCGTCGCCATTCTACGGACCGCCCTCGCGCGTGGCCCCGCCTTTCGTGCGGTACGCGCTGGCGGCCGCGATCGAGGCAGCACACGAGGCCCGCCTGCTGCGCGGTCCGCTCGGCGGCGCCGCGGCGGCGGACGACGCCGGCAGCGACTCGGGGCAGAGGGTGGCCTTGACCGACGGGGCGGCGGAGCTGGCGGAGCGCGGGCGGATCGGCGTGCTCATCGGCGCGGGAATGAGCTCGTCCGCGGAGATGGGGGCGGCGGGCGCGCTCATCGCGGCGGGTCGCGCCCGGCGCCTGGGGCCCTACTTTGTCCCGCGCGTGCTGCCCAACATGGCCGCCGGCGTCGTGAGCATGCTCCTCGGCCTCCGCGGACCCATCGCGTCGCCGAGCACGGCGTGCGCGACGGGCGCCCACGCCATCGGCGACGCCTTCCGGTGCGCAGCCCCATGCGTCGGCTCCAGTTGCCAGCGCACGCGCCTGCTCGAGGTCCTGCGGTGAGCGGACGAGCGCCGGTCCCCGTGGGATGATGCAGGATCGTGGCGCGGGGCGAGGCGGACATGATGATCGCGGGCGGCACGGACGCGTGCATCGACCCGCTGTCGTTCGCGGGCTTCAGTGCGATGCGCGCGCTGTCGGTGGCGCGGAACGACGACCCCGCGCGGGCGAGCCGGCCCTTCGATCGCGCCCGCGACGGCTTCGTCATGGCGGAGGGCGCCGGCGCCGTGGTGCTGGAGTCGCTCGAGTCAGCGCGGGGGCGTGGCGCGCCCGTGCTGGCCGAGGTGCTCGGCTACGGGACGAGCGCCGACGCGTTCGCTGTGGCGCGGGGGCGGGACGACGGCGGGGGCGCGCAGGCCGCGATGGCAGCCGCGCTGCGGGACGCCGGGCGGGGGGCGGAAGGCGTGGCGTATTTGAACGCACACGCCACGTCGACGGTCGTGGGGGACGAGTCGGAGCTGCGCGCGATCGCGGGGCTGTTCGGCGACCACGCGCGCAGCGGCGGCCTGCTCGTGTCGTCGACCAAGGGGGCGACCGGTGAGTTGCCATAACGCGCGAGCGCATGAGCCGGAGCTGCGGCGCGCGCCGTGCGTTACTTGCGCGCGAGCTGCGAGCGGCGCTCACACGGCTTGTTCTCGCGGCCGCTCGTCGCAGGGCACCTGCTCGGGGCGGCGGGCGCGGTGGAGGCGATCTTTGCCGCCAAGGCTGCCACGTCGGGCGTGGCGCCGCCGACCCTCAACCTGCTGGATCCCGACCCCGCGGGCGGCGTTGCGGGGCTGATTGGCGCGCGGACGGCGTTCCCGCGGGGGCCGGGCGTCACGGTGAGCAACTCGTTCGGGTTCGGCGGCGCCAACGTGAGCCTGGTGTTCGCCCCCGCGCCGGCGAGCTAGGCCGCGGCGCGGGGGCGGTGCGACAGCGTCGCCGATAGGGCCTTCTCGCGGCCCGGTGTGTCAGGTCATGGCCGGGGTCGAGACTGGTCGCCGTGCACGCCCACTGGTCTCTGAGTCAGCCTGCACTGCCATGATGGCATCGAGATGGCTGCGAACGCCTGTCTGTGACGGCGTTCGGCGCGGACCGTCGCTCCCGGGCCGGCATCCACGACGGAGACAGGGCTCTGTGCGCGCCGTTGCGGCGCCGTGGGGCCTGGCACGCCCGGCGGCGGGAGCGGTCAATGCATGCGAGCGGGACCGATGCCACCCAGCGCTGGGAAGGACCGCGGAGAAGGTCTTTGGTCCCCGCGCCGAGGGTCGCAGAACCCCTCCCGTCCCACTCCGCTCTGCAGTATGGCCCTGGAGGTCGCGCATCGCCAGGTTGACGACGGGACAGGCAACTTGAGCGAGTCAGGCGGCCGGGGGCGCCGCGCGAAAAGGGGCCGTGGGGCGCGCATTGCGGCCCAGATTGCTGTCGAGAGCGATATCGCGTATTGCTGGCATCGAAACGCAACACAAGACGCCCGCAAGGTGCGAAGCCGCTCCGTCGCCGCGACCCGCGCCTCTGCTGTAACCATCGTCCGCCCCGGCGGCGAGGGCCGCGCCGAGCCGTGCCGAACCTGCGGACCCGCGGCCTTGAGATCTACTGAGCCGCCCACGCCGCGGTGGCATCATGGCGCCTTCTCGCGACGGCCCACCGCGCTCCTGTTTGTTCACCACCGCCCCATCCTGCGCCCCCGCCAATTCCGCCCTTGGACGCAGGTCCAACATGCTGAACATGAAGCCATACCTGACCCGCCTGGGGTTCGGGCCGGATTCCAGCCAAACCGCGCGGCCAGGCGCGGCGCCCAAGCAGCAGGCCTCGACGGCAAAGCAGGCCTCGAGCAAGAAGGCCGACTCGGACTCCACGATGTACCGTCGTCTCGACGCCCTGGCGCACGAGCTCTCCCGGGAAGTGCTGTGCAAGCGGCATGTGGTCGATTACCTCGGCTGCTACGAATAGGCTCGCCCGCACAAGCGCGCCCCGCCCAATATGGCCTCGCCTCGCGCGGGCGCGCCGCGGCGAGCCTGAACCCATCGGACCCCCCCCTACGACACCCCATCGACATACTCTACCCGCTTCGGCTCGTGTGGCCGCCCTGGAAGCACCAGCGCCACCGGATTGCGCGCCCGTTGGCGCCTGTTCGCGGCCCTGGACGACCGGGACGCGTTCGAGCTCGGTCGACGCGCACTCGGGCGCCCCGGCGCGTCGGCGCGGCGCAGGGCGCCAGGCGCTCGCCCCAGGACCACGGGTCCGCGGACGCAGCTCGCCGCACGGCCCCGCGTGACCGTTTCGGCACCCCCTGCACGCGGTGCCCCCTGCACGCGGCATGGGCACCCCCTGCCGCGAACGCTCCGTTCCGGCCGCGCGATCATATCTTATATACAACAGCGATCATTCGAAGCGCTCGCGAGGCCCGACCGCGGCCCCTCGAGGCCGTGGCAGCCGTCGGAGGTTCGCCATGGAATCTCTGGCAACCCCAGAGGGATGCGCCTCCCACTGCATGTTCGAGAAGAACCCCCCCTCCCCTCCCTGCACTCCCTGAACTCTTGCATCATCATCCGAGGCCTCGGGCAGCCGGGCCCTGCGCGGCCGCCCTCCGGCTGGCCCCACGCACGGCCGATCTGGCGCGCCCGCTGTGAGCCTCCCGCTGTCGCTCTCGCTCGTCGCCGCCCGCGTCGCCGCGCCGGTCGACGCGCCCACACGTGCATGCGCTCGCGCTGCGCTGACGCCACGCCTGCTCCGCGCCCACGGTCGCCGGCCGCGCGGGACGCTTTGACGCATGCACACTGCGCCGTTGCACGACCGTGCGAGTCCGCTCAGTGACGCCGCTGCGACGCGCATCATTCACAAGTCTGTCGGCGCCGAGCTGCTGCGTCCGCGTCCGCGTCTCCGCCGCGCTCCGGCGCCGGGTCGCGCGCACGGGCGTGCCGCTCACTTCCAGTCCGCGGCGAGCTGCTGCGCGGCGGCGTCGAGCTCGGCCTTGAGGCGCTGGTACTCCGCGTCCCCGGAGAGCTCCGGCGCGGCGAGCGGCGGCACGTCGACGGGCGTCGGCTTCGCGGCGTCCGCGAACGCCGCCGCGACGGTCTTGGCCTCCTTCTCGATGTCCTGCACCGCGGCCTGCGTCATGTCCGCGTCCTCCTTCGCGTACAGCGCGGCGACGTCCGAGCCAGGCGGGATCCCCAGCGACTCGAAGATGCCTGCACCAGGCAAGGGGCGCGGTGGGTGAGGGGGGCGTGGCGCTGGTTCGCGAACCGGACGACGTGCGCCGCCCGCCGTGGGCGCCCCGCGAGCGACGCGACGCCAGCTGCGTGGCCGTGGGCTGCCTCGGCCGCGGGTGCGGGGCGCCGACCGCCACGACGGGTTAGACGCGCAGGGCGCGAGCGAGCCGGGAGGCGGCTGAGGGGGCGACGCCGGGGGCCGCGAAATCGACGTGGCAGGCGGGGAGGCGGCGGCACGCGGTCCCGGGGGCGCGGCCGGTCGCGCGGCACGGGCTGGAGGCACTTCCCGGTCTGGCGGCGTGTGGCGGGGGCCGCGGTCGGCGCGAGGGCACGCACCGGTCGCGACGAGCTCGTCCCCGAGCGCGTCCATCGCCGCGTCGTCGTCGAACGTCACCGGCTTCCCTAGCTTGGCCTCGGCCTTGTCGAGGGCCGTGCCCAGCGCCGTGGCCGCTTCTGGCAACACCATAGGCTCCACGAGGGCCTTGAACTTCCGCACGGCGCCCTCCGCCGCCCGGATCATGAGCTCCCTGCACGGCGGCGCGGCGTCGCGGTGCCGTTCGGAGCAGCGGCGGCGGCGGAGCAACGCACTGGTCAGGGGCGGAGCGGCGCGGGGCAACGGCGGTGGGGGGGCGGCCGGGGTGCGAGGGCGCGCGTGCCTGTCGAAGGCGACCTGGTACTGCCTGCGCAGGATGCCCTGCTCGTCGCGGAGCTTGTAGATCGCGTCCTGCAGCGCCTCCACGCCCTTGCGGTCGGTGCCCGCGGGCATGGGCAGGGCCTCCGCCTTGGTCTTGAACTGCTCGATGGCGTCCAGCTCCTTCACCGCAGAGTAGATGTCCGCGTCCACGCCGAGCTTGGCCGCCTCTGCGGGTCGGGGGAAGGGTGTGGCGGCCATGTTGTTGGGCTTGCTGAGCGGCGAGGCAGGTGCCGGCGTGAGCGGCCGCTGCCGGGGCGGAACTGAAAGGGGGAGGCCGGCGGAGCCATGTCACGGCACCGGACATGTGCGAGGGCGGGCACACGTCTCCGCGCGCGACGCAGGGGTGCGCCGGGAGCGGAGACTCAGTGGCACGAGTTGCACAACGCGCCGCACCCGCATCCCAGCTCGCGAAGCGCGCGCGGGTATCCTCCCAGAACTTATGGTGAGCCTTGTCGCGCGTCCCGGCCTTCAGATCCGCCGCGTACTTGTCCTTCTTAGCGGCGAGGTTGTCCTGCTCGATCCTCCGGACGAGCGTCTGCGCACGCGGACGAGACGGCGCAGGCTCAGTCGGGGGGAATGTTCGTCGACATCTCCGTGCCGCGCTGCGGGGCCTTTGGGTGTGCCAGGGCTCGAACAAGGACAGGAGCGGAACCGAGGCGAACTGCGCCCGTGAGGCGTGCACGCGCCCGCAGTCGGCCTGACGGCGCATCTGCCGCATGCGCAAATGTGACGGAGCCGACCGCTATGCACGTCCTCCCAAGAGGCCCTCAGCGCAAGGCCACAGGCGCCCAAGGCAGCAACAGGCAGGTTCCCCGGCCGCGCGCGACTCGCAGGGGCGGACCTGGAGCTTCTCGATCCCCTTGCTCGTAGCCGCCGCGTCCGCGAACCCGCGGGACCCCGCCACGCCCCAGGCCTGCTCAAGGACCTTCCCCACGGACCTCCTCATGGCGGCAACTGCGCTACCTTCGGCCTCCCTGAGCAGAAATGGGCCCGCGAGAACCCTTGTCTCGCCGCTGTACCCGCGCCTAGACTGCGAGCGACGTGGCCGCTGCGCCGAGCCTCGTGCCCGCACGAGGCCCCGGCTCGCGGCGAGTCGCCGAGCCTCCTTGCGCGGTCTGTCTGTCTCCGGGGCTCAACACCCCCCCCGTCCCCGTGGAGGGCGAAACGCAACGCCAGTCCGCGCGGCTCGACAGCCGCGACGCCTCCAGCGCCACGCCGCCGGCCCTCCAGCGCAGGGCCGCTGCCACGCACCACCATGAGGCAAGCATGACATGCTGCGCAGGGGAGCCGTCAATTCAAGGGTTCCCAGCGCCTCGAGCGGCGATCGGCCTCGAGCGCCACGCATCGACCTCGGGAGCCCGGGGCGGCGCGTGCCGTCAGGCGTGCGACGAGAGGGGGGTATTTGTACTTCGTGACCTACAGGCACCCTCACCGCGAGGATGTTTGAGCGACCGAAACGGTGCGGCAGACGAGACTCACACAGCAGACAGGGTTGACAATGTGAGCAGTCGTGCATGTGAGCAGTCGTAGTCGTGCGCGACGGCGAGACAATGCGGGGAAGCCCACAGCGTGCTGCGCGAGTCTCTAAACGACCCCAGGTGACGACGGTGCTTTGTGCCTCCAGGTCCAGCAGCACGTCCAGAGTCCGACCGACATGATTCAGCAGGAGCTCCCCCTGGGGGGTGTGTATCCTGCAAGGTAATGAGTGGGCGCAGCAGCGGCCGTCACGGGTGCTTCATCGGCGCATTAGTTCTTCGCTGACCTACGAGCACCCTCACCGCGCATGCGGCACGTCTGTGACGCGACTTCGACGGTGAGCCGGCATTCCGGCGGCTCCTGAGACGCCGCAGTGGTGCTGCAACGGGGGCTTACAACGCTCGAGCGTGCACGATCGGACGGCGCCGTGCAGCGGCGCTGTCCGCGAGCTCGACTTCCTCGAGGTGCGTCAAGGTGAATGCGAGGCCAGACACAACACCCCGGGGGGAGTTGTGCAAGCTGCTACTACTGTGCTGAGGAGTGCTTCCGTGCAGGAGGCTCCGTGCAGGAGGTGAGTGGGTTGCCGAAACGGTGAGGTGGCACGGTCTCAGCTCGCGCTGGGTGCAGTGCTGGCTCGGCCGCGTCGCTGACGTGGTGTTGGCATGCATGTGCTTGTGATCGTGCGATGGACGCATTACTCTTGGGTGTGGTAACGTCATCAAGTGTGGCAGGGCTGAGAGGATGTGGAGGGGGGGCGGGGGGGGCTGCGTTCGACGGAGGGGTTAAGAGAGAAGACATGACCTCGCCCTACTGGTGGCCAGGCGCAACGGGCCACAGTGCTCTGCGAGCCTCCTGTGACGGCGGGGCAGCCGGGGTCGGGGGAAGCTGGGACAAGTCGGGAGAAGACTCCCTGCAAGGCTGCAATGCTCGCTGCGCACCATATGCGGTGCGTGGGGGGTTGAGGCTCGGGGTGTGGGTGGCGTGAGGCGAGTCGGGCTGCCAAGGTGCGGCCCTGCATGTTTCACGGGGCAGTACGCCTGCGTCGCGGGCTCGGGCGCCCGCGGGGTGAAAAGGTGGGCAGTGCCGGGCGCTAGCAGGGGGGGTGGCGCGCGGGGGCTCCGGCGCCAGTCGGGCGCGGCCGTGACCTTCCGAGCGAGTCGCCCGGGCGCCGTCACGGCTCCTGGTGCCCCAGCGGCTCGTTCTCATGGACAACGGGCGTGGTCGAGGGCTGCGACCGGTTGGCGCCCTCGCCGCTGGCGGGTGTGTTGCGCATGTAGGGCACGTCCGCCATCTCGTTCTCGACGGTCGACGGGGCGACCTCGCGCAGGAGCCAGTGCGTAACCATGTTGCCCTTGCCCTTGATGAAGATCCCGCGGCCGTCCGACGTGCGCGGCTCCGACACGAACAGCTGCGTCGAGCGGTCCAGGACCTGCTTGAACGCGTCCGACATCTGGATCTTCATCGGCTCCGACGTGCTCTCCATGCGCGACCCCGTGTTCATCACGTCGCCCAGCAGCGTCCACTTGGGCTTGGACGCGCCCACGATCCCGGCAACAAGCGGGCCCATGTGCAGCCCGACGCGCAGCTGCAGCTTCACGCCCGCGCGGTTCATCGGCATGCTCTGCACCACGTGCATGATGGCCAGCGCGAGCCGCGCGGCCTGCTCCGCCGACTGCACGGGGTCCGAGTTGGGCTGCGCGCCGACCACGGCGATGTAGCTGTCCCCGATGATCTCCACCTTGTACGCGCCGATCTCCTCGCACAGACTGTCGACCTGGCTGTACAGGTCGTTCAGCATGGTCAGCACGTCCCGCGGGGCCATGCGCGCCGTGATGGCCGTGTAGCCCACGATGTCGGCGAAGATCGTCGCGACGTGCGGGAGGCTCTCCGCGACGAGCTCGCCGCGCTTCAGGCCCGCGAGCACGTGCCGCGGGTACATGGCCTCGAGCAGCGCCACGTGCCGCGCGTGCGAGACCAGCATGCCGAACACCAGGCACCCGACGATGAGCCCGAGCGTCGAGCTGATCACCCACCCGGCGACCAGCCAGTCCGGCACCCACGAGTCCCGCACGCCGATCTCGATCGCCCACTGAGACGACGGCAGGTCCACGGGGATGGTGATCGTGTCCCCGGACGGCGCGGGGTCCGACACCTTGAAGCGCGCGCCGGCCTCGCCCTGCGCGGGGTCGTACAGGCGGTACGTGTACCCGGCGTCCACGATCGGCTGGAAGTCGAGCGAGTCCAGGAAGTTCTCGAAGTACAGCACCAGGATGGCAAACCCCCACAGGTACTCCCCGTCGTCCTTCACGTCCCAGAACCGGTTGCCCGACGCCGACGCCTGCCCCTGCGCGTTGAACACCGTCCCGGGCCCGACGGGGACGTACACGGGGAACCGCACGAGCACGCCGAGCGGGCCCTCCTCGCCCTGCAGCTTGAGCGGGCCCTGGAAGGTCGGCTGGCCCGTGACGATCGTGTTGCGGACCGACGCGCGCGCGCCCTCGTTCGGGTGGTTGAACAGGTCCAGCCCGATCGCCTTCTCCGACTCCCCGTCGTACGGGTACACCTCGGCGATGATGGTGTCGGGCGCCACCTCCACCGTCGAGTAGATCGGGTCGTCGAGCTGCTTCAGCATGCCCTCCGCGTACGCGGTGAAGCGAGCGACGACGCCGTTCGGCTCAGGGCGCGACCGGATGTCCAGCGCGAGCGCCTGCGCGGGCGACAGCGTGTTTTGCACAAGCTGCGACACATACGTGGCCTGGATGCGCCCGCGACCCGCCGCCTCCTGCTTACGACGGTCCGTCTCGGAGCTCTGCGCCCCGGGAGAGGAAGGCGATCTGCGTGAGTGGGGCCGCGGCGGGGGGGGCGGCGCGAGCGGGCGCGGCGGGGATCCTGTCCCAGATGCGTGCTCGCGCACGGGCCGCGGGCGGGGCGTGACGGCCTGGGCTGGGCGGTCACGCGCGGGGAGCATGTCCGGAGGGAGAGACCGCAGCGCGGGCCGCACCTGTACGAGAATGAAGAGCGTGGTCAGGAGCCCGGCGGTTACCACTGTGGCGAGCAACGACCAGATGACGATCATGGGCCGCCTGAGGGCCAGGTGGCCCATCGCCTGCAGCTCCCGCTTCACGCGCGAGCCGCGTCGGGGCGCCGCGTCGTCCAGCAGGACCGGCGCCTTGCTCGTCCGCGAGTGCGAGGCGCGCCGAATGGCATGACCTGAGCTGCCCACTGAGACGTTGCTGCACCGCGACTTGCCGCGGTCCCGCCGCTTCATGATGTAGACCGGGTCATGGCCGTACCCGTACCCGCTGTGCGTCGACATGTGTCCGCTCATGATGGTGACGGGGGCAAGTTCGTCTGTGCAGCAGACCTAGTCGCGTCGCAGCGGTCGACGCACGCAGCACGCAGCTTCCCGCCCCGCGAGTTGCCGACGAGAAATCCGGCGCCTGCACAGGAAGGTGTTGAGCGCCGCGGGTGAGGTCGCAACGCGCCGGTTTGCGCGGCACCGAGCCTGTGCCTGTCTCATAAGCTCCGCGCCGCAAGGGGCCATGAAATGGTTCGGGAGTCGCGCGTTCCGACTAGACAGCGTGCGCGCGCCGTGAGCGGTGCGGCGTGGGCGCGGGGTGGCCGCCGTCCCCCGAACAAGCGTGCCCACTCCGTGCGCGCCGTGCCGGGCGCGAGGCAGCGAGCGGCGCCCAGTCTGGCTCATGCATATACTGGAGAGTGCCCGCTCTAGCGTACTGCTGCCTGGCCAGCCGCGTCGCGTGCAATTGAGGCAATCGCAGACCCTCAGGCACGACCTTCGCTGCTCGTGCTGCTGGCCCAAGCGGGGCCCTGAGATACGGCGGGGCGACGAATGAAGGGCGCTGGGGCTCTCTCCACGGCACGCGCGCGAGGCGCAGCGCCCCGGGACGCAGTGTCAAAGGCGACGTACCCTTTCGAGCACCGAGCGGCTCAGAAGGCGCCTCGCCCAGCGCCACGGGCGGCACTTCGACAAAGAGACGTTTCTCGTGCAGCGGTGCTCGAGGCGGCCCTCGCCGCCCCGGCTGGCAACCACGCGGGGTCAGGCCTGGCTGCAACGCTCTTGCAGCGCTGCGACGGCGGGTGTGGCAGCAAGCTGCGTCGCACACACCTTCCCGGAGCCAGTTTCTGCCGGCTGCTGCGCAGCCTGCGCCCCTTTTGCTCCAGCGGCCCGCTGGCCACGCCTCCGCGCACCTGAGTCACCTGTGCAGGGGTAGCTGAGGACCGCCTCGCCGCGACACCCCCGGTCCACCAGGCGGCTTCGCGACGACAGGAGCCGCGAGAACCGTCTCCGGGCGTGCTCAGATGCGCGCTGCTGGCGCCGTAGCTCCTCTCGCTATCCCGCTATGCCGCCTGGTCCATCCAACGGGCCAACGTATCCGTTGCACCGACGGCGCTGGCTGCTGGCAGCGAAAAGAACGTCTTCTCTGCGACGCCATCCGCGAAGTGCTCGGGATCCGACGCGTCCGCGGACGTACCTCGAGATCCCGGGGCGGGGCCGTGGCGCTCGCTGGCGCTTTAGGCATGGCGAGAGAGAGGTAGCCCTACGTCGATTCACGCGGCGGGAAGCACCTGCGCGGCCATCGCGACACGTGCCTGGCGCCGCTCGCCGGGAGCCCGGTCCCGCACGCAGGGGTGCGGTCCGCCGCGGACAGGTCCGCGTGCCACTACGACGTGTCGACGCATCACATGCGCTGCGTTTCCGCAACCCCCGAACGTACGGTACGCGCTCCATCGCGCCCCCTGGTCAGTAACCCTCCCCCTCGTCCTCCAAGCCCCTATCGTGAGACACCGCGGCGCCGTCGGATCCTGGAGCGCCCGATTGCCAGAGTCACGACGCCAGTCGACGCCCCGCCGTCCACGAACACTCCGCCCCGTCGACGGTCGTGACGTTCCTCCGGCTGCGTGCGAGCCGCACCCCAGTCACGCTGTCCTACGTTCCCGTCCCGCGCGCGTGCACGCCTCCTGCAGCGGTGCAGCCTGTCACGCCCCCGCCCTGCACGGCGACCGTCGCGCCGCTCGTCGCCCCGATCCCGCACCCGCTCCACGCCCACGTGCTTCACGAGGACGCTCGCGCCGGACTGCGTCGCAAGCACCCCGGTCAATACGCGACATCCGCCTCCTCCGCGGCGAGCACCGCGCAGTTGATGTGGCCTTGCACTTCGACGTCGACCAGCGCAGCCGTCGACGCGCCATGTGCCCTGACTCCGCGCAGGTCGTTCTCCCGGAACACCCCCCCTCGACACGCAGGCGCGCGGTGCCACCGGTGACGGCCGCGCCTGCTCCGCCGCAGCCTGCGCACACCACGTTGCGCGCCGCGAGACCGCTGCCGTCCCCGTCGACCAGCAGCCCGGAGCCCCCCGTCGCCACGCCACAGCAGCGAAGCGCGCACTGTCCGCCAGCGGACACGGAAACGATGACGCTTCTGTTCCGCACGCCGCTGCAAGTCACCGACACGTCCGTCGCGCGAAAGTCATGTGTTCCACGCCCGGCGCGGGCTCGGATGCAGGCTTCGCTGCGCTTGTACTTCGCTGACCTACAAGCACCCTCATCGCGATGATGCTTGAGCGACCGAAATGGGGTAGTTCTTCGCTGACCTACGAGCACCCTCACCGCGAGGATGCCGGAGCGACCGAAATGGTACGGCAGACGAGACTCACACAGCGCAGAACAGCGGTCGAGCTTCGCCAGTGGAACGAAACAGCACACTCGTGTCAGCAGGCATGGGGTTAGCGTTACATGGGGTTTGCAGTGCGGTCGACTAATCGTATGGCGTGTGCGCCGCGCACGCCGCGCCGAGCTGACAGGCGCGCTGAGCTGCAGCACCAGCGGGCGGCGGGGCGCCACGGACGCCGTCGCCGCCGCGCCACTGGTGGCCGCGGTTTGATGGGAGGGGGGGGTTGGGGGAAAAGCAGATTGTGTGGAATGGGAGCGGGTTGTGATTCTTTGAGAGGCATGGTGCCAAAAGCGCGGGAGAAGTAGTGTGCGGGGGTAGCCTAGAAGACGACGAAGCGTTCGCTTGCAAATGTGAGCGAGCGCGGCCTGTCCGTGGCACGAGGACCGCGCGTGCCACGTCGCCGCGCCACGACTGCCCCTGGGGCCGCGTCGAGCGCAGAGAACAGGCAGCGCATGCGAGCCCGACCGCAGCAGCGCATGTATGTCAGTAAACCCCCCCCCTCCTCGCAAATGAGGCCCGGGGGGGGCGCCGCGCCTGCGCGCCTAGGCGTTCACGATCACGGACAGCCCGGCGTCGCGGAGCTTCTGCGCGAAGGCCTTGGCCTCGTCGTGCGAGGGCGAGCGCTGTCCCTCCAGCGGGTAGGGCATCCCCATGGCCTCCCACTTGTTCACGCCGAGCTTGTGGTACGGCAGCAGGTCCACCTGCGAGCAGCACAACGGAGCGGCGCGCGTCGGCCGGCGCCGGCGGGCGGGAGCGCGCGGTCGGACGGCGCTCTACGTCGTGGCAGGCGCGCACCTTCTCGAAGGTAGGGTGGGCGCGCGCGAACTTGATGAGCCACTCCGCGTCGTAGTCCGAGTCCGTCATGCCCGGGATCATCACGTAGCGCAGCCACAGCGGGATGCCCCGCACGGCCACCTCCTTGGCGAACCGCAGCATGCCGCGCTGGTCGTGCCCCGTGAGGCTGGCGTACACGTCGGGCTTCGGGCTCTTCGTGCACAGCATGACGAGGTCCACGTGCGGCAGCACCACGTCCCAGTGCCGGTGCTTCGTGCCCTGCCCCGTCGTGTCGATCGCCGTGTGCAGCCCCAGCGCGTGCGCCTCCTTCAGGATGGCGGCCGCGAAGCGCGGCTGCAGGAGCGGCTCGCCGCCGCTCAGCGTCACGCCGCCGCCACCGCGCCGCAGGTACGGCTCGACGGACTTGATCTTCTCCCCGATAGCCGCCGAGTCCGTCTCGAGGCCCTCGTGCAGCAGCCACGTGTCGGGGTTCGAACAGAACTTGCACCGCATCCCGCAGCCCTGCAGGAACATCATGTACCGCAGGCCCGGGCCGTCGATGGCGCTGAAGGAGTCGAGCGAGTGAATGCGCCCCGTGACGGGCTCCATGTGGGGCACCGGCTTTTCCTCCGCGAGCTGCTCCTTCGCGGCGGCCATTGCGTCCTGCGGGGGCGCAGTTGGGGGCGTGGAGGGCGCGTGGGCGGCCGCCGGGGGCGCGCGTGCGCCGCGCGGCGCGGGGCGGGCGTGTCAAGGAGCGCCAGGGGGTGCGGGGTCTCCGCCGCGCGCCGAGGCCGGCCGCGGCCCGGGCGGGGTCCGAGGGGGCGCAGACGGACCTGTGAGATGAGGCGGGTGTCCGGCGCCTCGGCTTTCGCGAGGACAGCCTCCTGCGTCATCGGGCGGCACAGCGCCTGGCCCCGGCTGTTGCCAGCGCTGCCCAGCCAGCCCCCGCGGGGCACCCGCCGTGAATTGTTCCAGCCCGCGGACCCCGACGCGAGGTCGTACGATCCGAGAAGCAGCGGGGCGTTCGAGCGCGAGGCCCCGGGTGCGCTCCCGGGCGTCCCCCGCGACTCCTTCGTGCTGGGCTGATGCCAGGCTGGCGCCCCTGCAGCGCACGCGGCGAGGTTGCGTGATCCCGCGACGCACGAGGCAGTTCAACGCGCGGGAGTGCATGCAAGGTCGCGGGGAGGCGCGAGGCCGGAAGCACGCCCCGCGTCCCGCGGTCCGTTGGCCCGTTCGGGACAACAGCGCTGCAGGTGGGACAGTGCGCGCCCTCGTTCGACGCCGCGGCGGCGCTTCGAGGCGCCGGCGGGCGCGCGGTTCGCGGCGGGGCCCGCCGATGGTGTGCGAGCGCGGCCGCGGGCCGGCGCGTCGCGGCGCGCCCACGGTCGTGCTTGGACCAGGTGCGCATGACGAGGGGCTCGTTCGCGGGCGCCGGGGCGCGGAACGGGCGCGTTGGATGGCGCGGGGGGCGTGCGGGGTTACCTGGGGCGCCGCGGGCGCCGTGGCAGCCAGGGTTACCGGCCACGGCGCCCGCTGCGGCCTGAGCTGTAGCGCCGGCGTGAGAGCCCTGCGGTGGCGTCACGGCAACGAGGGTTGTGATAACTGCGCGCTCGCGGGGCGCACGGGCGACGGCGGACGCGTGCGGGGCGGGGCGTGGGGAAAGGTCGGCCGGAGCGGCGGGGAAATCCGCCGCGGCGAATCGCACGCACCCGGGCCCGAACGGCCATCGCGACGGCCTTGGAGACCAGCTGTAACGCGGGGGCGGCCCCCAGCGCGAGTCCGCGCATGGCGCCCGCCGTCGCGAGCGCTGCGCTCATGGCCGAGACAATTTGCGTCCCGACTCCCGACTGGCGTCGCAGGACGTGCAGTCAACCACGTTGTTATTGCTCAAGTCAAAGTCGTTCTAATGTGCGCGTTTTGTGGCGCGACCGGCGCGCACACGCCGCCCATGGGCCGCGCGGGCGAGCCATCGTTGACTGCAGGGCCCCCTTTCACGTCAGCTCTCCAGGCTCCGCAAAGTCGCCCCGCGCCGAGGCGACGGGCGCGCACTGCGCAGCACGATCGCGATCTCGCCCCTGCGCAGGAGGGGAGCGCGAAGATCCATGCAGCGCGTCGCGAGCGGCCGGCTGTGCGCGGGGGCACCTCGCGCACGGCCGCACGCAGCGCCAAGCGCCCGGAACGGGCCGGAGCGGCGATGCGCGGTCCCGGAGAGCAGCAGCGATGCGTCGAGGACACACGCGGTGCGCCGATACCGGTCCGCCGCGGCGTGACGGCACCGCGAGCGACGCCGGGCCGCACAACCGCAGGGCGCGCCCGGGAACAGCGCGCGGCGGCCGCACCGGCCGCGGATGCGCGGGGCGCTTCCCCGCATCGCGCCGAGCAAGCCGTGCGCGCCGCGCCCCGCCGTCTCGCTTCGCACCAGGTCCGCAGCGCAACGCCATCGGGAGACGTGCATGCACGTGGGGGGGGCGCGCCCGCGAGACGGCGCCTGGGCAGCCGCGCGGCCATTCCGCGCGGCCAGACGCTGCTCTCGGCGCCGAGGGTACCGCGTGGCGCGGCGCACGCGCGATCCTGCGGCCACCGGGCGCAGCGCCGGCAGCGTGGGCCAGAGCGGTCGCTACCGCGGCGCTGCACACGTCCGCGCTCCGCAACCGATGCTCGCGAGACCGACTGCATCTGTGGTGCGCCGGTGCCGACACGCAGGGGTCGTCTCGCTTCCACATCGCGGCCCGCCATCGTTGGAAGGGGGCCCCGGGGTGCGGCAGCGCGTTGGGGGAGTCCGCGTTATCGGGCCTCCTTGGGGCGCCCTGGGCCCGTTGGATCGCGCATGCGTCGCCCGGCGGCAGTCGTGGCAGGAAGGCGCAGGAGGCGGGACGCTCAGCGTCGCTGTCGGGCCGCTAAGCGCGCGGAAGACTCGTGCTCAGAGCCCACTCAACCGCTGCGCGCGGGCGCCGGTCGACGCAGCCGGGACTCGCGCAGGCTGCCGGACGCTCCAGCCGATCTCGATACACCACTGCGGATCCGCACGCCGCCGGCAGCGCAGCGGACGGCGGCGCACCTTGGTCGTCCCCTGGCAACAACGCTCGGCATGGCCGGGCTCGCGGCCAGGCCCGCGGCGCCGGGCGGGCAGCCAATGTGCCGGTGCTTCGGGAAGAAGGCGAGCACGAGAGCCGCGCGCGCCGGCCGCCACCCGGCGATGCCGCCGTGGCAACGCGCGCGACCGCGTACTGACTTGCCAAACCATACCCGGGCCGGCCAGCGGGCGCATGCGGGGCTAGACGCGGACGACGGATTGAGTTTCGAGGCCCATTTCGAGAGCGAGATGGGGGCGCTGCGGGCCGCGGGGGTCTCGGTGCACGAGGTCGGCACGAGGCTGCTTCAGCTCGGGGCCTACGGACAGGATGTGAGCGAGCTGCAGCGGCTGCTCCAGGTGCGCCCAGCCGCGCCGGAACTGCGCGCCCGCTGACGCATTCTCGCGGAAAAGGGCCGCGGCGCGCCCGCACGGCCTGAGGCGCCCGCCGCGACGCGCCGCGGCAGCGCTGCCCTGGACACGAAAACGCGCGCGCGGTCAGCCCCGCGCCGACGCGCCCTGCGCCCGTCCGTGTGCATCCGCAGGACTCGGGGCACCTCGTGGCGGAGTCGTACAATGCGGGGTACTTCGGCGAGCGCACGCAGGCGGCGGTGGAGGAGTGGCAAGCGGCGAACGATGTCCCGGTGACCGGGTCGTTCGGGGAGCTCAGCCGGCTCGCGTACCTGCACAGGCACGCCCCCTGCCCCCTCGTGCGCGCGCACGCTCCGCGCCGACCCCGCCTGGTGCCGCGATGCCACCTCACAGCGCGTGCTCGCGTCGGCTCCGTGCAGTGCGGGGGCCTTTCGCGCCGAGAGCGCTGCTGCGACGCAGGACCGCGCGCAGGCGTCGCGCGCGGCCGGCGCCGCGGTGCCCCTCCCGGCCGTCGCCGCCGCAGCGCTCCCATCCCATGCGGTCACTGCCGGGGTCGCGGCGCTGCTGGCCGCGCCCCTGGTGTGGCTCGCCGCGCGCGCCCAGCAGCGCGACAAGATCCTGCGGCTGCAGCGGCGCATGGGGCGCCGTGCGAGCATCCGCCGGTGGCAGGCCGCGGGACGGCACGCCAAGGCGTACACCGACGCTGACGTGGGGGGGGTGTCGGCGGAGAGCGGCGCGGAGGTGGACGTGGACATCGAGGACGAGGCGGAGGACGATGAGGAGGTCCTGCCGGGCCACAAGCTGACGTACCTGGTCCAGGATGGGCCCTGGTGGCGCGAGGCCATCCACGGCGGGGAGCCGCGCGAGGACCCGGCGGCGGACAGGCCGTTCCTGCCGCAGCAGTTCTCTGGAAACGCGATGCGCATGGCGGGCGCGGGGGCTGGTGCGCGGAACGGCGCGGGGGGTGTGGGCGCTGATGCAGGGGGGGAGTTCCGGGCGCCGGACCCGGCCGGGGCGGGCGCGATCGACCGGACGATGTCGATCGCGGAGGCGATGCGGCACCACGCGGGGAAGCGTCAGCAGTGACGCCCGCGGCCCCACGCCCGCGAGTTGCGTCCCTTGCTGTGATACGCGATGGCGACGCAGCCGCGCGGGGGGGGAGTCGCGTCCGTGCGGGTTGCTTGATGCCATGCGTGACGCCGCGATGTCAGCCAACACTCCAGCCTTCGTGGGGGGGCGCTTTCATGTCGGTGCAAGGAGGGGGGGGGTGTGGGGGCTCTCGGAGTGTCGGTGGGCTGACTTGCCGTCGAGCTGAGGCTCCGCGCGCTTGTCTGGTGGCGGCACATCCTCCGCTGCGTGCGCTCGGCCGCTCGTGCGCCGTCCGTCATCATCAGTCGTGGCCTCACCGCAACTTGTCACTTCCTTCTTTCGCGTGGCGCTCGCGCGGGTGCCTGCGCGCCATGCTGAGCGCCCTGCTCGAGCGCAAGGAGCAGGAGGAGCGCAGGGAGAGACGCGAGAAGGCTGGGGGGTCGCGGAAACGTAAACACGCGTCGGCGAATGAGCAGTGTGCCTCGCCAGCAGGTGCTCGCAGCCGCGAGGACGAGGCCCGAACGCCCGCCTCGGCCGCCCGCGACGATGTTGGTGGTACAGCGGTCCGTGCGACGGATGAAGACGACGTCCCCACGCGCCGAGAGGTTCGCGACGGCGCGGGGGGCGCTGCGAGCCCTGCACAGGTTGCTGCGTCGGCTCGAGACCGCAAGTTCCGCGGATACTGGCAGCACAACGCGTCCCCGGGACGCAGAATGTACGTGACATCCCCAGATTCCGGGCACAAATCCGGCGTGTGGCCCTTCAAGCGGCTCGCGCAGCCCTCCCGCCCTAACTAGACCGTTCGCGGCCCGATCAGCTCGCGCTGGCGCGTGGCGCGGCGGACCGCTCCGGCGTTCATGCGCGTTCGCGGTCTCCTTGTCTGCAGCCTGAGCGCCATGGACCGCAGGATGGACCGTTGCGTGCGGGAGGAGGCGGAGAGGCTGCACGCGCAGGCACGCGAGCTGCTGCGCGTGCACACCGGCGCGCTCGCGGAGATCTGGCGCGTGTTTCCGCGCCAGGCGGAAGCCTTCGCCTTCTGGGACGCGAATGCGGGGATCCCTGACCTCGGGTGCGGGCCACACCCAGTGCGATGATGTTGAGCCTCCTTTCCAAGTGTTGCGCATGGTGTTATGTTGCGCCCGGAACTTCCGCCATGGCCGCGCACCGGCGCAGCCCCACCGCCGTGCGCTCAAAGTGCGGAAGCAGATCGACGCCGCCGGCGCGCCGCGACCCGTCGCACGGCCCCGGCAGGGCACGCGAACAACTCTGCCGCCCTGAGACACCGCGGCATGAGCTACAATTGCCCAGACACCAAGACTCGAATTCCCCCGCGTCGCCGGGCACACGGCCCCGCGACCATTGACGCGCCGCCACAGCAATAACTCCCCCCTGTTTCCAAACGCGGAACCATGCAGTTGCTTCTCCGAGGAGCTCTCCGCGACGGGCGTGCGGCGCTTCCTCATCGCGACGCGGCAGGAGTTCTGCGGCCGCTATCTCTCCCCCGCGGGCCCGGCCGGCGGACCGAAGCGCCCGGGCGCCGCCAGCGCACCACCGGCCGCGCCGCCGCCGTCGCGGCACTGGTACGAGATCATACGGCAGGGCCGACCGTGCCACGTGTACCTCGACCTCGAGTTCGTCCCCGACGCGAACCCCGGCGTCGACGGCGAGGCCCTGGTCGCGCGCGTGATCAGCGCCGTGCGGGGGGGTCTCCAGGAGAGGTACAACATCGCTGTGCCGGACGACGCGATCGTCGAGCTGGACTCCTCCACGCCCGCGAAGTTCTCCCGGCACCTCGTCGTGCGGTGCGCCTCCGCGGCGTTCCGCAACAACGCCCACGTCGGCGCCTTCCTGCAGTGGGCGCTCTCCGCGGAGCGCGCGCAGGGGGGCGCCGGAGACGGCGCCAGCGCCCCCGCGGGTGAGGGCGCAGCGCCCGCGTCCCCTGCGAATGTCGAAGGGCCCCAAGCGCGCGGAGCGCCAGCGATGGATGCGGGCTTGATGGTGTGGAGCAAGGGGGGTGTCGAGGGGGGTGTTCGAACTTCCTTCGTGGACATGGGCGTGTACACACGCAACCGCGCGTTCAGGTGAGCGCTTCGTCCCCTGCGGCGCGCGCTGCAGTGGCAACTCGTTCCTCACGGCGTGCCCGCGCGTGCGCGTGCGCTTGCTGCTCCGTGGCGTTCGCGGGTGGCTTGAGCGCGCCGCACGTGCGACCACCGGTGCGTTCGCCGTCGTCCGCCGCGCAGGCTCTACCTGAGCAGCAAGTTCGGCAAGCAGGCGGTGCTGCGTGAGACGGGCCGCTTCTTCACGAAGCCGCCGCGACCCCTGCAGCGGGACACGCTCGAGAAGACCCTGGTCACTCTCACGGACGAGGAGGCGCGCAGCTTCCGGCTGCTCGAGGTGCGCGAAGCTCGACAGCCAGGCGAACTGCCGCGCACACAAGATGGCACATGCACACGCGGCGCCACGCGCGGTCAACGGCGCCGTCGCGACGCGCACGGCGCCGCCGAATCGTGCTCGCAGGCCTTCGACGAGGAGCGCGGGGGCGACGCGATTCCGGGCGCAGCGGGGCGCCGGGGCGAGGGGAGTGTGGCTACGGGTCACATTGGGCCCCCGCAGCACGGCGGGACGTCGTCGAGCCCGTTCCCGGCGGTCGACGACTTCATCCGGTCGGTGTGCAACCACGACGGCGTCCAGGGCGAGATCCGGTGCGTGCGTCCCCCCTCGCGGCAACATCTCGAGTCGACGCTGCACACTCGCGCAGTGCCTCGCCGCGCGCACCGGCGCGTCGAACGCGGCGCTCCACGTCGGCCGCGATGCAGGTCGTGGATGTTCCTGCCCGAGGCGGGCCTGCTCGTGCTGCAGATTCGCGCCAACAGGTGGTGTGGCAACGTCGGGCGCGCCCACCGCTCCAACGGCGTGTACTACTGCTGCGACCTGCGCGCGGGGATCTGGTACCAGCGGTGCCACGATCCGGACTGCCGCGCGTACCGCTCGCCCGCTGCGCCGCTGCCGGCCCCCCTCGCCTGGTCACCCCCAGGCGCAGATCAGGAGCAGGCGGCTAGCCCGCAGTGGGGCACGTGCGGGCGGCCGGGCCCCGGCGCGCTCGAGGCCGCGGGCTGGACCGAAGAGGCCGCGCTGCAGGCGCTGGATCTCTGAGGTGTGGGTCGTGCGACGCGGGCGAGGCAGAGCGGGGCAGTGCGAATCGGTTGGCGCGGCGCTCGGGCGCGCGATGCGCGAGGTGCCGGGGCGAAGCGGGCGTGTAATATCTGTGTGACATGTTCGAGGGGCCGAGGCGGTAATTGAATGCGCGGGCTGCGAGGCCGGCCGTGTTTTAGGGCTTTACTGCGGCCGGCCGTAATCCGTCGCGGCGGCGGGCGCGACGGGGAAACGGACGCGCGACTGCATGTGTCGCGCATGTGTGGCCATGCATGGTGTCTCGGTTGCCGCAATCGCCGAGAATCCAGGCGCACGCCGAGCGTGTGTCGCCTGACGAGCTGTCGGACAGCTCGCTTCTGTCGGCGGCGAGGGCCGTGCCCAAGGGCGCGCGGCCGCGCCGGCTCGCGCCACATTCGACAAGCGTCGAGAGTGACATTCAGGAGGGCAACGCCTCCGCACCGTTCGTCGCTGCACCCGGCACCGCCGGCACATACTGCCGAAAGCGACCATGGGGCTCTTCTCCGCGGCCGCCTTCTTCATCTGCCTCAGGTGCGGCCACGGAACCGATAAACTTACACCGTACCCGTCGTTCGCGCCCAGCACATTGCACGGACGCCGCCGCCTCGCCTCGGGACACGTCTCATGTTGCCAGCCGCCTCCTTCGCACTCGGCCGGCCACCGCGCGCACGCAGGCGCTCGAACACGCCGTCGAGCCCTCCGCAGCGCTTCCCCTGTTCTTGTTCTCTCCGTTTCGATCGATGACGCGCCCCGAGCGCGTGCCTGCGGCGCGCCGTCGGCCAACCGCTGCGCAACACTCCCAGGCCATCTCCCGCCCCGCGCGGCGCCCCCCGCGCGCGCCCGCGCGCCCGCGACCCCGCAACGCCATGCCCGTGCGACCCTGCGCCCGCACGCCCGCATCGGCGCCTCCTCGCGCACCTTGCCCCGGCGTGTGCCGGCCACGCGCCTCGATTTCACCCCCCCTGCCTAACTACCAAACCTGGCCGTTGAGTCGCGACGCCGCCGCCCGGCCTCACGCGCCCGCGCCGCCGCCGCCGCCGTCCGCAGGGAGTCCCTGGAGGCATGCATCATCGTGGGCATCATGCTCGCGTACACCCGCAAGACGGGGTTCCAGCGGTATAACAAGTGGATCTGGTGGGGCACGGGGTCGGCGATCGCGGCCTCGATCGCGCTCGGGCTGGGCTTCGGCATCGCGAAGTGGGTTGACGACGACGACATCTTCGCGGGCCGCACGCGGTACATTTTCGAGGGCGTCGTCTCGCTGCTCGCGGCGGGCCTGCTCACGTGGATGATTTTGTGGACGACGATGATGGGGCACAAGCTGCAGCAGGACATCGAGGACAAGCTCGAGGCCGCGATCGAGTCCGGGAAGGAGTGGAAGCTCTTCCTCCTGCCCTTCGCGCAGGTGTTCCGCGAGGGCGTGGAGACGGTGGTGTTCATCCTCGGCGTCGAGTCCAACGACGGCGCCGAGTCGATCCCCATCCCGGGCGTCCTCGGCATCGTGATCGCGCTCATCGTGTCGGTCGGCGTCTTCCGCGGCTCCCTGAAGCTCGACATCGGCAAGTTCCTGCGCTGGACGTCGGTCGTCCTCGTGTTTTTCGCGGCGGGCATCGCCTCGTACGGCATCCACGAGCTGGCCGAGGCCAACTGGTTCGGGTCGTACAAGGACTTCGACAACGGCGGCTCGAAGTCGAAGCCGGACCTGGAGCGCTCGTGGACGGGCCAGACGCTGTGGTCGACCAAGAACATCCTGCACGACAAGGACAACGAGGTCGGCGGGCTGATGCGCGCGCTGGTGGGGTACCAGGACACGCCGACGTTCATGGAGATCTGGATCTACGCGCTGTACTGGGTGCTGCTCCTCGGCGCGTTCCACTACCTCTCGGTCAAGGTCAAGAGCTTCACGCGCGAGCACCGCAACCAGCACTTCTTCGCCGCCAAGATCATGACGCCGATCGCCTTCTTCTGGGGCTTCATCCAGTTCATCTGGGCCTGCTCCGTCGACTACCACCCCTGGAACGCCTTCCTCGTCTCGATCTTCGGCATGATCTTCTACGGCGCGGGCACCCTGGCGCTCTACAACGCCTGCGGCCGCTTCCGCCTCCCCGCCGCGTGGACGTACTTCGTCGGGTGCATCGTGTGGCACGTGTTCGTCCTGATCATCGTGCTCGTCCAGCTCGACTGCAACGGCAAGAACAAGTGCGGCGGCTTCAAGGACGGCTTCTTCTACCAGCTCTTCTGGTTCAACTCGGACTACTTCCGCGGCGACGCCGGCCTGCGCCAGAAGGGCTACTGGCACGCGGGCGCCATGCTCACCATGGTCTGGGCCATCAACCTGTTCGGCGGCCTCTTCCACGGCCTGTGGGGCTACCACCTCATCGAGGCCATCAAGGAGAACTCGCTCGACGAGGGGCCCGTCGCGACCAAGGCCAAGTGGGTCAGCGGCGACGACGTGAGCACGGACAAGGAGGACGGCCGGGACACGCCGCCGAACGTCTCCGAGGAGGCCGCGCGGGACACCACCCACGTCTGAGCGCTGGCGGCGGCCGGCCGGGCGGGCGGGCGCCGGGCCGGAGCGCAGGTCCGTGCGGGGCAGGGAGCGGTCCCTGCCGCGGCGGTTGATTGACCCGTGGCTCAGGCGACATGCAAGAGCTAGCTTGGTCGCACTGCGCCGCAGTCCCGCGTCAGCGATCGCGGGCGGGGCTCGGCGGTGTACATGACACTGACTCGGTTCAGACTTGGTTCGTTTCGTGACGACGTGTGACTCTTCGTTCATGTGCGGCCGCCGTCAAGCCGACTCGTGCATCACAATCAGTCCTGCGCTGTGCTGCGCGGCGCCGCTCACGTGGACGCGGCCGTGGTGACCGGCGCGGGGGCCTCGAACCCGAGCTCCTCGACGACGGGCAGGCACCGCTCGCACAGCAGCGGGTGCTTCGCGCTGTCCCCGACCAGCGGAGAGAACGTGCGGCAGCGGTTGCACGACGTCCCCTCGGCCTTCGCCACGCCCACGACCACCTTTCCGACGCCCTCGATGTCCACCTCCTCGCAGTACTGGCACGCCCGCGCGTCGTCCTCGCCGCAGAGCGTCGCGCGCGACGCCAGCAGGTAGTACCGCAGCTCGTCCACCTCGTTGCTCTCCGACAGCAGCGCCGCCATCGAGTCCGCGACCGCGCCGTCCGCCACGTGGACGAACACCGCCGCGTCCGTCGACGACCCCACGAACTTGTCCACGCGGGCCGTCTCCAGCAGCTTGTTCACGGCGTCGCGCACCTCGAGCAGCCCCGCCCACGCCGCGGCGTCCTCCTCCGACAGGAGCCCGCGGGCGTCGTCCGGGACGCTCAGCCAGCCGGCCTGGAACACGGACGACGCCGAGGGCGCGTAGGGCAGGTTCTGCCAGGCGTCCTCGGCCATGTGGGGCACCAGCGGCGCCACCGCCGACATCAGCGCACGCAGGACGATGTTCAGGGTGGTCTGCGCGGTGCGCCGCGCGGTCGAGGTCGGCGCGCGGATGTAGGTGCGGTCCTTGACGACGTCCAGGTAGAACGACGACAGGTCGGTGATGCAGAACCGCTGTACCGCCTGGTACACGCGCGCAAAGCTGTACGCGCCGTACGCCGCCTCGACCTCGTCGCAGAACGCGGCCGTGCGGCTCAGGATGTACCGGTCCACGGAGGGCAGGTCCGCGAGCGGCACGGCGTCGTTCTGCGGGTCGAAGTCCGCTAGGTTGCCCAGGAGGAAGCGCAGCGTGAAGCGCACCTTCCGGTACACGTCCGACACCTGCTTCAGGATGCCCGGGCCGACGAGGACGTCGCCCGTGTAGTCCACGGACGCGACCCACAGCCGCAGCACGTCGGCGCCGTACGGGGGCTCCTCCTTCTGGTTCTTCCCCCCCTCGATCACGGTGCGCGGGTCCACCACGTTCCCAACCGACTTGGACATCTTCATGCCCTTCTCGTCGAGCACGAACCCGTGCGTGAGCACCTGCTTGTACGGCGCCGCGCCCGTCGCCGCCACGCTGGTCAGCAGCGAGCTCTGGAACCACCCGCGGTGCTGGTCCGACCCCTCCAGGTACAGGTCGGCGGGGAGGCGCAGGCCCTCGGTGCGCGACACCACGCCCGCCCAGGACGACCCGGAGTCGAACCACACGTCCATCGTGTCCTCGCCGCGCTTCAGCTTGGGCGCCTCGGCGCGGAGAGGCTCCGGGAGGAGGTCCGCGGTGTCAAACTTGTACCACGCGTCCGACCCGTGCTCGGCGAACACGTCGCGGACGTGCGCGATCGTCTCCTCGGTCATCAGCGGCTCGCCGGAGTCCTCGTAGTAGAACACGGGGATCGGGACGCCCCACTTGCGCTGCCGCGAGATGCACCAGTCCGACCGCCCCTCGGTCATCGCCGAGATGCGCTTCTCGCCGGCCGCGGGGACCCACGAGACCTCCCCGATCGCCTTCAAACACTCCTCCCGGAAGCCCTCCACCGACGCGAACCACTGCTCCGTCGCGCGGAAGATGGTCGGCTTCTTCGTGCGCCAGTCGTAGGGGTACTTGTGCGCATACTCCTCCTCGACCAGCAGCGCGCCGCCGCCCTGGAGCGCCTCGATCACCGCCGCGTTGCCCTCCCCCTGCACGCTCAGGCCCTTGAACGCCTCGCCGGCCTCCTCCGTGAACCGCCCCGCGTCGTCCACCGGCGACAACAAACCCAGGTTGTGCTTCTGGCCCGTCATGTAGTCCTCCTGGCCGTGCCCGGGCGCCGTGTGCACGAGGCCCGTGCCGGAGTCCGTCGTGATGTACTCCCCGCCCACCACCACGGGGCTCTCGCGCTCGTACAGCGGGTGCTTGTACTTGCACCCCGCCAGCTGCGCGCCCGTGAACACGTGCTGCACGGTCAGACCCACGCCGAACTTCTCCGCCGCGGTCTCCACCAGGTCCTTCGCCACGATCACGCGCTTCCGCGCCCACCCCGCCGCGCCCTCGCCCTCCGCCGCACACACCGCGTACTCGATCCGCTCGTTCACCGCCACGCCGAGGTTCGCCGGGATCGTCCACGGCGTCGTCGTCCACACCGCGATGGACGTGTCGCCCACGCACGCCGCCAGCTCCTCGGGCGCACCCTCGGGCACCTCACTCAGCGGCAGTGCCACGTAGATGGACCGCGACGTGTGCCCCTCGGGGTACTCCAGCTCCGCCTCCGCGAGCGCGGTCCGCGAGGACGGCGACCAGTGCACGGGCTTGAACCCGCGGTAGATGTGCCCGTTGAGGACCATCTTCCCGAACACCTCGATCTGCGCGGCCTCGTAGGCCGGGTCGAGCGTGACGTAGGGCGCGTCCCAGTCCGCCCAGACGCCGTACCGGCGGAACTGCTCCTTCTGGGACTCGACGGTGGCGAGGGCGAACTCGCGGGCCTTCTCGCGGAGCGTGACGGGCGTCAGGGCCTCGCGCTCCGACTTCTTGAGACTCTGGAGCACCTTGAGCTCGATTGGAAGACCATGGGTGTCCCATCCGGGCACGAACTTGGCCTTGCGGCCGCGCAGGAGCTGGTAGCGGTTCACGAAGTCCTTGAGGATCTTGTTCAGCGCGTGGCCGATGTGGAGGTCGCCGTTCGCGTACGGCGGGCCGTCGTGGAGCGTGAAGGTGTCGCCCGCGTTGGAGCTCGCCAGCGTTTCGTACACGCGCGCCTCCTCCCAGAACTTCTGGATCTCGGGCTCGCGCTTGAGCGAGTTGGCGCGCATGTTGAACTCCGTCTCCGGCAGCCGCACCGTCGCGCTGCGGACATCGCGCGCGGAAACGGGGCGGAGAGACTCAGAGCACAGGGTCAGGCGCGCACAGGGCCCCTGGGGCCGCGATGAGACGCGTCCAGGCTGTTTCCGGACGGAACCGCTCATAGTGATGGGATCGCGAGGGCGTCCTGCGCGGCTACGGCCGCACACGCGCGCTGCGAGGGCGCTCTTGCTCCGCTGCCGCACGTCCCAGCGCCGGTTGCAGCGGGCGCAGGGGGCGCCCTCGCGCAGCGTTCGCCGGCGGAATGCGCGGCTCACCTGTAAACGGAGTCGTCCTTATTCTTGCGGCCCTTCCCGCCCTTCGCACCGACCGAAACAGAGAGGCATCGCGATGGGCGGGCGCCCAGGAGCGGGCGACCCAGCCTGGCGTCGACAGGCCGCGGCATGGAGACCCTCTGCCCGCGCAGCAACGCCGTCTGCAGTGGGAGTGGAGGGGTCCGCCGCGGCGTGGGGGGATGTGCGATCTTCCGGACGTGCCACACAGGTGGTCCAGGGCGGTGCGGCGCTGTGGGGGTTGATGTGGGCAATGCGCCGCGCGGGGGCGGCAGAGTGGAAGTCGATTGTCGCGGCGCGGATGTTGCCTCCGCGGGAAATCGAGAGGGCGGGCTGCAGGGGCGGGGAGCCTAGCTCGCACCTGAAGGCTCGGGCCGGCAGCCATGCTGCGCGTCCCGCTCCGCGGGAGGCTGCACGTGCACTTCATGACGAAAGTCCGAAACGTTTTTGCGCAGCCGTCCCGCGAACACGGGGCTGTCGCTCTCCCACGACGCCACGAGCACACCGATCAGTCGTCCCTGCAGCCTACCCTCAACGCACGTCTGCGCGCTGACTCACACCTGACCGCCGTCGGCGTGCTGTGCCGCGTCACCGCAGCACGCGCGCCATCCAGCCCCGGCCGCGGGAGGCCCAACTGCACGGTTTGCAATGTCAACGCCCCGGGGGGTGTCGTCCGCGCGGCCGCCCGCGCGCACGCCGGCGAGCGGTGCGAGGAAATGAGAGCCATCGAGCACGACTTGGCGCTCCGCTGCGGTACGAGGCGAGCCCGCCAGCGCCACGTACACGCGTGGGGTCTTGACATCAATCAAGGGGGGGGAGGGCAGGGAGGCTCCGAGGGCGGCGCGTGTCACGCTGCAACGCCCCTGCGGCGGACATCTGACGAGCAACGCGAGGGCGGCCGCAATCGCTCGCGCATGCCGGTCCACGACCCCGCAGAGCGAGGCATACCACTGCTATGTGTTTCCACACACGCAGCTCAGTCGCCGTCGTGTGTGCGTTCGGCAGGCGCGCCACCGCGGCGGTGACATCGAGGCGCGCTGCGCGGCCGCGCCGGGAACCACCTGCCACGTGCGTGGGGGGTAGAATGCGATGACTCAGGGCCAGACTGCAGCCACGTGGCTGGCCCGACCCCCGCCGACGCTGATGCGGACCGCCGCGCGTGCGGCGGCACACTGGGCTCCGGATATTTGCCGGAGACAAGTGGCAAGGCCCGCAACGGCGCCGTCGGGTAGATCCGGCCACAACCTCCCTCCCCTGCTTTTTGGCGCTCTGTGGCCGCTGGTGCTGTGTCAGCGCGCGAGAGCGCAAGATGGTGTTCGGGAGAGGCAAGAAGGCCTCGGAGGAGGTGCGTTGCGGACGTCCGATCCCCGCAACTTGCCGCGTACGCGGCCCCGCGGCAGCTCTTTCCCCCCTTGCGGAGGGCAGGCGCCGGCGCCGCGACGGACGCCGTGCGCCGCGACGCACGTGCGCGCTGCCGACCGCGCGGCCCTCTTGAGGCGGCGCGGCTGCGCCCAGCGAGACGTGAGCTGGCCGCGCCGCGGCGCTGCGTGGCCACACTGCACACTGCTTAGCTCAGCGTCGCGGTGGTTCTTGTCCTGCGTCGTGCGCGAGGGGTCCAGCGACTCCCCCGCGGAGCATGATCTCGTGATTGCGCGCGCAGCCTGCACGCCGCGGCGCGCGTCACCCGCGGCGCGTCCCGGCGGCCTCTCCGCCACTCGATGCCCAGCACTGCTCGTGCCCTTGGCCGCTGCTGCGCGTTTCCGACCACGCTCGCGTCCAGCCGCATGGTTCGCCTCCCACGGTCACTCGCGCGGACCGCTTTCGGGAACCGTCCGCGAGGTGTTGCGCGTTCGGCCCGGAAGGCAGCTGGTGAGCTCTTTCGCCCTGCCGTCCCGCCAACGTTCGTTTCGCGGCGCCCGCACGGTCTCTGCAGGCCCGATGCCTCGTGGACGAGATCTTCTCTAGTCCCGGGGACCTCGACTGGCGCAAGGTGGAGGCGCTGGTGAAGCACTTGCGCGCTCAGCCCAACCAGGCGGACGACGTGGCGTCCATACTGAAGAACTTCGTGCGGGACAGGAACCCCGAGTACGTCCTGATCAGCATCATGATCCTCGACAGCCTCGCGCTGAACGCCCCGCAGGCCATGATGCCCGTCCTCGGCCACAAAAAGTGGCGCGACCGTCTCTTCGAGGCCAGCGTCAGGCACGACGACCAGTTCGTGCGGCGCGCCGCGCGCCAGTTCATCGTGAACCTCGCCCACCACTTCCAGCAAAGCCCCATCGGCGACACGTACAGCCAGTACCCTGAATGGTTCAAAGAGGCGCGCCTTGACCCTGCGAGAATCCCGCGCCCGCGCGAGCCGGAGCCGCTGCGCCCGTTCGAGGGCGCGGTGTCCGGGGCGCCGATCATCCGCGGCATCGACTACATGGCGGAGGCCCGCGCCGGCGACCAGGCCTCGACGGCAGCGCCGACAACGCCCGCGGCCTCCGCGCACTACGCGCGCGGCTACGACACGCCGTCCGCGGCGGAGAGCGGGCGGCGGCGCGACACTGACGGCGACGACGTGTTCGACATCCTCGGCGATGAGGACGACGACAACGACATCAGGTGTGGTCACAAGAGACTTCATCATGCGTGTCCTGCGCTCTGGCCCGCCGCACCAACCAAACACACGCGCGCGCGCCGTCCCGACGTCGCCAGCGCCCGGCTCCGCCGCGCTGCAGCATGATGACGACGAACACCGCGGCGCACGAGACCCCGGACGAGTTGGTGTCGAGCTTCGAGCGCGACGTGACGGCGCTGGTGGAAGCCGTGCGCCACGTGGCGTCCGTCCGTGCAGCGCACGCCCGGAACCAGGCCACGCAGGGCGCGCTCACCGCTGCGGTCGTCTCCCGGCGCGACGTCGCGGAGACATGCCGCAACTGGAACAGCAACTCCTCCCAGCACTACGAGATGGTGTCCCAGGACGGCGACGCGACGGAGGAGCGCCTCCTGCAGCGCTTCATCGACTGCGCGTCGCGCTCGAACGCCGCCGTCGACCGCTGGGACCTCCTCGTGGGGCTTTGCTCCAACGACGGCGCGGCGAGCGACCCCGCGTTCATGTCCACGATCGCCGCGCTGGCGTCGGTGACCGTGACGACGATCGAGCAGGACCCCACGCAGGCGCCCGCGGCCGCGGCGCCGCCGCTGTCGGCGCGGGGCGCGGCGGGCGACGCCGCCAGCGCGCAGATGGCTGCGGCGCGCGCGCTGGAGGAGTACCGCGTGCTGGCGGGGGAGACGGGGCGTCTGCGCGCGGCGCTGCAGGAGGCCGGGCAGCAGTACAGCGCGGCGGAGGAGAAGCACGCGCGGGAGATCAAGGAGCTGAAGAGTACGGCGTTGCTGCGCGTCAAGGGGCTGATGGAGGAGAAGGGGGCGCTGGAGCGGCAGCTGGGCGAGGCGGAGGGGCGGCTGGAGGCGCTGGAGGGGGAGCTGACGGAGGCGACGTCGCAGGCGTCGGCGCGCGGGGCGGCGGCGCGGGGCGGCGAGGCGGCGCGTGCGGAGGTGGAGGCGGTGCTGGTGCGCGAGGCGGCGCGGCGGAAGGAGGTCGAGGAGAAGCGCGACCGGATCGCGAAGGAGCTGGCCCAGGCCAAGGTGCGTGCGAGATCTCGCCGTTGTGCGCGCCGCCGGTGCTGCGCCGCACAGCGTCACAGTGCGCGGTGCCGGTGCGCTCGCTTGCCGCGCAGGAGAAGATCGCGCGGTTGGAGATGGAGGTCGAGGAGAAGGAGGCTGCGATGGAGAGCGCGATGGTGCAGCTGCGGTCCGAGAAGGAGGCGATGCACAGCCAGCTGTCGGTGCTGCGCGCACAGATGGAAACCATAGCGCCGAAGCTCGAGAGCGTCGAGGCGCTGGAGCGCGAGGCGGCGGAGTGCAGGTCGGCGGCGGACCGCGCGACCGCCCGGCTCGCGGGCATGGAGGGGGAGTACAAGCGCGAGACGATGATGCGGAAGCAGCTGCACAACCAGCTGCGGGAGCTCAAGGGCAACATCCGCGTGCTGGCGCGCGTGCGCCCGGTGCTGCCGTTCGACGGGGAGCTCAAGGGGCACGCGTGCGGGCCGCTCGACGAGTACACCGTCGGGATCCGCGTGCCGCGGGGCGAGGGCGACTTCCAGGAGAGGTGAGCGCCGCGGGAGACTTGCTTTTACGATTGCGATTGCTTGTGCGCCGAAGTTGGATGTGCTGTCTCGGCGGGTGCGGTCGCGCGTTTCGCAACGCGGCGTCGGAGGGGCGGCTCTGGCGCGCGGAGGCACGTGGGGACTGATTGTGTGTCGGGGGGGTGTGTTGCAGGAAGTACGAGTTCGACCACTGCTTCGACGGCGCGGCGAGTCAGGAGGAGGTGTTTAGCGAGGCCCAGGCGCTGGTGCAGTCGGCGCTGGACGGGTACAACGTCTGCGTGTTCTGCTACGGGCAAACAGGGTCTGGGAAGACGCACACGATTTTCGGCACGGAGGGCAACCTGGGCATCCTCCCGCGCGCGATCGAGGACCTCTTCTCGCGCCCAGGCGTCACGGCGACCGTCACGATGCTCGAGCTGTACATGGACAACCTGGTGGACCTCATGGGCGACCGCCGCAGCGCGCAGGACCTGGGCAAGACGCGCGCCGCGGAGCTCAAGATCGCGCGCGGGGCCGGCGGGCTCATCGAGGTGCAGGGCGCGGTGAAGCAGGAGGTCGCGTCCGCGGCGGAGGCGTCGGGGCTGCTCAAGAAGGGCATTGCGCTGCGCAGCACCGCGTCGACGAAGAAGAACGACCGCTCGTCGCGGAGCCACATGATCTTCAGCATGGTGGTGGAGGCGTACGACCAGGTGCAGGGGACGCGGGCGCGCTCGCGGATGTCGTTCATCGACCTCGCGGGGTCGGAGCGCGTGGCCAAGAGCGGGTCGATCAACGACGAGCAGCGGCTCAAGGAGGCGACCGCGATCAACAAGTCGCTGTCGGCGCTCGCGGACGTGGTGTCCGCGCTCACGAAGGGCGAGTCGTTCGTGCCGTACCGCAACCACAAGCTGACGCAGCTGATGTCGGACTCCCTGGGGGGGAGTGCCAAGACGCTCATGGTGGTCAACCTGTCGCCGCTCGAGGCCGACGCGGGCGAGACGAAGCTCTCGCTGGACTACGCGTCGCGCGTGAAGCTCGTGCGCAACAACGCGTCGCGCTCGTTCGAGACGCGCGAGACGGCGCGGCTGGAGAAGATCATCGATGAGCTGACCATGGAGCTCGAGATGTACCGCGGGGCGGACGGGGACCGGCCCGCGGTGTCGGCGTCGCCGTCGATCAGGCGGATCGCGGCGTCGTCGTCGCGGCAGGCGAGCTCGCGGACGCTGATGCGGACGCCGAGCAAGCGCTGAGAGATATGTGATGCGAGAACGCACGCGAAGCGCGGCTGCGCGGTGCAGAGAGGTGCGGGGCGCGGTGCGGGACGTGCCTCCACTCGCTCTGTCTGATTGTAGGTCAGGGCCTCCCCAGGCACATGGTGACATGCTCACGTGCCATTTCGCGCCAGTACCCCTCCTCCTAGCACGTTGCCGCCTTGATCAGGACGAGGGCACATCCGCTTTTCGTGTCTTGCGCGGGTGGTCAATCGCTTCTCTCGTGGTGCGCGACTGGAGCGTGCGATGACGTGGTCCGCGGTGGCGTGTTTTTGTGGGTAGTTGGGCCCGGCCTGACGCGGGACAGCGGCGCGAGGAAGGCCCGGCCTGGAGCCTTGCGCGGTCGGTCTCGTGCAGCTGAGTGCACAAGCTCAATTACAATTCGTGAGCCATCGATTCATGCGCCCGTCCGGCCGGTAAGTGCGGGCCTGAAGAGGGCTCGCGACGGCAATGGACGCCCCGGTGGGCGCGGGCCAGGTGTCGCCACAGGGCGCGCATAGAGGCCCGCCGTCTCCGGGCGGCCGCGTATCGCCAGCTCCGGGCATTATCGACCAGCAGGTGTGCGCCCGCCCCGCCGAGTGTTTGCGCTGCGTCCTGTTGCAGCGACTCGCGCCTGGCGCTCGCGGAACCGCCGAACTTCGACGCCCGCACCTCGCTAGCGAGTCCAAGACTTCACTGTCTCGCTCCGCGTCGCGGAATTCAGGATGACTGGATGTACGAGGGAGAGGCGACCCCGCCAGCAGACGATGGAGCCGGGAGGGATCTGCTGCACCTCGAGAACCAGATGCGACAGGCGGACTTCGTCATGGACCCACAGGTCATCCAGGTCCGCTCGCACCCCGGCGTTCTCCGCGCGCGTCGCGCCTGCTCCCCTGGAAGCTACCTTGCGCACTCGCTCCGCAGAAACGTTCCGCACGCGCTCGCCCACGCCGCGACGCAGACGCTGAGGGAGTACCTGCGCAAGGGAGGCAAGCCCGAGATCGCCATCGAGCTCCTCGCGGACTCGTACGCCGGCTACGCGCAGATGGCGTCGGTCGTCGGGCGATGGCTGTCGCTGGCGACCAGCACGGCCCCGCCGGCCGCCACCGACGCTCCCGGCGACGTCTCGGACCCCTGGCACGGCCACGAGGAAGGCGGGCGCGACGCGGTGCTCGCGCTGCTCGTGGCGGAGGCCGAGGCGCGCTACAGCCCCGAATCTTTCCAGGTGCGAGTCTGCCGCGTGCACGGACGCTCGCGCGCAGAATACGGCGCCGGCCCCGTCCGGAGGGATCGCCACGCCCCTCGGGCCGACGCGCTGTGTTCAGTCCGCGTTTGTGCGTGCGCGAACAGTAAATAAGGTTGTTTGGTTGTTGACCCTTGTGTCGGCTCTTCGGCCGTGACGTGGGACCCGCGGCGTCCGCTTGGCTGCAGAACGCGTTCCAGCCGGGCGGGGCGGGGGTTCCGCAGTGGTTCGAGGACCTGTTGACGTTCGAGCAGGGCCGAAAGCTCACGTACCGCCTGCTAGAGAAACACCCTGCGTGCCCCCTGCTCGATTACGGCCTGCGGACTGTCATCGCCGCGGGGCACCAGGAGGAGGTCGCGGCGGCTGGCGGGCCCGTCGCGCGACAGTTCTGGGTGTACCACACCATCCTGTCAGGTGCGGCGAGCCGCCCCCTGCCGCGTGCATGCATGCACGCCAGCATGGTGCAAGTGCAGCTGCTGAGCTCGCGAGGCGCCGCGGCCGCCGCCTTGCGTGCAGCACGGCTGAAGCGTGCGGCGTCGCATCCGGAGCGGGCGTCCGCGGAGATGCGGGCGGTCGTCGCGGCTGCGCTGAGCGAGCAGGAGTTATACCTCCACACCCTGACGATGCTGACCACGCTGGGCGCGCACCCGAGAGGCGGCATCTTTCGCAAAGCCGCTGCGGAGCTCCAGAGCCAGGCTGCGCAGGTCCAGGGCGGAACTGTCTGGCGGGCGATCTCCGAGCTGTCCTCCAAAGGTGCTCCGCCATCACCCCCTTCTTCGCGTCATCCTCGTGCCTCGCTGCCTCGCTTTCTCGAACTGATCGCCCACGCGCCCCCGCATGGCGCGAGCCTCACGCGTCAGCGCCACCCGCCCTCCCCCTCGCAGCCAGCACCAGACGGGGCGACGCGCGCAGCTTCTCGGCGGCTGCGAACCTCCTCTCCGCGCCCGCGGGCCGCGTTCCCACGGCGATCGCCGCCCTCCACCGTCTCTTCGCCGCCCACGCGGCCCCGAAGACCCCCGACACCCCCCACGAACCCCCCCCTCCCCACGCCCTGCGGACCCTCCCGGTGCTCCACTGCCTCATGCGCGCCGTCCTGCCGGCCGGGTCCGCTGGCGCAGCGTCCTCGCAGGCAGTCGCACTGCTCGCCGAGGCCTGCTCTGCGGACCCCATGGAGCGAGACATGGTCGAAGACACGCTGCGCGAAGCAACAGAGTCCATGCGCAAACTCGCCTCCAGCGGGGCCGAGCTGGACTCGAGCTCGCTCTACCACATCGGCGAGGTCCCCGTCGCGAGTCTCAGCGCGCTGATCACCGTCGAGGACGCGTACCAGCCGCCGTTGGGGGACGTGGCGGCAACGGCGGGTCCGGCGGCGCTGCAGGTGGTGCACGCGGTCCTGCAGGCGCAGCCGCAGCTGTTCGCGGAGGGACTGCGGGCGCTGCGGGCGTTGATGGCGTCGGGATGTCTTCAGGAGGAGGACAGGCGACGGTTGCTCGGGTACGTCGTGGATGGGCTGAGAACGGCGCACGCGGCGGAAGCGATGGCGTGGCTGTCGTCGTGGGCGCAGCAGGCGGACACGGACCCCGGCGACGCGCAGTTCGCATTTCTGTGCAGCTTGTCGCGGTGCGGACCGCCATACGGGGCGGAATTCGTGGCGTGCTGCGCGGCACTGTTTCGGGCGACGAAGCTGCGGGACGCGGGCGCGTGGCCCGAGGGGAGCGCGGAGAGGGCGCTGGTGGAGGAGTTCGCGAGGGGGAGCCGCGAGGTGGACGTGGGGCAGCTGGCGGGCGGGGTCTTGCTCGACTTGTGGAGAGGCAGCGGCATGACGGCGCAAGAAACGAAATGCACGTGAGGCAGGCAGGGAACGGCGAGATGCTGAGAGATGTGTGTTACATCATGATCTTTTCAGGTCCCAAAGCCTTATGGCTGACGACGCGAAGATTGCAAACACCTCACCTCACCTCATCTAGCGTAGTATCTGCGCCAGGAACAGCCCATGTACCTGTGCCCTGGGTGTCAGGACAGAGACTAGAGACGAGCACGCCAAATCTTGCAAGCAAGGATAGGATATCTCCCCAGGATGCTGAGTTCGGGGTTCATGCTGGCGGGTCCTCCCAGCGCCCATGTTGGCGCCCGCGCTCCCCGCCGGTATTTTGAGGCGCACGACGCGGCCTTACTCGCGATTAGCGCGCTCGGCCTCCATCGCAGATGTCGGCTTCGACCGCGCGAGGTTCTTCCGGCTCGTCGACGGGCTCGGCGCCACCATGCGCTCGCCCGTCCCGAGCCCCAGCCGCGCCGCGTACGCCGCGTCGTACGCGTCCTTCCCGATGAGGCTGACCCCCCCCTCTGGGACACAAGCGCTGAGGAACTGCGTGGCGGCCGCGACGACCGCCTTCTCGTCGTCGCAGAGCGGCAGCGCCGAGAGCACGAAGTCGCGCACGCGCAGGGCGTGCTGCCGGCGCTGCGACGACGTGTGCAGGGCGGCAGTGCTGCCTGCCCTGTTGGCCCCCCCGCGCCATATCAAGGACGTGCGCGTCTCCTTGCCGTCCTTGCCGTCCAGCCACCTGCTCGCCGCGCTCGACCGCGTGTCCATCTCCTTCTCCTTCCTCTCCTCCTTCTCCTTCTCCTTCTCCTTCTCCTCCTTCTCCTTCCCGCCGTCCCTCTCCTTCTCGTGGCTGGCGCCGTTGGACAACAGCGCGCTGCCGTCGTCCGCCGACATCAGCGGGATGGCCTCGGACGCCCAGTAGAGGTACATGAGGACGGTGCGCGTGAGGATCGGCGCCATCGACGGCGCCACGCGCAGGAGCTGCGTCAGGTACGGGCGAATGAAGACCTCGTAAAACTCCATCTGCTGCACCGGCACGCGCCCCGAGTTGCGGTCCATCATGGGGTTGACGTTCATGCCGAGCTCGCGCTCGCAGTCGCCCTGGTGGTAGAACTCGTCCACGACGCGCGCCGCCCACTGGGGCGACAGCGACACCGGCTTGAAGGTGTGCCCGAGGTCGGCGAGGTGCAGCACGGCGCACAGCATCGACGAGAGGTCCGAGCGGACGACGGTGCCGACGGGCTCGTCGTCGGGGAAGCGGTCCGCGACGAGCTCGATCGCGGCCTGCAAGTCGAAGTGTTTGCTCATGTCGGTACATATGATGAGCCGAATGATGAGCTTCCGGACCCGCGCGAACTCCGCGGGCTTGAGGGCCGCGAGAACGTCCGTCGCGCTCGACTCGGCCATGATCTGGAAGAGCACCGCCGCGTGCATGTTCTCCTGCACGCTCTCGTCGTTGTACTTGAGGGCCAGGGGGTGGCGCGTGGCCACCAAGAAGCCGTTCGACACGCCGAGGTGGCCGACGTCGTGCCCGCACGCCGCGACGAGCACCGCGACCGCGTCGAGCCGCGTCAGCGCGTTCGTGAGCTCGGGGCTCGAGATGAGCATGCAGAAGGCGGTGTGGCACACGTCGACCGCGTGCCGCCAGTTGTGGTACGGCCGGTCGGCGTACCGCGCCCGCAGCCGGCACAGGAACATCCGCAGCACCTCCTCGTCGACGAGCCCCTCGTCCCCGTCGAGATCCGTGTCCAGCCGCAGCGCCCGGTGCACCGCCCCCGCGCCCCGCGAAGTGTTGCTCGGCCTGCCCACCGACGACGCCCCCGTGCCCGTCGACCCCTTGTCCGCCGTCGTCGACCGCGACAGCGCCATCGACCGCCGCGACTGCTCGCGCCGCGTTGTCAGACCCAGCACCGCAAACATCTCCAGCACGTGCGTCAGAATCTCGTCCTCCTCCAGCTCCATCACGTCCCACTCCGGCGTGCCCAGCAGCACCAGGCGGTCCACGCGCTCCGGCGGCGCGGCCTCCACGGACGCGTCCTCGTCGATACTCTTCCCCACGACGGCGCCGACGCTGCGGTGCACGCGCTTGAACGACCGGCCCGACGCCGCGCCGTTGCCGGACTTCGACGGCGTGCGCGCGACCAGCGCCGGCGTCGCCGAGTGCGTCGTCGCGCGGCGGCCCTCCGAGCTCCCCTGCGCCATGAGACCCGCTGGCGTGCGCTGCCGGAGCCCCTTCGCTAGGTGCGCGATCAGGCGGGCGCCCGCCGCGCCGCCCTTCGACCCGTGCGCGTGCGACTCGTTCACGTCCCTGTTGAGCACGCCGTACAGGTCGAGCCACTGCGTCGCGCCCTCCCGCCCCTCCACCTCGGCTTCGTGGAACAGCCGCTGCATCACGTTGCGGCCCCGCGTCGCCGCCAGGAGCATCACGCGCATCGTGTGCGCGACGCCCGCGATCTGCGCCGGCAGCGAGTCCAGCGCGCGCCGCCGCCCGCCCGCCTTGGACACGGTGCGCGCCACCGGCGGTGCCGCGCCCCCCCTCCCGTGCACGACGAGGCCCACCTTCTCGATCTCGCCCGCGATCACGAAGACCTCGTGCAGGAGGGAGCGCAGCGGCTTGAGGACGGCGCGCACGGAGGTGAAGAACAGGAAGGCCATGTAGAGCGGGATCTGCACCGCTAGGATGATGTGCCACCAGCACAAAGTCACCATGCGGTCGCGCGCCCAGTCGTCCGTCCAGAACCGCGCCTCCGTCGCTTCGCCGTCGTCGCGAACCACCAGCGCGTGCGCCACGAGACTGCGGGGGAGGGCGCGCTGTGCGGCGGGCGTTGGCGGGTTGCAGGCGCCGCAAGTGGGGTGGGGCGTAAGGTGGTCGATGGGTGGGGGGGGGGCTTGCCTGGCCTCCTCGGAGCCAGGCGGGGGTCCGACCGTGAAGGCGCCGGAGGTGATTTGCAGCACGTCGAGGGGCGTGCGGCCTCGCTGCAGGTTGGCGTAGAGCCTGTCGAGGGTGGCCTGGTCGCGCACAGTCGGGAGCACCGTGCCGACGAGCGCGCGCACCATGCCGTTGTAGCGCTCTCTATCCTGCGCCGCGGACAGCTGCGAGGTGCCCGAGATGACGACGACGGCGATGCTGAGCAGCACGACGCACGTCACCTTGGTTGCCCGGATGGCCTGCAGGTTGCTCCAGTGCTCCCCGGCGGAGATGGCGCCCTCCATGGCGCAGTGCACGAGGTGCCAGACGCGGTAGCGCGCCAGGACGACCACGAACTTGATGTGCGCGATCGCGAGGAGGAGGTGGGAGACGAAGGAGCCGAGGTGGAACAGGCGGCCGACGACGGCGCAGAGGCCGCCCACGTCCCACGTGCCGTCCGAGGGGAAGACCAGGATGCCGCTGTCGCGGTCCGCCACGCCGACGGTGCAGAGGATCATCGCCAGGACCGCCGCGAGCGTCGCGGCCACGTCCACTCCGACCATCACCAGGCCCAGCGACTGCGGCGCGCAGCAGGGGGCGTCAGCGGAGGCGTCAGGCGCGGGAGCGGGCGGGAACACGCACGAAGGCCCGCCAGCAGCGGGCGGACGGGCGCTTATGTCGCAGGAGCGGCGGAAACGCGCAACAGACAGGGCAAACAAGGGCAGGTCGTGGGCGAGCGCGGGGCGCCCTCGCGGCGGGCCCGGGGGGCGACGCCGCGCGGGGCTGCTCACCTCTGCGTGGACGCGCGAGGTGCGGTAGGCGTACACGGAGACGGCGAGGTCGGCGACCCAAGCGGCACCCACTGGAGCGAAGGTCGCCGCCACGATCGCCGCGGACTCGCTGCTGGACCGCCCCAGCGACGCGCCCAGGGCGATGATGTCCACGTGCAGCCCGACGAGGGTCGCGAGGCAGATGAGCGCCGCGTACGCAGGGCTGCCGACAACCTGCGGGCGGCCAGAGCTGGGCGCTGTTCGTCGCGGAGAGCGCGAACAGGGGGCCCGAAGGCCGCCTTGGAGGCGTTGCGGGGCGCCAGGAAGGGTTCTCGGGGGCCGGAGCGGGCTGCAAGGGCCGGTGGCCGCGTGCGCAGGCTAGGGTGCCCCTGCGCCAGTGTGCGACCTTGCGCGGCCGGGGGGGCGCGATTCGAGGGCGCGAGGGGCTGAGGAGGATGGCTCTGCTCGGGAAGCGGGATCCGGAGGCGCCGCGCGCGCGGTTGGGGCGCAGCGCGGGAGGGTGCGGTGCCAAGCCCAGGGGCAGGCGCGGTGCACCTCACCTTCTGGAGGCCGGTGGCGCGCCGGCCGACGGGGAAGTCGCCGTATTGCATTGCAATTTTGCTGAAAAAACCTAGTCCGCCATCCATGTTCGCGCGTGCCCCCGGCGGGGCTGCCCCTGTCTGCACGCAACTCCCGGTGGCGGCAGCGCGCCTCGAGGGGCGACCGCCGGGGCGCAGTGCCAGAGCAGTCGCCTACGCGTGCTCTTGGGAACGATCGGCAAAGACGGCCGGGATCTCCACGGCAGCGGCCGAACAGGCTCGATCGTCCCCGTGCATCGTGGGTGACGCGCGCTTGCCTCCTTGGCCGCCGTTCCGCACGAAAGGTTATCGTTTATGCGCTATCTCGCCGGCAGCCGGCCCCAAGGACGCCCCGCCTCGCGAGGGGGCGCGCGCCAGCCCGCCCTACGTAGCAGTGCGGTGACACACTCCGGGCGTGCAGGGCGGCGCGGGAACGCCACGGCGAGACCCACGGCCGCGGCTGGGGGCGCTGCGCGTCACAGTCATCGCTTCTTGCGCCTCGGCCACATCAGGCCGCGCTCGTCTATGTACTTGTCGCTCTTCGACACACCATACCACTTCAGGCTCTCCGTCGCCGCCGAGCCGTGCGGGTCGCGGTTCGAGCGCACCATGTGGTTGCTCCGGTGCAGCTTCGGCTGCACGCGCTTCCACCACGACGGGTCCCGCTCGTTCATGGCCTCCTGCGCGGGGTCCCAGCCAAAGAGCGTTGCGAGCGTGCCACACCGCGGCGGGCGGCCCTTCCAGGGGCCCGAGCGCGCGAGCTGGAAGGTTGAGAGCGTCGCACCTGCCAGCGCCTGCTTGGTGGCAGCGGGGCCGTGCCAGCGTGCTTGAGCACTGGCAGGAAGGGCAGCGGGATGAAGGACTGCCGCAACTGCTTCACGTCGTGCGTGACGTCGATCAGCCGCCGCCCGCGCAGGTCACCGATGCGCTCCCAGAAGTTGAGCACGTCCTGCAGCTCCGCGCCCGTGACCCTCGCGTGCCGCCCGCCGCCCGCTGCAGCCACGGAGCGGACTCGCCGCGTGTTCGGGCCCGGTGACGCGCGCGTCGCGGACGAAACGCGCAGACCGTGTGGCATCGGCGGTCCCCTCGCGGTCAGTGGCTCTGAAACGCGGTTTCGGGCGACCAGAGGGCAGGGAGAGGCGACAAGAGCCTGCGGAGGGTTTGGCGACGCTGGGGCGGCAGCGTGAGCGCGCACGGCCGTGACAACCACTCACCCCTGCCGGCCATCACGGCACGGGTTGTGACGGAAGGCAGATACAGACGAAGAGCTTGTCGTGAGACCCTGAGAGAGGTTGTCTGTGCTCTCAGGGTTCCTAGGCCTCCGCCGACGCGAGGACGACCGATCCAGCGAGGAAATACGTATCTACAGGATCGAATCTGTCTGCATGCGGCAACCTTCGCAGCCAACGATGCGCGTGCTCGCCTGTGGAGGGCTCACAAGACGTGCTTCCAGTCTTCCTCAGCACCGAAAGACCACCCCCACGCGGCACCAGCGGGATGCCGCGCGAGGGCGGCGCGCCGGGCCACACTCGCGTTGCGAGCGTCGCGATACGGAGGAGCTTCGCGCAGAGCTTCGCACTCTGGGCCACGCAACCACCCCGGCACGCCCGCACCTGCTGCGAGCGAAGCCGCGGCACCGGGCGAGGGCCTCGCGGGCCCGGCGGCGCCCTGCGCAGCCCCGACTCTGTCCTTCTGCGCGAGGGAGACGCGATGACGTCGCAGACGGTGCGTGGCGCGCGGGGGATTCAAACCCGCCCTGCTGCTGTGCGCGCTACGCGGGTCCCTCACGCTGCGGCGTCGTGCGGTCGCGGCCTCTGTCCGCGCGCGAGGGAGCAGCTCACACCGCTCGCGGCGCCAGCGAACCGCGCGCGCTCGGGCTCCGCCGGCGACCGCCGGGTTCGTCCGCGTTGCTCCGCGGAAGTGCGAAACGCTGCGCGTTGCGCGCCGTCCGCCTCCTATGCAGTTCGAGCGCCGTTTCCAGGACGTCGACTACTTCGTGTCGGTGGAGTCGGAGGTCGAAAACGGCCCTTTCACCGTGGAAGTGGAGCGGAAGACCGACGGTCAGCTATGGAAACGCGTGCTGTCGGACAAATGTGCGGCCACAGCCCCCTCGCGACGCGCGCAGCGACCACCCATCATCCAAGCAATCAGCTCCTGCAACCGCGCCCCGGAACCCCGCCAGCGCCGCGCGCCAGCAAGCTGCCACACACACACACACGCCTCCGTCGCCGCCCCGTCGCCGCGGCGCAGCCCCGCCGTCCCTCACCTCCACGAGCCCCCCACGCTGCACGCCCGCAGACGTGCAAGAGCTCACCTCCAAGGCAGGCTCGGCAAAATCCCTCCCCGTCTTCCGCGACATGCTGATCGCCGCCCTGCACGGCTCCTCCACCTCCGTCTCGGTCGAACTCCTCACCTACAGCGACCTCGAAGCCCTCCGCCACCGCACCACCGGTGCGCCCCCCGCGCCGCCCACACAACCCCCCTCGCGCCCACAACCTCCCCCCCCCACGCCCGCCCTCACCCCGCAATCCCCCCGCCCCTCGAAGCAGGCGCCGCACACGCCTCCACGCAGCCCTCCGGCCCCTCGAAGCGCTACTTCATCCTCACGTACTCGGCGGAGTTCGACCGCGTGCACTACCCGCTGCCCATCGAGCCCTCCGCGCCCGACGCCGCGCGGCTGCAGCGCATGCTGGGGCGCATCCGCGCGGAGAACGAGGCGCTGCGCGGCGCCGCGGCGCTGGGCGCTGTGCCCGGGTCGCGCATCCATGAGGTGGTAGAGGAGGTGCGGCGGCTGCGGGGGGAGAATGACGCGCTGCGGGAGGAGCTGCGCGCCGGGGGGCGCCTCGAGGGCGACGAGAACACGGTCGTCGCGCAGCTGCAGGCGGCGCTAGCGCGCCGGGAGCTCGAGCTGGAGGAGGTGACGCGCGAGCTGCGGGTGGCGAAGCGGCAGCGGGACGAGATGAGGGAGCGGGCGCTGAACGCGGAGACGGCGCTGGAGGACGAGGCGTCGCGGAAGGAGCGCGTGACGCGGCGCGCGGGGCGGGACTTGGAGCGGGCGCGCGAGGAGTGCATGAAACACATGCAGACAGCACACGAGCTCCGGGCGCGCGTGAGGGAGCTGCAGAACGAGCTGGACGCGGTTGGGGCGCGCAGGTGCGTGGGGACGGGCCGGGGCGCGCGCGCCGGGTCGGTTTCGGGTCGCGGTGCGCGCGCAGTCGAGGATTCGTGGTCTTCGTTCGCGCGGTTCCGGTATCTGACGTGCTTGGTTGTGTGCGTGCGTGGTGCAGGGGCTCGCGGCCGGCGACGAAGCAGCGGCCGCAGAGCGCGGCGCGGGCGACGCCGTCGCGTGCGCACAACGTGCCGACTGGGGTGAGCGGCGCGTCGCGGGGGGCCTCGCGGCATGCGTCGCCGACGGTGCGGCCGGCGCGGCAGCCGCGGTGGGGCGCGCCGGACCCGCCGCGCGCGACGAGCAACCGCGCGGCGCGGCGGGCGAACGGCTCGCCGGCCGTAGGGCAGGGGGGGTCTCGGAGCAACACCCCTGGAAGGAACTATCCCCGGCCGTGGGCGGAGCGGTCGCCGCTCAGCGGGTTCCGCAGCGCGTCGAACTCCCCCGCGCGCGGACGCTTCGATCCCACCGCGTGGGTGAACCAGAAGGAGGACAGGCTCGCGCGGGCAGCCCAGCGTCGGACCGGCGTCTTCACCCCCCCCTCGTCGCGCCCGGCGTCCCGCACGGCGTCGCGCGAGCCGTCCAGGCGGTCGACACCTGCGCGGGACCGGAGCTCCGCGGGCAGCAGGGCCGGCAGCGTCGACAGGTGCGAGCGGGCGCTGCACTGAAACACCTGAAACACCCCCCCTTGCCACCGCTGCACATCGTGCCGTCCGGCTCACGCCCGGCCCGCCCGCGCCCTTGTATGCTCGCAGGCGTGCGGCTCCACAGCCGCGCAGGACCTCCGGCGGCCCGGCGCGGCAACGCGGGCCATCGCCAGGCGCGCGTCCTTCTGCCGGCGCCCGCGACGTCCGCAGTGCGTCGCCGAGCCAGGCCCTGCAGGCCGTCACCGACAAGATCGCGAAGTGGCGGCAGGACCGCGGCGCCACGGGAGGCCTCACGGGCCCCGAAACGGAAGGGAGTGCCCCGCGCGGAGCGCGCGCGCCGCACGCGCCGCCCGCGGCCACCAGGCGCGCGGCCGAGCCCGCGGCCCGTGAGGCTCGCCGCGGAGCACGCGCAGGAGCGGGCAGGCGGGGCCACGACGGGGCCGGCGGCTTCCGCGCCCGCAGCGGCGGGTGGCGAGCCGCAGTGGAGCATGGACGCGATAGAGAACAAACTCGCGGAGCTGGAAGGGTACGTGCAGCGGGCGAAGCAGCGCGCCGGGCAGAGCATCGAAGTTGTGTGACGGATCGCGCGGCCGTGGCGTTGTGCGGGGGGTCTCCTTTCCGCGCCCCTCCGCCTCACCAGTCACTGCACGCGAGACCGGTGTGCGCGGGAGCGACATCACGGGGGACCTAGGTCCCGGCGTGGCAGCTGTGTCTCGCGGAGGGGCGCGGTGAGCAACAGCGGGACATGGCGCGAGCAGCGGTGGCTCCGCGCCTGTGCGGGGTTGGGCTGCGTGGGTGGGGCTCGGTTCCCGCGCGATGCGAGAGCGGCGCGCCCGCAGTCGCGCGGGGTCGGGCGGGTGCTGACTCAGCGCAGTGCGCCGCGGTGACTCGTCATCATGTCTAGGTAATGTGGACACGCTGCCGGTGCGGTTACAGGGCTATGCCGCCCGCCGTCCCTCGGGCGACGATCAATCGTATCTTCGTAAGGGCACGTGCGGCGCGCGAGTCCAGCACGCCCGCGGCGGCCCCGGAGGACAGCCTTGGGCTGTGGCGGGCGCAGACACGGCTGCGACGGGGCGCGCACTCCCCGCGTGCGCGGCACCGATCAGCTCCAGGGCTGCCGCTCCGACGACGCGAACAGGGTGTAGAAGATGAGGCCGAAAATTTGCACGCCGATCGCGGGGTAGAAGATTGCCTGGGCGAACGAGCCGCCCGTCTTGTCGAGGAGGTGGCCGGTCAGGAGCACGCCGAGGACGCCCGGGAGCGCGCCGGCGGTGTTCGTGATGCCGAGCAGCGCGCTGGCGTACCGCGGGGAGATGTCCTGGTGGTTGCAGTACAGCCCCGCGCGCGCCCACGCCGAGAGCGCAAACGCGAGCGACATCAGCGCGACGAGCAGCGTGATCAGCCCGGGGCTCGCGGCCGCGGGCGTCGCGGGCGTGAGCTTCGCGAGGAACACCATGCAGATCGCGGGGCCCGCGAAGGAGATGCCCTGCGCCAGCTTGCGCACCGTGGTCAGGCCCCACCCCTTGTTCACCAGGGAGTCCGCGATCGGGCCCACGAGCGGCGTCATGCCGGCCATGGCGATGTACGGGATGAGCGTGAGCACCGACGAGTTGGCCACGTCGAGCCCGAGCGCCATGTCGAAGTATGACGGCAGCCACGCCAGGAGGATATAGTACCCCCAGTTGAAGCAGAAGTGCGCGACGGTGATCGCGAGGACCGGCAGCGACGTCAGGAACTTGCCGTACGGCAGCTTCTGCGGGCCCGACTTGGCGGCGGCCGCCTCGGCGATCTCGGCCTGCTTCTGCTCCTCCGAGTCGATGGCCGCCTCGGGCTTGATGAGCGGGAAGAGCGCGGCCCAGACGAGGCCGAGGACGGCGAAGGTGTAGAACACGATGGGCCAGCCGTAGAGGCGGATGAGCGGCCCGCAGAGGAGGAGGCCGACGGCGGAGCCCACGTCGAGGCCGCCGAACACAGTGGCGACGGCGCGCGAGCGCTCGCCCTGGGGGACCTTGTTGGCCATGACGGAGGTCACGGAGGAGGGCGCGAGGCCCTCGCCGAGGCCGACGAAGAACCGGGAGGCGCAGAGCCAGAGGATGCCCATCTTGGCCAGGGGCGGGGCGACCGCGGTGCCGAGCGACCAGAGGACGACGCCGGCGAGGAGGACCTTGATGCCGCCGATTTTCGAGCAGAGGTACCCCGCGGGCGTCTGCGTGAGCGTGTACCCCCAGAAGAAGGCGGACGACACCAGGCCGCGCTCCGTGGCCGACCACCCGAGCTCCTCGGCCATCGGGATGACGGCGACCGACATGTTGACCTTGTCCATGTTGCACAGGATGAAGGCCAGCGCCATGAACGCGACGACCTGCGCGCGGGGGGCCGGGTGGCCGCTTGTTGACGGCCGCGAGGGCGCCCGGTGTGGGGGCTGGGGGCGGGCTGGCGCGCGGGGCGGGCGGGCGATGGACGCGAGGGAACTGTGACATTCCGGCGCGGGGCCGGATCGCCGGAGATAGTCCTCGGGGGCCGCGGGAGGCGCGGGGGGAGCATGCCGGCGGGGGAGGCGGGCTGTGGGGGCGCACCTGCCAGCGGTGGGGCATGCCGAGGAACGTCGAGTCATCCGGAGGGGGCCTGACGACCTTGCCCTCGTCGCCTGAGCCCGCGGGCACGGCGCCGCTGGCCGCGAAGGTGGGCTGCAGCGGGACGGGCCTCAGGGGCGGGCCACCGATGCGCCTGGGCGCGACGATGCCCGTTGGGCGCGTAAGACGCGGGACATTGCTCCTACGTGTCGTGGCCGTGAGGCCCCTCGCGGGAAGCGAGGCTCGGATCGCCTGTTGCTGCACGCACGAACGACGGGAGGCATGACGGGTGGACAATGCGGCCTGCGGGGGCGCCGCGAGCAGCGCCCGCGCCGCCCGGGCAGCCGAGTTTTGCTAGTTGCGACGCTCGCGCGCGTAATCACGCGCCGCGACGGCGCAGGCGCGACGGTGGCACATGATGGCCTTGGCTGCTGGTGGCAGGGGCCCGTACCATGGTTCAGGCTGGGATCCGCGGCGTGTGGTGTCGCGGCAGCGAGACTGTAACTCCAACAACTGGTGGGCCGAATGCGAAACTTCGCGGGTGACCCCCGGCCACGAACGTGACGCGCCTGCAGGCACGGAGAGGCACAGAGGCAACGGGCGTTCAAACCCTGCGCAAGTGGCGGCTTGGCGGCCTGGCCGTCATGTCACGACGAATTCCGCCTTGTGGGCGGCCGCTGGCGCCCGTCGGGGGGCAGCCGGGGCGACCAAGCGGTGTCAAAGCCGCGCTCGGTCCCCGGCGCCACCGCCTTCGCACGCCCATGTTACGCGCGGAATTCGCCCGCGTTCGACTCGCACGCTTTCAGAGACGCGTAGGGGAGCGCGAGATCGACGCTGCGAGCGCCATCGCCCTGCCGGCGGAGCAGGCTGCCCCCTCACCTTGGCTTGGCTTCCCTCGCTTGCGCCGTCAGGCTCGAGGTCACACCAGGGGGCTCGGGACGAACCGACGCCGAGCAGGGCTAGCGGAGTGTATCGCGGCCCCCACGACGCGGCCCCAACTGCCCCAGCGGGCGCCACCGCTCCTGCCTGCAGGGCCATCATCAGGGGGGTCGTCCGCCCGCGTGCGGCACGGTGCCGCCCTGACGAGGCATACAGCGCGGCGCGCGCGGGCGCACGACGTCGAGGGAGCTGAGCGTCGAGGCCCCGCGTCTTCCGGACTTTTTGGGCGCAGCACGCGCGTCGCCGGAGCCGCTGCCGACCGCACCGCTTTGGTAAGGCCCCTCGGGCCCGTTGCGCGTCGTGCGGGCTTCTTGGCCGCGTATTCGCGCCGCGCTCGACGCAGATCGTCGCGGACTTGCGTACAGGCAGGACCATGGGCGCGCAGAAGGTCGTAGTGAAGCACGGCTGTCAGGAGGCACCAGCTGTGCACTGCCTTCCCTGCCGCATCGAATTCTCCGGCGTCGCCGACGTGGCCACGTACTTCCAGCCGCGAGAGGTCCAGCCAGGTGAGCCGCCACGCCGCCCGACCTGCCGCAAGCGGCCGCGACGCGGCCGCTCTGGAGCGGCGGTGCCCAACAAACCTGCACCGCTGCACCTTCAGCAGAAGAGGGCGGGAACACCCCCCGACGCTTGTTCCGGGCGATTCGTGCCTGGAAACGCGCCTCCTGGCCATGTACCGCGTTCTAGGCCCGAATCCACCGGCAGCTCACTGCTGCATTCGTCGTGCGAGGCTGCAGAAGGGGCCCAGGAGGGGTCGCCAGCAGAGCCGAAACTCGAGGCCGCGTTTCGCGGCCGCAGGCTGCTGGGCGCGCGCCTCGCGGTGCCCGACGGATACCAGGGCGTCATCCTCCACGAGAAAAAAGGCACGCCCGCCCGCGCCCCGCGCGCAGTGCCCGCCCGACCTGCGCAGTGCCGCACCACGCGCCCGCCGCGCTCCCTGCGCCCCGCGACGTAGAACGGTCGCAGCCCGGCGCGTGCGTGCAGATGTGGACGGCTCCACGGCGCTGGAGGTGCGCAGGGAGTTCAGCGAGCTGACCTACTGGAATCACGACGCCGCGCCGCAACGGTCGGACCAGCTGCCGCGGGCGTTCGAGTGGCTGCACGTCGCGCGCGCCGTCGCGTCGCCGGTCGCCTCGGAGGACTTCGAGAGCGCGCTCGCCGCGGTCGAGGGCCGCACAGAAGGCCCCCCCCCCGCCAACAGCTGACGGACGCTGCCGGCTGCCGACGTCCCGGCGCGGGAGCGAGCGGCGCGGGCGGCGTCGCGGAGGAGGCGCGCAGGTCACGAGCCCTGCGGCGCCGGAGCGGCGCCGAACACCACGGCGGGGACATGGCGAGGTGCACGCACAGCACTTGCACCAGTGCACGTGTGATCGAACGCGCTCACTCGCGCGGGCGAACCGCCGCCGCACAGCTATCCTCTACTGAACCCCGCGGCCCCGGCCACCCTCCCGTCGCGGCGCAACCGCGCCTGTGCCCCGAACACCCCCCCTCTCCCCCGCCCTGTCCGTCCGCGTGCGACGCGCAGCCTCACTCCCACCCCTCCCCGTCGTCCCAGCGGCCGTCCGCGCCCTCCCCCTGGGGGTGTACCCCGAGTACGCCGCAGCCCGCGCTGGGGTTCTCGAATTGCAGTGCGCGCAGCAGGCTCTCCTCCATTCCGGCGTACATGGCGTCGGGGTCCTCGGGGAAGCCCCCCTGCAGGACGGCGGTGTTGCCCAGGAGGCGCGACGTCGCGGCGGCCGACTCGGCGACCACGATGGCCATGACGGCGTCCTGCCTGGTGACCTCGCGGCGCGCCATGAGCCGCGCGTGCGCCTGCGAGAGCCGCACGAGGCTCTCGAGCATCCGCACCGTCGTTCGCGCGGCCTCGCGGTGCGCCCACTGCCGCTGCGCCTGGAAGTAGTCCATCAACAGCCCCCTCGCGTCAGCGCCCATGACGGGCTCGAACGCGGCGCGGACCCACGCGACGTACTTGCGGATCGTCTCGGGGGACCACCCGCCGCCGGCGCCGACCGCGGCCTCGGCGCCGTCGTCCTCGCCGGAGCGCGCAGTGCGGCGGCGCGTCGCAGCCCGCTCCTCGGCCTCGTCCGCGGGCACCGCGGCCTGGTGCGCGCGCAGGACGTGCGCAGACACCGTCTCGTCCCAGCGCGGCGCCCTGCAGCGCGGTGAGTTCCGGGGGTCGCAACATCAACTTGTTGCAGAAATAATAACAAAGTTAAACAAATAACAAATAATTTGTTGTAGTGCCGCCGCATGACGTGGGAGGGGGGGGTCGCAGTGCTTGCCTTTGGTCGAGGAGAACGAGGATGACGTCGAAGCGGGAGAGGAGGGGGCCCGACAGGCCCGTGACCTCAGTCAGCGGCAGCGAGGAGTCGTACGTTTTCGACTTCGGATTCATGACTCCAAATACGGTCGTGCAGGTCTGCAGCTGAGACACCACCCCGGCCTGCACACACACGCAGCAGCCCTCGTTCTTGCGCGTCAGAGCACCGCCGCCGCCGCTGAATCCACAAGCCCAGCGCAAGCGCAACTACGCACGCACGCACGAGTCGGCTGTGCTGCGCCGGGACGAGCACGCTGGTCGCAGAGAGCGCGCACCTTCGCGATGGACAGCGTCTGCTGCTCCATGGCTTCGTGGATGGCGGTGCGGTCCCCGGGCTTCAGGCAGCCAAACTCGTCGATGCAACACACCCCCCCATTCGCCAGCACCAGCGCCCCGGCCTCCAGCGCCCACCCGTTCGCGTCCCTGCGCGCACCATCGCGGACGCGGGCGCGCGGCACCGTCACGCACGGCACGCAAACAACAAGGCTCGCATGCACGCACGCAGCGAAAGCTCGCCACGCAACGCACTTGACAGCGCTCGCGGTCAGGCCGGCCGAGCTCGTCCCCTTGCCGCTGGTCACCACGCTCCTGGGCGCCAGCCGCGCCGCCGCCTTCAGGAACTGGCTCTTCCCGGTGCCGGGATCTCCCACCAACAGCATGTGCACCTCGCCTCGCACGTTCGGCCCTGCAAGCGCTCAAACGCACCGCCCCGTCGCTCAGCCCGTGCGCCCGTAGCTGGCACGGCCGTTTCCGGCGTCGCGACGAGGGCCAGCGCGTACCTGCGCCGCCTTTGTTCGCCTGCGCCGCTTGCCCGCCTTGCGCCGCTGTGCCCGCCCCCGCGGCCCTGTCCGCCTTGCGCGACACGCCCCCGATCAGAGCGAGCATCGTCGCGAGCTTGACCGTGAACATCCCGTGCACCTGCGGGCACACCCCCAGTAAAATCTTGTTCCGCCCCGCCAGCTCCCCCCACGCGCCGTCCCGCCCAGGCGCTCCGCCGCGGTGCGCCGCCCAGAACCCCTCGAACGCCTCCGCGTCCCGCGGCCCCACCTCCACCGCGCCCCGCCTCCCCGTCAGCACGTCGATGTGCATCGCGTGCACCACCAGCTCCACCTCGCACCGCGTCCCCGGCTGCAGCGACCGCCACCGCCGCACGACCAGCCCCGTCGCCTCGATGTCGTCCCCCGGCCGGCACCGGTCCGCGAGGTCGCCCAGCGCGTAGATCGTCAGCGAACGTGTGTTGGCGCCCACAGAAGGTATGCTGAGCCGCTCCTTCAAGCGCACCTCCTGCGATGCGCGGCGCGGCGACAGAGGAGACGTAGTCATCGGGATACAGGGTGGGCTGTGAGCTGGACAGAGCGGATAGGAACGGCGCGGACGGCGCGGAAGGTCGCATGTCGGTTGGCTCGGGGTTGGGGTTGGGGTTGATGCGAGGTGGAGTGGCTGCATACCTGGAAGTCGGCGTGCAGCGGCACGTCCATGCGGTGCCGGAACGACTTGCCCGCGCAGGGGGCGTCTGTGTGGTTGGGGCACGCAGTGGGGATGGGCAGCACGCCGCCGGACTCCAGATCTGCGGCGCAGAAGCACGAACGCGAGCGCTTGCGTGACCACCGTAGCACGAGCCAGGCCATGCACGATCGCTGCACGACCTGACAGCTGTGCCACGCCCATGCACCAGCTCGCGGTCCGTCGCGCGCTCGGCGCCGCGATGTGCCGGCACCGGCTGCATCCCCTGCAGCACTCTAGCGCAGGAACGAGCCGGGCACTTCGGAGGGGGGGACTGTTGGGGGGGGGATCTTCGCACCCGCGTCGACGATGAACGCGTGGTTGCACCTCGTGCACTCGTACAGCCGCCCCGCCTCGAGCATCTGGATCGCGCCCGTGCGCGCGACCGTCCCCAGGATCGTCACGAGCTTCCCCACGTGCACGGAGCGGATCCCGGAAATCCCCGGATGCAGTGTGGGGTCCGACGGGTCGAGGTAATACGGGAGGCCGTGCGGCCGGACCTGGACGTTGTCCTTCCGGGCCATGCTCGCCCGCTGCGGGTGGTGCTCGAGGATCTCCTCCTGCGCGCGCTGCAGCGCGACCGTCATGCTGCGCAGGACACCGCGCGGTGCGCGTATGAGGCCCTCGGCGAGGTGCACGGCCTCCGCGGCGAGCTCGGTCATGTTGACGTCGACGCCGTAGCACTCGTAGACGCCCGGCGCGAGGAGGACTTCCTCGAGGCGCAGGCCGCAGAGCTGCAGCGTGGCAGGAGTGGGGATGCATCGAGGGGGGTGTCACGGGGCCCGGGGGTGTGGCAGGGATGCTTGCGACGGGCAGGTGACGCTGGCGGAGCAGGTGCGGCGCTGGTGGGAGCTGCGCGGCCGGTGCGGGCCGCGGGGGTTGCGAAATGCAGTGTGGAGTGGGCCACCGCTGTGGCTGGCTGCGCAGCGAATGCGGAGCGGCGGGATTGCGTGTGCCCGTACCTTGAGGAGTACTGGCGTGAAGGCTTCGACGATCTCGAGCTGGTTGGCCGCGAGGCCGCCCGGGAGGGCGAGCCCATCGGCGACTGTCATGAGCCCACTGCTCCGTCACGTGCGGGGCTGCGGCCGGCGTGCGACGGCCTCTGTGAGCTGTACTCTCCCGTAAGAAGGCGGACGCGGCGACGGAGGCGTTGCGCGGAGACGCGGCGCCTCGAGCGCGCGAATGGCAGCACGCCCGGCGTGCAGCCTCACGGATTGCCCGGCCACCTCCTCGCGAGCTCACTTGTCAGGTATGACGAGTGCCCGATTATGAAGGTTCCTGTCTACTTGTCCACTAGCATGAGAGCTCTCAGCGTGTTCCGTTCTAGAACCATCCCGGGAAGGCGCCCCGCCAAGCAGCTCTTGTGTCTGCAGAGCTGGCGCTGCTGCGACGCCCGAGACTCGACTGGCCCGCTGCGAGCTGCGTCCTACGTTTCCGAAGGAGGTGCGTCCCGTGCGGGCTCGAACGGCCCGCGGGAGCGGCTCTCCTCGCCGCGCTGGGTCTACAGTTGACGCATACGTGGGTGCGGAATCGCCGAGAAGCGAGTTCCGAGTGAGCGACACGATTCACCGCGTTCCTCGTAAGCCGGGGTTGGAAGGTTGCATGTGTCGTCGCGTCAACGCGGCCCGTCGCAAAGGCGGCGACGCACGGAGGGGCGCGCCTGACAAGCAGCGCTGGTCGGTCTGGCAGGTGTTGTGTGAGCGCACGTACGAGCGTCGACTCCCCAGAGGACGATGCGATGGACCACTGCCGGCGACCGCCCTGCTTGGCCGTCAGCGGTCACGTCGTGAGGCCACAACAGGACAATCGTCTTCGACGTAGCTCACACGCAACCGACGGGGCGTGTTGACGCCGCGATGGCCCTGGAGTCGGCGTCGGCACCGTGTCCTGCTGGATGCCGCACTCATGGAGTCGCACCTCGCAAACAGTGCTTCCGTGTCGGTGTGACACTGCGAGCGCGTGTGTGCACATCTGCGCGTGTAGAAGTGCAACTCGTCCCGCGTGGGATGATGACGGCCCGAGAGCTCGAGCCGGCGGGAGGCGCCTGCCATGCGTCGCGGTGCGTCTTCGATGCCCGTGGTCTGTCAGCGGCCGAGTTGTACCCTCATGGAGGTGTGCGCTCCGTGGCCCCCAATCGTCCCGGGCGGCATCATGAGGACGCGCCCGCTGCGCAGGAGTAGTGATCTGGTTTCGAATCAGCTGCATACATCAAAACCGGCGCCGTGACGAGAGCAGGCCGTGCGACTGCTTGTAGCAGGTGAGACGCGGGGCGGTGCTCGAGAGACTGGATTGCAGTGATTGGTGCTCATCGCACGGCCGCCAGTAAAGTGTGCGCCGTCTCGCGGGCTGCCGTTAGAGTCGCATGGAGCGCCCAACACGGTGCAGGGGGCGTGCGCCTAGGGCGTTGGAGGAACCTCGGCTGACGCTGCGTTCCACGAGACCCTTGCTCGATTCTCACGGTTTCTCGCGATGCACACTAGCTGTCGTGATGAGGCCGGTCGCACGCGCGCGCCGGACGACGCCCGCAGCTCCCGCTGCCTCACCTCCTAGATCTCATTTTGGCACCCGCAGAGCCGTCCACGGGGCCCCGGCGGCGGCGCGGCATCACGGGCACGACACTTACACTCGATGGATCTGCGAAGCGGCCGCTGCGTGGGCGGGTCGGGGCCCTCGCTGCGCCCACGCGCTGGCGACGATGACGCACCCACTCTGATGGACCTGTCGTTCGGGCCGGGCGGCGGTCCGCTGGGAGACATCATCCGCCGGCTGTCCAGGAAGTCGCGCGTCGCCCTCGCGGCTGCGTCGTCGGGCGCGATGGCGAGCGTGCTGGAGAGCTGCGGGGGGGCTCGGTGGACCGCAGACACAAGGGAGGTGGGCAGGGCGGTGGCGGGGAAGGTGGAGGGGCGCGTGTACGCGGGGGCGAGATCGCTGGTGGGGCGGACGAGCGACGACGGGCGGTGGCGGGTGTACCGGCGCGCGGGTGCGGACCCCGACAGTGTGGCGGCGATTGTCGGGCTGGAGACCAGGGAGAGACGGGCCAGGGAGAGGGGCAAGGGAGAGGGGCCTGTGGCGGACGCGGGTCGGCTGGTGATTACGGAGGAGATGACGGGGCTGGAGGTCGTCAGGGCTGAGAGGTATTATTTCGACATCGGTCAGGAGTGGGGGGGGGACTGGCTGCCTGCAAGCGTCGCGGCGCGGTTGAAGGAGCTGGCGGTGCGCGAGCAAGGTCTGGCGAGGCTGCCGGAGGGGATGGGGTCGCTGGAGGAGCTCTACGTGATATATTGCGTGGGGCTGGAGGAGGGGTGGCTGCCGGCGTCGAGCTGCGGGAGCGTGAAGAAGCTGGATGCTGCGGGTCGCTGGCGAGGGTGCCGGAGGATGGGGTCGCTGGAGGTGCTGAACGTGAGCAGGTGCATGGAGCTGGCGGAGGAGGGGTGGCTGCCGGCTTCGAGCGGCGGGAGCGTGAAGAGGCTGGTTGCTGATGACTCCTCGCTGTCGAGGCTACCGGAGGGGATGGGGTCGCTTCAGGTGCTCAACGTGACACGGTGCTTTGAGCTGGCGGAGGAGGGGTGGCTGCCGGCGTCGAGCTGCGGGAGCGTGAAGAAGCTGGTTGCTGACCAATCCTGGCTGGCGAGGCTACCGGAGGGGATGGGGTCGCTCGAGGAGCTCGACGTGACACGGTGCTCGCAGCTGGCGGAGGAGGGGTGGCTGCCGGCGTCGAGCTGCGGGAGCGTGAAGAGGCTGGTCGTTGCACACTCCATGCTGGCGAGGCTACCGGAGGGGATGGGGTCGCTGGAGATGCTCAACGTGAGCAGGTGCATGGAGCTGGCGGAGGAGGGGTGGCTGCCGGCGTCGAGCGGCGGGAGCGTGAAGAAGCTGTATGCGTGGGACTCCTCGCTGGCGAGGCTACCGGAGGGGATGGGGTCGCTGGAGGTGCTCGACGTGCGTGGCTGTAGTGAGCTGGCGGAGGAGGGGTGGCTGCCGGCGTCGAGCTGCGGGAGCGTGAAGGAGCTGGTCGTTGCACACTCTATGCTGGCGAGGGTGCCGGAGGGGATGGGGTCGCGAGGCTGGACGTGGGTCGTGCTCGCGGCTGCCGGGAGGGGGCTGCCATCAAGTGCGGGAGCGTGAAGGCTGGTTGCTGGGGGCTCGTCGCCGGCGAGGCTACCGGAGGGGATGGGGTCGCTGGAGGAGCTGAACGTGAGCGGGTGCTCGCAGCTGGCGGAGGAGGGGTGGCTGCCGGCGTCAAGCTGCGGGAGCGTGAAGAAGCTGTATGCGTCGGACTCCTCGCTGGCGAGGGTGCCGGAGGGGATGGGGTCGCTGGAGGAGCTCAACGTGAGCAGGTGCGTGGGGCTGGCCGGGGAGGGGTGGCTGCCGGCGTCGAGCGGCGGGAGCGTGAAGAAGCTGGTTGCTGGGGGCTCCTCGCTGGCGAGGGTGCCGGAGGGGATGGGGTCGCTGGAGGAGTTGAACGGGAGCGGGAAAAGCTCGCAGCTGGAAGGAGGAGGCGGCTGCCGGCGCTGGTTGCGGGAGCGAAGAAGCTGGTTATGCTGGGGCTCGCTGGCGGAGGTCAGGAGGGGATGGGGTCGCTGGAGAGGCTGAAATGGAGCGGTGCTCGAGCTGGCGGAGGAGGGGTATGTCGGCAAATACGAGCGTGAAGAAGTTGGTTGCTGGGGCTCCTCGCTGGCGAGGGTGCGTTAGGGAGGGGATGTAATGCTGGAGTGAGCTGGAACGAGCGTGCTCGCAGTTGGCGGAGGGGTGGTCGCCGCGCCGTGAGCGCGTGGAGCGAAGAAGCTGGTTGTTGATGACCTCGCCAGGCGAGGGCAAAGCTGGTGATGGGGTCGTTTCCAGGAGCTCAGCAACGGAGCGGGTGCTCGCAGCTGGCGGAGAGGGAAGGCTGCCGGCGTCGAGCCGGAGCGTGAAGAAGCTGGCTGCGTGGACCTCGCTGGCGAGGCTACCGGAGGGGATGGGGTCGCTTCAGGTGCTCGACGTGAGCAGGTGCAAGCAGCTGGCGGGGGAGGGGTGGCTGCCGGCGTCGAGCTGCGGCAGCGTGAGGGAGCTGTTTGCTGGGGAATCCTCGCTGGCGAGGCTACCGGAGGGGATGGGGTCGCTTCAGGTGCTCGACGTGACACGGTGCTCGCAGCTGGCGGAGGAGGGATGGCTGCCGGAGTCGAGCGGCGGGAGCCCGAAGAAGCTGATGGCGATGGCTCGCTGGCGAGGCTGCCGGAGGGGATGAGGTCGCTGGAGGTGCTCGACGTGAGCAGGTGCGTGGGGCTGGCGGGGGAGGGGTGGCTGCCGGCGTCGAGCGGCGGGAGCGTGAAGGAGCTGTATGCGTCGGACTCCTCGCTGGCGAGGCTACCGGAGGGAGTACGCGAGAGCCAGACACGGTGCAAGCAGCTGGCGGAGGAGGGGTGGCTGCCGGTGTCGAGCGGCGGGAGCGTGAAGAAGCTGTATGCTGAGGACTCCTCGCTGAAGAGGCTACCGGAGGGGATGGGGTCGCTGGAGGTGCTGTATGTGCGTGGCTGCGGGCGATTGGCTGCGGGCTGGCTACCGGCGTCGAGCTGCGGGAGGCTGCGGGAGCTGCACGCCACGGACTCGCAGCTGCAGATGCTGCCGGAGGCGCAGATGCGGTCCCTGACATCTGTATCACGTTGAGCAATCAGTGAGGTGGGGTGAGGTGTTACATTTTTCGCGTCGTCAGCCATAAGTGTGAGCGCACGTGCGAATGTCGACTCACGGGAGGACGATGCGATGGGTCACTGCCGGCGCCCGCCTCGACCAGCCCTCAGCGGTGACGTCGTGAGGCCACAACAGGCTGCAAGAGACTTGGACGTAGCTTACACGCCGCCGACGGTGCGCGTTGACGCCGCGATGGCCCTGGAGTCGGTGTCGGCACGTCGCCCTGCTGGATGTCGCACTCATGGAGTCGCACCCTGCAAACAGTGCAGCCGTGTCCGTGTAACTCTGCGAACGTGTAGAAGTGCGACTCGTCACGCGCTGGATGACGGCCCTGGCGCTCAGGCCGGCGGGAGGCGCCGGCTGCCATGTGCGTCGCGGTGCG